GTATAGTAACAATGACGATTGTCTGTCCGCATCAATAAGCAATTCAGGAACACAGTTAAGTGACGTCATAACGGGCATACATAAGCATTCAAGCCGAAGCTTGTGAATGAGTCAATAAGGTAAGCGTTCATGCATTGGCATGTATATGTAATCAGTCTTTGTCACCTGAAGATGCCAATGAGTCACGTGCTGAGCACGTGTTAGGACACAGTCCTAACAGTGTTGGGATGTGGTCCTAATAGGTAAACATTTAAGATAAGTGGCAGGTAGAGTCTTCAAGACCTCCCTATTGAATGTTATACACCCTTGTAAGTTAATATCATGTATGGTCTAATCAAACCTAAAAGATAATGTAGTTGCCAAATTTCCTAGTATCTTATATCAGCAGGGATACTCATTATCTACTGCAAAGAGAGCGTTCTGTAAAAGGACAACTCCATTATTAAGGTCTGTTGTATTTCCTAACAACTGGAATTGCTTGAGAAGAGGTAAACTCTGCTAAGCATAAGATAATCCATCTATATCACAAATATGCTAACTTAGTTCTTAAGAGCATAGAAAAACTGCCTCAGTGAAGTTGCCAAGGTACACCTATAAGTAAAACCTTGTGATCAGCCTGGCTAAAAGTTCTGGAATCAGCTGTGATTAATAGAGACAGGATGTATGCTGGGGGTCTAGACATCTGTATACTAGTGCCACAGCCTTATCCAAATCTTGGGGCTCTTGTGTATGAAACCATCATAATAAAAGTGCATCAGCAAGGCTAGACATGGAAGTAAATTGGTTCATATCTAATAGTACACATATTTGAATAACCTGGTTGGACATAAATATTATAGAATTAATACTTGAGATTGGTATAGCACAAAATTCTATGACAGTAGTGAGTGTAAGGTTGGCCATGTTAGATGTTTTATCTTCACTCTCAATACCTGTGTCTTGTTAAAAGTATTGATGTTGTAAAAATCATTAAAATGAATATAGTATATAAGATTATATAATAGTGTACTTGGGAATCCTCTTCATTTGCTACATTATTACTAAGCCTCACACTATCCTGCTCTAGGTTCAATCCACCTTGTAGCACCTTGATAGCCTTATACAATGCCTCAACTTTATCTATCCAAACAAATTTGATTACTAGAGACAGTGCAAAGTTGTTCAAAGAGTATTTTTGGTATAGATGACTTAGAGAACAAAGATCACAGACATTATAAAGGAGACACAAGACCATTTCAAGAGAAGATAACTGACTTTTGTCCTTTTATTCCCTAACTATAGAGGCTACAAAGTCATTAATCTAATCTGTATTAAAGCTGTGTCCCTATGTTTGAAGACTATCTAAGATATTAATGAATCTTTCCACCTGACCCTACATAAATATTATAAGATAGAGATAATGCTAATGGTATGTGAATACACACTGAAGACTTCACATTTAGCTATTATAAATGATTTAATCTTTGTGATCAAGAAAAAAAGAATTTTAGGCTTACAACATTCATAATTTCTAATTGAGATAGTAATGCAATCATATCTTATTGCCCCATTGAACTAACCTAGGCATTATTACTCATTATTATTAAAGAAGACATGTATGTTGGCTAGATATGAAGAGGGTAAGAAAATAGGAATAGTAACTAGAATCAATGATCCTAAAGAGTAAGATCTAAGAGGAAGTAGCAACTGAAGTATGATACAAGCCACAGTAAGACTGTATTGAGACCTGTGCACTTCTATTCTCAGCTGAATATACTTAGTTGCTATACTCATACTAGCTATATACTAGCTAGCTAGAGCAGTGGTATTTGGGCTTAAGATACCTATTGTAGTGGCCATCTAGGAAATACCCCTCTTGTATTAAGCACTAATTATTGATAATTTTATATAATTTTACTAAAATAGCATTAGTATTTTTTTGCTTACCCCCCCCCTTTATTTTAGAGCTAATTATAGCTAATTAAAGCTGATTGAAGCTAATTAGTTAGATAGATTTTTAGAAAAACAGAATCTATTATAGTGTCATTATTTTTTGTCATTACTATAATCTGTAACCTAGAGATATCTATAAAGGTTACTGCTTGAATATCTAAAGCTAAAGTCTTATCTTATAAAGAACTTGCCCTTGGCCAGAGTTAAACCTATAATCTTATAACTATACACACTCCAAATAGATGCTCTAAGCCACTAAGCCATAAGGTCTAAACTAATATCTTGGTAATTCAAATATGTTGACATGATTTAGGCAATCTTAATATTTCTAATCTTATTACTCACTTGTTTTTGATCTATTTTTGATCAATAAATATTCAAAAAATCAGGGCTTTTATGATCTCAATTCATGTACCAAATAAGAATATGATATACTAAATAAAAATAAAGAATAACTCTATGTAGGGTAAAAAAATATTCTAGCACTCACATAATTTGGATTTAGAGTCTGTATTATTGTACTTGAGTTGTAGATTTTGAGTAAACTCTAGAATCATAATCAACATGGTGTTTATTACAGATTTGATCATAAAGATAATTATGGATAATTATTCATAATACATCCTAATTATCTTAGATGAGCATTATCAGTAATTAGGTATAATTTGGATCTAATATGAGAGGGGGGTTTTCCAGATGCACTGTTGTCCAGAGTAGCCTTACATAGTAGGTTCTAATTAGAAAGTTCATTATGATGAACATGTCAATGTCTCTTGAAATATCATCACCTTACCTATCCATAAAACCTTGATGGTGAAACTTGGACAGCATTCATCCATGCATGATAGTGAATGGCTGTCTTATGAGATAGATATTGAAACCCAATTAACCTAATCTTTTTGATCTATCCTGCTAGCTTGGAGATCACCAAATGTCATGAGCTGAGAAATGCACGAAAAGGCTGAAAACCCTCAGACACATTGGTACTCATCAACTGAAAACATGGAATGGGAGTAGTTGAACAATTGCTGAGGGATTGTAGTCGAAACATTCTAAGATTATCAACCCTAACCAATCGAGGAATTGGCAACTCATCAACGCCGAAATGATGCCGGCGGTAAACCTCGTCCTCCAAGCATCAAGTGATCTACAAATTCCTGAACCAGTGTGCGGTCATCGCGTTCATGCTTTCTCACTTGCGAGATTCAGTGGCGATGCTCAGGGCACAAGATTTTGTTGGTAGGGGCTATCTAGGATTCTAGGCAGCAAGTGGGTGACCCAGAGCATCGCTTATGTTGTCTGGCCTGAAGTGAGTTTTCGATTTTCTTACTAGTTCTATCGTATCTCTCTACACTGTTCGTTTCTATCTAGATCCTTTCATATTTTTGCATGTATCTGAATGAAGGCACACAAGTCTCACAGTTGAACTCTGCGTGTCATGTACTCATGACGAGCTAGCGGTCAAAGCGACATTCCCCGACACTCATCTCGCGCTACCTCCATCAGTTTCTCGGATATTCTAGCGCTCTGATCACTATTATCCAATGACGAGAAAGAGGGTGGGATGACCGGAAGGCACTGCATGGGTAATAGCAAGATTGAGAGGAGATGAAAGAGTAGGAGACTCTAGTGGTACGTGATTCTGTCCGCTCTCCCCCCTCTTTTCTTTCTCTGATTTCTGCTTGTTGCATCCATCAAACGGTACAGAATACCGAAATTTACGGATACGCCGCATAAGTAGATGATACTCCTCGCATCACGCCGGCATCCAGTACTCTCTTGCTACGCCTATAGCGCTATCACCAACCGCCAGAGCACGACATCGTGAAGTGCGGTGTGCTTCCTCGTCGGGCTGGCAGTCAGCCTCAAGGTGCTTCCCCCGCCAGTCAAGTTATTAGAAGACGGTCGCAAGCGGCTTATCTTGTTTTGGCTGATATGTGTATTGACACTGATCATACTTCTGGCAAGCTGCAATCAATGTGCTCCCATGTATGATCAGGTTCCAGAGTTCCAGAGGGCAAGAGTCTCGTTTGAAGGGTAACCGCTAACGCACGTTGATACTGCTCGCCAATATGCGCAACATATGATAATCGTAATGAATATTTATAACATGCCGACAGATAAATGCAATACAGTGGTATCACCAGTAGTGTACACGGAGAATCGTGACGATGTACTGTTCCCAAAAGAAAGCAAGAACAAAAAGACACCACGTCAGTTGGCGTGGATATTCACGAAAACATCATCCAGCCGACTGCGCCGCTCCTCGGCCCTCTTCTAAAGCAATAGGACTCCTCATCTTCGACATGGCCAACCCGTCGCTCTCCGAAACCACCCGCGAGTTGGCTGCCTTGGACATGTCGAGTGGGATCACGTCCGACGGCGCGCTTCCGCTATCGAACACCAAGCTTTGCCATTGCGGCATCGTGCGACCGGGGTCAGGGTGCGATGGACGGTCAGCCATGACCATGCGGTTGTTGAATATGACGAGGAGAGTATTGCTGTAGAGCTTCGCGAGGATGACGCCCGAGACCTGGTGCAGCGCGTTGTGTGCCCGGAGGAAGAAGACGAGGTCGACGATCGCGGCGATCGCGGTCAGGGTGCCCGTCTCGATCGTGAGGCGCACGACTGTGCGAGACGGCAGCGGAAGGTCAGTAGGTCTGCGTGCGCGTGATCGAAATGGAGGACAAGCGCGGACTGACGTCGCGTGAGCACGTTGTTCATGCGCCCCACCGCCCTGTCTTTGCTTCGCAGCAGCTGTGCACGGTGCAGGGCGATCAGTGAGAGCGCGGAGCGAGAGTGGGATGGCGGCCGCGCACAAAGTAAGTCATGCTGGTGGCGATGACAGTGTCGACCACGGCGCTCCCGCCGAGGCGAATCCCGACGGCGCGCACCAGCCCCATCGAGCGCGCGACTTCGCTCGTGTCGTTGTATATCTGATAGCGAAAAGGTCAGACGGTTTTAAGTGTCTGAGAGCTTGGCAGACTCACGAAGTAGGCCACCGCTGCGCCTCCTCCGAGCTGAAGGAGCGCGAGGGCAATGACGAATATAAACAAAGCTTTTGATCCTGAAAACATCCATATACGCCAGCCAAAAAATATCTACAGCCACAGTCATCAGCTCAAGACTGGAGTAGCATTACGCCGTCAATCCTTACCTGAACAGCTCCGGCTACAGTGCTCGAGAGGATCGGTATGTTGAGGAAGCCAGTGAACAAGTCATAGAGCGCGTGGATATCTCCCCAGCCATACACAAACCACTGGAACGCGTCGTACGTAGCAGAACATGTCTGGGCCCAGTCAAGAAAGTACAAGGTGTAGACTGAGACAGGCTCAAAGTCGTTTGTCAATTGATAATGTATCGCCGAGGCGTGGGCTTACCTAGGAGCTTTACAGCACGACGATCCTTGGGGAAGTTGAGATAGTATATATACAACTGTGTCGTGAGAATTCCCAGTAAGCCCCAGTTGAACAAAATCCCGAGGAGTCGCGGTCCCGCCCTAACAATGTATAGAAGAGATGAGATCAAGCACTCGCAGAAGGAGAATCGTCGACTGACAGCCAGATGATATCCTCATGGCTCGGGTCCGTTGGGGGCGGCGTCATATGGCGAGCCATGTACAATATTTAACCGGTCAGTCAATAGACAAGAGGCAAGAAGAAGCTGAAGAAAGGGGCAGCATGCGCAAGTACTTAACGCCTTTGGCCGATATGGCCATTGGGCCCCTCCCGCCATTCTTGGGGAAATGTATGGAGAAACCAGTGCCTGTAAGGTGAGGGCCTTACCCACTCACGCGGGGGAGTAGGAACATCAAGGCGAGACGCACCGCCGAGGTGGACATCACTGTCGCATCGCCTTTCGGAAAATGATAGGGATTGTGACGAGAACCCATCCACTGCTATGACGAGCAGGACATCCGAATATTACGAGCCATGTGCTCTGATCCTGGTCATGAGTATATAGTGATCGGGTCATGAAAACCAGAGAATTTTTTCCACAATAGGGTTGATTTTCGGAAAACACCACCGTCAGCACCGTGGAGGTCCGCCGGAATGCACACGGAATGATGAGCGGGATGAATGGAAGAGATTTCGAAGCAGACGTAAAGCACTCACTTCTTCGGAGTTCAATTGCCTATGAGCACATCAACAAACCTGTGGTTCTCATTTGACTACTGGAATTCACGGAATCGAACTCGGCCGCGAAAGGCTCAGATATCACTCCTATAGCTATGCAGCTTTGGCTGAGAATGGAAATAGGAACGCGGGCTCTTGCCATGTACATATTTCTAAGGCGTCGAAAGAGCGGGTCAGAAAATGCACCTAGATAACATCTCAAACTCGCCTGTAAGTATGGCAGTAGGAATGACCATCCCGCGATCACATTTCCTTCAATCAGCACTGCCAGACGAAGGACTCATCGGGATTCTCCGAACAACCTCTCGAGGCTGCGGATCAACAGCTGTGATCTTCCGTCTCTTAGACAGGTCCAGCAGCATAAAGTAGAAGAAAGCAAGGCACTCATGATTAGTAACAAACTGGACAGGCTGCGTACGACGTATGAAGCCATCAGCATCGACAAGGCACATGACACATGATAAGATAGACGGAATGCGCGAGTAAGATCTGCTGCCTTGTGTGTCCAAGCCCATCCGCAGTGTCGGACTGAGAGAAAGTTATCAGTCGATGATACTATTGAGGAATATAATGACTTGCCTTTTTCCATAAGAATGAGAGGATCCCTCCTCGGGATGGTTCTGGTCACTCATTCCACAGCAAAGCTCCCCGAGCGTCACACCTGGAGCAGTAACTGCCACACTCCATTATCCTTCAGGTGAAGCCCTTCGGCGCGACATTTGTTCATCACGCTCGTCTCACGTGGCGCCACCGCAGCCATGCCGCCCCAAGTGCGGCCATCCAAGCCGAACGTCTTCAAGCGCGCTGTGGCGGCGCGGTCCATGGCATTCTGAGGTATATGCCATCGAGATTTGACCATGTTGGCGAGGGCCACGAAGAGGGATGGGACTTCTGCGGAGAAGTAGATGTACAAGGCCATATCCTCCAACATGGCATTTTGACCTGTCTCGAGCTGGCCACTGGGCGAGAACGTGAGGGTGAGAGCATTCAGCAGGACTTCGCTGTATTTATAGCCAGCAAGTGTAAGAGACCTCAGATTCCTGAGTCCGCTAAGCGCATACGCCAGATCGGCATCGGAGATATTCACCGTCGACGTGTCAAGGATAAGCGTCCGCAGCGATTGACTGCACCCTGCCATCCAGCTCACGATGAACATGCCGGAGGGAATTCCCGGCTTTGGGCCTGGATGTCCTCCTAGTCGATACCGAAGCGTGTGATTGACAGGATCATCGGCCTGAAATCCTCGGACGGTCAACGATTCGAGCGCACAGAATTGGGGAGCTGGTGCTGTGGAGAAGAAGTCGTAGTTTGGCACATCTAGAAACACCTCCTTCCAACGCGATGCGTGCTCGAAGAGGCAATTGAGATAATGGGGGAGTACGGCCTCGTGCTTTCTGTAGGCTCGGAAGCGAAAGGACAGGGGAACAGGATCGGAAAGGGAGAGCCAAGTTGCCAGAGAATAGGAGAATGAATCACACAGCTCCAGCGGCGGGAGGTCGCGAATCTCAAGGGCCGACCATAACAGTGGCGTCGAGAGAGCAACATTGCGCCAGTGGCGACAGACCCTTGTCAAGAGCACTGGTGACTCGTGAGGGTAAAGGCCCACATAACGATTCGAGATGGTGTAGGAAAATATCAGGACAAGGATCTCTGTTGGGAATCGACGTGTATCCATGTCGGTAGATCTATGAATTTGGCTGCGGTGGTCGGGTCGGGTCATTTCCGAAACACGCCAATCAATTGACAGCATTGTACATGAGTTCTATCGAGCAATGACACTCACAATCGACACAAAGTTCTTAGTGTGGCCCACCGACTACTGTATTACCGGCAATAACAGATTGACAAACTTTCAACTTGTCTTGGCTAGACCGTTAGTTGAGACCTATCAGAACCATACGACCCCAAGTCAAACCGCCGAGGACTCACAAAATATCAGTATCAGTACTCAAAGTTGAGAACAGTACGAGAACTATAACTTGACGCGCATCCCCTGCGCAAGCGCGAAGCCAGTCGGTTATAGGGCAGCGCAGGCTGAGTCATCGCCTGCTCTCCATTACCGCAGCGGACGCACGATCACAGGGATCAGATATGATCACAGTCCGAAGTCGGTCGAAAAGTTATTGATGGAATAGGAAAACTCAGACGACTAGCTAAGCCAGACTCTGGTTCCTGGTGATCAACCATTCGCAGCACGTACAGAGACCGACCGAAGGGTTCGCAGCAGGTTGATCCTAGGTTGATACAGGTCTTGACTTGTGTGATAGAACGAGTCGTTGATAACACGGCTGCGCAGTACTGAATGTTCTTAGATACGAAATGCTGCCGTCCGTGCACGGCGTGTGCTAAGGCCTCCTAAATATTCAACACCCCCGTTGAGCGATTGATACCGTTCAGCGCTGTCAGCTCTTCTGCCAGCAGAAAATCGGGTCACGTCAAAACAACTCACGAAGGCGCCAACACACACAGCCCCCTAGTCAGTGTTCCAAACACAAATTCTCTCGTAGCCCATCCATCTATGGTATAATGCACAGATCGGCTGGGCCCTAGACTTGATTGACCTGACCGTGTGTAATCATAGCCTGAGTTTATGGTGAGCGCTGCAATCGTATGCAAGAAAGACCGGTATGAGAACCCGAAATATCGATGAAACTTCTGTGCGAACCTGAATCATTCAAGGGCGCCGGGCTGATCCTCGGATTCTCGCAGCGATTGATCGAAGCAAAATGTTAGAGCGAGTGGAGCGGAGCGCTTGTCCAGTATGGGGATTGGATAGCTTGGCTCTGCCCTTGCACTTCATCGTTGCGGGGAAGCCACAGATTTGAAGGCCCGACGCATTTGCTGAGAACTTGCCTCTAGAGGCGGACATACCTCGCCCCAGATGATCATAAACAGAGCAGACATGCAAGGGATCCGACACTTTTAGATACAGCTAGTCGTACACGCGTGTTACAAACACGGCAAATCACGTCCTGACGCACGAATAAAGAAAAGGTGGAAGAACGAAATCAGAATCAATCAAAACGCGAGGGCAGTCCGGATGGAGAAGGAGATGCGAAGACTCAAGTCGGTACTGCTATTTTGGTGTGTGAATGTGGCGGGGGCAAGGTGGGCGAGACTCCAAACCATCATGAATCGTGGTTAGAGGGCGAGCCACGCGGCACTAAGCACGGCGACAGCACCAGAGAGGGCATCAAACTGGTTTGTGAGGGCTGCGTTGGTGGTGGTGCTGGCGGAGGAGGGCGAGGCAGAGGGCCTGAACATCTCAATCAGCACGCGCCTGGTGATCAAAAAGGAAGGAACTGGGACGCACGCAGAGGAAGTCGAGACACCTGACGCGGAGGGCACGCTTGAGGTGGCAGCTATCACATTGGACGGGAGTGTCACGCCCTGTGAACACACCGAGATGCGAATCAGCGAAGGAAGACGGCAGCGCGTGGCACGAGACGCACGTTATTCGCGCACTCCGTCTGCGCTGCAGACAACGCCTTCTGGACATCGGTCCCACTGCATCCAGACTGAATGCACTGGGCGACGGAGTCTATGAACGCGGACGAACTGCACAAGCAGCCAATGTCGGACGTGTTGCAGGAGCCGAAGTTAGCCGAAGTCAGGCATGGAAGAGCACAGTCTGCCCAATACGGTCAGTACAGTGCGATGGATGGTGGAGAGGTGAACGCACTAGGAAAGACCGCCTGACGCGGGACGAGAGACGCCGACACGGTACAAGCTGACGCGACAATGAGCAGCACAACGTCGGAGAAATGCATCGCAGATGAGTCTAATACTAAGTTACGTCGGAAACGACGGTGGCGAAGCGAAGAAAGACAACAGGTAGACCGAAAGCTAAATGTTTGCAGAAAAGAAAGGCTAGTGCTGCGTAGGGTGGACACCGTCGCGAAGGAGATGGCGATGCGGGAAACCTGGCGGACACGGGTGACGGTAAGGATATATAACGGAGTTTACGTTCTGTCAGAGAAGTCCCAGGCATAAAAAGACCTAGCAGTTTCTCACCGCTTGCACTTTGAATTAGAGTTTCGATTCCACAAGCGGTCCCCCACTCACCGCTTCAGAGCGCTCCGGATTAATCTCTTATCACCCTGGTGTCTTGCACCCACGGCAATACGGCCCTCGAGCTCGGCTTCTTTGATAGTCATGTCCATTGTTGAAACGCCCAATACTGAGATATACCAGGCGGTGTGAACCACAGATGCAGTGGGGTTCCATCGACAGAGCAGGTGACGCAAAAGGAATATCTGCAAATCGGAGATGGCGGGAGAGTACGTACAGGCGTCATCAGATGTGGGGGGCATCAAAAATTCTAGCACTCAAACGTCCAAAGGAGGATTGCCAAGAAAGGTCAGACATCTGCAGGAACGTTGGGGAATATTCAAACTGGGATGCGGCGAGGATGATGGCGGGAACAAGGAGAACGATGGACGCGGTCGACTCAAACGAGATCGTGTTGTGGCCACAGCCATTGCGTGCCTTCTGACTCTTCCCACCTTCTCCCGGTTCCAGTTAACGTGTACGATGTCTCAGTCGTCTCGAATTCACCACGTCCATCCCGGCGACCTCCCCTATGCCACTCCCGTCTTGCGCGCAGCCTCGCCCAGCGGCTCCATCAACACCGAGTACGGCCCAGATGAAACTTCCCAATCCGACCTCGACCTTTCCCCGGAAGAGTTTGAGGAGAAAGTTGCTATGAGTCTGGGTCTCCACGAGCAGAGAGAACACGAGATCAGCGCCGAGTCGAAGTCGCTGTTGCTGCCAAAGCCCAAATCTGCTGCAGAGGAGAAATGTAGGCCCGTTCATGCATCAATGATCCACATCCTCTGTGTTCGCCCTGGAGTGCTTTGCTGACCATGGCTGATGCTCGCTTATGCGCTTCCTCGTGGAAATCAACCTCGGTGTACACACAGTGATGTTCGAGCAAGTCATGCGTTCTCTCCGGTGGCATGTCCAGCAACTCGAGGAGAACGAGATGATCGAGAGCATGCTTCTGCAAGGGTCGCGCATCGCGCTCGAAACACAGCCTTCCTCGGACAACGTCGACGCGATCATGCAGACCATGATGGGCCCACCGCTCTCCAATGCAGACACAGACGCCTATTTAACGCTTGATGAAGACTCACCCCGGAGTGCGATCCTCGGTCTTAGGATATTCTCGGAAGACACATTCCACGACACGGTAGGAATGGTAAAGTACGTGAATAGGAAGGGGAAAGGAAGGGCGGTTTGAATGGTACCTTTCGTGATCTCTATTTTGTTAGCTGTTGTAAGTTATCCTACTTGTTGTCGTCCTTGTTAATTTTGTACTGCTCGAAGCCGGATTCCAGATGATTGCTTCACTGTCTTTGGACTTGCTTCGCCATTGGCGACTGCCAAAACGTATTTTTGCTCAACTCAATCTAGAAATAGTTCCAAAGCCATCAAATGAGAGAGTGTCAGGCCTGTCAGGCTTTGAATAGACATCCTTCAGCCTTGTCGACCGCCATCAAAGCAGGGCGAACACTAGCACGATGTTCCCACGTGACTCTGCAAAACATACATCCTACTGGCCGTTTGCAGGTACGTATTCCCTTAGTAGCTCTTGGTCGCGACAGAACATCTCGTCGGGTTCCAGCGATATCCGGGAACACCTGAATCACAGCCCGTTTGGACTAATTCTGATTTAGGCCGGCCTCTCTCGAATCTCATCTCACGACTGTGTCAAAGCTCTTCAGCTTTCCTTTCAGTAAGGTAAGGCTTTGCCTTTGCCAGTGATCAGAGATTTCGCCGCGTACTGAGAGGCGGATGATCACGATCCTAGATGTCTAGTAAGGCAGCTATCCAATGGGCATATCTATCAGTTGTTCCTCCAGTGGCGAATAAGATACCGGCTTCTAGGCTGGCCGTCCAAAGTCAAACTTGCCTAATATCGTGCGAAATCTGAGCGATGCGATCGTCGAGCTCGACCTGACGATAAAGATATAAGCTCAGTTTGGTGAGACATCCACTATCGATTGGGTTTGAAGAAGCATTGGGCCACAACAGTACTCACTTACCGTGCATTTCGAATTCCAGCGGAACGACCGCAGAATTGAATGAGACTCATCTGGCATGCTCACCTGGATAATATCGGGACGGATTGGTTTAATTTGAACATGTCATTCATCGATGATATCAAGATTAGCTGCGAATTAGGTGTTCCGACTGCCTAGGTTGTGACAAGCAGTTGATAACCAGACATACAGCAGAGAGCAAGTCAAGACAAATAAACTCTGACTGTTTAAATAGGCATACATTCGAACATTGGTGCATTCAAAGACGTTACGCGTGGACAAGATATTAGACCAGGGAGTAAGTGCCGCAAAAGGTCCTATCCCACCTAGACGTGCGACATCTGACTGCTGCCGAATTCCAGAGATAATCAGATCGTACTATACGGACGACAGTCTCCAGGATCCAGGGGAATCCAGAGGCTCTAGCATAGACAGGCTCAGATTCGAATACGGCCGATTGTAGCCGCCCACATATTGTGTGAAGAAACAAAACTAGAGAAACGCGATACGATGTCAAGAGAGTCAGTGTGCTTCGAAAGCCCAGTAGAATAATGGTATGAGTGCATGGAACGGAAGCTGGAGACAAGCAGAGAAATCCTGTCCAAACCGCGAGAGGAGAGGTGGTTACGTAATCGTTGCCTGACATACTGCGGCAAATTCCGCGAGAACTATGCAGTTTCAAGCCACCCGTCAGCAAGTTTCCCACCCACCGACTACGACACCGATATCGACAGTACCCGCGGCGCCGGCCTCAACAGCAAGAACCCCCTCAAGGTGCGTCCCCCCGTTACTTTGCTTGCGTACTGAAGTGCTGACCTTCCGCTTTCCAGGCCTTTTTCCAGATTGTGAGTCTGTCTTTACGCGCGGAAGGAGGTCTCCCGTTCTAGGCATAGACACTAACTTGTCCTCACCGAACCTCTCGTCCTCTTCCAAACCTCCGTCTCGCTCGTGCTCGTGCTCGTGCTCTTGCATGCCCAGAAATTACCGCAATGGCCCAACGTGTCACCCTCCGCAAGCGCCAGCCGTACAACACGACGTCGAACCGCCGACGCATCGTCAAGACCCCTGGCGGCGTCCTCCGCTACCACCACATCAAAAAGCTCGCGACCGCGCCCAAGTGCGGCGACTGCGGCAGCAAGCTCAGTGGGGTGCGTCTTGCCTCGCCTCCTCCCGTTCCGCCTTGCATCCGTTTCTGATCGTGCTCTGTATCTGAACTTTCGCCCTGCGTGCGTGGGATTGGTCGTTTGTTTGTCGGGACGGAATTGACGTTGGTTTGGATGGTGCGGGAATGGATGGGATGGTCGGGCTGTTTGTCGAACCGGGTCTTTGGATGGAATAGATCCCTGCGCTCCGCCCGCGCGAGTACGCGACGATCTCCAAGACTCAAAAGAACGTCAGCAGGGCGTACGGCGGGTCGCGATGCGGAACGTGCGTGCGGTCGCGGTACGTGTTTCTCCTTTGCCCCATACTCCAGGCGCCTGTCGCCTCGTCGGCAGAAACTCATTAAGGGCTCCCCACAGCGTCGTCCGCGCTTTCCTTATCGAGGAAGCGAAGATTGTGAAGCGGGTCATCAAGCAGCAGACGTCTTCGCGCAAGTAAGCGTGTCTTGCCCCCGAGCCGTTACACCCCCCTGCTTCATACGACATGCACATCGCGATCACTTCGAGAGAGCGAGGATGGGGGTAGTCCACTTATGCTGAGATACATGCGTTTTCATTTCTATTTGTTTTTACGTTGTCGATTTCATGAGCAAGCAAGCATGCATAAGCCAAGGCTACAATACCGTATGTTGCGTTGATATGAAAGCTCTGGTAAATAGGTGCTGTGGAGCACGCTAAATGCGACATTTCTCCCCAGCAATATATTGCTACTCCCACAGCCATTTAAATTTTTGTGTTGTATCACTGACATAGTGCGAAGAATTCAGGATAGCATACATGCATGACGGTGTGTGGGATGTGCATGGCAGGAAAACCATGGAGGCAATAAAAGCAAGGCAGGAAAGGAAAACACGACAAGGTACGCTACAGGCCAACCGTTTACTCGGCGTCCACGACGGTTGTTTGCAGGCCCTGATTGTCGATATGTGAATATCTGGCATAACTGGAGGGGAATGAATGAGGTGAACAGCAAGCGCACCTTGAAGCCGCCCCGGGGAACGAAGACATGCGACGCGTAAGTGAAAAGCTTCTCCTTGGCGTTCTCCTCGTCATTGCGTTTCCCTATGAACGAAAAAAGGAAGATGAGTATACCGTTCAATCTCACATGTGACCTCCTCCTATTCTCGCGTCCTTCTGTATGCAATGTCCTCCAACCCTTCTGATTCTTGTACCTCGCGCAAGCGTGTGCAGGTGATGAAAGAAGAGACTCACGCTCGAGCTTGATGCGCACCCGGTGGGGCACGCTCTTGATGCCCTGTGCCCAGAGCGCCTGGTTGAGCTTGGGGTCAATGCGGACATCAGTGGTGCCCATGGCCTTCTGGGCGAAGGAGACGATGGCCTTAACGGCGGTCGGGGCGCGCTTCTTGAAGGACTGTCCGTGGACGTGCTTGTGCATGTGGATTGTGTACTCGCGGGTGACAACGTCCTGGAGGGCTGAGCGGGTCTTGCCGCCAGTCTAAGCGAGGACGGGTGAGTACGTGGCGAGTATGGGGTCGGAGGGGGAGGGGGTACCTTGGTGTTTTTTGTAGACTGGGGGATTCAGAGGGTCAGCGACGTCTGCGGCGGGGCCAACGGCGACAACGACGGAAAACGGGGTACGCACGACCATTTTGTCTTGAAGGGTTGCTTGAGCGTGCGGCGGGCGCGATGCGATGAGCGATGAGAGCCTCGGGCTGCTTGTTTGGGCACGCTGCCCAGACTCCGTCGCGCACACGAAGGTTCGGGTGGCTTGCTGGTGCTTTACAGTTGCTCGGCGCCCGCCGGGTCTGGTTTTGGCCGGGTTTGGGCAGCCAGTCGCGCAGGTGTCTGGGTGTCAGGTGCGCGGGCGCGCACGTGGTAGCGCACCTGGCATTGAGTCTCCCAAAGGCTTCCCTTTGTCCCTCTGTCCGTCGTTCCCTTTTGTGCTCTCGATGGCACAATGCATTTCTTTCCCTTTATCATCCACGCAAGATATCCTCGCGTCCAGGTACAGGTACGCTCTCGGGGCGAAGAATACCTCATCACTGTGGTCATCGGGATATCCAGGGAAGCAGACGTACATACGTACATACTGTCACACAGTTCGTTCTTTCCCTCGGGCGTATAAAAGCCTACGCGATGTCTGTCTCCGACTTTCCCTTGTCCCAGCACTCGAGTCTTTTGCGCCCTCCGCTCCTCTCGCTTCCTGTAGCCGCGCTTGAGTCAACTACGCTCGTTGCTCCGACCCCTTGTTGACCGGCTATCGACCACCGATACTCTCAATATGCGATTCACTCTCGCTCTTCTTGCTGTGGCGTCAGCCTCTGTAGCCTCTGCGTCCCTTCTTCCGCGTCAGGCCAGCTACCCCAGTATGTCGAAGTCTATCCCCGATTATCTGAGATGCAGAACTGACCATCTCGTCTGGTCAACAGACTGCGCTATCCCTTGTCTGACCTCTGCCGACTTTGGTTCATGCTCGCAGACAGATCTCCAATGCCTCTGCACGTCGAGCTCATTTATCTCCTCCACCACCCAGTGCATCGAGTCCTCATGCACTGGCAGCGATCTTGACCAGGCTGAGGCTGCCGCTCGCTCTGGTTGTGCCGCCATCGTGCGTCACCTCTTTCCTTTGCTCTACACCAGTCATGGGAGATGCTGATGAGTGATCTGCATCATAGGGTATCACACTGACCTCGTCCGTCGCGCCTGCTACCTCGAGTGCTGCCTCGTCTGCTGCTGCATTCGCTACCTCACCGTCGGCAACTGCTGCAAGCTCTGCTGTATCCAGCGCTGCCTCGTATGCATTTTCCTTTTTCTTGCACTTTGTCTCCCACTGACTGACTTTTCGTCAGGCCTTCGGCATCGACCTCGAGCAGCGGTGCGATCGCTAACGGGCTCAACATCGTAGCGGGTGCCGTCGCAGCTCTCGGCGCCGTCATCGCCGCACTCTAGACGTTATTCCTCGTTACGGGCCCCTTCATGTTTTGCGCATACCCACGCATAAGCATATCTATATCTATACCTTCGTTCTCTAGGGCCTCACGCATGCCTCTCTGCTCCACCGCGCATCCTCTTCTTGCTCTTATCTTTACACTTATACATTTCGTCTTCCCTCGCGAAAAAGTGCCTGGTTCGTTTCCTCGGCCTGGATACCTTACCCTCGGTTTCCCGTAAACCGTCGTTGTGGCGGATTTTGTTCCGGTTTTGGATGGATGTGTATCTATATCACCCGGTTTGCATCACTCATGGATCATGGGATCTTCTCTTCTCTTGGTCTATGTGAGGCCTGGTAATGTGTGTGAAGAAAGGGTTCCCCGAGGTTCCCAGGCTGACTTGGAGTTGCTAAGGGGCCTTTTTACTATTCGCCCCTGGCTACCACTGCTTGCAAGGCCGACTGTGCATCCTTCCCGTTCTTCGTTTCGTGGAGTTCCGTGCAAGTACGGAGCCCATACTCTGTTCGATGAACCCCACGCGCTCGATGGTGTCCTGCAGGGCAGAGGGCATATATATATGACTCCAAGCGTCGTCGGCGGTCTTGTCCATTGACAGCCTCTCAACAGATCCGGAAACAAACTTAGCACCCTGATCGCATGCAGAGCCCCATCGACCGTATATAATGTCTCACCAGGTCTCACCTCACCATTCCCCGCGCGACCCCGGACTTCCCTCGCTCTTTCGTCAACTCCTCGTACCGTGAACCATAGTAAGCCAACGACCTCCAACGATAGTATACAATGCGCGCTTCCTTCGTTCCACTCCTCCTGGCTGCGGCGGCGTCCGCATCGTTGATGGAACGCCAGTTGTCGTCGCTCCCCAGTACGCTCTTTCATCTCCTCTTCCTCTCCCCGATAGTACCTTGCCACAATCTCAGCCTTATGAACATTCTTAATCAACTGACGTTGCGAGCTTTAGCGTGCGCCCTTCCCTGCCTCGTCTCCGCCAACGTTGGCTCCTGTAGCCAGACCGACATCGCCTGTCTCTGTTCATCGTCGTCCTTCGTCTCCTCCCTCGCGACCTGCATCGAGTCCTCCTGCACTGGTGCAGATGTGCAGACCGCGATCAGCCAGGCGACGGCCTTGTGCGCCAACAACGTGCGTCCTGCCTTCTTTCTGCGCGGGCGTGGTCCATGCGTGCGGGGGTACGTACTGACGAGTCGGCTCTGCAGGGCGTGACCCTCTCGTCCGAGGCCATTGCATCCGTGACGTCGGTGGCTGCTGCTAGCGCGAGCGCCTCTGCCTCTGCTTCCGTGACCGGCACTTCAACCGTCTCTTCAGCTGCGTACGTCCATCGTCTGGTTCTTGCCCGCTTCACCGTGTCTCATTTATACGACCTCACAATCTTAAAAACAAATCCCTTACACAGTGCCTCTACGTCGTCCTCCTCCAGCGGCACCCTCTCCAACGGTGCCCATGGTGCCCTCGCCCTCATCGGCGCCGTCGCAGCGCTCGCGTTGTGAGCACGTTTGATCGCATTGTTTCTCTCATCGACAGGTGTCTGCATTAGCGTTCATATATCATAAATTATGTGACACACTCCCGCCTGCGCTTGTATCCGCATCATTCTGTTGTATCGTATGCCGTTGTTGGCGCCCATGGACGTATCGATTTGTTTATTCGGCCCTATTCGCTTGGCAGTTAATCGTTCGACCCCCGCCGCCGCTTGGGAGTGAGTGACATACAGCGGGATGCACTGTCCCATGAGCGGCGTTAATCACTTGATAGGCTAGTTGCATCCCAAGTGACAAGTGCGAGCGGAACAAGTGCGTTGACTGCCGTCTTTCTTTCGACTGGAAGTGGTGTTGGTAAACTGTCCGAGAATGACTGTTAGACGGGAGCGGCGGTGTCTCGGTGAGTGCTGTCGATGTCGATGTTGTCCCCCATCCAGTCCTTACATCCATCCAGCTATATGCGCATGAAGGGCCACGTTTAAGGGCCACACTCACTATGGGCCCACTTCATAGTGCTATCTATCAGCACCCGTCGACGTCCTCTGAATGCGCGACCTCGTTTCGGGCAATCCCGCCTATTGAGTCTGCGGACCCTGGCGCCTGTGTACCTGTCAGGTCGAAGCTTTGCTGTGGCTCGCCGATTGTGCGTTCTGGCTTTTCCGCCTCCAAGCATCTCCAAGCCTTCAAGCTTGAAGCTTCAGGCCCTGTGATCGATGATCGAACCACCTGTGCGGGCTCCGAGCTATCATCTACTAGTATGTGTTGCCCTGTGTTGCCCTGGACGTCTGGACATTGGCTTCTCACGGAACTCGCGGAACTGGACCATATTCCGAGGTTTCGTTGCTGGTTTTGTTGTCAGCACGAAGAAGGCCTGCGCTTTGGCAACGCGTCGACTGGTTTGGATGCGTGAGGAGATGTGTTCCGTGTAGTCCTTCGGCCTGATATACTTACTGGAGCATATTTTGATTTTCAGAATATCCTGCCCCGTGGACGATGCGAGATCGCAGCTGCTGTAGAATGCTAAGACTCGACACATCATCGAGGATATATTGCGTACGTTGATGCATCGTGACTTTTGGCTTGTGTTTCTGCTGTGCATGTCTGCGAATGGCGTGCTCAGCCCTTGCTGACCTCACACGGGGAGAGGTCATTCCCGTATATCAAACCTCTGCCGGTGTGGATATCCAAGATTTGCCTTTCCCAGATCAACATGGGGCTCCACAACCACGTTGACATCGCCGCCTCGTAGAAATCTCCATTCATTGGTTCTCGAACACCTTCGCAACAGTCTTCTTCACGCATCTGCTTCAATCTACCATACAACACGTCGTGTTCTATCAGCCTCTACTCAGAAAAACTGTCTTTTGTGCAAAGTCGGCCATGGAGACTAGGCTCTACCTGCCTCGACGTTCCCGTCTCTCACTTACACATACCCCTGTGTGAATGTTTGAAGCCTGACTGATTGATCGACCCCGCCTCTCCACCCACCGTTCTTTCGGGAGGTATATCACTGGTATATCCCCCGACCTCCGAAATCGCACATCCCTCGTTGCGACGCCCCCGTATGCATGCGGAGGTTTGCGGGGCCGCCAAGTTCCATCATCGTCGTCAAGCAGCGCAGGCAAGCCGTTCGGCGTCATTCGGCTTGGCTTAGCAACAGCACAGTCGAAGCTGGTCGGAGGCGCGACCTTTCGTATTGACTGGCCTTGTGCACTGGGAGGCGACCAAGGGTGCCGCATCGCAGCAGGTATATCAGTGGTATATTGAACGAGATTGAGCGATCAGCGTCGAGTCGCGAGGCTGGCCAATGCGCGAGGCTAGAGCGATGCTTCGCCGGGAAGATGTACGAATCGTATGAGGGCTCGAACAATATCTGAATATCTCACTGCCAATGTTCAGACTTTTTGCAGTTGGGAGGCGGAACGGATAGCGGGAAAGGATTGGAAAGTCGAGTCAAGGCACCAGTTTTCATCACGGTCTCGGTTATCTGCGACGCCGCTCAAAGCGCTCGTCGCAGAGTACCTATCCCTACATGCACATCCTCCGTGACTTTGCATGTCATGCTATATCATGACGACTTTTTCTTCTTCTTCTCATGGTACCAGTAGTGCTACTTACGATGCAAATAACTACGAGGCTTGCATATGATAAGGTCGTCGTGGCAGCTAAACCACCACAGGCAGGCTCCGGTTCGGAATTCTCGATAACACGGGCTCTACCAAAACACAGCGGTCAGTGCCTCGAACCATCGTACGTCTGCATCTGTCTGCACCCGTCTCTCAACGTTCCCGACGTGAGGTCCTGGATTGTGTGGGCCTTCCTTGATCTTTCGACCTCCAGTCGGATTTTTGACACTTAACAGGAACATGCCGCGTTTTACCACATTTCTTATGTCGGGATCGACAGGGATCGACACGATGTTACTACGGGCGATCGGCATATGATCATGCTAGTGATCGGCCAAACGAACACAACGGAATGCAAGACGCTTTCCAATGGCGTTCTCTTCATAGCTATTCAGAACGACGGAACGTCGATATCTACGACAAGTGGCTTGAAGAGTCAAGACCATCAACAGAGTGTCATTGGTCAAGGTTCTTGGCAAGCCTACGGCAGCAGCTCGTCCGCAAGTTAGCTATTAACCCTACTATCTGGCCCTGTTTACCGATCACATGTTCTCTATTTGAGAGCGTCGCGTATCCATCAATGTTATCCGCTGGAGGCATTGTGAAATTCTCCAGATTTGATCTAGCGAAAGCGGAATCTCAGGACGTCAGGACGATGATACATGACCGAAGCCTTCCATTCGAACGGAGTGGTCGCTGTAGCACTGCGGTATAACTACCCTCGCGAGAGCGATGTGCGACTATCTCTTTCTGGTCCACGCCCTGCGCCGTCTGTTTCGCTTGCACATCCGCCGTGTTGATACCAAGCGTTGACGATGGCGCACAGTGCTACTCCGCCTCCAGCAAACCCCAGCTATGAGGACATCGTATGGCTGTGAGTATGGATCCCATCATACGCTTTTCCATAGAGACTTACCTTCTCAATCGTGTCGGCGATCAGGGCTGGTCCAAGGCTGTTGGGCCTCGTTTTCAATTGGGGCTTGCTCGGAGTGCTCACGGCGCAGGTGTATATTTATTTTCTCCATTTTCCCCAGGACCGGCGTGTCCTTAAGGGCTTTGGTGCGTTCAATTCGGTTTCTGTTGAAGCGACTGCTTGAACTGTTTTTATTTTGAATACAGTTTATTCTGTATATATTTTGGACATTGCACAGACTAGCGCCGCGACCTATGACGCTTTTCAATGGTTCGTGCTTGGTTGGGGGAACATCACCTCTCTGTACAACCTGTATACGGGTTTCTTGAACGTCCCAATTATCTCAAGTATTGTTGGCGGTGCTGTACAGGTGCGTACTGTTGCACTCGATCTATTTCTATGTTCCCGATAGTTACGAGAGGACGTTCTACGACAGATATTCTTTGGATGGCGTATTTGGGCGTTGTCGGGTTCATACTCCATCTTCGGTCTGATCGTACTCCTCGCTGTGGTCCAACTCGGTGGCGGCATAGGCGTTGCATATTTTGTAAGAGATTCTCTAGTTGCTGCTTTGGGTGATAGACTGATGAGATGGCTTTTGGCAGATATATAATGATCCAAGCGAGGTTACTCGCTCGCCAGGACTTGTTTACGCGGTAGGAATTCGTCTCGGCGGAAGTGCGCTCGTGGACGTGGTCATTGCAATCGTAATGACATACTACGTGCGTGTCTCGTGTCTCCCCACCCGCCTTCCTTGCTGAAGATATCCGTGTTTCATAGCTAATCCAAAGTAAGGAACGAGCGCAAGGGCGCATGAACAACATCCTCACTCGACGTGCGTATATATCCACATCACCCAGCTATTTGTACTAACGCTACGGACGGGAACAGTCGTGCGGCTTACGATCGAGACCGGCACTATAACAGCCATCGCTGCAATCGTCGACCTTGTCTTCTTCCTGAAGGCACACAACGCGATGCACCAGGTCACCGGCGTCACTCTCGCCAAACTGTACAGCAACACTCTCCTCGTCATCTTCAACAACCGCCTTATCATGATCGCCGACCCCTCATTCGAGCAACCGCCGAGTGTCATTCGCCCCTCTGTCGTATCATCCAACGCCCGAGGCGAGAGTCCTGTGCCTTTGAGCGAGTTCAGGATCACGAGGCACACTAAGAGTGATTCAGACTTTCTGAAGAGCGCGACTCCAAGCTTTTGGAACCAGGAGAGCAGGACGCGCGAAGTGAAGGAATACCACTTACCAGTAGCTGGGCCGCTTGAAGTGAGTTGCCAGTTTGTCGGGAGAGACCAGCACTGACAAGGTATTATAGCCGCGACGATACATGGGAGCATAGAGTACATGGCGTATCCATGGTCGCACGACAGGGAACACTTCCCCCGACGCCTTCAAGCGTTTCATTGATTTCCCCCATCCGTATATACGCATAATCTGTCGCAACTCTCCTTCGCGGTTTCTTTCTTTTGTATCAGTGTGTGTATTTATTTGTAGGACTGCTTTGTAGTATCGTGACTAGTTTACGCCGGTGTCGCTCGTTAGCATATATAGTTTTGGATTCGTAGTAGGGATACGAACAGAACGCAATCATTTCAATTTAGTATATACGTAGTCTAACCAATGTCTACCTTGCCACAACATCTTCGTCGAAACCCGATAACACGCAATGAGCAACAGGAAAAGGTTTAGTAGACCGGAAGCCTGTCGAATGTCAACATTGACGCCTTCATAGGTCTGCCGTATGTTGGGAGAAATCGCAGGAGGATGTGACGAAATCTGCGGTTCGTGGAGGTGGTGGAGAGTAAATGTAGTCCTGTGCAGTCTCCCAAAGATGACTCTCCTTCAGCTTCAGCCTCCGACGTGCACGATCTCCGGGTGCGCAGGTCCCAGGATCCAACGGCCCCACTATTATCAGTCAATTGAAGTTCGTCAGCTTTGGGTTTATTGCAAGTCCATCCCACTCATCTCACAACAAAGAGCGTCGATCCAGTAGGGACCAATTCATGAGTGCCAGCACAGTCACCGTCTGAGCACCCCGACCATTTCGACGTTCAATATCTTCCTGCAGTCGGAGCGCAATCAGCTCGTAAGAGATCGTGTTCCAAAGCCCCACCCATCGAGAGCAAAGCGTAGATCGTCACAAGGCCTGAGAACAGTCCCACTCGGACACGGGCGTAATATTATCCATTAATCCAAGGATACAAGCTCGCTAGAAACGTCCGTAGTGATAGAACACCTACGCATCCTTTACCTTTTCGATCTTCCTCTTCTTCGCTTTCTTGACGGCTTTCTTCGTCGGGGACACGTCTTGCTTCGCAGCAGCAGACGACTCGATATCCACGCGCGCGAGGAACAGGAGGATGTTCATCCCTAGCGCTCCCAGTGCGCCAAAGGAATAGCCGATGACGGCGGCGTATGCAGGGGTCAAGGGCCAAGCCTATGATGGACAGTTGACGGAGCGGTAGAGAACATGATGCAGGTGGTGAGAAAGCCAGACGGAGAGACGGGGACGGAGACGCACCTGCCAAGGTCTGTCCCAATCAAGACCAATTGGGATTACACCTGCCCACGCCCCGAGGAAGGTACCGATAGCAGGGTAGACGAACGCACGTTCCGGAGCGGTTCGTGGACTGGCGGATGCGTCAGCGTCGGCGCTCAGTTGAAGAGATGAAGAACCAGAATCGCACGCACGCAAATTCAGCGAAGAGCCGTATCCACGTGTCGTTCTGAACGACCGCCGCTGACGAGCCAGGTTGGGATTCTGCGCCGGTGATGAAGGGGAGGAAGAACGGCAGGATGGGCGGACCCAGACAATACGCGGGGATGAAGGTCGTGAGGATCGAAAGAAGCAGAGAGAGGAGGTAGGTGTGCGCGAGATGCCTGGCGCCGCGGGAGAGCGTGAAGCACGGCACGCGGGATGTAAGGATTTGACGTACGTGGTTATGGGTGCGCTAAAGAGCACAAGCACGAGATGTATCGCGACGGACGCGTAGAGCGTGAACAGCGACGCATTCCGGATATCCTGCGCACGCGCAATCCGAGCAGTCTGATTGAACATGCTGCACACACGGCCCAAGGTCATCGCTATGGACTCACTGTGCCCTTGCCCTCGCCTTTCCTAACCAGTCGAGCCTCGACGCCAGCCCCGCCCATCCCTCCCTCCCTGACCCATTCCCTGACCCACCCACTCCACCACCCCACCAGCAACGCGGAGCCAGTTACGATCCATGCGAGTGTGACAAGCGGCCTAGAGGTGATAGGGCCCAGAAAGGGGTGCTGTGGTCTGTCGAGGCCGCGCTCGAGGGGCGGCAAAGGAAAGAGCAGTGAGGTCTGCGGGAGAAGAAAGAGGGAAGCGGAGAGCACGAGAGTGTGGAGAATTATAAATGGGGGATATTGTTTGGGGATGGATAAAGGAGAGTATGGCGTCGGTGATGACATTGCTTTGCGGACGCAGAAGATGCGGCGAGACTCTTAGATCTAGCAAACAACCTTGAGCCTCAACACCTCACACACAAGGCAGCTATTTCTGAGATCTCAACAAGGGTCCGGAATGGGCAAAAAATGATATGAGTGCTGACCGGTATGATGATTAGACAAATATGCCGGAAGAGCTAGCACGAGCGGGGTAAATGCAATCTCAGCGTTGAGTTTTCCGCCTCGCGTGGTCAGATGGATTGGTGTTCAGGTAAACCCTGTATACGTCATTGATCTATCGACGTGGAGAAACTGATTTCTCTATGACATGCAGGTAGTAAGCATCGCCTGAGCGATAGAACAGCCTTTTTCATTCGAGGTTGTCATAGGTCCCTCTCTAGCGGCTGCAATCCACTGTCAATGCTCAACAACGTGTCGCGTGGATGCTGACAGCGTATGTTCTTCTTGAAACAATTCGCGCTTAAAGCCCAGCGCAAGCCAGTAAGGAGTTGCCATATTTTTAATTGACCCTTCCTCAATGACATCGCTTCAGTGATTACAGTAAGGTGTAGGTTGTTCTTGGCGAAATGGAGCAGACGTTGACATTGTGATATGCAGCATACGACATGACAAGTTCCTTGCGCGGAGTCTTCTCAACCCTCCTTTCCAGTGATCAGTGGCGTATCACTGTATAGGGAGTCTAGGGACTGTGCATTCATATACTCGCGCGAAATATGACCATCTGCGGTGTACAGAGGTGCAGCGGTGCCCGGAACAATGGTCTGCGTCGTCGATAAACTCTGCGTTCTCTGAACTCATATAATTTACTGATCTCATGTCTGTCATCAGTGTTTGCGACCAACTTACAGCCCCTCGGCCTGATTTCTACCAGTGAAAGCACTGCGTCTGTCAAAAGACCTCGTCCCTGGCGAGAGCCGCTACGATCGCGCCACGCCCCGCCGCACTACCAGTGCCATTTCCTGCCATTTCACTCGCCTCGTGAGCAGAGCAGGTCAGAGAACGACGAGCCGCGCGCGAGGATGGAGATGGAGACCCGTAATATGGCCGAGGAGACATCGCGTAGTCCTGTTCAGAACGTCCCCGTCCGTTGTATATACTACTCAAGGCACTGCATATTTGAAAAAGCTTGTGCTGTGTTTGTTGACGAAGCCGGGGTGGCCGAGCGACTGAGAAGGCCAATTCTGTGCAACACAGCCACGAGGGCCACGCTCGTTGCGTGAGCGCTATTGTTGTCTCACTCTGCATACTCTCATCAGGTCGCGGGCGCCCATCTCTTCACGAACCACACCAACGAACGGACGCACGACTTCTCTATTTCCTTCCACTTCATCCACCTCGTCAACGGAGCGTAAGAGCTAACTCAGAACAATGAATAATACCAGGCCACCTCCGCCAGTAGGTGAGTCGCCGAGGCACCCCCAGGGTGATTGCTGCGTACAGAATGCCCATGACTTTGTTGTGGCCTGCAGGGAGCCCTCCGTCATACGCCTTTGTCGGCCGTGTGTATCGCTCGAACCTCAGACCAGTGGTCGTCATCCGTGAGTGCCTTTAGCCCTCCATGTCAACGAGGCCAGTCGAGTTGATCGCCGTGTGATAAGTCGCTTTGATGAGTGGCGTATGGTCCATCGCAAGGTATGTTCGTCTTGTTCGAGTTCGGGTCGAGTGCGTGTACTGACCCGGATAATGGCTTTAGCGCGGTAGGTTACCTTCGTGGCTCACGAGTGTCTGTGGCTGATTCGCGCAAAGATCGACCTGTTCCGCGAGATCAATATTGACAAGCACCGTAAGTGTGGTGTACTGAGTGCTCGAACCCGCCTGACTTTCGGCGCAGAGGGCTTCCCCAAGCTCGCCACGTTCTCCATCGTGCTGGGCGCGATGTACGCAGCAGTGGCTGCCATCGAGTTCTTCGGCGCAGCTGCGGCGGGCCTCGTGCGTTCCACTCTAGTTCCCTCCTCGTCCCAACAAGTCTCATGGTCCGTGCAACACCTGTAGCAACGCCTCCCCCTCGTCCGGCTCTACGCGTTCCTCAGCGTCCTCAGCGCCCTCGTAACCATCGTCGCGGGATTCGTCACCGTGGTCACACACTTCACTTTGAAGGTCCGTGGCTTTTGGACTTTTGGGCTTACACCGTGGCTCAGACTGTTCTGTCGTTCCTAGAACGACATGATCAACGAATGCACGAATCTGACGACGGGCGCGGACGTGGACTTCCGCTGGGGTCTCTTTGGCCCCAGCGTCCACGAGCAACTCACCCAAGAGCAAGCAAACGATTGTACGAGATCTACATCGCCCCTTCCCGGCGTGAATCCTGACCCCCTTGACTGTTCCACCATAGGGTGTCACAGGGCCTGGGACCACGACTCCTGGTCCGACATCGTCTCTCTGCTCCTCGTCATCGGTAACTCCAATCCCCATCGCTTCTCCTTACTCCCCTCTGACGTTTCTCTATCCACCAGTCTTGATGGGCCTCTTCTCCGCCATCGCGTTCGCGTACTACCACCAGCTCCTGGACCCCACCTCCCCCGCGAACGCCTTCCGCGCGCCGACAAACAACCTCGGCGCGGGCACGGGCGCGTACTACAACCCGACGTACGTCTCCTCGCTCCCGCACCTCGGGTACAACGACGGCAACGACAACGGCGGCGGCGGCTATAACACCACGTACGCCCCGTACGGTGCCGCGCCGCAGTACGCGCCCCCGCCGGGCCCGCCGCCGCAGTTCCGCGAGCCGGAGCCGGACGACGGGAAGCTCCCGGAGTACGTCGGCGCGGGGTACGGCGTCGGCGCGCATGGGACCGGGGGTGCGAAGAAGGGCGACGACCCGTTTGCGGATTTCGAGGAGCACGACGTGACGAGCCGCCCGCGGCCGGGCGAAAACGAGACGTTCCGCTGAGGTCGCTGTTGTTGTTCTTACTCTGTCTTTCTTGTGTGTACTAGGCCCGTGTGTTGTATCAGTAGGGTCGAGTATGCTGCTCTTGGACTCTCTCTGTTTTACCCTCTTTCTTGAATGGAGAACGAAGTCGGACGGAGGCCATGTGAGCGATGCTGCTGTATTAACACGCGCGAATATTCCATAGTGTCTATGCCCGTTGTGTGTGCTGTTTGTGTGTGCGTAAGTATCATACGTAGTGCCCAGTCCGTCCCTCCCCTGTCGCGCGCCGAGCCAAACTGCGTGCTCACGGCGACACCTTGAAGCTCCGGTCGTGCACGACCTCGACCGCCTTTGGGTTCGTCGACTTTTTCGGCATGCGCTCCCAGATGGGGTCCACGTCCGGCCCGTCGAGGTCGCCCGCGCCGTCCCAGCCCCAGCACCACACTGCGCGCGGGGAGCGACATGAGCGACCATTTCAGTATTTTTTTCGAATTGTCGAGACGCGTGGGGCTCACCGTGCTCGGGTCCGGGGACAAAGTCCACCGCGTCGCCCTCCTCTTCGGTGAACAGCCGATCGTGGGGGCCGAACCACGACCTGTCCTGCGGGTCCGTGCGCGGGTTATCCGGCAAGCCGCCGAGGCGCACGTACCCGCGGATGGAGGTCAGGTTGCGGCGCGCGGGGTGGATGATATCGAACACTTTCTGCTCGCCAACGGACGGATGAGCGACGCGGGGGGCGGATTCGAGCGGGCGTGCGAGAGAGACTCACCCGGTCGTAGGCGAGCTTGACGCGCGGGACCATGAGGATGCGGCCGTAGCCGGCCTCCCAGTAGTCGTTGCAGATGAGGGAGCACTCGGACGCGGAGCACTCGCCGTCGACGATGCGCGCCATGCGGAAGCGGACGTGCGGCGGACTGTAGAACGGCGCGGGGTCGAGGACGGCGATGCCGTTCCAGCAGGACTGTACCTGGATCGGGAGGTGTCGCTGGAAGCGCTCCGCGGAGGGCGCGTGGTGGAAGATGCTCTCGAACGGCGCGTTCTCGAGCGCGGTGCCGTTGATGTCGCGCGCGACCCAGTTATCGTAGAAGACGGGCGCGCCGATCTCGTCGTGGTACATGTAGTCCGCCGCGCAGGTGATGCCCGCGTTGTTCCGGCGGCTCTGCCAGATGAGCTCGAGGAGGTCGTCGATGCAGGGCAGGATGTCGTTCATGAAGATGATCGTGTCGAAGTACTCGCCCTCGGTGTCGCGCAGCTCGTGCAGCGGCACGAACGCGGCGTTGCGCACCTCGGCGAGGTACTCGATGCGGTGGTTGAACGCGCCGCGCGTGCGCTGCGAGGTGCGGATAGTGACGCGCATGCCGACGCTGCGCGTGAGCGCATCGAAGATGCGGAGCAGCGCCTTGGTCTGGTCGGTCGAGCCGTTCTCGTAGATGGACACGAACACGTTGTGGTAGCCGAGCACCGACGCGACGCGGAAGAGCGTCGCGAAGAGGTCCGGGATGACGTCGAACGAGTTGTACAGGTTGATGGCGAAGAAGTACTTGTGCTCGCCGCCGGCGAGGTCCCGCCGGTGCTTGTAGTACGTCGCCTCTTCCTGGCTCGGGTGCGGGATGGGGTCGAGCCCGCCGAGCCCGAGGTCCATGAGCCAGTTGGAGGACGGGGAGGGGTTGTGCCCGATAAGGGGGGCGTAGCGCTCACGCGCCTGCTGAGCATAGAGCGGGTTTGCGTTGCGGGTGCACTCGCGCGTGTAGTGCGGAGACAGGGAGGTGAGAAGCTCGAGCACGCGATAACGCTGCTCGATCGTCGGAAGCGATACGGAGGGGCGCGAGGTGGAGGAGGACTTGTAGGATGGTGCGTGGCTGCCTCGCCAGGAAGTGGACGAGGACGTGGACGAGGAGGAGAAGGTGCGCGCGAGGAGCGCACCGATGCAGACGCCGATGATGATCGCTACGGGTGTCGGGATGCGTCGAGCGACGCCGAAGAGGGTGCTTTTGGGTTGCATTATGGCCGCTTGGTGTGCGAACACCTGGTACGAGATTGAGTACGCCGAGGAGGTTCGTAGACGCAAGACTGACCCGGTAGAGCGTTGTTGGTGTTTATGACAATTTATGAAGCTATTGGACCGGGACGCACTGTCACGAGATGGCAGGGGTGTTGCGGGTGGCTAATGAGAGCGAACGTTGAGCCAAGCAGTGGAAGCCTGGCCAGATGTCTGTCGAGGGGTTGCAGCAGCGCGTCAGTTATTGTGTCGTGGAAATTGAGGTGACATACCATGCAATGTTTGTTCGGAGGCCGGCTGATGCGACGGCGGCTGCACCGGACCAGAGGGCTGTGTGCGACGGATCAGAAGCGGGTGAATGGTTGAGAAAGCGGGACGCACGGAGGAGAGGGACGGAGGAGGTGGAGGAGAGGGACGAGCAGTGACGGAGCCAAGAGACCGAGCTTGTCTCCCGCGGTCCCGGTCAAAGCCCGCTCTCCCTAACCGCAACGCCAGCGCTGGCGGCTTGTCTCTGAACACCATTCCGCTCTCTTTTCCCTCGCCGCCGCCGCCGTCGTCGTCGTCGTCGTCTTCGCCCCCTCCGCTCCTCTCGCATAACATGCAGAGACGGGCAGGCAAGAATCTAGCACACATTGCTCCACCGACACCCGGCCTCGACCCCTCCATGATTTCCGCCTCCAACGAAAAGCCCCCCTCTCGCCTCAACCAGCGCACCTTCGGCGTCACAAATCGCATATGGCTCATCATATCCCTCTTCCTCTCCCTCATCGCCCTCACTCGCTTCATCTTGCCCTCTAGTCCCGCCGACAACTACTACTACCGCCACCACTCGCACTCCTATGCCGCACACCTGAAGCCGACAAACTACCTCAACATTTCGGAGGAGGTTGGCGAAACCCCGTTCGAGTTCTGCCCCACGTTTGGTCCTGGCGATGAGCTTGCCGCGAAGCATGGTGCTCTGGCAGTGTCAAAGAGCTGGTTGCATCTTGGCAGTGGGGCGCGCGTGCAGAAGGTCATTCACAAAGCAATGCTCGGCCAACCCGTGACTATCAGCATCATTGGCGGCTCAGGTCAGTGTCTACGCAGCATCCCTAGCAGTGTCTTTTGGCGGAGGAGAGCCCACGGCGCATTCCTGGTATCCATCTCCACTTCGCTTCTTGCCCCTTTTGGACCGTCATATCCCCCCTTCATGAGGACTTTCCTCATCATGTCCTGTGCTGACCCCATTCACTAGTATCGGCATGTCACGGCGCCGGCGACGACCCCATAGCATCCGACTGCTATCCATCCCGTTTCTTCAACTGGTGGAACAGCATCTTCCCCCACCCTGCCTCCGAGCTCACCAACGGCGCCATGCGGCGCACCAACTCGGAGTATTTCTCCTTTTGCAACGCCCACCACTTACCAGACTACACCGACCTCGTCGTCATCGAGCTCGACACCGACGACAGAGCGTAAGGACCCGTCTGTCACTCCGTCCGCTCCGTGCTTTTGGCTCACCAGAAACGCCGCTCTAGTGATCGCTCGACGCTCGACAACTTCGAGCTCCTCGTGCGCTCCATCCTGCTCCGCCCAGACTCGCCCGCCGTCATCATCCTCGGCCACTTCAGTCCCCAAGTCCACCAGCAAAACGGCTTCGCGGGGCCTGACCACTGGCACAGCGTCGTGTCTCAATTCTACGACGTCCCCCACATAAGGTACGTACGCGTCGGCGAGAAGCTCATAGTACGCCTTCTCTAACGCGTGGCGATCCAGCACGAAATGGGCCCTGTACCCGATGTACATCACCTCGCCCGCGTCTATCGACCGCTACTACACCGACCCCATCCTCGCCAACCCCGCCGGCCACGCGCTCATCGCCGACATCCTCATCGCCTACGTACAGTCCCAGATCTGTGTCACCTGGTCCGCCGCAACCGGCAAAGCGTACGAGGGCGGCGGCAGCACGCTCCCCGTGTACTACGCCCTCGGCGGTGGCGGCGACGCGCCGAAGCAGCCGACCGACGCGCGTGGGCTCTTCGGCGGCAAGGGCCTCCGCAAGGGCGACGTCGGCGCCGACGCCGTGAACGCGGACGCGGACGCAGACGACGGCGCGGGGCAGCATGCGCTGCCGCTCGTCGGCGCGGGCCCGCTCGCGGCGCAGCTACGCGTCCCGCCGGCGCGGATCGCTTCGCTGCCCGCCGACCTGCAGGCGCGCGGGCTCGAGGAGGTCGCGCCGGCGTGCGTGTCCGCGAACGACCTGATTAACCCGCTCCCATCGTCACTCTTCTACGGCTCGGGCTGGCACGCGTTCCACCCGCCCGCAGGGAGCGCGGCGGCGGGCGCCGCCGCGGGGAGCACGGCGCACTACTTCTACTCGACGCTGCCGACGAGCCGGCTGCGCGTGCCGGTTACGGTCGGCGCGGGCGATGTCGGGGTGTATTACGTGCGGGAGCCGCGGACGGTCGTTGGGGCGGGGAGCGAGGTCGAGTGCTGGGTGGACGACAACTTCGCGGGGCGCAAGGAGATCGCGAACGCCGCGGACGTTGCGGAGAGCACGCCTGCGTGAGTGCTTCTGCCCCGTTTTCTGCCCGCCGTTCGTTGCTGACCAGGCGCGCGGCGCACGCGACAGGCTGGAGATCATCGACCGCCTCGTCGCGCGGGGCTCGCACTTCGTCGAGTGCCAGCTGATGGGCGAGGAGGGGCAGGGCGTCTCGCCGTTCAAAATCATCGGCATATTCACGACGTGATCGCGGTCCCTCGCCGCCTCGGTTCGGCCCGGTCATGGAGGCAGAGGCGGTGAGCCTCTCACGAGGCTCGGTGGGCTGCTGGGCTGGATTTGCTTAGAGGGGGGAGGACGAGGACGGTGCCGGCGGGCGAGTTTTCACATTGTCTGTCAGCGGGCGCGCGCCTCGCCTTGCGTGGCGCGCGCGCGCGCGAGTGGGTACATGGCGACGGCGTGTATAGTATAATATCACCAGCGTTATCGTAGAGTACGTACGTGGGGTCCGCGTGCGCAAACGGGATCCGTATGCGCGTCGAATAGTTCATTTAGTTGTCGGAAGTCTCTCTTGGATGTTGGATGCGGTATTTCTCATCTTGGCTTGTGCACCGTTGTGCGTGTGTGGATGGCTTGAGTTTAGGCCTTAGAGGCAAGGCGCTCGCCACTGGCGAAACGCGTCTGTGGCGCGCCCGTTGGCCGTCCAGACTTAACTTGGAGAAGCCACTTCACGAACGGTGACAATAACACGAAATGCACACAAACTTAAGCTACGCAACCACCCACGGCAGCCGCACAGGCTGCACGCCACCCGCGTCCGGCTCCGGCTTCGGCGCCAGCACCGGCGGACTCGTTCTCGTTCTCGGACTCTTGCTCGGACTCTTGCTCTTGCTCGTGCTCGTGCTCGTGCTCGTGCTCTTGCCCGTGCCCCCGATGCGATTATTCCAAATCTCGCGCATCTTGCGCCCCGAGATCTCCTCCGCCCGGCCGTCCTCGTACCGGACCCCGAAGTACTCGCCGCGCCGGATGCTCGCCCCGTGGTCGACGACGGTGCAGGTCTGCGCGACGTTCGTGCCCGCGTCGATGTACCGGATGGACGTGTCGAGGAGCGCGTCTGCCCAGCGGACGGCGTCCGAGTCCGCGCGCGACACGCGCGGGGTGGCGGTGGCGGGGGTGGTGGCGGGCTTCGGGGGAGTGGCAGTGGGGGCACGGGCGAGGTCGTTCGGGGGCGACGGCAGCGGCATCGGGGCCTTGGGGTACCTGCGAAACGCGCGTGATGGTCAGTGGGGCCGTGAGCCACTCGCTGCCACTCGTCAGCGCGAGCAGACACGCACGCTCGCGCATGGGCCGCGTTGAAGATGGCGAGGCTCGTGCTGCTGTCCAGCGCATTGTATTCGTGCGAGATGAGGACCTCGATCGCCCCGGAGGCCGCAAAGATCACCAGGAAGTAGCTGTTGGAGGGGAGAGGGGGGAGCAACGTCAGCGGGCCGCATCTCACGTCGCCAGAGACGAGAGCAAGGCGCGCGCACTCGAGAGGGGTGTCCGGCCTCGACGCGCACACGGCGTCGCACTTGCGGAAGAACGCGGTCTTGCTCGTCGCGTCGCCGACGGCGGGCATGTACACGGGATACACGGCGGGGTACCGCAGCCACTGCTTGCACGCCCTTTTGTAGTGCTTCTGGAGCGTGCGGTCGTCGAGGACGCGGAAGCGGAGGTCCGACTGGCAGCGCTCGACGACGACGGTGTAGTAGGCGATTTTCTGGGCGATGACTTCGACAAAGTCGGAGGTGGTGTTCATGGTGTGCGGTGGTGGTCAACGTGCCTCGAGCTTCTTGAGGCATGCCACTCCCGCGTGGCGGGGTTTGAAAGAAGGGCGGCAGACCACCTTCAGTGGCAGAATCTCTGAGAAACAAGCTGTGCGCTGCTGACAGGCCGCGGACAAACAAGAAGCGTCTCAAATTGGGGTATGAATCGTTATTGAAGGGGAGCGGGAAATGACAGCAGGAAAGCGACTAGATGAGCACGAAAACAAAGCTTACTGCGACTACATAGTACGGTGGAAACGTCTCTGCCGGCGGCTTATTTACCAGCACCATGCCCTTGACGGTGAGAATGTACGTGCTGAGTAGAGTTGGGAATAAGTCTTGGATTTTTCTCCTCGACAGAGAGGGATAGGCACTCACGATGATTCGCTTGAAAAAACCTAGAGCAGCACGCATTGCGGTTTTGGCCCTGCTTATCGCGACCGTCGAGCTGGCAGCCTTACGCTGGGATCGGACAGTCGCAGATAGCTTCGTCAAGGGAGAACGAAGGCCGCCGCGGCTGCGTCCCTGCGGGGATGCATCAGACTTTGGGGCGTGAATTGCAGCAGCAGCAGCAACAGGCAGGTTGGCTGTTCGAGGCGCAGAGGGCGAGTGTGCACGACCTGGGACATCCCTGCGCACGCAGTGCATAAAAATACGATCAACGATCAGCACTCAGACGGTCATCAGACAGCGGCTCTGGGGCGGGTGCGCTCGACTTGCCATATTTCGAATGCCTCCGATATTCTCCACTGCCGCGCCTGCGTGGGGTCGATGGCGCTCGGAACATCCCTGCGTGCATATCCCGTCAAAAATTAAACATCGAACGAATGCGAACGGCTGTAGACTGCGATGGGCTGCTCGGCAACGACGCGTCCAACTCACCCGATCGTATGGTAAGTCTCCGATGCGAATTCGTTCCGCTGGTTAAATCTGTTTCCCGACTCCAGGACATCCTGCAACTGGACATCGGATCTTTCCAGCATAGCATGCAACCGTTCCAGCATAGCATGCAACCGTTCCAACGCGGCACGCAGATTGTCCAGCGTGGCCATTAGACTATCCATCCCATCATCTGACGTCTCCGTCAGGGCCACCGCGCTCCGCGAAACCGACGCTGCGCCCCCCTGCTCCAAGCACTCTGCACGACGGCTCCCTGCGCCCGCAGTAGCCCTCTCGGCACCGCCTCGCGTCTCCCCCAAATCCCTCGCGTGCCGCTCCGGACCGCCGCCAGCCCTCCGTCGCCCGACGCCAAAGCCAGCGGTGGGGCCTCCGCCCCCCACCGCCGCATCATCTGCGCCGCGCGCCGTCCGGCGAGGCCGCCGCCGGACGGCCGTGTTGAGGGCTTTCGCGATCAGGACATCGTCGATGTCGAAGTGCCCCGCGGACGCGGCGGCTCGAGATGAGAAAGAGGCACCATGGGCGGGAGCTGCGGGCGCGGATAAGGAGAAGGTGAGAGAGGAGAGCGTGATCGAGAGGCGGGTCGACGGGTTGGGGGCGAGCGAGAGGCGGTAGGTCGGCGCTTTATAGCGCACGGCGACCGCGGGCGCCGCGCCCTTGTTCCCTTTCGTCATGCCGCCCGGGCGGGGGTAGCGCTCTCAAAGGCCAAAGCAGCTATTGTAGCTTGCGATTTGAGACTGGAGGGCAGCGCTGGAGGATCTGGCGAGCACTTGTCGAGGAGAGAAGAGCAGATGGCGAGGTTGAGGTCGAGGTTGATGAACAACCTCAAGTTACAAATGCTCGAACGACGTGACCTCGATTGCTTTCGATCTCAGCGACCGTGTGCCGATGCCGAACAGCGGTCGGTTCAGATCCTGTTCTGATTGCGACTATAGCCATGCAGCAAAGAAAGTGACGCAAGGCAAGACGTGGAGTATGTCTACGGGTGCAGAGTAATGGGGGCGGGGACGTAGAGGGAAGGTAGGTGGAGATATAGGCCGACGGGACAGAGCAGGGAGTATATACAATACATGAGATGCGCATTCGATAGAGGAACCGGAGACTATGCTCAGAACAGAGAAAGAGGCTCGGAACAAAGGACGGGGGCAACAGGTCGCAGGGTCAAGAAGAGCGGTAGGTGATATGTGGAGTGAGGTGAAATTAGAGAATGGGGAGAGAGAAAGTGGATTGATGGATGTAGAAAGGAAGAGCTGCGAGAAAGGGTAGATGGAGGAAGAAGAGAAAGAGCGCGTGTCAACGCGTAAGAGTCGAAGTAATCGGCACAGCCGCAATGTTACTCCTCTGATGCCTCAGCCGCTGACTATTCAAGATGGAAAAGTGTGATTCAGCCAACTGTCTACACGACGAGTAGGATACGAAAACACGCACTCGTCGAAATGCTTTCCGCGCTTCGGATCCGCCCGCCTCTTCTCGATCGTCTTGCGCACCTTGCTCTCAGGACGCACGACGATGATAGGGACGGGGCTATGGCTGAGGCAGTACTTGGACACGCTGCCCATGCCCGGCGCACCGAACGCGGCGCCCCACGCCTGCATCATCCCGCGAGTCCCCCGCGTGCCGACGACGATGCTGTCTGGGCGGTACAGCGCGATGAGCCGGTCGATCGTCTGTGTCGTCTTGCCGGCAATGAACTCGACGACGATGGAGAGCTAAAAAAAAACAGACGGTCAGAAGCGCCAGAGGCGGATAGGACGGCGGACGGACCTTGCGGTTGTGATCGAGATCAACACACTTGTCTTGTATCCTGCGCATGAGCTCGCGCGCGTCGTCGCGAACCATGCCGTGATCTTTCTCTGCGAGAGGAGCACGAGTTTAATAAGAAGGAAACATGTGCCACAGGCAAGAAAGATGCGCGCGACGTACCGAGCTCCTCTTGGTCGATCCCGCGGAACACGATGAGTTCATCGCCGTCCTGCACGAGGCTCTCGATGGCCCATTCGAGCGCCTGGCGCCCGCTGTCGTCGGCGCTCGCGGCACAAAGGAAGACGCGCGTGCTGCGGTTGCGGACGTAGCCGTCGCTCTTGACGGAGAGCGTGAACGAGAACATGGACGCGGCGGGGTTCTCAAACGTGTCGAACGAGACTTTAGGGGTGTACCCCCCTGGCACGCAGATGGTAGGGGCACGGGAGTGCGTCGGGGTGAGGGTGAACTGGACCGGAGAGGGCGCGAAGGAGGGAGAGAGCACCGAAGTAGAGGTGGATGCAGAAGAGGCGGGGTTGGATACGAAATTGGAGGTCGAGGAGGTCGAGGAGTGGGGGGAGTGGGTGGGAATGCTGGAGGTTGAGGGAGATGACGTGGGGAGCGGAGGGAGCAGCGAGCTCGAGCGGAGGGCGGGGGAGTTGATGGGCGAGGCAGCGCTCGGGGTCGATGGCCGCGAGGGGTGTTTCATCGCAGAGCGCAGCGGCTGGGACGGGAGAGGCAGAGAGACCTGGCTGTCATACATCTTGTGTGTTGCGGTGATGGTACAATAGAGGCGGTCGTTGTCGTCGTTGTAATTGTCGTCGCCGCCGTCGTCGAGGCCGTCTTGGTCGTGGTCGTGGTTGCGGAGGGAGTCACTGCTTCAGAGTAATTGCGGTGGCGGCCGTGGCCACAAATGGAAACCATTCCCAAATCAGGCCGAGATGTGGCGTGTGTCCGTGCTGATCTGCTCTCGCTGCGAGCGTCTTCGTTGCAGCTACCATCGCCGACAATGTCGCCCACACCGAGCAGAAGCCCCAACCCGTCCCCAGAGCCATCTCCCGATGCGCCTGTACAGCCCGTCGAAGGCACTGCAGACGTCGCGGAGGAGCCAGCGGCCTCCACCTCCGCCTCTGCCGCGTCTTCTGTTCTCCAGGACACACCCGCCTCGGGTGCATCGACACCAGAACCCACAGCAGACGGCGCCTCCGCCTCCGCAGCTGCCTCTGCTGTGGCGTCCGCAGGCGACTGGCAAGCCATCTGGTCGCCGCAATACAACGCCTACTACTTCTTCAACAGCAAGACGCAACAAACGACCTGGGAGAACCCTCTCCAGCCCTCTACCCCATCGGACCCCTCCTCTTCCACCAGCACTGCCACCACCACCACCACCACCCCCGTCGACCCTTCATCCTCTACGAGTCCCGCTTCTGCGCCGATAACGCCCGCGCCTGCCGTAGCATCGCTCTACGCGCTGCAAGAAGCCGCTGCGGCCCAGGGCATCGACCCGTCCCTGGCGTACCTCGACCCGTCACTCGCAGGGCCCTCGGGCAGCGCCCCCGGCGGGTCCTTCGTCGCAAAGTTCAACGCGCGCACGGGCGCGTTTGCGCGCGCGGACGCCCGTGCGCCGGCGCACCTGAGCGAGTACGAGCGCGCGAAGCGCATGAGCGAGGTCTACTTCGACGTCGGCGCGTGGGAGCAAGAGGTCGAGCAGCGCAAGCAGGCGGAGGAGGAGGAGGGCGGGCGCAAGCGCAAGCGCCCGAGCAAGAAGGATCTTGTGAGTCCGCCTTTTGGAATGTTCTACTTTTATGCCTTGCGCGCGATCGCCGAGCGCTCATTCGTGCGTGCTCTCTTCTCCCAACTGTGTGTAGGAACGGTTCAAAGAGCAGAAGAAACAGAAGAAGATCGCCAAGACGGCATGGCTACGTACATAGATCGTTGTTCGGGTTTGTCTATTCTGCAGAGCCGCGCAATCTTATACATATTTCTTGTTCTCGACCTTCATCTTTCGTGAGCCTCCAATCCGACGTACTCGTATTTGATTCATTCGAGAATCTATCGAAGTAATTGCACCAAAAGCAGAGTAGAAACAAAATGAGTATGATACAGAGGCGCTCCATGTGCTGTTTTACAGAGTAGACATCAGTGCGCACGCAGCTAACGACACGCGACTCTAGCTGATCATTGGTTCCGAGCCTTGTGAGAACGGCCCTGCGGCGAGTATATGCGCATTCCCAGGCTGCGTCTTGCGCACGACAAGGTCTGCTTGCTGCCTGCCAAGTCGAAAGGCCCCCGAGCAGACGGAAACGACGAGGGAGATGAACAAGGCGGAAACGAAAGTGAGAAAGAGGGGGCACACGCACAATCGCATCCGGAGCAACAGCTTCCGCGTCGCCGACCGCATCTCGTCGCCCGCGCGCAGAGCGCGGGCGTACAGCTGCGCGCGGGCGTCGATCGTGCGAGCCTTCAAAATCTACGAAGACAACGAGTTCGAGGCGCACGCCATAAGCCACAGACGTGCAACGAGGAAATGAATGGGTATATAGATGAGAGGAGGGGCAGGCGCACGCACCTTGTTCTGGCTGTCAACGCGTGCCTGGATCTCGCCGCGCTGGATGAGGTCTACGACCTCGCGCTCAGTGTCGGCGACAGACCAGCCAAACGCGGCGCTCATACGGTCAAGATGAACGGTTGCAAATGGCTGGAAATAGAGCACGATCGCGCGCGCGCGGATTAATGTCGTCAGGCTCGCGACGTGCGGAGCGAGGATGGGGTCGAGTGCGTGTCGCGTCTAGAGGCCAGAATATATGTTCATCAGCATTCATCAGGTACGTGGATGCAAACATTCCGCTGCTCACGGAATAGCGCTGGAGAAGCTCGAGCACAGTCTTGAACCGGCTCGTCATCCACGCATCCACAAGCTCGCGCATCCCGCCCTCGCCGACTGCCGGCGCCGCGTCCCCATCCACGAGCTTGCGCTTCACCTCGGGCCGATCGAGCGTCGCAAGCGCACACAGCGTCGCGTACGTCGAGATATCCCCGGGGCCGACGATCGTCCCGATCCAGGTGCCCCCCGCGCCCGACGCGGGCAGGCTAAGCAGCTTCGCGCCGGCCTTGGCGTACGCGCCCTGCGAGAGGAGCGAGAGCGCGTTGCAGAGCGCGAGCTTCGCGTACGTCGGGGCGTATGGGTCTTTTTTCGTGGATTGAGAGGCGGGTGGGGCGGCGGCGGTGGCAGCGGTAGAGGAGGAAGCGATGGGGGCCGCTGCGGAGGAGCTTAGGCCGTCAAGCGCGTTTTCAGCTTTGAAGATGTAGGTCGGAATATGGGCGTAGTTGCGTTGTTCGATCAAGAGCTGGTTGAGGAACCAGAAAGCCGGCGGGCAAGGGTCAGAGGACGATGAGAAGGGCGATGAAAGGTAGGGGAAAATCACAAATGAGATCGGGCGAGTAGGCGCACCTCGAGCACAGAGAGGCACATCTCGAGCACATGCGCGCCCGTCGTGCAGAACTCGCGAGACTTGGTGTAATGTCTGAGCGCAAGGTCGTACTGGCCCGTCGTGCGATGAAACGCGCCGAGGTCGCGGTGCGCCATGCGGATGCTCTCCTTGATCATGTTGTTCGTGTACGTCTTAAGCTCGACCTCGAGCTTGACGCGCTCCGCCTGGTTCGCGGCGGCGGTCTCCTCTGCCCAGCGCACGTATGGGCTGTGGTCGGGCAAGACATCCGCAAGCGGGGGTAGAGTGCGCGTTTGTGCGAGCGCGGACTCGTAGGTCGAGAGGAGGGACTGGTAGAGTGTTGCATCGCGCTGGCTGGGCTCGGTCAGGAGCGTGAGGGCGAGCCGGAGGGCCTGTGGCGCGACGGCGGGTGCGTGGAGGATGATGTGGGAGAGGCGATCGATCGCTGCACGGCCTAAGTTCACGCAAGCGGTGAGTCAGTTAGTGGTAGATGTCGTTCCCGACGTAGGGGGTGTGCAGGGGAAACGGATGCACACCGGTGTATCCTGATATGTAGGCATCGAGGTCGAACGGATGCGCGTCGTCGACGGGGACGATCTCGACCCGATTCGCCTGCTTACCAGCCGAGGCGGCAGACGTCGATGCATCGATTGCGAGGTTGATATCTACGTCCTCGATGTCTATGTCCATCATCGTATTTGAGTTCATTGCGTGCGTGAGCGGTGGAGTGGGCCGGGTGGCGTGCGGCGGGTGGGATGGGATATGGATCTATCGCAAGAGAGACGAGGTATACCTAGTAGGATCAGGTCAATATCTTCAAACAACTCATAGCACGTTCGGGAATGTGTGGGTTCGTGCACTGAGATTGGGATGTGCCGAACACGGCCAGACGTGTTATGGGGCTGATAAAAATTGCGATAATTCAAAGAAAAATCAAGCGAGGTCCTCACCACGAACACCAGGCGTGGGGTTGATATAAACGCACGGGGTTTTGGAACCAAACACGGCTGTGGGAGGGAACAAGGAAGAGTCGGGGACCTTCAGCCACCCGCGATCGAAATCCGACTTATATTTCTGCAGACTACTCCCATCTTCCTCCCTCTGCTCTTCAGCGCAGCATACACTCGGCTCACACAGACACAGACACACATCTCGCCTTGATAAAATTGTAGACGGCCAGACGACATCATGGCCGCTTCAATTGCACCAAAAGCTAAAACTACCGTACTGTCTCTTTCAAAAAAGAAAACATCCGCATCTTCCCTCGGTGCACCTGCCCAACACAACCAGTCCAGCAGGAGGGGAAAGAAGGCATGGAGAAAGAACGTTGACATCGAAGACGTCGAGGGACGGTTAGAGGAGATCCGGGATGAGGAGCGGACATTCGGGTGCGTCTCTTTTCCAAACTAGAAAATGATATGCAAGCACGGTGTAGAGCAATGCCCTTGCTATTTAGGCTGTGTGCAATATTGACTCGCCCAATTTGTATGCGATGTGTTTTAGAACAGCCCTGCATGCGAAGAAAGACGAGGACTTGTTCATAGTCGACAAGAAGGGCGACGAAAAAGGTTCGTCTTTTCGTATCCTACTCTTCCTGACATAACAGTCGCACTTATCATCTCTCCATCTCTACACAGTCCGCGCATCCCTCAAAAAATTCTCCCGTACCGCCCTCTCCTCCCACAGAATTCTGTCCGAGCGCTCCGCCATCCCCGCCGTCTTTTCCCGCCCCTCTATAACCGCAAGCAAGCGCAAATCTGTACCTCGTCTCACTCATGTCGAGAAAGATCGCATGCTGCGCATCGGGAAGCGCTCGCGGAAGGGCCCGCTGAACAGCATCATCGACCATGAGCAGTTTGGAGAGGGGAGCGCACTGCTCGACATCAGCGAAGCCGTAAAACAGAGCGGGCAATACGACGTATGGGTGGAGGACGTCGAAGGCACGAAAGTGAAGGTGCGATGCAACTGACTACCCACCCTTCGACGGGTTGTATTAATACCTCGTCGACATTGGTCGCTCAGGCTCCAAAAACCCCAAACCCTCGTGCCAACATAACGCTCCCCGCTATCCCCGCGCCGCACGCTGGCACATCCTACAACCCTCCCGCGTCCGAGCATGAGGCACTCCTCCGCAACGCACACGACGTCGAAGCCGTGCGGGCCAAACAGGCTGCCGAGGCCGAGGCTTTCAAGGCCCGCATAATGAACGCGCGGCGGGAGATTGACGAAAATGAAGAGGCAAACGGGGTACCGGGAATGCTTGTCGATAAGCCAGAAGACCACCCCGAAGACGAGGCGGGCGAACCGCAGGACGGCGAGGCCGTGGTGCACAAGATGCCCGAACGCAAGACGAAGCAGCAGCGGCGCAAGGCCGAAAAGCAGCGTGCAGAAGTGCGACCCCTTTTCTTTACTTACGTCTCTTTCATCGAACTCATACGTCAATGCGCGCTGCTCAGAAACGCGTGCTCGCAGAAAAAGTATACCGCAGAAGACTGTTGGCTTCCGTCGATTCCGCCAAGCGCCTGCGCGTTGCCGCAGAAGCATCACAGGCGACCCGTGCGCAGATCCAGGCCCTACAGCAGGCCAAGCTCGCAGAGCGTCTCCAAAACGGCCTGATGGGACTGCGCCTGGGCAAGCACAAGGTGCAGGAAGGCGCACTCGACGTGCAGCTCGGCGAGGAGCTGAGCGAGAGCCTGCGGGGCTTGAAGGTATGGAAGGCTTGCAGTCTTTGCAATGCAGTTGACCTGACCTTAAACCTGTGTTTTCAGCCGGAGGGAAACCTTTTCAGGGATCGTTTCATCAGCATGCAGCATCGTGCTCTCGTCGAACCCCGTGTTCCTGTGTTGTGCGTCATCTGTGATCTTGTCCTCCAGGCTTATCTGATGTCTCGGTGTAGGCCCACGAAGCGCAAGAACAAATTCAAAGAGGTGGAGAAACATGCTTGGAAGCGCTTCGACCAGGTGCCAGAGAGGTTTTAGGCCTTCCTTGCATCACCCTCATCTACCGACGGCACAGCTCTCTTTTGGCCGTATATTCATCGTGCATTCGATATCTCTGCCCATCATTGAACGATATATTGCCGTTTCGTCTGAAAATTGCAAAGAGGTGATCTCGATAGTACACAAATCTCGTACAGGAATCAGTGAGGCAGTTGTATCTAATTTAGATTGCCTTCCTCGCTAGAAGGTCTCTCTGCTACAAGGAAGTACGACCTGCCAAAAATCCGAGTTTTCAGCGTCTCGACATCCTCAGACGACTCTGCTTCAAATTGATCGCCTGACTCGGAACGAATCTCGAAAGTAGGTTGACCTGCATCGTTACGAGGTTGGTACATGGAGCGCAACACTCGATAAGGATAAGAAAGGTCGTGCGGAACTCACAGAAGAAAACTTCGTCCAGATCTTCACGGAAGCGAAAGCCCGGGCCACATATGCGGATGTAATAAGATCGCAACAGTACCTCCAGCTTGCGTACGATCTTGTGTGGCATAGGCAACAAGTTGTCTGAACAGTTGGATGGTTTAAGATGACCGCGACTCATGATTAGACGTTCGACCGTTCGAGAGAAAGTATGGCTTACACTGGTCCTCTGAGGAGATCATCTTCGCGACAATCTAAAGTCGAAGTAAGCTTTCGCCAAACAAAGCGGTTCTAATGGCCACTTGCCGCCAGTCGATGAGCAACGACCCCCAAGGCACATTGCTGTTTTGGAGACGCCCAGGAAGTAAACTGTTGCCAAAAGTCAGGAAGAGTCAAACCGTTCAAGAGCATGTAAAGCCGTCCCGCGACTCCACCGCATGGGTCGGGAAATTCAAAGTAAGCGTCGTAGGGACAAAATGGGCTGCTAGGAGAAAGCGGTCACTGAACAGCGCCCCCATAGATACTGGCGAAACCACGCATAGGAGCATCTCTTCGATCTCTTCGAGGGTCTCGTATATTTGATTGCGGTTGATGGCCACTGAAGTGGCATTGACGGGAGGGATCGCGAACATCTGTTCGTCAGATAGATAGGCAATGCTTTCCGGGAAATGGTGGGACAACATCGTTGAGCAAGGATCGGGACAGAGGACAATGTGAGTCTAGGGATAACAGATGGTAATTCTCCTCTGCCGGTATATATACAAGTCCCCACAAGGTCCTTTGAAGTGTGGCTCTACGGTCTCGGAATTTTGTCAGAATGTTCATAGGGTCGAGACAATAGGGGCACTCGTGTTTGACACGGCCGCGTTGACCAGCCTGTGGCTAGAAGAGTGACGGCGTTGCCCGATATCAGAATTGACTTCACCAATGTAGCCAGAGGTACTGCTGAACATAATAAAAGATAGACAAAACAACTAAGACAAAGACCCTAGGTCGATGCTAATCTAAAGCATCTACATTGACCATTACTAAATGTACCGTACCAGTTAAAAGCACTTGGATGTTGACGCTTTTGAACCACCGTTTCCACGACTATTGGTGTTCCAACATGTCGGAGAGAGGACAGAATCCGTAACACAAAAGAAGCAGATTGGTCTTTGCCTATTTCGCTAGGCCCATATCGAGGAGAATCTATATGGTTACTGAGCACGATGTCCGATGACGGGTCGGGATGACACACTGGATAACTCACTTGAAAACAAGAAAGGTATTGTGGACGGCTCAAAAGACCTCCGTCCCCAATCAGTAGGTAATTTGGTTTGTCTCTTGAAGAAGCTCTCTATGGAAAGGACCAAGAAGTATCTTGTCTGCGTCTCTGTCATCGTCATTGAATCTACGGGTGCTAAGTAGTTCAAGACATTTGCGCTGTATCGTTAGATATGCAGAGTGACTCGAGAAGGGAAGGGGCCTACAATTGTCCAACTCGAGTTGAATACAGCGTGCTAAATTCTGTATTTGATGTCAGATGATATGCGACAGGGGTATACTTGATGAACACTGACCATGAGCTTATATTGAATCACCACAAGAGCGCAGTTCTGTTTTTTTATATCCCAAGTCACATAGAGCTCGCAAAATTCTTCAAGGGTCAACCCGTTGAGAAAGTTGAAAAGGCGCCCAAAAAGCCCGCCACAGTCGTCAGAACATTCGATCGATGATGAAAAGGGGGAATTGAGGCTGGAGAGAAAGATGGATGGGTAGAGAAAATCGCTTGATAGGCAAAAAACGCACCTAAGAAACCTATTGAATCCTCGAATCAATTCAACCAGGTCGTCATATTTTTTGTCGATATTGATATATATCTCATCACCGAGTAGGATGTCTACATACATCTTCTCGTCGCTTGAAAGCTCGTCGAGACCGCCGGGGAAATCGTGGAACCTCATTGACAACCGGGGTTTAGTGAAAGGAATCGTGTGGGGGTTGGTGCAGTTGGCAGCGAGGAGGGAGCATTGTGGATATTAAATACTCACCTGCACAAAGGCGCTTGGATACTCGGCAAAGTGGACATGTGGAACATGAGGCACAGTGCGCCCGTGCAAAAGCATTGTGGCGAGACGTCAAAGCATTTTGGGCACCATATTGATCATGAAGTAGACAAGTGGCCGCTTTGACCGCTCGAGTTGAACGCGTAATCGATGACCCGTAATGCCAGGCGTTATATCGACAGGGGGGCATCTCAGGGGTAACTGAGTATCGGTCCAGTGATTCAGAATATGCTACGGTGACAGAAGCGGTCCAGCCACGCAACAGTTACATAGAGTTACATATTCCTTTTACAGACATTGAATTGTAGGCGAACGTGGCGATTGAAACTCGAGGGCTTCGACAGTAACGTGGCAGAAGATTGGCGGTAGCTTGAGTGCAGTAAACTAGATCAGAGTCGAGAATTGGCATAAGTTGCATATGTTGGCGCATGAGCGCCGGGTCAGCCAATTATTCGAAGATCGGGGCTCACGAAAAGCAATCAGTGTGAAGGAAAAGGTCATCCAGTCAAAAGCCTTGGGTCATGTGGATCTCCGGTTCTGGGTGCAGTGGGGGCTGGCGACTTGCAGAAACGCTCGAACCGAGCTAATTAAGACCAGCTACGACCTACAGAGTATGAATCCCTCCGAGACATGTGCCGGATAGAGACCCACAGTCAGGGTGGTAACTTGAAGTTGTATGGAATCAAGTTTTGCGAAGTAGATTGTAATTGGGGATGCCGTGAGCCTTGAAGACTGTGACAAGCATACAGTTGCAGGTAATATGCAGGACGAGAGTGGCCTTCGGCAAGTTCCGAGGGCGATGCTTATTTCTTGGGAGACTCGAACGGTATTTACAGACAATTTACCAACTTCGCTTATAATCGCTTGGGAATGATCTAGGATGCGGCTCGTGGCTAGTACACTCAAAATATCACGTCCAAGAAAGAAATTCCATGGCTGGGACTTCCTCAGATTGTTCCGGAGCAGATTCCCAAGTCTCGCGCAACAGTTTAGTCAAGCTTGTATCGGTGAACGATTTGTAGTAAACCCCGCCACTCACACCATACCCATGAGGTTGTGTATCCGGGTAAGGCAAGATCGCAAATGGGCGTCCAAAGCCAACATCCTTAATGTCCTCTTTCTGCACTATGGCCAGCAGGTACCGATGATTATGCGCAGGGCGTCGCGTCCAATATATGGTGCCTGTACCATTCAAAGAACAAAAGCACTCAGCGGGTGAGATGTTTCAATTGCGAACAAAAGCTTACATGGAAAGTGAGTATGTATCTTCGAAGGTTTATCAGGGTGATTCCTCCATTGAACGATTTTCCAGAACGCTTGATAGTTTTCGAATCCTTCGAAGTACTCAAGCATCAAGCTAACAAGACGTTGTCTCATGTCCAGTGATTCCATTGATATAGAATGCACTGTTCACAAGACCGTTAGACATATCGAGGGACCGGCTGAAAAAGGAGAGTCCCCACAGGTTCTGAAGTTCTCGGTTGTGATCATGTATGCAACTTTCTGTGTATGGCGGAAGTCAGCGCACCGAAAGTATCATGATATGCAACTCACCAGCAGCCTGTAAGCGATGATCGCGAGAGCACACGTCTGCTTCGTACGAGACCACTTGGCAAAGTTTTCCTTGAATTCCTGGAGGGTATACCCGTTGAAAAGGTTGAAAAGTCGCCCAGGGAGGCCGCCATAGCAATCAATGTCTCGAAACCACATAAATCGAAAAGGCGGGGCCCAGTATTTACTGGAAAGAAAGAGCGCTGTGTGAGTGCACGTTGATCCAGACATCGGCCCCAAACGCACCATATGATGACGTCCATCTGATGAAACAAACCGATATCATCGTGTGGTGGCATCAACTGTGACATTTTCCGGTCGACATCTAGGGACAACTCTGGACCCAACATGTCCCTCAATAAGACCTGTTCTTTCAGTGGCAGAACACTAAAAGTGTCTGGAAATTTGCGGTAGTATGCCATCGTTAGGCGAGGAGGAGGAGGGAGAAGGCGGAAGAACAGATATAGGAAGGGGGCTAGAAGGGGACCATGGGACATTTATACCAGGTTTCACAATGACGCTTGGTCTTGGTGGCATGGTGAGGTAGCGTGGTATCGGTGCACCAACTATCAGGTCATTTCATATCGCCACACGAGGAGCCAAGCTAAACCGCCAGATTCCACCTGCTAACGAATTGATGACGGCGTATGATTGATCAAAGTATGCACAATGATATGCATGATAATTGTACATCGAGTCCCTAGACGAGTGTGGTTTATCGATGCCGGGAAAACCTCCGTTCAGCAAATTCACGTAAATGAAATGTTGAGGGGTGGTCATTTTGCAAACACTTCGCTCCCTCCGTCTCAACGATGATCAGAGTTTTAAACTCACTTGCTGCACTAAATATTAGCGATGTGTTTAGAGGATGAACGAGGAAGGTCCCCTATCGGCAACATGTAATCATGTATTGAAGTGAACACCTAATCTATTCAACACAATCCTGCCGAGCGCTGAGAGAAGTATAGTTTGTCAACGATGACTCGATGAGATATGCGCAGGATACAAGACACACTTTGAACATTGCGTCTCCGGATGCTTCCGCTTCCATCAGGACCAGTCCTTGGATATCTGGACCGAATTCCATCAGCGTGCTACGCGCTTCTGTTGGGATATAAAGGAGATAGCTTGACACTTCTAATGAGCATTGTTACCTTAACAACAACCACGGACCAGTATGGTGGAAGCTCGACCAGAGCTCCCTCTCATCTTGTATCTCGTTCTCCCTGACATCTTCCTCTGTATCTTGATCGCCGTGCAAGTACCACCAGTTCTGCGCCTGCTCGGTTTCATCCTGCATACATATGTTTCTGCTCACGGCCTCAGATTCACTACTGGAGATCCATTGCAGGATTATGACATCGGCTCCGCGTTCTCGGTCAATCCTTCACCGCGTTGCACCTCCTGTGGCTCACGAGGCCAGTGAATGAATTTCGACATGAAAATGATCGAGTTGGGCGCTCCGCAAGTGAACTGCCATTGTGGAAACGAGTGTGGTGGACGTTCAGTGTCAATCACAGCCCGAGAGGTGTGGGTTGGAATCACACTTTCGTCCACTCTCGCGGAGTCACAAATAACCGTCGATGCAAAGGTTCAAATGTCCCTGCACGACCATCACAGCGACGATGGTCATTCGCTCGCTCACGCTTCCTCAAAGCCGCGCGCTCTTTTCTCCTCGTTGATATCGCCTGAACAGATCTCCACTCGAGCCCCTATTCTCACTTCAGGGTCCTGAGGCACGATCGATAACATCTCAAGGCCCCTTGCTATTATACGTGAATATCGTAGCATATATGTGCACACCGTATGGCATGATGAACATGCAGCACTCCTTGATTTTGGCGGTGAACGTTGCATTGGGAATCAGCCATGCGAGTGCTTGGCCTGATCCTTATGGGAGTCGGGTTGACGCGTACACGGTTCGCAATTTTTGGGGGTAAGTTGGCTAAAAATGCTTGCAAGGACAGCACAATTAACTTTGGCACGCAGGAAAACATGGCACCAGATGATGCGTCGCGTCAGTCTTTTCTCATTGTTTTGCAGTATTGCCGGTGCTGGTGACGTCGCACTAGGGTTCCGTGAGTAATCCCTGAATTGCTAACATGTTAATAACTTATGTTATTAACATTGTTATTAACACTGTTATTAACAGGCCCCCTCCAGGGGGGCACAATGCCGATGTTAATAATGTTAATAATGTTCGAAATTGTATATAATGATCAGCATTTGAATTTACATTGAAATGTACATATTTGGGCAAGGGCCAGGTGGAAAAATTGAAGGTTGTGGCTGTACAATTATGTCTTCCCTGCAAAATAATGATTTTGTCCGGGAGTGCAGAGTCTTGGACTGCATCGGTTCCCGCTCTGGACATTCCGTTACCCATCCCCCCCGCTCGCGCCATGGCCACCGAGTCAAACGACGTCAGCTTTGAGACTGTTCTCGCGGAACTGCATCACCTGCTATTGGGCATACCCCCGGAATCAAATCTGCCTTTCGTGGAAAATTCTCAGGACTCAAATTATGCATGCTTCCTCAACTTTTCTCTGGACCCTGATCTGATGGAGAAGATCGAAGATGAGGTCGGGATATTCAGTGAACAATTCAAGTCAGTTTTCGGCTGGCAAACACGGTCGACCGGAGATGGAATCATACCGGAGCTGGTGACTTCTTGTTATTAACACCACTTTCTTTATTAACATGTAAATAAATCGATTTTTAACATGTTAATAATGCTTTATATACAATTGTTATTAATCTGTTATTAACTCATGTTAGAAATTCCTCGGAGAGGCAAATGTTATTAACATTTGTTAACAACTGTCCGTGAATTACTCACGGAACCCTACGTCGCACAGTACATATCATTCATCGGCCGATTCTTCTCCAGCTTGTTCAGATTCCAACGTGGTACCCCTTTATCCTCCTACACGCAACTCTACATCGGGTTCATCGTCTCGGGTATCATGCATACCGCCGGTGGTGATGCCATGGTGGGGTATAAGTACCTAGGCGCATCCTTGCCCTCTTTCCTTGTCCGGCCTTTGGCTATAACGTTAGAAGATCTAGTCATAGCATCAGCTTCTAAGGCCGGATTCCAGTCGACGAGGCTTGCCAAGTTCCTATGATATGCTTGGGTGCTTGCTTGATTCGTGCTCTCTTCGCCGTGGTACATAGATTAGTCATTGAGGGACGGGATCGGTCGTTCTGAGGTCCTCCCATTTTCTCTGACCAGGACCATATGGAACATAGCAGCTCAAGCGAAGTGATTTGCCGCTTTCTTTCCCGCGACAATCAGTGATTTCCTAATCTTAAAGTGACAGGATTGACTTTCTCTCACAGGTCGGGGTACTTGCCTGTCATTATCTTTCGAATGTCTTGATTAATGTAGTCATCGCGTTGTTCTTTATCGCATGTTGCGTGGATACCCTGCTCCAAGACATCGTTACTGCCTGAAAAATCCCAGAAGCCCTGAAAGATGGGTTGTGGGGATTGAGAAATTGGCTCCCAGTAGCTCCCAGTCAAATGTCGCAAAAAGGGTGAGAAACGTGGTCACATGATGGATCTGAACCGCGTCGAAGTCGTCGACGCGTTTGTGAGCTCAGGTTTTCTCTCCCTTTCTGCCACCCGCGCCTCTCTGCTCGACGCTAGCCATGGACTCTAGCGAAGTTGGCAAATATGGCCTGCTTTTACTTATGAAGAAGCATGATCCCGAGGCTTCGATTGCATCGTTCCCCATTGATGAGGAGGAGGTCACCTTTGGACGTGATTCCAGCTGCAGCGTGCGGCTTTATTACAACACAGTGAGTGCCCTACACGCAAAGATCATCTTTCAAGAGAGAAAAGTGAGTTTGAGGCTCTTTTCACTCCTGTATATCTCATCCGACACTTCCAGGCGTTTCTCATCGTTCTCGGAACACACGGTCTCTCAGTGGACGGCTGCCCTGTGTTCCCTAGTGCTCCATCTTCCCAACACCCTACGACCATACCATTATCCAATGGCTCAGAGATTGAGATTCATAAGAAACGATTTCGCTTTGAATATCCACCCAAAGCCATTCGCGCTGCACTCTTGGCTACCCCTTCTCCCACTAAGAAGACGCGAAGGCGGACGCTCCGACTATCGATGATACAAAGTGCCCAAGTATTTACTCCTAGACCGAGCAAAAACCCGCGCGAGAATCTTCGTGTCCTTCAGAGCCCAATCAAGCCTCTTGGTTCGCCGCTCAAATCCGGATATCATGCTGAGGAAGATGAAGAGGAGCCCATCATCCTTGTCAATGGTGACAACCCACGCGTGGTAGAAGAAGAGAAAGACCTTGTCATCCTCGAACATGTCGAGGTGGAGGACCCAGAACCCGAACCTCAGCACCGACCACTCAAGATTCACAAGAAAGCCCCCGCACTAGGTGTCGCGAATGTCGAGGCCAGAACTCCGATGCGTGCACGGCAAGCGTCGGGCTCATACGCACCGCTTGCGTCTCAGCCTGCACCTGTGCAGCCTCAACCCCAGCCCCAGCCCCAGCCGCCGCTACAGACCCCCCGTCGTCGGGCCCCGCGTTCGTCGCTACATCGCGTCGCGCTGTTGCGTTCGGCACAGCGCGCAGCTATGCGCGCAGAAATGGAGTATGAGGAGGATGAAGAGCGCGAGGTGGAAGAGAGTGTGGGCACGCTTGAGGGATTGAGAACTGCTTTACTCGAGGCCAACGAGGAGGAGGATGAGGACGATGATAAACTTAGCAGGTTTGCAGGGGAATTAGGGGGCAGAGATGAAGATGAGAATGACGACGAGGACGAGCATAGTGAGCCGGAGGATGGCGGGCAGGATCAACAGCAGGCCCCGTCCGGCTGGCTGAAGAGCCTCGAGGTTGTGAGATCTGCTTGGCCATTCCGTGTGTCCCAGTCACCCGAGAAACAGATGCAGCACGAAGAGCAAGACATTACAGAGGTGTGTGCATCAATCTGCGGTTTCATTTGCGGCCACAATGCAGAGTCGCTGGGCGAGTGCGCTAATCGCTGGCTGCTGTAAAGTGTTGGCACAGTTTGCACATATATGAGGGTGGTCCCTTGGAACACCCGTGGGCTGTCTTTTGCGTTGACTGTAGACGTGTCGATTTTTCGATCATCTGGCCGCTCCTCCCTTCCCGATCCTGACTTGAATTCCTTAGGCCCAGATCCATGACGACGGTGAGGAAAACATCAAGCACGATTCTGATGAGAACCAGCCTCCTCAATACGTGCACGACTCTCACGAGACAGCTGGGGCGGATACACAGACTACACATCCCGATGCCGACGTCGATCACCAGCCCTCGTCACGGCCCCCTCCACGACGTGTGCATGGAGCTTTCATGACTCCTCAGGCCAAACGTACGAGTGGTGGTCTTAGGGGAGCAGGGAGGTACTCTATCGGGGGTGGAAGCTCAGACGGACCGCAAAGAGTCAGGCTGGTTCAGCCTTGGAGGATCGGAGATATCGTAGTCCCGGTTCCCGAGGAGCACGAACCGAAGGAAGAGGATGACAAGAGTACGGTGCGAGACCTATCAAAGTCTGCGAGCGTTCGTGTGAGTGAAGAGGAGAAGAAAGTCAGTGCTGCTCGCTATTCAACGGTCTTGAACGCGACGGTTGACCCATGTCCACAGGCGATCCAGGCTCGCCGGCGCTCTGCCTTCGCTATGCCGGATGACTTCTTTGGGGGACAAATTCCCGGCTCCCGTCGCGCCTCTGCTGTTGTGCCTCCGCCTGCCACACCTGTCACTTCTCCAACCAAAGCTTGGGTCTCGAGCAGAGAGGTAAAGGAGGAAGAGGAAGAAAACACCAGTGTGCTGTTGGAGAGGATGAAGGAGATGGTGGAGGGCATGAAGCGAAGGCGAAGCATGAGGGAGGAGCACGAGTCGCGAAGAGCAACGCTTGGCGAACTCAAGGAGGAGGCTGAAGGCCGGCTCGAGGATGAGCATGCCGTGGAAGATGATGGAGGTGCATTTGACCAAGATGCTATGGACCATGATGGTGCTACGAATGAAGGCAGGAGAGAGGAGGAGCTTATCGAGGAGCCCGAGGAAACCGACTTTGAAGACGTTGATGAGGCACATATGGACATCGTCGAAGGCACTGATGAGGACGAAGACTCTACCGACGATGAACTTCAAGAAGAAGGTGCAGTCGACATCACTCCCTGTGAGGTTTCCTCCATACCCTTCAACGAGGAATCAACCTTGGCTTCCCAAGTACCGCCTGAGACACCCCAGATGGATAGTCTCAGACATATGTTCTCCAGCGCTCAAACAGCGCTGGCTACGCCTCAGTTCTCTGGCGTGCGTGAGATGTACCTCAGGGAGCGTGCTCAGGACACCAGCACTCCCATATATGAAGGTGTTGGAGAAATGATGTCCACACCCGCAGCGTACCGCGCGCATGAAAGCACGCAAGAGTCGTCCGACGAGGCCGAGGACAGCCAGGACGACTCTAGCGACAAGGACGATCCTCCAACACCTGTTCCTGCTCGTGCCACAAGAGCAAAAAGGACGCCTGCGCTTAAAGCAAAAGCGGATCCTCCGGCGACGCGCAAGAGGACCCCGGCTGTTAGGGCTTCAACTAGACAAGCAGAGACAACACCTGCAGGTGCAGATGCGACGCTCATGGCAGACGACGAGCTAACGCCTGACCTCCCCCCTGTGAGGGGTACACGGAAGGCCTCGGACGCCCCGAAGGGCGCTATTGTTAGAAGGAGTCGTCGAGCTGCAAGTGAGGCAGAGGACGAGCAGGACGTTGTACCGCCTGTCAAGGCCAACCCTACCGGGACGAAAGTCACTAGGGTGAGTCTCTACATTTTATTTTCAAGATACGTCAGGATCTTATATTGAACATGATCGTTGCATAGACCAAAGTCATCTCGAAGGCTGCGGCCAAAATTGTGAAAATCAACGAAGTCAGTGAAGACGAGGTGAAAGCATCGGGATCCTCAAAGCGAGTCCGTCGTGGCGCAACCGATCCCGCGGCCTCCACCGATGACGAGCCTCCGGCGCCTAAGACTGCAGGAAGATCTCGCATCCCGAAAATTGCTGCTTCAACCTCGCTGCAGTCAGGTTCAGATGTTCCTATGAAGATTGGGCCTCCAAAGGGTCGCCGGGCAGTCCGTGCTAAGGTCCCTGTTGCTATGCCAGCAACTGAGGCCTCGGCGTCGAAGCTTCGTAGCGACGAGCCTCAAGCTCTCGATATGGACGAGGATCCACTCGACGCCTTTGGTCGTCCAGAATCAGCGGAGGAGGTGGAAGCTCATCCCGCTGCTAAGGTCCGGCGAAGGCGGAACAAGGCTACAGCTCAGGTTGAACCTGTCGTTGAAGAGGAGCCGACCGCGAACACAGCTACTCGCAGCGTTCGTGAAAAGAGAATACCGACGCCGGTTGCCACCTCCAGCCGAACGACTACACGAAGCCGTGCAGCTTCGGGGAAGAAAGCTTCCCCCATCCCAGAAGACAAGGAGAACTCTCCCAAGGACCCTGTTGTGAAGGAGGAAGACGATGAGCAGACCATGACAGCAGCTGTAAGAGTGCCGAGAACGAGAAGAGCCAAAGCACAGAGCGAGCCGGAGAAAGAGCCTGTTCCACCCAAGACGAGAGCTACGAGGACGAGGACTGCGAGCGCTCGGAAGTGAATGTGGATTGTGACCGAGATCTCTGCGTGGATCGCAGGAGATCGCTGGAGGTCTCCAGAGTGTTTGTTGCATTGTTGTCGTGTTATTGCTCCTTCTTTATTTTTACGACCTTCACGACCATGGTTATGACGAGATGGCTTGTAGTGGCTTGTACTCCACCATGCAATGCCTTGGGACTACCTGACGTATCTGCGACTGCTCAGTTCATTTGCTTACGATTAGCGATCAAGCCATACTCGATGAACTCGGTGGGGGAGCAATATAACGTGGGTTTCCATTTTGGGAAATGAAGTTCGGCCTTTGAGCGGTCTTCGATGTCCAAGACGCCCATCATCACGTACTTTGCAGCTCACGGGCAGTCTCGAAAATGAACGACTCGGCTGTTGTATCTGAACCACCATGTATGCGCTCTTTTCGCCTTCCTGCCTATCATCCTTGACGAATCTCACGTATTTCTCTAGAGGCCGCATTCCTGAGAGCTCTTTGCATTGAGCACTGAAGACTACAGAATTTCTCTCTTCTCGTCGTGCTCGGACCAGCTCGATGTCAGAGCACACCCTCTTCTCTCCACGGTTCATGTTCGTGTCGAGCGCAGTCATGTTGATTGCTTCCGGGATCATGCAATTATGTGCTACGTGGTCGTCAATGCAGCTGGCTCGAGTAAGGTCAGACACGTCTCATCTTGACGCGTCGGTGGAGGGTGGAGTACAGTTATCCCCGTTACAGAATGAATACTGTAGGAGCACATGAATCCATCGCTTCTGATATCTTGCTCACATATGGTCGTCAGCATGGCTTGGAAACGATCATCCGTCAACTTTGCCTCTTGATCTTCCCTTCGTCGCACTTACCCTCGAGAACAGTCGTCATTATTCACTTGATGATCTTAATGCCGACGCAGAGTTTCAGTCCATATACCCCGGGAAGTCCCTGGGATTTGTTCATCTCGGCCCAGAGAGGCGTTTCTTCGGCCTTTCCATGTATCACCAAATCCATTGTCTAGACTCGTTGCGTCTCGCTGTGCTCGGAGTTCGACCCCATGGTGAGCACCGTCTCGGCCAATCCGGGAATGCCCACTGGGAGATGGATCACGTGCATCATTGCCTGAACTACTTGAGGCAGACGATTCTGTGCGCGGCAGACTTGACGCTTGAGCCAGAAGTGGAGGAGGGCTCTGATGACGCGGGTGAGGGCTTGGGTGTAACGCACGTATGCAGGGACTGGAGCATGGCATATCAGTATGTGGAGAGGAATTTTGAAGAGTGGGAGCGTTGGAAATTGAATCGGACTGGGAGTCCTAGGGCGACGTAGGTCGATGGCCTCAAGTAAAAGAATATATGTGACTTCCCCCACTCATTGAACCTTAGCGTTCCTGGATCATCGAAACGTGATTGTGGTATCTGACAGCCTCCCAGTCTACCAGATCGCTAACTTTCATCAATATTGATACTTGATACTGCTGCGACCACATCGTCATTCCCCTTGATATCTTCCCGCAGTCCCCTGCGATGAGTGACACGAATCTTAGTGTGAGTGTGCATCATTGCGTGTTGTTTGTCCCTTTCTGACGAGGCAGCGCGCCAGGGATGCTCGTTCAATCACTGCACCCCACCTTCGTCAATTCCTGTTGTTATAGTGACAATAACAATCATTTTGACCTTGTAGATCCTTTTCAGGCGATCCGTACGAGGTATATACACCTTCATTGATGATTCAGGACAGTTTGTGTACTTTCATGGGCACGGCGAGTCGTCCTTGTGTTGACCAGGAGATGAAGAGCAAGAGCCACTATCTCTCTGGCGGCTTGAAGGCATTTGTTGGTAGAGTGCCGGAGAAGTCCCTGCTCCTTGTTCATCATGATGAACGATCATGGACGCGGTGCTGTCGGGATACACCGCGAATCAACCGGAGTTGGAAGCCTCCTATACCGCAGTCTTAAAGGTATGTTCGAAGTCGGAATCGCCTTCCCTTGTCTGGTTTGGTATGCCTTCTCTTGAGGGGAATATTGCTGTTTCATTTGTTCGTCTTCAAACTTTTCAGGTATGTCTTTGTTGGTCAGATGTTTATCTAATGATATGTATCCTTTTTGTATCTCAGTATGTACAGGGTAAATATTGCTCAAACTACTTGTTGATATACTGACTCGATTCTTTACCTATAGCCGCAAGCATGATGTTGTTGGTGAGTCGTACCTCATGTGTTCCGCCTGAATAGTGAGTGAACGTTCTTTTAGATACATGATTGGGCAATCCTCTTCGGCGAAGAGGTAAATTTCTTTGATCCTCTGTTCCAGATGTGACTTGAATAGGGCATATCATATCATATCAAGGTTGACTTGGTTTGGCGAGCCCGCTGGACATTTCCAAATATTCTCTTTCTTATCACAAGATACACTCCTTTCATTGACATGGTTGTTAACTTGTATCGTACGTCGTTCATCGTCTCCCAAATTCTTCATCTCATCTCCAATTCCGTAGACTCGCTTAATAGAAACGCAAGTCCAGAGGTTTGGCTTCCGTCTGCTTCTCTCACTTTTGGAATTGCTGCTAAAGTCTATTCATTTTGAATGATACAGACCTGCCAAGCCACTTACGCTTTCATCAGCTGTCTGTTATATGCGTATCTTTCCTGTTTATAAAGGTCTCATTAACCGGCTCACAGGGTCAATGACCATCGGAGTGGCATTGAGCGAAAGTGAGTTTCGTAGTGTTGAATCAAACCATTCTAAAATGCTGCTTCCAGTTGTTATGCTTTTGCGTACATATGCGATCTTAGACCGCTCAAGACGAGTTCTTATCGGCCTCGGGTCTTCTTGGATCGTGGGTGTTTTGCTTCTGTATTATCATTTAGCGCGTCTGTATAACACAGTGTATACGCAGATTTCATTCATATTAAGCATGGGATTCATTGGCGCAAGTGTGAAGGCACCCTCTGGTTCGTCCTCTTCTGAGCTCTAGCCATAACGACGGCGATCATTGATTTCTTTTGAATAGTTGATACTGGGATCCGTTCCTTCGGCTGCAGTAGCGAGACGAGGGGTATGGCGATTCAGGTTGGAGCCTTTGCAAGTTTGCTTTGCATGGAGACCCGTACGTCAGTTTCGTGGTGTCGAGACTCCTTTCTGAACATTACTTTATCTTCTGCTACAGTCATCGTGATTCTCACTGTCAGAAAAGCTTTTCAGCTAAGGAATTGTTGCTATCATTTCTCCCACCCAGGCTTTGCATTCGCTGATGCAGTCTACGTGTATAGCGCGTTATCGACTTGGGTCATTAAATTTAATCTTCAACACACTTTATTTGGATGGTAAGCTTGATTTGTTGTTGCTGTGCTTCGCTGAATAATTACGTGGTGTCGTAGGGATTTTCTTCTACATGACCATCCTACGTAAGTTACTCAGAAACTCCACAAGATAACATTGCAGTGAACAGTTTTCCTGCAGTCTTTTCCTACATCAACATCATATTCGTAGTCATGTCACGTCAGCTTGTACGTGCAGTTCGACGCCAGACTTTACTTGCTCTCATCAATCCCTTCTACAGCCGGAAATAGCTCACATCTTCGTCGCGTAAGCCCAAAACGCCTTGCAACACGAACTCACTCAAGTTTGACGAAACCGCTCTACCTACAGCCCCATGCGTGTCTTTCATGGCCTCCTTTCCTGTCGCATGCTGCTCAACATCCGGCGTGTTGCCATGCAGCATGTGCCCCTCGCCCTTCCTACCCATCTCCACGCTCCGGAGCTCAATGTGTACCCACTCCCTATATATCCTGACAAAGAGTTGGATTGGGAGAGGCCTAGCTTTGCCCCGTCTAAGATATTGTGGCGTTCTCGAGAGGTGTGGCAAGACCACAAGTCTCGCAATGGTGTACACGAGAGTTTCATGGAGATGCAGTCGTGGTTGCAGATGTGAAGTATAGGACGCAGCAGGGATGCGGCATACTGCGAAGAGTAGGTATGTCGGCGAAATGGATATACTATATGCCTCTATTACAACCAGTATTGTATTATTAGAGGCCCCGTGCCGCTGTCTGTAAGAACTCGTAGACGATTTCTTAGTCCAGCTTTGTATTGTTACCTCCTAGTTCCCAAGCCTTAGATGCACGCCTCTTCTTGGCCCACTCTCGAGCACGCACACGCCGTGCCTCCTTCACAGCATCCTCATCAGCGGAGACCTTAGCTGGCCCCCGGACCGTTGATCCTTCCGTCTCCGTTATCTGTGAACTCACTAGTTGCTCAACCTGACTTGCGCCTTCCGCACCCTTGCAACTCTCTGACTGTGAATCTTCATCGTCGCTCCCCTCATAACGCATCAGCCCGCCCAACCCTTTCTCTCTCTCTTCTTTTTCCTTCGCCTCCTCTGCTTCCTTCTTGATTTTAGCCTTGATCAAAGCCCACGTCCGCGACCATCGTCCACGTAGAAACGCGAAGCGTGAGTCCGCACCGTGATTGGCCAATATTCGCATTTCCAACTGCGCGGCGTTTGAAGAAGACAGTATGTGCGTCGCTGTCCGACGCATGACAGCTTTCTGAGGTTCGTCAGGCTTTGAGAGTGAAGGGTCAGCAAAGGTATTCCTTTCCCAGTGTAGACATACCTCCTCATCACTACCGCCCCATTCATCCTCTGGAGGGTCTATCACCTCACCTTCTCTAGCTTGCAGCGCTCGCAATCGATCCTCTCGGTTCTGAGCAATTCGCTTGCGGCGCTTCTCACGACGAAGATCCTCAATCTCCTCAGCTGTGAGTAAGGTGTCTTCGGCGTCAGAAGGCAGGTCAGAGCACCCTGACGGTGAGCCAGGTTGTATTGAGACAGAAGGTTGGGTAATCGTTGGAGGTAAAGCATCCACAGTCAATTGATCATCGCATCTATTGTGGACTGTCAACCTCTAGGCATAAGCAGGGCGGAAAGGGCGGAAAGAAAGATACCAAATTCATCATTATCGTGGTCTCCTCCAACATATCATCACACAAATAGCACTTATCATGAGCTCAAACGGGCGTAGCCCTTTTTAAGGGAAAAGGAGCGATGAATCATACAAGAATGCATACACACCTATCTACACACGCATCCCCTGAATCGTCGGTATGGTTTCCACTTCCTTCCCATCTCAACGAGCTATCTCCTGCCTTCATCCCTTGCAGACCCGAGGTGGGTTCATCAATCATGATCTCTAGGGCGCGAGCTGCTGGTGGTTGTGATCCACAGATGACATCCGCCTCGTAGGCGACTATGAAGATGGCTGGATCTGTTTCTCTAAGCTGTGCATCCTGCGCACCGGTAGAGTAGGACCCTCGGTGTTCTGATATCTGCGCAAGCTTGCGCTTGCGAGACTGTGACATCAGCAGAAAGTTCGTGAAGAGGCTACTGAGCGGCGGCACGGTAAGGCACGGTATCGAAGCGTGGCGGTTTCCAACCAAATCGGGCTGATCTCAGGCAGCAACGTAAGCGATTCCTCCTTCAACCTCCGACGTGGCCTGTGGATATCCGTATCCGACTCTGAGTCGACCAAATTCAGGGTTTTCGCTTGATAGCTCAAGGAATGTAGACTCGAAGATATCCTATCCAGGATACCTGCTCAATCCATATGTCATTGCACTCATCTGATTGTGATTCATCAATCGCGGTGAGTGACAAGTTGTAAGGCTCGGTGAGTGCTCACCGCGACTGCCGTGTCTGGATGTCGATGGTAGGTCTCTCGGCCTCTATGTATCAAGGCCCTGTGAGGCATCCTCGCTTCCAGGTTTGACATCACTTGATCCTTGAACTTTTGCGGGGCCTTATCGGTTCCCAACTCAGTTGTCCATGTACCACTTTGCATCTCTTCCTTGATTTCAGGAGCTCTCTCACCTGAGCTGGTCATTTCCACACCTCTTTTCTGCGATCCCACAGATGACGATGAGTGCCACAAGCCAAGGGTCTCCCGTACATCTAGATATCCACGGTGGACAATGTCCAGGAATCTACCAGTCATCAATCCATCACGGCTGCATGAAGCAACCGTTCATCTATCGTTGTCAGGCCTACGACTCCCACTACTCACCAAAATTGCTTCCAGCTCTACCAGCGATAGATCGTATCCAGCATGGCATTCTAATGATCATCATTAAGCCCCAGAATTCTGATATCCTGGCATGACAGTACTGCGATCCCTCTTAAACACAGGGACACGAGGTGTTCAGCACTGTGTCTGCCTGTGACCCCTCTCACTCCTTTGCCATGTCGAGGTACAGTCTCGATGGTTCTTTGACCCGCTTACAAGCCTTCAACGTGAGTTGCGATAGTATTACTTTGATTATAATAGATCTCATCGTTATTGGAACCTGTCTGTAAGTATGTACAAGGTAAGATATTTTCTAGAAGTTCGAAGTGAATTCTAAGGGATAGTTTATTTTTTAAACAGTCGCTTGTATGATGATCTTGGTGAGCGTTTTGATTTTGAAATCATTCGCCCTCACTTACGGAGGAACACAGATTCAAGATTGGTTGGTGCTGTTTGGAGAAGAGGTACGTTCCTAGTGTATCCAATCCTTTGTCATTATTCAACTTTTGTCAATATTTTCAGGTCGATCTCGTCTGGAATTCGCAGTGGTCGATTCCAAAGTTGTTGTACATTATCAACCGCTACGCTCCTTTTGTCGACGTAACTCTCGACTTGTATCGTAAGGGCCATTCCAAACTTTGATATCACCTGCTTGATCAGATTCCGCTCAGATTCGCTCTCCAAAAGTATTTCCCCCGAGGTACCTTCTCCCTCTGAGGTTCAGTGCGATGGCTGAATTGTAGAATGGCTGAATCTAGATGTGCCGCACGACCTACGGTATCTTCACCGGTGAAAATCGACTATCAGTGCTTCGAGATTACATCCTGATCAACTCCCGCACAGTTTCGATGGTTCTTGGATTTTCCCTCACCGAAGGTATCGTTCTTTCGTCTTCCTTTGAATTTGAATGATTGACTGCTACTTAGCCGTCATGATTCTCCGTGTATATGCCCTATACAATGGCTCTAAACGTATACTGAGGAATCTTGCGAGCCTTTGGATCGTAGGTGTCGCCAGCTTGCTTCAATGTCACGGATGTTCACTTCATCATAGTGCATGTTCATCACATCAATTGTCCTCCTCGTGTTCAGTATGCGAGCCTATATACGTAAGAGTCTAAAAATCTTGCTGGTGGTAGCTCTTCCCAGCTGAAATTCATTGCGAAATACCTTCTTTCAGCCCGAACTATTCCAGGAATTAGTGGCTGTCAACCCCAAGGGAATGCAAATAGCCCCTACCTTGGTGCCCTATTTGGAAATTTAGGATTTATAGAGACGAGTGAGTTTGATTCGAAACTGACCGGACATATTTTGATTCTCGATCCTGAAACCATTTGATCAAAGTCATCGTGTCTATCACGATTCATAGAGTGTTCTATGAGAGAGGTAATTTGCATCCTATTATATGCCTTCTAGACATATATTCTGACTCTACCTTAGCTCGATACGCAGGAGCGTCGATGCCCGTGTTACTCAAGACATTATATCTTGATGGTGAGTGAGGTCTTCCAGCTTTGAGGTATATTCTGGCATCCCCATCTGTATACATTCTACAGGTATATTATTCTTCCTGTTCATTATAGGTGCGTCATCTGTGATACGTGTTTACAAAGTGTTATTACTGACCTATTTTTTCACAACAACTCAGGTTCTTCATACATCAATTTGTTCTTCATCTCTATGTCATCCGTAAATGTGCGTATGAAGCCCGTGATCAGCATCTCAAAGAGCCATATTCATAGTCTTAATTAGTCAGAGTGGACTGCCATCTTCATCACGTATGTGGAGATTCTCTTTATTATTCCACCCCCTGAAGTGCTGATTACAGTGGACATTTTGTAGTCCGACGCGTGTCTTCCATGGTCTGTTGTCCTGCCGCATGCTATTGAACCTCCGGCGTGTGGCAGCTGGCACTCGATCTCTTATGTTACCTAGCTTTAAGAATACCATAAACGATTCTATCACACTCCAGTAAGACCTTCGCCCTATCGAACCTAGTCAAGAGACACTATTTTTTTCTATTCCACCATATCTAAATTTCGGCTACTCTTAAATTGGTCGGTCTCGTACCTTTGTATACCGCAACCGCCGGGAGACATACGGTGGCATATATATCATGATTCACTTCCGCAAGCCCCACGGTCTGGTCATCTCAAGAGAAGGAAAAGAGAGAAAGTAAATTTAAACAAAAAGAAAGTAGGAGGTGACCCGTGACGTGAGGGAAAATGTGACCCGGCGTTGCAGTGTCACAAGCTATGTCACGACCCGCCTGCGAACTTGCGGTCATTCGGCCCTCTGCTCGCCGTACAACAAAATGGTGAACACCCTTCACCTGCAAGGCTTCCAAGGACGCTAACTCATCAATTCTTACATAGGCTCGTAATGAGGAGAAGGCGCAGTCTATGCTCTACCGCTTCCGTGAAGCCCAAGCGGCAGAGCTTGGGCTAGGTACGCGGAGCGACCGACGTCCACGCATGGCGAGCGCGTGCAAGAGCCTGCGTGACTGTGAGCGCTGGCGTGGCGAAATTCTGCGAGAAATCAGTCGAAAGGTATCTAAAATACAAGACGGTCAGTGTCCACACTGCAATGGCGCGAGCTTCAAGTTAATCTGTCGAAACACAGCTGGACTGTCAGACTACGAAGTCCGTGACCTGAACGATGATATCAACAAATTGATGCGGGAGAAGAGGCATTGGGAGAACCAAATTGTGGCTTTGGGAGGCGCGAATTACAGGCGAAATGTAGCCATGTTGGACGATGACGGGCGGGAGGTTCCTGGAACGAAGGGATACAAGTGCGTGTTGCTTCATCCCAATGCTTCCTTCAAAGTCATACTCACTACAGGGACGCGCAGGTATTTTGGAAGAGCAAAAGAGCTTCCCGGCGTCCGAGAGCTCTTCGAGAGTCGCAAAAAGGAAGAAGATGAAGAAACAGCAACACAAAGCTTCTTCAGACGTTTCACGAACCAGGGACCATCTTATTTTGGCGATTTGGACGAGGCGGATGGATCTTTATTGCAATACGAGCAAGACGCTGAACAAGAAGGTACGTTTCAGCATCGTGTATTGCTGTCAACGTACACTCAATGCATTAAATATGTGACAGAGTGGAATGAAGCCTATGAGAATCTGCGAGAAACGCTGGGTCTTCCAGCAGATGAACCAATACCAAAAATACCTCGATCAAACGTTTCACACCCATCCCAAACGCTTCCCCCTTCTGACCCACCACCTTTATCCTCTGACGCTAAACGCAAAGCACCATCGGACGACAACGATGAGAAAGACGATAATCAGAACTCTGATGCAGCAAAACGATCTAAAACAGACGCTGTCGTACCTTCGACAGGGTCGGAACGCCGAACAGCAGACCCGACGGATGTGCTGGTGGCACATGCCAGAGCGGCGGCAGCGTACATACAGTTCTTGGAGCCAGAGAATCTCCTTCCTCCCAAGATGCCGTCGAAAGAGGAAATGGAAGGTGTATTGTTAGAGCTAAGAAAGAGGGCTCTTGTGGATGAGTATTTTGGGAACTAGTGAGATGGCGGACAGTTCCTATCCTTGCGGGGTGAGGCCCAGTGAGAACCCCCGCTATTGTAATCTAGACATAACCAGCCACATCTATGTCGTGATCGGCCCACCTATTAGCACCTAGTACTATTGTAAAACACTACAGAAACATCCTTGAGAAAGCCAAAATCTGTCACAAAACAAGGTACAATCAGCATATTCCACCTGTCCTCTCGAAACAAACCCCAGCGGGCGAGAGCTTGACGAGATTCCTGCCAGGTTGGGCACGTGACATGATCAACAGCGCGCGGGCGGGGCGCGCGTAGTATTGGTCGCGTCCGGACTCTGGGACGCTTCCCGCTCTTCCCTTTGCATCCTCGTAAGTGCTTCAGCTGTTTATTGACCCTCTTGAATCATACCTGAACGCAGTTAGGATGCCCCGAGCTCCGAATGGGCGGTACTACTGTAACTGTATCCAGCACTGCGGGGGCACCTGGCAAGAACGGAGTCGCAGAACGCACACTCGACATGCACCATATCGACACGTCACGTCTCGACACGTCGGCCATCCTACCACATCCTCCTCTTTTACAGATTTCATTAGGACGTTGGGCTCAGACCACAATGGCGAATCCGCACCAGTGTCCCAAAGGGGACATAGCTCAAACGTCGAGATAGCCGCACAGGTATGGTCTACCTCGTATAAAACACTATGTTTGGTGCTAATCACTCTTCTGAACACAGGCACATAACCTAGGGATCCTTCAGCCTGCGAGGAACTCCCGCGCGGACGGTGGCTTTGCCCAAAACACAGCTCTAACTGCTACCCCACCAATCGACGGCCATGGTGCCGTTCCAGTGCGGGACGGGACAGCGCCAATGGTCCATCCCACTACTGCCCCTCTCGCTGTGGCCGCGGTCTCTTTCTCGGGCCCATCTAGCCCATTGACCGAACTGGAGGGGGACGCTAGTCAAACGAGCCGCCCTCCACAGATTACTCTTGCTACACCGCATCCCAATGAGGCCATGTGCCCTCGTGAGACCACTGAGTCTCCACCTGATTCAGATCACACACCCCCACCCGGCAGACAAGACGAGTCACTCATTGACATATCCGCAAACATGACGCAGCCCGCTGGCACGTTGGTGCACACACCCGAGGAATGGCTCGACGGCGGTTTCCCTGATGGCGGCATCTTGCTAGACACAGTGGAAGACGAACTCCTCAATGCGGGACCCTGTGGTGCTGCGGGTGCACTCAATAATGACGACGACAATGAAGACGACGACGACGTGGACATCACCGCGGAAAACTCTCCCTCCCTGATAGAAGACATCCGCATCACGGAGCGTTTCATCTCAGAACTCCAGACCGCCACGTTGAAAAATGGAGATCTTCCATTGAGCCTGGTTCAAACCTTGCAAGACCCGGATCACTGTCCCCAAGGGCCACTGGTAGAACTCAACGATCCCATCCTCCGACTCTCCCTCGATCTCTTCCTTGCGGTTAGCAATGCATCTCAGCAGACTTATACAGATATCGGGGCTGCGCTCATGCGATACCAGCCCGCCCTGAAAATCTTGTCATTCGATCAGATACAACGCCGCGTTGCCGAATTGAGTGGTGTGGTTCCGATCATCCATCATATGTGTGTCAACACCTGTGTCGCCTTCACAGGACCTTTCCGGGATCTGACCAAGTGTCCGGTGTGCTACGAGCTCCGGTACGACCCTCTCAAACCAGGCTCAAATGTGCCGCGGCAGGAATTCCATACAATCCCTCTAGGGCCGCAGCTACAAGCAGTTCGCCGTTCCGTCGAGGGATCCCAGGCCATGCGATATCGACATGCATGCTATGAGAAGGCCATCAAGGAGATCTACGCGAACCATTCTCTGGCAGAGTTCTGTGACGTCTGGCATGGGACGGACTTCCTCGACGCCGTTCAAACAGGGCATATCAAGCCCCACGATCCGGTTCTCATGTTCTCGGTTGATGGCGCACAGCTCTATCGCAACAAATCTTCAGATTGCTGGATATACATCTGGATCTTATTGGACCGCTCTCCAGACATGCGCTACAAGAAGAAGTTTGTCTTGCCTGGTGGATTTGTCCCGGGGCCATCGAAGCCCAAAAACCTAGATTCATTTATATTTCCAGGAATGTATCACTTATCGGCACTACAGCGTGAGGGAATGTGCCACTGGGATGCCATTGATGAGGCCGTTACGGATTCGAATCCCTTTCTTGCTCTGGGGACCGCCGACAGCCCTGCCATGGCAATGATCTTTGGGGGTGTCGGCCATCACGGCGCCTATGGATGTCGTTTATACTGCCCTCAAAAAGGACGTCACAAGCGAGGCGGGGCACAATATTATCCTGCATGCTTGAGGCCCTGTGATTGTGAGGGTGTTCCTGAGGAGCCTCCAGATTATGATCTTCGGACGATCAAGATTCCTTCCGCACAAGAGACGGAGGCAAGGTACATGCATCTATTTAATAGGAACACTCAATGAATCTCAATCCTTGCACAGATATTTATCCAACTTGAAGTTTGTTTCACAAGCATGCACGCCTGCAGAGTATCGTGCTCGCCGACTGCAGACAGGAGTCTGTAAACCTTCAATATTCAGTGGTCTAGACCCAACCCGACGTCTTCGCATTCCTGCATTATTTCCTGCCGACCTTATGCATCTCACATCCTTGAACCTCACCGATCTCTTTGTGGGGTTGTTTCATGGGACACTTGATTGCAGTGCTTCGGACAATCGTTCGTCCTGGTCTTTTGCAGTCTTTCGAGATCCAGTAGTTTGGCAAATCCACGGCAAGGCAGTCGCCGCAGCAACTCCATATCTCCCTGGTATTTTTGATCGTCCTCCCCGTAACCCTGCCGAAAAAATCAACAGTGGGTACAAAGCGGTTGAGTTCCTTACATGGATCTATGGTCTCGCACCAGCCCTTCTTCATGGTGTACTTCCTGATCAGTACTGGAGAAACTTCTGCAAGTTGGTTGCAGGTATCCGTCTTGTGCATCAGCGCAATATTAGACAGACTGAACTCAAACTTGCTCATCGGCTCCTGATTGAGTTCTCGGAAGAGTTCGAGCAGCTGTACTATCAGCGGAAATCTAGTCGTCTACACTTTTGCCGACAGAGTGTCCACGCACTTTCACATCTCGCTCGACAGGTCACACGGTGTGGCCCCCCCGGTTATACTACGCAGTTCACTATGGAGCGAATGATCGGTGACCTTGGGGGGGAGATAAAACAACACTCGAATCCATATGCCAATCTTTCACAGCGTGGGGTTCGTTGAGCACAGGTGAATGCACTGAAGGCCATGGTACCCAATCTTGATAACAGCACAAAACACCTGCCGCGTGGCTCCAAAGACTTAGGAGACCACTACCTTCTTTTACGAGCCCAAGATTCTTGTGCACGCTCGGTACTACCTGCTGAGGCAATGGTGATAAAGACTTTCTTTCGAGAGGCCGGCGGAGTATATGATGATGTGGGTAGTCTCGAACGAGACTGGGTTCCAAAGGTGCAGCGTTGGGCTCGCCTGCGACTGCCAAATGGACAGGTTACACGGTCCTTGTGGAAGGAATCCCGCAAGCCTGTTAACAAGGTCAGAATGGCCCGCAACGTTAAGGTGAATTCCTCATTGCTGGTTTTTGCATCTGTATGGCCTCGGATAGTACTGACCATGATAATCCTGCAGATCATCTCTGCAGGTCTCATTCAATTTGCAGAAGTGCGGTACTATTTTACCATGCGCATTCAAGGCGAGGTTGTTGCACTAGCGCTCGTCAGTTTGTTCTCGCAGCCCGACACTGAGCTCATGAAGGCTTCCTCGAACACGGTCCTTTCTTGCGAGCATCGAGGGGATTCTGCACTGGCTGTCATCAATGTGAAGACCATTGTAGCAGGCGTAGCAATGATCCCGCACGGAGATGGTCTCCCAAACCTGGGCTCGCGTTTTTTCGTAGTGGAGAAGATGGGACTCGAAATTGCGTCTATGGATGGAGTAGCCGAAGATGCAGCAGATGATTAGAGTACATTCATGTAGCGACGTCTTTTACATCCTATGGACTCGTGCGGTGCCGTTTCAATGGGAAACCTGAGTGGATAACCTTGTGCAAGTGATCTTTGTTATAATTATTGCTACGTGATTCAAATGCAAGCTGAGACTCCTCAGTGACTTCCTCTTTCACTCCATATGAATCATGGTTTGCGGCCATGCGCACTTCCAATGCCCGGTCTCGGATGTCGTTGAAAGTGAGAATCGTCTCCGGAACTGTTGCGGTGAGTCGACACAACTGGTCTCGTATGTCTTCCATCCACCGCTGGAGTTTAATCAGCGCGCGTGTACTGTTGTGGTATTCCTTTTCCAAATTGTACACGTATGCGCGCATCGTCCTCAGTTCCATGCAACCCTCACAGGCTGAGTTTTTGTGGTCAATGTCGTGCCCTACATCTCCCGGTAATGGTCATTTGATGATAACAGATGCTAGAGAAGACTTACAACCACTCTCGGGCAGTTCCATGCCATCACTTTCTGCATGGTACGCTCCCCATTTGCTTCCATCACCGCTACTTTCGGCTGTCTCGCCACTTCCAGGATCGTCCCTCATCAAAGCACCAAAGTACTGTGTGTCCGTGGTTTGGGTGTCCAGATACCCACCAGGGCCAAGCAAACTACAAAGTAAGTCAGTACACTGTGAACTTATCAAAAACCCGACAGGCTATGTCGAGAACACACAATGAGATACAATCTTGTTCCGCAGTCGGCCGCGGACGAGTACGGGGTGGACTCAGTAAGTCTTCTGGATCTTGTGAAGGTTCGTAGTCACTGGACAACATGGCCAGACAAGACGTGCAGGAACGGGGGGGTGCTGTTGGACGAGAATGTGTGGTGAAAGTGCTAGACAGTACTAGCGGCTGCCAATGGGTGCGTGACTTTATCAAATTCTACTTTACATATCAGGCAGTTGATTTTTTTCGAGCACGCTGCCCTCACTCTCACACATCTCTGCCATTCTGACGGCAAGATGGTGTATCTGACAGGGATGTCGATACCAACCGCTTTGGGGATCCCTTCGATGCCATCTGACTACTCATTTCGACAAACACCCAGCCGATCCGGATCCGTAGGGCCCTCCCACGGTCCCCAAGACCATGGCACAAGCTCGCCCTTTAGATCATCTGGCAACTATGCTCAGGATTTTCAGTCCAGTCGTGGAGGAACACCCTTCGACCTCTCTGCGGACAGCACCTCTATGTACAGCTACGCGGGCCCTCCAAGCGGATATGCGTCGACAACCTCGTTCGGTAGATCTGGACCGCTTCAACGCTTCCTACCAAATATGCCGACCCCTCGCATGACAAACACCCCCGAGTCTTCCCAGATCCCCACAGGATCATCTGGCACAGAGTTGCTTGCACTTCAAACAGAAATTAAAGTCCTGCAGTGAGTTTTCCAATTCTCCAAGCACTACATGAACGATGTTAATTTCTCTCTCACAGTGTAGCGCTGAAGGGAATTCTCTCCGCTATCCCGGATGTGCTTGCAATGAGCAATGCTCAGTTGCCCGACAACTTCACAGTGCCCGATCCGGCCCCCAATGCGAAACGACTTTACCCGAGCAGCAACACTGTTGCGAACGGACCCCTGCGTGTGCGTGATCCATTGCCTGCTATCCACCGCACGGACGTCCCTTTAGTTACTATATGGACCACACAAGACTGGGCCGACACGCCAAAGGACGATGACGCGACCGATCCCAATCAGGTCAAGAAGAAGAAGGGCAAGACGAATGCTTACCTCGGTCACAACATGACAATGAAGTACGTCCAGGATCAGCAAGGTAAGGTTATCGATGGCTATTATGCCTCCGCAATTCGTGACGCTGCCTACCAAATCTGGTACGAGCTCTTGCTCCGGGGCATAGCCCCTCCCAAGTGGTCGCAAGTGTCTCTTGGCGCCTCCGACTTTTACTACCAGGAAATGGAGTATAGATTCCCCGAGCTGCGTTTCTGCGGTGGACCACCGGCACACTGGAAGTCACGCCATATCGCCAGGGACAACTTTCCCGCTTTCGTGCAGGGTCTCTCAAGAAAGAATATGACGCACCTGCTGCGGCCTCTACCATATGGTGCCATTGGACCATCGATTACCGCCGAAGGAGATCCATCACAAGAGCAGGAAAGCGAGGCGGAGATGGTGTTGATATCAGACCTCCCGACACCATTGCACGGGAAGCGCTATCCACCAAAGAACGCTGTGTCATCTACAACAACACCAAATGCGGCCAAACGACAAAGACGCCTGCCTGCACCTGACACCACGACGGCCCCCACAATAACCACAATTATACAAGATCCGTTGTGCGTGCTCTCTCCCTCGCCAATCCTTGTTTGACATTTTTCTCTATTAGGGCCAACCTATTTCTGCCAACGTCACCTTCTCAGACTCTCGTGACCCCTCACACAGACGTTGCAGCAGGCAGCAATATGGGCACTCCAGTTTTGTCACACGAGAACATTCCAGTACCAGCAAATCCATTGCCACACAACGAGCACCTTATGGGAATACCGCTGACGCAGATTTTGGAGCCTGCCGTCAACCAGAGCACTCGCAAGAGCGTACCAGCAGAATCATTACCCCGGCACGCCATGGCTCCTACCACTAACGAGCAGGTCGGATTTATAACCCATTGAGTCATTGAGAAAATGCACTGACATTCCTTTAGGAAATCACCGAGCGCACTGTCGCCCTCGATCATGCAGGGGTTCCCAACAACACACACAACGCCGCATCAGATGGACTCAGCACCAATATCATTGCGGCACGCAGCACGCACACGGAGATGAGCGCCATCGCTCGTGCACACACCACCGCTCCTACGACTGACACATCACTTAATCTAACAGCCTGCCCATTGCCAGCCACCATGATCCCTGGTCCTGCAACTGCAATTCTGCAACCGGGAGAGGAATCGGGTACAACAGGGCCAGCTCCACCCACTACTCCTCCTGCGGGAACACCGGCTACAAGCGATCGCTTGTGGCCACTACGAACGGTCACTGGAAGGTATATTCCTACGAGTTTATATGTCCTTGTGCGAGTGCGACTTGATCCTGACTTCTAGTCACATAGAAACATCTGTGGGTTTCGATGGAAGGAGAAGACGCCCAACGCGAGCAAGCAAGAGTTTGACTTGTATTGGAAGATGTTACCCAAGCCGGAAAAGAAGGTGCGCACAGTAGGACATATGGGAACCACTGTTGTGTATTAACATCTTTTCCTTATCAAATAGGTGTATAACGATGAAGCAAAAGGACTGGTATGTGCGCTCGACGTTACACATATGAACTTCTTCATTTATATGTCTTGTTGACAGAAAGCCACGCGAATCGCGTAGGCAGCGGTCCATTGATCTATTTTCAAGCTTTTCAAGTGGTCCTGTATTTACCGTGGTGTAGTCACAATCAGTTCTAATCGGGTATTCTAAATGGCTGGGCTAGGTGGTAATATACATTACAAGCAAGATTATGTAGACATTGCTATACCCGATGTGTCGTGTGCTAGGAGACAATAGGGCGGCCAATAATATTCATTCGTCCTGCTATATAGTGATAGGAAAGATCGTCGACAATACCATTGGTGATCCGGTGATATAGCAACATATAGCACCACCATCGAGACAGTACATGTTGCAATGGTATCAGACTGCAATACATAGCAATATAACACAATAGAATATGTATCTAGTAAAGAGCCATTTTGCTATCATTGGATAGCAGGATCTATCTCCGATGCCTCACTGTGAGCATGCTAGCTCTGACTAGATCTGACTAGCCGCGGTTCTCACTGGGGGTGAGGTATCACATTGGATCAGAGCGCGCCTGTATATTAGAACCCCGTTCCTACTTATGATCAGCGTATTGGCCCAGACAATCTCATCATTGTATTGTGCACACAGATGTGTACTTCATCGCCTGTTTTATCCTTGATCACGTATTCACGACACCATGACATATTCAAGTCTCATTGAAAGTGAGCCAGTTGAATCATATACACGTAGCTTGTCTCGCCCTCCGATTTCTAAATTCGTTTGTGCGGATCCTGACACTGATTTGTCATGCCCAAGTCTCACCCTGAGCGCTGAGCGCTGAGAACATACCGGCTCACACTTCCTAAGTTGGTGTATACACTACCTACGAAGATCAGAGCAACGGCACTAAACTGGCCTAAAATATAGACGATGTATCCATATGGTTCTGACGATCTGACATCTTATTCGTACTTGATTTTTTTGCTCCACGACTCCAGCGTCTGATGATTTTGTGATCAGGGAAATTTGGAACAAGCATTTTGGCTTATGGTGTGTGAATGTATTGACGGTAATGATCTATCTTGGTACAACAATGATATAATACGTTTCAGAACCGTTATGGGAGCACATCTACCAGCAAAAAAATATGAAACGCTGTCCTAGGGCAAGAAGCCGCCGCTCCTCCAGCTAGCTAACCATCTCTTTGCATTCTCCGTTCCCAGCTGCGGCGCATCTTCCCTCAAAGTCTTCGACACCTTGATAGCTTTGTCCGTTCCAAGCCTTGCAACGGCGACCGGTTCCCATTCCGGCCCTATTCGAGCAAGGCGGAAGAAATCGAGTAGACGCAATGCAGGGTTCTGCTGGAGGTGCTCCACTTCCGACACTGAAGTATCGCTGAAATCTTTCTCAAGTGCGTCTAGCCACTGGGTGTACGGCACAAGCGGGACGCCCAATTCCGATGCGATAGGTTCGATGAGGGATGTGAACGTGACTGCCCGCGGATGGGCGAGGTGGAGCGTTTGATATGGCGATTCGGTCATATCAATGATGGCCGCAGCTGCGTGGGGGGAAGTGATCCACGAGACAAGCTGGAGGATGCAGGATCAGCACGACAACCTTCCCCAGAGAGGATTCCGGACAGGTAAAACTCACTCCATCCAAGTTGGGTAGACATTTCACAGCGAAAGCTGACTTGACGATCGACGGGAACCACTCAGATTCATTCCAAGTGCCGTTCATGTCTCCGCTGACCTGTCCAAGACGCACAATCACCGGGCGAAGATTCGTCTTTTCGGCTGCAGCGTCTAGGATGCGTTCGGCGATCCACTTGGACTCTGAGTAGCCAGTGCCAACGGCAATTTGCGGATCGTCCAGGCGCTCTTCCTTGACATAACCTCTGTTTTCGAAATCTGCGGAAGTTCAAAAGCATGTGGTGAGGGGATGCTTGTGAATTTAGGGGATCTTGCCTACTGATGAAGACAGCTATGGATGAAACGAAGAGCAGACGAGGAGGTTCGGCACGAGGCGATGTCAACGCGAGATCGATGAGTTTGCGAACGCCAGCGACATTGCTTTCAAATGATAGCAGAGAAAGATTCAAGTTGATTCTCCATGCTGCACAAGGGTCAGCTCAGAGCAACATGAAAGACCTATGAGACTGACGCACCGCTATGAACAATGTGCGTCACGGAGTTACGTATCTGTGAATCACATTCAATATTACCGAAACGCTGTTCCAAATTATACTCTCACCTCATCGTACAACGCAGGGCTCGTGCCGAAGTTTGGTTCACTGAGTTCGCCTTCCACAAAGGTGAGTTTGGGCGAATTCAGCAATGCCTCGTCTAGTCCTCGCTTTCTGAAAGCCTCCTGCTGTCTTTGAAGCGAACTGGCCGACGAGGATGGCCGATTGAAAGAGTACACCTTCAACACTGTCCTAGCTGTGAGCAGTTGAGAGAGCACATTCGAACCTAAACCGCCAGTGCTGCCGGTCAAGAAATAGACTTCGCCAGTCAAATGAGATGAAGAGGAGCCGTCCGCAACAGGACGCGAGGGAAAATCGTTTGTGTAATGGTCCACCACCGCCTGAAGTTCGATACCACGCGTGGCCAAATCGACCTTCTGATTCATGTGGGGGTTAAGCACCGCTCGACACAAGTAGCCGACTATCTGATTGACAGTAGGGTAGTCGTAAACGAAGGTTGTTGGCAGTCGCTTCGCCACTTCCGGTGCAGTATCGCGCAGGGCGCGGAGAACAGAATTGCGGATCCACGTCGCCTGAAGACTGTCACAGCCGTTTTGAAATAAGTCTGCATCGTCCGGCGCGGACAGCTTCGTGACCTTCGCGACGACCTGTTGGACAAAATTCAAAGTCTCTGTAGGCGACCACTCGGCTGGACCAGCTATGTCCGCTTGAGAACTCTCGTCGATGGTGTCGTACAGTGAGTCGATTTCGGCCTCGTACTCCTTCAAGATAGCTTGACGTCTGGGTGTCATCTTGGCCGTATACACGAACGGTTTGGATGGCGATGCGACAATGATCATCTTGAAAATAAAAGCCAGGATTAGACGATGAACGCATGTTGCAAAGAATTGAGAGTAAGACCTCTTTGAACAAGCGGGAATGCTTCGGCGCATATTCGTTCATTCTCTCGACGGTGGACCTAAAGATACAGTTGTGTCAGCCATCAGTTAAAGCATGGTTCGAGTTGTTCAAATTACCAAATTGCATTCCGGAATTCCTCCAGTTTCCGCTCGTCCGAAGGATCAAACGCAAATTGAGGCTTTGGGTCGATCAACACACCGTTCTGGAATTTGCCTCTGCCAAACATGACGCTCCCCAAGACGTGTGGATCCTGGTTCAATATTCCCTCTACAAGATTGAGATATCTGAGCTCCGAGAGAGGAAAATACTCTGCGAAGCTTTCTCACCTAAGGGACCAGGATTGGTCTGATCCCATACAAATGGTCATAGACAGATTCGCATGCTATGATATCTATTTGCTTACCTTCTCACCAGTCGACAGCATGATTTGATCGTCTGACCGGCCGAAGATTTTCCATAACCCAGGCTTTGTAGGGTGAGGTGTCAATAGATCGGACGTAGCATACGCGTCATACCCATCTATTTTCGAATTGAATACGATAGGATGATGCGACTCATGATCCTATCCATGCGAATGAGCTGAGCGCAATCCGAACCTCGATCACAAGGAAACGCCTACTGTCAGAACCAATTCAAAAGTGCCATCATTCTGAGGCAGGAAAATGGGACGAGTGTGTGCTGACAAGGTGAGATATTCCCAATCTTCGCCGCGGCCATGTGCTTTTTCGAAGGAAATTCAGCAAACGCTAAGTGATACACACACGATGGTCTGCTCACCAGGTAAAACAGTGTTCATTACACCACATTCGGTACTAAGGATCGCATCAATGACAGGAAACTGCAGAGCAATGAAACGGCACTGACCACCCGTACTGACTGTGAATGACCACGCCTTCAGCTGTAAGATGATCTCCTACAGCTTTTGGAAGTGGACCACCTCCCCACATCTGAACGAGAGTTCCCTCATCAATGAAGTTCGAACACATGGGCTCAAATGACGAGAGCACACACCACGGCTTTCATGGTTTTCATATACTTTACAGCATCTGGAATTCTTGACCATACCTAAGATAATTATAATTTCCGGAAAGGAGCCAATAAGACACAACAAATTTTGAACAATCCCGGATTCCCTTACTTCCAAAAATGTAGGGGCCGCCGCTCCAATCGTAGACTTTGATACGATCATACCTTCCAAAACGTTCTGGGGATTTGGCATGACCGCCGGGAATGTCGGTTTGAAAACTGACATTGAAACACCAGAGGATACCTGTAACACCGATGACTCGACATAAAATGGAAGAATGTCGAGATACCATACCACAAGCCCAATCTGTAGTATACCCATGCCGTGGAAGACAGGCATAGCGTGGCACGACATGACTTGGCCGCACAGGTCCATCTCTCCGTACCCTGTTTGATCATATTGATGTTCCGTGACTGTTGGAGTAGCATGGGATGTACGTACATGGGATGTAGCAGAGCGACACGAGATGCTTGTGGAGCCAAGTTATTGGTTTGGGATAAGCAGTTGACCCTAGGAGAAGAATCGCTCGTTATTTAACGATGAGTGGTGCATTCAGATTGACCAACCAGAAGAATGCATTATGATTGCAGGCGCATCGAGATTGTAATTCACAGACGGGTATGGTTCAAAGTCGCCGTTGAAGACCTTGTCAGTGTAGAGGTCTTCAAATTGGGGCATAGTGGATATGACAAGATCCAGCTTGTCCTCATCCTTGTTCAGAATTTCCAACGTTGCAGCCGCAAGCTTCTGGAGCACAGGCTCCCCACTAACGAGCACTATTCTCGCTCCTGTTTTCTTTAGCAGGTGGGCGATGGCTTCCGGTGAATTGCGGGGGGAGATCGGGAAGACAGTGAAGCCAGCGCGAATGATACCAATTTCGGTCGTGACATAGGTTATCGTATCTGTAGAGACCTTGGTATCCACTTTCAAGTATCGTCATTTAAAAAGACTTACCTGTAGTAGCCAGTGTACCAACAACAATGGGTCGTCCGTCTATAGCAGCCGATACCACTTCCAGTGGAACTTTGGATGCGATTATACGAGCAGCTTGATGCATAGCACGTACAGCGGGCCCCCAATGTATCGTCTTCATCTCCCCTGGCTGGTCTTCGTACAAAAATAACGGATGATCTGGGCTGTGTTCATGTTGCCAGTCATAGAGGTGGGTAAGTGTTAACGACTCGTCATGGAGAGGAGGGGCGTGGAAGGTGGTACTATTTAGCGCTTGGGTCTTCGGCAGGACGATCATTGTCGGGTGGATGAGAATGTCGGATGCACCGTGTGAGCTGGGGGAGAAGAACAGGACATATCTAGCTGCTGCGATCTCTTATATCGGATGCGCGTCCAATCGTCAAACCGGCATCATTACGCTATAAGCATAACAGTCGGGGATTGGGTCATAACAGTCGTTCATATCCTGCGATGCTGGAGAATGACAGTTTTCATTCGTGAAGTCGCGAGACAGTTAAAAACTGAAAAAAAGAGAACCGAGCGGCTTTCGTCTTGAACAACGGTGCAAACGAAACGTCGAGCAAAAGAACGGCAACAAATCAGCTGCACGATGTGATCTGGCTGACGACTCATGTGACGTGACGCGTCGCGTTCGCTTTGCAAGGTAACTGAGGAGCGCCGAGCACGATGCAGCGATGTTATAGTCATACAGCTTGCTGACCGGAGATTGATTGCAAAGCAAATGTATGACCGCTACCTGTGCATGATCAGTAATTCAAAATTATCTCCAAACTGGAATTGATATCCCTTATGTACATACCGTGAATAACAGGCCTTGAGTGCTGAGTGCTGGGTACTATTGATAGAGAACAAGTATCGCCAACCAGCGTTGCAACTTCCTGTGGTAAGGAGTCGATTTATCAGGAACCCCATTCACGTCCTCAAAACCTCGAGTTGGTCCTATAGATCCACCTTGGGAATATGTGCCGGTCGGTCGGTTGTCAGGCGGAGTGGTGGAGGAAACCCGGAGGATGAGGACGATCAGATTACTAATCTCCCATCAGGTTTTGTTCGTATCATAGCGTACCATACGGATCGTAACACTATCGTAACCTATCGTAACGAGCTAGCGATTGATACGTGTACACAAGTCTCTGCCCTGGCGATTGTCAGTTATGTAGCATGCGCACTCTTCCAGCAGGTGGTAGAACAAATCAGTAGCAAATCAGCTGCTGAATTCGTCTTGTCGGTGGAGGATTGTTACCTTTCCGAAGGGGATCTAGTCTCCGTGGCTGGCCTTACACAGAAGATGGCCGACCGCACGCCTCCGCGTACCCGAGCAGAAGGATCAGAATCAGTAAATCCATATTTCCTGTTTTCGGACCCGTGCTTATTTACGTCTTTCGATCGATCGAAAATCTACTTGCCAGGTGCAGGATAATATAGCAGTAATAGAGCCCTACCGTGATGGACGGCTGATTGTCAGCGTGTGTTCTGATACCTGAGTATTCATTGGGCTGCATCAGAAACTCAGGCTCCTTATTTGGTGCCTAACGTCAACACATTGCAAAATGTGCAGCCAGGCGCAGAAGTGATGCAGACAGGTGCAGACATGGACAATTGATTTGGATCGGGGCGATACAGGGCGATACTTCGTCACGATCACGTAGATGGCGCTTCGGAAGATCTAGCAATTTTCGAATTGGCCAGAGTGGTCCGTGGTTATCCTCTCTCCGCTCACGTACTTATAGACGGGATAGACAAATGTCAATCACCCACAGTCTGCAGCTCTCCCCCCTGCATTGCTCAAAGCTACCACCTCCCATTTCGACAAGTCGATACCATCCATCATGGCCCCCACTGATGCGACCCCACTCGTCAAGAAAAATGCTGAGAAGCTGCCTTTCCCTCTCGGCCTCGTCTCCCCAGGTGTCCGACCTTACCTGGAGCTCATTCGCTTCCACAAAGTGCGTCTATATGCCATCCTCACATTTTTTTCAATTCTGATTACATGCGACTTCCGTGCTGCTAGCCTACAGGAACAATCTTGATGTTCTGGCCTTTCGGTGTGTTATCATGCTTCCATGTCTTGCTACATCTGTTGATTCGCTGGCCTTACAGCATGGGGCTTGACTTTGGCGGCGTATCGCACTGAACTTCCTCTCAATCGTTATTGGGTTGAACTCGCGAAGTCTCTTTTTGCTGCTTTCATTGTTCGTGGGTCGGCATGTACGATCAATGACATTTTCGACCGAGAATTCGACGCAGGGGTCGGTCAGTACATCTCCTTATGAGCACGTCTCGCTGACGCTAACGTCATGATGACAGAAAGAACAAAGGGTCGCCCCTTAGCTAGCGGTCGTGTTTCTGTTTTTGCTGCAGTCGTATACCTCATCATTCAATACATAATCGGGATCATGGTTTACGTCTCCTACAATGACATCGCTCTATACGCCGCCATCCTCCAGCTCCTTCCTCTGTAAGCATCGTATCGGGTGTCATCAGCGAAAGACCTATTAACGTTCAATAGATTCCTCATATATCCTCTCATGAAGCGAATCACATATTGGCCGCAGGCATGGCTGGGCATTTGCATGAACTTCGGTCTTGTCGTTGCTTGGGCGGCAGTTACTGGTGGCCTTGACACCCAGCTGCTCGCTGTGTTGATGGCGGGGACTTGGGGATGGACCATGCACTACGGTTAGCCCATTTCCTCACCTTTCCGTATGCGAATACAGGAGCCCATGAGAACGATATCCATCAGATACCATCTATGCATGCCAGGACCGTCGTGATGACATCAAGGTCGGTGTCAAGTCGACTGCAGTTATGCTCGGCGACTACGTCCGCCCCTTCTGCTTCGTCCTCTCTATGATGTTCATCGGCACCCTGTACTACGCTGGCATCCTCAATCACCAGACTCCTTATTACTTCTGGATTTCCGTTGGTGGCACCGCACTTCACATCCTTTATCAATACGCCACTGTGGACCTCGATTCGCCAGACAGCTGTGGTCGTGAGTATTCGATCCTTTAGACCCGTTCCTAGTGATCGTTATTGACTATGTATGCAGTTAACTTCATCCGCAATGGCCACTTGGGATGGATCACCTGGGCGGGTATGATGGTTGATTATCTTGTCAAAATCGACCAGCTTCCCGTCAAGCTGCCTTTCTGATTCTTTTTATGCCTTTCGTTTGCGTGCGATTTGTGATCAGAGTTTCGTCTGGAGACGGCCCATCTAGAGAGCGCCATCGCTGGCACTATGAAAATTCCTGAATCTGTTACATGTGTTCACTATGCGCCTCCCTTGTTGTAAAGAATACTGTCTAATGATCAACCAGAGCCTGACTATCTTCAGGCTGCTGCAGTCGGTTCACGAGTGAAGGATAGTTCTAGAGCAAATGACGCCTTCATTGAGAATTTGCTCCAAAAACATCCCTTAAAAATTTGGACCAGAGTGGGATTACCATAATAAGTAATTCAGTGGCGCTCGTGGTTTCAAGTTGCCAGCTACTATTTCCTCATTGCCTCCCTCTTTTATCTTGGCCAGCTCAACGACGACTCATGTCTTCGCTTGAGCCCTCTGAAGGGCCATGGACTCGATACAGGCTCTACATGCTCCTTGGGATACTCATGTTCGCCTTCGCGCAAGCTGGCTTGTACGCTGGCCACCGCTCGGGGGAGAGCAATTTCCCTGGGAATGCTCTGTCTGCTACATCCGGATCGGCTTCTACACCCCATAGAATCTTGGGCCAGCACCCTATTGCCAAACTAATGAACGAAGCAGAGGCCAAGTTTCGTAAGCTGCTATCGAAGCAGAGCCAGACTCTCGAGGCGGCCGTAGTCGAATACAAGAAGAGGTATCGCCGGGACCCGCCAAAGGGATTTGATGCATGGTGGAAATTTGCACAGGAAAACAACGTGCGGATGGTGGACGAATATGATGGGCTAATGGAGGATTTGGAGCCATTCTGGCAGATGACAGGAGCAGAATTTAAACGGAGAGCCGTACAGGTGCGTTATTTCCGCGGAGTTGCATGTTAGAGCTGGAGGCTGTCCATATTGCGCGAATTCATGATTGAGGCTGCAGCCCAGAACAAATGGCAGCTCGTTTGCTTAGCTGGAGGTTGTACCACATTCATCGTTACTGATATGTTGCTCGGATATTAGGCTGGCCAGCTTCCCTCTGTAGACTTGGTGAGAATCCGGGCTGGCGAAGCTGAGGCGGTCAACATCAAGCCTGCTTATGATGACGACGATATCGGCATGCGCGCACGGAGCTTTCTTCTCATGATACAAAAATTCCAGCACTCGGTATGTTACTCTGCGCGCTCTCCTATCACGATTGAAGCATGAACCTGTCCTCTCCAGCTCCCAGACATGGACTTTGCCATCAATGCCCGATCCGAAGGTCGCATACTTGTTCCTTGGGAACACCATAAATATCCCAACATCACTCAGGATACTCCAGGTTTGTCATCTTCGACTTGTACTTTACTGTCAATCTCATCCTCGCAAAGGAACTTTCAACACGATAGGAGGTGGGCTTCACATTGCGGACTGGCAGGGATCAGGCAATGTATGGGAAGCTTATCGACGCGTTTGCCCCCCAAACTCTCTTGCACGTCGCCTTATCAGCTCAAAACGTATAACCGCCAACGACTCCACTGCTTATTTCGAGCTTGGGAACGCTGCTCTAGGCAACGAGTTCAAATTCGTCCATGACGTTGATAGGAACTATTCTTTCTGTAACAACCCCTGGGCGCACTACTACCAAGGCCACTTTTTCTCCGATTGGCGTACAGTGCCTGTCCCTCTTCCCATCCTCTCGCCCGCCAAGAGCTCAGGCTACGGTGACATCAAAATCCCAAGCCATTATTATTACGGGACGACACGGCGGTACTCGTATGGGTATGACGACGTGAACCACTATCTCAAGGAAGTGGATAGCATGGAAACGCCATGGGAAAAGAAATCTGAGAAGATATTCTGGAGAGGCGCGACGACAGGGGGTGGTAGTTCACCACCTGGATTTTCTCCGCAATATCAACGCCATAGGCAAGATCTCAGTTAGATCTCAAAGAGTGTAGCCTTAATGATCAAGGCCATACAGATTGGTACGGCTTACTAGTGACAGCTCCTCGAAAAACCAAACCATCGTATTCGCCGACCCACCTAGTTCTTCGAACTATGTCTACGCCAAGGTTCCGATGAGTGCGCTGAACGAGGAGGTTATGGACGTCGCCTTCGTTAGCTCAGTTGATCATTCCACATATCCGGGTGGCCTTCAGCAGCAGATGTCTGATCATCGTTTTGACGATGCTGTCGAGCTTCGCGAACACTGGGCCCACAAATACATACTTGATCTCGATGGCATGAGCTACTCCGGCAAATTCTTCGCCTATTTATCCTCAGATAGCGCGGTGATCAAGTCGACTGTCTATCGCGAGTTCTTTTCTGATTGGATCCAACCTTGGTGCGTTTCGACTGGTTTTTCTTCTCGGCTGGGTTAACAATTCTGCTGGCGCGTAACAGGCTACACTATATCCCACTATCAACATCTTATAAAGAGATTCACAATATTCACTCTTTCTTCTCCGGGGCAACCGACTCCGTGCTGGCAGCAGCCAACTCTACATCCCTGAATTTGCCCGCTATCCGCCGACGGCCTATAGACGGTGATCGACGATTACGCCGCATCGCTCGAGCTGGCAAACAATGGATGAAAACCTTCGGCCGACAAGCGGATATGGAGGGTAAGTTCATCATCATTGTTGCACTGAGATATTCGTTAACTAGCTTTCTCCTGCTGAATGATATAGCCTATGTCTATAGGCTGTGCCTAGAGTATGCCAGACTCTCGGCTGATGTTCGTGACTCGATGAACTTCACTACTTAGTCACTCTTTAGCTGTAAAGGCGGACCGTCGTATAGGTTGCTATCTAGGTGGGATGCTTTGGGTTTATAGCTAGTCGCATTTATAATTATTAGTGGTGTAACATGCTCACTCGGTCAAGGCTACTATGACTCTATGACTTAGGTTGATGCACTGGGTGCAATATACAGGTATTGTTCAAATTTCTGCATCAGCTATTTTTTTCGAATCCAAGTGCGTCTGGTAACATCGTTTCGCAGGGGCCAAGAAAGAGGAAGTCTGCTTCTTCATCTTCATTACTTCGATCCGCATTGAACACAGCAACTTTGCCTCCCCGTCCCTTCATTTTGCTCGCTAACTTGGCAGCGGGATTAACCTAGGATCAAACTGGGTTGCCAATATCTCCTTTGCGAGTCTTGACGATAAACCTCACGGTAGAAGATGTCCCAATGACGAGGGCTAAGTCGGCTCTCTTAACCAGCGCAAAGATATCCTCGATGTGGTGAGGGATCTCGCCAAACCAAACCACTCCTGGTCATGTAAGTGCTCCACATTTGCGACAGCGGGGCAGGTCTGCTTCGTCTATTTCTGGCTCCATTCTAGGAGGGACTCAGTGCCTCGAAGAGCTGGACATATAGACGAATCGTGGATCTCTTCACGGTAACCACACTTATACGCAGTGCAAACGACGTCGAATAAGCGACCATGCATCTCGATCGTCGTCGATGAATGTTCAGTGCTTTCGAGGCTGGTAGTAGTGCGGACATGATACAGAGCTCGCCTGCTAAGCCCGTCGACGTTCTGCGTGATGAGGGTAAAGGTTGAACCTGGCGCAATCTGCTCTCTGTACTCAGGGAGAGAGAATTTGGCAGGGGCGATGTGGGCATCGTTGGGTTGTGCTGTGAGCGCTCTTTGACGTATGATGTCAATGAAGAGATTAAAAAATGAGGAGGCTCACTTTTCACGCCGGTAGTGATAAAACTGCCATACTCTTGATGGACTTCTACGAAACGCTGCGGGGGTGGCGAGCATCAAGGCGTCATGCTTGCGCCACATTCCGCCCGCACCGAATGTTGGTATGCCTGAATCCGTGTTCATCGATGGACTATTATACAACGCCCTAGCAAATAAACCCTCACCGGATGCAGCAGATAGTCCAGCACCAGCAATCGCAATGATGGTCTTTGACGAGGCTAACGTTTCTCAGAACGCGGTAAACATGGCATCCGAGGGTACTGCTGTTGACTATCGCTGAAAGCTCTGCTATTAGCTTGGCAGCCATCTAAATGTCAGAGACCTTAGCCCTTGATACCATCTTGTATTCGAGAAATATCATCTACCTGCGATAAAATCGCAATTACAGCTGCGGCAAGCCTATCGAAACAGTTGATGACCTGGCTCTTGTGTCCAAATCTAGACCATTTGAAGAGGCGCAGACGGCTCAAATAAAAACGGGGTGATTTGAAGGACTTAATGTGACGCTAAGCGTGCGCCTAACGTGCCCTAACCCCCTTGTCGCCCCAAACAGTCCCAAACGCAATAGCAACATATAATTTTTTCGCCTTCGGATGCTTGGCCTATAGATACGATGCATATTAGAGGAATACTTGAAACAGTGTGCATATGCGACGACGTATGAGATACAGCGAGTAGTACAGCGGGTCAGTCAGCAAACTAGTCAACTACACGCGTAAGTACAGTAAGATACAACCTAGACCCAGATTTGGAAATAAAACATATGCCAACCTACCTTCCATGTTACGGAACATACACCACCAAAAGGATGTTTACAATCAACTTGTCCAACGCACCAGCGGACACAAGAGGTACCCTCTCTTTTGATATCGGCATCGATGTTTTGTCTGTCAAGACAGTGATGTCCGCCTCCGAAAGAGGGATAGCGCCGCTCTCTTCCACTCGGCTGCGCAAGTTCTCGACTTCCTCCTCTTCATCTGCCTCTTCGCCGTATGTGCTAAACGCACCTCTTACAGCAGGTTGGCGCCGGGTACTACCGTTGAGCGATCTGCGACCCGCACTGTACGGGCTTCCCTCGACTTCGGGACCACATTCGACGGTTCGATCAACAGGCCAAATATACCCGCCGGCTGTCCATCTGAGTTCTGGAGAGAGTTTATAGAGCTTGATAGCGTGATACAATATAGAGTCTCCGCCCTTCAGCTGTAGTATCACAATATCAGTGATGAACGAAAAATTGACTGTGAATGGCTCAGTGATGGTCACTCACATACGGCACGAGAGACTCTGCGAGTACGTCTGCAGGGTTCACACGATAATCCCCGCTGAGATAGAATGCGATCATCCTCCCGCGAGACATATTGAGAACAGGTGCCAGTAGATCCAGAAAATAGTCGCTCGGAGAAATGAGAGGGTCGGGCTGTACGCCCGAAGGGCCGAAGGTCTTCAAGTGCACGGCATATGATATCGACACCCTGCACCCTTTCTGCACCGGTTCCACTTGAACATCGCAATCGGCCAAGTACCCAACCCATTCCATCTGTCCGCTCTTGCCCCCACGACCCGTGTATTGTTCCTCTTCACCATCCGAACTGCGCACAATGAGCGCGCCTCCGCGGAATCTGACAGGTAGAGTAACAGTGACAGTAGCAACACGAGAATCATTCTCTTGTGGTTGTGGGGGCATTTGTGCCCCCGCGGCAACGATCTCAAGTTTGTCGCGGAGCGCAGTCAAGTAATGCCCACCTGGGAGACTTGGAAATAGCGTATTGCGGAGGGCCTCAAGAATAGGATGGTTTGCGATTTCGAGAGAGGTCGTCAATGGGAGATTAGATGGGTAGAAAAGAGACTCGCTGTCGGCATACTCGTCTTCAGGAGATTGATACGGGTGGCATGCAGCCATGAGAACGTCAAGGGCTGGTGGTGTGTCATAATCTACGTCAATTGGAAAATCGAGAGAGTGGGTAATTCCGCTCTGAAATGATAGCGATCAGGATCAATGAACGTTGGTAAGATGAAGATCCGCAGCGGCATCCACCTTTGTACGAAAAAACAGCGTTAGATTTGCAGGATCGACTGGTATACGACCAGAGACGGAGAATGGGCGGGCTTTGGCGGCAACGATCCTAGCGACGCTCGTCTGCAACATACTCTCATTCGAATAGTCAGACATCCCTCTTCGCATAAGTGGCCTAGGTGGCTTTGCGGGGCTCGACATCGGAACGTGCTCGATCTCGAAATCGACGCCGGGATGTGTCTGGAAACCATCATATATGGGTCGGGCAGGGGATGGCACCATCGTGATCGAGGATGCCACCGAAGATGGGGACATGACCGATGGAGGGAGCATCGAAGGAATCATGGCAGGGTGAGTAGAGAAAGGCGCGGGGAGGCGGGCTATGGGATGAGATCAAGAGAAAAGTGTTAAGAGCGCTTAATTGCCGGGGTTTGTATCCTCTGGGTCAGCGAGCGACACGCTGCTTCGGCGAGGGATCTCGGGCCGTGTGGCAACACTGAGCATGACGCCCTGAGATGTTGATAAAGATAGGTGAAACAGAAGGCCTGGAAGCCATGCAACAACCTCATGCTTATTGTGTAGGGCACTCACTGAGACTTGGTCCTTGAATGATTGTGAGAATCAGTAGAGTAATACTGCATGATCATATCGCGAGTGTCTGCTCTCTTACAGGAGCACCCGTCGTGTCCTAGATCTCCTTAAGTATATTACTGATCAGAAAACTAGGTGATGACGCAAATCTGGGAACTTCCGTTTCTACTTCCGATACGACATCCACGAGGAAACAACGTGTTCGTCAAAACTGGCGAGATAGCCTTCTTGAATCGACCACTTGTGAACCAAATGCAATGCAAAAACATAGGCGGATCTTGAGGATAAGCTGTAAATATAACATCTTACAAGCATTGGAAACTGACATACCGACAGAGATCGAAGTACCACCAACTAGGATCTAAAACATCCCAACATTCCCAACATCATTCCACGATATGATGTCACATCTTACTTCCTCGATATGATCTGCTAAATCTCCACTACCTTCGACGGATGTGTTACAGCTACTTGTGCATGTCCTGGGGGCCACCGCGAGTCATTCAAAGAAGACATCAAGAGCTAGATATGCTGCCAGAAGTCCGTGGAGAAAAATACTCGGACAGCAATGAGGCGCTTTCTGCAGTACGATAGAGAATAAATCCAGCTCAAGCGAAGAGTTCTAGCATCTGAGTAAGAGCCATATGGCTCCCCTAGGATGGGTTCGTCGTGCAGAGATCGTCTCTGGTGACAGCAGATGTGAGTCTAGAGAACATGGTCGACATTGAATAGGGGTATAGAACATAGCAAAAGATAAGAAAGACGATCAGCTGAAACCAGAAATTTGAGAAGTTGTCGTCGCGACGAGTCATGAGTACTGCGCGAGTTCAAGTTGACAAGCCTCTTCCGTTTCTGTGTCCGGCTCCACGGGGACTTGCCAACCTGCGCTCTCAGAATCTCTTGTTATCGTGAAGCGATCCCCATACAGAGTCCTCATGTACATCACACAAGTCCATATAAGTACAGGCAAGACTGTATAATATATGGAGTAAGCTCATTTGCTCGAGTACACCGCTCAGAATGAGACTCACAGTATGACTCCACTGTGATTATCTAGTGGTGGCTTATATACACGAGGCTTTGAGAGCATGAATTAATGGAAAGATAGCGCTTGGAATTCAACAGTGAGGACGTGACGGAGACCGCCTGAATTTTTGAAAACGAAACGGCACGTGTCCAGCTGACTCAATCCAGCCCAATCCACCCTGTTATTCGAAACATCGATGATTGTATCTATTATCGTTGTGCAGTATGCGATAGGACGCTGTACTACGAGCAGTGTCCAGGTATGAGTACACAATAATCCACAGCAGCTCTAGCTTTGTATATAAAAAAAGGTCGAGGATGAACACAAGAAAGGTCCGAAAACAGCCCCATCATCATCGCAGATCGACAATCTCCAATGCTAGATCCTTTATCTGCACATGTCCTTTATCCGCATCCTATCGAGCAGCGGAAAAAAGAGCAGGATCGAAATCAGTGTCAAGGTATAGAGATGATGCGAAAGCTCACAGTGTATATCGGACAACTCGGATGGGGGTGAAACGCCTCCTTCGCCTTGCAGTCCAAAATTGTCTGCAAACCGGGTGGGTCCGTCAAACGGAAGATGCCAAAGCTGCACTCATCGCTCAGTTGACAGTAGACATAAAGTTTACAACGGGCGCCTACTTTGGCGTAGACTTAGGCGCGCAGACTACTGCGAACGATTCAGGCAGCATCCGCTGAAAACCGCTATGTGTGTGGAGATCGACGGAGGACATGAAACCTGCACAGTGAATGGAGTACATCAGCTATCACATTCCCAATGGAGACGACCAACGATGAGGACAAACATGATTGTGTCGGATGCGTGTGAATCTGAATCACACACGATCAGTTAGGCGCACATCCCGACGTAGAGGGCACCTACCCAGCCCAAAGTGATCAGCGACCGCTCCTCCGTGAACTGCATGACGAGCTCCTCCTCGTCCATTGTGCACGTATCGCTCGTCGAATGCTGCTTCGGTATGAGCAACGTGGTCACCAGATACCTACTCCCCTTGTCTTTTCCAAGCAGCAGTCCACATGTTTCCCTGTTCCTCGATGTGTTGATAGCTGCGATGGACAGGAAGCGATTGAGACAGTCGCGCGGGAAACTGACCACTTTCAAGTCGCGATTAACAGGGTCGGCGGTGCCCGGTTGAATGCGAGATGACTCGCTTCGCTGTTGATGAGGGTTAAGACTGGAAGAGTGGGAATGGCTTGGTGCGTATGGCTCTTTCGGCGGGAGTGGTGGGGGCCGGCCAGACGACGATGGACCATGCCGATGGCTCTGTGGGTTGGATGGCTCTCCATACGACAAGCCAGGAGAGGGCGTCGGCATGGATGGTCTAGGAAGTATGTTGGAGTATAATCCCGAAGACGAAGAGGGCTCCGATGGAAATAGAAGTAAGCCGGACGAACTCCGCTGAGTGTTCTGCATCGCAGGTTGATGAAACATCGATCCAAGTGAAGGGGTATATCCTTGTTTCATCTGGTGTTGGGACATGAGCGAAGGGTATTGGATTCCTGCGCGCGGGGGAGGAGAGGTGGTAGTCATCGGAGGCAAAACGGGCCTGCGTGTTTGTACTCGTCAGCTGACGAATGCCTAACGCCCTGTGCATGTAAAGGAAGGCACGTACGTTCGAGAAGGCCTCGGCGCTGGATCTCCCCTACATGAGACAAAAACGTTCATTGTAAATACCAAGCCTTCATCTGGGCCGAGGACGCACCTTGTCGGACTCTCGAGTGGCATTTGCAAAAACCCGTTGCTTGGCTCACCGCTTTCTGCAAGAAAAGGTGACGTCGCTGCGGACGAGCTCGCGCGCGCCGCAGCAGGCATAGCAAGCGCAATAGCAGGCTGCGGCATAGCGGGATCCTGGCCTCTTACAGCACGTGCGGCAGCCTCCGACTCCTGCTGGCGCCTCGTAATGCCTTCTGTCTCCTGTCTTCTCTGTTCCGCCGTTGTTATTCGCATGTCCTCTATCCTTCTTCTCGCCTCCTCTTCCCTCTTCCGCTCTGCCTCCTCCCTCTCGGCATCTATTCGCATTTTTTCAGCGAGTGCCCAATCCTCTTGATAATTCCTCCTCGGGGGTGCCGAGGCCGGTCCGGACCCAGGCTGAGCGCGATTCTCTTCACGTCTTCGCTCCGAGTCTCTCCTGATCGCATCCTCCCTGGCCCGCCTAGCAGTTTCATCGTCCTCCATGCCCTGACGGTATGGAGATGGGGTTCTCGGTCCACGCCCGGGTGCTGATGTTGGCGCCGTGGAGCCTCGACTTCGAACACTCGATTGTGTAGAGGCTGATGACGACCCAGTGAGAATCGAACGTGGCGAAGCGTCTGCATAGCTGTTTCGGGATGTGATGCCTGCGGATAGCGACGAGCCCGGTGTCGTCGGGTGGTACGGTGACGGTTGTGCTGAGGAAGACGACGCTGGGTGAGTCGCTGTCCAATTCTCGTACTGCTCGATTAGCGCTTTCTTGATGTTGGCGAGATCGTCGAGTATCTTCTGGCCATGCTATAATGGAACAATGCGATGTGATCAGCGGATTGCTTGGTACAGACACCAAATGGAGGAAGGAAGAAGATAGAAGACCTGAGGTGCTCGGGGTAAGCAATCGACATTGTCCTGGGTGCGAAGACAATCTATACCATCCGAGCGAACGCTGGCAAGAAGTGGTTCTGGAGTCGCAGATAGAGATCAGTGAATGAAAGCCAGTTTAGGGTGCCTGCAGCAACAGCCTGCTGTCTTTGATAGATCATCGAGCATCCTGAGGGAATGAACCAAAACACGAGAGAATCACACGATAGCCGTGGGATGCCCACGCTTCATTCAAGACTGCACAGCAATAAAGAAAGATTGGACAACGATCACAGTAGTTCAGAGCCCGGCGATTCAAACAACATAGAGATCTGTGATCAAAGGCAGACCGCCCCCATGTGTGAGCAATATTTCCAGCGGAAGCGGCCTCATTATTTGCGACTCCATCACCACGTAACGGCAAGCAAAAGCGCTACAGATCGCGATGGTGTATGTCAAACATCTGTGGGCGCCATTGCCAGAGGTATCTATCACGAAACCACCACAGATGTTCACTAGACGAGGACACACGCACACGAAACACACATGAGATCAACAAGAAACGTAGCGCACACTCACCTGGCCCATATTATGCCGCTGTGTCGAGCTCAGAAGGACCTTGTAGTCTTTGTGCGTTGGCATCTTCTCTAGCACGATTGTCGCAGCTTTGGCTAGTTCAAGAAAGGCATTCTCCAAGTCTCCTCGTTCTGTGTAAGTCTTGCCAGCGGCCCTTGCTCCTTCAGCTGTGCGCAGCCAATGCTTGAGCGGCTTGTCAGGGTCCCACACGCTAGCTTTAGCTCGCTCTGCGAGCTCAGTGATGGATGCAGGTGGGCGATGATTGGGTGGGGTATATGGTGCACTCGAAGATGAGGCCATTCTTGCGCTGCCTGAGAAAACAGAGGAGAGAGGGAGAGATGAAAGGAGAAGAGGCGCGAGGTGCAGTCTGAGTGTACAGTTCACAGCTGTTTTGAAGTTGTTTCCTCCGCTGCCCGGGGACTGGAACCGCACGTGGCTAGTGGCGTCAGCGCCTGGCTCTTTACGTCGAGCTCACCCAACCACCATCCCAAACCCAAAAACACATTCATCATCGGCGAATCAACACGCTTGCGACACGAGGCTGGCCTTCCGCTGCAACGTTGTCGATACTATGCGCCCCTGGGCTGACGAACCCGCGATGGAAGCACATATGTGGGGGCAATGCACAGTTGTCCCTACCTGCTAAATACACACCATCACAGCTTCAAGTGGGTGCCCTAGCTACTATGTAGCTCCTGCGCCCTCCATCCCGTGCAATTATGTTATATGCGACTCATTTGGACAGCTCTGGAGGATGAACTGTCTAACGCAGCTCGTTCTCCGCTCGACTCCTTGTCTTTCCCACCGCAAACTGCAGTCGCTCTGATCACGGCCACCACCACGAAGAACATTGATTGAAGAATCATTCTCTGTGAGAGATACAGAAGAACGAGGGCCAAGCTGTGCAATCCGTCGTCGGATCTGCAAGAAACGCCATCCTCATCGGATGTGCAGGATTGTTCTCCCGTTCTTCATGATGATCAAGAGGTAAGGGAGTGTAAGGGGAGCTGAAGAAGTACGGCGAGTCGGAACGAGATGAGGAGGCTCAAGCACTGGGAGAGACTCGACTCGCTCTCACAGAGGGATGATGTTGCGCTGCAGCTTCCTATGAGCATAACAGCTGGTCTATCATGCGGACTCTTCTTCTTCTTCTTATATTCCTGTGATGCATCTGATGTGAACCTTTCTTCCTGTGGGAAGTCCTGGCGTGAACAGCTTCATGCTGCACAGGAACGGGTCGACGTGTGTTTATTATGGGCCACAATCCCAATATCAGTGTTGTGTTCACTCTCTCTAGCTCGTTCTTTAGCTTCAATCGCTAGGCACCCATGCACAGCCATAACGTAAAGCTCTATACAACACTTGGGGCAGTGTCCTCTGGGAAGCCCATCTAAGCCTATACACAGAACGACTATCTTCTGTGTAAGGTCAGCCACGGAGACTAATCTAAGCCCATGCGTTCATGCACGGTGTTTAGAACCTTAACCTGAATGCATGGTTCGTCCCGATATCCGGAGTGGATGTTGCTGGCTGCGAGCGGTGTGTACGAGCTAAGCCGTATATACCTGCACACATGATGGAATCAGGTGAAGATATCCTTGCAAATCCTCGTCTCTCGTCGCGTTTGCTACCCCACAAAAATCCGTCCCGCATTCCGTTCTGAGCGCCAAGGCGGGGGACGAGGAACCCTAGATGACCAAAAGCGGTATGTCGGCCCAGCGTTACGGTCTGTGACGTGAGTTTTCTTCGCCGCCGCCACTTGCAGAGGCCAGAGAAAGGGATCTTGTTTCTCGATCCTTCATTGTGCTCAACTGACTCGGGCCTCGTGAGCATATTCACTCATTTCTCCATGATATTTATATCCGGGGCGTTCTGTCCCCTCTCACCATCCTCACCATCTTATCTGCTAGCACTCACCATTCCGACGACAATTCCTGTTCGTTGGGCTGGTTTGACTGGTTACCGCGAGCACGTACGAACGACTTCGAACGACTAAGCATCATGAGCTCTTACGACGAAAAGCGTGCTGTGGCGGATGTGGACTCAGACCGTCTCTCAAACGAGAACGATGTGGCGCGGATCGAGGATGACATCGTAAATAACATCAACAATGGCGAAATATCCGACATCGTCGTAGTAGCTGAGGGTGAGGAGCGCACGACCTGGTTTGTCTGGATGCTCGTGCTCTGTAGTAGCATCTCCGGCTTGCTTTTCGGTGCGTTTCTGTGTCTTCATTTTGAGGTTTTCGCTCATTCATATATTTTCAGGCTACGATACCGGTGTTATTTCCGGTGCACTAGTGTCTATTGGATCTGACCTAGGCCCCGAGGAACTGTCCTCTGTGCAGAAGGTTCGAAGCTCTTCCCCATGTGGCCAGGAATCTATAACTACAACTACTGACGTTCATCCCAGGAATTAATTACCTCGGCAACAACGCTCGGCGCGTTGCTCGGAGGCCTCGTGGCAGGAATGCTCTCGGACGTCATTGGACGGCGGCCCGTCATGGGTATCGCAGATGTTCTCTTCATCGGTGGCGCCGTAGGTCAAGCCGTCTCTCATACAGTCTGGGCAATGGTACGCATCCTCTGCGTTATGGTCACCGTCCCTTATACGGTTTATGGCACGATTACTTACAGATTGGCACGCGTTTTCTGGTCGGGTGGGGCGTCGGCATTGCCGCGTGCATTGCGCCGCTCTACATCCAAGAGCTATCCCCCACTCGCCTGCGCGGCCGCATGGTCGTAATTAACGTCGTTGCGATCACCCTCGGTCAGGTCATTGCGTATGGCATTGACGCAGGGTTCGAGAATATGAACGGTGGATGGCGGTGGATGGTTGGCCTGGGCACTGTCCCCGCCTCGTTGCAGTTCATCTTCTTGTTTTTCCTTCCCGAATCACGTGAGAGGACTTCCATGATAGCTGATATCTATTTTCTGCGCGGATGTGCTGATTGGTTCTCTTGTGCCGCCTGCTAGCGCGTATCTTGCTCCAACGCGGCGAACTTGATGCCGCACGGGTCATTTTGGGTAAAATTTACGCCTATGCCACTCCGGAGCAGGTTGATCTCAAGGTAGACCACTGTTGCATGTGTTTTACGCGAAACGACTTGATCAATCCGTCCGATGGCAGGCCAAAGTCTTGAATGCCGCCGTCAAGCAGAGCATCGAGATAACTCGCTCGACGACCTTCCTACAGCGATGCCATTCAATCTTTTTCGTTCCTATCAACCGGAGAGCCCTCAGTGCGTCCCGCAGATTCCTCTCATCTCACGCATTTATATTGAACCATGGCAGTCATTGCATGTGGCATGCAGGCGTTCCAGCAGCTATCCGGCTTCAACACGTTGATGTATTACTCCGCAACTCTGTTCAAGCAGATTGGCTTCGATCAACCGACGGCAGTCGGCCTGATTGTATCCGGGACCAACTTCATCTTCACACTGTTTGCGCTGAAATACATTGATATCATCGGCCGCCGAAGAATCATGCTGATCTCTGCGCCGGGCATGGTGTTCGGGCTGACCCTCGCAAGCATCGCTTTCCATTGTGCGTGTAGATCTTTCCTTCTCAGGTCTTCGGGATCTTCACCTTCCATTGCCCGCTTCGAGAAGCTGACGCTGTTGATTCGCGAAGATCTTACCAAGAAGACGGGTGGTATCCTCGTCGACGGGACTAAATACGACCACTCATGGTCTGGTGTCGTACTGTTCGCCATGATTACCTATGTTGCATTTTATGCGATGGGTTTGGGAAATATTCCCTGGCAGCAGGGCGAATTCTTCTCACTAGAAGGTACATCTGCTATCTCTGTCCCTTGATTCCTCGCGTCCTTATCGTTTTATTTCAGTCCGTGGAATTGGATCGTCACTTGCCACGACGATTAATTGGGCTGCCAACTTACTCATCGGAGCCACATACCTCTCGCTCATGGACAAAATCACGCCTGCAGGCGCGTTTGGGTTCTATGCCGGTCTTTGTTTCCTCGGGTTCATCTTCGTTGTGTTCTGCTTCCCCGAAACGGCAGGACTCAGTCTTGAGGAGGTGCGTATGGTATTCCGGAATGGTTTCGGTATCGGAGAAAGCCAGCGGCTGCGCACGCAGAAGCTTAGCGCGAAGAAAAGAGGAGAGGTCAGGATCGAGAATAGCGGCGAGAAGGCATGAGGCGCAGAGCGTTTGTATGCCTTCGCGCGTCGCAAAGGTGCTATGAATGTTGAACGATGTCGCGATGTATACCAGGATCTATTTGGAGTACTATAGTTAATTTTTGCATCAGTACGTAGTGTCTTCACGAGGGAATTGCTCTATCTGTATAGTGGAAGACGAATGCTGTATTGATACAACGGAGTGTGATGTTTTCCGTTTGTCGGCTCAATGATTTTTACATTTTTTTGGTTGCAATCCAGAACGCGGCGTGGTAAACATAACCTAGCAAGGAGTCTTGATTATTGACATAGGTCGTAGATATCGTGCGTTCGTTCTGCAATAGAGGCATTCCAATTCCGAACTGGGTCCAAACAACGACATAGCATACCTTGATCTCGAAGCCAATGGTACGAGCGAGCTCTTTGACTTCTTCGAGGTCAAGCTCTATCGAAGGATCATTGCTACTGTTATTCTCAAAATGCCACAAGAGGGGACCTGATGATGATGGATGACGGTCACGATACATTCAAAGAAGAATAACGTAGATATCTCACCCAGATTGATCCACACGCCGCCAGGGGCGAGAATCTTGTGTATGATGCGGAGATAGTTCACGATATTTTTCGCCTGAACATGGGACCACAACAGCGATGACTTGTCATGGGAAGAAATATCTATATGAAGGGTACACACCGTGTCAATGAAGAAGCAGGTGAGGATGGCATCCCATGGGCCCGAGTATGGCCCATTTTCGTCATCGGAATCCGATCCGTATATCTCTTCAAAATCGCCTGTCATCGTCGATTCGGGTCAACGTGCTGTTTACAAGATACGGAACAAGTCACCCACCAGCAACAAGAGAGAAGTTTGACCCTGGAGCCAAGCCGCCCGGAAGAACATCTGGAATTTTAACTTCACGCAATATCGCGGCCCGATCAGGGAGGTTGGAGAAAGAGTGAACATAAGGGTACAGGGTGTATTGGTTGATGGTGTCCGTACTAGGCCTACTGCGTCAGATATGTAGAGTGAATCAAATTGTGTGAGTGATACCAATTGAGGATAAAATAAGAGGAGAGCAGCATATAGTGCGAGAACTCATTTCCTTGACATGCAAAGCCTTCGATAATCGTTGAGATTAGCGACCCTCCATGGAGAAATTGAGACGATTGTCACCTAATTTTGCTACGTCGAATGCGAGTCTTCCCAGACCTGCCCCGGGCACAAGTACATGGAGGTTGCGCCTGAGAAACACACCCAACTATTTGTGAGTATGCGGAAGGAGTACTAGACGAGCAAAGGAAAGGTTGAACCTTTCTTCCACAGGGATGTCGGAGAAATGTTCCACCAAGGCATCTTTAAGTGGAGTGTAGCTAGCTTCGCGCTCTTCCCTGCCCTATGCAGGTTATATCAATATCGATGGTCATATATTTAAACCCCAAAAGGTACCCTTGCAAGGCAAGCTCACCGACCTCTTGGCTCCAATCTCTAACGAACTGCTTTAACGTGCTCCTCACTTTGTCCATGTCGAAGTCTGTTGGCCTGTAGCGCTTGTGAGATGACAGTTTCCCTGAAGGTCCGTGAGATCTAATTTGAAGGTCATGTGAGTGCTCATGCGAATGAGAGTGCGAGTGCCCATGCGAGTGGTCATGACTGTGCGAGGGCGATGCCTGGTGATCTGAGCGTTCATCAATTCGAGTCCCTTAAGATAGGGCCACCACTCACGCCGAGCCATACCGTCTTCGTCGCCCTCATCATCCTGCTGAACATTTTCGTCCTCCATACCGTGACCAAAAATCTCCGGATTCGCCACTATTTTATTCAGGAACTCAGCGTTCACAAGGATAGCTTGGTCCACCTCTTCTAGTTTCTTCTTATATCCCAGAGTCTCTAAGAGTTTCTGGTCTTCTCTAGAGAGCGTATACAGATCTTTTCGCCGGCGATTGTTACCTGCGAGCTTCCGCATGATAGATCGTAAGTCATTTATAAGCTCATTACTATCATACTGGACAGACCGTATACGAAGCATACTGCTGAAACGTTGCGATAACGTTCTGAAAGTGAATATGTTCTTCTTCCACATCTTCAGCGTTGATTTTTGAAGTCATCCTTGCTATAGTCCTAGATGTCACTGATCTAAGTCAGTTGAAACGCTAACCGACGCGTCGCGCCAAACGCCAAGAATGGGTTGTTTGGTATTGTGTACCAAAGGCTTTGTTCCTGAATCGACCTCCTCTTCCTCCTTGGCGAGGTCATCCGATACGCGGAAAACATCAAGGATACGGCTTGCATAGATAATTCTGCGAGGGAAGTAGCCCGATGACCCGAAAATTGCGGAGGTGTTGTACATCTAGTATAACAAGCTATATGATATCTATATTTTGAAAGATAGTGCATATATAATGAAAGGTTTATAGCCTCCCCCGGATCTTGATCTCTAGCCACCTAAAAGGCAGATATAGCAAGGCACTTAGACAGAATGCCACTTCGAAACCGATGTCTCCTGTAGTCTCCGCGATGGGCCCTGTATACCAGATCTGTCCCATGCAGGGAATAATCAGAGCAAATGAGACAGCACCGGCGGCCAAGGCCGCTACACCGGTGGGAAGCTCGCGGGCTTTGTTGTAAATAGCCTGGTCGTATGTGGTAGCATCACCTTTGCGGAATGCAAGATGTTCAGTAATGACGATGGAGACGAAGGCGGCCGACCAATACGCGATGACGCCAATGAAGTTCTCGAGAGAATCGAAGAACGATGTCGCCGCCTTGATCGACACTGGTATGACACTATTTGAAAGGAGCGAATGGAATGAGAGAGTCGCCTCTTGAAAGTGGTGATTGAGAGAACATACACAGCAACGATGATCAGCGAGAAGAGCCCACGAGGTACGCGAATAAGGAAAGGCATAATCATCTGAAAGTTGAGAGACACAGAATACGTGGACGCGGCCATATTGCCAAGGGTTGAGAATGCGAGAATGACAACAATAAACTTCCCGAAGCCTTTTGCGGGTGTCAACATGGCTGCAAGTATTCCGCCCGCTGATCCTGTTTCATAAGCGGCAGCCCATGCGGGTACGTTGGGCACAGCGCCCCCGATTGCAGCGCCAAGTACCATGAGGGGTACAGTGGGAACAACAAATCCAGCGAATGTATACCAGAAGAGGCGACGTCTGAAACCGATGTCAACGTCAGCTAGACGAGAGTGTGGTCAAGGAGAATTGTATTACCCCGGGGCGTCGGATCGCATGTAGGTGGCGTAGTCGGAGGCCAAGGTTCCGTAAGGTATGATGAACCCAGCGATAAGTCCACCGAAGGACAACACAGTACTTGCGGATGCTGGTGGCTGCACAACCTGTTTACTGAGGTGCTTGCCTCCGCACCCTATTGCAATGACGATGGATATGAAAATAGGGATCCATGCGAAGCGTTCATACCTGCGATCAGATATAGGTTTACGAATCGCTCGGTATATGTGAACCTGTGACATACTGATGAAGAACCTTGTATCCACAAAAGGAGAGCACAAGCGTGCAGATGCATGTGATGACAATTCCGACACTGAACGGGAAGGCAAATTTGATTATGAGGTGGAAGGGTGGTATGGTAAAATGTACTCACTCAACGCTAAGATTGCCATTTACTGCCGACAGGGTTTGGCCACCTAGAAGCATGGTTGTGAGTTTGGCGTATCAACGAATGGCGTGCAACCCCCTCACCAACAACAGCCCCAATCACTACGAAACCTGGATATTCATGTTAGCTGAGACGGTGAATCGAACCCGAAACGCTGACCAGTGACAGTAGCCATGTTCAACAGCACAGGTATGATGGAACCATAGAGACTGCAATAGTATTAGCGTGTCGAACAGCAACCCACGGTGGTCAAGTGGGCATACCCAAAACTATATCGAGCCTGGATCATCTGACGAAGGCCAGTCTTTGGACCCAGAGTAGAGCTGCGCGTGAAAAAATCTTCAATATGGTTATGTGGCTCTATGGATTTAGCAGGTCCGGCTGAATAACTCACAGATAGGCTGGGGGTCCGCTGCATAGGAGACAGAAGAACAGGATCACGAGAGACGAGTCGCGCAGACTCATCTCGAAACTCAGAGTGCCAACCATACCTGTAATAATTCTAAATTTGATGCGATATCATATTGAGCATGAATGAGGTGAATCATCAAGTTCACTCACGACAGGAGGCAGAAGTTCATTGTCCAAAAGAATGTGAAGATGGATGCATAGTTCTCCTGTGTACGAGCCTCAATGGGAACAGGCTCGATTCCTATAAGATACGCTAAGCGCGAGATGCAATTGAAACGATTGATGAACAGACCACGCGTCTCAACACCCCATGATGATATCTTCGACCAAATGAACCGTGGCCCCACGAGGTTTGTCTGCACTTCTCCAGCCTCTTGAACATATGAGACAGCGGCTGGCCCTTTTTCCACGTCACCTTGCTTATCGCCTTCCGATGAGGTTGCATTTTCCGAATTCCAGGAACGTGCCATCTTGAGAAGTCAAACCAGAAAGCGTAGGACTGATAGTCTGTGGGATAGAGTCAACCAACTAGAAAGCAAACATAAAGGGCGGTTCAAGGCAGGGGGAAGAGCTGGCAAGAGCACAGAATAGATAGCCGTCCAGAACTTGACTGGGACCTGGCGCTACTGCTTCGAGCGTGGGGGAGGCGATAGGAGAGAACAAATGGAAAACTTGCAAACCACGCTGACATAAGACCACAAGTTATGGTTATGGGTTATTAGCACTGTGACGTCATGTGTTACACATGTGTATCTAGTGCAATTTGAGTGGAGTTGCACGAATGCGTAGCAGCCAGAGATGCATCATTTTAGCACTCACAGTACACAGGTTTCCTTTCTTGGATTGACACTAGTTCTCGTTCTTCTCGCTCAATCAATGGAAGCCCTGCCACATGCAAAGTTTGATTGATATCGTCAATATGGTCCATGAAGTGAGCTCGGAGGTCGTTCCAATTTTCAGAAGATGATCTGAAAAAAAACGGAGCATCATAGTAAATGCACATTGATGTTGATGATGCACACTCACGGTGCAGGTTTCAGGACAAGTCAGAAGGCGGTAACGGTGAGCCTCTACCCTTGGGACAGTTTGGGTTCAGTCGTAGCTACGCAATACCAAGACCTTACCCCGCCAATTTGAAGTTTATCAACTCGTGTGGCCAGAATTTACCCCGGTCGCTACATTGCGGATACGACCCTGTGGATCATGATGACCACCATGCTCACCACGATATGCGTAGACAAGGCAGTCGGACCAGACGGGAAAGAGAACTGAAAGAAATCACGCCGACGATTGCGTTCACTCCTGGCCTCACCAGGTACGCCTCCAAGACACGCATACATCTACCTGATATACACATCTTTGCTTTGGGGTGCAGCCATGCCAAGTCTTTCCCTGTGTGTTGCGTCCTCGCTCTCTTTATGCAGAGGAGCTTGTATTGAACGCGATTTGAATCTCCTGCGATAGCGAGAACTATCTAACGAGATGCACGGCTTGTTGAATGCCATTGGAGACAATTTTCCATATCGATATCCTATTGGTGAGCGGCAGTGAGCGGCCCAATGGTAAGCCGACCAACAGGATAGCAAATATGACGGGATCTTTCCCGCGGCGTGTGATATGCACCTCTGTAAATATAGATAGATGCTTAAAAGAAGTTCAAAAGACCACCGGGGAGGAGAAATGCGCAACGTTTGATCACTTGTCATCCAATCGGCCGCGAGTTGCCTGATCAACCATCAAGCTTAAAGCTTCAAGGCCTGCAGGGCACGCAAAGGAGTTGATCTGATTCGACAAGAAGGACGCATATCCGGGAACTACGTCGGAAGGTAAAAGAGAATCGCCGATGTTGCTGCCTTCGGAAGACTAAGGACATGGGACATCGATCAAGCCTTCGGAAGACTAAGGACATGGGACATCGATCAAGCCTGATTCCGCCATGACACCAGACTGCATGATGATGGAGCGTCATGTCTCAGTGCTGGCGAAGCAAAGGGCATGGCGGGTAGACATGTTCGTTGGGTCAGAAGCTATCGTCTGGATCTTGAAGTCTGGGGTTGGGAAGATCGGGTCAGTCGGGGTCATTGCACATAACTAGCCGCAATTTGAGACTTGTCAGGGGGGGTTCAAAGGGCATTAGCTGGCAGTTGGACTCCTAACCTGTCAGGAACTATATGTCGGATGAGTACCAATAAGCAAGAGTCTGGCAGCGCAGCGTTCATTGCTGACAGAAACATCCGCGACAGAAACATCCGCGCCCGTCGTCAGCACTGGTTTGAGATTGTGGTGAAACTCGCACTGCTTGGTAGGGGCTGGGCAGTTGTCAAGCTCGCATGTGTGGGAGTATGCGCGGTCGTCGACGATGTCAAAGGCTGGGACGATAGAGAGCATATGGAGAATCACGCGAAAGTGGACATCTTATTAGAGGCTCGTAGAAGCGGGCGAAGGACGTGGGAAAATGCGATAGGGACGACCTCGGCGGGAGTTGCTCCGCCAACCAGACAAAGGCGTAAGCAATGAGCGCTATGAGAAACAGCTGGGCAACCCGCCGGCGGGCTACCTTTCAGCCAGTCGAAGTCCTTTTCAGATCTGTTGTCAGATCTCAGAGATGCTCATTTGAAGGAGTTTTGAAGGTTACTCAGAGTCACTCTGCCATACTCTGCCTTGTCGTCCTCACAGATCGCTTGCATTCTTTGAAACTCGGAAGGTATATATACTGTGATGCATAATTATTCCAGCAGGAACGCTTTCGCGGCCGGTGGACACAGCTATATGCGACGGCGCGCATTCAGATATGGACCGAATCGGCGTACTTATTCATCAATGCAAGGATGTGCTTGCAGGGCAAAGATTGCGCCATGCTTATAATGGCTGATAAATTGATAAGGGCCCGCTGCGCCCTCAAAGCGGACACTGCTGCGCCGTCGTTGGCCGGGCGGAGGGCAAAAATGCTCGCTGTCAATAGTTTGACTCACGGCCGCCGGTGAACAAATGCACCGTGAAAAAGCGATGTTTGGGGCACCATGTTATCAGCGCAATGCGTGACTACGGCCCTCTGCGAAGATATCTGATGTCAACTGTGAGTAAAGCACGGAGGTCAAACTCCAAGGCGGCGTCGTCCGGTCGTCGTCGTCGAACAAGCGCATGATTGCATCCCCGTGACTCCAAGGCCCCGATCATTGTCCCGTCGTTCTCCTAAGGTTGGTCCAGATCGCCATCGGGCTTGTTCTCTTTGGATCCGCCTTGAGGGGCTCCACAGGAAGAGCCCAGGTGTGTTCACCGAGGATATTTTGCCGGTGGATGCACCAGGAAGCTTTTCTGTATTTTTCGAGGGGCGTCGAGGATGTCGATGAGTTGGGCGTGATGACGCGATGGCCGGGGGGAATGTGACCGAGACGAGGCCGAAAGAGCCATACTGGGGTGAGTGGAGGCCGCGGAGTTTATGATGGAGCTCAGACATTGAACGGGAGACCCGCCGCCTGAACGCGTACGGCGATCGCGCACAGTCATGGTTTTGACCAACCGCTCTTGGGAGCTCCTGGTCCTGTTTGATACTTAATCAGAAATAGCTAGGTAACCCCTCTCATCCCTCCCCCACCCCTCTTTCCTCCCTCCCTCATCCGCCGCTTGCCAAACAATCTATCCTATCGTCTATTACCTCCTAATTCCTGGATGACCGACACGTCTCATTTAGACCAGATCCAAGAGGACGAGCGGGACGCCCCTCAGCTCCCGTCTTCGCCAGTGGCAGAAGAGCATGCCCACCACAACTCTCCCCGCCCAAGTTCCCCGCCCGTCGCTCGCAGGCCGGCACGGCAGCGCGCTCATTCGAACGCCTCCCATGTCAGCATCGACTACTTCGACCCGCAGGGCGTCGACGAGTTGCGCCGCACAATGAGCCGCCTGTCGACAAACACCGCCCGCGACCGCGCCATCGCAGAGTCTGGCTCAGGCAAGCAACTATCTGATGCGAGCTCGGAGGTCACAATCGCCGTTGGCGATGGTCCTTTTGATTTTGAGAAGACGCTGAGAGCCGTGGTCAAGAAGTGAGAATTTTTTTTCTAACACTTTTGATGGTGTCTGATATTCGGTTTCCTGCGCAGGAAGGAGCAATCGAATATCCAATCACGCGAGCTGGGCGTGCTTTTCAAGGATCTTAGGGTCGTAGGTCTTGGGTCTGCGGCGAGTTTCCAACCGACGTTTGGCTCGACTTTCAATCCGAAGATCATGCTGGAGAGCTTGAATAATATTCGTAACCCTCCGCTGCGTGATATTCTCAGCGGGTTCGAAGGCGTCGTCCGTCCGGGGGAGATGTTGCGTACGTCTGTTCTTCAGCCCCTTTCACCTATATCTGACCTGTCACACCAGTCGTCCTTGGAAGCCCTGGCTCCGGATGCAGCACGCTGCTCAAGACACTCGCTAATCAGCGGCACGAGTATCATTCCGTTGAGGGCGATGTCCACTACGACTCGTTTACTTCGGAGGAGATTGCCGACCGCTACCGTGGCGATGTTATCTACTGCCCTGAGGACGACGTGCACTTCCCCATGATGACTGTCAACGACACGCTCCACTTTGCTGCGAAGACCCGCGCACCGCAGAATCGGCTCGATGGGAAGTCCCGTATCTCATACGTTGAGCAAATTACGGAGGTTATCCAGACCATCTTCGGTCTTCGGCATGTAAAGAAGACCCCTGTTGGCGACGCTTCTCTTCGTGGTGTTTCAGGAGGAGAGAAGAAGCGTGTGTCCATTGGTGAGGCGCTCGCTCTGCGCTCACTCATTGGCTCTTGGGACAAGTATGTGGCTTTGTTTTTTCCTCTGTATCTCGAATTCACCTCATCAACTCACCAGCTCCACCCGTGGTCTCGATGCCTCTACTGCTCTGGAGTTCGTGCGCGCTCTCCGGATTGCTACCGACGTTGCGCGTCTTTCCACGATAGTATCTATCTACCAGGCCGGCGAGTCGCTCTACGAGCACTTTGACAAGGTCTGTGTGATCTACCAGGGTAGGATGGCATACTTCGGCCGTGCCGACAAGGCGCGAGAGTACTTCATCGAACTCGGGTACGAGCCTGCCCACCGGCAGACTACGGCTGACTTCCTCGTCGCTGGTGAGGCCCTCCGTCATGTCTCTTCACTTGTGTTTGGCGCTGATGTTCGCACATACTAGTTACCGACCCGCTAGGTCGCACACCTCGCCCTGGGTTCGAAAGCCGCGTGCCACGCACGGCGGCCGAGTTTGCGCAGCGCTTCTTAGAGTCGCGTGCAGGTCAAGACAACCGCGATGATATGGACGCGTATCAAGCCGAGTTTGTCGGCAAGCCCGACCGTGCCATTGCGTACAAGCAGAGTGCCCGCGCGGAGCACGCGAAGACTCAGACTAAGAAGAGCCCGTACACGATCTCCATCTTCATGCAGGCCCGCGCGGTCATGCTCAGGCGGTTGCAGATCCTGCGGGGCAGCATGGCGAAAGAAGTCATTCAGATTGCGTATGTCTCTCCCTTGGTCTGTATACTATGCGCTGCTCACTCGCTCTTTGGCCGTCGTGTAGCACGTTCATCCTACAGGCAATCATCGTCGGAACCGTGTTCTACAATTCTCCTGAGTCAACCTCCGCTTATTTCTCTCGTGGAGGTGTTCTGTTCTTGTGCGTGCCCGCCTCATTCGCTTATCTACCGTTGGGTATTTGCTAACTACTTCACAGTGCGCTCTTGTTCGCTGCTCTCTCGTCAATGGCTGAGATCCCTGCTCTGTTCGCCCAACGTCCTATCGTGATCAAGCATTACAAGGCTGCGATGTACCACCCCTTCATCGAAGCCGCCGCCTTGACGCTTGTCGACATCCCTATCACATTCATATCACTCATCCTTTTCTGCGTCATTCTTTACTTCTTGGTTGGCCTTCAGCAATCGGCGGGACAATTCTTGTGAGTCTCCATCTTACGGTGCTATCAGCCAACTTTCTGACGTTTTACAACCAGCACTTTCTTCGTGTTTGTGTTCGCTATGGCTTTGACGATGAAGGCTTGGTTCCGTGCCGTAGCCGCTGCGTTCAGCTCGCCAGCACCCGCGCAGTCTGTCGCTGGTATTCTGCTTCTTGGTCTCGTCCTTTACACTGGCTATACCATCCCGAAACCGTCCATGATCGGTGCTCTCAGATGGATCACCTATATCAACGTGGGTTTTCTTATCATCTACCATTTTACAGAATGCTCATCAATACGTTTCCATAGCCGCTGCGATATGGTTTTGAAGGCATCATCACGAACGAGTTCCACACGTTGAACGGCACTTGCGCCTCGCTCGTGCCTAGTGGTCCTGGTTATGAAAATGTCCAAATTCAGAATCAGGTCTGCACAACTGTCAGCTCGATTGCTGGCCAAAGCACAGTCGATGGGAACGCTTTCGTCGCGGCGTCTTATGGCTACTCATTCAGCAACACATGGCGGGTAAGCCTCGCTCATTTATCTTGTACTCGATTGTGTCTCAACTTTCTTCATCAGAACTTCGGCATCGTCTGTGCGTTCGGTGTTTTCTTCACGGGTCTCCTGCTCTACTTCACCGAGCACAACACGAATATGTCGAGTGAATCCTCTGCCATGCTGTTCAAGCGCGGGACTAAGCCGGCCGTTGCGCAATCCAAATCTGGCTCTGATGAGGAGAAGGGTGGTGCCCCTGCCGCGATGCCTCCCAGTCAGTCCAGCGACTCAGCTATCGCTGAAAAGGCGCTGGAAGTTGCGCCAGCGATGAAGAATGTCTTTACGTGGCAGCATTTGGAATACAATGTTCCTGTCGGCGGTGGGCAGACGCGCAAGCTCTTGGACGATGTCTCCGGATTCGTTGCGCCTGGGAAGCTGACTGCATTGATGGGCGAGTCCGGCGCTGGAAAGGTCAGTCATCGCTCCTGCTAGCGCGCTGTAGAGTTTGCCCTGATTACCGATTCTATCTGCAGACCACCCTGTTGAACGTGCTTGCTGAGCGGGTGTCAATGGGCGTTGTCACCGGGGACAGACTTGTCAGTGGACATCCCCTTCCGGCCGATTTCCAAGCGCAGACGTGAGTAATTTTCAATCTGAGCTCGATATCCATCAATTGACTTGACACGCTGTAGTGGATACTGTCAACAAATGGACACTCACCTTCCGACCACTACGGTCCGTGAGGCACTGCTGTTCTCAGCTAAGTTGAGGCAACCCCCATCTGTGCCATTGGAGGAAAAAGAAGCATAGTAAGTTTCAGTGGCGTTTTGCCTTAGCGACAATCATGATCTCAATTTGCTTTCAGTGTCGAAACGGTTCTCAAAATGTGCGGTCTCGAAGAATTCGCTGACGCGGTCGTTGGATCGCTCGGCGTCGAGCACAAAAAGCGTACCACCATCGGCGTTGAGCTTGCCGCGAAGGTAAGCATTACTGATCATCACTTTCAATGTCACTTGATTGACTTTGCGGCCAACCAATTTAGCCTACTCTACTTCTGTTCTTGGATGAGCCTACTTCCGGTCTTGATTCACAGAGCGCTTGGGCCATCATCACTTTCTTGCGCAGCCTGGCTGATCACGGACAGGCTATTCTCTGCACGTAAGCACAATCGTTATCCTCACAGCATTTCTCATCTGACAGTGCGCCATGTCTCCAGTATTCATCAGCCCTCCGCGGAGCTCTTCCAGGTTTTCGATCGGCTGCTTTTGCTTCGTAAGGGCGGCCAGACTGTTTACTTCGGTGACATTGGTCCCAACTCGACCACCCTGTTGCGCTACTTCGAGGACAAAGGCGGCTACCACTGCTCTGACGATGCGAACCCGTAAGCTTTTTGACGTCATGGGTTGCATCATATATCCTGATCACCTTGGCGCAGTGCGGAGTACATTTTGGACGTCATCGGTGCTGGTGCGACCGCGAGCAGTACAATCGACTGGCACAGCGCATGGAAGAACTCGAACGAGGCGCGGGTAGTCCAAAGCGAAATCGACCAGATTCTCGCCGAGGGCCGTCAACGGCCGCCTGTTCAGACCACATTGCACTCCGAATTCTCTACGAGCTGGGGATATCAGATGGTCACCCTCTTGAAGCGTGATATGGAGCGGCATTGGCGCGACCCGACGTATCTCATGGCCAAGCTCATGTTGAACATCGTGGGAGGCTTGTTTATTGGGTTCACCTTCTACCAGGCAAAGGACTCAATTCAGGGCACTCAGAACAAGCTTTTCGTGAGTCCTTTCTCTCTTAACCTGCACTGAAGCTGATCGAAAGTCCTGCAGGCTATCTACATGAGTACCATTCTCAGTGCACCACTCGCCAACCAGATCATGGTTCCCTTCATTGACACCCGCACCGTGTACGAGAATCGTGAACGTCCAAGCCGCATGTACAGCTGGACCGCCCTCATCACCTCCCAAATATTGGGCGAACTTCCCTTGAACATCGTCGGTTCTTCGCTCTACTTTTTGGTTTGGTACTGGACAGTCGGCTTCCCCACCGACCGCGGAGGATACACCTATCTCATGCTCGGCATCGTCTTCCCCATGTACTACTCGACGATTTCACAAGCCGTCGCTGCGATGTCTCCCAGCTCCGAGATCGCGGCGCTGCTTTTCAGTTTCCTGTTCTCTTTCGTCATCACATTGTAGGCTTCTTTTTCCTTTTTGGATTGATCGTCAGACTAACATAGGCTGTTTTAGCAACGGTGTCCTTCAGCCTTTCAGACAGCTCGGATGGTGGCGGTGGATGTACCGTGTCTCTCCCTACTCTTATCTCATCGGAGGTCTTCTTGGCCAAGGTTCGTTCGACATCCTCGCTTCCATCGGGTTTTCGCTAACAATGTTGTGCAGCACTTGGTGGCCACGAGATTAATTGTGCTGATAAGGAATTCGTCCACATGCCTCCACCATCCGGCCAAACTTGCGGGCAATATTTGAACTCGTTCATCTCGACAGTGGGAGGGTACACCACCAACCCAGATGCGACGGACGTCTGCAATTACTGCTCTGCCCGCACGACCGACCAGTTCCTTGGCGGTAGCTTCAACATCTTCTACTCCGAGCGCTGGAGGAACTTCGGCCTGATGTGGGCGTACCTTGCGTTCAACGTGAGTTCTCATCGTTCCTTGTACTCGTGTGCAATGATTGATTGTTTCATCGCCCTCCAGGTTCTGGCGATCTACGGCTTGACATGGTTCTTCCGTATTCGCAGGGGCAGCCTGATTGGGCCCCTGAAGAGTCTCCTGTCTCGCAAGTAGAGAAGTGTACAATCACATCCGAAAAGTTGACGAACTATCAGATACGAAGGTGGACATTGGAATCATGATCTAGAGTAATTTAGTTTGTGCTTACTTATTTTACACGTCGCATACGTACCAAGTACATCAAAGTCAATAAGACACATTGTTTGCCATTTTGTTGCGTGGTCTCAATGAACTCTGAAAGCTAATAGGTGATGCCATGGTTATGCTCGAGAGCAGAACGAAGCTGAGGGTCGAATGAGTTCTGGTTTGCGAATGCTTGTCACCTCAGCCGGAATCTGACCAACCGTCCAGGTAACAGCAGAACAAGAAGAAAGCAAATAATGAAAGCTCGTTTTATTATGATCGACCCTTCGTCCAATACATGTACACTCTAGCCCAGATGTTTTCATGCAAACGCAGCCTCTGCAGCCTTCTCCGACTGTGAGAACCCGTAGTCCTCCCCCTTGACAAAGGAGCGTGTGCATTGCGCCATCGTGACGGACCTGTGGATACAATGAGCCACAATTGATGAGATCGAGAAGCACTGCCACTCACGCTCTCGAGATGGGATCTGTCTGGTAGAAGTTAGCGATGGGCTTCTGGAAAGGTTTCCCAGAAATCTTGGCCAGATCCGTACGTGCCGACAATGTCTTCAGGCCCGCAAGTGCGACATCGACAGAGGTGGGCTCGGTAGTATCGTAGCGTACGAGTGTTGGCGAAATCTCCCACATGCGGTCACGCAAGCTAAGGACGTCGTCGTACGGCAGAGGGTTATCGAGGACTTCGGAAAGAGCCCTAATCACGTAGGTATTAGTATTGTGTCCTCGTTTGTATCGCGAGAGGTGATGTAGATTAAGTCAACTAGTACATACCGAAGGATCTTCCAGTCTTCACGCGAGACACCAGGAGCGGGCACGGCAGCACGGCCGAGTTGAGCACGACCTTCTGTGTTGATCCAGGTCATGGATTTCTCGGTGTACGCGGCAGCAGGCAGGCAAACATCGGCAAGCTGAGCACCAAGGTCTCCATGGTGACCCTGATACACGACGAATGCGTCCTTCGGGATTGACTTAGGTTCAACCTCGTCGGCGTTCAGGAGGTAGACGAACTTGGGGGTAGTGATGGTAGCCTTCTTCGACGGGACGAAGCCGATATCATATGCTGCAGAGCGAGAAGCGACCTAGTGTCCCATTGGTTAAATCCAGTCGGCAGCAGAAAACACGACAGAAGACAAAGCTCACTCGTTGCAAGATCGAAAGACCATTCCACTCGGGAGTCAACAGAGTCGACTTGTTCTTCTCAACGTACTTGGCCAATCCATTGTACACTGCAGGACCGTCTGGGTGCTCGGAAATTGCACTGCCAACGATGATGAGAGGCTTCTTCGCTGTTTGGAATTTCTTCGCAAACTCTCCCTTGCCGGCAATGAAATCTGCGAGAGCTTTCACATCTGGTCCGAGGTAGTCGTATCCATAGGTCGTGTCCGCACGTTCACCGATAAAGCCAACCTCGAGACCAGTATGCAACCAGGACTTGCGTATGCGAGAATTGAGAACTGCCGCCTCGTGTCGAGGGTTCGTCCCAATGAGCAAGATGGCATCTGCCTCCTCTACACCCGGAATAGTCGTATTAAATAGGTAGTTGGATCGGACATCGACACCGGCGACAGGGGGTGCATATCCCCCAGCTTGGTCTAGAGCAGTATTGTCAGAACCAAGACGGTTGATGAGATCCTTCAGCGCTACGAGCGACTCCGTATCCGCCAGGTGACCAGCAACAGCCTGAATCTCATCGCCCTTCGCACCCGATTTCGCTAGTCCGTCACGAATGGCAGACAGCGCGTCTTCCCATGTTGCTGGAACGAATCGGTCACCCTCCTTGATAAGGGGTGTGGTTAACCGCTGGAACTTGAGGCCATCGTAGGCATAACGAGTCTTGTCACTGATCCACTCTTCGTTGACGTCGTCGTTTGTACGAGGCTGTATCCGCATGACCTGGACCCCACGAGAATCTACACGGATGTTAGAGCCAACAGCATCAAGAACGTCGATAGATTCAGTATTCTTGAGCTCCCATGGTCGTGCATGGAACGCGTATGGCTTGCTCGTCAAAGCACCAACAGGGCAGAGATCGACAATGTTCCCGGAAAGTTCCGAGTCCATGGTCTTCTCCACGTACATGCCAATCTGTAGGTCGTTTCCACGACCAGTCGTACCGAGCTCCTCGACGCCAGCAACCTCGTTCGCAAAACGAACACAGCGTGTGCACTGGATACACCTGTTCATTGAAGTTTTCACGAGAGGTCCCAAGTCCTTGTTCTCGACAGCGCGTTTACCGGTGATTTCGTGGAAGCGGGAACGATCTGAACCGTAGCGCATTGACTGATCTTGAAGATCACATTCACCACCCTGATCACAGATTGGGCAGTCTAAGGGGTGGTTGGACAAGAGAAATTCCATGACACCTTCGCTGGAGACAGGCTAAGTAGAGGCGACAGCGAAAGACTAAAGCAAACCTACCGAGCCTCATGAACGAGAGGAGTATTTGTAAAGACTTTAGATCCAGGCATAGCAGGCATCGCACTGGGCACAAGCTGAATATACCGTTCTAGAGACATTTAGTGCCGACTTACCATGACGCGACAGGTTTTGGTGATCGTTCAACCTCGACCAAGCACATACTGATCCACACACTTGAGACGCATCCCATCACCATTGGAGTACTATAACTTACCGACAATTGCCTGCGATAGCGAGCCTATCATGATAGCAAAACCTGATGGACGGTCAGCGTCTGCTCTTCTAACAGAGGCGGTGCACACACATACCGTGGTATTGTTGCACCAGCAGCCTCGCATGCCTGAATAAGCGCCGATCCTGGGAGCAGACACTCAGAGACAGCACGTTGAAGGCAGAGACACCTGCGTCATGCATACCCTGAGGAACGGTAACCTCTTTGCCATCAACGGTCAAAGTGATGTCTGCGGGACGCGCCGATGTGGACGCGAAAGTCCGTTGACCCCCTTCAATATTTCGGTATGAGAAAAAGTTTCAAATAATAGTGATGTCAAGGTTACACACCCTTACAACCTGAACATACAACTTGGACTAGGCGCCCCTTCGACGCAGGCCGTGAAGCTGACGCGACTAGCCTCAGCATCTCCTCGGTCCAGCAAGAAAGCGAGAGTACAGAATATGTGTAAGTTGCGGCTTTGAAATGAAAAGCCGTGCGACGTCAAGCGCAGAAATTCGGGTGCGTCGTCGACGTCGCTCACAGTGACGAAGGCGACCAACGATATCCTCCGTAATTTCCGTGCGTAATTTCAAGCGGAGATTCGGAGTCTTGCGGGCCAATCGTCGCTTTCCTCTTTGCCGCAGCGGAACGTGCCGGACAGTGCCACATCGTGGGAACGGTGTCAGCTCACAGCAGCCACGTGATGCGGACACGTCGTCCGTGGCTAGCAGGCGCCTTCACGGTTTCTTGTCCCGCCTCCGTCGTCCTCGTCTCTCTGACATATCGAGCACTCATAGACATCAAAACCTAACGATTTTGAGACTCTAGGGCACAGGAATGGAATTTCTTCACGCGCAGCTTGCGACGCTGCAGCGTCATTTGGCATTTGTAGCAGTTGATCCTATCGACTGGAAGTTCTATGTACAATTATCGAGTTGGGGCATTTGTCTGTTCGAATCATACCTTCTGTGCGCCATCTTATCTGTCTTCCCGCAACTGTACAACCTGACCAAAAAATGAAGCTTGCGCCAATACCCTTTATATTCAAAGCTTTCGCCACCAGCACTCCTCGCTAATCATTTCAAGCCTGGGGTCTTCGAGAAATCTCAAGAATATGGAAAGGATAAAGCAAAGTTCTCTCTCATCGCTGGTCTGTATAGGCAAATACTGGATACTGTTCAGATCCAATCCGCGTTGTATTATCCCTGGGCGTGGAGTTTCGCTGGGCAGGCTATACAAAAGTTTGGATACGGGCCTGAATACCAGGTCAGTCATCTCTGTTCATGCGATCTTTCGGGTACAAGGGCGTACTCTGGCTTTGGGCGAATGGATCAACACTCCGGATTGGGTCGCTCATGAAAGCGTGGCGTTCAATATAGATTTCCCAATCCATCGTCTTCGTGGTTGTTTTGACCTTGACGTCGATGATTCCTACTCTGCCATTGGGGCTTTACCAAACGTTCGTCCTCGAAGAAAAACACGGCTTCAACAAGACCACTCCGGGTTTGTACGTCGCCGATATGCTCAAAGGTTGGGCAATCGGATTCGTCCTCGGTGCACCCTTGCTGGCCGCATTTCTATACGTCTTCGAGTGGGCTGGCGACCGATTCGTTCCTTGGCTCATGGCACTTCTGTACGTTTTTGCGATCGTCTTCGATTCACAAGGCCCTCAAACTCATATCCATGTTGACTCCCAACTTGTGTAAAGGCTCGGCTTCCAACTTCTCATGGTCATCATCTACCCGACTGTTATCCAGCCTCTCTTCAACAAGCTCTCTCCGCTTGCTGAAGGCGACCTCCGTAACCGCATTGAGGGCCTCGCGAGCAAGCTGAAGTTCCCTCTCAAGCACCTCTACGAAATCGACGGCTCGAAGCGTAGTTCGCATAGCAATGCATACTTTTTCGGTCTACCTTGGGTGCGCATTCTGATTAAGAAAGTATGACGTCTTCTGAAATCATTCTAGAGTAAGCACATCGTCATTTTCGACACCCTCATCAAACAGTCCAAGGCTGAGGAGGTAGAAGCTGTCCTCGGTTAGTTCATGCCACACCCCCCTGTGCTTATCGTCTGATTGGTCTTCGCAGCACATGAACTTGGCCATTGGTTCTACTATCACCCTACAAAGCTCCTCCTGATCTCTCAAATCCACATCTTCTCCATCCTCGCTCTATTCCCCGCCTTCCTCCATGCGCCACCTCTCCTCCGCTCGTTCGGTTTCCCAGCCGACGTTGCCGCCAACCCGCCCCCGATCATCGCCTTCCTCCTTTTCCAGGTGAGTATCCTTCCCTCTCCCTCTCTCCACCACGACTCACCTCATCCGCCCGCAGATGGTCCTCACCCCGCTCGAGGCGGTCGTCAGCATGGCTCTCAACGCCGTCTCCCGGCGGTTCGAATACCAGGCCGACCGCTTCGCATGCGAGCTCCGCACGCAGCTCAAATCAGACGACATGGCGGACATGGGCGCGCGCCTCGGCCGCGCGCTGATCGCGCTGCATGTGGAAAACCTATCGACTGTCTGGGTCGACTGGCTGTACTCGGCGTACCACCACTCGCATCCGACGCTGACAGAGCGCTTGAAGGCCCTGGAGGTGTTTGGAGGGGCGATCGTCAGCGATGAGGCCGAGAAGAAGCAGGAGCTGTGATTCGCTCACGGTGCCCTCGCAAGATGGAATGATGGAGGTGTGCGTAGTTGACAGCATTAAAGAGATATCTTGTATCGCAAGTGGGCCGCTATCGCATCAAAGCCGCATTTGGACGATCAATCGATGAACACACAAGGATTCATACCGGTGTACACCACGGTATCTACAGAACAACTTGAGAGGCGTGCCATATGCGGGGACAGGTACATATACTAGTACATCGAACATCTCCAAATAGCGCTCATGGATGAGCCATTCAACAAATCACCTTGGCATCTCAACACACCGTTCATAGAAGACAAGTACTGAGTGCGTGAGGTCATCCAGTACCGCCAGTAAGCAAGAAATCTATGTATCATCAACGCGAAGAATTGACGCGAATACTTGCGTGAAACCTACCACCGTTTGTGTCGAGTAAGTATCTCGGGAACGGTACGCAGACGACACAATCACACCTGAAGCTTGAGGATGTGTTACTGACCCGTCTCAGGACTCCTTGAGCTTGTCTCTGAGCGTTCTGAGCACAGCTATCTGCGTCGGGCTCTCGACATGGTTTACAGCCTTCCAATCGGCCTCAGGAGGGTTCTCTCCCCTCGTAGCGTTCAACTGAAGACCTGTCACGCCGGTCCCACTCCTGCCATGCCCGTAACCGCAATGGACCAGCGTAGATTTATGTGCCGCGTCGTTAAAAAACGTGATGGCGCTCTCTAGCTGCTCGAGAGTAGGGGCGTTGAAATCGGCGACCGGGACGTGGAGGTAGCTGATCTTCGCATCCGCCAACAACTTCCTCTCGTCGTCGGTGTATGAATATTGGTTGAAGCTGATGATGCTGTCGATGCCTTTGTCTGTGAGGAACTCCACGGCGGTCGGAGTAAGGTTCTGGCTGAGGTCGAGACCGGCATAGTTTGGAGTAGAGGAACGATAGAGCTTGTGCCCGCTGGACACATACTTCGTCACTTGCTCCCACCGGTGCCATTCGCTGCTCATGGTCACTGGAAAAGGTGCAGGCTTCAACGGGTCGCATATTAGATCTAGAGCATGCAAAATAAAACACGCACCTAGGGAAGATGAAAATCGCAGGTGAAGGACAATCGATTGGCGAGAGAGACTTTTGTAGCAGTGCGGGGCCTTGGGTCCGCCGGGTGTGACGTGTGAACATCATGCATATATTCTCGCAGTCACCATCCAAGGCCAAATGGTACAGAACAGTGCCAGGAAGGCCGTGGTAACGACAGAACTTACTTGGAGATGTCTTGGAGAACGTCAAGATGGAAAAAAAGAACGCAAGGTCATCTTACTAACTACGACGCGCAAAAATGCAGTGTCCACTTGCTTGCAGCGGCCGGATGTCTGAGAATCCTGGGTCCGTGGGGAGCGAGTGTAGCAGTGAATAGATAGGTCTCTGCTTAAAGCTGACTTGAGTCCCTTGACCACCCGCTTGTGATCTGGTCGACCCGAGTCAACCACGGTTCCCAGATTTGTCGACGTTTCCCTTGCTTGTCGAGGTCTTTCCACACCCCGTTAATTCCACTCTGCTGAGAGACAGAGGAGAGCCCTCCGAGAAAGAGAGAGGGAAAACTTACTCACAAATGATAAACTTATTTCGGACGGGCCTATGATGATTTGACAGAGCGCAGATCTCCAAGGTACAGCAGCGATATAGCACAACAGAACAAAGCCGACGAGTCGACGACAATACAGCACTACAGCAACACATACGCGCGCGCAACCGAACTTCGAACTTCGAACTCCGGCCAACCGACAAAAAAGAAAGAAGGCAAGAAAGGGGAAAAAACCTATACACTCCTATACGCCCCACTCGGGCGGCAGCATCCCCTCCGGCCCACACCCCATCGGCATCCCATCGCTCTCCAAGAACGCATTCCACGCGATCCCGAACGAATCCGACGAGAACGTCGCCGCGCTCGCGGCGCCGTCCGCGTGCATGAGCTGCTGTTGCTGCTGTTGCTGTGGCGGCGGCGGTGGCGGGAGCGAGAGCGCATCGAGTCGGTAGTACGCGTCTGCGGGGAGGTGGGGCTGCTGCTGCTGAGGATGGGGATGGCGGTGCGAAGGCTGCGCGAGGGGTTGTTGTTGTCGTTGTTGTTGGGAGTACGCATGCGCGAGAGGCTCCAGCTGAGGCTGTGCGTGCAGATGCCGATGCGAATGCGACTCCAAATGCGAATGTGAATGCGAATGCGAATGCAAGTGTGAATGCGACTGCGACTGCGCCTGCGACTGCGACTGCGGCTGCGAGTGCCCAAGCACAGACTGCCCCGAATGGCGCGCATGCCCCTCCGTCGCGATCTCCGCCAGCTCGTACAGCATACCGTTCGGCGGGGGCGGTGGCGCAGCCGCTCCGGAGCCAGTGGGGCTCGCGAGCGCAGGCGCAGACGACGCGGACGGCGCGGCCTCCTGCTCGCCGCCGGCGCCGTCATACGCGTAGCGCCGCGGGGGCAGGAACGGCTCGTTCATGGCATGCAAGTGGCCGCCCGACTGCCGCTGCCGCCATCATTGTTTGATGAAAAAAAAAACACCCCAAAAAACACCCCCGTCGTCGTCACCATCGTCGCATGGCCACCACAGAAAACACGAAATGGATGCTCACGGGAACGGTACCGGGAGCCGCCCACGCCAGCGGCGAATCGGACGCCTTGACCCCGAGCGGCCGATCGTGCAGGCCCGGCGGCGACGACGACGATTCGGGCAGGCCGACGGCGGCGTTGCGCAGCGAGGCCTGCCATATCCTTGCCTTGGGCCACGCGTGCTGCAGGTCCGTGAGCACGCTCAACGTGCGCTGCAGGATCTTCTCCGCGCGCGGCGCGATCGCGGGGCACACTGAGCGCGTGTTGTAAGCGTCACGGGGGCGCGAAGGGGTCAGAACATCGCGCGAGAGTCCGAGGGAGGTGCGCGCGACTGACGCTGGGGCCACTTCCACAGGTACGACGCGAGCGAGCCGCATATATACACGCAAAAGACCTGGCATCGAGCATCCTGCGATCAGGCGCCTGACCACGCTGGAAGAGAGAGGGAGGGGGGGGCGGCGCTCACGATGATGGGCGGGAACCCGTTCGAGCGGAGCGGGAAGTACGCGTCGATCTGCTCGTACAAGACGCACACGTCCGAGAACAGCTCGCTCGCCATGTCTTCCCAGAAGTGCGCCGGCACCGCCGCCCACGTGGGGTCCTCGGACTCCTGCCAGGGCGCCTCGGAGATCTTGACCGCGGAGGCTATGAACCTGTGCCGTGGCCGCCCACGATCGCGACGGCGCGCGTCAGCTTGAGCGAAGTGCGAAGGACGGGTGAGGCGAGGACGGGAGGCTACGCACGGGAGGTAGATGCGCCGCATGACGATGTTGCTCAGCCGCAGGACCATGACGATCGCGAGGTACGCCTGCAAACAAAAACACCCCGGGACGTTCAACGCCGCACGCAACGCAAGCAAGCCGCGCGCGGCCCACGCACCAAATCAAGCGACTCCGCCCTATACCCGCGCAGATTCCGTATCGACCACCGATGCCGCTCCGGCAACCCCCGCTCCCAGTCGCTCAGCGCGCGCTTCAGGCCCGCGTACTCGCTCTCCGCGTCCCACGGCGCGACGCACTGGCTCCCGAGGTCGTCGCGCCGCGCGCGCTCCCCCGCGCGCTCGGGGAGGTCGCTCTCCCACTGGCACGCGCGCCGCGCGACCTGGCCCCAGAGGTTGTGCGCCTGTATGAGCACCGCGAACAGCGAGCGCGAGGGCGTGCCCACGAGCGCGGGCGCCGCGCGCGCGGCGGCGGTGCCCGCGAGGGCTGCGCGCACGCGCGGGGCGGTGCCGAAGGCGAAGTCTTGCTCGTCGCACGGGAGGAGGGCGCTGATGTCGCGCAGCGAGTACGGGGCGGGCGTGTTCATTGCGGATTGGAGGTTGTCTTGGCCTGCGGGTTTCGGGGCGGGCGTCAGTGCGGGGAGGGAAAGGAGGGCGAGGGCGAAGGTGAAGGTCGCGCTCACTGGCTATCATCCAGAATGTGCGTCTGGCGACTTCGGAGGCGATGACGTCCTCTGCCGAGGCGTCTGGCGGGAGGCGGTAGGTCTCCTCTCGATGCAATCGAAGAAGGCCGGCCACTGTGAGCACTCGCCGTCAGTCCGTGCGAGGGCGGCGGAGAACATGCGAGGCTTACTCCGCACGGCGATGCCCATATGCATCTAACGAATGCTACGTTGAATATACGATGATAGTTGCGACTGAACGACGACGCACGAAGCTCCGATCGCGGTCCCCGTGGCCCCACTCCGTGACACTGAGGAGAAACTGCGGACGGTCAGAAGGCGGTCCGTGGACGGCAGAGCGGGGAGCACGTACGAAACCCTGCGTCCGCTCGAGGCTGGGCCTGTACATCTCGTCCGGGACGAGGCTCGCGGCCTGCCGCATGAAGTGCTCCGTAGCGCGGACGGGGTCGCCGTAGCGCGTTGCGAGGCAGGGCGTGAAGCGGGCGGAGAGGCTGAGGATGGCGAGGAGCAGAAAGACGGATACGGACGCGCGGTCGGTGGCCAGGCGTTCGAGGAACATCGCTTTTGGGATGAAGCCTGGGGACGGGCGCGTAAGAATGCGAGATGGACGGGCGGGCGAGGAAGGAAGGAAGGAAAGGGGCACGGGCCTAGCTGGAAATAGGACTTGACGAGGACGTTGCATCCCTCGACGACTTCTTCGTAGGGCGGCAGGAGGGACCACCGGTCCCTGTCGTCGGGGGCGGCTGCGAGGGCGGTGGGCGAGCTGGGACGACAACGGTCAAGAATGAGACACGAAGGCGAGGTTGGCGCATACCCGGACTCTGTCTTCGGGACGAGGAGGAGACTTGGGGAGCGGTGTGGTGAGACGGAGCGGGGGGCGGGGGCGGAGGATCGAGCACGGCGCACCTGGAGCCAGCCTGGCGCTCGGGCCTGTCTGCGAGCTTGAGCCTTTTCCGGCGGAACTGCGCGATGAGATGAGCGTTCGGGCAGACAAAAAAGCGCGGGGCGGCACTGCGCGGGGAGCCACTCGCCTCGCGGTCGGAGGCGTCCTCGCCCCGCCTCGGGAACACGCTGCGTCCGTTCCCCTCAGCACGCGGCACAGTCTGGGATCGCGGAGCCGGGCACGCACCACTCGGCCGCGACGGCGGCGCCTGCGTCTCTGCAGCTCGCGCAGGGCGGGACGGCGTTCTCGTGGGTGCACTTGCTGCGGAGGCGGCGGCATCTGGAGGGCGTTGGAGGGCGTGTGCGGCGTGTGCGGCGTGTGTGTGCTGGGAGGGACGGACCTTTTGCAAGCGACGGAGCCCCTCTTGAGCTTGACGGGCGGGTTTGTGTCTGGGGCAGAGGCTGCTGGGCGGTGCCCGGGGCTTGTCGGAGAAGCCTGCATCAGCCAGGCTGGGCGGGAGCAACTCCACACATCACTTAAGCAGCCGCCGCAATCCGTTACACATTCCTCGCCACGTCGCTAATACACAGCTGCTACGCTACCCGCGTTCACCCAAACATCTTCTTGAACGCCTTCTTCTGCTTGTCCCGCCTCTCCTTCTTGCGCTGCCGCACCCGCTCCAGCTCCCCCGCGATCGCCGCGTCGTCCCTCGCCAGCCGGCTCGCCTCCGCGAGCGCCTCCTCCGCCTCCTCGTCCTCCTTCACAACCCCAAACGCGAGTCCGCGGCGGTACAGCGCCTTTGCTGTGTGTCGCACCGCACGCACACGGTCAGCCACCGACGGCTCTACTCGAACCACGCACGCAATAATTCACGCACCGCGATCCGCGTCGCTCAGGCTCAGTGCCAGCGCGCGCTCCGTCGCCCGGAGCGCAGTCTGCGCGTTCTCCCCGGGCGCCCCGGGCGCCTTGAGCGCCGCGAGCGCCGAGTTCAGCAGGAGCGGCGCACGCAGCGCCGCGTGGCCCTCGCGCACCTCCTCCGGCGCGTCCTCCGGCAGCACCGGGTGCACGTCGAGGTAGCGCAGCGCCTTCTGCCACTTGGCGAGCGCGCGCGCCGCGTCGCCCGCCTTCCAGAGCGCGTTGCCGACCTCGCGGAGCTCCCGCGCGATGCGCAGCGCGACCGCGGGGTCCTGCACGTCGCTGTCGTCGTCGTCGGGGTAGTCCTCGTACCGGTCGCCGTCGGGCGCCGCGCCGCTCGGCGTTAGGGAGGGGTCGTCGGGCGGGAGGACGCCGCAGTCTGTGATGGTGATCGGCGTCGTGGGCACGTCGCCCGACGCGGTGGGGTAGTTCTCGACTTCGCGGACTATAGCGCGCGCGGTCAGATCGCGTTGACGGGACCGCCGTCCGAAAGACGTTCACGGGGGAGGACGAACGCGACGCACCGATCGACTTGCCGCGGATGACCTCGCCGAAGACGACGTGCTTCCCGTCGAGGTGCGGCGTCGGCACGCACGTGATGAAGAACTGCGAGCCGTTCGTGTCCTTCCCCGCGTTCGCCTGCGCGCGCCCCGTTTCGTTCCGCTCAGCACACCAGACTTCGTGCGCGCGGGCGAGACGCCGTGGGGAAGGGGGGGACGCACCATGGAGAGCAGGAACGGCTTCTCGTGCTTAACGGGGAACGCCTCGTCCGCGAACTTCTCGCCGTAGATCGACTCGCCGCCCGTGCCTGCGCGTCGTACCCGCCGATCCCCCACCATCCGCACCACCACCATCCGCACCACCATCATCAGCATCAGCATCAGCGGCAGAAACGCGCTACGCACCGTTCCCAGCCGTGAAATCGCCGCCCTGGATCATGAACCTGCCGCAGCGCGCGCGCGTCAGCTACTGGATCCTCGGGCCCCCCCCGCGCGGATGGATGGGCACGCACTTTTTGATCACGCGGTGGAACCCGGAGCCCTTGAACCACAGCGGCTTCCCCGCCGCGCCCGTGCCCTTCTCGCCCGTGCACAGCGCGCCTGCCGCACGCACACACACCAACCCAAAAAAACAAACAAGCATCAGCGCCGACCGACCGAGCAAGAAAGTGGGAAACACAGAAGTAACGACGCACGGAAGTTCTCCGCCGTCTTCGGCACGAGGTCGCTGTAGAGCGAAAAGACGACGCGTCCGAGCGGGCGGTCGCCGATCGCGATGTCGAAGTATGTCATCGGGCGTTCTTGCTTTCCCTGCTGCTGCTGCTGCTGCTTTTCCTGCTCTTGCGTCGCGGCCATCGTGCGGTATCGTTCGCTCGTTCAACGACAGCTGATAGATATCGGAAGCCCAGAGAACGCGCGCGCGCGTGTGTGTGTGTAGGGTGGTTTGTGCGGTCGACACTCGGCGCGGTCGGACGCTCAGATGTAGGGCCGCGGGAGAGGCCATTATGTAAGATTGCTCGAAGGTGCTGGAATGTGGGCTCGGGCTCGCGGTTCGTTCTCGCGCTGTGCCGCTGCGGCGTCCGACCCCGAGCGATCGATAAAGAGACGTCGGTCGAATGTTTTGGAACGCGCGAGACACTCGATGCAGCAGATCTCTGCGGCGAGCGGGTGAGCGCGGCGGCGCGCACGCACGGCTCTAGTCCTCTGCCCCCCGGAGACTCTGGCGCGAGGGTCATATATAGCGTGCACCAAGTCGGGCAAGCCCTTTGGGAGTGGAGAAGGGCGCAGATGCAGCTGATGTCTCGGCACAGTACTTCCCTTCAGATGTCATGGTCCCATCTGAACGAAAATGGCTCATGGGGGCAGTGGGCGACGCCCAGGCTCAGCGCTCAGCGAGCAGAGCACGTCTCCTCTGGGCACGGTTCTGATTTGCATGCTGCGGATGGAACGTGGGTTCTGGAAAATCAACAAAGGCAGATGGGGACGATGGCAAGCAGCCGGGTGGAACGGGAGAGGGTGTCGGGGGTCTGCGTGATATCACCTTCCCACGTTTCCCCGCATTTTAGTGCCTTCACATGACGTACTACGCACTGCAGACTCGCGCACGCACTTGAGCAGAACAACAAACCGGCACGAACAACGGCCACGCGCATGCAACGACCTCACCGTCGCCCGAACGCCAGTGGAGGGGACAGAACAAGAACCGCGGGCCAGAGCGCGTGACGAGATGGTTACAGAGCTCTGGCTTGGGCCACGCCTCGAGCCTTCCAGTCCGAGTGGGGGAGAACATCGATCACGCGAGCCGCTCGAGGTCGTAGGGGTCACGCCCCCCACATTCGACATATAAACCTCCACCGCCCGCTCCCCATCTCCCCACCCTCCCCACCGCTTCCCTTTTCTCTTCGCGCAGCACATCCACCAACCCATCTCCAGCCCCATCTCCCCAACCGCCCTCGAACCCGCATTTATCGCATCTTGGCCTTGCCTTGCCCGACCCCCCTATTCGAGAGAAAGTCGCCCCAGCATGACCCGCACAGAACGCGCCGTGTCGCCCCGCGCGCTCCTCAAGGACCGCTCCGAGGCCCGCAACGGCCTCGACACCGGCCTCCGCAAGGGCGGCGCGGGCGCGCACAACTGGGGCGCGCTCAACGACGAGGCGCGCTTCGAGCGCGAGGGCGCCGACGACGAGGAATCGGAGCCCCGCGACGGGGAAGGTGCGTTCGCCCCCACCACGCACTCGACGTGCGCTCACCGCTCGTCCGTGCTCCTTCCGTCTGCCGGCAGGCGCGCGCGGCAGAGACAAGAAGAACGCCGAGCGCCGCACGAGCAGCGTCACGGAGGAGGACCGCGAGAATGCCCTCAAGGTCCGCAAGAATGCCCTCAAGGACGGCGGTGCGTTCTTCCTCGCGATGTCCTCGAGGCATCGATCTCTGATAAGTAGCCGTCTGGTTTACATGTGTTGTCTGTGCCGTCGTGTAGTTGTCGACCTTGCGGCCATCGCCCGCTCGTCTGTCGCCGTCTCCTCGTCGCCCCCGCGGTCTGTGCCCATCGCCTCGGGCGCCAGCGTAAGCGCCCCGCCTTCTCCCTGTATACGATACTCTCGGTTCTCACAGCATACAATCATCGCAGACGGGGACTGTCTCCCCCCAGTAACTTATTCCATATCGCATTCCACCATCCATCAAGTTCCCGACCTGGCGTTCAATCTCTCCCTCTCAAATGCAAATGCTCATTGCTCTCCACGTCTCCGCAAAGAAAGCTGAAGCCGATCCTGCTATCGCTCGGCATCTGTACCCCGATCCACGACCCCCTAACCCAATCCATCGTCATCCCCGTGTAATCACGAACGCGCGTCGCGTCGCGTCTTGTCGATGGCGGAAGTGTTCACCTGGACTTGATTGCCGGCATGCATGCAGGCACAGCCGAGGCAGAAGCCGCGAGCGCAGGCGGAGAGGGGGTGTAATTGTAGTTCGTTGTACTCACGCGTGTTGTTGTTCGCTGCGCAAATTATTGTCTTGCGATCATTGGGCCTCTATGCTGCATTGTAAAATCTGGATGTGGGATCTGGATGATTCAAGATCTAGCCGGTGCGACCAGGCGTGCGCATTACACGGCGTTGTTTATTATCGAAGATGCAACTGCAAGCCTCACTCCTGCCAGTTCGTCCGTCAGGTCGTGTAAAGTGTGCAATACACCATTGAACAATCGTGTCCATTCCCATCGGTACAAAGTACAGACACGCGTAGAATGTGGATCAACAGTGTGATATCAAGCTGAGCCCAGCGGGCTGTAAACAGTATCCCCCCTCCGTATAATATCTCGCCTTCCTAAATGTGTTTCTGCCTGTGCCATCCGCGCCCCTCCATAGCGCGAACGACCTCATCGATCTGTTCATCCCGTCAAAAGACGAGCACGGGCGCGGTGCGCACGCTTCGAAGGACGGCGCTGCGTGTCGACGAAGCCGATGTATGTGCACGCTCCATGCGCGCGAGACTGACTGAGTTCGGCGGGACTGCGGGCCCCGGATCCTCTCATGATCTAACGGCGCCCCGGTGCGGCGTGTGGCATCATCTGGGCGTGCGCGGGCCTGGGGCCGTGCGAGGGCACGTCGCCGTCGCCGCCATTCAGATGATATCTGAGATCGCGTTGCCTGCGTGCTCCGGCACCCGAGAACGGCGACGGCGCGCGGCGCGGGTTGATATCGAGGCATGGAACGCGTACAAGGTCCATCTGCCTGGGATCCCCGGCGCCGCGCGCGGGAGCGCCGCGCCCCGCGTGGTATCGCGCGACTACGTTTGGATCTCGAGAGCGGGTGGCGACGTTCGAAAAGCCGTCTGCACTGGAGAGGGACGGCGGGGCATGTCAGCGCGGCGCAGATGGACACTTGGAACCGACGTACCTCGATACCGTCTCGTGGCACAGCGCGCGACGAACGGCCCTGGCTGGCGACGCTCTCGGGCGCTACTTGTACCGGCGCCGTGGCTGCGCGCCTGATGAAGGCAGAGACATCTCTATGTATGCAGCGTCCGGCCTTCAGACACACGCATCGAAGAGATAAGATGCCTAGCGCACGCATCGCCCGGTAAGCCGCCGCGCCGACCGAAGAACGGAGGAACAGCAAGAGTGTGCGTACCGTCGGAGCAGCGCACGCCGCTGTGGCCGCTTCCTCGCTCCCTCGTGCGCCGCCAGCTCCGTAATTGGGCTGTATCAATTCCCGTGATGGGTGCCTCTGCTCGGGTGTTGTCCTGCTGGAGGACGGGTGCGGGGCAGGGCGCATTGGGAGCCTGTCTGCGGATTCGGGATGAACTCGTGAGCGGTGTGGCCGGCGGCGGCCACGTCGGGACGGTTTTCAGGTCCATCGAGGACCATAGGAGCGATAGAGTCGAAGGTGAGTGTAGCTGTGTGTGTGCAGTGGATAGATGGGGTGAATGGGTGGTGGAGAGATTGAGCTGCGCTGTCCTCCTTTTATGCGCTGGAGTGTGGCTGTCACATATGGCGAGTCTATTGTCGCTGACACATGAATGGTGCATTGTGCGCCGCCAAAGCGTTCGCCGGGTGGGCTTTAGCCACCCAAGAGAGGGTGGACAATCACTGTGGCTTGGTGTCAATGCGCCTTCGGCGGACAAAAAGAAATGGGGCACAGACCTGTGATGAAGTCCACCACCTGGAACGGGTTTCATTGTGCCACGAACGTTGCCAATGCGATCGCGGTTAAAGAATGGAATACCTAGTCTCAATTTAGATGGATCCAGTCCCCCCAGGTGTCCAGTGCGTTGTGCCTATGGCCCCGCAGATAAATTGAGTGAACGGTTTTCTTACACAACATGCCACCTTTGCGAACAGATTCGCAGCGAAGCATATGACCCGAAAGGCACGGCTATGGACGATGCATGAGACCCATAGGCTATATGTATAAGTATAAATCACGGGGCGATAAAATACATTAGGAAACGCTGTTTAGCGAGTGGCGACACCGGGTCTGCGGTCTGTGTCAGATGGGAGTCCGAAGAGGGGGAGCGCAAGAGGGCAGGAGCAAATGCGGACGCTGAGAGTGGGAGGTGGAGTAGGAGTGGTCAGATTTTGAATTAGCCTAGGTTCGACTGATTGTTAGATTCGAAGGCTCACCGAGGCGTGCAGCACGGGACGGGCGAAGGTCGGCAGCGAAAGGATCAGAAGGCATAACGGGAACGGAAGGCGCTGTCGATGACTTGGATAAGGCGTTATCAAGGTTGGGTGGCGGAGGTTCGTGGGCAGAAAGGAAGTGTAGCAGCGCGGTGACGGATATCCACACCTATCAAATGGCCAAAAGATGTGAAACCATGTGCTATACGGGGTACGATTGTGAGCTCACGTTAACGGACACCGCGGGGAGCACGTCGAGAATCTGTTCGAGGAGTCAGCTGGATGCTCGGTGAACTCATAGCAAGAATGATATACGCACCTCGAATGCTTCATCCCGGTTTGTCGCCGCCGTGCAGCGTGGATGCAACGCCGGTGGAATAACAGGTTCAGGGAGAGACTCAAGGAGGGCGAGTAAGGTGTTGGCAACAGCATGTGCGAGTTCGGTGGGCAGAGATGTGCTGTCCTTCGTCTCACTTCCAGCTGGTCTTTCAGGGAACTCGGCATTAGTGTCAAGGCACTGGATATAGTCAGATGCATATGTCAACTATATCACTGAAATCTCATTATTGGAAGACGCACTTCGCGTATAGAAGCCATGAGGTCCTGATCCCCTGGAACCAGAAAGACCTCATTCTGGGGCCCAAAAGATGGTTAACTCGATAGTGAGCTCAAATCACGAGGGGAAAATATTTACTATTGTCTCGATATCGTGACTCATTAGCCAATTCACGAGCCGCATGATCTCGCGAGGGGCGCTGAGTACCTGCGAGGCCGGAAGAAGATCTGCAGGACTCTGAAGTGTACGGATCGGTCCCGGAAGGCGTGTGAGCATGGATAGTGCGGTGGCAAAACAAGTTGGCTCTAGAGGAACCAAAATAAATGAATAAAGGCTACTCCGGATATTTGAATGAATATTATACCATACTGTCCGTGTAACGAAACGAAGTGGTCCTTCCCGAGTAGCGTGTGCAAGATTGAGATGCTCTGCAGGTGTTCTGCGCGGATGTTAAGCTGGAACGCGGTTGTGCGGGTGACATGCACTGTGAACGTGATTTCAATTTGTTCGGACGGGAGAAGGAAGCCCTACGACGCATCAATGACAGTCAGTTATTTGGTTCGAAAGAGTGCATGCGAAGGCGCACTGTCATTGGCTCAATTCGAAGCCAACCGGGATCTGCAAGCATTGTGGTTAGAAGATGAAGGTGAGAATATGAACAAAAGACAAACGCGTCGGCCGGGAAGGCTCCCGGGAGTAAAACCGGAATGCGCTCGGGATCTATGAGCAGTGAATGTTATGAAGACCACGAATGGGGACGACGTTCCTTACCTTGCTTGTGTTTTGAAGACTCAGTGTCCGAGTAACCGCACGATCGTAGCTAAACAGTGTTGTCATTTACATCGGTGTGGAGAACTTGAGATGAGAAGATTGCACATACGAAACGGTGCCGAAGTCGACTGAGGAATCAGCTAGCTTCATTGACGGAACTTCAGAGAGGTCTTCGAGATCAAGATTTGCAACGGATGTAAACAGTTCGTTGGCGGTGGAGTCTAACTCCAGACAATCGACAAAGGGCATCTATCGTATGAAAGAGAATTATAGAGAACACAAAATGCATAGAAATGTACACATATGCATACCTCGACTTCAAAATCCGCGGAAACGGGCTTGTGATCGCTCATCGTGATCTGCGGATGGCTGGTATACGAAGTTTGTTCGACAGTGGTGAACGAAGAGGACATGTAAAGGATACGGTCCGTCCATGCTGGCTTGCGTCTAGTTAGGGTTGAGCACAAACATTATGGCCCTTTCACGAAAGGAGCCAACTTCATATCGTATCCGAGGCCGTCAGTCATCAAGCTAGCGTTAAATCGGTATGTTCTGAGAGCGGTATTAAGTGAGATGTGGAGGACAGTATGGCCGAGGGGTTCTTACGGAGCGAAATGGATGGGATGTTCGGTAAAGCCATTAAAGGCTTTCTTTGTACGCATCGACTGGCTGAGCTGTCGCAGGCGTGGTTCTAGCTCTGTCAGGAATAATGGACAATTTGACATACCTGGTCAAACGATGCCATGGTAGAAATTGCACTGGGTTCAGAGACAAGTGTTGTTCTGACATCCTCATCAGGAAGATTGATTCGATAATTGAGGTCTGTCAAGACTAGATGAGTTACAAATTCTTCGTGCGAAGGCCATTGTCACGTCACTGACCTCCCTGAGTGTTACTCCATATTGTTAACATCAACGAGAAAGAGATCGAAGTGCGCTCACCATCCAAATCAGAACGTCAGAATGATACACGCTGAGCGCGCCGACTCCATTCTGCGTAGGAGAGACGTACTGTGGGGTTAATGGGAAGCTTAGGCGGCGCGAGAGGTCGTGAAAGTCTGCATTCCGCCTGTCCAGCATTTCTTCAAATGCTGCTAGATGAGAATTGACAAACGTTAGAGCTGTGGGTAGAGGAGAGGGCGAGTCCACGGTCGGTGGAGGGTGATAAGTCAGGCGGACGGATACTGCGCCCTTGTTACCCTGAAAACGGAATCACAATGAAGATCGAGTGAATGACGAGGAGTCGAGGAGTACCATGAGGCCCATGATGCCAGCTCCAACGATGCTAGACTTGATATCCGAGAAGTGACCAGGAAGATTCTTCTTGACAAGGATGATGATGAGCATGCCAACTAGCTGCTTGGAGGCCAGCTGACTTCGGATGTTCGTTCAGAACCCTTATCAATGAAGAAATGACTGGAAGTGACCTTTTCATACAGCTCTCCTTTCTCTCCGAGAGCCGCAGTCAAAGCCATCGTCCATGCCTCCTCGCGGGCCGTCTTCGTAGAGTAGAGCAAAGCCTCTGTAGACAAGTCGAGTTCCTGGAATGCGAAGACGAATAAATCTGGGTCTGGAAAATTATCTGCTGATTGGAGAGGATTTGTGGTTGACTGGGGTGCATTAGATTTGCCGTTGGATTCTACGACATCCACATGAGATATTCCGATTTGCAAGAACATGGTTTGCGAAATGACTTGCCGAAGTGCAAAGGTTCCTTGCCGATCTCACCAAGCGACAGGGGTGACACCTCTTTTAGTGGAGGAATCAACTTCTCCCATTCTCCTTTCCCAGAGCCATTCGGAGTAGACCCTGTATGTCCTCCAACCCAGGCCGAAAGGTCTTGAGAAGGAAACTTTCCGTTCACGTTGAAAGTCCCTATTCGTATCCTGTTTCCATCTTGAATTGAAGCTGCAAGCGCAGTTAAATGAAGCCTCCTTTACCTGAGCCTTGCCCTGTCAGAGCTCTTCGCTGTCGCCCGTGCCCTTATGTGAAACCATTCATCACGGATGATAGCAAAATCAGCGATATCATTGCCCGGCATGCCTGCGCTTCCATGAGATAGGCGAGCATGTAAGGATAGGCTGACTTGACGGAGATCTCGCGGAGGCATTACTGTGCGAAACCAAAACGAGTGAGTCCATGAACGGATTAAGGTCATGGAGAGACACTTGCCGGATAGCCAAGAAGACGGGTGAAGATAATACGGCCTCAGCCACGCGTATGTTGCCAAGTCAGGGCTGTTCGTGTCTGTCGTTCAAGTAAGGGAGGGACAATTCATAGATGGAATATGAATTACGAGCTAGCTGTATCATCTTTCGGCATTCAGACAGAACGTTGGATAGAGTCTTTCTATCTTCAGTGATGAACGTGAGGGCTTTCGCCTGTGCCTGGTAGACATCGAGAGAAATTCGGATATCTTCCGGTCAAAAACACAAATCAGAGTTACTATATTTTAGACAGATAACCCACTCAAATTCATCTCAACACGAACCAGGTTGCTGAAATGCCGCGGGATCTCCGCTTGGACTTGCATCAAAGATATTCGATGTGCCCGGTTGGGATACACCCAAGGAGAAGTCGCCAAGGATAGGATATATACCTTGAAGACTGAGTGTTTCACGAGACTCTGGTTCATCGATTGCAAATATCAATATGCTGCGTCTCCCGTTCATCATCTATGTTCGACGATTGAACAGGAAGTCACGGCTTACCTGCCCTCCTCGCTGTCCGCCGCCTCATTACGATGAGACGCGACGACCAATACCGCTTGGGACAGCTCCGATGCGCCCACGGGCTGCGAAGTTTTCTTTCTATCGATATCTCCGGGGCTTAGTGCGTCCTCTTTGAGTGCTGAATCGAAAGGGATACAGATTCCTGAAAGGACAACCTTCGGGAGCTCCGAGGGCCTCAAGAGAGAGCGTAACCGATCTATCATGCCCTTACGACAATTGTCGAGAGACTAACGGGGCTTGAAGCGTCTCTTCGTTTAGTGATTGGTTGCGGATTCCGCGACTGCTGATGACGCTGAAGAGAGCAATGAGCAAGAGTGTGCACCAAGCGCAAATTAGCCGCTGCGGCGATTACCGATGACGGCCTCTTGTGCTCTCGCGCTCGACGACAATGCACATCCACCACTGTTTCTTCAATCGACGGCCTAGTGCCCCCGGATATTTCCCGGTTCATTCCCTATTCTAAGCTACGTACCATGCCATCTCAGAGAACGAGAAACGCACTGTGCCCTACATCTGCAAACTATTCAAAGCAACTCGGCGCGTCAATTGGTTTCGCTTCGCCAGGACATATCGTTACAATACCAGGCTGTTGTCCATAGCGCGGGGAAATGTGCAGTGAAGAGTCCATGTGGCCAAATACGGTTATGGGAAGGACTCCAGGAGAACCTGACTTGATCACCTGGCTCTTCCCAAGGCCTGACCGTGAGTCGGTCGTTATCTCCTTCTTGATCCACAACAATGAAAGGACATCCACCAGGCGCGGTGAGCACGTCTCCCATGCGTGAACTTCGTCCCTATACTGCTGTTCTGATCGTCTCCAATCGATCATCGCCGTCTCTCGTCGATTGACCAAAAACCCTCAAAGACACATTCAAAGTCACCGGTCCTGGGCTTGGGAAAGAACTCACCGCTCCCAGACCTGGAATACGTTACCGGAAAACAGGAGCATGTGGTCGAGGCCAAAATAGAGGGTAACGGGAAGAGGTGAGCGGGAGCAGTGCCGTTCGACGGAGCATCGTACGTTATGCAGAGGCTGATAACGCCCCCTCCAAAATATAAGAAGTCGACGGGTTCGCAAGGCATGGGCTCGTCTCCGAAGGTGTACTGCCGCAGCCCTGACACGACGACGATGCAGGCCATTCGCCTGAACCTGATGCTAGTTTCCTTTGTAGTCCTCGCCTATCAGTTCCTGCTCGTGTTCAGTTCTTCGTCAAGCCCCGATGCGGCGGATGCCTCGGAGCCCGATGCCCCAACCTTTCCAGACTTGTACGAGGCCTCTATCGCCGAGCTGCAAGACGGTCTCTCGAAGGGCCTGTTCACGAGCGTCGACCTCGTCACGGTGCGCGACATTCACGCCCGTTCTCCCAGTCCTGCCAATTTCACTGCCCGGCGAGGGCTTTAGGCCTACTTTGCGCGCATCGAAGAGGTCAACCTTCAAGGCCCGGTGCTGCGCGCGGTCATAGAGACGAACCCCAGCGCGCTCGCCCAAGCAGCAGCGCTGGACAGAGAGCGCCGAGCCACGGGGGCCCGTGGGCCGCTGCATGGCATCCCGATCCTGCTGAAGGACAACATTGCCACCCAGGCCAGCGACGGTAAACAATCTCGCCTCGCAGGAGACCGGACCGATGCACACGGTATGACGTTGACCCGTCCGTCCTCGCAGGCATGAACACGACCGCAGGCTCCTTCGCCCTCCTCGGCTCCGTCCCGCCGCGCGACGCCACCGTTGCCGCGAAGCTGCGCGCGGCGGGCGCGATCCTCCTCGGCAAGGCGAACCTATCCGAGTGGGCGCACTTCCGCGGGGACCTCGCCTCCGGGTGGTCCGGGCGCGGCGGGCAGGCGACGAGCCCGTATTTCCCACAGGCGGACCCATCCGGCTCGAGCTCGGGCAGCGCGATCGGCAGCGCGATCGGCCTCGCGGCCGCCGCGCTCGGGAGCGAGACGGACGGGAGCATCGTGTCGCCGAGCAGCAGGAACAACCTCGTCGGGATCAAGCCCACCGTCGGCCTCACGTCGCGCGCGGGAGGTGAGTCCGGCGCCGCTCTCCGTCTGCGCGGCGCACGACGCGGGGGCTGACCTGCGCCGTCTCGATACCGCCAAGTGGTGCCGATCTCGGTGAACCAGGACACGGTGGGCCCCATCGCGCGCTCCGTCGCGGACGCGGTCGCGATCCTGGGCGTCATCGCGGGGCGCGACGCGCTCGATAACTTCACGCTCGCGCAGCCCGCGCGGGTGCCGGACTACACGGCGGCGCTGCGGCGCGACGCGCTGCGCGGCGTGCGCTTGGGCGTCCCGCGGCTGTTCATGCCCGACGACCAGAACATAGTCGCGGCGTTCAACGCGTCGCTCGACGTGATCAGGGCGCTCGGCGCGACCGTCGTCGACCCCGCGGAGTTCCCCGACGCGGAGGAGCTGCTGGCGTCGAACAACGAGACCCTCGTCCTGGACACGGATTTCAAGGTGATGCGCGCGCACGCGTGCGTGGCTTGTGTGCTCGCGCTGACGGCCGTGGCGTTTCTCCAAGGTCGACGTGCAGAACTACATCGCGGGCCTGCTCGCGGTCCCGACCGGCGTGACGGACCTCGCGGACCTGATCGCGTTCAACAACGCGCACCCGGACCTGGAGCTCGTCGCGCCCTTCTACACCTCCCAATCCGAGTGCGTCCTCCCTCCCTCCTCCCTGTCCACCGTGAGCGCACGCCCAAAGGATGTGCAGGTTCCTCGCGGCCGAGAACACGACCGTCGACGCCGTCTACTTCGCCGCGCTCGCGGCGGACCACGCGCTCGGGCGCACGCGCGGCATCGACGGGGCGCTGAAGAAGTTCGCCCTGGACGCTATCATCCTACCCACAGACGGTGCGTGCTCGACTGACCCCCCCGCGCGCGCACGCGCGGTCGGTCGCATTTTGCACCGTATTTACCGCCCTCTCGGCGATCGGCAGGTTTCACGTCGACGCCGGCGGCCATCGCCGGGTACCCCATCGTCACAGGCAAGCCTCCGCACTCCCACCGCCCCTCTCCGCCCCTGACGCCCCACCCTCTCTCTTTCGCCCCCGCCACTCGCGCAGTGCCCCTCGGCTTCCAGCCCGCAGACGTCGTCCCGGGCCCGGCGGCGCCCGTGGTCGAGCGCGCGCCGGGGCTGCCGTTCGGGCTCGCGTTCGTGGGGACCGCGTTTGCGGAGCGCGCGCTTGTGGGGTTCGCGTTTGCGTTCGAGCAGGCGACGCACGTGCGCCTTGCGCGGCGCGCGTTTGCGGCGGCGGTGCCGGCGACGCAGCTGGGGGATGTTGTTGGAGGCGCGAGGGGGACGTGATGGGCGGCGCGGCGCGGCGCGTGGGTGGCGGTTGGGTGCGGGTGTGGGGCGGGGACGGGTTCGTGTTTTCTATCGCTCTTTCATGTTTTCTTTCTGCCTCTGTTTCTGTTTCCGTTTCTGCTCTTATCCGCATCCCGGCTGGCGTGTACTCGTACTTCGAACTCGCGTCCCACACCCACGCGTGTTTGCGTATCTGCGTGTCTGGGGTACACATCCACACCCCCCCCCTCCGTCGACCGACTCGGGCTCAAGACGGACGACGGACGACGGACGACGGACGGCGGACGGCGCGCACGGGTAAGTTATAACAAGTATAAGCAACGAACGGGGCGTGCATGCGTGCATGCATGCATGGCGAGATGTCCGCGAAGCCACGCCGTGGACGCGTCTCGCGCGCGCACGAACCCCAGTCTCCAGCGACCCGCGACGCCAGGCGCCCAGGACGCCTGGCGGCCGCGAAGAGAGCCACATACGAGAAGCGTCTATATATATATATGGCAATACGCGTGTGCGTGGGTGTAAGTGGTATGTAGTAAGTCCGTGAAAAGTCTGAAGAGCGTGAAGGGGTCCGTCGGGCAGGAGCGCGAGCGTCGAGGTCGTGAGGCGGTACTACGGTACGTGGGTGTGCGACGTGCGTGAGGGAGTGTATATATAGTACGCGTGTGTGTGGTGGGTAGAGAGGAGGACGGAGGCGGGAACGTGCGTGCGGTGTGGGTGCAGTGAGGCGGTGAAAACAAAGCGACGACAAATGCAAAGACGGGACAGAGACGACGGACGGGAGACACAGACAAAGACAAAGGCGAGGCGAGGAGGTCACGTACGTAAGTAGAGTGGAAAGTCTAGGCGTGTCAACATCAGGCGTGGGTGGGTTCGGAGCGGAAAGTCTAGTAGTAGTGGGGAGACAGGGTCATGATAGCCCGACTGCGGGGGGTGGAGGATCAGATCGGACGGTGAGCGCTGCAGTTATTGTAGCGTCCGTTTGACCCGAGGGGGTCCGCACCCGAGTCCGCGTGCAAGTCCGAGTGCTATTCTTGTACATACGAGATGCGGCGTGTTCGTGCCCGCCGAACACCCCAGAGCATGGCGGCGACGCCCAGAGGGGGAATACATAACGAAACGCAGAGACGCCGAGAACGGGGGTGGGAATGGGCCGCGACCGGACGAATCACGGGTGGGGGCGGCGCCTGCGGTAGGGCATCCTGCGCGACACGGATGCGGGGACGGGGTCGGAGGCGGCGGTGTCGCGCGGTGCGGGGATTGCGGGGGCGGGCTGGGCGAGGGAGGGGGGCACGAGGGGCCGTGGCTCGGGCGGGGCGTGGGCGTGGGCGGCAGAGCGCGCGAGGGGGAGGGGTGCGGGGACGTGTTGGTCTGCGGGGCGCGGGGCGTGCGCACGGGGGGAGGCGTGGGCGCCTGTGAGGGCGAGGAGGAGGAGGGAGAGGAGGAAGGCGGGGAGGGCGGTGCGCATTGTGGGTGTGGGTGTGGGTGTGGGTGCGGGTGCGGTGAGTGCGGCTGGTGGGGGTGGTGTGTGGGCGCGGGGAGAGCGAGAGGCTAGCTCGGGGCTCTATAAGGAAGTGTGCAGGCAGGCTCGAGCGACTTTGCTGTGTGTGGTGGGGGCGGGGAGCACGTGCGCTGGGCTGGGCTGGGCTAGGGTGGGGGCGACGACGAGGCGAGAGCGGCACCTGAGTGGGGGGCGGGGCGAGGGAGGAGACGAGGGGGGCCCGAGGCGGCCTTTTGTAGCGGACAGGGTGGAAGAGACGGGTGGGGACTCGTAGACCGGTCCCGCGTCGCCCCACGTGGCACCGCCGACCTCTCCCCTCCTGCACCAGTCCTGCCCCAGAGCGACACCCGGCCATGACGAAACACAGCAAGAACAACACCGCGTCCTCCATCTTCTCCTACGCAGAATACAAGAAGCTCGACTATGGCACAAAACGCGTGAGCAGCATCCCTCCCCTCCACACCCACACCCACACGCCGCGGCCCTGTCCCTCCCTGTCCCTGTCCCTCTGCCCTCGCCCGTCGAGCCGTCTGCGATTCGAAACTGACCGCATCCGCGATGCCGTGCGCGTAGCAACGGCTAGGAAACGAGTCCATGCGCCGCTTCGACGCCTGCGCCCTCTGCTTGCAGCGCGCCCGCGACCCCGTCGCCTGCAACGAAGGCCACCTCTTCTGCAAAGAATGCATCTACACAGACCTCCGTGCGCCCCTCCCTCCCCTCCACGCCCTCGCCACTTCGGTATTGGTATCATGTGCGCATGCTGATTCCGCGCCCCCGGCCCCAGTCACGCAGAAAAAGGACATCAAGCGCCAGAAAGCCCGCCTCGCCGCGCTCAGGAAAGACGCAGACGCGGAAAAGACAGCCGCCCAGGCCGCCGCGCGCGCACGCGTCCTCGCAGAGTTCGAGAAGGGCCAGCTCGGCCTCGCGAACCCCGCGACCATCACCACCTCCGGCGACGCAAAGGACGGCGAACGTGCGTCCCCCCCTCCTTACCCCCAACCCCACCCAACCCACCCCATCCATCCATCCATCCTCCTGCCGCTTCTGCCAACTCAACTCGATCTGACCCCGTCGCATGCCGCGCTCCTGGCGCCCACAGCCCGCGGCACGAAGCGCAAATTCACATTCGACGCCTCCGCCGCCGAAGAGCTCGCACAGGCCGCCGAGGCCGCCGCCGCGCGCGCCATCGAGCGCGAGCACGCCGCCGCGCTCAAGGACAAGCTCCCTGACTTCTGGCTCCCGTCGCTCACGCCTACCTACTCCTCCTCCGCCTCGTCCGCCGCGTCCAAGGGCCACGGGCACGGGCACGGGGGAGGGGGAGGGGGAGGGAGCGGCGGGGCGCCGGCGTCGCTGGAGGACGTGCGCGTGCAGACGAGCTGTAGGGGCGGGAGCGTGGGCCATCCGATCGCGTGAGTGGGCTTGCTCGCGTGTGTGCGGAGTGCGGTCGCTGATGCGCACGCGCGTATGTGTGTGTGGGCGGTAGGTTGAAGAACCTCGTGCCGGTATCCTTCAGCATCCTCCCGCCCTCGGCGATCCCCACCGCGGCTCCAACCCCAACCCCAACCCCAACTCCAACTCCTGCAGCAGCAGGAGACGCCGCGCCAGACGCGGTGCAGGGCGCGAGCAGGGCGCCGCGCGCGGCGCGGGCGGAGGACGGCACCGCGATGTGCCCGGCGTGCAAGAAGGAGCTGTCGAATAGCCTGCATATATTCCGTGCGTGGTTTTGCGTTGGGTCGCTTTCGTTGCGGTGCGGAGCGCGCGTCTGATCTCTGTCTTCCCCGTCGCGAAACTCTTGCTTCGCAAAAACGAAACTACGACCACGACGACCATGACCACGGCCACGACCACGACCACGACCGCGACCACGACCACGCCGTCGCGCCGACGCGCCGCGCAGTGATGAAGCCGTGCGCGCACGTCGTGTGCAGGACGTGCACGGACACGCTCGTGCGCCCCGCGATGCAGTGCGTCGTGTGCGACCGGGAGCTCAAGCCGGCGGACGTGCTGGAGCTCAAGCGCGAAGGTGCGTCGGGCGCGCTCGCGCTCGCGTGTTTCGTTTTTTTTTTTTTTTTTGGTCGGGTGCTCATTTCCGTCGTGTCTTTTTTTTTTTTTTGGAACTGTGTGTGTTTTTGTTTTTGTGGTTGTGGTTGTGGTTTGCGCGCGCTGAAGGTACTGGGTTTGCGGGGGGCGGGATGGCGGAGACGTCGAAGACCGGGATCGCGTTTCAGGGGTGAGGGTGAGGGTGAGGGGTGCGGAAGTGCGCGCGTGTATCATATGCGGTGTGTTTTTGTTCGTCGTCCGTCTAGGGCTGTTGCAACGGGTATGCGGATTTTCCGCCGTGCGTGGCTTGTTCTGACCCGGCCTTCGCGATTCAGGTCTCAGAGTCTGCCTCGTAGTGCTCTATGTATAGTGCTTTTGGCTAGAGCGCCGGTGTGAACGCGAGTGGGCTTCGCGCTCGAAGGCCATCCGGCGATCAGACAGTAAGTGCGTCGCGCATACAGTCATGGCGAGCCTCCGGTGGGCACGCATGCGAGAGCATCTGACAGTGGTGTCACGCGGGAGCGGGCCCCTCGGCCTCTGTCCAGTGACCCCTGCTTCCATCTTCTCACCCCCGCAGCCGCGAACCGTCTTCTATCCCCCCTCTCAGCGTCGCGGCATACGTGCGCCCTGCGATCCATCGTGACCCCCCGCGCCGCCCCTGTATTGTTCCAGGCTGGCGGATTACGGTAGGTGCGCGTGGCTGGGCGGTCCGACGCTCCCGCACGGCGTATTCTCGCGACGTCGATGCCGGGGCGACGTCGAAGCGGGGAGGGTACTTAAGAGATGTATGTGTGCGCTCGGCAGGCGTTAAGCGAGTGCTGTTGTATTTCGCGCCCTGAACACTGACGTCGACGTCGACATCGACATCGACATCGACATCGACATCGACATCGATACTGATGCTGCTGCTGCCGCTGCTGCTGCGCTGCGTGAGCGCGACCGCGGCCGCCGCGGGCCTCGCGCTCGTTGCGGCCGAAAGCTCTGACACGTATTTTCAGCCCAACTCGACCGGCGTGAAGCTGCAGAACGGGTACGAGCGCGTCTTCATCCAGGTGCGTCCCCAATACCCTATCTCGCACACCCGCCTCTGCGGAACGGGCTTACCGAACGCCGCCCCGCCCCGCCCCGCCCCGCCCCGCCCCACCCCACCCCAACAGCCGTTCGGGAACCACGGCTTCCGCGTGCGCGCGAGCCTCATGAAAGACCCGACCGGGACCGAGCTCTCCGCGTTCGTCGACCCCCTGCTCGAAGGCCCCGGCGCGAACACGCTCGCCGTCTCCAGCGTCGTACCGTACCAGGGCAACGCCACGCTGCGCAACGGCGCCCTCGTCGCGGAGCTCGCGGACGGCGCGCTCTCCTTCTTCCGCGTCGACGCGCGCGGCGCGCGCGCGCCGCTCACGGCGGAGTTCGCGGACGACAAGGCGCTCCCCGCGCGGTACTACGCGCAGGAGTTCCGCGCGTCGAGCTTCGCGGCGCAGTTCTCGTTCGCGAGCGCGCCCGACGAGCAGTTCTTCGGCGCGGGGCAGCAGGCGTGCTGCGGCGACCACAGCGTGAACAAGAAGGGCCACGTCGTGGACCTCGTCAACTTTAACTCGCAGGTGCCGATCCCGGTGCTCATGTCGAACAAGGTGCGTCCGCGCGTCGTGGGCGCGTCGTGTGGGCCCGGTGTTGGGAGTGGGCTGCTGAGCTGATGGGGACGGCGGTCGCGCGCGGGTGCTGCCGGTAGGGCTATCTTTTGTTTTTTAATTATCCTGGGCAGGGGCGGATAGGTCGGTCGTGCTGTTTGGCTCGCTCTGCGTGTGATCGCGTGAATTTGCTATACATCACAGAACTCGGCCCGTATAAAACGCGCTTCGTCGCGGACGAGGCGACCGTGATCGACTACTACATGTCCGTCCCCGTCTCCGCTCCCGTTCCCTCCCTTATGCCCTGCTGAACGGTTCCCCAGCACCACTGCGCCCGTGGGCGACTACGACGCCCTGCAGCAGCAGTACACGGCCGTGACCGGGCGGCAGCCGACCCCGCCGGACTTTATCCTGGGGTACCAGCAGTCGAAGCTGCGGTATTATAACCAGACGCAGGTGCTCGACGTCGCGCAGAGGTTCCGCGACGAGGGCATCAACCTGTCGATGATCGTCGTAGGTGCGTGTCCCGCGCGGCTCTTCGTTCGTTCTATGTTACGAGGAAGGCGGCGAGGCTCACGTGAGGGTGCCCCGCAGACTTTTTCGCGTGGAAGTACCAGGGCGACTGGTGAGCCTCTTTTCGACCCTCGACCGCGCGCCTCGGGAGCCGTGGGGACCCCTGACCGAGATGCCACCGTGCGCAGGTCGTTCGACCCCGCGTTCTTCCCCGACCCGGAGGGCATGGCCGCGCAGGTGAAGGAGCTGACCGGGGCGGAGATGATGGTCTCGCTCTGGCCGAGCGTCGAGAACCTGTCGGAGAACTACGTGACGCTGCAGACGAACGGCTGGCTCGTGGCGACGCGCGACGGGCCGGGCGTGACGGACTCGTTCGCGGGCGTCTACACACGCCTGGTGGACTCGACGAACCCCGCCGCGCGGGAGTTCTTGTGTGAGTGCTTTCGCGGCCGGTGATCGCGACCGCGAGGGTACCGACGCTGACGCCGTCGCGGTTCGCTAGGGAAACGGCTGAACGACAGCTACTTCTCCAAGGGCATACACAATTTCTGGATCGACCAGGCCGACGGCGGCACGCTCGGCGAGCCCTGGGAAAACAGTGCGTGCCCTCACATCTTCGTGCTGCAGCTGTGCGAGAGCGTGCGCCGACGAACGGAGCGGCGCAGACGGACAGGACAACATCCGCGCGATCCCGTATAACCGCGTGTTCGCGCAGTACTTCATCGGCTCGCAGTCCGCGGCGGGGAAGATGTACCCGTGGCTACACCAGCAGGCGATCGACGAGGGACTGCACAACCTCACCGAGGCGCCCGCGGCGGCGACCGCGTGCACGTACATGTCGCTCACGCGCAGCTCGTTCGCGGGCGGGCAGCGCTTCTGCTCGTATCTCTGGAGCGGGGACACGATCTCGCGCTTCGACGTGCTGTTGCAGCAGGTGCGTGCGTGTGTGCATGTGTGGCGGGGGCCCGTCCGGTGCTGAGTGTCGCTGGTGTTGTTCATGGAATGCAAGATCACGGCGGGCGTGTCGGTCGCGGCGTCAGGCTTGTCGTCGTGGACGCTGGATATCGGCGGGTTCAGCGGGCTGAATGTCGATACGCAATCCGTGCGTGCTGTTTCTCTCGTCCTTCGAGCGCGGCTGATGCTGAGAGGGGTCGTCAGGGCCGCGAGCTGTTTGTCAGGTGGCTCGCGATGGGGACCTTCCTCCCATACGTAGGTCTTTGCACGTCTTCACATCTGCGTCGGCGCTGAAACGACGGGGCGGATATAGATGCGGGTCCATGGGTATATGAGCTCTTGCATCACACTTCTCGACGCGCTGACTCGACTGGGCATGCGTCCCTGATAGCGATCGGGACTGCAACATCCCAGCCAACAACTCTCTGAATTTCGCTAATCCGTGCCCGAACGAGGTGCGTGCGCACTCCTTCTCGCCACCGGCGCGGCATTGACCGCGAATTTTTCAGCCTTGGTCATACGGCGCAGACAATTTCCCCATCATCAAAAAAGTGACCTCCTTCAAGGAGCACCTTCGCTCAAGCTACGAGCCGCGCTGATCTGTTTTGGAACAGTACATCGCCCTGCGGTATCAGCTTGTGCCCTACGTCAAGGCGCTCTTCCAGCAGCTGCAGGCGACGGGCCGCACGATCATGCGCCCGCTCTACTACGACTTCTCGCTGAGCGACCCGTTCGTCGCGAACGCGACCGCAGCGAACGACCCGCTGGTGGTGCATCAGTTCTTGCTCGGTGCGTCCCGTGCGAACACAGCCAGCGCGATCGCCGTCTGACCGTGCGCTTTGACCGGTTCAGGGCCCCGCATCCTCGTGTCGCCCGTGGGCGAGCAGGGCGCGACCTCGAAGACGGTGTACCTGCCCCGTCTGACCGCCACGCAGCTGGAGCAGAACTTCACGTGGACACACTGGTGAGCCCCTGCACATCCCTCTTTCTATATATACTGCGTCTAACGCGCGAGGCCGCGCGCTCCGCGAGGTGGACGGACGCGGACTTTGGGCAGGGCGGGAACACGGTCGTCGTGAGCGCGCCGCTGGACCAGATCCCGGTGTTTTTCTTGGGGAGCAAGGACGACATTTTTTCTGGGAATATATGATCGAAGCGGGGTGGGTCGGGTGTTGTATGCAGGCTTTGACGCGATCCAGATGCCCTTGCGCGAATGCGCTTGCCAGAAAGAGATGTTGGACGGAATATGTGCATGAGCGCCGTCGCCGTCGATGAACCACAGCCGGAAGGCGTGATCCAGAAATGTCCTTCGTAGCCATCAAAAAATTGTAATACCTGACCCATGAGAGCCCAGAGGCTGTCTAGGGATATAGGCAATGCCGCGTCGCTCCTGTTCAAAGCCAAAGAAAAAAGCTCGATCAGATCATTGACCTGCTCGGTGTGAGGTTTGAACTCACGACAACAGCCTCAAGAGTACGCACCTATCTATTTAGAGAACTGCGCCCTGCTGACCGAGCATACACTCTGTGGAATTTGAAATTGATTGGCACCCACAAGGACCCACACCGGCCCAAAGTGCGAGTCATGTCTATTGCTCACCGTCGCGCCTTGCGAGGCGAAATCATAGCCAGATTTCCGCTGTACTACCCCTGAGAAGTATGCTAGAGCGCTGTAGCCTGCTCCAATGAACTAGACCAGCAGTGCATCCCGTCATCCAATGAGATCTCGATCCACTCCTTACGTGGGCCTGCCAGCAACTTTCATCGCGGTTGCCATCGAGTCACTTCCTGTCTCTTCGTGCACACTCCGCTCTCAGTGGTCGAGCATGACATTGCTCCATTGAACCTGGTCTCTGACTGCAGGACGAGTCATGGTGCGGCCCCGTTGGATGCAAGATCAATATTTCGGCCTTACTTCCGCATACTCCGTCGCAAGCACTGGTTGCGGTTTTCCAGTGAAGAACGGATGGTAGTCTCCGCGACAGCAAGTCGACAATTGGACCCTTGCATCTCCCTGCACGAGCCGGCAGATGTCCTTCACTTGATGGTCGCTCTATCGGCGACAGTACCTTTGACCATACACGTCTTGGTCAACACCGCGTTCTTGTCACTGGCTGGGTTACCCCACCAGGAGTGTCATCTCTCCCCGTCCATAATAATATTTTTTCCAGGATTCATCGCGTGATGGTGCGGAAACGCTTGTCTGGATCAATCACACCAAATGTCTACGAATACACGCGTTGTCCAGGCCCGCGCCATGACTGCAGCTGTCTGACTTGGTCGATGCAGATACTCACGTTCATCTTAGCCTCATTGTGATGTCCCTAGGAATGGCGGTACATGGCGCAATGTGAGGATACAAATACCGGTGTTTACGCGCCGACAGTTGCGGATCTGAAGTTTCACGACTCCTACCTTGGGCGCTGCTTGCGAGCACGTATCTCGAAAGCCAAACATAGGAAGACCAGGCCATGCATAATGACATCATCAGCAAGTCCAAGCGAGGACAATTGAACGCTTTGTTGCAACCACGTGAGTGGCAAGCCCGCGATATAAGTGCGAACACGCTCTCTGCTTTTACATCTCCGACACACTCTTCTCACTCCCAATCACTTCAACTCCGTCGTGTCTCGGTTCAGAACACTACGCGACGCGTACCTAGATCTCCAAATACAAGAGCACACAATACAAGGACGCTGAACACGCGAAAGCCACTCCGCCCCCTCCATCCTCGATCGTGGCGAATTCACTAGACCACGATTGCTCGATATTCAACTCCACGGTGCCACCATGATCACGAACCAACGGCTCTTCCGCGACCTGTATCGCAATGTCATGAACCAAAACTACAGCATCTTTACAGAGCACTTATTCGACGTCGTTCAGATCGCAGCGGAGCGCGAGTTGACGGCAGACCTGCCCACGCCGAGCGATGGCATCGCAATCGCGTGGAACGCGGTCTCGAACGCGACGATCCCGAGGAAGGCCAACAAATCTAGACGCAACTTCGTCCAAGATTCTCGCACAGCCCTCCGACTGAACAGAAAGGTGCACTACAGTCCCGTATCGGACCCTCCCCTTGATCTCGACCTGGGCGCGCTCATCCAAACCCACGCGATATTATCCTGGCAATGCCAGAAGCTGATCGATGCGGGGGTGGATTTAAATATGCTATCGCCTGGCATGACGGATGCCACCACGAATGAGGACACGTGCGTCGAGCTCGACTCGCCGTCCGAGCCCGGTGCCACCACCTGCGGAGTGTGCCACGCAAACGCCAAGGTCGACGGGGTCATCAATCATGGCTGTATTCTATTCTCCCAGTCCGCGCGCGAGACCGTCCTGTCCATGCGAGCCGGGACCCAAGTCTACGCCAAATGCGTCGCACGGCAGCTCGTCGGGCATGGCATGCGGTCGGAAGTAATGGCACGGCGTGCGGCTGCGCTTTGCAAAGACATCTTGAAAGAATTGCGCGCTGATGGCCCGCATGATCTCGTCAAGGCTTTCAGTCGCGAGGCGCGCCATGAGCTCCTCACGATATTCAACCAACACTGGCATCCGGTGCGCCATGACTTCTGATCCACGGCTGCCGCATCATCTGACAGTATCTCCAGCTGTACGGACAGTGGCGAGTGGGAGGATCAAAGACGATCCAAGTCAGTGATCTGCGGAAGCTAGGTACGACTTTGTCAAAGGCAGTGGCTATCTTCCTCGATGAGGGAGTGGCTCGCGTGACAGATGTGCATGACTGTCTAGATATACTAGCCAAGGGGGCACCTTGGAAAGTTCATCTAGCGGCCATGCACACCATGTTCACGAGTATCACCTGCGCAAAGATGTGCAAGGGAAAGAGCAAGGATCGTGCTCTCCACTTCCGAGCAACTGTATTAGAGCGCAAGAGTAAGGACGAGTTGTCGGCGTGGGGGTCGAGTCCTGCAGTACGCGAGATGATCCAGGTGAGCGATGCGAAATGTCCTCGATCTCCAGAAGTGTCCACTGAGCGACACGGTGCGTACGCCCAGGATATTACCAGTGTTATTGACTCTTGGAGCCAAAAACCCACGGCAGGCGCCACCCTCGCTTGTTGACATTCACTGACGAAGGCCCCCCCTCTAAGCCCACGGGCCGCTAGAGCTGACTCACAGACGCGCCCAGCCTCCCCCAGGCTGGAAAGCTGGGCTTTAGAATCGGAAGGATCGAAGGCCTCGAGCCCTTCCGATCTGCGAGGAGGGACAAAATGGGTGCTGTGCCGCGGTGGAGATTATTTTAAATATCTCCTTCTGAGATCTCGCCTAGGCCGCTGACTTGTGCGATACATTTGTAGCCACATGCTTTCATTGTAGTTGTAGGCCATGTTGTACTCTGTGTTATCAGGCCCCCCCAAGAAGATTTATGTGATTATGTCTCGATACCGCTCGACTGACCGTGAAGGGGCCAAAGTGACACGAATCTTCGATGTGTTCGCGAGTGATCGCCTCAGATCCCATTATGTATGATCAGATAAGATGAAGTGACGACGCATCAACGCATGTTCTAGATAAGGCAGCGTGGTCTCTTGTGCTTGGGCATCTGCACCAACACCCTCCGTCCCAACAACAACACCTCCCTCGTATAAATACACTTCCAGATGGAACTGAACCCGAGCACGAGCGTGGAGACACTTCGCGCAATAATTTCCACCATGGACACCGTCAACACCGCGTCCCAACCCTCGTCGCCCCGCTCGAGCGCCTTGCCGTCTCCTCCAGACAGCCCGGACTCAATATCCTCCTTTCCTTCGCTGTCGTCTTCGTTCTTCTTCTCGTCCGCAGCCGCGAGCCCACCGCACTCGCATTCGCACAGCGATCACGACCGTGAATCCGTTCAGGAGCTGATCATACCCTCTCTGACGCTCCCAGCAGCCCTTCGGCCACCCACTGCGTACGGGAAGACCCTAGGAGACGTGCGATTGCTGGTCCTCGATGCTGACGTGGCCAGTGGCTCCTCCTTTACGTCCACTTTGTTCGAGGAAAATGAGGACGTTGTGGATATCGGCGTGTCAGAGCCAACCGAGAACGGATTTGTGCAACGAGCCTCGACGGACTGGGTTGAGCAGCGCGATGCACACGGGCTCGAAAGGTTCGAGCCTGCGCACAACGTCGAAATCCTTCAATTGCCAACCTACAATCACAATGATGAGGTACGTGGCCATGTTCAACAGCAATGATCGGCGTATTGATGATTCCTTTGCCAATAAAGCTCGACAATGTCGTACAATCGATACAGTCGATCGTCCATGGGCCATTTCACGATGTTTGTAGTGTCATTGACCCTCGATGTTCTCCATCGGCTCTCCTCTTGAATCTTGTGTCCTCTCCCTCCATGCCTTTCTATACCGCACTCATAGTCCACGCACCTAGTAAGCGCGCGCCCCATTATGCCATTGCGTTCTTTCGACTCATCACCAGTTTGCTCCTAGCGCTCTCTTCTCACGACCGCACGATCATCACCACCCTCAGCACTGATATACCTATAATCGTCTTCCCACCAGCGCCAGGCCAAAATCTCCACCGCGCTCACGTGTCGTCCTTCCGCCCCACTTCCGCCCACTCCCTCCGCGCCGGCCTCTTTCGGTCACCCGAGACTCTTGCAACCTTGCGTATGGAAGCCGCAGACCGATTCTTGCGCTGGCGTGAAGTCGACAGGGCAGTGCGCGCCGTGCATCATGCCCAGTCCGCTCCTACTCGCGACCAGCACCCGCCGCTATACGATGCTCCCACAGACGACGAGTACCAAACGGATCCTAATCACGATAGACGGTCCACCGTCAACAGCCGGCCACAGCGATGGAACAAGGCCGAATGGGAAGCAGAGTGGGATCGCATGCTCTCGCACGACGTCGCGCGGCGCATGCGCGAGGACACCATCACTTCCGCACCTCCCACACTCCCGCGCGCACAGCCGCCCACGTCCTCCTGCGCACCCATCGCCTTCGACCCGCTACACCTTCCGTCCTTGTTCATGTTCTCGCTCTCACTTCTCGCCCCGATCAAGGCGCGCATCGCGCAAGTGAAGCTTTCGGGGGGTCCGTTAGGGATGCTGATCGCCGCGACGCTCGGCACGGGGATCTTTATTGGGCTCGCGTGTCGGTGATATTCGTGTAACAATGTGTGGGAGAGGTGCTTTGATTCGCATCTGCTGTTGTTTTGTTGGTTGTTCCAGTACTTGTCTTGTTCCACGTAGTTGTACGAACCCCGCGTTATTCTCGCTTATTTATATTCACCCACACTTGGATTTCTATCGTTTGTCTGCGCTGTACGTGGCGGTGAATGATGGTTGTGTGGAGTGTTAATAACAAAGAATGCAACAACGGATGCAACGACCTGACGATGGTCCGAGGAAATCAACTATGTGGTTTATGGAACCCCTTCCCTCCAGAATTTCCTCCGCTTGGTCTCCTTCCCTCCGACACCTCGCACGGTGAAATACAAAGTAGACAATCGTGAGCACTGAGCAACAGTTTGCTTGAATTCGCTGTTTGTCAGATGAACGCTTGGTACCGTGAGGGTTTTCAGGGACGGGTATTGGCGAATCATCTCGACAAAGGTTTGTGAGTATTTGCATTCCCGAGAATCATCCGACACGAGCTCTAGATGCTCCAGCGAAGGCGTCGGGACGACGGCCTGTATCCACTTGAAGAGGGCCGCGAACTGATGTTTGAGAGCCACACCTTGATGCCGCACAGTAAGGTCGTGAAGCTGTCGAAGTCCAGGGTATGACGCGGGCGCCAACTGTAAGAGGTGTGAGTAAGAGTCGAGAATCCGATGGGTTGGATAGCGCACCTCATAGAAGTCTTCTAGGAATGCGTCGTAGTAAATATCCAAGATCTCCAGGTTCGGCGTGCCCTCCAGGAGAGATAGAATCACGTCTTTTGAATGTGTGTGGCCCGGGCCTATCGTCAAGCTCTTCAGGCTGGATATATTCAGCATGGCCCTCAACGTGGCAGTGTCTGCTTCTTGAGGCAAGAGTCCATGAGATCGCTAGGGAACTATTGCTGAGTTTGTGAAGGAGAAACGAAGCGAGGATGGAAGGACACTTGCATGGATGTGTAAACTTTCCAGGGCAGGAAAATGGTCCGACCACGGTACAAAACGGTGCAAAGCATAGGAAGACGGAGAGCCTAGCGCGATTGCCTTCACGTTGGTCAAACGAGCCAGAGATGGGTGATGGATATGCGAAACTTCGAATGCCCAAGTCACTTCAGCAAGCTTTGGACAGCGCACCAAGGCATGGACAACGGGGTCCAGGATGTCAGGCAGGACGATTGGCATCTCGGCGACGCTCATCGAGTATCGTGTCAGGTTGGGCAACTGTGACAGCTTTGCGTCCCAAAACAAGGAGTCGTGTAAGTATGTCGAGTACAGTCCTGGCTGAGGTCCCACAACTTGCAACTCTGGCGTCAATGGGGGGCATGTAATTATAGAAATGAAGCTGACCAATATGCTGAAGGCTGCGCACATAAGTCCTTAAATGTGGATATTTGTCGATTGTGTCGAAGGCATTGTGCGTCTCAGGCTATGCACAATCCGTATACTGTCAACTTCTCTGACCATTCCTGACAAGTTACTGGACAGACCTTATCTGAGCGCAGCATTTGCGTGAATTGTATATCCCGATACAAGCTGAGTGCTGCAGCCTCCCCAAGAAACCTACATGTTCGTGCACAGGCTGCAAGCGTCGGGTTGTCGTCGACGGTAGCAAATATAAGACAAGCAACATCGAAAGGAAGATCCATAAAGCCTAGCATATTGTTTGCGAAGGCACAAGATGAGTGAAATATATCTGGTAGAAGAGAAGGAGTTCAGTTTCGTATCTTGCTCATATGGAACAGTGGAGGCTCGGTCAAGCGCAGGCGCTTAAGTGACGCGCTTCTAATCATCACGTGCTATACACGTGATCGTCGCGTTGAACTCAAAAGGCGCCTGTCGTTCTCGCGTGTCTTACCAGCTACCTCACATTCTTGTCTGACAGTATCACGCTCACGACGGTTCAGTATTTATTTAGAAGGACGAAATACATTGCGAAACCACCATCAATGCCATCGAACAATATCCGCACCAAGCGCAAGTCTACAAGCGACTTACCTGCCAGTGTCAAGCGCCCCGCCAAGCAACCTAGGACAACACTTGATTCATTCTTTTCACCGAAGGTATCTGTCCTCACGCGGTCTGGAATAGATGGTATAGCAGGAGGAGAAACGGATAAGCTACACGATGTGACGCTCAGCGAAGAGCAGAAGAGGATATTGAAAATGGTGGTTGACGAAGAGAAGAATGTTTTCTTTACGGGATCTGCAGGTGCGTGGAGCATTGTTATGATACTTAAATCTCTTGATGATGATGCATCTAAACAGGAACTGGGAAGTCGCTGCTTTTGAAGGCTATTATTGCAGCACTTCGGAAGAAACATGCGAACAAACCTGATGTTGTGTCTGTCACTGCCAGTACAGGCATGGCAGCTACGAACATTGGTGGTAGGTTATTTATACCATTTATCTCCCGTGCAGAGCTTTACTGTAGCCACGCTACAGGGATGACGATACATTCTTGGGGGGCAATTGCGCCAACAGTCGAAAACGTTGAAAAACTCATCAGCTACATACGTACGGCAAAGCCTGCTCACCAACGATGGAAGACCACAAAAGTTCTCGTCATAGACGAAAGTATGCGCTGGAGATACATTTGCGAACCTTATGTGCTAATTTTCCGATCAGTCTCGATGGTCGATGGACACCTATTTGAAAGACTAGCCGCCCTTGCCGACAAGCTAAGGAAGAAGACTGATAGGCCATTTGGTGGCATTCAGGTTCATTCCACATTGCATGGTTTGATGCTATCCATTCCTAACGCGTGTCACTCTCTCAGCTCGTCGTGACTGGCGACTTTTTTCAGTTGCCGCCAGTCACAAAGGGAAAAGAAGTACCTTTCTTTGCATTTGAGTGCGATGCATGGAAGAAGTGTATCGATAACACAGTCATGCTAACACAAGTATTTCGTCAAAAAGACGATAGTAAGTCACCTGCTCTGTTTTACTCTGCACAACTCTCATGATATGTGGCAGAGTTCGTTGAGCTTTTAAATGAATTACGCCATGGAAAAATCTCGCCCTCAGCAATCAACGAATTTCGTGCTCTGTCTCGTCCTCTCCCTATGTCAAGTATGGTCCTTCCACCTACCGAGCTCTTTGCGGTTCGGGGTGAAGTTGAGCGGGCAAATTCATCTCGCCTCGCTTCGCTGAAGTCACCGCCTTTCGTATATATCGCTCGTGACTCAGGATCGGCTTCTTCAGAACGGCGCAAGACTGTGCTAGCTGGCATGGTTGTGCCCGAAAGGGTGTCGTTGAAGACTGGTGCCCAGGTGATGCTTGTGCGCAATGTTGACGAAAAACGAGGACTTGTTAATGGCGCTGTCGGTCGCGTTTTGGGATTTCATCCTGTGATGGCTGGTAAAGCTGAAGGAGTAGTCAGAGAGGTGACGCTAGATGCACATGGTAAACCTGTTCAGTCTCTTACCGGCAGCTCAAGTGGTGGAAAGGAAAACCAGAGCCCACCAAGCGCGAGCGACAAGCCGAGCAGCGCCAATGGGAGAGGCAAGGAGAAGGATATTAAAATGGGCGATGAGCTCTTTCCCCTGGTCGAATTTCTCACTCCCCTAGGCAAGGAAACTGTTATTGTTACACGAGATGAATTTCGTGTCGAAGACAACGAGGGGACCGTGCTAGCGAGGAGAGTCCAAGTGAGCTCAGTCATCCTCTTTCGCGTGATGGACCCCGGCCAACTCCAATGATGACTAGGTACCACTTATTTTGGCTTGGGCTATCTCAATACACAAAAGTCAAGGACAAACAATCCAGCGAGTGAAAGTCGATCTCGGAAGAGTTTTCGAAAAAGGTGGGGGTCTTACTGCTGCTGTTGCTAATATGCTCAACTGCAGTGGAATTCTCCCAGGACAAAGTTATGTTGCGCTATCCCGTGCGGCATCAATGGAGGGCTTACAAGTCTTGCGATTTGATCCCAATAAGGTGTGTTCTATGAACGAAATGACCTGTGGACATGCCTAGGGTACAAACCGTACACCTCCAGGTCGTAGCACACCCTAAGGTTATAGAGTGGAGCAAGACATTGTCAAGCTGTATTGAAGTAAACTAGGCAGTGACGGATACTGTACTTAGAGGTGAGTAACCGCCGCTTCCCGACTCATAACCACATGCTCAATGCCTACGTCTTCCAGCTATCATTATTACGTTGCTCGTGTTTATAAATTATGCGCTCACTGGGGATGTTCATCCACAGGGGGGTGATTCCTTCGCCGGCATGTAGGCAGAAAGCAGGCAGTCCATTTCCGAAATTTCTCTTACACAGATACTGGGAAGAGTATATTGCTCCTCGCGGCTTCAAAACGTACTTATTCTTCTTTAGGGTGCTTCACATGTCACACCGGCCTTATCATGATGCGGAGGTGAGTTCTCGAGACCGTCACTCTTTCCCCACTCAGTCGATTGTGTCAGTGCGGTTGTTCGATGAGCCATTAACGAACTGAAGGTTGTGTACATTTTGTGAATTTCTGGAATGATCCAATCGCCACCAAGTAAAGCGCGTGCTTTTACTCGTCCCATACTAACTTTTCAAATCCTGCTCGTTATCAATATAGGGACAACGCCCACAGTGAAGGCAGAGAGACAGCGGATTAGAAGCCTGCGGATTCCGCTATACCTGCCGCCAGGTCCGCTTTGTCTTCTCCCGTATGTTCCATCGCTCCCTCTATATCCCGATTGCTGTCAAGCTCACGAGGTCACGAACTGTATTCGTAGGGCTTCCCGTCCGCCCTCGTGCCACCCATAAGTCATACAGCAATATGTTTCGCGGATTGATGACTATGCCCGAGTGGCCTACATCACATCATCACTCATATTCGAGAGTCACGAAGGTGGATGCGTCGGTCATATGCTGATCACCATCGGCCAGAAGCTAATCCACGATGTCTTAATCCGTCGATGGTTCAGGGTCGTCAAATGCAAAGTTGGAGATATACTAACCTTTTGTCGGGTTTGTTTTAGCACGACCAGCTTGGATTCTAGATGCGAAATTGCCTTCCATGGACGTCAAGGGAGAAAATCGCGCGGCATATCACAGACTCGTTTATACCCCGTGCAAGGAGCTCTAACCGGGGAAGAGACGTTGTCTCGTGACGATGCTTTGGTACCCAGGCGCGCTCCTCAAGGATACGTCCGTCTATACGTCAACCTGATTCCTGAGAAAGTTTTGACAGCTTATAAAAGGCTTCCTATCTAAAGTCGAGTCCTCCCACCCCCCTTAGGTGTTCTCCATCATGCCTGGCGCCATATCGTTTCCCGAATTTCCAGACGATGTTCCCACTGTCCCTCTGTTGATCATTGACTATGCTCTGATCAAAGCAGGGGATGAGAAGGAAATCGATAGACTGTGGAAAGCTTCGACTGAGCTTGGCTTTTGGTAGTGCGTATTCGATGACCCCCCTTCAGGTGTGTTGTTCGTAGAGTTGATACTCTCGAATCTTTCAGTTTGAAGAACCATGGAGCCGATGACGAAGTGGCAGGAATGTTTGACATGGGTGCAGAGACTATGGACCTACCTCTGGAAGAGAAGATGAAGTTTGAACAGGGTGACGACGGCATGTCGTTCGGGTGAATACCTCTTGCCGGAAAGAGCGTCATTTATTGCTCACAATCTCTACAGCTATAAGTATGCGGGTGCCAATGCCACAGATGAAACAGGAGCACTCGACCGCGTCGAATTTATCAATGTCTCCAAGGACGATGCAATTAGCTGGCCCACCCCGACGCACCGTACTTACCCTTCAACAGTTAATGCGCGGATGCCATCGACTATCATTCCATTCGTCCGCAAGTCCCTCGAGGTGACCAACACGATCTTGGATGTCTTGAACGATCGCCTCGGGCTTCCCAAGGGTGCTATTGCTAAGAGGCACAGCTTGATGGAACATAGTGGTGGCGAAGCAAGATGCATCAAGTCGCCGAAGAATCTGGAAATGTCTGCGGACAAAGCTACACTCGGAGCGCACACGGACTTTGGTTCTTTGGTGAGTTCGAAGGGTAGATGTCATCTGTCTTGCCGTTTGTTGACTCCGAGCATCAATAGTCGTTCCTTCACAACCGTCTCGGCGGACTACAGGTCTTTCCACCTGGTGCAGACGGCTGGAAATATGTGACAGTGAGCGCGGCAGTGGATTTGGTCATATCCCGTGCTGATCTCACTGAAGCCTATTCCCGGGCACGCAATCTGTAATCTCGGGGATGCCATGGCTATCTTCAGCGGCGGAATTCTGCGTTCGAACCTTCACCGTGTTGTGTAAGTTATGCATCCGATCCAGCCCCTTAACGTTCCCTTACACTAGGGAAATTGCAAGCCCTCCTCCCAAGCAACAGGCGGCGTATGACCGTTGGTCTCTCGTGTTCTTCACGCGCCCTGGAGAGTCATGGAAGATGGTACCTCTCTCGGAGGAAAGCGACATGATCGCAGAAGCAGTAGCCAAGGCACCGCCGGGCAAGTTTGACATCGACGCGACAGCTGGGTCGTGGTATGCTAGGAGGATCAAGAATCAGAGGATTGCCAATCGCACGGTCTGTTTTTTCGGATCAATCCTATACAGCTTGATTGAGATTTACTTGAGCAGGGACCTGAGACATGGAGGGCGAGCCGGGGAACTGAATATCGACCTGAGGTTGCTTAAGCAATACTGGTCTTGGCCCATGTAGAATTAGTGTGGCTGTGGTTCATGTGCACTGATTGCTGCGACGATTTATGTACGAATAAAAGATGAGTGTCAGTATGTGAAGAACAACCCACTTGAGGCGGCGCGCGAGACTCGGCAGTGTGCACACGTATGAGAATTGCCGTGGTGTCTGAAAATATGGCTCCAACTGCATGCAATTGTGATGTTGGTGGTGTTCCGTGTGCCGTATGCATACAGTACAACAGCTTATACGCGAGCTATCATGAACTGCTCTGGGATTTCTGGGCTTTCAATCGGCCCCAAAACAGGCCTCGTTTTGACTGTGCCTCTTTCGTCGACGAACAGCTGCCGCTCAACCTAGCAGAGAGGGAGTATGTTACTTCTGCGCCTTGTTTCAAGATTTTACACTGACTTGGTAGACTTTGGTGTCAATGCCGAATTGAGTTATCGTGGGCCTGCATTGTTGGATAAGCGCATTCGCTTCCTCCAGATGATGAAGTCTGAATTGAGCAACGTTTGCGTGAAACGTCCGCAAATTTTGCGCGCTTGCGAGAATTGGACCGAGAGCATTCTGGCCAGAAGGTCGGGTAAGAACACACATTCCTGTGATTGATATTCTGTGAGCATACCAGATCCCGTGAGGAGATGAACACGAAGAGCTGTGTCAGGTTGGGACATCCCTCACACATACTCCTGATGCTTGACAATTCTAGGAGTAGGCGACTATATGAGAAACATGTCATACGGTGTCCATGGGCCTCGACTAGTTGGTGACAAAGACGATTGGCTTCGAGTGCGTCAGCCCCACCGCCGAGTGAGTATAGCTGAAAGATTTCGAGAGGCGATTGCGCGAGAAGGTTAAGGGCACCTTCTGCCCACGTATGATCCAAATTTCCTGGATGAAGCGCGAACGTGAAAGATTTAAGCTGGGTAAGCCCACCGCGTGCGAAGCACCTTTCGCTGAAAGCAGAGACATTCTGATTAAGGCCAAGCTATGATCAGTATATGAAGGACAGAATACTGCAAGCGCATACAAACTGTGGCGATAACCCTTCGAGCCCAAGGCTGATGATTCCAGTGATGTTGGCATTAATGACAGTCATGACACCATCTTGAGTCACTTTAGGGCATCCAATTAAGTGCAAGTGCTCCAATTTAGGAAGAGGGTGAAGTCCTTTCAGTGTCGCGTCGGAAACAAAATTAGATAGCTGTTCAAGATACATGAATCTATGTCAACATTTGTGCGGGTTTTGATGCTTACCTTGCATATCAAAGTAAAACTGCGTAGCGTGCCCCGGGTAGCACCAATCCAAGCTGGGAGAACGCTGATGACTAGGTGGCTTGGCATGATCAACGATATTTTGCTCAAATGCTTGAATTGAGGTAAGACATTCGGGTCATAGTTATCTTGGTGTTGGCCATTGATCTCAAGCTCACGAAGTTGAGGAAGCGACTGAAGGGCCTTGAGAATTTCGGAGGTTAGACATCCATCACGGGTGAATATGCAGGTATGCAAGTTTGTCGCGTTTTCGATGCTGCTGATGAGGGACTTCACAAGTTGTTCGTAGTCGTTGTTGAGAAGTCCCTTGGGGAAGTCACGTATCTCTTGATTAGAGGCTGGTCAGAGGACCTCGTGAAGGAGGCTGAGTCGTATATGATGAGCTCACCTAGTCGTCGGACGAGCCTGGCAAGGCGGGGATTTTGTTGAAGAGTCTGGAACAGCTGTATCAACTGGAAAGGTGCCTTGTAGCAATTGCATATCGCGCATGGTAGACTGTCTGCTGACCTTTCGCTTTGCATTCCATTGCCATGGGCGAATTACAACTCTTTCGTACAGGACAGGATGCGCGAACACGTAGAGTATTCGATTGACAAGACACACTGACTGGAGATGTTCAGGTCGCAAGATATATTCAATTATACCAGGAAGGAGCTCCGGAGGTAAGTTCTGAAATTGTACTGGCATTGCTCTCTCGAGGCGATCGCTGCGGCACGAGAGATCAGATACAGATATTCAAAGACTACGTCGGAGGTTGAGGGAGGATTGCCGACGTTTGCTGCCTCTGGGAAGTCGCCGTTACACGTGAGCGTGACAAGGCTGTAACATGTAACACGCCTGACCTCAACTCAGTTCTGTTCCTCGGCCACTTGTACCCTATCACCTCTTCGCTATCTTCACCATGTCAGACTTAGAAGACGACATAATGTATCAAAATGAGAGCTCTGACCCCGTGGCTGGGCTTGAGGACGAGGGAACTACGGAGCAGGGACAAGAGCAGGGCCGACACGAGAGGAAGAAGGGCAAGCAGCAGACAAGAGACCATGATGATGAGGAAGAAGAGGACGAGGAGGATGACGAGGAGGATGACGAGGACGAGGAGGATGAGGACGAAGATGAGGATGATGAGGGCTTGACCCGTGGTCGCAAGCGGCCAAAAGTGCGTGCTACGCCAGGTGTCCTGTGTTGAGATGTATACTGAGCTGGGATTCAGCGGCGTCATAAACGTTCCGCCGTCAACCGCTTCCTCGATGTTGAAGCTGAAGTTAATGAGGATGAAGAGGAGGAGGAGGAAGACGATGAATATGGGCGTGGTTGGTCTCAAGTCTTTCACTCTGTTAATTCGTCTAATAGCTTCCCGCAGACGAATTCATCGCGGAACCCGGTGGTGAAGGAGACGAGGACGACATCGCTCGCAGAGCTGTTGACCATGCGCGTCTTGATAGACGCCAACAGGATTTGGATGACCAGGACCTGGCTCGCATTGCAGAGGGGTATAGTCAACGGTACAAGCGCTCTGCAATCCGCTACACGGGCGACATGAACGAGGTACCGCAACGTCTACTAATGCCATCTGTGAATGATGCCAACCTGTGGCAAGTGCGGTGTAAAGTGAGTGGAGCATTCGCTTACTCTAGTCTATCGTTGACATACTCTTCAGCCCGGCAGAGAGCGTGATCTTGTCTTCAGCTTGATGCGCAAGGCCATCGACCTTGAATATACAAATCATCCGCTCCAAATTCTGTCATCTTTCCAGCGCGACTCTCTACCAGGCATGATTTACGTCGAGGCGCGCAGCTCGAAGCAAGTCACAGAAGCATGCAACGGACTTGTTGGTATCTACCCCAGCCGCGGTATCATTCTCGTTCCGATCGAAGAGATGGCCAGTTTGCTCCAGATCAAAAAGCAGGACTTGACAGTAACGCCAGGAAGCTGGATACGCATCAAGCGCGGTAAGTATGGAGGCGACTTGGCGCAGGTCATGGACATCACCGAGAACGGAGAAGAAGTCGGCCTCAAATTCATCCCGCGTATAGACTTGAATCCGAAGGACGATGCTTCTATTGACGGTAAGAAGCGCAAAAAAGTTGGAACTGCTGTGTCGGCAGGTATGCGCCCTCCACAGCGTTTCTTCAATTACGAAGAGGTTGTCAAGGTCTACGGACGCAAAATGGTCTCAAAGCGGAATCAGGTGTATGTGTTTCAAAACGACACATACAAGGATGGGTTCATCGAGAAAGACTTCCGATTGAGTGCGCTCTCTCTTGAGAACGTCAATCCGACACTCGACGAAATTACTCGATTCACCAAGGGCGCGGACGGCGCTGAGGGCGAAAACACCGTCGACCTATCAATTATCGCTGAGGCGTCGCGAAAGGCAGCGATCGCAGTCCTTCAGCCTGGTGATCATGTGGAGGTGTTTGAAGGCGAACAATCAGGCGTTCATGGTGTCGTGGACTCAATCTCACAAGATATCGTCATCGTTAGTCCAGTAGGTGTCGACTTGGAAGGTCAGAAGGTGCAGGTTCCGGCGCGGAGCGTTCGCAAGAGGTTCAAGCCTGGAGACCATGTCAAGGTGATGACCGGCAAAAATGCTGACGAGACAGGCTTGGTTGTGTCAGTCGCAGAGAACATCGTCACCTTCTTGTCGGACATGTCGATGCAGGAGGTTCGTTCATCACTTCCTCGATTTGGCCTGTCTAAGACCATTCATTTGATCATCAGGTTTCAGTCTTCTCTAAAGACTTACGGGAAGCTGCTGAAGTCGGTTCCGGAACCAATATCGTAGGAAACTACGAGCTGCATGATCTTGTACAGCTTGAGTAAGTATGTCCCAAACCGATTCTGCCATACATGCTGATCTGTGGGTTAGTCTTCAGACTGTTGGAGTTATCTTCAAGACAGAGCTTGATTCGTTCCGTGTTTTAGATCAGAATGGCCAAGTTCGCCTCGTCCAGCCTCATCAGATCTCTATGCGTCGTGATTCGAATCGAGCAATTGCCACTGATTCCGAGGGTCACGAACTTCGTATTCATGACAATGTGAAGGAGATCGACGGAGAAGTATGGCCCTCTTCCCGATCTCTCTGTTGATATTCTGAACACTCTTATACAGGGCCGGAAAGGTCGGGTTCTACACACTCATCAATCCTTCTTTGCGTTCCTCCACAATCGTGATATCGCTGAGAATGGTGGTGTTTTCGTTACTCGTGCACGATCCTTGGCGTCGCTCGCACCGAAGGGTTCGGTCTTGAAGCCGGGAACAGATCTTTCGAAAATGAATCCTGCGATTAACGGTGCTATGACTGGTGGCATGGTGGGCTCCGGAAACATTGGCAGAGGTCCGAGAGATAGGCTCATCGGTGTCGCGATCACCGTCGTCAAAGGCCCCTACAAGGGTTATATTGGCTCTATCAAAGATACTAACGGACCTGTTGCGCGTGTAGAGCTTAACACAGGCAACAAGGTCATCACTATCGATAAAGACAAGGTGAAGCGGAGAAAGTAAGTTATGTCTATGAATGAGAGGATAAAGCTGAATAATTATTTCTCAGTCCAAATGGTAGTCTAGAACCTCTCGAAAGTGGTTACTCCAGCATGGGACCTCCACGAAATGACTACTTCGCATCTCGAGGAGCAAACCCCAATAGTACACCGGCACCGGCGTGGGGCGCCTCAGGGCGGACACCGAATCCTTATGCAGATAACCAAAGTCGCACGCCCGGATGGACTACATCACGAACACCAAATCCCTACGCAGATCATAGTAGTCGTACACCCGCATGGAATTCGTCTTCAAAAACGCCAAATCCTTACGCGCAGGACGGTGGTCGCACACCTGCGTGGAACACCTCAACACGGACACCAAACCCGCAGAGCATTGGTAACTGGGGTGGTGCGACACCGAAACCTTCAGGATGGAGCGACCAATGGGGGGGTTCGACACCAAAAGCTCCCGGTAACACTGCTTGGGGAGGGGCTACGCCTGGACGAACAAACTGGGGAGGAGCCACTCCACAGGTGTCGGCTTGGGCCACAGAAGAATGGGTACGTCGCTTCGACGAGGCTGCTGTCCATAGCCTCAACGCCATCCACACAGGCACCTACACCTGGTTACATAAGTGCTCAGACTCCCGGAATGGTAGCAACACCCGCCGTGACATCATATGGATCAACTTGGAGTGCAAAGACGCCTGTCGGCATCTTCCAAGGTGACATGGCCGCTGAAACTCCTGGAGGGTCAGGATCATACGACTACCCATACCGCACTTCTGGTAAGTCATTATTCCAATACATTTGGCCTCGCCTCTATGGTTGCCTGCTTGCTCAACTTCTTCGTTTCGTTAGAGCTCGACAAGAACTGGCTGACGGATCCGTCGATAATTGTCCATGCTAAACGGGGGATGGTAGTACAACTCAAGGGCACCCGTGGAGATGGCGGAATGCCAAATTGGTCCGATGGTGCACACGAAGGCCAGACGGGCACTGTTGAGAGTGTAGCTGACTCTCAATCCGAGCATCTGTCGACGGTGGCCGTAATCCAGATGGACAAATCTCCTCCACAAACGCTCACTGTGCCTGTCCAATATCTTGTACCCGTTCCGCCTAACGGCAAAGGCGATGAGATCGTCGCTTTAGACGGCAAGTTTAAGGGTCATAGGCTGAAGGTCATGGAAAGAGGCGTTGGGTGGGTTGTGTCGGTTGACGGTGGTAATTACGACGACATCCCGGACGGTCGATGCGTTCTCATCAGGCAGTAGCTCCGAACATTTTCAGTGCTCATTACACTCTGCATTTGTTCCATCAGCTTGTATCAATAGTCTATCTGCTCCGTAATGTCTCAGAATTGCCCAATACTCATTCAATCTTCCAAAAGAAACCAAGTCCTAAAATTTCCTAATCCGGAACATATAGTCGGTTTCAACGAGTTTCTGCAGAACGCCCTTCCTCCATCCTCATCGAATCAAGATCCAAGCGAGGATTAAAATGAGCTCAAAGTAATTTCACGTTCTGGTCTCGCTAGATGTCATTGATGCTAACCTGCGACCGCACTTAGTGCGCTGCAATATTGGAATGATGCGGCGAGCTCAAGATTCAATGCTCTTGACACGCTCACCGCATCCTCTACTACCGGCACCATGAGGATCTCTTGCTCCTGTTTCGATGAAGAAATCGTCGCACTGTAAACAGTGCTATCCTCCGTTCGCATGTGGCGCAATAGACTGTCTTTCGCGTCGTGTCTTCGTCCCGAACTACTGGCCCGCATCTTCTCTGTTTTAGCAGCCATTGAAGTGCCAGGGATGCCTTACAAGGACTTGGGGTGGATCAAGGTTTCTCATGTCTGCAGTTACCGGAGACAGGTTGCTTTGGGCGATGCGAGACTCTGGACAAGTGTTGTCTTAAATAACGGCGAAAAGTGGACCCAGGAAATAATCCTACGTGCCAAAAAGACACCGTTGATCATAGCTGAGCACTCCATCGACTCGGAAGAAACCATGTCGGTTGTTCGGCATGTGGCTTTTACTCACAGGCTGCAGCTAATGGATCTCCAGTTGGGCGGGGCGGACGAGATGATCGCATCCGTCATGCAGGTACTTACACCCCCTATGCCAGTTCTAGAACGTGTAAAACTGGAGAATACGTTGCAGTGGGATGAAGAAGACCTCCCGCGTCTTCCTCCGGACCTTTTTGGCCTTGACGCCCCACGCCTTCAATCAGCTTTCTTTCGTGGATTCATATTCCCTTGGTCCTGTTCACTCTGGCGTAATCTGTCGAATTTGTCGATATCGCTGCCAAAGGGGACACAGCCCCTCTCCTTATCAGAAGACGATTTTTTCGATGGACTAGCAAACATGCAGCATCTAGTATCATTACATATCGATGAATATTTCCCATCATCCCCCCAGCCAGCATTGTCTACTCATATGAGACGCCCTGTTGTCAATTTTTCGCGCCTATCACACCTTGTCTTGGAAGGCTCATGGCCGATATGTATCATTGTGATTGGAAGCATTCAGATCCCTAAAACATCTCAGGTTCATCTGAACTTCTCCGAGTTTAGCTACAATGGATTCCACGACGTGCTCATCCCGTTCCTTGAGAGACATGGTGGCAAGTCAGGGGATGCATCGCCTCTGCGCACTCTTCTCATTGATCGCCGTAGCTTGTATGGACGCCTGTATATATGCGGGTGGACATCCGTTGATGCCCCCGATCCAGGACATATAGACCGCTTTTATCCTCCTGCACATAATCCCTCCCTCTGTCTCCATTCTGCCCACTCTCCGCAACAAACACACGAACTATACTTCCCAGAAACCTTAAGAACAATCGTGCAAACACTGTACATTCAGGAGTTGTCGGCGTTGTCGTTCGAGCTTGAAGTGGAATTTCCCAAAACGTACATCTCGACTTTCCAAGTGTTAGAATCAGCCCGGAGCTTGGTATACAGATCATTTATAAAAGGTGCAAGCATCCTCGTTTGCGTCGTGCTCTCCAGCAAGACAATCACCCCAGAGAGCAGAGGGGGGCAGGCAAACGGTCACAAACCAGACATCCTCTTCCCAAAGCTTCAGTATTTGAGCTTGTACAGCAGAGCTCTTCTTACACCACTACCTCTCGTTAAAGCCGAATTGACGGATCACCAGAATCAACCGATACAGTCTTTCATACAACGGGAGAACATGCAGGCTCATGTTGGAAAGTTCGATTTGAATATTTGGACGGACCACGACACATTGACAAAGGAGTGGGCGGATCAGTTGGAGAGTGTTGTGCCCGTGACAGTAACCCAGCGCGGGTGGGGAAGTAGCAAGCAGTGACTTACCTTCAGGTGATATTATGGAATTTATACGAAATATACCAATTCGGAGGAATGCCTTGTATCCTCTTCACGAGGGCCTTATTCCTGTGGTCGAGAGAACGGAAGATAGGTACTGGGGCACTCGATAAGTGGCACTCACTGTAAGGCTCCAACGCCTTGGGAGACGAGCAAACATGTACGGCGGCGATCGTGCGTGATGAACGAGCTCAAACTATCGTGCACGCACAACAATTCGTGACGCTACACCTGCAGTAGAAGCCCAACGAACTTTGTTGCCCTGCATCAAGCCGAGCCTAGATACCGATAGACATGGTCCAATGAGATAGGCAACGAACTCACGAATATAACCAACATAGAATCATGTGCGAGACTGTGATGTACACGCGCAATGAGGCTTTGTCTGCTCTACTCTCCTTCCGTTCCCCCTTCCCCTTCCTCTTCCTCTTCCCCTTCCCCTTCCCCTTCCGCTTCCTCGTCTTCAATGCCCACCGTCATATAGTCATTGAGGCTGCACGCAAGGCCGAATCATGAGATGGAAAATGCCCCCCTGGTCACACAAGGCAGAAAGGAAGAAAGCACGCACCAGTAGACCAGAGGCTTAGCGACCTCGAAGACCTCCGCTAGCTTCTGCCCAAAATCGGCTCGGAGGACCTGCTCGTCTGTGAACCTGAGCGTCGTTCAATGGAAGGTGTGAACCATTCATTCAGGAAGGGAGGCTTTGGGAAATAATGCGCACTTGTGAACGACTACGAATGACCGGCACTTCAATAAATCGATGTTTCTGATGCAACGCGCAAAAATTCGGCTTCAGTGGTGGTAGATTAATAAGTGGGGGAATGGTCAACGCACTTGTGCGTCTTGTCGATGCCTTTGGGCGAGACCTTGAGCTCATCCTCCATACCGAATATGCTCCTCCGCGCGCCCTTCGGATGCGGAGCCGGCTCGCCAAAACGTGCGACGAACGCCTCGGCGGAGATAACCTGGCGCAGGCGCGACGCGTTGTGCTGTAGATGCGAGCTGCGCCCACGCGGTGGGTGGAAAGGGTCAGGGCCTCGGTCGGGGACAGAGAGAGAAAAATAAGGGCGGCGAGTACGTACCGGATCGTAGCCAGCTCGTTCTTGCCAGGAGCCCATGATCCCGCCGCGAGGAGACTTCCGCCTCCCGGTTCCACTGAGCACATGAAGAAACAGCAACGCATAGGAACGGCTCAGCTACTCGGGCCTAGAAGCATCGAGAAACCTCGAATATACTCGCCATGTCTGGGCGAGAGTCAGCGAGAGTCAGCGCCCTGTCTGTTCTTGTTTGTTATACAGATAGGAAGGGAACGCACATATGGTCTGCAAGTGCACAAGGTCAATCACAGTAAGGGTGACAGACAAAAAGATACATACACCCAGCAAAAATACCCTTCCGCCCGCTCCGCGAAAAGGTCGCGGTGAATCCGGTCTTGTACGGCGTCTTGTCGTTGCTAAAGCGAACCTACCGCATTGTCGCGCGGCAATCAGTACAAAGCCCAGATATGAGGCATAGGGTGGATGATAGAGTACGAAATAGTAGGATCAATGGGGAAGATCAAACGTACGTCACGATATATTCGGTAGATCACGTCCTTGGGTGGCAGTGTCGGGATCTGCGTATCAACTTCGACAATCAAGTCGGTGAGCTTCTCGATGAAAGCTTTCCATTCTTTCTCCGCGAGACGGAAGACGGGTTCTGTCGAAGGGGGCCATGGTCAGAAAATGCACAAAGATAGATATGACGTGTCAAACATACCGTGTAGTTTAAACCTGGGGGGAATATATGAATGTGAGTCAAGTTACAACTGAAGTGTGATCATGAGATAGATAGGGCTCTCTTACCATTCGCGGTCATTGCATTCCGGGTCCTTGAGCTGGGCGAGGAAGTTCAGCGTGTTTTGGGATATCCGACCGGGCGGAACTGCACCGAAGTATGCATCAGACATAGGGGGAAGGACCGGTAAAGAAAGTGTTCAGAAGAGATGACCAGTGCTTCGAGCACAAGAGCACACGTACCGCGACCGCTTTTGGGCGCTTGGACGACGGTGCCAACGATGACCTGCCCTGGAGCGAGTGTCACCCCGGCCGCATCCGCGTCCTCGTCCTCGTCCTCGTCGGACGCGTCGCGCCTTCGTTTCGCTGACCGTTTCGGAGCCCGCGCGCTCTTCACCTTCCCCTTGGTCGGCGAGGTGCGTTTACGCTTCTTCGTTCCCGCGTCCTCGCTCCCATAATCCTCGTCCACGTCGTCCACGTCGTCCTCGTCGAGAGCGTCGCTATCCAGCTCCTCCCTAAACTCATCACCAGCGTCTTCGTCTTCGTGATTGTCGTCACTCGACTCGAGCTCCGCATCATCCGGAGTCGGGCTTCGTTTCGCGCGAGCAGGCTTCGAGCGAGCAGACCTCTTCGTAGGTGCAGACGAGGCCGTCCTGGCAGCTCGTTTCTTGGGAGATGCTCTTGGAGCCATTTGTTATGTTCTAATTTCTGAGACGCGCTGACGTCGAGTCGGGGACTTGGCCGGCAGAGTCGCGCATGTGACGACACCGTGACGAGCGCGTCCATCACGTCTTGTCACGTCGGACGTCGTCACCGCTCCGCTCCTCGGCTCAAAGTCGACAGGACTTGACTGACAGTGGCCACCAAGACCGACGACGATGGCCTCTCAAAAACTCTCGCCGCAGGGAAAACGCCTGCGCACCATCATCATCACGATCCCCATCATAGTCGCATCCTCTCGTCCGTACCTCCTTCCCCGTCGCTCCCCGCCCTTAAGTCCCGCACGCTGACTTTGCTCACGCCGAACCGGAATCTTTTCTCCACCGTGGACCGACGCCTTCGGACTCAAATCGCTCGCGTCTGCCTGACCACATACACCCCACTGCGCCGCGCCCGCAGTGGTGCTCTACGAGCGCCTGGTGCAGGGGAAACCCCAGCGCACCATCTCCCGCACGCACGAGAAGGGCGAGGGCCGGATCCTCGACCTGCGCAAGGTCGACGGCGAGCCGCACTCTCACTCTCACTCTCACTCGCACTCTCAGAAGGAAGACGGCGGAGGAGAGGGGTTTGAAAAAGACCGATAGCGTGCGGGCATGAGTGTGACTTTTGACGCCATCGTGATCGCCCAGAATTAAACATAACGATGTGACGGCGGTTTTGAGGGTTGGAGAAAAACGATAGTTCAGGCACGATACGATGCGTCTATCGCGCTGTCCGCTCTGCTCGTCTATTGTGAGCGGCCTACCGCCTGCCATTATGCACACGCCGAATCCCGACCGTGCCCGCCTCAACCTCAGCGCCCTCATCCGCCAAGCAATCAAGTCGCGTCCCACCCTCAGATCACTTGCTCTCTTCCTTGAGCACCCGCACGCCCGCTATCCTCGCGGGATTGAACGACCGGTCGCAGTCCGCGTACGCAGCGCCCGCGCCGAAACCCGTCGTGAGCGCGATCGGCCATGCGCGTCCTAGAAGAGAGTGCACATGAGTGTCAGCCATCACCCGGCACGGAACTGTCCCAGGCTGCCATTGAATAGCCAGGGCGAGGGCGGAGGAGAGGGCGAGGGGCGCCTCGGGAACGTGGGCTGAGAGGGGTGGCGGGAGAGGGGGAGGGAGCAAATGCACGCACGGCGGAAGAGGATGACGGAGGCGACGACGCCCACGCTGAACCCGATGCCGCTGTATATGTGCGACACGCACGCCGCGCAACGCGTTCGTCAGCGCACCCGACGAAAGAACACGCAGGAGAGAAACGCACGCTTTCACGATCAGGTCCGCGACTACAACAGAGGTCCCATCCAGAGCAGCATGCCGTCGTTTCACGCGGTAACGCGGTCAAACAAAAATTAAGAGTCCAAAGCGTAGTCCGCCGGTTGGTTTCGTGAGACAAGTACAGCGCGGAGCGAAACGGGAACACCTACGACAGCGGTCATACTACGCAAAAGTTGGTATGCGCGGGTCAGATGCGTGGTTTCAACCGGGAAAGCGACCTCTTTCACTTACCTTTTGTGCGACGATGTCTTCGCTCGAGTTGGGTCTGGCGTTGGCAGACATGGTGGTGGACGTCGAGGTGGTAGGAGGCGAGGGTAGGTAAATAGGCGTAAATACGTCACGCGGCCGGCTGCAACGCCGTCCTCGAGCTCGACCACGTCGTGCATGTGTTTCTCGGGTTTTCTCTCTGTTGTTCTGCTCGACGCCTCCCCAGTCCTACCTCTCTCGCTCCTGGCTCTGGGATGAGGATTTTGGAAAGTTGCCTTTCAGCAGCCCTTCTCTCTGTCCACACCCACGCCGTCCTCTACACGTGCTAAGCAACGCCGTGCGTGGCCACGCCGAGAGCTCTCCTCTCGGGCCACATTCCCTCCGGCCGCCCATACATATGTACTCATGAAGACCCAACCCCCACCTCTGAACCTCAACTCCCAAAATGGCATCTATCTCCGCGTCCTCGAGGACGCACGCAGCGCGTGTCGGCACGCCTGCCTCCACGAGATTTCCACGACTCGTTTGGCAAGATGCGCAGCTACGTATATATCACGCATCCAGCCCCTCCTCCGGATGCCGACATACTGCCGACATCGACTCGTCGTTAGATTGTCCATTCGAGCGATCGTATGAAATCGTCAGACGGACGCGCCGGCGCCCTTGTGCCTCAGATTTTGGTCTCGTCGATCCATCATCCGCCAGCATCCGCTGTGCATCTGGCACTGCGCGGTTCATAGTCGTCCTTCGCAGCCCCTTTCTGAATGACGCGGCCCGCGGCCAACCACGCGCATTCCTTTTGACTGTCATGTTCCCCACGGCGGCATGCTCAAGCCTCGCACACGCACATTACTTGAAAGCGGCACAACTGGCCAAGCGACATCTGACGCCAATTTTCTCGAGCGTCTGTGCGCCGGGACATTGACGCCGCCGACGCCGCCCGCCGTAAAGTGCTGATCATGCCACTATGTATCCTGCTGCGGCCAGGCATCCGCATTCAGTCGTCTGCCCCTGTACCATCGGGCTCGGCTCAACACGGTTCAGCCCAGCCAGCCTCGCTACGATGTCCTCGGAAAGGCCTTCATTCACCTTGACGATCTGGCCAGAGTGCTGCTCGGTGAGCCAAGTAAGGGCCGTCGGCGCTCCGTTCTCTACTGGCTCGGTCTCGCTCAGCGCTGCGGATCGCCTCGTGTGGGCGGATATATGCGTCGACGGACGTTGATGCTTGATCTCAGCCTATGAATATGGCATGACGGAGCCTCAGGATGTTTTGACGAACGGCAGATGTGGAACTAGGCTGATGGGCGTAGTGCGACCATGCCAGATCGCAGCTGCAGCACCGGGGCGGTACTCGTCCAGTGTGCGATCGCTCATGGCGTCTCGTCCGGCGCAGTGGATGTCAACGGGTCCTCCGTGCTGCCATTCCATTCATCTCGGCTCTTGGTTCTGCTTTCGCACAGACATACGTACTTCGCGCTGCTTGGAAGGAAGGAGCAATATAACCTATGCTGGGTTCGCGGACTGCTCCGGGCTGTTTCCAGGTGTGCATACATGGTGGATCATGGGCCGGTCGACTGCATCATCGTGAATGCATGAACGTTGGTCGTGAAGGTGCCGAGCTGGCTTTTCTTATGAGGGCTGGACGCGGTACGGCGCCCCATTGGACGGCGGTTCTGGTGCTGATGTCCATTCTCGTTATGGACGCGCTCTTTCCGTTTCCGTCTGACGCTGTAAGCTGGTCTGTTCTGTGCTCGCCTGCGCCGCGTCTACGTCGACCACCGCCCGCTCGGGATTCTCCGCCCCGAGGAGCTTGCGGGGCCGTCCTGCCGATCGATGTGCGACGCCGCTGTCCGAAAGGGCGTCACGGCATAAGTACGGTAGTGTAAGTGTCATGTTTGCTGGATATGGATGCTTTGCCGCGGCCCGGTTCGACGCGATCTTGGCTGCTGCGCCAGTGGCCACTGGTCCGTCTTGGAATAGGACAGGACGCTCGTAGGACGCTCGCAGGACGCTCGTACGTCACATTGGACTGGGGACTGGAGGTGACGCGGCTTCGGGCGTAGTTCCTGGCATGTCTGGGCTCTCCGCGGTTACGTGCTCGTGGACATAGGCTCACCGGCCCTGCATGGCGTGTGGGGAACCTGGGGCGACGACCCGCTCGCGATGCGGTGCGTTTATGTGACTGGCGGTGCACTACGCCCTGATGCTCCTTTGGTCTCTGGATCCGTGGACAGCGTGATCGCCGGGCCCAGCTATGGGCATCCCGACTTGGGTCCTGGCAGTGTCCTAGCCTGTCCTGACTCCTATAACCTCCTATGACTTGACTTATTGCGATGCCAGATCAAGGGATACACGCCGCGTTGATTGGATGCTGCGGGGCCGGGGATGCTCCGAGGGGGTGCTCGATGTAAGTTAGCTCGGTACCCCGCTGGGATCCCGAGGGCGGCCTAGGGCGGCTCGATGTGTCGTTGGTGCGTTATCACATGCGTGCGCGCGCCCATGTTCGTGGTGTGTTATTTTTGCGCTTTCCAGATTGTGACTTCTATCGTACCGCCTCTGCATTGAGTAGACAGCGTCGCCTCTGCACTGCACCGCTCCGTCAAGGCGTCTGCGATAGCGAACGGTCCCGTGGCCAAAGTATACTTATACTTATATGTGCTTACCACGTATCTGCGCGAGGGCTGTGAGCCTATGACTGTACCGTGTGCATGCTCGTACGGGACAAACGTGCGCGCAGCCTGGCATGCAGCCAGGCCGGTGCGGCGGCTCGTGACTCGGCGTCTCGCCCGAGAAGCTCGTCGACGGATATGAGGTGCGGTCCCTCGCCCTCGACTTCTGAGGGAGAAGCCTGGAGAAGCTTCCCAGGCGCAAGCGCCAGTGCTCAGATCCCAATCGGCTCTTTGTTCCATGCCCGGAGAGTGCCCGGAGCTGCCGGGAGCTAGCGCCGAGCACGCTGCGACGCTGCAGGGACACGTTGAGCCCGCAGCGCGCTGTCGAGTACTTACTTGTGAATGGCAGTTGTCTCAGCGGATGGGATGAGATGGGGCAGCAGCAGCAGGCAGGCAAGCAGGCAGGCAGACATGCATCGAGACAGACGGAGATCCGTGCACCGACCACCGTGGGCGCCGGGCGGGCGCCAACTTTGATGGCTTAGCGGCGTAGATGTCAACTGTTGACTGGTTGTTACTGGGCGGCATCACCAGATCCACCGTGCACGCACACAACACAGGACAGTGCAGTGCCTACTTACGCTATGTGTTGGCCCACTGGACCCGGCCGCGCCGTGTCCTTTCACGGAGTCACCTCGTTATTTAGCGCCGCCCTTTGTCTCTCCGTCCGGATGCGGGGTGACTCAGACGCCTATATTACCACCACCCCACCGCCTTTGAGGGAACGGGGGGCTCTTTGTGGTCCAGGAAAGCAGGTTACATAGGTTAGGGCCGCGCGCGGGGTGGGACTCTCGCACAAAAGGGATCAAGCTCGAGACCCAGCTGCTTATAACTTAGCTAGGGACGGCGTGCTGGTTATAAGTATCCTGGACCTGAACCACCGCTCTCTCTTCTCCCCGCTTGTCTGCTCGCCCGTCCCTCCTCTTCCCGCCTCGCCTCGCCTCGTCTCGCCTGTGACTCGCCGCGCATCGTACTATCACGGAGGGCTAGATCGCGAGGCTGCGTGTCTCACCGGACGCTTGCGTCGTCCCGTTCCTGCTTCCACGACGACCGCCCTTGCCGCCCTGCGCCTCGACCCCGCGCGCCCGCGCGCACGCTTGACAGGACCGCTCCTCCATCTCCACCCCTGCCATACCCGCGCTGCAACGCCCATACCCGTCTCCACCACACCAGCACACACAAATTCACAACCACAGCAGCCACAACGAGCACTCACCGGCACCCAGCATATCATATCATAGCATAGCATAGCATGACGATACCCCCGGCGGCCGAGGGCGGCGCGGACGGCGTAGGCCCCGTCGACGGCAGCCACGGCGGCGGCGGGCCGCACCACCGGCACCCGCAACAGCACGCGTATCACGGCCAGCACTACCAGCACTACCAGCACGGCAAGCGGACGCTGCAGCGCGCGGCGAACCTGCTCACGAGCCGCGGGCAGCCGCGCCCGGAGCTCAAGGCGTCGCTGCTTGAGATGTCGGCGGCGGCGCGCGGGGCGGCGGTGGCTATCGTGACTGTGAGGGAGGGCGAGAGGACGGAGGGCGCGGGAGGGAATGCGCGAGAGGGCGCGAGAGAGGGGGAGGGGGAGGGGCGCGGACACGGGCGGAGCAGGAGCGAGGGGGGCGCGGGGGTGCGGCGGCTGTCGTCGTTGAAGCGGACGCTGATGAGCGTGAAGGAGGGCGCGTCGGCGTCGTTGGCGAGCGGGGTGCAGACGGTCGCGCGGTCCAAGTCGTGGCGGTTCAGCGGCAGCAAGGCGAGCAGCGGCGGTGGCGGTGGCGGGCACGGCCAGGAGGAACAGCACGCGCGCGGGGGCCAGAAAAGGAAAGGCCACGCGCGGAGCATGTCAGACGCCCCCCCGCCTCGCCCGCGGCTCGTTTTCTCTCCAGACGGCAGCGACCGCGCATTTGCCAGCGACAGCGACAGCATCCACGGCACCGGCAGCACCGACGTCGTACCACCCGCACACATCCTCCGCAAGGCGAGCACCAGAGCGAGCACGAGCACGAGCATGCAGATGAGCCCTGTCGTCGAGTCCCCGAGCCAGGTACACGCGCGCGCGGCGGGCCCCCTCGCGCAGCCGGCGTCCATCGCGGACGTCGCGGTGCCCCAGCTGCTGCAGCAGGGCACGCCCATGATCAAGGTCTCCGCGAAGAAGCAGAAGCGCGTCGTGTTCAGGCTCGACCCTGATCAGGGCCAGATCATCTGGGAGGGCAAGAAACACAGGATCAGTGCGTCTCTCTCCCTCCTCTTTCGTTTTCCCGTCCTTTTTAGCACTCGGCGCTTGCTGACCGCATCGATGCGCGTCTTGGCCGTGCAGTTCCTATCGAGAACATCAAGGAGCTCCGCTCTGGGGCCGATGCGCGCTACTACCGCGAGCAGTTCCAGCTCTCGCAGGACCACGAGAGCCGTTGGCTGACGATCATCTACACGCTCGACGGGCAGTACAAGACGTGGCACGTCGTCGCGCCCTCGCGCGACGTCTACAATATGTGGGACCTCACGCTGCGCAAGCTGTACGCCATGCGGCAGGCGCTCATGACGGGGCTCGGGAACGTGGACCTGCGGGAGGCCGTGTGGGAGAAGCAGTACTGGAAAGGCGCGGACGAGGAGGCGGACCAGAGGCTCTATTTTGAGGACGTCGAGACGCTGTGCAAGAGACTGAACATCAATCCGTCGCGGGAGGACCTGCTGCGGCGATTCCAGGTGCGTTTCTTGTTTTTGTATCTACTGTGTGTTGACGGGGACGACGACGACGCGCAGCAAGCGGACGTGCAGAACCGCGGGTTCCTGGACTTTGCGGATTTCCAGCGGTTCGTGAAGCTGCTGAAGACGCGGCCCGAGCTGGAGCGGCTGTACAAGAAGCTGTGCGCGGTGCACGGCGGGACGTTCAACTTTGGCGTGTTCGAGTACTTCATGCGCGAGCACCAGAAGGTGGGCCATCATCCGTCGACCGGATCTCCTTTTTGGGTCTGACGGGCTGTTTTCGTGTGTTTGTGCTGCGGGTCCGGCAGTCGACCGCGTCGGAGGCGGATCTGGAGCGCATCTTCGCGTACTACACCGGCGCGAGGGACGCCGATCAGGTCCCCCAGCTCCCGATCGAGTTCGCACTCAAGGACGAGTCCGCGTCCCAGCCGCCGCCCTCCCCAAGCCCGCCGCGCTCCTCGTCCGCCGCCGTCCTCACCCTCGAGGGCTTCACCTCCTTCCTCCTCTCCACCGACAACTCCGCCTTCGCGGACCAGAACCGCGGCATCCACCACGACATGACCCGCCCGCTCTCCGAGTACTACATCTCGTCGTCGCATAACACGTACTTGGTCGGCCATCAGCTCGTCGGCGTCAGCACCGTCGAGGGCTATATACGCGCGCTGTTACACAGCTGTCGGAGCGTCGAGCGTGCGTTCTCGCTTTTCTCTCAGTCGCTGATTTTTATTGCATGTTTTCTAATATTAATATTGATTTCGGTCGTTTCACGTGCCGCAGTGGACATATACGACGGAGACGCCGAGCCGGTCATTTACCACGGCAAGACGCTCACCTCCAAGGTCGCGCTGCGCGAGGTCTGCCAGGCGATCGCCAAGTACGCCTTCGTTGTCTCCCCGTACCCGATCATCATCTCCGCCGAGGTCCACTGCAGCATTCCGCAGCAGGAGATGCTCGTCGCGATCATGCGCGAGGTGTTTGGGGACGCGCTCGTCAGCGCGCCGCCCGAGGGGCGCCCCAAGATCGAGGTGCTCCCGAGCCCGGAGGAACTCAAGGGGAGGGTGCTGTTGAAGGTGCGTTTCGTCGTTTTTGGTGGCCGGATGGGACAAGCGCTGACGCGTGGGGCTTGTTTGCAGGCGAAGAACTTGTATGTGTCCGAGAGCGAGGGGATGCGCAACAAGGAGCTGGCTGTCGAGACCGAGTCGTCGACGACGTCCGAAACCTCATCGACCGATTCTGAGGTCCTGTCCGGTGAGCCGCTCTCCGCGATATGTTTCTCGTCGAACGAGCACTCATCCAAATTCTGCATCCCAGAACTGAAGCAGGAGTTCAACAAAGCCCGACACGCCCTCTCGCGACACAGACCCAGCGCGCGGCGGCCCTCCTCCGCCTCCTCGACCTCCGGGCGCGCCCCGCCCGCCGAGCGCTCGAAGGCGCGCATGTCGCTCGCGCTCGTGTCCCTGCTCGTGTACACCGTCGGCGTCAAGTGCCGCGGGCTGAATAAGAAGGAGCAGTACGCGCCCGAGCACGTCTTCTCGCTCTCGGAGAACACCGCGAACAAGATGTTCCGCCAGGGCGCGATGGCGGACCTGATCAAGCACACGCGCATGCACGTCGTGCGCGTGTATCCGAAGGGCCTCCGGCTGAGCTCGTCGAATTATGAGCCGCATCGGTATTGGTCGGCGGGCGCGCAGCTGGTGGCGATCAATTGGCAGACGTTCGGTGCGTCCGCGCCCTCCTTTATTTTTATTTTTATTGCTTTTTTGGATGTGGGCGCTCATGTGTGTTGCGCAGATCTGGGGTATATGATCAACCATGCGATGTTCCAGCGCAACGGCAGGTCCGGGTACGTCCTCAAGCCCCTCGCGCTGCGCTCGTCCGCGGACAAGGACCTCCTGGGCAAACGGACGAAACACTTCCTCGACGTGACCGTGCGTCCCCCGCCTCGTTTTGTTTTCCCATTTTCCCTCGCTGACGCGACTTCTCCCCTCCTTCGACGCACAGATCATCTCCGCGCAGCAGCTGCCCAGGCCGAAGGACGCGCACGGCCGCGAGGTGCTCGACAAGTCCGTCATCGACCCGTTCGTCGAGGTCTCCGTGCACGTGCCGGACTGGACGCAGACGCCCTTCATCCCGCCCACCGCGAGCGCCGCGGGCGTCACGTACGCGCCCGCGACCTCTCCTCCCCATTCCTCCCATTCCTCTCCTGCTCCTGCTCCTGCTCCTGCTCCTGCCCCCGCCGCCGCCTCGTCCTCCGCGGGCGCGACGACGGCGCGGGTGGTGTCGTACAAGACGGGCGTGGTGAAGAACAACGGGTTCAACCCCGTGTGGGAGGAGGCGCTGAGCCTGCCGTTCGACTGCGTCGGCGGGATGCGCGAACTTGTGTTTGTGCGGTTCGCGGTGCGCGAGGAGGGCGAGGACGAGCGCGAGCCGCTTGCGGTGCATTGCGTGAGCTTGGGGAGCCTGCAGGAAGGTGCGTCGGTGGTGTCTCCCTCTTTCCCCCCCTCCCCCCTTTTTTCTTTCTTTTTGAACTGCGTGTGGGGACGGATAGCTGACTGTATTTCGTTTTGGTGATGTTTGTAGGGTTCCGCCATCTGCCGCTCCACGACGCGCAGCTCTCGCAGTATTTGTTCTCGACGCTCTTCGTGCAGGTCAACATCCGCGACGCCTGAGCCCGCCCGCCCGCCCGCCCGCCCGCCCCTCCGCCCTGGCTCTGCCGTTCTCGCTTCTCGCTTGTTCGCACTCTCCCTCCCTGCGTCTGTGTCTCTGTTCCGTATCGAGTTTGGATCCGCCACCGCTATCGCCTTGCCCCGTTCCGTCGCGTCTTTGTCTGCGCCCCCCGCGTCTTTGTTCTGATCGGCCCACCTCGACCTCTCACCATTGTATTTTTGGCACCTCACGTACAGCATACGACCTAGCACCCATCGTCCCGTCGTCCCATCGTCCCATCGTCCCGTCGTCCCATCGTCCCATCGTCCCGTCGTCCCATACACATGTATATACATACTCGCACACACACATACATAACATACATACGTATACGCATGCTTGCATACCCCCCTCACTCGGCCATCCGCATCTCCGTCCGTTGACCTCACGCACTCACGTTTCTTTTCGTTTTTGTCCGTTTCGGTTCGGTTCGTTTCGTTTCGTTTCGTTTCGTTTCGTTTCGTTTCGTTGATCACCCATGTTCTTGTGTTCCTGCGCTCGCCTCTGCGGGCGCAGTTGTTGCTGTTGCTGCTGCCACTTTTGCAGCCTCTTGCTTATCTAGTATAATTACATGCATGCACGTAGTAGTCCTCGGGTTTCACAGTGACCACGCCCGCGTCGCGCGGCGGCAAGGAAGCGTCGTAAGGTACTAGCATATTGCTCTCGCCGCGTGCAAATCTGCGTACTCTACACCATTGCTCTCTTTTCACAGAGGTCCTCGTACCCTCGTTCACTTGCCTATGGATAAGCAGTAGTCTACCGGGCCGTGTGTGCCAGCGAAGCCGGCATATGCATGTGCGGTGATTGAGCGGGTCGGGGGCATAGAGTTTGTATTGGGACATCAGATCATACAACAATGGTGGTGGTGGCGGTGGCGGTGGCGGTTCGATTTGGGATCCGAGATGGAGCAGGGGAGCATAAGTACGAGTTCATATATGACGAAGGGTAAATAGGGAAAGGAAAGAAGTAAAAGAAGGAGATGCGGAAGCGAAGGCGATGGAAAGAAGCGGTGGGCGATAGCATGGCGGAGACGAGGGGGGTGAGTGATGATAGACTTCGTGCGATTTAAACAGGGCGCGCGGCCGGCCGAATAATAAAACAGAGAGCGATCCGAAGGTGAGGTTTCGATTCCGATAACGTTCGAGGGATTATTTCCAAGTCCGAGAACGATGACGATGGCGATGGTGCGCACAGTTCATGAGGGGGGCGGGGTGACGGGGCCTGTGCGGTAACAGGGTGAGCGGAACGACGACGCGAAGAGGTGGGCGGGGAGGGGGATGGGCGCACCGAAAAGGCCCGTGCGCGGAGGGGCGGCGACGACGGCGTGTCCAGGATTGCGGGCCTGAGGCGCGATGAGGGGATTCGCTAATCGCACGATCGCGTTCCGAGTCAAAAGAGCAATCGGCGAGCGGGAGAACAACGGCGATTTAGTATTTCGCGACGGTGGGAGATGCAAGGGGAGATGGGAACGGGATACGCACGCCTCCACTGGGCCCAGGAGGGCATCTCGGGCTTGGGGGGTTCTGGGGGAGGCGGGGGCGGGGCGGGAGCGATGGCGGCGGGCTGTTTGCCTTTTGCGCCGCGCGGGGGCCGTTCGGGCCGTTTGTGCACGGTGCGCCAGCCGGGCTTTGCGGGGGCGATGTCTTCGATCGGCGGGAGTGCGGGCGGGGCTTCGGGCGGGGGTAGCATATCGGGGAGGGGCATCTGGAGGGAGGCGGTGGGGAAGGGTGGTATTGAGGATTAAGATTGGGGTTGGGGTTGGTGGGGAAGGGGGGTGGGAGGAGTAGGTCGGAGGGCTCCTTACCTTGGGACGCCAGTCGGGGGAGTATTCACCGCCGGCGCCGTGTTTCGACTTGACGGCCATGAGCTCTGCGATCTCGCTGATGCGTGCGTCAGCAAGTCAGTCTCCCTGGTATGAAGGGGGGTATGTCGCCGCATGCGCGATGGGGTTGGATGTGTGGAGAAGACAGGTAAGAGGGAGCATGAGGGAGAGTGAACGCACTGCTGGAGAGCGCGGCGCTCGTCGCGCAGCTTGCCGACCTCCTGGAGGAGGATGCGCACCTCGCTCGCGAGCGCCTTGCTGAAGTCGTTGATGTACCTGGACGTGTGCGCCGTGCGGAGATCAGTCATCTCAATTCTCGATGATCCTCATCGGGCGCGCCGGTCTGAGAGCGGCGAACGTACCTCGGGGGCGGGCCGGTGAACGGTCCTTGTTTCGGGGTTGCCATCGAGTCGAATAGGTGTTTCTAAGAGACAATGGAGTGCAGGACGGGATGTGGGAGAGAGAGATGGAGTTGTGGTGGATGTGATGGTCGCGGTCGGAATTGGCAACTTGAACGGTGGGAAACCGGCGCCACCACCGATGCTGCACCTCGACTCCTCGTCCGGTTCTCTCATAATCGACTATCCTACGTTGGGCGCATAGCTGGAAAAGTCGAACGTATCATCTGGAGGTACAGTATGCCCCGATGGGCCCCGATCCGCTACAACTGGCGCTACGCTGTACTAGATTCCCTCAGGCGGCCAATACATCCTCATGACGAGGAGGTGAGTTTGGCTGACCTCATCTCTAAATTCATGGTGGGGATCCAAATTGAGGATACTTGCCTTCCTATCTTCACACCTGGTGGGAGCGGTAACAGGTATCTTTGTTCGGTGGTTAATTTATTTAGTATCTGAGGGCAAGCGTTTCTACGCCCACCCAAATAAGCCTGACTGCACTATAATATCAGCACTGTTCATCGTCACTCGTGCTTCAGATAGGTCTTGAAATACTAATGTCCTTGATTCGTACATATTTTAAACTGCCAGGGTCACAAGTCATGCCAATCGTATGGTTCTTGCGTCAGATATCTCACAAGACGGCCCACTCAACCTCAGATCGATCGATATTCAGTTCCCTTGCTCGCCAACCAAGTCTCGGGACCCTGTGCCAATACATATCTTCAACAAGGTGTGTGGTAGTTCATTTCAAGTGGCTGACCTTGCGATTGGCCATCCTCCGATTCTTGACCCTCCTAGCCTGCCATGATCCAGCTGTTTCGTCAGTATCATACTTGCCCGGGGGCGCTTTGGCCACAGCTTCTGCGATCATATCACTTTCCTCGGAGAGGGGTGCCATCTTCCACGACTTTCCCGGGCGTAAGAAGAATACTAGAGACCAGCGGTCATAAGCTGCTTGCTGCTTGGGAGGCGGACTTGAAAGTTTTTTTGTCAGGGAACGAAAGGTAATACCTGGGATGTGACTTACACGACGCGGTGAAGGTTCGAACGCAGAATTCCGCCACTGAAAATAACCATGGCATCCCCGAGATTACAGATCGCATGCCCAGGAATAGGCTTAGGTGAGGTCAACACATGATATGATACCGAGTTCACAGCAGTGCTCACTTTCACATATTTCCAGGTGTCTGCGCCAGGCGTAAGGACCTGTAGACCGCCGAGTCGGTTATGAAGAAACGACTATGGTAACCTCGCATATCTCAATAGTTTGTTACTGGAAGCAAGAATCCTTGTAACCCACCAAGGAACCAAAGTCTGTGTGTGCCCCGAGCAGCGCGCTATCCGAAGGTATATCCATGGTTTTTGGCGATTTGATGCACCTAGCTTCGCATCCGCTGTATTCCATCACGCTGTGCCTCTTAGCGATAGCGCCTCTGGGAAGTCCAAGACGATCGTTCAAGACATTCAGGAGAGTGTTGGTCACATCGAGGGACTTGCGGACGAATGGAATGATTGTCGACTCCATCCGCGCATTGACTGTTGACGGGTAAGTGCGGTGCGTCGGAGTGGGCCAGCTCATGACATCGTCCTTGGAGATATTGATGACTTCGTTGATATCCGGAGTCCCTCTTTCATCTGTGATGTTCGCACCCATATACTTGTAGCTGCAGGTAATGTTAATATCGGATAAACGGCCCTTTTGACGAAGTGGGAACTATTCACCCGAAAGACATGCCCTCGTCGCCCTGCTCATACTTCATCTTCTCTCTCAGAGGCAAGTCCATCGTCTCCGCGCCCATGTCGAACATGCCAACCACTTCATCATCAACTCCGTGATTTTTCAGGCTACAAAATCTCGACTCAACAGGGAATTAGCTTAGAGGGCGGTGGTCTGCTACGCACTACCAGAAGCCAAGTTCGGTGGCGGCTTTCCACAGTCTGTCGATCTCTTTATCATCCCCCGCTTTGATCAAAGCGTAGTCGATAATCAATAGCGGGACGGTCGGGACGTCGTCTGGAAAGTCGGGAAAGGAGACAGCACCAGGCATGATGGGAAATCTCTCGGAATGGATGGGAGCTTGTGCTTTATGCGAAAGGCTTCTTATACGGCTGGCTGATTTTTCTCAGGGATTGTGAACGGCTTCTCATCGTACTTATTCTTGGACCTGTGTTGCATCGGTTGCTTGAGGTCATTGTCACGAGACAACGAGAGTTCTCTCGCAAAAGCATCCTTACCCTCACATAGCTCATCATCTTAATATTGCAATTAGACAATAAAATCTATGTGAATTAACTTCACAACGGATTCGTGCTGTTACTAAGTTCGATGCATGTAAACATTTTGTGTGGAGTACAGGGAAGGTGAAAGCCTTTCGTGTCTTCACCAATCTCCGTCCCAAAACGCCTTCACAGGCACGATCGCTCCTAACCGCCCCAAAATATCTCAAGGGCAGATACCAGGTAAGTTATAAGATATGACCGTGAGGGAATATCCTTCAGTCTCCCCCAGTCGATCCAGACTGGCGGATCTACTTTCACGGACATGTGATGGCGCGTCGTCAGGACGCATCCCAAATTCTTTTGTTGTACTCCTTCGCCTCTCCGTCGATGCTTCATCGACAGGATTCGGTCAGGTGTTTTTCCTCGCTCGAAATATGTCTCCACCGATGCTTGATACTCACACTAGTGGTCAAACAGGATCCATCTCATGTAAACGTTGTACAAGACAGCGTATTTGCGGCCAATGACATTTCGGCACACCAGCGCTTCAGAGCACTGCGCCTTGTGCGCGACTCGCGACGATCCGCAAAAAAACCAGTTGACGATACTTGCTTTCTTCTGCCTCTGAAAGATCAGGGTGATAAGATATATTCTTTATTAACATATCTGTCTGGGCAAGACATCTTTTAATACAGCCTCTCTCTTTACACCTGGAAGGAGTGATATCGGGCATCCTTCTTTGCTTTCCCTGAAAGAGGCCATGGTTGATCCATACAGTATTTGAGGGCAAGCTTTTCCACCTAAATAACCTTAGCAGTGAGTACACACCGCACTATTAGGACTGTTCAGTATCGCACGTCACTTGTAGCACACATGCTTTGGACAGGTCTTTCAAAACCTCAAGTCCTCGATTCGCACAATACTGGCAGCAGCCATTGTCACCTTAATCGTACACATGGTGCGAGGCCGCCCACTCAACCTCAGATCGATCGATATTCAGTTCCCTTGCTCGCCAACCATGTCTCAGGACCCTGTTTAAATATTTGGTCAACTAGGTGTGTGGACTTAATTCCAAGCAACAGACCTTGCGATTGGCAATTCTTCGATACTTGACCCTTCTGGCATACCATGATCCAGCTGTTTCGGCAGTATCGTACTTGCCCGGGGGGGCCTTGGCCACAGCTTCTGCGATCATATCACTTTCCTCGGAGAGGGGCGCCATCTTCCACGACTTTCCCGGGCGTACAAAGAATACCACAGAATAGCGATCATAAGCTGCTTGCTGCTTAGGAGGCGGACTTGAAATTTTTGCTCGTCAGGGGACGAGGAATACACATCTAGGATGTGACTCACACGACACGGTGAAGGTTCGAGCGCAAAATTCCGCCACTGAAAATAAACATGGCATCGCCGAGGTTACAAATTGCATGCCCCGGAATGGGCTTCAATGAGATCAGCATGGTATATGACGCCAAGTTTACCGCAGTGCTCACCTTCACATATTTCCAGGTGTCTGCGTCAGGTGAAAGGACCTGTAGACCACCGAGTCGGTTATGAAGAAACGACTACGGTAATCCCGCATGTCTCAATATTCCTTCATTGCTAGCATCGATTCTTGCTACCCACCAGTGAACCATAATCTGCGTGCGCTCCAAGCAGTGCGCTATCCGAAGGTATATCCATGGTTTTTGGCGACTTGATGCACCTAGCTTCGCATCCGCTGTGCTCCATCAAACTGTGCCTCTTAGCAATGGCACCCTTAGGAAGTCCAAGGCGATCGTTCAAGGCATTCAAGAGCGTATTGGTCACGTCGAGGGACTTGCGAACGAATGGGATGATAGTTGATTCCATCTGCGCGTTGACCATTGACGGGTAAGTGCGGTGCGTCGGAGTGGGCCAGCTAATGACATCGTCCTTCGAGATATTGATCCGTTCGTTGATGTCCGGTGTCCCTCTTTCATCTGTGATATTGGCACCTATAAATTTGTACCTGCAGATATTTTGAATGTGAATATCAAACGAAGGCCCTTTCGATAAGGTGGGAAATATTCACCCAAAAGACGTGCCCTCGTCGCCCTGCTCATACTTCATCTTCTCTTCCAGAGGCAAGTCCATCGTCTCCACGCCCATGTCAAACATGCCAGCCACTTCGTCATCGGCTCCATGGTTTTTCAGACTACAGGATGTTAGCTCAACAAAGAAAGAGCTTGGAGGGCGGTGGTCTGCTACGCACTACCAGAAGCCAAGTTCGGTAGCGGCTTTCCACAGTCTGTCGATCTCCTTCTCATCCCCCGCTTTGATCAAAGCATAGTCAATGATCAATAGCGGGACAGTCGGAACGTCGTCTGGGAAATCGGGGAACGAGACAGTACCGGGCATGATCGGTAATAACAAAGAATGGACGGAAGCTTGTGCTCCATCCAGGAGGCCCTTTATACGGCTGGCCAAGTTTGCTCAGGAATCGTATATGACTTCTCATCGTACTTATTCTTGGGCCAGTGTTGCGCCGCCTGCTTGAGGTTGTTGTCACGAGACAACGAGAGTTCTCTCGCAAAAGCATCCTTACCCTCATACAGCTCATCATTTTGGAGCAGTGTTTATCTTGCCATTCGATAAACGAATATATGTGAATTGGATTCATGCTGTTGTTTCAAACCAAATTCAATGCATGTGAACATTTCGTCCAGAAACCAGGGGAGGCGAAACCCTTTTGTATCTTCACCGCTCTCCGTTCCAAAACACTTTCACCGACACAATCCCTTCTAGCTGTTCTAGCTGTTCTACCCACTTTTTTGACGCTTCGTTCCTTGGCAGTTGAAGCTCAAGTTCTTCCAAATGAGCTTTCAAGTCATTGCGCTTCTGAAGGGCTGCTACTAGTTGATCCTGGTAAATCAACGACCCGCCGCAGAAGGGCTGTTCAGTTTCGTGTCCTAATACGAGAGATCGTAGGTTCGGGAAGAAACATTTATCGATATGCATCCTTGCCTCGTCTCCTGCTGAGTTGGATGTGGAGGCAAGCATCGCACAAAAAAGTGGGAGAGCATCATCATGAAACGATACCTGATCCCAATTCTCAGCTTTCTCCAGCACCTGGATGATCGGTATGTAGAGTTCGGGGTCTTGTGTTCGAAGTGAAATCCATAATGCCTCCAATTTCCGAATGTAAAGAGCATTCGCCACCAAGGACAGGCTGTTCGGATCCAAGTGATCCAAATCAAGTAAGATGGAAGGTTTGCAACGGAAATGGTCTTTTTGGTCGGAGAAATTTCGCCCTATAACAACTACCGACCCACCCAGTGAACCGACGGAAATCGAAAGGGTTCGTAGGGGTAGTGCTTTCCCAGTTTTACCACTATGTTTCTCCAGCATCGGAAGGAGCAGGTCGACGAAACCCTCGCGTGTGTGATTTCTGCAAGTGAAATGGACCATCGATGTTTCAGGAATTTGAATGCTGCCCAGAACAGCAATACAAGGCGCCCATGATCCTCTCAAGATGAGAGACGATAGGTCGAGTAGTTCAATGCCAGGCTGTCTCATTCGACTATATACACCCGTATCTGGGGTGTATCGAGGGAAGTACTCCTCGATATCCAAAGTTTCCAGGTGATGCATGTTCGCCAGCATGTCAAAAAAGTCATCTTTGGAAGGGAGGTAGTTCTCTTCTACTTGCTGATACTGCCATTGTGTGAGCGCTATTGTTAGATGAGATAGGTTGCGCATAATCGGTGAGATCCAAGGGATTGTACATCCGACGAGAGTTACAACACGAAGGCTTAGAGCATAGTCGCCAAACATATTGTTGGGGATGTGTACATTTTTTTTGGTTTCGACGACAAACTTCACCCATTCTAGAGATGGGGCCGGGGAAGTGAGGAATTTCACGACTGGGTTGATTGTATCAACTCCGCCGAGTGGTTGCCTTAGGCCAAGCTCCCTTCTTTGTGACATATGGGAGGACAAGACACCCAGAACACTTTCAGCGTCTTCAGCGTATCTGATGCGGATGGCACGGATGACCAATGGTCCTTGCTTGGCACGATCTAACATCGTCTGAATCCACCAAGAACTGAGGTCGAAGTTGATATTCGCCCATAGTACTGGACTGTCCAAAGCGACTCGCCTCCAATGGCTGCAGACATGAGAAACCACGATCCATCCCAGTGAAATCCTGTATCTGACGGTGGGAGCTTCATCGGCAGCTAACAAGGAGAAAATGCTGACCAGCAATTCGGGAGGAAGTCGTGATACAGGCGGCAACCTGTTGCGCCATTCACGCAGGGAAGACAGGGCCTCCCGTAGGGCAGCAATCTTTCCATCTATTTGCTTGAACAGGCTTGTAGTGCTGATAGAACCAGATGATGCGAGAAGATTATTCAACGCGCTGATTCGTACATTCTTCGCCTGCGTCCAAAACTCCAGGGCTCTTAGTGAGTGACGACTGTGGCGTGGGTTGGATCTGCAAATTCTGACCATGGTAAGATTCCTCACCTGGCTGCCGGCATCTTGTGATCTGTTGTCTTCAGCAGACAATTCCAGGAAGTATCAATGGTCGTCCGAGCTTGACAGTGGCGAAGAAGATAGAACTGGCCACGAATATGTGCCTGCGCGGCAGAACCCGACGGAATTGGCCATAGAACTGCTCGAAGTTTCGATTTGGAACAAAAGTGTTACGCTTGCGGAATCCGTGCCCACGATCTCGTCTCTCGATCGCTCCAAGACTGAGACATTGGACATCCGCATTCGACATGCAAAATAGAAAATATTTTTCATGCTTTCCATCCTCCATCGCTTGTCTATCCAACACGCAAGAATTGCTACAACCGCCCTCATGGTCGCCAAGCGTGCAAGAAAGAATCAGCGCCAAGTAATCTCAAGCGTTGGCGTCGCGAGAGTAGCGGAAGTAAAGGCAACTATAGCTGTGCCTATCGAAGTGGAGGCTAATAGGAGAGTGTCGTCGAGAATTCGGGCCAAAAAGGTGGTTGTTCCGCAGGCTGATGCTGAGAGCCCTTTGACGGAATTGGACGAACCTGAAACCGAACCCTCACCGAAGAAGCGTAGGCGCAAGGTCAAAGAGTGTGAGCCCATGGTCTATAATATCCTTCCAGTGGAAGCGAAGAAAACAACATACAAAGGTGCGTTTTTGTTGTTCGCGTGCGCGGCTGGCCTCTCATGCGACTTGTGCGCTAGGCCGGCTAGGATATGTGAGTTTGATACATCAATCAATCTCTTTCCATTCTAAATTCATGCAGGCGTGTTTGAATACCATTCTCCGGGAGACGAAACCGGAGCCTACGTTTTGTAGCAGGTACGTCTCAATGATCGTTGAATCTAGGACGACGTCCTTATTTTATTGTTTCTTCGCAGGACCTGTCGATTGGCTACTATTGCGAAGAACGGCCTTGATTTCGCAAAAGATCTTGGCATTCAAAATGTTAGAGATCTTAGCAAACTCATACAGGTGAGTGCATCCATTGAACGGACACAAAGACCCTGTTTTCACGGCTGTACGCGCGTCATTATCAGTGGAATGAGGCGAACAAGTATGTTTTTTACCTTGACCTTTTGCAATAAATTGCTGACCTGCGTATAGTATCCGTTTCATGCGTATATCGTCAGAGTTATTTCCATTTGCTTCCCACAGCAAGTATGGGTATTCTCTGGACTACGCTGCTACCGAACTCAAGGTGAATAACTCTGCTCATTCAATTCATAATCGTCGAACTGAACTTGCTTCTCGTCAAGGCTGCAGGCGATCTTGCCAACTCTCTGGGCCATCGGATGACACTACACCCTGGACAGGTGCGTTTTCAAGCTTATGACATTATCAATACAAGCTGACTTCTGCACTGGGCATAGTTTACACAGCTGGGTTCACCGAGGGAGGACGTAGTGGAAGCCTCGGTTCGAGAGCTTCATTGTGAGCCCAGCATCCTCCGTCATGGCCTTTGAATCACATTCTCAGCTATGTGATAGATCATTGTTCAATCCTGCGACACATGGGCATGGGCAAGGATAGCGTGATCATCATCCACATGGGTGTTCGTCCGGGTCCCTTCGCAGCTAGAGCTGTTACTGACCTATCAACGTTAGGGTATGTATGGTGATAAACCGTCCGCGCTGGCGCGATTTAAGGAGAATTACACCTCGAAACTTTCTGATGAAATCAAGGCGCGACTGGTCTTGGAAAATGACGAGGTCCGTGTTCACTTTTCAACGACATGCACAAGCTTATGGACTTTTTCAGATGTGTTATAATGTCGACGATCTTCTTCCTGTATGCGAGGAACTTGATATCCCTATTGTGGTAGGTCACCACCCTATGTGTGTCAGGCCTCTCACTAAAATTTGCCTGCTAGTTTGATTACCACCACGACTGGATATACGTGCGTTTTCAATGATACATCGCTGATCTATGCATTTTTCTCAATATATTACAGCCATCCTCTCAACCAGCTTCAGTCCTCCTTCCGCGAATCAACGCTATATGGCATCGGAAAGGCATCAAACCCAAGCAACATCTCTCCTCACCGCGTCCTGGCGCGGTCACGATTATGGAGCGCCGTGCGCACGCACGGCGGTGCAAGGAATTGCCGGATGAACTGCAACTAGAAGGCGCGGGATGGCGATGGGTCCCAACGACCGGATCCGACGGCGCTGAACAAGCACAGAGGGAATGGTTCGATCTCATGATCGAGGCCAAAGATAAGGAGCAGGCCGTGTTTCAGTTGTACAGGACGTACGGTCTCGAGGACGTCAATTGGGACAATTTGAGGCCCGAGCAGGCGGATGCCAGTGACTCGGAAGGTGCCAAGGTTAGGAATGATAAGAGAAAGAAAATAGGTACGTTTCGCATTGAAGTGGTCACATCATGCGTCAAACGCTAAGCAAACCATTCCCTTAGACAAGCCTGTAGATGACACTGTGGCACTCGACGCTCCGGACGAAGATATCGCGATTGAAGTCGAAGCTCCAGACCCCGAGATATCTTTCACCTCACTAGAAGAAAATTCTCAGACGCCCCGCAAGCGTACGAGGGCTTCGACTAAGGTCAAACGGCGTGAGCACCAGCCTTGCCTATCCGATGTGATCGAGTCTCAATACCAATCTTTGAATAGTAGATTCACGATGCGACCGTAGCATAGCAGATGCTTCCGACCTAGATGACAAGACTCTTACTGCGAAAATCGTATCGAATATTGAGGAAGCCATTGAGCGAGATATAGTGGCCAAGAAAGGAAAGAGGAAGCTTTGAAGCTCGAAGTCGTCTCGTGAGATCGAGGCAACCTAATTATTAGTATTTATCAACTATGTATCCCTGCGTCTCGACACACTTAATTCGTGATCATTGAACATATGAACGTACACCACGATAGAAGATTCTTGAAGGATAGTCCTCACCGTCGCTCCCAAGATCGCACCATCATCGGTTCAAGCACCTTGAACTCTGCCATATACTTGAATTCTGTTTGCCCACAACGGAATCAAGGCCATAAACCTAGCCTCCCAAAATCAGCCTTTAAACAAAGATGAGAAGGCAGTGACCGTCGTTCGTATTTAAACAAATCAAGCCTCGCCTCCTGGTATCTAAGCAATGCATGTTTCACAGCTGGTGCTCGCCTTATCAACATGGCACGAGTCTTGAGAATCATGGACAGGTAAGCACTCGCTATTCTGTGCGCGATGGGCACTATCGGGATTGGCCAAATTCTTCAATCAAGTGGTGCACATCAGGATTGGCATGCCAAGAATTACATCTTGCTGGATCTCAGCCTAGTTGAGCAATTGAGGAATGGGACGTTCGAGATGGAGAGTCAGTGCGTAGATTTGACGACGGGAATGGACAAAGGGTAAGGTGCTTCTATGACTCTTCCTTCGCTGCCTCCGCATCGCGGTATTGCTTCGCCCACTGAGAGGTGCCCGATTGTCAGGATTATGATGAGGGTTACATTATGACGTCGAACGAACCTTCATAGAGGGGATTGGTCGCACTGGCTGGACATACCGCCACTGCATGGGCGAACAACGTCGAGTATCATCAGTAACGAGAGATTTTGGCACAGAGCACAAATGTACAGGCACGCAGGAGTATAAGACGAGTAGAGGAAGAAAGGAGAGAAGTAGATGGGAGAGAAGGGATGGCTGGACGAACCTCTTTGTCTGCGCTTAGAGTCCAGACACCGTATGTCACGGCGAGGATTCCGCCAAAAAGGATAGCAGTGTTGGACTTCCAGTTCGAGGGGCGGGTCCACCAGCCACCTATGATCACAGACATACCAAAAGACCATTGTCAACCCGATGAAAACATGCCGGCCGTGTCCATCGAGACCACAGTCAGCCGTCAGCGGGCTATTGCGGGACAACGGGTGTGGGTGCCGCACCTGCTGGTGACCAGACTTCTTTTGGATAGGGATATCTAGCTCCGCCACCCTAAAGAGTTTTGCAGTGAGCGGTTGATAGTGGGCTATGTGATACACGCTATATGTGATGAGCGCACCATTGTGATGTTCAGGATGAGGTTCGTACCGCAGTGAGGCGTGACGGCGCCGGTCGACCCGTACGCGGAAATAGGGTCGCGTGGCAATTACGTACGACGAGCAGCCTCCGCCGTTCAAGCAGTGTTCAACCAAGCTTCAAGCCCCAAGGGAAGACGGTTGCCTGTTGTCTTTTGGAAGATATTCTGCACGGGAACAATATCTGACTTTTGCATGAAATTAGCAGCTTTCTCCTATTTCTTTGGTATGTTTGGTGTGCAGAAATCTTGTCTGAGATTCGAGAACAGACCTGGACAGGTTCAACAGACCATATCAAAGAAGATTTGGCGACATCGTCGGACAGTGTCTGAAAATATACAGAATCACACAGGAATGAAAAGGGTATGGTATGGGCGTCTCAGCTGGTCTTAGAGTTAGGGATGAGTGCGGCGACAGCATTCGCGTTGAAAATAGTAGATTAGTCTGAGTAGTGTACTATGGTCTAAGCGGTGATGTAAATTAACCAACGAACCATTCCGAAAGGAAAGTGCTGGAGGTTGGAGTTCCGTAAAGGCCAAACCCTACCATATTGGTAGTGTCGCACGTAGAAGCGATGTGAGTCGACATACCGGGATTGAGAAACCTGCTGAGAAATATGTAGTTGAAGTGCTTCATGACGAGCCAGTAGATATTGACTACATCGATGGGGAGTTCTTTAAAGCCCCTCCGGGTGCTGGTAGTACGTCTGTGAAGCCAGACATAGAAGCTAACTGGAGGCAGCAACACTCAAGATTCTATTATGTCTTGTATCATCGTGATCTACCGTGATCTATGTGGGAATCTGGAGGTTGAACAGGCTGGAGTCTGCTGAAGATGGTTGTCGGGGTGAAGAAACACATGGGATGGAGGCCGGAAGCCGGATCCGCTCCTCGCGCCTACACACCTTCAAGGCATCCAACAGCTGGTGCTATTACGGTCTCCTCGCCTCTCGCCTCATGTGCCTCATACCCCATACAACAACACCATCAACATGTTCAAATCACTAACCGGCTACTTCTACGAACGGCGCGCTGGCTTCGTCCGCGCAGCTGGTGTCCTCGGCGGCGCGTATCTCGTCGGCCGCTATGTCCTCGACCGCCTCGAGGACGTTCGCGGTCGGGTCGTGCAAGAGCGGCTTGCTAGAGAAAAGTGCGTGCTTCGTGGTCTCTTTCTCATCCTATACAAACCGAGCGACCCTGCGCAGTGTACGGAAGCGGTTCCAGCAGAATATGCAGGACATCTCGTTCATGATAATGACGCACATGCCCATCCTCGGACAACACGTTTTAACAGAAATGGAGGTGGAGGCGCTCACTGCTGAGCTGCAGTCTCTCTCCAAGGCTTCAAAGATATATCCATCCCAGCCGCGACCCCTGCCCCCGTCTCCGCCGGTGCCTTCCTCAGAATCTTCGATGACATCGAGCATCGAAATCGTGCGAGATGGGGATGCAAGCTCAGATGTGCGCTCGGAAAGTGGCTCGGCATCTGCTTCTGAACAGTCTGTGCTTGTAGAAGCTGGTCCTTCACGGCTCGCAGAGTCGCAGACGAGTTGGGTCGATGACTTCGCTGCAAGGCCAGAATCCGCACATGACGCGCAGAGTTCTAGGCCGCCGCAAAGTACCCTGGAGAGCATCGATGGTGCGAATCTCTCGGACTCTTTAATGACTGCGAGCAGCTCTGCTTTGAGCAGCACTGGCGAATCTGGGTCTACGTCTGCGTCTGGTGTCGTGAGGGCGTTTTTTTTGGTCCATCGTCTTATTTATTGATCGTGATTCTCTTTCCAGCTCGACCCATCAACCTCCCAAATGAGCCTCAGCACGAAAACCAAATCTCAGCTCTGGAGAGAGGTCAAGATGCTTAGTGAGTTCTCCATCAATGCGAAGCCGCCTCAAGTCTCTCATCGACGCGTATCTCTAACAGCGGTAACACGGACGCTCACCGTAATGTACTCAACTGCTCTCCTCTCTCTCTTCACCCACATCCAGTTATCCCTCCTCGGGCGGTACAAATACGTCCACTCGGTGGTCGAGCTCTCTCAAGACGAGGACGCGCAGGATTTCGAGGCCTCCATCGCGTCGTTGTTCTTCACTCCTCCAGTAGATCAGGATATGGAAGCATTGTGGGACGAGAAACATGAATGGGAGGAGGACAGTATTTGGAGAGATGGCGTGGACGAGGAGACAGAGAGGAAATACCTGACGCTGAGCTGGTGGATCCTGAATATTGGGTGGAAGGACGTGGCAGAGCGCGTGCGGAGAGGTGTCGAGGAGGTTTTTGAGGGGTTCGTATTTGTCCTTGTCTCATCGCCGCCTTTTGTTGACGCCTTCTTTCTTGCTCGTATAGGGTGTCTCTAAAAAATAAGCTGGGTATTGTCGAGTTTCACAGACTGATCTGTGACGTGCGAAGGCGCGTGGAGCACGAGGTCACCTTTGACGGGAGCGAGCGGCGGATAAAGTATGAAGACTCTCCATATATTGTCATCAGCATGCTAATTTTCATTCAGCTTCCTCTCCACCCTCCTTCCGCCCACATCGTCCGCGCTCTCTCACCTCCTCACACGTGCAGGTTTTCCTTCGCAACCCTACCACCCACAACACCTCAACCTACCCGCATCTGATACCCAAGGCCCTGCCTTTACCGTACTGCTCGAGGAGACCCGCGACCTCCTCTCGTCGCCCGATTTCATGCTCGTGCTCGAGCGGTGCCTTGACTCGGGAACGGAGATCTTGCTAGAAGGGCTGAAGAAGAACGTCTTCGTGGGGGAAGAGGACGAGAGCGGGGAGGTGAAGATGAGACTAGCGGGGATGTTACCGGGGCTGGCGAGGTGGAGCACGCTGGCGCTTAATGGGCTGCCCAACGAGCTCGTCGATGTGTGTCCCTTTCCCCTCTGACCTTTCTGGATTTACTTCTCGCGCGCTCTTCGTCACATATTCGCGAAGATGATGCTGATACGCTATGGTGTTTGCTCATCGCAGGGCTTTGCGAACATCCGGGAGGTGGCCGCCTTGTCGGCAATCATATATTCGGGGTACGAGGACCGGTTCCGGTGATTCTGGGTGTAAGTACATCGTGTATGTACGCTGCGATCTCTTTCTTCTCCTTCTATGCTTGCTGCGCGCGCAATGCTTTCCCAAACCTGAACTTTCGGAGCCAACCTAGCTCCGGTGTGCGGCAACGACAACTACAGACTCTGTGTTCGCGTGTTCCTGTGCGGATGCTGAAGCTGGACATTCTGGACGTCGCCCCCGTTGCCGCTGCTTTTATTTTTACTCCCGCGCGCGCTATGGGCCAGTCGGGTCGAGGTGCTCTCAGGTGCCTCTCAGGGGTGTGCGCCCCTGTACATCGCACGTTTTCAATCGAGCCCCTGGAGGTTCGAACGCGGGTTCCTGCACGGGGGAAGCTCCCATTCTACGCGACGATCTTGTGCCGTTGACGTCAATATGGAGGCGGTGTGCTCACGGTAGGTGCTGCATTGAGGACAGCGTGCTGATGCGGGCGCGCCGATCCCGGATTGGGGGGTCACCGTTCAGCGTGATCGCTCTGCCGGTGAGAGGCGAGACATTGCGAGGACTAAATGGGAAGGTACAGGTCTGCGCGTTGGTCCTGGAGTGGTCCTGGTTGGTGCGTCGTTGGCAGCTCGTCATAGACAGGCACTGCTCTGGAACATGAGGCCCCCGTCATCGGCATGACGCAGCAGTTTATATGTTCTAATCTTGACTTGGTTCTCAATGCGTGCGCGCGATGATGCTGATGAGCTAGATCCGTCGCCGAAGGAAGGCTTTGAATTAGAGACTTCTATCAATTGAAGGCGGTGGTCGGGTGCTATAGTTTTGGGGTGGCGTCTGGTACGGCCTGGTAGCGTTGAACTAGATGTTCGCACCAAGAGACAAGGACCATGCTTGCGGAAGCTATGTACTTTATTCAAAGATTCGCCCTTGACAGCGCTAGCACTTAATACACTGATACCGTTCGATCTGCTAGTACCGAATGAGCTCAGAAAATCTATATCTTCGACAGCGCCTCCAAGTCAACCAAGCTCCCCTCGCTATTCAACGCCGCCTGAATGAAAGCAAGATCTCTCAACGCACTCCTCGGATTCTGCTTCTCGTCGTCGTTCCCAATCACCGCACCGAAGAAGCTCCTCACCTCATCGCTCACGCCCGTCGACTCTTCGACGATCACCTCCCCCTCCCCCCGCTCATTGTGCAGGACCAACTGCATCGCCTGCTTCTTCCCTTCCTCGACGGCCGCCGCGCCGACCGTGAGCCACCCGGTCGACCCGGTGATCGTGTACCCGTTCCCGGGGGTGTACTCGTTCGAGGGCGCGGCGAACGTGACCTCGAAGAGCCCGTGCGCGCCGTCGTGTGCGGACTTCGCGATCGCGTGGATCGTGTCTTTCGGCGCGAGGTGGGCTTTGGAGAGCGAGGTGAAAGCGGACAGGTGCGTGAGGGGCGAGGGGAGCATGATGCGCAGCGCTGCGGCGAAATGCTATCGTTCCAAAGAAGAAGGAGAAGAAGGAGAAGAAATGGTGTGATAGTGCGATTGAGTTGAGCGGGGTCAGGTGGTCGGTCAATTCGGGCGGTGAGGATGCGAAGCGAAGAAGGGGCTTACCACTCCACCATCAAGCTGACGTGGAATTCCGAATTGTGAGCACACCGGAACGGAAGTAGGTCAGGGTTAGTCTGCGGACATTCGACGTGGATGCATGACATACCAAGAAGCCGCCCTGATACTAGAGTCGCGTCGAGACAAACATCAAAACAAACGTCAATTATGCAGATGCTCGATTGCGGAAATAGATAGGCTCACGTCCGGCACAGTCCTCCAGGGTGTCTTGTACCACTTGGAGTCCTTATCCATGTAATTGGTAACGCGAGCTTTGAAAAACAAGACCTTGCCAATCTTGCCATCCCGGATAGCCTGCGCAGCCCTCTGGTAAATCGGTTCGGTCTCGTAGTTTTCAGCGACGCGCCACACAAGCCCCTTTGGCTTATACTCGCTCTCATATTTTCTGATCAGCTCGATCGCGCCCGCGACATCTGCCGCGATGGGTTTCTCGCTCAGCACGTGCTTGCTGGCCGCCAGAGCCTTCAGGACGATGGAGGGCTGAGTGGTGATGGGCAGCACGACGATGACGGCGCGGATGTCGGAGCGCGCGAGGAGCGCGTCGAGGTCCGTGGACGGGTCGCCATCGTGGTAGATCGATGGGGGCGTCGCCAATTTGAGAGTGTTGTTGGCAGCGGCTGCTAGATCGAGGGCGCTCTTCTCTGACCTAGAGTAGACTGCCTTGAGGACGGGAGATATATTGCTGCCCGCCAAGGACGCGATCGCGGGGAGATGGGCTGGCGTTGGCGATGGGGGTTCGATGGATCATGTAACAGATCTGAGACAATGAGCACGCACCCTCTTTTGCGAATATGCCTGCGCCTAGGATAGCAAAGCCTGGTGCGTCGGAAGCCATGGTCGCTCGAGATGCAGAGGATGGACGAAGACGATCTGGGACAGGGCCGCGATTTTAAGTGCGTGTCGATGTCGCTGGCACCCACTTTCGTCTGGCCTCTAGGCCTGGAGACAGCTGACGAGTTGTGGCGCCGCGGGGCAAGTAAGGGTCTGTCCCACGGAATGCAACCACAGGATATAATTAAAACAACAGCATGTGAGCATGTTCAGAGTTGAGAGAAGCGGTAACGACAGCTCGGAGAGGCTGGAGGGAAGATAGAGATATCAGTCAGACCCCGAGAAGGCCTCTTCATCCATGAAGCGCAGGCAGCCCATATTCGCACTAGATCTTGGTATGTCAGGAAATGCATTTTCCCAAACCTGATCGACCGTACTCGTACATATGTGCCAGTCCCTGGCCAGACAGACACCTTCCACCGCTCTTCTGACACCGTCGCGTGTTCATGAGAATGCAGGATGTTGTTTGAATGAAGCTCTGAGTAAAAGAGGAGCACTGGCCTACGAGCGTTGGGAAACGAATCGAGGCACCCGCCGGGGTCGCCCCACTGCTGCCGTAACCAAGCTTTCGGGGGTCCGCTTCCCCACACGGGCCTCGCTGCCTTCCAATGTTGCACAAAATCATCTTATTAGACTACCCCATTGATCAAATTCCAGTGCGCACGAGTCTCCGTCTTTCTCTGCGCGTATCCGATTCACAGACACTCCCTCACCCAGCAATCTAGATTCGCTTGTGCGCACGAGCCGCTGCGGATTTTCTTCCCGCATACGTTTTGCGTGTGTCGGGGGAACTGCTGTATTCACAGTCGTGAACCGGCGGGGAAATATCGGCGGGTTAGCGTCAGAGGATAGTCGGTATTGAATTCGAAGGCTACCGTGTCAGCTAAGCACAGGCTTCGAGCCTTCGTTGCCGGCGTCGTGGCGAGCAGCTGCAGCTCGGTCTGATCGTGAAGCGGGAAGAGACGCCCCAGATGCCAATGAACAATCGAGATGCACATGCTGCAACGTGTTTGTTTTACCCCGTACGTGTCCAGGTCCACACCCCCGCAATCCAATCGCTCAGCGAACACACGGACTATTCTCGGAGACTGTACCTCAGAATTCCCGTCCTCTGATATCGGCATTGCGCTACCTGCTCATCCGTCGAACGCTTTAAAACCCATCAGCGCCCTTCGTATTCATGTTACCGGCTGTCCCTCCGCCACCTCTCCAACTCCACCACACCACGCCCAGTCATGAGCGTCCCCACCGTCAAGCTCCCGAATGATTTTATTTGGGGGTTCGCCACCGGTGAGTCTCCCCGCTTCCCGAACACAAGGCCTAGGAGGAAATGCGGCTCCTATCTTCGCTGACTCTGCATCTCGCTCCGCTTCGTGCGCGCGCTGACGTCAATTTTTTACAGCAAGCTTCCAGATTGAAGGCTCCACAGACATTGATGGTCGTGGAAAGTCCATCTGGGACGATTTCGCAAAGCAGCCTGGTAAGACCCTCGACGGTAGGAATGGCGACGTCGCCACAGACTCGTACAAACTCTGGAGAGAGGACATCGCACTCCTAAAGCAGTACGGCGCAAAATCCTACCGCTTCTCTATCGCCTGGTCTCGAATTATCCCCCTGGGAGGCCGAAACGACCCCATCAACCGCGCCGGAATACAGTGGTATTCCAACTTCATCGATGAGCTGCTGGCCAATGGGATCACTCCGTTTGTTGTGAGCTATCGTCTTAGGATTTCAGCAATACAAGCGGGCATTGAAAATTTATTCTGCTCGTGCAGACTTTGTATCACTGGGACCTGCCTCAGGGCCTTCACGACAGGTACGGTGGATGGCTCAACAAAGAGATCGTCGAAGACTATGCCCATTATGCCAGGGTATGCCTTATTTCGCCGCGCGCGCACTTTCACACCCATTCATATGCACCCTTCCCGATCCCCAGGTGTGCTTCCAGGCGTTTGGGGGCCGAGTTAAGCATTGGTACGCGCTTCCCAAGATCGTCCCAGCGGAGTCGCTCGAATTAACACATCGTGACCTTCGCTGAATAGGCTGACAATGAACGAGCCCTGGTGCATTTCCGTACTGGGATATGGCCGTGGGGTCTTCGCGCCAGGGCGGTCAAGCGACCGCGACCGGTCACCCGAGGGCGACTCGTCGACTGAACCCTGGATGTATGTTGAAAAAGACTGCTTTTGGGCCCTATACCTCGTTTTACTCAATCGCTCGATCACACTTGCGATTGCTTAATTTTTCTTAGTGTTGGCCACCATGTCATTCTGTCACATGCGCACGCGGTCAACGTCTACCGCACGGAATTTAAGGCTCAGCAGGGCGGGAAGATTGGGATCACTCTCAACGGCGATTGGGCAGTACCTTATGATGACGACCCTGCGAGTACGCATATCCGTGCCTCGTACAAAAGTAGAATAGGCCTTGACTACCCCCCTCCCTTTGAAAGATATCGCGGCTGCGCAACATGCACTAGACTTTGCCATCGGTATGCCTCTTATCGTCGTCTTCTTCCTCCTGACCTCCTGACCTCCTAACGACCTTCTTCTAGGTTGGTTTGCGGTGCGTGTCGAGTACTTCTCAAACGCTTTTCAGCGCCACAGGGTCTGGTGACTGACGTCCGAGTTGCTTGGCTCCAGGATCCTATATATCTCGGAGGTTACCCGGAGTATATGAAACAGACGCTCGGGACGAGGCTGCCGGAATTCACTCCAGAAGAATGGGCGGTCGTGAAGGGCTCTTCTGACTTCTACGGAATGAACACATATACGACGAACCTCACCAGTTGAGTCTTCCTCTCAGCTGAGCTTCCCCGCTCACTGCGCTTCTGCGGCTTCTCATGTCATCGATCGCTCAATAGAGGCGGGGGGCGACGACGAGTTCCAAGGCTTGGTGGAGTACACGTTCACTAGGCCAGATGGCACGCAGCTCGGCACGCAAGGTAATTCAAGCATCGTCAGGGGCGAGAATGATACTGACTTGTCGTGCTCCCTTCCCAGCCCACTGCGCTTGGCTCCAAACCTGTGAGCACCCGGTTCAATCTCTCACATGCCTACCTCTGTTCGTACTCACTTCCTACCCAGACCCTCAGGGATTTCGCGAGGTGAGTAGCACTCCATACACACATCCCTGTCGCCAATCTGAGACCTATGCCCGCCCAGCTATTGAACTACCTCTGGAAGGTGCGTCCCAGCTCCCAGGTAGCTTTTTTCTCGTTTCTCACCGATAAATTTCCTTGGACAGAGGTACCAAAAGCCGATCTAGTGAGTCCGTTCAGCCAAGGCCACCCGCGAGTGTCTATTGACGGGCTGCTCAGCGTCACCGAGAATGGATTTGCGGTTAAAGATGAGCACAACATGCCTGTAGAGCAGGCGCTGCAGGACGCGGATCGGATCGAATACTTCCGCGGCATGACTGGCGCGTTGCAGGCTGCGGTCGTCGAGGATAGCGTGGATGTCAAGGCATATTTCCCGTGGAGTGCGCATGGTTACGTCTGCTCCCTTTACCACTCACCTGACTGTTTGTTGCCATTCTCGCAGGCTTCTTGGACAACTTCGAGTGGTCTGTATAGGAATGACGCGACTTTGTTGTTCGGCGGTGGAGAGCTGACGAGCGTGCATTTAGGGCGGACGGCTACGTGACTCGATTCGGGGTCACGTATGTGGACTACGCGACGCAGAAGCGCTACCCAAAGGAGTCTGCGAAATTCTTGATCAAGGTAGGCGCACGCGGCGCGTGCGCTCCCCATTCTATTTCGATTCAAACGTCCAGACGCTGAGCACATGGTCCTGTAGTTCTTCCAAGAAAATATCGAGACGGACGACGCGCAGTCTAAACCGCCGCCCGCGCCGCCGGTGAAACAGCTGGCGAATAGCATCGTGGGAGGGGGCATCGGGGGAATGAACAATATCGCTGGTGCGGCGCTCATCGGCGGTCTTCGAGCTTGATCGGCGTGTTGACGAACGGCTCTCTCCTCCCCCACACGCGCCCATCTCCCTACTTGACCCGAACAAAAACCTGTTCGTGGCGCTCGTGGACCGTGGACGCGTGCGCGCGCGCTCGCTTGATGCCATAACAGTGGTGCTGCTGGTCGCGATCTCCTGCTCTGTCGTGCTCGTGAAGCTCCGCGGTTCTTCTTCCTGAGGATCATCGCGCGCCGTGCGTTTCTATTCTGAGCTCGAACTTGCTGTATTATTGGAAATTTGTGTATTCGGTAGCAGTGTCGGCATCGGATTCTTCTGCGCGGCGTCTATTCGTGTACGATGGCGTGTATGTTCTATTGTTGATACATGTTCTTCTCGTTGAGCAATCATTGCTATGGACACTGCACCAGGTGAACGAGGTATTTTTTGCACAATGGGAGAAGGGAAAGAAAGTGTGGGCACCGTGAAGTGCACTGTGAGATCCGCTCGGAAAGGAAACGGTGTGAGTCTAACCCTAACCCGGAGGGGTTATTCGACGACGAGATGCCTCGCGGAGTTTGAACGATGGTGGCGAGAAAGTAAATTTTCCAAAGCCTTGCATCGCCGCCAAGAGGCGTCGGTGAGCGGGTGGTCTCGGAAGTGTGCTGTGCGACCGACAAGGAGCGAAGGAATAACGTGGAGAGGGATGTCGGGATGCGAAGGGTGTGAGGCCATATTTAGGCCGCCGAAAGCCGAGGGCGGCAGAGAGCCGTGGGGACAGATAAAATGAGGGACGGTGAATAAATGAAGGCCGACCCGAAGGATTGCGCCCTCGCCAGTCTTTCCCTCGAAAACGCGACACAGCGAGTCTTTCGCCCGTACCCGTGTTCTCCCGACTACCCTCCAAGCTTGGCTTCCACGCCAGATGGCTTCGTACGCGCAGGACCCGAGCGGACCCGCGGATTTCACTGGCGCTATTTCCGCTGGCTCGCACTCTCAGACCGACTACAACGACGGGGCGGACTCGGACGGAGAGGACACGCCCGGCGGACGGAAGAAGGGCTCGGGGTCGAAGGGCTCGAAGAGGAGGAAGGTCAACCATGCCTGTCTGTATTGCAGGAGGAGCCATATGACCTGCGACGAGGGGAGACCATGTCAAAGATGGTGAGTGCCTTTGCGCTCGGCCTCCCTTTTCCTTTTCCTGTTCCGCGCGGGTGGATGCGGTTGGCGGTGAATGAATGCCCCCACACGCGCATGAAAGGCCGTTTTCCAGGCCGCGAAGTGCTCTCAGACCCATCGTCCCAGGTAGTATCTCCAGTCCACACACCGTTCGTTGCCACCATCTCGACCGCGCCACTCGTTGACTTTACTACTCACCCGAGTCTCTCGTCTGTGCAGTATCAAACGTGAGATTGGACATCTTTGCCACGACGAACGCCGCCCCAGCAAGTCCGACAAGCAACCCTCTGCAGAGTCGACCACTCAAATCGGTATGCAGCGTATGTCACGTCTCCGCCCCACCTTTATTGAGGGACAACCCTGGTTGACCGCCAACCCCATTTAGCAGCCGGATCCTCGTCGTATGCCTCCCAATCTGTCCCAGCGGCGGGGTGGCCCAGTATGGCCGTCGCGCAGACTGGGTACATGTACCCCCAGTTCGAGACTTTCGGCAAGGAATTCTCCGTCCTCTCGTGCGTCTGTTACTTTTCTCCTCGTGTATGCTCTGTTGAGTTGGTGTGTGTGCGCTGTATACCCAGTGACTTTCTCGACACCCTCGATGAACAAGCCTTCTTCAACCCGTCCACAGCCGTCGCGCCCTCTTCCCTCGTCTCTGGCGCTCCGTATGGTAACCCAGACCTCGACGCTGTCGCTCCCACTCTGCCATCCCAGCTCGGTGCTCAGAGCTCGCAGCAGAATCAGATACAGGATGCCTCTGCCCAGCAGACGCAGACGACTCCTCAGCAGCAACAGCAACAGCTGCAGCAGTCGCCACAGCAGCAGTCTTCGCCCATACAGGACCAGACGATCGTCAACTTGTTCTCCGGGACTAGTATGGCGGAGAAATTCCTTCTGACGGCGGCGGACCAGGAGCCGGGATCGCGCGACGAGCGGCTCAAGCGGGTCATTAAGACCAAGTACGAGGCGGGGCTGCTGAAGCCGTACAACTATGTCAAGGGTTACGCTCGGCTGTCGCGATGGATGGATAGAAAGTGCGCCCCGTGGTCTTTGTCGGGAACTGAGACGTCTTGCTTAACTATAGATCCGCATTGCTTCACCCTGCCTGTGTGTCTGTACAGCGTGTCCCAGGATTCAAAACAACAGATTTTGCAGCCATTATCCGTGCTGAGGCCGAAGTTCAGGGTAAGCAGGATGTGATACGTGAGCCTATAAGTTTGCGCACTGATGTTGCTACTATCTGTAGGCTATCGCTCAATCTCTGCGCGATATTGTACGTACCTCGGTCTCTAATTATCTGTCATGGGTGTTTTTAACACGTCCGTCCAGGATCTAGTGTTTATTGAAGAGGCCTTCGAGCGCCTCTTGCTAGACTATGATCGTGTGTTTTCAGCGATGGGCATTCCCGCGTGCTTGTGGCGCCGTACGGGCGAGATCTACAAGGGCAACCGCGAGTTCGCGGAGCTTGTTGGTGTAGATGGATATATGCTGCGCGACGTACGACGACTATTTGCGTTTCTACTCCCATATATTTTCTTACTGGTTTCTACAGGGCCGATTATGCATCTACGAGCTCATGGCTGAGGAGTCTGCCGTCAACTACTGGGAGGTCAGCTCTGCGTCTTTTCCACAATTCGAATGTTCTGGCTGACGTCTTTCATCATCTTTCTGCGCCAGAAATATGGCAACGTGGCGTTCGACTCGACGCAAAAAGCCGTGCTCACGTCGTGTGTGCTCCGGTTCAAACCCATGATCAGCTCAAACTCGGGCACGGGCACGCCTGGCAAGCGATTGCAGCTCGGGACGACGCCAAATGAGGACGGCTTCATCAACTGCTGTTTTTCGTTCACGATCCGGAGGGATACGTGGGGCATTCCCAGTATGATCGTCGGTAACTTTATCCGATGCTAGAGCGCGCTATCTGGAGCGGTGTGGAGGAAGGGGAGAGACAGAGGTCTGTTCATGCGAGTGTATACTATAGGTATTTGGATAGAGGAGGACGCAGGACTGTAGGCGTTGTAGAGTGCTATTTATGTTGTCTGCTGTGTTATTGGCTTTGTGGTCGCGTTTTGGATACAAATGTACGATGGAACCATCTAATGCTATTCGCACGCCCCCTTGTCTGTAGCTTCGAAGTACCCTGTTTTTCGCGGGTCCTCGCGTGTACAAGGACGCGGGCCGCTTGGAACGTTCACATCACATGTTCAATCGGCCAGTCGGCGTGATGCGACGGCTTGCGCGCTACCTTCAACGCGCGCGACATATTGTCGGACAACTCTATGCTCCTCTCAATTCTTCTGAACTTTGGGTTTTGAAGTCATGTCGAACAGATCGGGCTACTCGCTGGCCCGCATCCTCACTCTAGGGCTCATCTTCCATCTAGTCTACATCGGCACCGTCTTTGACTGCTACTTCACGAGCCCGGTCGTCCATGGCATGCGTCCGCACCGGCTGCCGCAGGCGGAAGCGAAGCGCCTCGTGCTCATCGTCGGTACTGAACCGCTTTTCGATATATCATTGTCGTGCATGCCCGATTCTCACACGTCGGAATCGCAGGTGACGGGCTGCGCGCGGACTTTGTGTTCAGCGCGAATGCCAGCGCAATCGTACCGGACGCACCGGAGCGAGTCGCCCCTTACTTAAGGGAGATAGTTGAGGTGAGTGCTTGGCTGTGTGTGTCGTTTGGAGACGTGGGGGTGAACGCGCTTCGTTAGACGAGAGGGGCGTACGGAATTTCGCATACGCGTGTGCCGACGGAGAGCAGACCCGGCCACGTAGCCATCATAGGTGAGTATTCTCCGTCACGGTATGCCCGTAGACCGCGTTTTCATGATCGTTTCCGGTTGCAAGGCGGGATGTATGAAGATGTTTCTGCCGTGACGAAGGTCAGTCCGTTGCCGTCTATCATGCGGACTCTGTATCAACGAAAAGCTTCCAGGGATGGAAAACTAATCCCGTAAGTGCGTGGGCTCTGTGATGAGAATTGACTTCAATTAGGCGGATAGGTAGACTTTGACTCGGTGTTCAATCAATCCAGCCACACATTTTCGTTTGGGTCGCCAGATATCCTTCCTATGTTCTCGCACGGCGCGACGCCGGGAAAAGTCAAGATGTGGTGCTATGATGAAGAAGACGAGGATTTCACAAAGGGTATCTTGACCTTTGTTGCGTTCCACGATCTCCGTCGAATTTTATCTAATATTGACACGTTACAGACGCTACCGCATTGGATATCTGGGTGTTTGAACACTTAGAAGCGTTGCTGAGCAACGCTACCACTAACGAGTCACTGAACGCGCAATTGCGCCAAGAGAAGGTCGTGTTTTTTCTCCACTTACTCGGGCTCGACACGACTGGACACTCCTACAGACCGCACTCCAAGGTAAATCCGGAGACCGTCCGAGACATCAGCAAGGCGCTGATAATTTCTGGTTCAACAATTAAAGGAATACATGAACAATATACGTGTCGTGGATGACATCGTGCGCAAGACGGAGCAGCTGATATCGCGGTTTTACGGCGACGAGGACACGAGCTTTGTGTTCACGGCTGATCATGGAATGTCGAGGATCGGCAACCATGGCGATGGAGGTTTGTCCTCTATTTTTCTGTCTGTTCTAGATGCCATGTCTTGACGCTGCCTTCCGCAGATCCCGACAATACGCGCACGCCGCTCATAGCCTGGGGCGCTGGGATCCGCGGTCCCATCCACGCATCGACGCAGGTAGACGAATACTCTGCGCCATGGGAGCTCGGTCATCTCGCCCGCCGCGACGTCGAACAAGCAGACATAGCGGCGCTGATGTCCGCGTTGCTCGGCATCGACTGGCCTGTCAACTCTGTCGGCGTGTTGCCGGACGTTGACCCCGGTGCGGATGGATACCTGAAAATGAAGGATGGGGAGGCGGGCGTGGCGGCGGCCGCACTTACAAATGCAAAGGTGATGGGATTATAGTGTGCTTGCACATGTGGATATGCGCCGGGCTGCGGCTGATGCGTCGCGCTTGGACAGGTCATCCTGGAGCATTATCGAGTCAAGCATGGTATGTGCTCTACGATTTGAGTCTGACCCGCATGGCTGACCCAGTACCAAAGAGATGAAGGAGGCCCATACACTCTTCTACAAGCCATTCAGATATTTTGAGCATCCAAGTTCGAATTATCCAGGCTCCTCGGAAATAGCCGATATTGAGCGTCTCATCGCTGAAGGGCGATTCAGCGAGAGCCGCCGTCATTCTGCAAAGCTCATCACAGCGGCTCTTCAAGGCCTCCGATATCTTGAAACGTGAGTCTTTTAACATATTTCAAGCACATTCATCAACAAGGCATTGTTTATTCAAAAGATATGATCGCACCCTCATTCGCATCATTGTTACCGTTGCATACACAGGCTGGATTGCGTTCAGCGCATTATTCATTCTTGTACCTCGGAAACCCTCTGCATTATGGACACCAGGCAGCCCTTTGATATTCCTTCTCTCTGTTTCAACACTTCTTGCATTCTGGGCCCTGTTCGCTCTGCAAAAATCTGCATGGACTTTGTACATCTACATCGTCTTCCCAGTATATTTCTGGCATCGAATCATCGAGCAAACCGGAGAGCTTATATCCTTCTGGCGAAGACTGGAGCACACCACGCCTCTCGCTGGGTCGAAATTGGCCATTGGAGGAGTGTTGGTAGTCGCAGCGTTGCAAAGCATGGTGGTAAGAGTTTCAACTGGATTGGCACTCTGAAGATATTCTGTCGTTCTCATCATCGATTGTTATGCAACAGCTTGGATACACTCACCGCGCGATCTGGAGTGTCGGCTTCGTGCTTATCGGGATCGTGTGGCCAGCGATCTCCTGGCCGAAGAACATGGTCAGTCAAAATTGGCGATTATACCTGTCGTGGGCGTCCGCTTGTGTGGTGACGGCGATTTTCCCGCTCCTGCGCGTGGATCCGGCAGAAAGCACGGGCGTCATGTAAATCCAACTTTGCTTGATTTGTCTTTCAGGGCTGACTAGACGATAGTATGTTGGGCGGGCTCTGCATGCTTCTTGCTGGGCTCATCGGCGCGCGCCGCGTCCTTCCCAATGCAGGCTTGGCCTACAGGGAATTGAGCAATCTTCTAGACTTGCAGGTAAGTGTTATCAGCAACGCAGTGTAATGCAATAAGCCTGCTTCTGAGACTCACTCAAACATGCACTCTGAACAGCTCGTCCTGATACTGGCGAGCATGTCGGTCACGGCGAGTTCGATTCGGAACTTGCAGGCCAAGACGGGCCTCCCACTGATGAACCAAGTGCTCGGTTGGGTCGTCCTCGGTATGTGTGTTCCACTTCCGATCGCACACCGATCTTTCTTTCTTCTCTCGTCCGACGCGATATTGACACACTCGTCTGTTTAGTCACGGCTTCCCTGCTTCCCGCCTTTATGCGCATTTTGTCCACGTCTGGGGAGACCAAGTTCCTGATCTACGTGCTGACGTTCTGCCCATGCTTTATTATCCTGTCCATCCGCGCCGAGGGCCTGTTTTATCTCTCGTACTGCGTAACACTGTTCTTTTGGATCAAAGTCGAAGAGGCCGTGCGCGCACGGACAACCCAGGCAAACGGAGCTACAGGTGTCAAAGATAAAGCTGATAATTCAACGGTGGACGATCAAGTAAGGGGGCACTGGAATCCCAGTGAATACAGGCTGGACGACGTCAGGATAGCACTGTTTTTCTTGTTTTTCGTTCAGGTAGGCTTCTTCGGGACCGGAAAGTGAGTTGTCTTGCTGTCGGTGTAACGTAAGTAACTGATTCAGGCGTTGGACAGTGTTGCATCCATATCGTAAGTGCAAGCGTGCATGAGGAACCATTGGGTAGTATTTGACCCGAGCACAGGTCATTCTACCTTGAGCCCGTGTATCGCCTGGTGCCGATTTTCAGCCCATTCCTCATGGCCTCACTCTTGGTAATAGTTTCAATAGACTGACTTCTGTACCGAAGGGGCTAACGAAAGTTATCATTTATCTTATAGCTCTTTAAGATTCTCGCGCCATACGTGCTGCTCTCAGTTGCGTTCGCAACCGTTAACGCACGTGTCGGCATGCCGCCTTTTGCGCTGTTTTTGGTGGCGCTGACCTTGACAGATGGTATTCTTTGTCCTCCCTTACTCGTCTAGACACGTCTCATCAGCAGCTTTTGATAGGCATGACGATGACGTTCTTCTTCAATGTCACCGATAGTGGTAGGCGTCCTCAGCCTGGAGCATCAGTTTACACAGACTTAGGCTCCATTTCTAGGGTCGTGGCTGCAGATTGGACAGTCAATATCCCACTTTTGCATCACGTCGCTCCTGCTTGTGTTCTCGGCAGTGATAGCAGCAGCTGGAGAACACCTTTTGCGAGATGGCAACATGCGAAGTGGGGGAAAAGCAGAATAAATTGGTGCCCTAAAGTCCGGTAAGTTACTTGTTCGTTGTAGTTGTCCTTGATCTCAAGGGGGTCTCTCTCCACTTCGAAGCCAATAGACAATCATTCTGACCGCTTGCACCTCGTGAAAATGGTGTCAGAACGACACAGTTTACCTCTTAACAAATAGCAAATAGCAGCACCAACGTCCCTGGTTATTTTTCGATGCTGTAGGTGCGACGGGAGATATTCGTGACTGAATCCGCCGCAGCTGCAGATAGAGCACTGTGGACGCCAGAGACAGAATCATGAATGCGCCCGCCCAAAGCTGCGCCACCAATGAGCGTTTCTAAGATTTGGGAGATGAGATGAGAATGTCAAACGCTGTGCGACTTTTCGCATAGATGGAAAGGATTGAGAAATTACACACCAGCGGACTTGAAAGGTTTCAATATCAGCGCTCTCCTTTTCAAAGGTCAGACTCATCTTCGGGAAATTTTGAGGATAAAACTGTACATTTCTGGCCATAGAGGACCACAGAAAATCAACATTTTTCCCACCGTTTTTCGCATGCTATGACCGAGGTATATCGAGTCGAGGTCAGTTCGCTACCACCTAGCACCTTTGCATCTGAGCGAACTTGAAGCTCGAAGCTCGAATTACAAGATGTTGATGCCAAAGTAAGGATTCCAACCTTGGATCCGGATCATCCGCTGCGTCTCACAGCACCGTATGCGTATGCAGTGCGTTAGATTATTGGAAACAGGCAGCGACGTCACGTTTAAGCGCACTGGACAACCATCTCGCAACTTTCGACCCCGGAACCCCTTCTACTGTTTTACTGAGGCCCGTAGACGAAGAAATCTCCGCATTGCTGAAGGTGTTGTCCTCCCTTTCTGTCCGGCGCACTAGACTGTCCCCCGTGTCACATATTCTACTAGAGTTGTTGGCCCGCATCTTCTCCTTCATAGCAAGCAATGAATCCCCAATGGTTGATTCGAGGGAAAATTTGGGGTAGATAAAAGTTTCTCGTATCTGCAGTCGATGGAGGCACGTCGCATTAGATAACTCGGTACTTTGGGCAACCATCACCTTCGGCCTCGGGCCACAGTGGGTTCTAAGCATGGTTCAACGTGCCAGGCAGGTGCCGTTGGTCGTGAAGCACACTCACATCAAAAGTGTGAAAGACAGCGACACGGCCATTGACTTTCTATCTTCCCATCTACCTATCATAACAGATCTTGAATTAGTCGTCCTGAATGATACCCTCGCCGAAGTCATGGAGGAAGCACTCTCAGACCCCACACCATCCTTGGAACACGCGCCATCTACGCAGAGCGACACTGTTGACCAGCAAGTTATACCCCGAGATGCTCTTGCCGATTGCAACACCCCACGTCTTCATGTGGTGACCTTTATTGGATGCAAAGTCCCTTGGTCATCCCCGATCTGGCACAACATGTCTCATCTCAAAATCTCGGTCACACCAAAACAGTGGAATGAATTCTCGGTCAGCGCCTGGCTCTCTTCGGAGGATGAATTCTTCGACGTGTTGGCGAGCATGTACCATCTGGAATCCTTGTCAATCTCCCGGCAGATCCGCATCTGATGGAATGAGACAGCCTGCACTCGAATTGAATCAACTATCACACCTCGCGCCGGAAGGACTATGGGCGCACTGCGTCGTCGTTCTCGGGAGCATTCGATTTCCTCCTACAGCGGTAGTCTCCCTCGTCTGCCGTGAGCAACCACAACTTTGTGAACGAGGTGCTCGTCCCGATGCTAGAAAGGCACAGTGGCAAGACGGAGGAGGCGCCGCCCCTGCGCACCCTCAACATCATTAAACTGCACGGCCGCCTGACCATCGAAGGATGGACCACCTCCGACTTGTCCAAAATCAAATTGAGCAGCAGATCGCGACGGATGGCTCCCACTCTTTCTATCTCGTTGCACCCTACTGTCTCCTACCAGAGCGAAGAGGGCCTGCACTGCACTGTCCTGCGCGCTCTTCACATCTAGGCGGTGGCGTTCATGCAGTTTGCGTTGGCAGAGCCCGATGATCGTGAAGAACACCGTGATATCTTCGACCTGCTGGAATCAGCCCACAAACTGAAGATTGTCAGTTTGCAAGACCACGCCTTCCACCTTTTCTGCGCTCGGCTTGGCGCAGGGCGGACTGGTGCTCGCGATGGAGGCATTCTTTTCCCCGAACTTCAACAGATGGCATACAAACAGTTATTTTCAAGATCCGGGATCCGACATGGCGAACAGATTCTGGAATGGCTGAAACGACGCAAGGGCTCGCGGGCCCTATTGAAACGGCTCAAGCTTTATGTGAAGGATAATGAAAGCACGAGGCAATGGGCAAATGAAGTGAGCGAGATCGTGTCATTGGAATTAAGATGGAAAACTTGTGGTTCTGTTCAGCCACAGTGATCAAGAGAATAGCGTGGTTGATCATGAAAGCTGGTTCATTCACTCCCCACTCCCTCCTTCCCTCTCTCCCTCACATTCTATCAAGGATGTGTTTCTGAGAGATCCCCGCAGTGCGTTCATAGTTGTACCCGTCACGCACGAATGCGGTGTAGCAAGGATGAACTGTAGACATTTGTAAAGCTCCGAGCCCCCGGGAGGTGGGAAACGAGAGCGGCCAAAAGGAACAACCCAAGCGGCAGTGAAAGAAAACTTAGAGACACCGGTAGATAGGTCAAAGTCAAGTCTTCGCGAGAGTGCTCTTGGCTCCCACCGTGACATCGTCGCACATCGGCAGCGTGTGCGAAGGCGTGGCGGCCAAGACGTGCGGTGTGCGATGGAGGACGCGCGATTCGTAGGGCGGATACGCACCCCGCCACCCCGCTGGCACGTCTCTGCTGCAAGCCAGCGGAAAAGAGAACGAGGAACGAGCTCTCCAGCAGTCGGACAGAACCAAACGGGCCAGGGGGCACCGCACCCAGTGTGTTCCGCGAGGACACCCAGGTCCTCGCAGTACCAGCGCCAGCTTGACCTCCATCATCGTCCCCTCCGACCCTGCGTGCGTGGCCACAGCCGAGTCGGGCTCAGCCCAGTCCATTCTCTGTCGACAGCCCAACACGCGAGACAACAAGACGCGACTTCTCGCGCCCCCGAGCTGTTCGCGAGCTCGTACTCATCGGGCGCTGCAAAGCCCGACCGCCCCGAGATGGCTCTGCGTGCCCAGCGCGCGGCGTCGGGTATATCTGAGCGCAAACGTTTGCGGTCTCCCGAACAACGCCCCATCCCCGCGCCCGCCGCTCTCGCGCCTCGACGCGCCATAACCAGGACCTCGCGCGCTCATCGAGACCCGCCCGCCCGTCTGCATGCAAGACCCGACAACCCACGTATGCCCGACGCCCCAGCACACAGACGCGCCGGACCCCTCTGATCCTAAATGTAACATCGGTCTCGGCAACGTCCCACCCCAATGAACACTCGAGACACAATTAGGAACAGGTCGGCACACCGCAGGCCACGGCGGGCCAAACGCCTGTGGATCGTCCACGATTGAGCGTTCCAGGGCGCGGTCGCCTCTGATAGCGCGCCGCCTGCCGGATCACGGTCCCAACGTCGCCCTCGTCGATCGTCGAAGCGCATCGCGCCCTCGACGGTACCCATGCCCTCGATAGGGCCCCGCGACGCCCCCGCGCCCGAGCGCAACAAACGCGGCGCGCACAGCCCGAGCAAACACACGCGCAAGATCCCAGCCACACCAAACCAACCGACCCGGAAGCCGTGGACGACACGCGAGCACTAACACAAACACAAACACGAACACGAGCGAGAGCGAGCAGAGGAAACGCGCGCATCGGAACGGGTTTTCCTGCCCTTCCTGCGCTATATCAGGCGCCGATGGGTCCCGCGCGCCTGCATGCGCGCGCAGCATCCAGCCAGACTCGCAGCCGGATAGTCGGCGTACGAGGCCGGCGGCGTCGCCCCGCGCGAGCGACCGACGATCCCTCGCATCTGAGCGCTGAGCAACCCCACGCGCCGGATGCCGTCGGTATCAGCGCTAAGATCCGCGAGCTCGCGCGGAAAGAGAGCAGGACCACCCCAGCAAAGCAAGCGAGCGCGTGAATGCACCGAACAATGAATGTTCGACGCCCGGCGCGATAGCCTCTTCGAAAACGCTCGAATTGTGTGTGTGTGCGTGTATAGATAGATCGATCGATCGACGGATCTGACATTCGACGAACGGGACTGGGATGCGTCGCCGGAGCGCGGTCGTGCAGCGTCGTGCAGCGTCGCGCGTCGGAAGCGGAGAGGCGGGGGGGAGATAGTTGGGATGGAGGAGAGTCGGGGCTCGGGATTTGAGCGGCGGACGAGCTTCATTCGACGTCTGGACTCGCGCCGCCGCGCGTCGCGCGTCGATATCCAACGTAGCCCGACAATAGTCCAATGTGCGACGTGCGACGCGGCTTTTCGTCATGTTTCGAGCTCTGTGTCCGTCGAGTTTGACTTGCGCCGCGCTACGGCGTCTCGCGGAGGGTGCTGCGCGGAGGCAGGCGACGGGAGCGCGACGGTGCGAGAGGATGCGTCGCGCTCCGTGGGCGCCGCGATTCGCGAGGGGCTGCGGGGCATGGGCGGACAGGGTGGGGCGACTGAGGGCGGGGAAGGCTGGCCGGTGGCTGGTGAGACATGAGACGGGACAGCGAGTCCGACGGCAAGCCACGGCGACGGCGCACGGGGCGGTGCGGGGTCAGGTCAGGTGTGCTGGGAACGCGAGGGCGGTCATGGAGAGCCGGAGCCGCCGCACGCGTGCGGGGTTAAGAAAGCGTGGGGGGAGACGGCAAGCAGTCGGAAGGCACGTGGATGCGGGGGAAGCGGGGGAGAACCGCGGGTCGATCGGGGCTTGGGTTCTTCGAAGTCGAAGACGCGGACGTCGAGGCTGGGAGACGGGAGACGGGAGACGGGAGACGGAGGACGGAGGGGCGGAGGGGCTGGTCGGACGCGGGGGGCGTGCAGGTGCAAGGATGACGCGCGCGGGTATAAGTATGCGGCGGCGCGCGGCGGCACCGCCTCTACTTTCTCTCTCGCCCTGCGCTTCCCTCCCGTCTGTCCCTCCACTCTCTGCCGTCCCGTCTGCCGTGCTGCGTGCGTGCGTATGTAACGCACGCGCTTGTAAGTAAGCTCGAGCGTCGCCGGGCCCGCGATTGGTTGGGGCAGGGCGGACGCTCCGTTCCGGGGGCCTCGGGAGAGGGATGGGGCGGGGGTGTGCCGGGGGCGGCGCGAGCGGTTGGCTGGGAGGTGCTGGCATGTGAGTGCGGGGGCGGGGAGGGGGTGTGGGGTACTGTATTACTGGCATGGCAGCCCGTCGGAGTCTCGCCTCGCCAGCGCGCGTGACAGGGCCCGTCACGGTCGTGTTTGAGCGAGTGCCTGTCCGTGACACGGGCGCTCGCCGGTGCGGGGAACGCCGGCGGGGAGCTGCCTGCAGCGACGAGGCCGCACTGTCTCCGCTGACAGCGAAGCGGCGGGGGCAAGTGCGGAGGCGAGCGGCGTCGGCGAGCGGCGTCGGCGGGGGCAGCGGCGGGGGCAGCGGCGGGGGCAGCGTGGGAAAGTACCCCGCACCGGAGCGGGAAGGGCGCTAAGAGCCCGATCGCCTTGTGCGCCCGCCGCAAATGACAGATCGCTCCTCGCCGATAGGACTCGCAAGGTCACGCGCTCGTTCCCCAATAAAAGACCTCGTCTCGCCCCATCTCTCAACCTCTCTCTCATCCCTCTCTCCTCCCTCTCCTCCCTCCTTCCCTGCAGAGCTCGCAATGGCAGAACAGCCCGCACCCATCCCCATCCACCCCGTCGCTTCCCGCGTAAAGGACGGCGCAAACACGCCCCACGTCGGCCCCCACATCCACGCCTACAGGGCCGCACACGCAGAGACCGTCGGCCACGAGTCCGACAAATGGTGGGCAAAGGTGCGCGACTCCCTTCCCCACACACGCCCCTCCCTATCTATCGCCCGTTCCTGGAACGTGATTCCCGGCGATCCAATCCGCCCCGATGTTAATGACCGTGTGTAGATGGCCCGTCAGTCCCTCCACTGGGACCGCCCCTTCCAGACCGTCCGCGCCGGCTCCTTCGACAAGGGCGACATCGTCTGGTTTCCAGAGGGCGGCCTCAACGCCTCCTACAACTGCGTAGACCGATGGGCCTTCAAACACCCTGACAAGGTCCGTTCTTCCCTCTCTCCCCGCGACCCGTCACCCAACCACACCCGCACCGCCGCTAGACCGCCATCATCTACGAAGCCGACGAGCCCTCCGAGGGCGCCAACATATCCTACGCCGAGCTCCTCCGCGAGGTCTGCTCCCTCGCCAACGTCCTCAAGTCCCTCGGCGTCCGCAAGGGCGACACCGTCTCCCTCTACCTCCCCATGACCTGGCACGCCGTCGCCGCCTTCCTTGCCTGCGCCCGCATCGGCGCCGTCCACTCTGTCGTCTTCGCCGGCTTCTCCGCCGAGTCCCTCCGCGACCGCGTCCAGGACTGCCGCAGCCGCGTCGTCCTCACCTCCGACGAGGGCCGCCGCGGCGGCAAGACCATCGCCACCAAAGCCATCGTCGACGCAGCACTCAAGGCATGCCCCGACGTCGAGCACGTCCTCGTCCTCAAGCGCACAGGCAACCCCGTCGCGTGGGTCGAAGGCCGCGACCGCTGGTGGCACGAGGAGACCGCCCGCGTGCCCAACTACTGCCCGCCAGAGGTCATGGCATCCGAAGACCCGCTCTTCATCCTCTACGTACGTCCCGCCGATCGATCCGCGCCGTCCGCTCACCGCTCTCTCAATCCCGGCAGACCTCGGGCTCGACGGGCAAGCCCAAGGGCGTCGTGCACACCACCGGCGGGTACCTCCTCGGCGCCGCCCTCACCGTCAAGTACGTCTTTGACGTGCACCCAGACGACAAGTTCGCCTGCATGGCCGACATCGGCTGGATCACCGGGCACACGTGCGTGGGCTTCACCCGGCAACCGCGACTGACCGCTGACGCGCGCCCGGCCCCCTTAGCTACATCGTCTACGGCCCGCTCCTCAACGGCGTCTCCACCACCGTCTTCGAGTCGACCCCCGTCTACCCGACGCCCTCGCGCTACTGGCAAACCGTCCAAAAACACGGCCTCACGCAGTTCTACAGCGCGCCGACCGCGATCCGCCTCCTGCGGCGGCTCGGCGCGCACCACGTCGACGGGCACGACCTGAGCACCCTGCGCGTGCTCGGGTCCGTCGGCGAGCCTATCAACCCCGAGGCGTGGAATTGGTACCACGAGCACGTCGGGAAGGGCGTGTGCGCGATCGTGGACACGTTTTGGCAGACGGAGACGGGGAGTATCGTGGTTACGCCGTTTCCCGGAGCGATTGAGACGAAGCCGGGCGCGGCGACGGTGCCGTTCTTTGGGATCGAGACGGCGATTCTGGATCCCGTGTCGGGCGAGGTGCGCGCGCGTTCCCATTGCCCCCTTCCCTCCACGCGTGTTTCCCCACGCGCGTTTTATTTTTATTTTTCGTGCGGTGGCTGACGCCCGCGCGCACAGGAGCTGACGGGGAACAACGTCGAGGGCGTGCTGGTGATCAAGGCGCCGTGGCCGTCGATCGCGCGCACGGTGTACCAGGACCACGCGCGCTACCTCGATACGTACATGCGGCCGTACCCGGGCGTGTTCTACACCGGCGACGGCGCCGCGCGCGACGAGCACGGGTACATCTGGATCAAGGGCCGCGTCGACGGTGCGTGCGCTGCGTTTCGCGTTGGTCGGTCGATTGTGGGTGCGTGCTGATCTGGATGCGTGGGCGGTTGCAGACGTGATCAACGTGTCGGGTCATCGGCTGTCGACGGCGGAGATCGAGTCGGCGCTGATATTGCATGCGGGCGTCGCAGAGACCGCAGGTGCGTCTTTCTTGCTTGCGCGCGCGGTTCCCTGGTGCTGATCGTCGATCTGGTTGGGTTTCGCCTGCGCTGCAGTGATCGGGTCGGCGGACGAGCTGACGGGGCAGGCCGTGTATGCGTTCGTGACGCTCAAGCCGTACGTCCCTCTCTCTCTCCGCTCACCCGACCCCTCTCACCCCTCCCCTTTCTCCCTCTCTCTTTCCTCCCGCCCCGCCCCGCCCCGCCCCGCACCCGCAGCGAATTCAAATACGACCCCACCGACGAGCCCGCGCTCGCCAAAGAGCTGACCCTGCAGGTGCGCAAAGTCATCGGCCCGTTCGCGGCGCCGAAGCGCGTGCACGTCGTCGGCGACCTGCCCAAGACGCGCTCGGGCAAGATCATGCGCCGCGTGCTGCGCAAGATCGTCGCGGGCGAGGGCGACCAGCTCGGCGACCTCAGTACGCTCGCGGAGCCGGGCGTGGTGGGCGCTATCATGGAGAAGGTGGGGGCGGACGGGGCGTAGTGCAGTGCGCCCCGTGGCCGCCGCCGCGGCGGTTGCGGTTGCGGTTGCGGTTGCGGTTGCGGTTGTTTTGGGGTGGGGGTGGTGCTGTTTTTTTTTTTTTTTGCTTGTTTGTTTGTTTGAGAGTGTGGGGCGCCGCGCCGGTGTGTGTCTATGGGTGCGCGTGCGCGGATGCGTGCTTGCTTGCTTACTTACTTACGTCTTTGGGTATTGGGCGCGGGCTCGGGGGCTCAGCGGGGGCTCGAGGAGGGGCGTGAGCGAGGGAGCGAGGGAGGGAAGGAAACAATACAGAGGAGGCAGAGGAGGCAGAGGAGGTCGCGCGGCGCGGCCGTGTGTGTATCTGTGTATTTTATTTCTGGGTAGTGGTATATTTGCTTGCTTGCTTGCGGTGCGGTGCGTTGCGTTGCGTTGCTTGCTTGTATTGCGTCGGACTGTGTTGGGGTGAGTTGCGGTGAGCCGTGATGCGGCGAGTTGCTTGTGCCCTGCCGTATCGGGCTGCACGGGGCGGTTCGGGCGGTTCTCGAGTGTCGTGTGTGTCGTGTGGACACTTCGGTCCCCCGCTCGACGGTGCGCGCGAAGGACCGCCGCGTCAATCAACTTGACGTGCCTTACACCGCGCGGGCCGCCGTGGGCTACGCTGCGGTGCTTGGTTCTGTACTTCTGTACTCACGGTGGCACTGGGCGGGTGTTGTTCAAGCGTCACGCGGAGTTACCTGCGAGGCGGACGGGCTGTCGTATTGGGGCTGCGTGTGCTTGGGTTTGGGGCTTTGTAGTGGTTGGGCAGAAGAACAGACGGTGCGGCGCAGTATGATACGAGTATGATACGGTACGGTACAATTACAGCGGGTGAAGATGATGCCCGGTGCTGTGTGGGTGTGGTAGCAGTGGACGAGATGACAGACGCCGCAGCGACATGGCGAAGATTGGTCTCTCTCCTTTCATCAGGAGAAGAAGACAAGGTCTAGTAGTGATGCTACCGTAATCATGCATAACAATCGCGATCACAAATGGAGACGGAAACGAAAATGAAACGAGATGCGAGATCCCATTTTTGATTGTGCGTGCAATAGAATGGGTGGCAGTGGCAGTGGTTGTGTCCTGTGCCTGAGGCGGGGACCAACGGCAGTGGCAGCGGCAGGGTGGGTTGGGGAGCTAGAGCAGAGCCAGAGATGTGGGTGGCCGGGATCAATATTCGATTTTCGATGGCTGGGAGGGACTGTGGCGAACCACCATCCCATCGAGCCTAAGTGTAGGAATGCTCAAGATAATTGGATAATCAAAGATTCCATGAGCAGTACTTCAGGGGGGTTGACATGCTCATAAGGAATCATAGGATAACAATGTTTCAAACAACAATAGCTCACAAGATGTCTTCATGCTAGGATAACTTCTTGTCATTATTGAGAATTCAGTTTACTTATCAGACATCATGTTAAACAATAATGGGGTAGTATCAATTCAGCAGTATGCAAATAATGACATGTTGAGAGAAAAGACAGCCCAACAGAAACATGTTGTTAGGAGAGGCTACCAACCACAACTTAGGCAGCAGTGAGGACAAGGTGGCAGTTCAGATACTTTTTCTTGATGGCCTTCTGGAGCATGTAGAAGGGAGTGGTATACATCTTGTCCATCTTATTAGTAGGACCCCACCGCCCATAATCTGAGCAATGGCATGCCTATCCTTACCCACCACAAACAAGCCAGAGTCACCACCATCTGAAAACTTGTCATTTTTGGCCATTACTGTGTTGTAGCCACAGATAATGTATTCAAGGGCAAGCTAGGCAATACTGTGCTTGGGGTAGTGACAAGTGATGGACTTGAGGCTGTTGACATGTCCATAGATAGTGCCAGTTGAACAACCATTCTTGATGGTAAGCAGCATCCTCACATTGTAGATGTTGAAGCTCTATGGGTTATAGAACTTTTCCTTAGGGGCATAGTCCTTGAGCTGAAGAAGTATGTCCTCAGGCTTATGGAAATCATGACAATTGTGAGCCTGAGGGAACATATAGTAAACCTAGTTGACATCTGTCTTGTTCCCTCCTATAGACAAAGGGGAAAAGAAGAAAAAATAACCATCAGTCAAAAGAACAAAAAGAAAACCAAAAAGTAACCAACATACCAATAAAGAGCTTATTCCCCTTAAATTCCTTCCACTCAATCTTGTCCTTATCCATCTGGATGAAGTTTCAGTTGTACATGAACCAGTTTTTGCCAACCTTGACCTTGGTGCAGTAAAGAACAAAGCCAATTACATATGAGGCAGTCATTGTGAAATATTTTGTGACCTTAGTGTAAAGCCAGTTGACTTCTTTAATCTTGTTCATTGCTATGGTGATCAAGTCCATGAGCTCTTTATGCTTCGACGTGATACCCTTAGGCTTGTCATTTGTCAGCTGTGGAAGCCTAACAAGAGCTGCCTCCCAAGTGCTAATAGCAATGGTCTGGTTGCCGATGAACTTTATGATGGCCATAATGGCATCATCATACAACCCCATGCCGAGGAGTATGATGTTCTCATGTGGCTGGCTATCCTTCTTGTGCATGTAGTCCTAGTTCTTAAAGAGTGGAGGCAGGTGGACAACATGGGTGCAAATCAAGAGTGCAATATGCTTGTTCCCCTCTTTAGTGTTGGGGCAGAAGAACAGACTACCTATTTCCTCAAAATGAGGTGACTTGAAAGGCACAATCGTAAGACCAAGGGTGAGCATAAAAGGCTTGTGCAGCACTAGAATACCCCCAGAGTTGAATAAGGGATTGAAGCTCATGAGCTAGGGGCCAGAACCATAGCAATGATAGATGGACTCGATGAAGGCAACCTGAATCTTAGGGAAACCTACAGCCTAGAATGTAAAAAAGAACAAAGAAATAGCTTTTATTTATTTAGTTCAAAATAACAAGGATAATGGGATAGTCCCATAGTCTCACATAGCATCCTATGGAAACTGGGTTCAGAACACTGAGGATAATAGGATAGTCACATAATTTCAATGGACTCTTACCTAGAGGATCTCATTTATGGCATTAGCAGCAGCCATGATAGCAGTGTAAGTAAAGGAGCAAGGTTGCATGCCAATGGTAATGACAAAGTCACAAATCAAGGCTGCCTCACCTACATTCATATATATAAGAGGATTAACAGTATTCTAGTTGACCTGGAGCTCATCAAGCTGGGCAACAATGCTCTAAGCAGTCTCGAGCCAGGTTAGGGAAATAGGATGATTAGAATAGATAGGGTGGGTGGCATAGACAATCTTCTACAACTTGGGACCTATGGTGATAGGCCACAAAGATCTGGTCTTGAAAATGCATAGGGTGCTGGACCTGAAGGAATTGGTAAAGGTGTATGGATAGTTGGATAATTGACTCATTTCCTCAGTGATGGCCTTAGGAATAGTTGCAGCCCCAGCGATAGTGGGAAAAATGAGAGTATTGGTAGGAAAGACTAGTGGTACAATAGAGGACATGACTGAGTCATCAGGAGTCAAAGATGGGATGAAAGTTCCAGTAGTCTTAGATATGCCAACACATGCTTTAAAAAAGGCATAGTAGAGTAGGGCTGTCTGTCTCTGGATGCTCTGTGATCATTTGATGATAGTCTGATCTAGTCTACATGCAACTTCTAATAATGCTGCTGACTAATACTTGCAACATCTTCTAGGACCCCTGAAAATAGGTAGGGAAGCTAGGTGGCTGATCTTGAAAAAAATTAGGCCTTTTAACCCCTAGGCCTGGAAAAATCTGAACAAAAAGGGCTCTCTATGAGGTCAAGGCTATATATTGTTGTCCTGCAGAATCTGGTCTCTCTTATCATATGCCTAATCATGTCCAAGAATTTTTATGGAGATGGTAGTGAAGTGGTCAATGAGTCATCTAGTATAAGAGCTTGAGTTTGTAGGGTCAGTTGGTTCAAATTCTGTATATCAAGGATACTGAAATATTTTCATTTGCTAGTGATTTTTCTTTATATACAAGGTAGTGGCGAAGCTAGTGCCTATTTGTGGCAACAAGGTTCACTCAGCATTAGTGCCATCTTCTATATTTCTCTACAAGTATATGAGGCTCCATATACTAGTCTGCCCTAAGCTATTTACAGCCATGTAGCCACCATGTAGTCCTACATATTTGCTTACATTTATTCTGACTATTTCCTATGTATGCTATCCAAGAACCTAATCATTAGCCAAGATGAGTAGCATATTCATCTAAATAAACAATTCCTTTGACTCTATTTTCAGTTATCAAAGCACACCATAGCTATTGTAGCCACAGTGGATTGACTATAGGCACTATGTTAGCATGGTATAGGGAGCAAGAAGAATGACAGTATTAGTGATGGTAGTAATAGCACTGTAAATGAGTTGTGATAGTTTAGAGCAGATTTTTTTTGTCTGTCATGTTCTGTATGCTTCACACTACTGTAGTGTACTTATTCTAATATTTGTGAGCCTTAAAAAGGCCTAAACTATATAATCTGACAAATTTTGAGTATTTTGAAGGCCTGAACTAGCCTGTCTGGCAAGATTTGGGGACTTTGGGGACCTAAATGGGTCAAATGACTCAATCCAAGAATTTTGCAGCAAATTTTACATAGGCCTGAATTTCTCTGGCAAAAAGGGCCAATTTTTTGATTTTTTTGGTCTATACATTTTTATTAGGGAAAAGCTCCATATTAAATTAACTATAGTTAAGCATAAATATAGCTATATTTTTACCAATTACCATTAAGGATTTTTTAGCTTACCCTGCCTCTAATCCTGAAATTATAAGATCTAATTAGAGCTAGTTAAAGCTAATTTATTATATGGATTTTTGGAAAAATATCAACTAACCCAGTTCTATGGTTTCTCTACTACTATTACACCTCCAATCATAGAGTATCTATAAAGCTTACCAATCAAACTAAAGTCACACCTTATTATAAATTTGCCCATCACTACAGTGCCAGACAAGCAAAGTCAACAATTTTGCTAACTCCCCAGGCAGAATTTTTTAGGACAAACTGAGTTCAGATTTGGACTCAGAAAAGCAAAAGGAGTCAAAAAATACCTTTTATGGAAGTTCCCAAGGTAAAATGGGGGTGGCCAATTTTTGGGGCAAAAAAAACAAAATATAATTAGGCTTAAAATGACATTAGAGCCAATCTGAGTCAATCTCAGGTTAGCATTGTATCAACAGACATCATTGTGCACTGCCCAACCCTTCTGTGTGACTTTTGTTTGCATACAGCCCACTCTGCCACTTTCTCTATAAGCCCCTTATGATATGCATCCATAAACCACCATGATTGATTAAAAAATTGGTGAATCACCTTGACAGGACACTTATTGAGACATTGCTGTGCCACTTTCTTTGCATCCTTAAATTTGACTTTGTAGATTTTATAGTACCAATGCTTGCACCAGCCCCAGTGCTGGATAATATGAACATGCCATAAAAGAAAAGACTAGGGAAACTGACCATCTTAATAGGATTAAGCTCACAATAGAACCCTAGAAGAAAGATGCAAATGTGACCTCAAGCTTTTAATTTTTGCTCAAGAAGGGATTCTTGAAAAAAAATCATCCTGCCTGCTCAGAAGTCAGGCTGTATAACAAGTGTCATTCTTAAAAGGACAAATTGGGAAACACTTGGCCTTCATTGTGTAGACATCAAAGCTACATTCTGTAAGTGTCTGCTGCAATTCCTTTGCCTTGCTATTCTTAGTTATCATCTTGCTTACTAAGAAATAACTATTGAACCTTGTCTGGCCCTCTCACACTCACTTCCACTCCAGGCATTGCTATGTATACACCAACTTGTTGTTAATAATAGGACTATGTGAGCGTGATCTATGTGGACCTGCTATTCATGGTCCATCCAGTATTGATTATAATATACTTTTTTGAGAACTCACCAGGTTTTTTATAGATGAGAGCTAGTCTCTGTCTCATAGATCATCAAGATCAACATTCTCCATGTCTTCTTCAGTGTCTGACTCAAATTCAGGTGAGTTTCTTGAGTGGATTGATTTTTTGTGAAAATGCTGAATTTTTTATGCATGTTTCTTTCTTGGAGGGTGCCCTTGGGGATGCTTTGAATGCTATATAAGTTAGTAGCTCAGTGTGTCGTGGTTTGGAAATGCACCACCATCACAGCCTTAGTAATTTTTTTTAGAACTATTTAAGACTACCATTGAACTCAGATAAAAAAAAAATAGAGTTGATTAATGCTATTTCTAAGGCCCTACCATTTAATTTGGGGGTTGGCCAATTTTTAAGGGTCAAAATCAATAAAATGTAATTTATATGAGATTGGCTCATAGGATTTTGCTTGTAAGGAGCTCAAAATGCTTGTCTACTGAATGCACATCAATTCCAGTGGTTCTGGAGGGTAGGAAAATTAGTTAACTAAAATTATCAACTTTGCTTGTCTGGCACTGTAAAATTAAACCACCAACTTTATGCCTGCACACCCTAGACTAGTGCTCTAAGCCACTAAGCCACAAGGTCTAAATTATTTACCTAGTAACCTAAATATGTTAATATGAATAAGGCAATCTCAATATTTCTAATTTTCTTATACATTTATCTTTTATCTACTCTATATATAAAGAGGTCAATAAATATATTAAAAATCAGGGCTAATATTTGAATTTGGGCACTAGACAATGATATAGTAGTCTGATAAAAAATAAAGATAAAGCAAAGAAGTGTGAGAGTAAAGACAACAACATAGTTGGTGAAGCTATGTTAGTGTAGAAGGTGCACTGTCTCATATGTGGGTCTTGGGAATATGTAGCATAATCAATACACAAATGTTAGATTACAAGAGGAACTCAACATGACTGTCCTCCACAGTTCTCTAACATACTTTCTCAATTGTGTATAAACTATCCTTTATCAGTTCCAGATAATCATTTATGCATTCAGGATAGCAGCAGTCACAGTTAATGGTTGATCCTATGAGGTGAGTGGATAGCTAGGCAATAGCATGTGTTAGAACTTATGAGGCATGGGAGGTCTTGGACAAGATACTTGGACATTCTCCTAGTTTGGTAAAATGGCCCTTTGCAAGGGTGAGTTCCTTGTTTGTAATATGATTGGGCTGATAGGGCAGCAGATGATGCAGGTGATTAGATTTGAGATCAACACAGGATCTGGATCCTGTATCATGTTTGGAGTTGGGGGGCATACTATTACCATATATTGAGTAAGTTTTATCCATTAAGAACTTTGTGATTGCTCTGACACTTATGGATCATAAAGCCACATGGGCCAGAATTGACCCACCTTAATTGTAAATAGTATGTCATGGTTTCATATAATACAATTAATGCTAACTGTCCATATTGTGAGCAGTATTGGGAGTACTCTACAGGCAGTATATAGTTGGCACATAGGTATGTTCATTATAGGATGAGTTTCTCAAGGAGAGTGGTGTCCACTTGGATTCACATTGGGTTTGTACAACTGCTTTATTCTTGTGATATATGAAGCAGCAAGTGTTATGCAAAAAAGATATCTATATGGATACATTGGTCATAAGATTACTCAGTGAGCCAATAAATTTGTTGTTGAGTGTCCAGATTAAACATGTTTGATAGAGTAACTCTTAAGACATGTAAAACTTGCCCAACTGGCAGTGTGGTCAGGTGTGGGTGGCCTCCTATGCTTCATTTGTCAATTCTATAATGATTTATGAGGGGCTATAGAGCATTATAATGTATTCAATTGGAAGGAGGTCTATACCATGGATGTATAGTTGATTGGTTATGCATGAGTAGTAGTTTGCAAGAGATTGTGGGTTTGATGTCAGAGTTCATGAGGCCAACTAATAAAAGCACAAGCAAACAAGTGACTCAGTGCATGTGGACAATGACTGTTATATATAATAAGTACCTAATAGAAGTGCAAGCAAACAAGTGACTATGGTAAGTTAGTAACAGGTCTACAAAAGTATGAATGGTATAGTAGCTTACCTCAGTACATGTGGACAATGACTAAGGTGCTTGATAATGACGAATGTATGGTAACAATAGTATATTTGGAGTGTGAATAGGAACTGTATAGTGCTAAGGCATCAACTCCACAAAATAACATGTCTAAGTGAGTCCATAAAAGGAAACTGGTAACATATGATATAATAGTCTATTTGAAGCCAAAACATACCACTGCGCCTTTGTGCATGTTTATTGCTATAGCAAATCTCAATATTTAAACCTGCTTTGAGTTTATCAGGGAAAGCTCCATATTAAATTAACCATAGTTAAGCATAAATATAGCTATATACTATTAAGGATTTTCAGCTAACCCTCTTTCTAATCCTGAAATTATAAGATCTAATTAGAGCTAGTTAAAGCTAATTTATTATATGGATTTTTAGAAAAATATCAACTAACCTACTTCTATGGTTTCTCTACTACTACTATACCTCCAATTATAGAGTATGTATAGAGCTTACTAATCAAACTAAAGTTGCACCTTATAATAATCTTGCCCATTACCAGAATTGAACCAACAACCTTATTTGGTAACCTAAATATAATGATATACATAAGGCAATCTTAATATTTCTGATTTTCTTATATATTTATCTTTTATCTATTCTATATATAAAGGGGTCAATAAATACCCTAAAAATTAGGGCTTTTGATATCTGGATTTAGACACCAGACGATAATTTATTAAAATAATAGAAAATAAAGAATACAGTAAAAATAAAATTGTAGCACTTATATAATTTGGATTTGGGATATGTAAAATTGTAATTAGGTTGTAGATTTCAATGGAACTGTAATAATATAGACAATGTCCCCTTAATTGCAAATTTGGTCATGAAGTTGATTATGGATAATATATTCTAATTAGCTTAGATTAGTATTTTGAATAATTAGATCTAATTAAGAGAGGAGGTTTTTCCAGATGTTGAAGCCTTTTAATATAGGACATATCAGTTTGTAACAGATATATCTTCCTCCAATAGGACTGCTGTATCTTTCACTGGCAGGGTGGATGTATCAGTTATTGACAGGTGTATCAGTCCTGCGACTATCAGAAACAAGTATATATGTGTTGTTAGTAGTTACAATGGAAGTAGTATGGACATATCAGTTGAAAAAAGGACATATCCTTCCCATGACTAATAGTGGGAAGGACATATCAGTCTAACTGAAGTCCCTCTGTTGTTCTACCCATATGTAGCATCCTAAAATTTTTGGTGGTCCTTTGTGACATCTCAGCCCCTCTCCCAAATGTGTTCAAATATATGGTCATTTCGAGGTATCACACATTCACCTCATCGGGGTATGACTGACCATTGAATCTCATTGAAACTCAACACGCACCCAGCAGCGGAGCAAGACAGATTAGATGGGGATTTGGCGACTGCTAACCTGATTCGAGCAGACCTTCCTCCTGGCTGGTCACCCCAGATACCCCAATTTCGACAGTACACACAGACGCTGAATTCACACCCAGACAGAGTCTAGTCTTCACACATGTGGTGCGTTCCATTTTGTAATGTGCATGGGGAAACCTGTGTCCTCTGAATCACCCAAATACTAGTATACTCTTACTCTACAACTCTATCAGCGTCTACGCCGAATCTTTGATTTGATTTATGAACTGCGTCCCTGCAGAGACGCACCGGCGACATCCCGTGTGCAGACGCTGGTGACAAACAGCGGATGCGCATATGGCATAGAATAAAATGGTGAGTTGTAGCGATGCTCCAAATCACTGGGTACACGATAATATACCAGGACATATACCCGGAGCCATCTGCCAGAGACGGTGAGCCCGATACCCTTGTAATCGACACACTCAGAGTCATGATATTGAACTGGAGATACCTGGGAAGCCGGGTCCGGAGCGAGTCACCTTGTTATCAGGATGTACGCTGTGATGGGGTGCGGTGAATTCCACAATGTCGGGTCCGCTAGATTGATGCTGATCGCTACGTAGACCTCTCATTATCAACAGATAGAAGGAAACATAGTCATTCAGTTGAGCTGTAGCAGTGGGGACGCAGGCAGAGACCTCCTTGATCTCTTAATACAGCGCGTCTTGTCGCGGATAGGCGCAAGTCCAGGCGTGACGCGCTCAGTACGACCATTGGCCTTGCTACGCCAGGCATACATAGGAGCCTGTCTTGACTCTTGTCGGACGCCAACCACTCGCGAGTAGAGAGTGGAACCGCGTACGGAAGCGAGATGCTTGTGACTCGGTCTGACTGAGTGCCAGCTGTCACTACGACTCACAAGCTCAGTTGATATAACGGAGTGTATCCGGGCGACTCGAGCATCCTCGAACACATCTCGCCACGAAGAGCAAACACTCACAAAATCGCAGATGAAGGCCATCAAGGAGCCGCATTTAGAGACGTGGCCCGAAGTACGTGCGCACATTCCTTCCCAAAGCACTGCGAATTACAGGCTCATTTCCGATCGCAGGAACAACATGCGAAGAGATCATTGCGCGCACAAGGGTACACGATGCTTGATAGATCCAAGCCCCCTCGGGCCTCTCAAGTGGAGATAGTCAGGATCGAGGGCTACTGGTGGTGGAGATATCCAGCAGGCATTGCTCCCAAGATTGATCAACCCGCCAACCGCGAAGACGAGTTGAGAGGGATGAGGAAGCGGAAGGAGGTCGACGCACGCGTGCAACGACGTCGCCGAGGGGGCAAGACAGATATGATAGCAAGCGGCGGGTGGTGGAGTGGGGGGCATGTTGTGCATCAGGAGTTTGATGATGACCAGGGAGATGCCGAAATTGACAGTGGATGAGATCGAGGGAGAGCTTGAGGGTGTAGAGAGCGCATGTCCAAGGCAGCCGCGGGAGGTAACGTTGATGGAGATGGTGCGGCCGTCAAAGGTCAAGATCAGCAAGCTCAAAAGGCAACAGGTAAAACTCATTTCAAGAGACGAGGAAGAGTGGGTGCTGGACCTGGATTTGGAAGCAAATGTCACTCCGTCCGATGTCTCTCTTGAGCCGGACTCCGAGGGTACCTGGGATGAGGGCGAGTGGGAGGTCGTGGAATGCGCATCGAACACGGGAAGGGATAGGCGGAAGTTGTTCTCGGAAGTCGTTCGGGGGCACAAACCTGCGTAGAGTGGGAACGAGGATCTTTGTATGTCGGGAGAATCAGAGAATATCCTGCTGCGAAATCCGCGTATCGCGTAGCTTTTCAGGGCTTCGAGCGTCAGGGACCTCAGGGCCTCCGAGTTTCGGAGATGTTTATAAGTCTAGACAGTCGATCTGCAATATGCATGAAGACTCACAATTTGGCGCGACAAGGGATCCATCGCGTTCGCACAACTCAAATTTATGCAGGACGCTTTTCGCACGATGCTGAACCCCTGTTTGCTGGCACCGCGGAGTAGTCCTTCTTGAGAGGTCGACGAAGGTAGACGAGGGTCGATAACGGTCAGCCGACCTGGGTCTGCTGAACAGACATTGAGCTCTGAACGCAATATGCACGGCGACGGCATCAGCCGTATTCGATCCAGGCTCTCGTCGTTCCTCGTTCCATAAGACTGTTCTCGACAACATTCAGTGCTCCACTACAGGCAATCTCACCATTGGAATTGTAAAAGTAGGGAGGGCTCTGAGGCATAAGTTCCCATGGCGGTCAAAAGAAGTTCTGCATTCAGCTACTTGTATCTCTAAATCGGCCTGACAAACCTTGACGCGAGAGAGTTGGTTGGCAGACAATATGGAAGACGCCGACTTCCGCGTCTCTAGAGTTGCGGATTCAACTCTCATCTGTCGGCGCTTGGGTTCGGATTTGATTTGAGCAATTCGAAGACGATTGAACAATATATCAGATCGTCAGAGGTACATCGAGAGTTGCCCGGTCAGGTAGGAGTAGTTAGGCAAGTCGTTGATGGTAAGGACTTGTCAGATTTGCATGTATCGTCAGTGCATACACATGCACAGAATCAGCTTCTCTCGGCATGTTGCTGGACGACGGAAGGAGCTTTTTTGAGCGTCATGTATGGGACGAGTGCTTCTGATATGATGGTGTTAGGTCGGAGATGGCAACATCGTGAGTATCGTACCTCAAACCCATAGATACCGCACGATGAACGCCTTGAACAGACATACTCTAGTCGATATAGTGCAGGGCGTCAACATCGTGGCGTTCAACGTCACTATTGACATATTCAGCTTGACTCTGTATGTCGCATGCCGCTTGAATGATTCACCATGCCATAATCTCGAGAAGTCTGATGTTCAGACTTGAGGGTCAACTTGATCGCGTCGGGGCAGAGGAACGTCGTATGTATTGATAAACTCCAAAACAATATCAATATGCCAGTGAATAGTATATCCGAGATACCCAAAGAAGCTACTGTGCCGCCGATGCATGATGGGAGGAGCGAGCGTCCGTGCAGAGTGTGCGCATCGAAGTGTTCTATACAATGGACTCCACAGCCGCCTCGACAAGTGGGTGTGCGACATGGTCAGCAGACCACTGGTTCGGCAGCGATAAGTGTGTGAATATTAGTCCAGAAGGGGTTATTGCGTTCCAACGGCGCTCAACTCTGTTGCGCCAACGAGATGTGGAGGGGAAGGAGACCACCCTTGCCGTCGATGACGGGCTGCAGGGTGGGGGAGATGACGCGACGAATGTTCGCTGTTGTGCTTCTGAACTCGATGGACCGGATGAGCGTCGCCACAATAACTTTGAACTCGACGATAGCTATGGCGGCCGTGGGCGTCAGAATTGAAAACTGTGCGTGATTTCCGGGCTCCGTTTGCTTACCGAGTCGGTACCCAATGCAGCTCCGTGGTCCGTCGCAGAAAGTGACGATATTGCCCCATCCACGAGGCAGCTCACTCGACGGGGGAACGCCCCCCGGTGTCAGCCAGCGTTCGGGCTTGAATTCATGACCGTCAGGGCCCCAGACATCGGGGTTTACGTTCATGGTTGCGAAGGGCAGGTGGAAGACCTGAATATTACGGATGAGCAATATACAGAAAAATAGCGAACATGTTACTCACCTGTCCAGCCTTGACATGCAGGGAAGTAAGTGTCCTTCCGTCGGTTGTACGAATCGGTTTGCTCAAGGGGATGATATCGTCTTCCAAAGCAACCCGTTCAGTACGGGGCGCAGCAGGGTGAAGACGGAGACTGTAAATGTGTCAGGCGATAGGCAAGGTGTCGATTTAAGTTCGAGATTTCACATGCAGGGGGTCAAGGAAATATACGCACCCTTCGCGTACAACTGCGTCGAGGTACTCGAGCTTCTGGACATTATCATAGTCCAAATCCTGACCGAATGTCTGTATCTCCTCACGGAGCTTCTGCTGGACTTCGGGGTTGCGCGCAAGGTCAAGAAGGGTGAAATTAAGGGAGCCTGCAGTAGTTTCGTGCCCAACCATGCTATATAATATATTGGCCAGCTGTCTCGGTTACCATTAATCATCGCACTTACAGGAACGTGGCAATCTATCAAAATACAAGAATGGCTCATCAGTAATGAACGAACACGGGGTAAGATCAAAACCCTACGTTGTCAAGAATCTGTGCATGCGAGAGGCCCTTCTCGCCCTTCAGGTCCCGGCTGTCCTTGATCAGTAGAGACAGTATGTCCTTGCCCTTGTCTGAAATCTGTCCCTTTTCGAGAATGCGCGATGCTAACTTGGTGACGATACTCTTGGCAACACCTTCCTCTTGCAAACCACCAATGGGGAGTTTGGCAATCCAGGGGAATGTGAAAAGAAGGATAGGAGCGAGGAAACCTGCGAACGTCAAGCCCATGTTCACATCCTTGTGCCAGGATGCGGATATTTCCTTCGCTTCTGTGCTTTCGCCCATGTTGAAATCATGACCGAAGGCAGTACGTCCAAGAATGTCGAGGCTGTGACGCACATGTTAGGGTCACGATGGTCGACGATCCTGTGGCGCTGACAGAAACTTACGTGCACGCGGAGGTGTGAGGGACAATATTGATAGTCATCTCCCCACCATTCGAAAGAATTTGGTTAGTGAGTCTGCTTTCGAGCTTTTTTAGGAATAACCAATTTCATGTTAGCGGCATGCGATTGAATGGGCAGCAAGGGCATCATACCTTCTCAGCGCATTCCCAGACATCATCGGCCATGCCACGGACGCTTTCCGGACTGGAAGCATATTTCGTTGATCAGAGATGACAAGCCCCCGGTTCCGAAAAGAGACCTATCAAACTTACGAAAAAGCGGGAGCAAGAAGTCGGCGTTGGTGCCTATGCTCTGCGCCCTCCGCCCAGACCAATCCCTTCCCGAGGAGTTTGACCACGATAGGTCGGAACATCGGAGCTTTCACTGAAGCGGCAGAAAATGTCAGAAACAATGTGTCGATGGAACAACCAGGCGGTTATCCATGAATGATTAACTCACCATATCTCTCCGAGTACTGGAAGACGTGTGCTGCTGCTGCATTGTCTGCTACAACAATCTACTGCAACATCAGCTCTATCAGCCATGCAGATGTGTCGACAAGTACTTACCACATCACCGTGAAAAAGTGCGGCCTTGATCTTGAAGAGCGGGCCTAACCGAGCGGCCCACTTGTTGTACATCTCACAGGCCTGGTGTTCAAACACCTGACGCTCATTGCCCCAAATCCAGCTGCCTTCACTGGCAGGCTGCCAAGCGGCGTCAAGGCCTATTCAGTTCTCGGAGAACAAAGAAGGATCCTCACAGGGCTAGGAAGGTAACTGACGTCCCGCTTCTTGCTGAAGACATACCGTGCGAGCACAGCTAACACGACAGTCGACAGCAGCAATGAGAAGGACGGGGCGAGCGACATGATCGGTCAAGAGGATGTTGTAGGCGAAATCAAAAGAAAGTCGGGGTGCTGTGTGCGACGAGATGTACAATACGAGAGTCGAAGTTAAGAAGCTGAAGCAGCCGCGACAGAATATTTATCTGCCTTGAGTGGGACGCCAGCGCAGAACTCCGGGGCTCGGTCTTCATGTATTACTGTATCATCTAAGACCATCGCTTCTCGCTGTGAATTACAGACACTCGTTCTGGTCCAGCTTGGCCCACGTTTCGGTATTTAGCCGTGGCGTCCTTATAGGGAAACGGGTCACGGCAATAGCAAGCTGCATTTGATTAAAACCTACCCCCGTTTCGAGGCCTATTTTCGACCTCCGTACGTAAAGCAAAAGCCTTTGGATCGGAATGTGTATCACTCACCGGCGCTGTGCACAACTTTTTAAGTGTTTGCTGACGCTGCGCGACTTCTCATATCTTTCACGGTCAACGATGGGACTTACCAGCATCCAATAGAGTCCGTGGCGCTGCGAGGTGACAGCGCCACTAGTCGTGTACCCCTTCCGGCAGAGAGGTTGGCAAAAATAAGTATCCTATTCCGGGCGTTAACAGGCGTTAACCGCCAGGTGCCGAAGAGTCTAATCAATTGACGGCAAAGTGACGCCTCGTAAGTCACGTCGTGACATTTATCGAGGCACCTCCACGTAGGTTTACGCCTGCCAGCTACGTATGATCCTCTCCAACGTCCATTCCGTGGGATGCCGTTCATTGACCTTTGACATTCGAACCCCACCGAGAAAAAGGGATAATGCCTGCATTGCGGGGAGAATGGTTCCCGAGAAGAACAGCGGCAACCACTAGGTAGGTCCAAGTGACGAGCTATGATGTACTTATGCGTACGAGACGCGCCTGGGAGGATAACGAGAGTTTGCACTTAGGCGCGGTTGAAATCAGAAGACGTCTTAACGACGCCCGCGCTGACCGCTGCCCCGCATGCTCATGAACACATATTCGCGCCCATTGCGCAGTGTTCAAGACAACTAGGGCTCGTACGGCCTGGCAGGGCCTTGCTCGGTCCCCAAGCATGTTGGGCAGGCTATCATATACATTTTTATGCGAGTGCTGCGGCGAAAGCGTGGCTGTGGGGTGTGGTGCCGGAGAGCGCTTCTTGGCAGCGGTGCCTAGACTGCTCGAGCGAAGAAGCGTGATCCAAGCAAAAAAAAACGCGCCTGCTTCCGTCCCCAGCGCGTCTCTCGTGAGGAGGGACTCCCGAGATCCTCAGATCCGAGGTTCCTTCTTGAACCCTGAGACTCTCACGTTCTCCAGTTCGTCATTATCCATTCCCAATTTGCCCTCCATCAATCTGGTACTTATACTCCTTCGTCGCTCCTTTCATATCCTTCTTCACCGTCTGGTCTCCCCACTTCCCCCTTGATCCTCCGGCTGTGAAGAGCCTCGTCCTTCATTTATCCTCTTGTAGATCCAACCAAATCAGCCTTCACCCTTCATCCCCCTCCTGTCGATAAGTCACTATGGTTGATTGGCAGTCCGTACCAGAGCTCATGCACGATGCAGGTAAGTACATGCGATTCACCTTGTCGTGGAACCTCGCTCACGCGGATCGGAAAATCTAGATGCCTTCGGAAAGTTCATGCACGCGTTGCTCGGTCTATATTTGTGAGGGTCTATTCGTACCGGTAACTTCCTGTCGGGTTCCAACTCTCAAATTCACTGCAGATGGGAATGGTTCACCTCCCTTGACTTCGATCTTGCGTTCATCATTGGCAAAAGAAAATTCCGATGGCCACTGGTACGCGGCACTGCCAAGTGTTCCGGCAGTGATGCTCATGCTCGGCTTGTCTTAGGCTTTCTACTTCGTTGGGCGCTACAGTATGTTGGCTGCGCTAGTGGGAATGTGAGTCAGCGATGACAATCAATGTGTTAGTACTCGCCGATATTGAATCCCCCCGTTTAGTGTTGTTGCCTTGAATGTCAGGACGTGAGTAGCATCTGCTTTCTGAAATTACTTCCGCGGTACCGACGTCTGTCTTAGGGAAGTGAATTGCCAGGCGTTGTACACATTCAACCAAATCGCCGGCAATTTCACCATCGGGTTTGCAAGCATCAACCTGTCCCTTCGAACGTGAGTGTCTGTTCTGTCGTCCCTTTGAAAGAGAATCAACTCAACTTGTATGTAGTATGGCGATCTGGTCGCAGAACAAGCTTATCGTGATCCCACTCGCCGCCATCATCTGTGGACACTGGGGTCTGCTCTTGCGGGGAGTCGTGCTTGTCAAGGCGCAGTGGGTCGAGGGCCAGGGCTGCGCGATCACTGGTTCTAGCAATACCATCCTCATCGCCACATATGTGTATACGATGACTTTCGACTTCGTCGTCACCATCTTGACAGCGTACAAGCTCGCCTTCAAGAAAGGCACTCGCAGCCAGTTGGTCTCCATGATCTTTGCCGACGGCTTGATCTACTTCGTCATTGCGTAAGTTCGATCCTGGTTGATCAGACGAGAGACTGTTTTTGACGCGATATCGTCAGGTTCCTTTCTAACACAATTGCTGTGATCTTCCTTGTCCTCAATTTAAACGCCGTAATGTCCGTAATTGCCGCTGTTCCGTCAGCTGTCGTCTCCACTGTAAGCGCGCTGTTTTCATTCACTGATGCGCAAACGCTGATTGATACGCAGATCGTAGCCTGTCGCGTCGTTCGACGGCTGAGCAACTACACGAACAAGGGTCCAGAGATGTTCACGTACGTAATCGGGCATGATCGCATTGGTCTCACATCTGATGTCTTGGTACTAGTCCCACACAAGGATCCACACTCGAGTTTCACTCTGGACAGCGCAGTGCTAACATCGCGGTGAACAGGTCACAGGGTGTGCACGTACAGGTCAGTTTTTGCACTCTAGTTTGCTCGACAGCGCTCAGCTCTTCCTATAGATGGACACCTTTGCCGTTGCGGACAAGGCAGAACACGTAGTCAAGGACGCAGATTCTGACGTGGAGGCACAGGGGATCCACGACGATTTCAAGCGACCAGCTTACTAGGCTCTTCAGTCCTCTTTCACAGGTGGTATATATATCGTCTGCCTGTTCCTTGCCACTCTTTACACCGACACATCCCTCACCCTGCGCGTATCCTCCCTACCCGCAGGCTAATTCCTTTCCGTCTTTCCGACTCTTCTCTTGGGGTAAAAAGTCTTGTTGCATTTCCCTCGACGGGATCGGATTGTGGATTGAGTCCATATTATACCCATCAAAAGCCTTCATCGTTGTCAAAAGCTGTATTACGGAGCGAGGCCCGTTCTTCCGTCTTCTAAATCAGAATGGTCGTATGTGGCTCTCTTCCGTCGTTGCACATTGTGTATTTGTAGAATTCAAGTTGGGATACCTTGCTGTCCGAGCATCATTGGTCCATTGTTCCGGAACGCCAATCTCGATATTATCTTCGGATTTAGCTTGGAACGAAAGTCGGGGAAGCGAGGGTGGGGCTCTTTCTGGTTCTTTACTGGTTCTTTGCGGAGGCACATCCGATGAGATCTTGTTAAGCTCCGAAGCTCTGCTGCTTCTCCGTTGTAGAAGCGAAGTGCATTGGCTTTTAAGCATTTCACAAAGATTTGGGTGGGAAGCAGGCCAGTAGGGGTTTAAAATACTCGCGCCAATTTTGGGGCCATCGCACTGCGCACAGAATTTGGACGATGTGGAGGAGACTGTCGTCTAGGACGTAGCGGGAAACGGTACGTACACCGTTGAGTGGCCGATCAATTCTGACTTATTGCCTGTTACGTTGAGCTCTAAGGGGAGCACTGCGGAACGAAGACTAGGAACGGACTGGAACGCAGAGACAACCGAGTCCAACATCCAGCCGAGCTTGCCCAGATCACCTAAGTATTTCACATCTACGGTGTTCAACGCCTTGAAAGACTTACGGCCCCAATTTTTCAGCATGGCGTGTTTCGCAACTTTTTCGACTCTTACGAAACGCTGACAGCGGAGATAAGGCTCCAAGCTATTATATATCACCCTTCTGGCTTGCGCTAGCAACTAAGTTCAAGCAAGATGTGATTGTAGCACAGGGAACAGCACGCAGTTACAGCATCTAAACGAGCCGTTGACTTTTTACTTGTATTCTGACTGCATCCGCTAGCTCTGTACACCTGGCCAGTCAAGTAATCGTTATCTCCGACCACTTGCGCGCAGGAATAGGTTGCGCAGCTATGCAACGATTTAGGAACATCAGTATGGTGTCAGAAAGCTATACGATGCAGTTACCAGCCTCTTCAATATCGAACCTATACGGCGCCATGGCCCACCCTTCTGCCTTCATCATCTTCACCCGCTCCTTACTCATTCTACACCTGATGAACCCGTTCCACATATCAAACTCATCTACTGTAGTCAGAATATAGAGCTCTCCCAGCTTCTTCACGATATTACCCTCCAGTACCTTGTTCGTCCTTTTCGCGATATTATCAGGTTGATACGACCCTGGCTTGTAGAACATAAGTGCCATCACAGGGTCGAACGGAGAAACAAGATTCATGGCGGTCCTAGGAGTGAACTTATGCCTAGGTACGAGCGCCTCGAATGACCCTATCTCATCGAAGGCCTTCGCGAAATCATCCGGCAGGGAAGCGCCTCGTACGACAAGGCGAGAACATTCTCGAAGTCCACTCGCCAGGGGTCGAGGCATACTTTACGCCCAGACACCTACCATGTGTCGTCCGATAGCGGAATGGGGAGTTGTCCGCGGTAGATGGCAACCTCCGAGGTCAAAGAGCCTGCTAGGACTTGCTGCGGATACTCTGTCAGCCAATGAGATGGAAAACTGACACTGTACAGGCGAATGAGCAATCCAATGAAAGCGGTAAGATTTATAGGATATCTAATGAGGTGACGACCTTTTTGCGGTATACCGGGGACGAGCGCGCTGAAAAGGTCACGCGTGAGCCATATGTTGAGCTCGTCGCGTTAAGCGAGGGTCGTCAACGGCCGAGGAAGTGGTTCAGGAAGCCAGCTAGAAAACATCCCACATAGGCTCCATATCTACAACGCGGCACCTAAGAAAGCGAGAAACATCTCTCGGAAGAAGCAGCGCATAGCTGAGGGAAGAGTGCAGGAGTAAGCATCAGGTTGTGTATGTAACGTTGGTAAACAGAGTCGGGCCTTACTTGTAGCAGAACCGATCACCACCTTCCCAAACTGAAGTGTTGAGGAGACAATTTGCAGCAACGGCTGTATCCGACTCGTTCTCCAAGCTCGGAAGCGTGTACACAGCCGTATTGAGTGGTCCATGGGTGTAATCCCTGTTATAGAGACAGTGAGATCGAGTGAGGTGTCCAAAGGTAGATGGTCAACACACGGTACGTTGCTAAGCCATGCACGCGTATAGGACTTAGGGAAGTGACCCGGTCTAGATCTGTGTCCTGGCAGCCTCGTCTTTGCCAATTCCTGTGAAAGATCCCCGAGTAGAATCTCGATCTGTATGCAGCCTTGAAAAGCTTTGAAAGCATCTACCACAGCGTCGAAGAAGATTTCTGTGACACATAAGGAGGGGAAATCTTCGTCGATCTTGTTATTCAACAACCCCATCCGCTCGGCAAACTGATGAATTGACCGAACGAATACAAATGGATCCATGATTATTCTAGGGTATCCGATTTCTCGTTCATGAACGCTGTCCTGCAACAAACAATGTTAGTACGACGAATTCAAGGAAATGTTTCAGGAAGTGGATATTCTCGTACGAAGAACGAAGGATTGGGCTTCCACGTTTCCCGTATGTGTGCGTTGACCTATAAAATGGACTTATGATAGATCGACGGCTCAAAGGCGACATTATTTTTGGACAAACAGACCTTCTTCACCGACTGTTTCGACAATCTGGTGTTTTTTAGACCCCTGATTTGACCTCAGAGCTCTTCAAAACCGTCGTGCCTCGACCTCAAGATGGATGGTGGGAGGTGTGCCTTAGTGAACTCATACCAACTCCCCCCCTCAAGAAACTTGAGGGGAGAGCCAGGTCCCATGCCATCAGGATCCAACATGATATCTACTAATACTGATTTGGCAAGTTTCAACCACTCCGCACGCCTCTTGGGGTCAGTAGGCAGAGGCTCAGTCATATGAGGCTCTGCCGAGCTAATGACATCCTGGTCTTGCATCGCACCAACGGCTCCTTCCACGTCTTGACGCTCTTCTTCTCTACGCTGGTTGATATTATCCCGGTAGGTCGACACATTGCCAGGGTCTTCCATCACATTCGAGGCGAATGTTTTGGGCTGCTTGATATCATGATAGTCGAATATGCCTCGAACCGTTTTGCGATGGAGTCCGGCGCCCCAGTGTCTGAGGGGATACAAGATACCGGCAATCGACTACTCACCAATGTGAAGCCACACTAGAAGCTGGGGAGGGCGCATGTTCAAGCGCTTGATCTGGTCCTTGACAATATCGCGGAAACTGACGCCGGCACATTCAATTAGCGCAAAAAGATAAAAAGTTCAGTGTGGCTTCGTACCGCTGATGGCAGCAAGATGGCATGACGACCCCTCAGTACGCATAGAAGATTGTTGCCTTGATCTCAGCCTCTTTTTCTTCGTTATTTGGCATTTCCAACGATTGTTCCAATAGCGCAAAAATGCAGAGATCACGGGCCAAAGTCTTGGGATGGATATCTAAAAGCGTGATATTTACTTTGAAGCTATCCTGTTTTGCTTTAGTCAGTTTGAGATATTTCTGGTGTAGGCCTATGATGAAGCCAAATACATGGCGGACTAAAATGAAGAACGGAGCTATAAGCTTCATGAGCAGGAATGATACGACGGAATTTTACCATCGCCGACGCCGCCAAACAAGAATGCTAGACAAGAAAGACGCAAATATTTCATCTTGCGAAGGTCTAGGGGATTTGTGTCGACGTCTTCTTCAGGGCCCCAATCTTGGATGATTGACATTATGTCGTCTTGGCCAAGCTATAGACAGATAGAAGTTCTCCTAAAAAGTTGTTCATGAAACGACGCACCGTGCAATATTCCAAGACAGGGTCTCTGCCAAGACATTGTAAAAAATCAACCAACAAGAGTAAGAGGAGGCGACTGACGCTGCTTTCTTCGCAATAGGGATACGAACAAGTCTGTCCTGTGCAGCGTCGCGACCCCGGGATACTGCCTCAATTTCTTTTTCGACGCGTTTCCAGTCCTTCCAAGCTCGTACAGTATCTCTAGGAACCTCTGAACTCTTTGATAGGGCTTCGTTGAACTTTCGTTCAAGCGCCTGGATGGCGCCTGAGCTCTGTTGCAGCACGTCAGATGAGATAGTCCCGCTTCGGACACCATAGCTAAGACTCTTAGCCAAACGAGTATAAAGTTGCGAAGAAAAACTTGGGTTCACGTCTGGTTTTGGAAGCCTTTCCACAGAGCGGCAGATTGCTTCAAAACAAGCAGCGTAGTCACCCATCTCGTATAAAGTCGCGCTGAGATTGGATGGGTATACAGCATCGTTTGGTGCTGCACGGCACTGTTCCGCATCGACATTGTATTACGTGAGAACGCGACTTCAACTTCGTGAACAAGTGGCAAACCTGCTTTCTTCGACCATCACGCCCATCGCGCGCAAGTGCATTAGCCCAGTGCGTCTTTCACCATCCTATCACTGCTTTTAAACCACTGAAGGTTACTGCCAAATGGTCCGCGGTACCGCCACTGCCGACGTCGCTTCTGTTCTCTGAAAATATCATTGCAGCAGCGATCTTGTTCTTGTCAAGCCTTCCTCCGGAGACATCACTTTCCACGACTTCTCGGATATGGCAACAGATTACCGGGCCACTGCGGTCGCCAGCAACGAGTACGAGCCATACAAGGAACCTCATGCCCCTGCGTCCCGCCGCGCGCATGCCATGTCTCTCGAGGCTATCCTCTCGCCCGTGCTCTCTGACTGTTCAACAAGCTCCTCTAGCTCTAGCTCTAGCTTGGCAGCTCGTCGCACTCCAGAATCTCTGCATCCTATCAATACGCGCGGCGGCACCTCAGCTAGCTCTCAGACCGTGACCACAAGTCCTATTCAACCCATTCTCGTCCATCCAACTCCAGCTCGCCGTTCCTTTGTCCTCCAAGCTCCTCTGCCCAAGCGTATACCTTCAGCCTATGCTTCTCCCGCATCTGTCCCCTCGGATACGCCCTCCTATGCTTGGCCTCAGACTCTGCCTCCCGCGCGCTCTGCCATCCCGCACCCCCGCAGGGAATCAGAGCCGGCGCTCGCACGCTCGTCCGCGGGTATCTCAGGCTGGATGCCATCTCCCGGCCGTACCTGTGAAACGATCGACCCCTCTCAGACGCGTTACTGGCGACCGCCGCCCACCGAGCGCCCGCGCCACGCATCTGCGTACTCCGAAGCGCAGGGCATCGAAGACGCGCTCGGCTTGCTGCATCACCGTGGTGCTCGCGTGCCTCCCGACTGCGACCGCGACGGCGCGCCGCACGCGGGCGTTCCTCCGTCCGTCGCGTTCGCCGTAGCCACCTCCGCGCAGCGGGAGCGCAGAGAGCGGGAGCGCGTTGTCGTCGCGGGTGCCACCCCGGCCGCGTACGATCCATTCGTTCCTGTCACTGGAAGGCAACACACGGCCGCCAGCACATCAGGAGTCAGCGCGACTGCCCCACGCCGGAGCGCAAGACACGAAGAAATTTCGCGCGATTCGTCCTCTGCGTCTGATGCTTGCCGTGCTTCTGGTTCTTCACCGCGTTCTTGGAGCTCGATCGTCGGCCTCAACGACAAACAAAAATAAATCGGACGCGACTTTTATGTACGCCTCGTCCTGGCGACATTCAGCGCAAACTACGAACTATCACGCGTCGCGTCTACCCCACATTCTCCGCGTCGATCCCGACTCTCTTGCATTCCTATCCACACCTTACACGTTCCCTACCCATTCTCCCAATGTCAGATTCTATGTGATATATGTATATGCGAGACCAATTAAGTACTTAGAGCACAATGATGCGATGCAAAGTCCGGTTACCGATAGGGCTAGGGTCGAGAGAGACGACATAGACAGACATCGACGGGGGGTTACCATGAGCATGATGGAGTGGGATGAGACGAGACGGGTAAATTGAGACACAGACCCGACACAGAAATCGGGAACTGCCACATTAAAACGAGCGAACAAACGCGGAAAGAAAGAGAAAAAAAGAACGGGAGTCATGACAACACAAACCGCAGGTCCAAAATGTACGCAACCATGCCAAGTCCTGAATGAGAGAGAAAAAAACAGATCGTCATCGTGCCGGCCGTGGTAACTATGCCTTGTTCAGCAGCTCCCGATCGATAGCCTCGTTAATCGTCTTCTTCCTCCCCGTCAAATCCACGCCAAACATGTCCTCGAGCTTCCTCCTGATCTCCTTCTTCGTCACAGTGTTCAAATCCGCGTCTCGCAGCACCTCCTGCACGGCCCTATCGATCTCCGCGTCAGACGGACCCGACATCCCAAACTCTCCGTCCTGAGGACTGCGGGTCGAGGGCAGGTTGATGTCGAGGTAGTTCGTCGTCGGGCGTGATGGCGCAGGCTGGTACAGCATGGGGTTGGATGCGGGGTTGATGAACCCACCCGTCGGGGTGTTGCGGCCCGACTGGTAACCTGGAGGCGGCGCGTGCGGAGGTGCGTACAAGCCCATGGCCCCAAACTGAGAAGGAGACGGCGAGAAGCTGCGCGCTCCAGGGTGCGCCGGCTCGTAGTACGTCTCGCGACCATATACCGACGTCCGAGATTCCGCGTAGCCCTCGTTCTTCAGCTTGGCCGGTGGCGCCCAGGACCCAATGCTGTGATTGGACTCCTTGTCCCAAAGCTCATTTTCCTGAGAAGGGACATCATGAGAAGGAAACGCGGAGCATCACACGAGGAAGCTCACATAGTCGTTCCAGGACTTGAGAGGGATCGCGCGGGCATCGAACTTGCCTTCGTCCTACAGCCACGAGTAAGCCATGAACGACCCGCCAACACGTGATCGAAAGATGCACTCACGTGAACGATCAACTTTTTGCCCGACTCTCCCAACACGAGACGAGTCGCACCCCACGAGAAGTCGTCCATCTTCCAGAATGAGTACAGCGGCAAGAAGAACGAGAAGATGGGAATAGCCAGGATATAGAAGAACATCCACCCGATCATGTCCCACTTGCGCCGCAGGATGAATACGAGCGCTTGTAGACCGTAAATCGCGCCGATCATGATCAAGGACAGCGTCGGGATGGCCTTGTGCTCGCCAGCCGTCAGATAGATAAGATAGACGATCTGCAGGAGCACCGTCAGACGATGAAGGCAGGGAAACGTGAGCGCACGGGACTTACGTAGGCGACGGTGACAGGCGCGACGAGAGTGGACAGCAGGTCGATCATGACCACGAAGCGCATTGAGAAACAACAGAAACCGCAGAGACGATCGAGGAAGATCAGCTCGCCCAAGTTGTGCACCGTCGAGTTGATCCAGCGCCGACGCTGCGACAGCAGTACCTTCCAGTCGTCGGGCGCGACGGTGAACGCGTGCGCATCCCGGACGAACTGCGTCTTGAACATCGGGAAGTGCTTGAGCAGTAGCGTCGTCAGATACCGATCTTCGCCCAGGTGCAAAAGGTTCTTCATGTGCAGCGTGTCCACGCGATTCTCCGAGTAGTCCGTGATCATCTGGTTGGAGATGAGTAGGGGCTTGTGCGTGTCCGGCGTGCGCAGGCGGTAGAGCGAGAAACAACCGGGAAGACAGGTGACGGAACCGAAGAGACTCTCGAAAGCTTTGGCCAGATGATGGGAGATAAAGTACTCGTACACCTGCATCATCGTGACGATCGACTGCTTCGAGTTGGACAGCTCCGTCTCACCGCACACAGCGAGAAGCTTCTTGTCGTGAATCATGCTATCCCAACGTTCAGCGATCCTCTCATACACGGTAACACGAAAGGTACTCACGCAGAGATGAGCCTGTTGACCGACATCGGGTCGACGGTGGTATCGGCATCGACGGTAAGCAAATACTCGTAGAAAGTAGGGTTGACACCAATGACGTTCTTGATCTGGTGATACATCTCAAGCTCGAAGGGGTTCATCGGCGCATTGAAGTGGACCTGCAAAGACCGCGATCAGACGCACTCAAACGACACGAAAAGAAACACCGCCGCCGCCGACCTTGTTCAAAAAGTGCATGACCATCATCTGCGAGTCGCGCTTGCCGCGATTCCCAGGACGCGAGCGCTCCGTCGGCTTGCCCACCTTGACCAGGACGAGGTAAGGCACGACGTGCCCCTGCGTCTCGTACAGCCCAGAGTAGACCTTGCCCATATTGTGCTGCTTGGCGCCTTCGCCCAAAGAGACGAAGCTGAGGGGCTCCGGGTCCTGGTTCGGGTCCGCGCCCAGGATATCGAGCACGATGCGCGGGGTCGGCTTGTCGTTCCCGGAACCGACGATCATGCCGTCGCAGATGATCACGAGCAGCTTGCGCTTGTCGTCGTACTTGAGCTGCGCAAGCGTGTCGATGGTGCCCTTGAGCGACGACTCGCCCTCCGTGTAACAGGGCACCTGGCAGATCACGAACTTGTCATGGTCCTCGGGCGCGCGCGCGGAGCTGATGTTGATCGACGCTAAAAACTTGAACCCGATGACGCTGACCATGATGATCGACAGCACGAGCAGGAGGTACGTCGCGAACTGGCACTGCGCCGAGTTGCGGTTGTCGACCTTGCCGATGGTGAACAGGTTGCGGAGGCAGACCTTCTGCCTCGCCAGCACGTCGCTGTCGATGTTCAGGTTGTCCAGCTGCTTCGTGATGTCCTGCCCCGCGTTGAACTGGAACAGGTCTACCACCGAGCTGTCTAGGAACTGCGTGCTGATGCCGCTCGGGACCTGCTCGCCGGACGGCGCCTGCGTGGCCGGTGGGAACTGGATATAGTCGGTGATCTCGTAGACGAGACCGTTGTAGACGGCCAAGGATCGCTTCTGGCTAGCCATGTTCTTGATCTCCTTCGGCGTGTAACCGACGAAACCGACGCGGTTATTCCAGCGCATGACGGTCATGCTCTCAAAATACCAGTCCGGGCGCGAGTCGTTCGTGAAGACGCGGAAGTCGTGGTATTTCGAGTTGACGTCCGTGTTGTTGCTGAACTTCAAGGTCACGTAGGGAGACACGCTGCCGGTGACGCCGTTGCAGAGGGCGCTGACCTGCAATGGAAAACCGCCTCAGCTCGCCAACGTCCGCCCGAACAACGCAACGCACTCACCTGCACCGGGAACAGATCGTCCGCGCTCTTGCCGCCGTACGCCAAGATCGACTTGGACGCGACGACGGGCACGATGCGCGTATGCGTCGCGGCGATATCCGTCAGATCAAAAACCTCGCCACGGATGGATGTGTACACGTTATTCGGGTCGTTGGCGAACGAGTGCGCGGACAGCTCGTTCGTGGAGAAGACGTGCTCCGTGGGGCAGATGAGGTTCCCGAGCACGGCGATGACGAACACGGCGCACGCGCAGATGAACCAAATAATCAGATTCAGCGCGAGCTTCTCGCGCCACGCCTGCTGCACGTCGAACCGCTTCATGCGGCCAAACCACTTGAGGAACGGCGTCGGCACCCACCACGTCAGGAGCCAGCACAGCGCGACCCACCGCCGCCGCGCCGACGTCTCCTTGACGACCTCCGTGGTCTCCCCCTCCTGGATCTCGCCGGGCAGCGCCTCCTTCTCCAAGAGCGCCTTTTTGTCCGCGTTCTGGAACATGTTGCGCGACGGCGCGTACGACTCGGTCGCGATCGACGCCGTCTCCTCGTGGTTGCTCGTCAGCCTGCTCCGCGCGTCAAAGTCCTCGCTGCGCAGCGACCGGCGCTCGTCGTAGTCGTCGTACATGTCGGCGCGCTGGAACGGAGACGCGTTGGACACGAGGGGCAGCGCCTGGTTAGACTGGTTGAAGGGGTCACCGTAGCCGCCGTTGTACGGGGCGGGCATGTCATGCATGTCGGCGTCCGGCCCACGGTAGGGCGCGTAAGGGTCCCTAATATTCCTCAAATCGAGCCCCGCCTCCGCCTCCGCCTCGCGCATGCGATTCCGCTTGATCTCCTCGCCATCCTTCGACCGCAGGTAATTCTCGAGCTTATGAAACGCGACTTGCGACAAAAATACCTGCCACGCGAATCAATACGCCTTCAAACCTCCCGACGCCGACGCTCACCTTGTACTGCCCCAGCACCAAATCCTTCTCCGCCAACCCCAGCGCCGTCCTCGTCTGCTCGACCTGCTCCCTCGTCTCCCCCTCGCTAACCCCCGCCCCGGCGATCTGCTCCCGATACCGATCGCAGAACTCCCGCGGCGTCATCCCGACCTCGAACATCGTCTCGCACCGCCGCGCGATCTCCGGCAGGCCCATGCTCCGGATCTGGCCCTTCACCGAGCGCCCCTCGAGCTGGTTCGGCAGCTGCGCGTCGTTCGGGTTCACGCAGAACACGTACCACGCCTGCGTCTCCTCCAGCGTCTCGAACAGCGTGTCCAGCGCCGCGCGGAACTCACCCGCCACGCACGGGCTCCCCCCGCCGCTAAGCGTGCGCGACACCCCGTCCCCGTCATCATCGTCCCGCTCCCGCTCCTTCTCCTCGATGTCGCCGAGCGTCGGATTCCGCCGAACCGTGTTCTTGCGGCGCGTGGACGGAGCGCGCATCGGCTTGATCGGCTGCTGCGCGGCGACGATCGTCTCCTCGTTGCGTGGGTGCATCTGCGTCGCGATGGCCTTGCCGGAGAACAGCCCGCGCACGAAGGGGTTGATCGAGCCGGAGCCCTCGCCGCCCGACGGCTCTTGGCCGCCGGCGCCGGCACCCCGCAGGAGGGACACGAAGTCGGGGTTGAGGGCGTCGAGGTTCCGCTCGAGGAAGCCCTCGCACGAGTAGGTGACGGGGCCGTTGAAGTGGTTCACGGTGAACGTGGGGAAGCCGGAGCGGTCCATGGAGCCGACCTTGAACGACGAGTGGTTCCCCCAGCGCTTGCCGAACGCCTCAACCATCGTGTGGTCCGTCTTCTTGCCCAGGCGGCGTGCTTGGTCGTCCATGATGTGGATGAGCCCGCCCGGCTTGTTCTGCAGTAGCCGGATGCACTCCGTGTTGTCGAAGTACGGTACCTGCGGCGCGAAGCGCGAGATGCCCTCGCTGTTGTACTCCGCGACGTGGCTCTCGAACAGGCGCTTCTGGATGAAGTTCTGCAGCCGCTCGTTTGCAAAGTTGATGCAGAACTGGTCGAGCGAGTTGGGGCGGCTCGTCATGTTCTGCGGGCCAGGGAGCTCGAAGAGGCCGATGAACGTCACAAAGTCGTCGCGGCAGAGGCGCTGGTTGATGTGCTCGTTCAGCCACGCGAAGAGGAGCGAGTAGAGCGTCTTGGCGAGGTCGTCGCGGTTGTCCGACGCGCCGTCCGGGTCGAGGAACACGGTGCACAGCTCCTTCTTGACCATCTTCGTCTTGTACGAGAGCGCGGTCTCGAGCGCGGACGCCGTCACGCCCAGGAACTCCGCCACGAGGGCGAGGATGTCCGTGTTGCGCACGACGGCCGCGTCCTCGTTCCGCGAGCGGTCGGTCGTGAACTCGAGGTTGCCCAGGTGCAGGATGGCCGCGATCAGCTGGCACGTCTGCGCGACGTGCCGCTTCGAGAAGCCGACGTTCTTGAGCGCCATCTTGAGGTGGTCGAAGCGCTGCGCGTCGTCGTCATGCATGCCCTGCCGGCTCGCGGCGACGCCCCGCTGGCCGAGGTACCGGTACGTCATTTTGTCAGTCAGATGCATGTGCTGCCGCTCCTCCGGGGACGCGCCGGCGACCAGATAGTAAAATATGTGGAAATTGCGCTCGCCGGACGGCGCGCCCGCAACGCGGTTGCGCTCGAGGTAGTAGTCGAGGGTCTTGACGCCGCTCAGGCGGCCGCGGTCCGAGAATTGCAATTCGGTGTACTTCCCAAAGCGGGAGGCGTTCGCGTTGAAGAGCGTGCGCGCGTTGCCGAAGGACTCGAGCACGAATTCCGCGGCGGGGACCTGGTGGGCAAGCTTCGAGCCCTTCTTGCCCGGGTTGCTGACGCTGAGCTCGAGCAGCGTTTTTATCGCGAGCCGGCGGTTCTCGGACTTGCCGCTCCCGGTCTCGCCGCTGGAGGAGGGCGCGAGGTCAGTGCAGGAAATTCACGGCGGCGCTTTCGATCTGGAAAGGGCGAGACGCCCTGTGCCATGGGTTCCGTCGGGATGGCATGCCCGACAAATCAGCGCACGAGGGAGGACATGCCGCCACAGGCATGACGACACAGCCTCGCCCTTCCCACATCCGGGCACATTAGACGGAATTGAAGGTCCACGCACTTAAGAATGATGCACTGATCCTGCGTCGTGCGGCGCATGTGGTAGTACGCATTGTCCGCGAGCTGGAATATATGGGGCGGCAGACGCTCCCTGTCGTCCGCGGTGCTGCGGTGCTCCGCGGAATACTTGTAGAGGACGGAGTCGGCGTTGCTCGCGACGTACTTGTGGGGGTTGACGGCGACGAGCGCGGAGGTGCCGATGTGGGTGTAGATGTTGTCGGAGAGGAAGCGCTCGCGCAGGCACGAAACGATGATGTCGTCCGAGACGGGGGAGAGGGCAGAGAGGTCGGCGACCGCCTCCAGCCTCTGGTGGAGTAGGGTTGACTGCCGATTCATGGCAGGCAACAGACGGCTGGGCTGCTAGTATCTGGGTGTAACGAGGGGGTTGGGACGGTGGGGCGAGAGAGCGTAGACAGCGAGCTGCGACGGGCTGGCTGGGGGGTCGTCGGGGGTGGTGTTGTTGTCGTCGTCGAGGACGGTGAAGAGAGAAGGTGGACGGTGCGAAAGCTGGGCAGGGAGCGTTGCCACGCGAGGCTTGCAAACGCCGGCTGCCCTCTTATGGCATTTTCTTCCCACGCATCCTGCCCCACATGCCCGCCGCTGATGACGCCACTCGACTCGTACAGATGGTTGTTATACGCGATGTAAACACACACTCAATCAAACGGAACAGGTCGAATCCCAGGCCCCGCCAACCTCCCCGCCTCCGCCGCCGCCGCCGCAAACACAGACGGCACCGGGATCCCGCAACAATCCCCCCACCCGACCTCCCGCTGCCTCGCCCCGCCCAAATCTCCGTGTGGGTGCGCGTGCGCGTGGCCGCGGTGCGCGTCGTCCGCGTCCGCGTCCGCACTCACCGCTATGATGGGGCCATCGTACGCGAGGAGGGAGCCGAAGAGGAAGTGCTGCATCACCGGGAGCTTGCCGAGCACTTCCGCGAGATACATCTTGACCATGCCCGCGTTGACCTTGTCCCACGTCTTGACCTGCAGAAACGCGCGCGGGTCAGCGAACGCGGTGCGCGCGGGACGTAGCGAGCGGGGAAAAGGGCGCGCACGGCGGAGATATCGTCGAGCATGGGCGAGTGCCAGCGTAGCGACGCGGTCTTCACCTGCGAATGAAGTGCGAATATTCAATAGACAGTCGGTCTCGGTCGTGTGCGCGCGACGCAGACGGGGGTGGGGGGCTGACCGAATTTATGAACTGGATGCACGCGAGATACATGTAGTCCTTCGCGTACTCGTCCACGACCTCGGGGTCGTGAATAGATTTCGGCCTCAGATACTTGTGCCCTGCAATGCGCCCGCGCCGTCAATCAGCGCCCGGAACACCGACGATAACAAGAGGGGCGCACGCACCGCGAAGCTGCGCTGAGCCGAACAGAAACGGCAGGAAATGGTAGTCGTCGAGGCCCCAGACGCCGTGCGAGCCCGCGGGCTCGAGCCAGTACGTGGACTGCAGCGTCCGCATGACCTGCACGTATCTGCAAACGCGGACGTTTGTCTACCGCCGGCGAGAGTCTGACCGCACTAACCGCCAGAAGACCCTCACGACGAGCGCAACGTGGTCGCTCTCCTTCACCACGCCAAGGCGCTCGAGACAGATCCTGGCGCGCGGGCGCTGTCAACAGGTGCGCAAAGCGGACAGGGTGGATGCGAGTGCGGCTCACAGCCAACAGAGGAAGTTGAGCTCCATGCCGCTGCCGTAGTCGATGCGGGTGCGGTTGCCCCAGGCTTCCTGGAAGTAGACGGACAGCTCGGGAATGGCCTGCGTGGGAAGGCCGGGCAGGGACTCGTGGAGAGAAGGGGCGATCTGCGGGACGCGTGCGTGAGAGGACGCGGAAGACAGGATGCGGGTACACGCACGTCTTGCACTCGGTCGTAGAAGGTCTTGAAGGCGGGGTTGCCGAACCTGGAGGCAGAGTTGCTGACAGGCGGGACCTGGCGAGCGATGTCCTCGACGCGATCGAGGACGCGGAGGATGGGTTGTATGCCCTGATGGAATGGACGGTGAGTACGCGCATAACGGACTCAGAGGGAAACAGGCGGCGCTGTGTGCCTACCGCGGATTCCGTGCATTGGTCGCCGAGCTTGACGCCCGCCACTGCGTCATTGAGGACCTGGATGTGGGCGACGATGTCGCTGTGGGTGGCCGACTGCTGGAACGCGACGAGCTGGTCGGGGGTCAAGATGGCCTTTGTTGGGACCTTGAAGGAGGTGGCGGCCATGATGTGTTGAAGACGGGTGGATGAGAGGAAGGACGGGCGCCTATTTGATTGACGCGGCGACGCCACCACCGCAACTCCATCTCCGTCGTGAACCTCGCAGTCCGTCCCTCCTCCTGCTCGCCGTACGTCGCGCCCAGCTGGCAGTTTGCGACGCACAGTCTCGACGTTGGCCCCGTTTGTGCGGTGCCCTAACCGACTGCGACCACCGGCACTGCCATAGCCCCCGGGTCTCGCGAGCACTGGCTGTCCTTGCAACGCGGATAATCTCCCAAGACGCGCACCCGGAACGACGCACCCCTCCCCCTCCCCCCCCTCCCCAATGATGCACCGCCGCAAATCCAGCAAGGAGGAAGACGACGCCGTCGCTGTCGTCGTCACCAACGGGGATCACCCCCGGGCATCGAACGGCGATGCGGCACATGCCTTGGCCTCCGCAGCGACCCCGGCGCTGGCGATCCCCCCGTCGCGCTCCCGCGTGAACTCAACGCCCCCCGCCCCGCCGGCGGACTTGTCCCTCTCGTCGTCGCCGCCGCACCCCGCGCACCCGCCCTCGGCGGGGCCGCTCCAGACGAGCTTCAGCCTTCCCCGGGCGACACACACGCACATGCACGCGCACGCGCCGGCGTCGCCCTTCCGCCAGTCCTTCTCGATGCCGTCGCACCTGCACACGCACACGCACGCCCGCACCCGCTCCACCTCGGGCACGCCCTTCTCTCCCCCGCTCCCGTCCCCGCTCTCCGCCTCCTTCCCCCCGCAGTCTCCAGTCTCCCCCGCCCATGGCCCCGCCCCGCCCTTCCCCGCCTCCGCCTCCGACCCCCCGCTCTCCCCCCAGCCCCAGGCTTCCACCCACCCCCGCCGCCACGCCCGCCTCCACTCCCGCAACCTCTCCGTCTTCTTCCCGCGCCCCGGCTCCCTCCCCCACGCCTCCATCGCCGAAGACGGCGCCCAGGAGCTCGAGAACGGCGCCCAAGACCACGACGCCACCGCGCCCGTCTCTCTCATCCCTCCCGCCTCGCCCACCGTCGCGCGCCACAAAAAGCTCGGCGACGGCTTCACCTTCGGCTCCCGCCCGCCCCCCGACGCCCTCGCCGCGTCCCCGCGCACCCCGCCCCTCGCAGGCCCGCGCCCCTCCAAGCGCGGCCACCACCACAAGCACTCGCTCTCCCACAACTTCTTCTCCTTCCTCGAGCCCGGCGCCGAGCTCGCGCTCGAGCTCCAGACACAGCCGACGCCAGTGCCCGTGTCGCCGTGGAACCCGGACGCGTCATTCTCCCCGCATTCTGCGGGTCCCGACACGTCCTCCTTCGCGCTCGACCCGGCCCCCACCTCGACCCGCTCCCACTCCCACTCCCACTCACACGCGCACGCGCACTCTCACTCGCACTCCCTCGCCGACCACGATCACGACCACGCGCACGACCATGACCACGACCACGCGCCCGGACACGAAGACCTCGCGCCCGGACACGCGCACGGCGCCGAGCCCCAGCCCCCGCCCTCCGCCGCGCTCGCCGCGGGCGCACAGTTCGCGCTCGGCGCGTGGCTGTGGGTCGCCGGACAGCAGGCCGGCGCGCTCTCGTGCACCGCGCTCGGATACTGGGTCGTGTTCGACGCGTTCGGGATCGCCGCCGCCGCGTGGCTCCCCGCGCGCCTCCGCCAGCCCGCCGCGCAGGCGCCCCTCCGGCGGCCGTATGGGTGCGTGTGCACCGTCCCCCCTCCCTCCTCCCTGCCCCCTTTCCTCCCCTCCCTCTTTCTCGCCACGCCTCTTTTTCTCTTTTGAGTTTTTGTGGATTTTGCGTTTTTGTGCGTTTTTGGGTGCGGTGATGCTTACGGGTGCGGTTTTGGAACAGCAATGCGCGCGTGGAGACCGTCGCGCTCTTCGCGCAGGTCGTCTTCCTCATGTTCTCCGCCGTGTACGTGTTCAAGGAGGCGCTCGAGCATCTGCTGCTCTCCGCCGGCGACGGGCACCACCACCACCCCGGCGACGAGTCCTCCGACGCGTATGGGTGAGCCTGCGCACGAGTCCGCACACGCGCGCGAGCTGACCGCCTGTCCGCGCTTTTGTCGTATCTAGGATCGCGTTCCCGCTGCTCCCCATCCTCGCGTCCTTCGTCACGCTCTTCGCCAGCGGCGTCTTCTTCCAGAACCACGCGAAGCTCATGAACGGTGCGCCCCCCTCCTCCCCCGCCTTTCCCGCCGCGAGGTCCTTGACGTGATTTCCGTTGCAGTGACCGGCAAGCAGCTCCCGCTGCTGCGCTCGCTGTTGAACCCGTCCCGCCCGCACTACGCGTCGCTCAGCCTCGACCCGCCGTCGCCCCTCGAGCGCGTGCTCACGAACCCCTTCTCGCTCGCGCCCATCGGCCTCGCCGCCGGCGTGTTCCTCGTCCCTAACCTCATCCTTTCGTGAGCCCCTCCTCTTTCCCCTCTCCCTCTCCTTCCCTTGCACCCCGCCGTTTTATTCTACATCCTCTACCATTCGAACGAATCCGGCTAACGCGCGACGGTGTTCCTCGCCTCGTAACAGCGCGCAGCACCGTGCGTGGGACCTCGCCCTCGCGACCGCAGGGGCCGGCGCGATGGCCGCCCTCGCGTACCCCGCGTGCGTCGCCATCGGCACCGTCCTCCTTCAGACCTCGCCCCCGCGCGGGCTCCCAGGCGCGCGCATGGAGTCTTTCCTGCGCGCCATGCGCGAGGTCAGCGTGCTCCTATTCCTCTCCTCGCGTCGTCCGGGCTGACACCAACACCACACACACACTTCACACCGCGCACCGCACACCGCACACCGAATACCTCACGCCGCACTCCTAATGCCTTGCGATTCCCGCCCCCTCCCGCGCCGCCGCGCCCCCCAGATCGAGCGCCACCCGCAAGTTGTGCACCTCCCCCCGCCGCACGTCTGGCAGCTCACGCCGCCCGAGCACGACCCCGCGCGCGGCACCGCGCTCGCGCTCGTCGCGACGCTCGAGCTGCGCGTGCCGCGCGACCTCGGCGACGCGGACGTGCTGCGGCTCACGCGCTGGGCGTGGGAGAAGTGCGTGCACGCACTCGGGCCCGGCGGGGGCGCGGGCGGGAGCACGGTCACGGTTGGCGTCGTGCGCAATGAGTAGGAGGGCCGCGAGAGTCGGTCCGGTTGGGAGCTGCGATGCGGGGTTGGCGCGCGAGACGTCTATTTCTTTCTTTCTTTCTATCTTTCTTTCTTTCTTTATGTTTCGCTTTTTCGCTTTTTCGCTTCTTTTCTTAGTCTGCTTTTATTTTTTTCGTTCTTTGCTTCGTTGGTGGAAGAGGGCGCTGTTGGTCTTCGCTCTCGACGGGCGCGTGTGCGCGCGGGTAGGAAGGGGGAAGCCGTTAACATGTAGAGGCGTATATAGGACGGATCGAGGCGCTTAATACACTGCTGGATACCCTGCGCACCAGGTAGGCGCATGCCCAACGTCCAACGCACACGACACGACACGACACAACAGGAGAATGAGAGCAGATCTCATTGACGCAGCCGACGGTACGGTATGGAGACGGCGGGCTACTTGCCCTTCTTCTTCCCCTTGCCCTTGCCGAACGCCTTGCCCTCGAAGCCGGGGCGCGCCTTGGAGGAGGCCTTGGGCTTGGTGCCCTTGCGCTTGTCGCTTCGCCGCTCGTTGCGCTGCGCGATGTTGTCGGTGCGTTTTTTCTGCCTGGCCGCCATCGCGGCGCCGATCTGCTCCTTGCGCTCGTCCCTGCACGAGCAAAACAGGAAGGGGGGCGGGAGAGGCGCACGCGTGAGCGGTACGGACACGGGAATGCGCGGCGCGCGACGCACCAGGACTTCTTGCTCTTGCCCTTCTCCTTCTCGTCCTTCTTGACGGCCTTCTTGAGGCGCGCCTCGTCGTCGCGCACCTTGACGCCCTCCATGCGTGCCTCGGCCTTCTGCCAGCGCTCGCGCTCCTCGATCTGGCGGCGCTTGTCCGCGGGTAGCGCCGCGAGCCGCTCCTTGCGCGCCGCGAGCTGCGCAAGCGCCTGTGTCGGGTTCGCGGACGTCGTGAGGCGCTGATGCGCCTTTTTGCTGGAGGAGGGCGCGTCGGCGGGCGTCGCGAGCGTGGAGAAGGCGATGTTGGTGAAGGGGGATTTGGGGTCGTGCGCGGGGCGCGAGGAGGGCGGGCGGTCGGGAACGAGGAGCTGTGTCTGCGGGCGAGATTGAGATCAGGATGGGACAGTACGTGGAGAGGTGGGGTACGAGCACGCACCTTGGTCGTCTGCGCCTTGTCCCGGCCCTTGTCCTTATCCTTGCCCTTCTTCCCCCGCTGCTCCTCCTCTCTCCGGATTTTCTCCCGCGTCTCCTTCCGCCGCCGCTCCCGCATCGCCGCGCGCTGCTGCCGGCGCTCCTCAAGCAGCTCGTCGCGGCTTCCGACGTCCTGCGGGTACTCTCCGGGGGGCCTGCGGCCGCGATTCCGAAGAGTGGACATGCGCGCGTGCAGTTTTGCGCGAAGGGCGTCGATACTCTGCGACTCAGGCATCGGGACGATCTCCGCCGCCTCGTCTTCGTCGAACTCGTCATCCTCATTCACGTCGTCATGTCCGTCGAGGTCGAGGTCGAGGGTGACGTCCGCGGCGCCGTCTTCCTCGTCGGATGCATCGTCAGCGGGGTGTTTCTGCGCCTGCTTTGCTTTGCCTTTCTTCGCGCGGGCGGACGCTGACGCGCGCTCGTTTTGTATGTCGAGGATGGACTTATTGTTGGCGGGGTCGAGCTGCGAGGACGGGGATCTGAGCGGCGCGGCGCGGCGCGATATGGCACAGACGACGCACCTTTTCGCGGCGGGCCTTTTTCGAGGCCTCCTTGATGGCCTGCTTCGGCGCCTGCTTGTTGCGCTTATTTTTGTGGTACTTGGAGCTCTGTGCGCCGATGCGCGGCGGGGCGCGGGGCGGTGAGGGGGACAGCGCGGGGCGGGGCGGCGGGATACACACGCACCTGGTCGTCGCCGTCGTCCTGGACGAGGTAGAATTTGGCGGGGATGAGGCGGAGGAGGGACTCAAATGTCGCGTTGTGTTTTTCGAGGGAGGCGTGGAGGGCTGCCGCTGATGTTGGCATTTTGCGGTCGTCGTGCCCGGCGAGGAGGGGGAAAGTAATTCGTTGACGGTTACAAAGTTTGTGAGCGTGCTTGTCGGCCGTTGTAGCCGTGGGAATTATGGGTGAGCGTGACGCTGAGCGCGTGGTGTGACAACGGTGATAGTGACACTCTCAACGACGACACCGACAACGACGACGGCATCCTCTCTTCCGGCCAGCCCCATCGATAAGTATGTCCACAGCGGTTCCTATCGCTCCTGAGCGCGTGCCTGTACTGTGGGTGCGCGCAGGCACGAAGCCGTCGCGTCTTATTGTGATTACCTAACGGACGAGACAAAGGAACGCGGGCGACAAAGAACGGGTCAAGACAATTGGCGCAACAAAAGGCAATGGCAGTCGACCGCCGCTCGCAGTTCTCCTTCGCCTTTCTCCTCTTCGACCTCCTCAATGCGTCGCACAACGGCCCTCGAGGTCGACACTGGCGCCGCGGCGATGGCAGCGACTCCCGCGACGACATCCTCCTTTGCGCACACCCCAGAGTCTGCCGCCGCTCTCAACGCACACACACACGAAAAGGAATATATACCTCCCACCCCATCCATCCGGCTCTTATTTTCTCTTCTCTCACGACGCGACGTTCTCCTCCTTGTTCTCCCCGCTGTTCTCTCGTCCGTCATCGCCGGCGGCGTCGCCCCGTTCATGACCTACGTCGTCGGCCAAGTCTTCAACTCGTTTGCACAGTTCCCCTTGACTTCGAATCCGCCCCAAGATGCGAAATCAGCCCTCCTGCACGACGTCGGCCTCTCCGCCCTCGAGCTCGTCGGTCTCGCCGCCGCCGCCCTGTCGCTCAGCAGCCTCACTTCCTGCCTCTGGATATGGACCGGCGAGCGCAACACGATGCTCTTGCGCAAGAAGGTGTATTCGTCTGTCACCTCCAAGGACATGATCTGGTTCGATACGAAGATGGGCGCGGAAGACTCTGTGCAGTCCACCGAGGGCGACGGTCCCGTCGGTGCTGGAGGCCTCATGGCCAAGTTCGCGAGGTGCGCCCTTTGTGTGAACCCTTTCCTTTGTTCACATGTGCTGATGATGCCTCCACATTTCAGGGAGACGGAAGAGGTCCGGATGGCGTCTTCGCTCGCGTGCGGCATGATCCTTCAACATCTCACCACCACGGTGGCCTGCCTCATTCTCGGCTTCGATCGCTCATGGGCACTCACCCTCGTCATCCTCTCCGCCGTTCCCGTCCTCATGATCATCCAAGGCGTTTCCCAGGGCGTTGCAGGGCCCCTGCTCACCATCGAGCGCGCTCAGACAGCCACCGCCGCGACGCTCGTAGATCGCGCCGTCGCGGCCATCGCTACCGTCAAGGCCTTCAACGCCGCCACCTACGAGCACTCGACGCTCTCCGTTGCGCTCGACAAGATGCGCGCGGTGGCGAAGAAGTGCAACGCGGTGTGGGGCTTCACGTCCGGCCTCGCCCAGTTTGTTATGATGGCGATGTTCGTGCAGGGCTTCTGGTTTGGCTCGAAGCTCGTGCGCGAGCACAAGGTCGCCGCGGGCGACGTCATGGCCGTCTTCTGGGCGTGCCTCATCGCGACGACGAACCTTCAGATGTGCATCCCGCACTTCATCACGCTCGCCAAGGGCAAGTTCTCCATGGCCGCCCTCCTCGCCCTCGTCGACGCCCCGAACCCTCCCGCATCTCCGGCGTCGACGCGCAGGCCGAGCATGGCGTCGTACACCCTCGCCGCGAGCAAGAACCGCAAGCCCGCCTCGTTCCGCAGGATCGTGCCCCGCAAGTGCTCCGGCGAGCTCGCCATGGACAACGTCACGTTCGCATACCCCTCACGCCCCACCGTCCCTGTCCTCGACGACGTCTCGCTCTACCTCCCCGCGCACGAGACGACGTTCATCGTCGGCGGGTCCGGCTCTGGCAAGTCGACCATCGCGCAGCTGCTGCTGCGCATGTACGACGTGCAGCACGGTACGATCTCGCTCGACAACCAGGACATCGAGTACCTCGACGTGGACTGGACGCGGCGCCAGGTCGGCGCGATCTCGCAGGGCTGCATCCTCTTCGATATGAGCGTGCACGACAACGTCGCGATGGGCCTGGCAGGCGCTGGGTCCAGCAGGCGGCCAGAGGACGTGACGCGCGAAGAGGTTGTCGACGCGTGCACGGGCGCGTTGATGCACGAGTTTGTGAGGGACCTTCCCAATGGCTATGATACCCTTCTCGGCACTGGCGGCGCGAACCTGTCCGGTGGACAGAAGCAACGGCTGGCCATTGCACGGGCTAAACTGCGCGACCCCAAAATTCTCATTCTCGGTACGTACGATCCCACCTCCCCCGTTCTTCCTCACTCACCGTAGATCGTTGACAGACGAGGCCACTTCCGCGCTGGACGCGACCTCCCGGATCTTGGTGTTCGAGGCCCTCAAGCGCTGGCGCACGAACAAGACCACGATCGTCATCACCCACGACCTTTCTCAGATCACTCCTGGCGATTTTGTATACGTACTCAAGGACGGCCGCGTCGTCGAGCAGGGCTACCGACATGACCTCGAGGCCACCGAAGGCGGCGAGTTCCGCGCAATGGCCGGAGCGCAGGGCGCTACGGGCGGGCTCCCGGAGACGGAGGATGACTGGTGGTCCGACGACGCGAGGCGTGCGCGAGGCCTGGAGGTTGGGGATATTCTTGAGCAGCAGGAGAAGGTGCGCGGGGAGACGGCCGCGGGCGACGCCGATGCGTTCAAGCGCCAGACGCTCGTCCAGCCTTCGCTTCGCCCGCTCACGCTCGGGAACTGGGTCTTCGACGCCATCGCAGATCTGACGCTGGCGCGGACCGACGACGTTGAAGACACCAAGCGTGCTAGTCGGTTTATTTCCACCGAGGCTTTTGGCACCGCGCGCGAGCAGCCGGCTGACGCTCCGCGTCGGCCTTCGACTATCGCTATCGATCTCCCTGAACAACCCGCTACCGCGCGCACGTCGATTCCTCGGCGCCTCAGTCTGCAGTTCACCCCGACCTCCCCTGTATTCAGCAACAATTTGTATTCTGCTTCCTCTACTGTATTCGACGATTTTGTTTTTGACGACGAGAAGCGCGCGCTCAAGCTCAGCGCCAACGCGGCCTCGCAGCGGCGGCTCGGTGGCGACGAGGCCGCCTCGAAAAGGGTCCGTGCGCGATGGGACGACGTCAAGATGGCCCCGCTCAAAGAGGTCAAGGTTTCCCAGCCGGAGGAGTTTGGTGTCCACCACGCTGCTCACGCGGAGAACCAAATCAGTTTTTCGCGCCTGATGCGCGACGTTTACCCCACCGTCCCATACAAGCCCGTCGTCGCGCTCGGCATGCTGTTCTGCGTCGTCAGCGGCGCGATGACGCCCGTCTTCTCCTTCGTGCTCTCGCGCCTCCTTTACGAGGTGTCCATCGGCGCGGGCGACGCGACGCTGATCAACAAGTTCGGTGGGATTGTGCTTGCGGTCGCGGCTGTGGACGGGCTTGCGATGGGCCTCAAGTACTTCACGATGGAGACGACGGCAATGGCCTGGGTGACGCGGATCCGCAAGGCGTGCTACGCGCGCGTGCTCGCGCAGGATAAGCGGTGGTTCGACCGGTCCGAGAACGCGCCTGCGCGCCTGGTGCAGGTCCTGATCAAGGACGGCGACGACGCGCGCTCGCTCATCGCGACGGTGCTCGCGCAGGCGATCGTGGTCGCCACGATGCTCGGCGTCGGCCTCGTGTGGGCGCTCGTGCAGGGGTGGCAGCTGACGCTGGTCGGCCTCGCGATTGCGCCCGTGTTCGCGGTCGCGATGGCCGTGCAGACGAACTTGGTGGCCAAGTGCGAGCTGAGGAACAAGCGTGCGAGGGAGGAGGTCGCCACGGGGTACTACGATGTGAGTGCTGTTATCTAAACGCCTAGAGATAGGCATCAGCTGACGATCGTGTGTGCAGACGATTCTCAACATTCGCGGGATCCGCTCTATGGGCTTCGAAAGCGTGTTCTTGGAGCGCTTCGACCGGTCCGTTGACGATGCGCTCACCACGGGGGTGCGGGGCGCCTTTGTGGAGGGATGTACATACGGAGTTGCGAGCTCGCTCATTTACCTCGCGGAGGCGCTCCTCTTTTACGTCGGCGCCGTGCTCGTCGCGAAAGGCACCTATACGTACCTGCAGATGGTCCAGGTCCTCAACCTGGTCGTCTTCACCGTCAGCATCGGATCCCAGTTGATGGCGTTCAGTGAGTGAATTCCTGCTTTGAGGTTGCGGCCGAATATTGACCGAACTTCTTTTTTCAGCCCAGAGAATTGCAAAGTCTGTGCAAGCGTCCAAGGACTTTAACCGTCTATTGCAGCTTTCCACCGACACCGAAGAGTCTCGGGGCATACTGCGTCCTCCCATCGCCGGCGCCATCTCCTTCAGCCACGTCAAGTTCGTGTACCCAGAAAGACCCGATGTCGTCGTTCTCAACGACTTCAGCATGGACATCGCGGACGGGGAGAGCGTCGCCATCGTCGGCGCATCCGGCTCTGGCAAGTCCACCGTCGCGGCGCTGCTGCAGCGCCTCTATGAGCCGGACGCCGGCTCGATCTCGATCGGCCCGTGGGACCTGGACTCCACGGACGTGAGACACCTGCGCGACCACGTCGCCGTCGTCAGCCAGAACCCGAACCTCTTCGATGCCACTGTCGCGGAGAACATCGCGTACGGCGCTGCGGGCTTACCCATCGCGGACGTCGAGCGCGCCGCCGAGGCCGCGAATGTGCACGAGTTCGTCGCGGCGCTGCCGCAGGGGTACGAGACGATGGTCGGCGAGAACGCGGCGCTCATCTCGGGCGGGCAGGCGCAGCGGCTGCAGATCGCGCGCGCTCTCGTGCGCCCGGCGAAGGTGCTGATCCTGGACGAGTGCACGTCGGCGCTGGACTCCGCGAACCAGGCGGCGGTGATGCGGACGATCATGGACGCGAAGGTCGGGCGCACGACGCTGATGGTGACGCACAAGCTGCCGGTCATGCGCATGTGCGATCGGATACTGGTGCTGCACGAGGGCGCCATCGCGGAACAGGGTACGTACGAGGAGCTGATGGCGAACAAGGGGGTGTTTGCGCAGCTGGCCAGCGGCGGCGAGTGGGCTGGCGAGTGATTCTTTCCGTCTTTCCGTTCTCCCATCCTTTTTTCATTTTTTATCCCTGACCCTGATTCTGTGTCCTCTCTTTGTTCACTCCCCGTTCTACTGCTGCTATCTATCTGCGGAACTTTTTTTTTTTTCAGGCTCTGACACGATTTGCACGAGCACGCTACTATAGCCTTCGACGTTCTCTACTTTTACTGTACGCCTTCATACCACGACTCGACCAACGTCCGCATTTGTAGTACCATCGCATAGCATCATATAACCAGCTGTATCTCTTATTACACCATCGCCAGTTTCGATGAATGACAAGCTACGATACATTTTATTGCTTAAACTCGTGCGCGAACAGCAAAAGGCAAATCCACATGAGTTTTCCGTCAAACGCATGATCACACTCGAGGGATAACCAGTACGCGCAGATTCTCGTGTGTGCGTCTGAGAGAGGTCGCTCACTGGCTGAAGTTGGTGATGCCGTCGAAGTTGACGATTGGGCCGGCCGAGCCCCCGCTCACTTTCAGCGAAGCCCAGTCCCATGTTCCTGAGAACACGCGTTAGAACTGTTTTTCTTTCGTGCAACGGTGAAGACGCCTACCGGTACATGCGCCAGCCCCACAGTTCACAGCCACCCGATCAGCGCCGGAATTTACAGTGAGGGACGTCGTGCTACCGGAGAAATTGATGTCCTGATATAGGACAGTTGAGAATGACGCATTTATTTTTTCAGTTATTGAGCCACCAATACTCACTGAGATCTTAACACCTGTCCCAGGAGTTCCAAGGGTATCCGGGTAGCTCTGACATCATCGCAGATGAGGGCCGAGGACGGCGGGGAAATGTAAATCAGCGCTCACCTGGTCAATGAGGATTCCAAATTGGCGCAAGCCAGTGCCTGTGTTCCCGCTGTACGTGACGTTCGAGACAGAGGCACTTGTTGCGGATGCCTTCGTTTTGATGCGGAGAGCTTGGTCGCTGTAATACGTGCATTAACCTCTGATGGACGCCCAACCCGGAAGCTTGACTCACTTGTTGGTGACGGTGTTTCCGGATATGACGATACCAGAAACGACGGCGTCGCTGGAGATCGATCCCTGAAGAGCAAAAATGTGCTCAATGATCAAAGCTGCGAAGAATACGACCGACTAACGATAGAGATGCCATGTCCACCGATGCATGTGTTGCCAGTGAAGACGATGTTTGAGCCCTTGTTGATAGCAAGGCAGTCATCCTGATTGTGAATCGTGCTAGAGCATGAATGCTTGTGGGCGAGAGACAAGATCAAGCAGATGTGCAAGGCGCATACCTGCTTTCTATGATCAGGTCAGTGGTGCTGACGTCAAAACCGTCGGTGTTGTGGCCAGCAGCGAGTCTGTTGCTAGCTGAATTCGGCAAGTCACCGAGCGCTTCATTACGGTAAGCATCGGGTTATACTGAAGAAAATGGAACCGAGTACTCACAATCGTCGATATTTAGTTTTGACATAACCAACGGCCCAGGATTGGACACGCTATAGACACGGGCAGGTGAATTGAGTACCTTCACATTCTGATGCAGCTCGGTATCAGTGAGTCAGATATAAAGCCAGGGGCGTCAACAATACCGTGAAAGTACCGGAGATCTTGATTCTTGAGGATGTCAAAGAAGAGCTAAGTCACAGCTTTACAAGACGACATACTTCATCATGGGGGCTGGTTTCGTTACGCCTCCATTGCCGCCAAGGCCATCCTAGCCATGACGTTTAGGCCACAGATCAGACGTCTGGAAACGAAAAACACACACCCAATAGAACGGTCCATTCCCATTGAAGGTGTGGCCATTCCCATTAACTGCACGCATTGATTGGTTGAGGTGACCGCAATGGCAGCTAAAAATGCGGTGGCTCACATGTAACCGAGTCTCCACTTGAGGTCACATGAAAATATCATCGTGAGATAGAATCGTCATGGATAACAATAAGTGCCGAAAGTATTCTTACCTGACTTGGAACAGCGGACCAGCCCACGTCTTGTTGCCAAAACTGACATCCCCCTCTAAGAGACGCGGGAGGGGTTGGGTGCGTGTAAGTAGATACAGGGAAGAAGAGCATACCCATGTTCACAGTCGTCCCGTCAGCGAGGTCGAGATTGAAAGTTTCCCCAGCAGGCACAGTGAACGAATTAATGTTGACCGTGGTACATTCAACAGCGTCATCAACGTCGTCCAGAGAAGATATGGTCCCAGTACAAGCCGTCCCCTGCTTGGTGCCAAGAATACAGGGGACGGCAGCGGCAAAAATCACAAACGCAGCTTTGAACATATCCGAGAGGATTGCCAGGCCGTAAGAGGTCAGTCTGGCGGAAAAATCAGAGCCCACTGGCCTTTTATGCATCGTCATAACGTGGAGAAACTGACCGCTACCTTTTCATCCGTTGTCAGGTGTACTTGGCGCAGGATGCAATTGAGCATTCTGTGTCAAGAAAAAATGGCTCGCCCGAAATAGAGCCGTGCATTGGTCCCGAAAAAAGCTAAAACGAACACTGACAGACTTCCAAGTCGCAGCGCTATTTAGAGCTCAAGAGCATATAAATAGCACTGCGCGGTTAGCCGGAGCAAGAATGCATGCACTTGGTCATGAGGCAAGGTGCAAAATGTGGTGGGATACTCATTAAGCGTAGTCCAACTGGATTAGCAGCGGTCCGAGCGGGGCGCCGTACCGCAGTATATTCCAGAGCCACAAGATCCATGTCTGTACAAGTGACTGTGAGATGACATCCTTTGCTTGCGTGCCTATGCCGAGTGATTGAAACCCTATGATACCTGACTGCAGCTTCTCGGGTACTCCAGTAGAGGCGGACGTCGCCCATGGCACCAATTTTGGAATGCCTCGTGAGAGGGCAGGGCATCGTGGTTGCAACGATGCATGGAAGGCGTTCGAGCGTAGGAATCTGTTAAAACCCGAACTGAAGAACAGACAAAAACAATGAGTTCAAGATATTGATGATTTTCTAATTCATCGTCATCAAGACAGAAGCCAAACCTCATATCGGCTAAAGGTCTACAGCCAGATTCATAATGATGGGCCTTGACAAAAAGAGAACATGCTTAGCAAATTGTGTCGGCGCTGAAATATTTTGGCCGTGTCCGGTAGATGCCGATTTCTTGTTGTCCTCACCCCTCTCCCCAGTCGTACGCTGTCTGGATCTCAAATTTGACGCTCCGACTGGGTCCTTTTTCCGAAGCTTGGGCCTATCGTTATGAATCTGACTGTAAACACGGGCCGGGATTACCCAATCAGTATAAGGTGCTGCACACATCACTTCAAAACCTCGGTGGATATGGTTTCCACGCCTATTACGTTCCGCTTGACGTGCAAAACGGACCCTTTGTTACTCGTTTCGGTTCAATGATGAGACATGAGTGCATGAGGCCTGAGGTGTCTGTCAGGAATAAGCGAAGGGCTGATCTGCCCGTTGACCGATATGTCGATAACTAAGTTGATCTCCTCTGTTCCCTGAAACCTGAAGCTTGAAGCTTGGATAGCGCAGGCATATAGATAGCAAATCGACATTCTATATAGATGAAACTCCCCAAGACTTATCTACAGACTGAAATTCTCGATTCCACTGAAGCCGGAGATCGAACCAGCGGAGCCACCGCTGACTTTCAGCTTTCCCCAGTCCCAAGTGCCTGAAATTCGAAATTTAAAACCAAGCCAGTAATCAATGAGTATTACATGCCTGTGCAATCCCCGCAGTTGACTGCTACACGTTTCGCTCCAGAGACAACCGCAACATCTGACTCAGCACCAGAGAATGTGATGCCCTAGTAGAAACATGACAATCTATCAGCGAAGATCTCAGATGTGCTGGATAAGTTGACTTGCAGAAATATGCACATTCTTCCCGGGAGTGCCGAGCGTGTCGGGGTAGCTCTGGGAGGTTCAAATCGTAAGAAAGATTGTAAAGGCATGGAGATGTGACAGTCACCTGGTCGATGAGAACGCCATACTTCCGGATGCCAGTAGCTGTGTTACCCGAGTAAGTTACATTTGAGACAGACGCATCAGTAGCGGATGCTTTGGTTTTAATGCGAAGGCCGTTGTCGCTGTATACGCTCCGTTTAATTTTCAAATCTTACGTTCGAGTCAAATGATGACGAACTTGTTCGTGATGGTGTTACCAGAGATGATCACGCCAGAAACAGTAGCCCCCGTCGAGATCGATCCCTAGAAGTACCTTCAGTGAGTGGAGCATATCATGATGGATGATAGGACACACGATGGAGATACCATGCCCACCAACACAAGTATTCCTCTGGAACACGATATTCGAACCCTTGTTGATAGCAATACAATCGTCTTGGTTGTAAACGGTACTGGAAGGGAACTTGTTGGCAGGAAGAGTCAAGGCTCATGACGATATACTCACCTGTCCTCAATTGTCAGGTCGGTGGTGCTGACGTCAAAGCCATCGGTGTTGTGACCAGCCGCTTTACCGCCGCTTTTAGAGTTTGCAGCATCTCCCGCAGCTATATATTACAATAAGCAGGGCATCATATTGATTCAAATTCAATGCTTACAGTTATCGATGGTCAGTTTTGACATGACTAGTGGAGCCGGGTTGGAAACACTATAGACATGTGCTGGAGAGTTCAAGACTTTGATATTCTGTGAGGCTGTTCAGCTCCTAGACACAGCTCGAGAGCACGCAGGGGTTCTTACGGTAAATGTGCCGGAGATCTTAATCCTGTATTCATGGCCTGAGTGTCAGCCTGGCGTGTAGGAAACCCTAAAATGCAAGACTGACTTCATCATTGGATGGGGTTTCGTGACCCCTCCATTCCCGCCCTGTCCATCCTGATATTTCCCCGTGAGAATCTGAGAATAGCAAACGGGGAATGCATGATTACCCAATAGAATGGTCCGTTACCGTTGAACGTATGACCATTGCCATTGACTGGCTGTGGTTAACCTTCTCCGCCAACTTGGAAGAAAAACCGAAGACACATACATGTGATGGAGCTTCCACTGGGGCACGATTAAGAAAACGTCATGTGAGCAAGGAGCTGATCTACTGACCTGATTTGAAAGAGGGGACCTGCCCAGGTCTGGTTACCGAAGCTGACGTCGCCATCTATAGGTAGACAATGTCTAGTCTACTGTCGATCAAGTTTATAGCCCCACAAAATTACTCACTCAGATTGACAGTAGTGCCAGCGGCGAGGGAAAGATCAAAAGTCTTGCCCGCGGGGACAATGAAGGAATTGATGTTGACGGTGGTGCACTTAACCGCAGCGGCGACGTCGTCCAAGGATGAGATGGTGCCAACGCAGGAGGAAGCACCAAAGACAGAAGAGACCGTGGTAGCAGACAGAAGAAGGACAAGTGTGAGAGCAGACATGGGAGATAAAGTTGTATCGTTCCGCAACGGGAACTCTGTGGTTAAATATTCCGCGCTGGTCAAGCAAGCCTCTCCCAATAGGTGAAAGGCACCATGTGGGCGATCGCACTAAGCACCGAGACCTCTATTGCTCAGCGGGACGACGGATAAACAGGACGGGTAGGTCGAAAACACCAAGGAAAAACCAGCATGGTCTATTAGGACTTCACCACGGCTCTGCCGACATCCTGGCGGCGGTCGATGCGGGCGATCGTTAGTGTGACCGCCGTCTGGCTATTTTTCCGAGATTTTGAGTTCGCACAGAACTTTGAAGGACCTGAATGTTAAGCGGAGGTAAATGCTTCTGTTCCAATGTGTCGAGCTTGAACTTGAGCGCTTGAGCACCTGGGCTTCGCAATGAACACGTTTCAAAACCTGTTCACTCTCGGCAATATGGATTTCGGGGTGTATCGACGACAGCCCACAGTGTGCCTCAGTAACTTGGGCTAGACGGATTAGACTACTTGAAGGATGAATTAAAAAATAGTTGCACGCGCACCGGAAGCAAGGAAGCTAAAACAGAACAAGCCCGGCCAGTGCCCGGATCCACAATGGACCGGGCGGGACGCCCTCCTAAGAGCAGCTGCCACGTCGGGTCCCGGCACCAACGCGTGATTCGACTCATGGGCTCGAGCCACCGGCCCAGGTGAAGGAGGTCAGTAGGAGGTCATGCAGATACCTAGAGGCACCAGGGAACGGAGAATTCAATTGTCGGTCCACCGTCGGTCCACCGTCGGTCCGCAGCGTGACAACCGGTGACATGACGACGACAAGAGCTTCTAAAAAGGCAATCAATTGTCAAATCGGGGGATGTAAGTTTTACCGTGGTGTATGAAAGAGTTATGAAAGTAACACAGATAACAGACGCACCGCGCGTTTAAGATCGCAGATCTGAATCATAATGCTTAACTCGTCCGCTCACGATGTCGAAATCATGCATATTCAAAGTTATCTGAATAGCTATATCTAGGAAACATAAGTAAGGTGGTGAGTCTGCTGATAGACGTGTTCATTGCTCACGTAATATTAGATTATGATCGCAGGCACTTCTGGCTTGATACTCTACGTACCATGCCTCTGAGAAAAGGAGAGCAGCATGCTGCGATTGATACATATAGAGCGCCTCCGAAGTTCTTTTGTGTCAAGGGAAGTATGTCTGTGTTCGTTCATCCAACGAGAGGCGTATACCAGTGGGTCTATGACTGGAATCGAATCCATGAGGTCTGTAGGAAATGAGTCGAGTCGACATATTTGTACACTTGCCGAAGTATGCGACATATAGTCAGAAATCAATTGAGACGGGTCAGAGCAGCTTGGAACATTACGAACTCGTGGATTAAATAAATAATGTATGCTTGATGCCTCCAGAGTATCCGCAGCCAGAAATCGTCGATCTATTGTGGTGAGTCTGAAGAGTGCAAAAACGAATCCACTTTGAAATTGAAACCAGGCCAAAACGTAGTGATGTCGACATAAGAGATCAATGGAAAATATCTGTTCAGGGTAAAAAGCGATATCTGATGGCTGGGAATTCTGAATTCTGAGTTGATCTCTGAAACCATGAAGGATACTCGATACACACGTGTAACCAATGCATTCAAATGACGATGTGAGACTCACCTTCAATGGACAAAAAAGCGAAAGGCATTCGAATTCACTACAGTAACGTTAGACAAATGGATAAGTTGATGTCCAAAACAGTATCAACGCCGGCATGTGCACTATCATCAAGGGCGGTCACCGACAACGGAGAACATGCCACGGAGACGAGAGCTGTGCACCAAGAGATGCCGATGAATCTTGAACAAACGAGCTTCATACAATCACTATAGATTGGTATGGTCCGAGGTCGCATTCGTCGAGAGTATTGTATTCATCAAAATGTAGACATCTGATCAAGCATATTTTAGCGTGGCGCAGGATCGCAGCTGTCAGGCCTGACATGTTGGGATTCTGGCCTTGGGGCGGAGTAGGTTGCAACGAATTCCCATTGATCGCCCACTGCCTCGTGTACGCCGTCAAAGAACTGGGAGATATGGATTCTGCACGAATTAGTCACTTGATCCTATAAAGATCATCAGCAGGCACAGTGACGATCAAAAGAACAGACCATGGAATGCTCGAAAATACTCAGTCTACTAATTGATGCCAGTGAGCAGGACGGTCACGCACGAGCCACTCCTTGGCTTGCGCCGAACCCCTTTCGGAGGTATGTGTATCACCCGATATGCACTCCCAAGAAGCGTAGATGTAAGGTCGGTCAAGCCCCTGTCGAATTTTCTGCGGTCAATAAGTGTCAAATGAAAGGCTTGTGCACGGCGCACGCAATAATGCATTCGATGAGCGAGGTTCATCCACCGAAACGCAGAAAGTAACCCCAACTACGTGTTTGAAAGAAGTAAACTGGTATAGAGCGCAAGTGAATGTCACTAGATCCTATGTCCGGAAACATTGTCACTCTCGTCAAATGCCGTAGGACGGAAACCTTTTTCAGTACGGCATGCAGCATAAATGACAGAACAATTCACCCACCAGCGACAGCGAGGTACAGCGTTCGATAGTTGATTGAAGAGGCACATCACATTAACGACACTTTGTTTAGAAATAGGCAGAAGGGTTTAGGATATCAAGCAGCGTTGTTGATAGGCCTATGGTACTAATCAATTTCAGAGTTGGGTACTCGCCGTGACGAAGTGGATTACAGGACCAAAGAAAGTGGGGAACAGATGATGGAGGGAAAGCGTTCAGACGTTCCGTAAGGGTCTACCATTTTGATCAAGACATGAAGCGACCACAAGGTCCTAGAATACATATTCCCTGGCGCGGGAGTGGAGACTGAGAACTATCAGCGATCGTCACATCGCAGAATTCAGATAGTAACATGAAAACTCACCTATACATTATGAATACAATCTGATGCTAAGACTCCGTCTCTATGCCCTCTGGGATGCTGCCATCCGGTGCTAGACTTGGATCCATGAAGCTATGGTTGCACTTCGTACACACGAAAAAGAGGATCATTCGAGTTTCCTTCCGCTTCGACTGGTCCTGGTAAAAGACGGCGCTGTCACGATATATAAGCAGCACTCCATTGCGCAGGAGCCACGGGACTCACTCTTCGTGGTTACATTTGGGACAAGGAATGTTCGAGTGCGGCTATATGGAGAGTGAGTGTGCAAAATTTCGGCGGACGAAGGGACACGCACAAGAGTTGGATCAACACCAAGGTCTGTCGTCACACCTACTTGCTCTCTGATGGCAGCATGTCCATAAATGCGAAGAACCAGATTTTTACAATGCTCACTTTGTCACTGTCAAAAGGTCGTTCCTGTATACACAGCTGTTGTCTCCAATCTCAGAGTACGCGCATATCCGGCACGCGTATACCATTGCGCGACGTTGCTGGTCAGCTTTGGGGTAGAGAAGGTTATTGCATTCAGAGCAGAAATGAAGCGACGCCTGGAGAATCATATACAAGCATGAGAATCTATATGTAGAAACCGGTGTATTTCGAGCAGAATAACGCACCATATTTTAGTCAGGGGAATACAAGTTTCTCAGCGTCGAAGCCAATTCCAAGAGAGAGGTGGCACGTAATGCTGCTCTGTCAGAGGTCGGAGTTTGACGGAGTGCGAAACCCTCGGCTTAGCGTGCCACAGAACAATTCGAAAAATCCACCACCTCAACTGGGAAATCTGACCGTGAACTTATAGACTCGATTCTACAGTCAAGTTCGCTTCTGTAACTACATATCATGACCCAAATATGAGTCCACGAGGTGCCGTGAGAAGGGACATGCATCTGAGCGTTTCCCCAACTGTTAGGGCGTTACTTCCACTTCGACGAACTTACATCCACAGTGCATTGTCATTGTTGGCCCTCATCTTGATTGCCTGACTCGAAGGTGTTATGGCTCAAATGGCAGGTGAGCTGATCTTTGATCGCTGTCCAACTGTATATTCAACATGAATCAGACGATATACCTCCTACGCGTCATGAGAAGTATTACATGGAAGATGCACTTTCAATCTTCCTAGTAAGCCCTAAATCTGCTACAGCCTATACTATCAACAACGAGGGCCTTGTGGATCAGGTTTCTGGTCGCCTATACAAAGTACACCGATATCTACTATCACAGTCGGTCGCCTTTCGCGACATGTTCACATGTCCTCCTGGTCCCAATGCTATGGTGCAAGGCGAAACAGATGCCGACCCAATCACTCTACAAGGAGTGACCCAGGAGGAGTTCGAGGCTCTTCTCGATGTATTCTACGATAGGTATAACGCTCGTCTGTGATTTCCGACCATCGAACTGATGACATCTGGCATATCAAAAATTGGTACTAGTAATCATGACGGGTATTCCAAAATCACTCTCCAGCAATGGATGCACATCTTGTCTATTGCTTCAGTCTTCCAATTCGATAACATCAGAGAGCGTGCCATCAGGGAGATCACGAAACACGAACCTAATCTAGACGCTATGCAGGAGATAGAATTAGCACTGAAACACGAAGTGCGCCAATGGGCTCTAGAAGGACTCGCCAAGCTCTTATTGCGGCCTGAAGTCCTGGACGAGGATGAGGCTTCGCGCCTGCCTTTGGGTATGGTAGTGAAACTTTGGAAGGCACGAGAGGAGTACGTGACAGACAAGCTGAGCAGGTCACCGCATGTTCGTTTAAGTCATCGAGCCTATGTTTTAAAACATTTCGATGGCTATTCTTTTCCATGATAGTTTTTTTGGGCACAATGCTTCATCTTGATTGTATAGAAATCTATCCAGAATACCGACCTCGACAAGTACAAATATCACTATGATTATGGTCAGGCCATCCTATTGGCGAGCCTTTCATGATTAAAATGTATGGTAGTAAATAGCAGAGACTAGTGTCGTCTATACAGCAGCGCTGAATGCGAAAATATAAGCTGATGTATTGACGCAGAAATGTGAGACAGACTTCAGAACTTGAACCCCCCAGCTAGCCCCATGACATTGTACGGATCGATAGTCCTCTTGATCCCCCGTAGCCTGTTCACGTTGCTTCCGTACAGCAACTCCAAAGGCGTATCAAAAGGTGCGTAGTTGGGATAAAGCGGTGCATCTGCGACTTTCTGACCGTCTGCAATAGCCGCGATCTTCAACTGCTTTTGACTTTGTACAACCGCGTCATGCATAATGTCGTCAGCCTGCGGATCATTCCACGCAAAGTACAAATCGATAGGCTCGCTGAAGGCGGACCGGTTGGGAGGATAGGCAGATGCTGCGCCGTGGGAGAAATACGTGGGAAGGAAGATCTCCACGACATGCATGATGAGGGATGCAGAGTGAGGCGTCAGAGTTTGTCCCCAGAACTGTTGGAAAGAATTGTAGTGAGATCCTAGTATGATATGCATATGTATACAACGCACAGATGTTTCGTTCACTATAGCATTTAGGACTGCAGGTGAGAAGGCTGCCACTGGCGCATCGCCGAGGGATATGCTGGACATTTTTCAAGACCATGCAGGCTAATATCAGTGTAGTATGGACGTACCGACTTCCGCCAAAATTGTTAAGAATACCAGAAACAAAAGGAAAGAAGGCCGTCGAAGATGCATTCACAGTGCTTCCAGGGATTGAGAGCAGTGCGTCAAACAAGCCCGGAGGTGGCGTCGGCGCATCATAGAAAATTACAGCAGTCGCTGACAGCTAGAGGGAGGCTTCGTCATGCTAAGGTCTAGAACAAGTGACATGGAGTACCCACTACTCCTGATGCATAGCTATACTCGACGTTCAGCGCTACCTTCGGATCTGTGTTGTTCGCCGCAAAATTGGCGACGGCGGTGTTCAAAACGCCCAGCCCTTGTTCTGGAACAACAACATTGGCTGCCTATAAAACACTCTGTGTAAGCGCCAGATAATGGGTACGTGAAAAACAGGCGCACCCAGATCTCGCCTTGCGGAAATGTTTTGAATGTGAATTTGGTCACAATACCCTGAGGTCCAAAGTGGTCAATGATGAGGGAAAACCGGGGTTTCCTGGTAGCTCACAAAATTATTGAATCCACCCTACGTGTAAAAGAGGTTAGTTGCACCACAGTCGATTTGAGAACCAATGCTTACCTTCAATCCGAAGAAAAGGTCCTTGTTATCGGCTGTTACCGTAGTAATAGTCCCATTCGGCAGCACTAGCTCGAAGGCTTGCACAGTATCTATTGCCAGCCCATGCTGACTGGACGTGTAGGAAAGTCCTAGAGCGTGCATGAGATCAAAAGCAGTGGATATAGTGAGGAGAAACCCCACCTCCTCCCAGTGTAAACCCAGCGACACCAACAGCTGGAACCCTTCCACCAACAACTGTAACATTGAATGGCGCCAACTGCTCATACACATCGTGCCAAATCATGCCTGGGCCTATCTCTGCAGTTTGTTCGTTTTTGTTCAAAGTCACGTTTGAGAATCGAGTCATGGCGATTTGGACGCCAGTTGTAGACGAAAACCCTAGATTGAAGGAATGACCACCCCCCTTGACCTGATTGATGTAAGTCAGCTTCATTTGACCCACAAGCGCAATTCAAGAACATACTGCAAATGGTGTTCGAGTGGAACCCAGAATTTTGAGCTGGTGGCAAGCAGTTAATGTAGAAGGTGCTAGGGAGAAACGTTACACGTACGATTGTCGAAACGTCTTGAACACTTCCGGGCTCAACAGAGCAAGTTGCCTGTTGAGTACTCGATTCAACCCAATGCTTGATGTCTGCGCTGTATTGGGATGCTCCTAGGAAAAAGGTCAACATCCAGGATGGCAGACATGGATGATTGCAACCTTTACCTGGGTAAAAGACCTCCGACAGCGGCGATATTGCCTTTGCAATCGCTTGACAGGTTGAGTTGGCCCCATGGTTGGATTGACCGCTCACTAATCCACTGAGAGCGGCCAGAAGATGAATAGAGACAAAGCGTCGATGAAGCAGCATGGTGAATCTGAGGGTGGTATCAAAGCTGCCTCACATTCGTATCGAGGGTATCGCATTTATACCTGGTTGACGCTGAAACAAAGTGAGGTATGTCTAGGAACCAACATAGCCAAACGCGGTCTGTCCAAGGGGAAATATATAAAAGGGAGGTTTCCTGTATGAGTTCAGAGCGCTGCAACGATGTTCGGTATCGGTTCGGAGGCTCCATGGAGAAGTATAGGTGATGGCAATTAAACAGAGAGTATAGGACCAAGGTGCCTGAAAGGCACTACAAGACCGATTAGGCCGCAAAGCCGTGCCTTCATTCAGTGTAAGCATTTTGTGAGTGATATTATTGGAGACATCAGGAAATATCACGAGTAAGCCACCGTGCTGAAAAGTAAAAGGACATGGGCGCTCTGTCAAGTCAGGCAGGGCCATCAGGGTAGATGCGCGTCGAGATTGTCTAGATTATGTCTATGTATTTTAGATCAATACAATATAGACATCTCTCGCCCTCGTCAGGAGAGCGGCGCTTACGAGACGATCACGAAGGCTGCGCGAGACACTGTCGTTGCTGTTGTCACGACCTGTTGGGAGTTGTATGAATAAACAGCGCTCTTATCGTGTATAAAGACACAGCTTTCAGCATTGTGAGAGATATGTGTCGTTTGGATGCGATTGAAGGGAGGAATCGCGAGTGGTCAACCAACCCTCTCGTTTGGGGGGTGCCATGGAGTAATTGCGGCAAAGCATGATGAGGGCGGGGTATGCAGGGGTGTCGGAGTGTATGGCTTTCTAGGGGAACACACATACCCAGAACCCTTCAGCTTCAGCTTCAGCACCTATCCTTCCTTGTCAAGCAGCCTGAAAGAGACGAGCGAGAGGGGATCAGGCAGTGGCGGAGGCGCTCTAACATCCTTCTCTCGGCTCCGACAGTTAGATTCGGATATTCGGAGGCTACGTCGGAGGTTGAAAGGAGGACAGCGTTCCTGCCTGTGGAAGACTACTCCGATAGGCGGTGACACGGCCCGTCGAACGCGCCGAATGTATACACCTCTCAACTTACAGAGCTCGGGCCTCCACAACACGCAATCCGCTCTCATTCGTTGTCTCACGTAGCGCTCCGGGCCTCAAGCTGAAGCCCCCATATTCAAGTGACACCGGTGGTGAATATTAGCTCTGGCAGCGGGGTCGTTGCGCCGTTGCCTAGTCTCCGCGATTGACCTTACAGGGAAGATAGTTGTTCTGTAGCGTTTTTGGAATATGGGCTACGTGAGCTGCTGTACCCCTCCATGGCCCATGGATTATTCTGTGCGTACTTGACACAGTTCATCTGACTTGACTCGTATTCTGATATCAGCCCAATATAATGAAACCTCAAGATTGAGAAGGATCGGAGTTACATCAGTCTGGCATGTATCACGGCGGTGTCAAACCTCCTGGTCCTGGCTCGTTATACGCAATCCTGATTGCCGCTGGACAAAACCTACACTGAAATCACTACCACTCAACATTAAAACATCCACGACCAGCACGCCATCGAGTCTTTTGCAAATTACGCATATAATCAGAATGGGGGAAATCACTCTATGTACGCAGAAGCGATGCAAGGAGAACCTTTCAGCAGGCATATAAACGCAACATTGTAAGAGACAGGCCTTAAAACTTGAATCCTCCGGCCAACCCCATGACATTGTCCGGATCGATCGCCCTCTTGATCCCCTGTAGCCTGTCCACGTTGCTTCCATACAGCAGCTTCAAAGGTGTATCATGAGGCGCGTAGTTGGGGTAAAGCGGCGTGTCTACAATGTTTTGACCGTCTGCGATAGCCGCGGCCTTCAGCTCATTTGTACTTTGTCCAACTGCATCGTGCATGATGTTGTCAGCCTGCGGATCATTCCATGCGAAGTACAAGTTGATAGGCTCGCTGAAGGCGGAACGGTTAGGAGGATAGGCGGATGCTGCGCCGTGTGAGAAGTACGATGGGAGGAAGACCTCCACAATATGCATGATCAAAGAGCCGGAATGAGGAGTAAGAGCCTGGCCCCAAAACTGGTCGAGATGTGAGAGATGTCCCATGTGGTACGCACATATAAGAACGAAGACTCACAGATGTTTCGTTCACTATAGCGCTCAGGAGTGTAGGCGAGTAGGCTTCCACCGGTGCATCACCGAAATCTATGCTAGAGAAATTATCAGACCATGTTGTTTCCAGTTAGATGAGAGTATACATACCGACTTCCACCGAAGGAGGGAACGACACCGGAGATAAATGACAGGAAGTCCGTCGTGGACACATTGACGAAACTTCCAGGGACAGAAAGCAATTCATCGAATATACCTGCGGGTTGTGTGGGCGCGTCATAGAATATTGTGGCAGTTGCTGATAGCTGAAACAGCCTGTGTCACGTCATGTCTTGCGACAATCACGCCAAGAGGCACTTACCACGCCTGCTGCATATGTGTACTGAACGTTGAGCGCCACCTTTGGGTCCGTGCAGTCAGCTGCAAGTTCGGCAACGGCGGTATTCAAGGCATCCAGCCCTTGTTCTGGAACCACCACACTGCCTACCTGCAGGACACTTCAATACGAGGACCAGAGAATAGGTACTTGAAGAACCGTGCGCACCCAAATCTTGCCTTGCGGGAATGTTCTGAATGTGAATTTGGTCACAATTCCCTGAAATGTACATCGATTGATGATAAGCTTCAGTAGATCTAACCTAATAAACTCACAAAATTATTGAATCCGCCCTTGGCAGCAAGGTGATTAGGAGCACAGAGCTCAGGTCAAAAAAGACAAAATACCTTCAATCCGAAGAAAAGGTCTTCGTTATCGGCTGTTACTGTGGTGACAGTTCCATTCGGCAGTACTAGCTCGAAGGCTTGCACAGTATCAATCGCTAGTCCGTATTGACTAGACTTAAAGGAAAGTCCTAGAGCAATGCTTGTGAGATTGGGAATAGCGCATATAAAGATAGAAGAACTCACCCCCTCCAAGTGTAAAACCAGCAACACCAACGGTTGGAACCCTTCCACCGACAACTGTGACGTTGAATGGCGCGAGGCGCTCATATACCTCTTGCCAGATCAATCCTGGGCCGATTTCTGCTGTTTGCTTATCTTCATCATAGGTCAAGTTCGAGAAGCGAGTCATGGCGATTTGGACACCAGTTGTAGAGGAGAAACCCAGATTGAAGGCATGGCCACCTCCTTTGACCTGATTGATGTCAGTCGGCGTCATTTGAGCGAAACACGCATCAAAAGAACATACTGCAAATGGTGTTCGGGTATCGCCCAGAATTTCCAGCTGCAATTGAAGCGTCAGTATTGAACCTTTAGGGAAAGAAACCCACTTACAATTGTCGAAACGTCCTGAACGCTTCCAGGCTCAACAGAGCATGCCGCCTCTTGTGTGCTGGACTCCACCCAGTGCTTGATGTCTGCGGTGTATTGAGATGTCCCTAATTCCTAGTTGGAGGTGATTGGCAGACATTCCCATAATATAAACCTCACCTGGATAGTAGACGTCGGATTGAAGGGAGACTGCCTTTGCGATTGCCTCGCAAGTCGAGTTTGCCGTAGCATCGGCCCGGCTTCTCCCTAATCCGCTGAGGACCGCCAGAAGGTACAAAGAGAACGTGCGTGGTTGAAGTAGCATGTTGAATTTTGATAGTCAATGATGTCAGAGAAGACTGTGAGCTACATCCTAATGATATCGAGGGCACTATATTTATACCTCGTCCGTGGAGAAATTAAGCGGCCGACGAAACAGCTTGAAATGCGCCTTCCGTCATCCAACACGCGAAATATGCTAAATTCAGTCAAGCTGCATCTAGTCCAGGTGAAGGAAACAAAGGTCCTCGTCAGAGGAAGCTACTCATACCGCCGCCAGGCTCTGCACCGAGTCTAATTCGGTTTAGAGGCCTGAAGGGGAAAGTGATTATAGTGAGCGCAGGCCGAGATGCCTGTCAAATACTGGATAACTGACGTGTCCTGGCAGCCCCACTCCAAGCGAGTAAAATTTTGTGAGTGACATCGCCGAAAACGTGATACGGAAGTTCTCAGATTTGCTGGAAGGCTTGCGCGTCAAACGGCAGACTACATGGTGTGACAGTATCCTGGGATGACAACAAGGCCATCACGGCGACATGGTGGGTTCGCGTCGAGTTAGCCGACACCTGAACGCGTATCAGCATAGCAAAAGGACAGGCAAAGAGGTGCTCAGCAATGACGCGACGTGATCAGCCATCCCTGATAGGTTTTTTCACGCTTAAGTTCTGAATGTTTATAAAAGTAAGCCACAGGAACATCTCGGTCAGGATCCGCGCGGTCCCGATGGGATTCAAATCTATTTAGCCACATGGTCTTTGACCCTGAAGTTTCAACCCTGAAGTTTTGACGTCTTCCCCTTTCTTACCTGTGAACACAGGTGGACACCCGAAGGGATTCACATGCGGCATTGAAGTCAGACGAAGTCGGCGCATGAGCAACTTACCTTCGCTTTCACATCTTACTGTATTTGTCCACCGGAAGTTACCCCCAGGTCAGTGTACATCTAGGAACAATTCAATGTGACGATAAGATTGCGACGATAGCGATGCTTCTTCTTGCAAACGACCGCACGATCATGCTAAAGGTACTACTTGGCGCGACGCATGACCTTGTACTCCACTGCTAGACAACAGAGCGAGACAGAGGTAAAAACACAATAGTAACCGAAGAACCACGGACTCACTAGAGCCGTTGAACCGGAGAGGTGTATGAAACCCATCGATAATGACAGGCAGCATACGCAGTACACGACGCCTTGAATTGCGCAAAAATCGTGCTCATTGTGGTAATGCACATGCTTCGATGTATGGGAGGGCGAGTCAGACGGGTTGAGTACTTATTATCATCAATAACAATAATATCCTAGATCACGGGAACGCGAAAGAAACCAGAGCAAAGAACACACTTATTCATGGTCTTGTAAATCAGAACTTGAATCCGCCCGCAAGACCCATGATATTCTCCGGGTCGAACGTCTGCTTGATCGACTTCAGGCGGTCCACATTGCCTCCGTAGATGTTCTCCAGCGGCGTGTCGTATAGCGCGTAATTGCCATAGATCGACGCATCGGCGATGTCCTGGCCATCTGCGATGGCTGCAGCAGTGATTGTCTTCGTGGACTGCACTATAGCGTCATACATGGTCGAGTCGAAAATCTCGAGACCCCACGCAAAATAGATGTTGAGTGGAAGGAGACCGCGTGTGCGATCGGGTGGGTACGCGGATCCGCTGCCGTGGCTGAAGAGGCCAGCATCGAAAGGTTCAACATCATATGAGATGAAACTTGCAGAAGCCTCGAGTGAGAGCTTTTGACCCCAGAACTATACAGAAACAATGAGAAACTTTGTGAGCTGAGTAGTTTGATTTGAAACTGACCTTGGTCTCATTCACGATCACATCCAGCAAGCGAGGTGTATATTCGAGGATAGATACGCTGCTGAACAGAGTTCTAGCATCGCGCCAAATGTTTCAGTTTTGCAAATGGTTGACTATAGGTTGGGAGTACTCACCGTGTGTTAGCGGTCGCGTTACTGGGCGAAGAGGTGACCAGCGATAAGAATGAGCGCGTGGAGATGTCCTTTGTGAAGTGAGGGACAGCCATCAGCTGGTCAAAGATACCATCGGGATACGTCGGGCCATCGTAGAAGCACAGCAAAGAGACGCCAGGCTGATAAATGTGCCGTGAGTTTAATTAGTGCTAACTATTGCCATCTGACGGTGTAAGACACACGCACTGCCCCGAGCACAAAGTTATATGCGCTGATAATAGCTGCCTTCGGATCACTGACATTGGCAGAGAAGTTGGCAACAGCGGCGTTCACTTGAGCCAAGTGCTCTTGTGTGATGGTGACCAGACCTCCCTTCAAAAAGATACTTCAGCTCACCAAACGGAAGAGACGCGAAGTCGAATGTGCCCTACCCAAACTTGTGTTTGAGGGAAAGTCTTCAACGTGAACTTCGTCACAATACCCTGACGAAGAGGGTCGAGTTCGGATCTGCAAGCATTCATCTGTCAAACTAACTCACGTAGTTGTTGAAGCCGCCCTGTCAGAAGTGACTAGTATCAATAAAGAAGCACAAAATTCGATCGGAAGCGAGCTAACCTTCAACGCAAAGAAGAGGTCTTCGTCCTCAGAGGCCACAGTGGTAACCGTCCCATTCGGAAGAACCAACTCAAAAGCTTCGAGGGTATCAATCGTCAGGCCATGCTGGCTCGTCTTCCACGAATAACCTGTGACGCCACACAGATGAAGTGTGACGCGTTCTATAGTTAGCATGGCCGCACTGGCAGCTATTGCACCCGAAATGACTGCTGGTACAGTACCTCCACCCAAGGTGAAACCTGCAACGCCCACGCCGGTGACACGGCCTCCAACGACATTGACGTTATATGGTGCGAGAGCTGAGTAAACATCATCCCAGATAATTCCGGTGCCGATGTCGGCGGTCTGGGTATCAGCGTGATAGGTGACGTTGTTGAAGCGTGTCATGGCAATTTGCACGCCGCTCGTAGACGAAAATCCAGGGTTTGAGCTGTGGCCTCCGCCCTTCACCTAATCCTACGAGTCGAATCATTTGAGATAAGCAGGAGGTGGAAACGCATACCGCAAATGAGGTGCTGGTAGACCCGAGAATTTGTAGCTAGGAGAAAGACCATCGGTAACCAGGCTGACTTAACAGTGCGCGCACTGTAACGCACAATCTTCCCAACATCCTCAATGCTACCTGGTTCTACGGAGCATGTCGAATCTTGTGAGCTTGTAGAAGCCCAATGGGCGTTGTCTCGAATATAATTAATAGAGACTAGGTACGCCGATTAGTTGCAATCCAACCCAGAAAAACAACAGCATATACTTACGCGGATAGTAGACGTCCGAGGCAGAAGAAATGGCGGCAGCAATCGACTGGCAGGTGCTCGTCGCGGCCGCGCGGGGTTGGTGCGCAGACACACCGAGCGCGGCGATGGACAAGAGGGTACCAGCGAAGGACGTTCTGCGAACCATGAGGACTTGAGGAAGAAAAACTTTATGCCATAGCGCGTCTACTTATATTTGTTTCCGGGTCCAACAGGAACGACCCCCGCGTCAGACGAAGGGGAAGAAGAGAGGCCGCGGAGATGGCCTGATGACCATTCGCAGCCACTCGCAGACTGACTCCACACGCTAGCACGTAACACGAGGCTGGAGAACTCAGACCATGATCGTTATGAAATTTCGGGGAATCAATTGTGAAGTCCACTCAGCACTGCAACCTAATTAGAATCAGGCGACGTTCGGCGATTTTAACGGCAAGAACCTTGGCAATAATTGCAGGTCTGCCTCGGTCAGTTCATCTTGGTATGCGAGGCACCATGGGAACAAGATGACGAAGGGACAGAATGGAAGATATACCGAGGGAATCATTCTGGATAGAGCACCTTGTGGGCTGTGGAAGACCTCTGTAACGACCGTGCAACCCAGGCGGGCGTCTTGCGCAAGCAAGAGCACTAATGAGAAACAGTAAAATCTACCAGGTGAGCGTGCTCGAGGGTTCAATAGCTCACACGCTTGGGCCTGCTTCTCAGCAGTTTAAGCGACTGGACCTGAATTGATATGTTGCATCACCGATAAATATTCATGTTCGAAACTCACAGTCAAATGATCACAAAAGCGGCAAGGCAGGACGGCGGATGGTGCTGTCGCCGGGGCCATGTATCACAAAACCAATCTTGCGGTAGTGGATGGAGGTATACTGCGAGCTGACCAGATGTGAAGACTTCTCAAGACTCAAGACCAAAGTCACGGATATACCCAAGTCAACGATGAAGATCAACGGACAATGTTGAAACATTCAGGACGTTCGTATTGTCACAAACCGCATTTTATAGCGAGGATGTCAACACCAGGCCAAGAGGAGATGGGATGTCTCGTGCTGGACGATCATGTCGTAAAGAACAGGACTGAGCGTCGGAACAGCGTGGCAAACGGAGGCAAACAGGCCGAGGCCTCCTTACTAAGCGCACGGCGTTCACCGAAAGAGGCCATAACCTTACTTTTCCGCACTGTACAGCTCAACCCGGTAAGTGCCGGGTGGCTTGCAGCCGCGCCACAGCGTTCTAGCTGGGCGAACCGTCGCATACAAGCTAAGAATCCTGTATCCCCGCCATTCTCCTCACCCTCAAGATGGTCAAGAGTATGTCCATTCGCACTTTGGACCTCCCGTAATTGATGCTGATTTTCCGTTGTAGTCTACAAGCCCGGAAAAGTGACTATAATTGGCATTTGAAAACGAACACTGTCTGATGCACGCCACAGGTTGCTATCCTCCTTCAAGGCCGCCAGGCGGGCAAGAAGGTTGTCGTCATCAAGCAGCTCGATGACGGTACAAAGGAACGCCCATACCCCCACGCAATAATTGCAGGCATCGAGCGCTACCCACGGAAAGTGACGAAGCGCATGGGTGCGAAGAAGTTGGCGAAACGGAGCAAGGTCAAGCCTTTCATCAAGGTACGTTTTAGCCGCATTTCTTGCTCTGCACTACGAAATTCAGTCCAACCTGCACATAGGTCGTTAACTACTCGCATCTCTTCCCCACACGTTACGCTGTCGAGTTAGAGGGTTTGAAGGGTGTCGTTGGTTCCGAGACCTTCAAGGAGCCCTCACAGCGAGAAGACGCGAAGAAGCAGGTGAAGAAGCTTTTGGAGGACCGGTACACGAGCGGAAAGAACAAGTGGTTCTTCCAGCCTCTCCGCGTACGTCTCTACGATCCTGTCTCTTCCTGGGCACTGTACTAACGAAACACTCTGCCAGTTCTGATCGCTTTGTTCACTTATGTTTTGTTCGGTATTTTCAAAACCCACATGTATTCTACATGTCGTCCCATCATGCATGCTCCTGCACACCTGCCACCTACATGACCACTTTTTTGTCACTTCGTTGGGATTCAGCATAATCATCATTACATCTGCTGGACCAGATATAGCAAACACAAAACAATAGTAAGCCTGAATTTATGTCACGATTGATTTCAATCTTCGTTCTACATCTGCAGCTGCGGGGATGCTTTCTAATGCACCTCGCTTCTCAACGCACATTCCGGCAGCCTGGGTGCCCACCATATGAACCACGTCGAGTGCAACCAGAGGAAGTTACTCACCTGTGTGGATCTTGTCAAAATATTGATGACATCGCTATCCGACAGGGCGGTCGCATCAGCCCTCGCTGCCTCCAGTTGCATCAACCCTGCAACCAGGTATCCTGTGAAACAATCGCCAGCTCCCGTCGTGTCACGTACATCACCATGTAGTGTTACTGCAGGGATGTAAATCGGCTGGGACAAAGAGGGTAAGAAGGCTAAGACGCCGGCTGCACCGAGTGTGCAGATTACGTTCGTCGTCGTGGAGAAAAATGGGTGGGCCGCGAGTTTCCTCACGACCGTGTATGCGGACACGAGGGAGGCGTGGCTTGGCCATCCCGCAGGGACTGGAAAGGATGCATCTGACGCGGGCGTATCGGGTGGGAAGGCGGCGAGGAGGCTTTCGGCCTCGCCTTCATTGACGAGGAGCCAAGACAGGCGTGTCCAGGGAAAGGAGCGGATCTGATTGTCGTCTGGCATCGGGGAGGGATTGAAGATCGTCGTTATGCCCTGCGCGCGCGCAGCGGTGAGGTAGGCAAGTGTGCTGGGCCATGGGATCTCATTCTGGAGTAGTAGATGCGTGGTGGAAGCGAGCGTGACGGCGCTTGGAGGGCCTTGGAGGGCATAGTTGGCTCCTTTGTGGAGGACTGGTGTAGTTGAGAGCAACGTAGTCGATTAACGGGCCAACATCATGCGTACCAGAGGAAATATTGAGAGGCTCACTAATACAGTTTTCGCCGGTAGGCGTGAGTTGGATCACTGCGCGCCCAGTAGGTTCCTGGAACCAGTTATCGTCAGCCAGAATGAATGAGAATACGCATTCAGCATCCTCGAATCCCCCGGGAAAGGTGTCTACCAGGGGCGGGACATACCTGAACGACAGACACATTCGTGACATCAACACCCATGGCCTCGAGGTCCCGCATGACCCATATGCCGTCCTCACCCACAGCACCGACTAAGCTCACAGTGCCGCCTGCTCGCGCGACCGCGGCGGCCTGATTGGCGCCTTTGCCCCCTGCGCGTCGCTCAAACTGCGTTGACGAGATCGTCTCTCCGGGCCGCACGACATCCTCGACTGTGTGAAGTTTTCGAACCGAAATGAAACAAATTGCGAGAAACAAGCCAAGACGAGGGCATCATGCAAGTTTCGGTGGATCAGTTCAGTTTGTTTCATCATAATAAGAGATTGCCGCCGGGCAGCGGCAAATGCGAACTTGCCGTGGAAGAACTCGTCGACGTCTGAAGCGATCGAGCGGGAGATATGATGTATGGTCGATTTATGGTATTTGTGCGCTAGTTAGCGGTGTCTCGGCCGTTTTTGTGAATTTGGAAAAAGGGCCTGACTGATGGATCCGCGGACTAGACAGTGGCTGACGGGGGCTATAGACATAATACACAGTCGTGATATTGAGAAATCGGAGGAAGATCGGGCTTGGAAGGGAACGAGCAGGTCGCGCGATGGGATGAGGAGGGAAATTCAGATTTTTGCGGAATTTCGAGGGCATTCGAGCGCCACTGACGCGCCGCGCGGCAGCGTGCGGCCACTGCCGTTGGATCTTCGACGCGCTTGTCTTGTGTGCAAGCCTTGTACGAACACTTCATTTATTGTCTTTGGAAGTTTGTATTCTACGCTCAACACATTCGTTGCTCCGCTTTGACTGCGGAAGATAGGCTCTGGGGTGCTCAAACTTGAGACAGTGACTCAGAGGTCAGTACATACCGTTTCCTCGTCTTGATTTGAGAGTCGACATTGCAATCCAACGTTGTTTCTTCTTTGATCAGCATAAAAGGACGTACTAGTGCGCTAATATAAAAGACCTCCCGACAATCTTGTCTCTCCTCGATCTATCATGTCTGCATTCGGTGGCGGAGGTCTCTTCGGTTCGTCTAACACCCAACAACAACAGCAGCAGCAGCCTGCTAGTGGCGGCCTCTTCGGTAACACGAACTCGAACTCGAACCCTCCTGCTGGCGGTGGCCTTTTTGGTAATGCGCAACAGCAGCAACCACAAAATACTGGCGGAGGACTCTTTGGGAACAACGCGAATGCGAATCAGGCGAGTGGGAATGGACCGGCATTGCCTTCTGGGGGTCTGTTCGGTACGAGTAATACCAATCCACAGCAGAACACCGGTGGTGGAGGGTTGTTTGGGCAAGGGAACCAGGGCCAAAATATCGGCGGTGGGTTGTTTGGTATGAACAATCAGGCGCAACAACAACAACAGCAGCAACAGCAGCAACAGCAACAGCCAGCAGCTGGTGGAGGTCTCTTTGGACAATCCAATGCGAACGCAGCGCAGCCAGCGGCCACTGGAGGATTGTTTGGGACGAATGCGAATACGGGAGGGCAACCTGCTACTGGTGGTGGATTATTTGGGACGAGCACGGCGGCACCCGCGACTGGAGGTGGGTTGTTTGGGACGAACACGGCACAACAGCCTGCTACTGGAGGCGGGTTGTTTGGGACGGGTGTGGCACAGCAGCCTGCTACTGGAGGTCTCTTCGGTACGAACACAAATGCGGCTCAGCCTACCACTGGCGGTGGGCTCTTTGGGTCTAACGCGGCACAACCAGCGACGGGCGGAGGACTGTTTGGTACAAGCAACACGACCCAGCAGCAGCAGCCTGCTACTGGTGGTGGACTCTTTGGCACGAGCATAACAACGCAGCCGACAACAGGGGGTGGTCTGTTCGGGATAACCAACCAGAATAACCAACAGCAGCCGGCAGCTCCTAGCGGAGGTCCCTTTGGTACAAATCCTTCGGCTTCGAACACGACCAGCGGCGGTCTGTTCGGAAATAATCCAAATGTTGGGACATCAACACCCATTGGTGGCGGCGGCCTTTTTGGGTCCGTACGAGCTCCGCAAGGGACTGGCACGCTCTTTGGGGCCGCAGGCGCGCAGACACAGCAGCCACAGGCCAGTTCGTCGCTGCTCAGCTCAACCACTCAACCGCAAGGGTCGGGGTTACTTGGTGGGAGCCTGTTAGGCACGAGGTTCGGTGGTGGCCCGATGTTGGGTAGCTTATTTGCGAACAAGGGCACTACTGTGCCAGCTCAGCAGCAGGCGGATGCTCAGACACAGTTCGCACAACTGCAGCAGCGGATTGAAGGCGTCTTTCACGCTTACAAACCTGATTCCCCTCTGAATCGATTCCAGGTAAGTTTTCGAAACGGCTTTTGTGTGGCATTGCCAGTTTGCTTCGGAAGCTTAAGTTTACGATTTGTGCAGCATTACTTTTATAACCTGGTAGATCCTGCGCAGGTGCATTTATATGGGCGGCCTGCGAATGCCACGAACGAGGCGCTATGGCAGAAGGCCGTCCGCGAAAACCCGGATCCTAGTTGGTCTGTTTCACATATTTCAGGCTCTTGGATACCTTGAGCTGACATGGGACATCCTCAACTTCGAATGCTATTTTAGTCTCGTCCCTGTCCTCGCGACGAGCTTCGACGACTTGCAGAAGCGAGTAGAAGCGCAGGCGAATCAGGCGAGCTTGCACCAGCAAAAGCTCAAGGAGCTGCAATCTCAAATCGAGAAACTCTCCGAGCGACACGAGTTGTCCAACGCCTCGCGTCTACACCGGGCCACGTCCGCACAGACGCAGCTGACGCATCGGCTTTTGAAGCTCGTGCAGCACCTGCACCTGCTTATCCCCGCATTGCGATCATCGTCGATACGGCCCGAGGAAGAGGCGTTGCGGGCGGCGCTGGAGGAGATCGACGGCGAGATCCGGCGGCCGGGCGGGATGAGCAGGATCGTCGGAAAGTTGAACGAGCTGTGGGCGGTGGTCGGCGCATTGAGCGCGGTGCGCGGTGGGAATTCTCGGCTGAACGGGTCCGCGGACGGGGTGTCGTGGGCGGTCGTGGACGAGGATGGTTTGAATCACATCGTTCAGGTGAGAATGACCGTTTTGATCAGATCATGATGATCTCACGGTCGAGTGACGGATGCACTGACGCGATCGCTTCGGCTATGTTACCTCTTCAGATTCTGGCCGAGCAGCAGGCAGGACTTGCGCACTTGACGAAGATTTTGCAGAAGGATATGAAGGACGTTGCTGTCATTTACGGGGAAGGAGAGGATGTGCAGCGGCCGGAGGAGTCTGGGCGGTCGGATCTTTTATCGAGCTTTTCACAGACGCTGCGGGGAAGCACATTACGTTAGTTGGGCGTTCTCTGTTTCGCCGTGCGTACGGACAGATGTATGTTGAAATCAGGCAGGAATGTATGTACTTTGAGACGCTGCAAGGAGATGCAGGTCTCCGTAGACTGTTTGGGCCTGCTTGCACGGCCACTGCCGCCGCTCAGCAGCCACTACTTAGAACATCAGGCTCATCTTCCTCCTTATTCCTGTCTTCTTCCTTCACCACCACGTCTGCATTCCCAAATTGTGTCCCAGAAATGCGTGTAAGAACGTTGGAGATTCGTTGGCACGACGGCAAGCCCATCTCGACCTGCGACTTTCAACCCATCCCGTTCAAGAAGGCGCGTCCGCCCCAAGACAAGGGCTTCACGCGCCAGTCGTACCGGCTCGCCACCGGTGGTGAGGACAATCATGTTCGAGTGAGTCGCGGGTGCGGTTTGAGAGCGCCCTACGACACTCAGCAAAGATGAACGATATTCTCTCATAATAGATATGGATGGTGCATCCCAACATCCTACCCCCGTCTGTGATTGAGAGCGCGTCGGCAGACGCGACGGGGGCTGCGCCCACGCCGCGGCCGCCACGCGTTGAATACTTCGCGACACTTAGTCGACACTCTGCTGCTGTGAATGTTGTCAGGTTCAGTCCTAATGGTGCGTGTTCGCGATGAACTGTGTATGACAGGTCATTGATCTGACGGACGGGCAGGCGAGTTGATTGCCTCAGCGGGTGACGGTGCGTCGAGTGTGTTGCGACTTGATGCAACTTGAAATCCTAACGTTGCTCCGCAGATGGCATGATCCTAATTTGGGCGCTGTCTACTACGCCAAACCAAAGTGTATATGGGAGTGATCTGAGCGCAGAAGAAATGCAGTTCGAGAAAGAATATTGGAAGCCGCGCACCTCCTTTCGGTACACATTGACCCCTGACTCAATCCTGCTCCGTTTCTAACGCTTGTCTCAGGTGCACGCAAATGCAAGTGTACGATTTAGCATGGAGCCCCTCAGGGGAATATATTTTCGCCGGCAGCACAGATAACACTGCTAGAATTTTCAGTGCAGCAGACGGTGAGCTTGACTCGCATTTGAATAACAATTAATTCAATAGTCCTATCTGCCACAGGCAAATGCATGCACGAAATCGCGGAGCACAATCACTATGTTCAAGGGGTGGCATGGGATCCTCTCAACGAATATATAGCAACCCAAAGCAGCGATCGATCGATGCACATCTACAGCATCTCAACAAAGCAGGGCAATATTGAAGTTCACGCGATAGGCAAAAACACACGAATGTCCCATCAGCACACTCGCACGCCGAGCTCGCATAGCTCAAGTCGTCCGCGCATGTACCGTCGCGAATCGACGACCAGCGACACTGAGTCTGTCATCACGACGGTCAGTGAACAACAGAAGGAAGAAAGCTTCAGCTCTTCTGTGCCTCAACATCACCCTGCTCCGTTAACGCCAGCCACGTCCATCGCCAGCACCCCTTCTCAGTCCATGTTCCCACCTCCGCCCATGGACAGGCCTTCTTCACGCCGTTCCTCGTTCAGCGGTTCCAATGCCCCTAGTTCTCCTTCACACTATGCACGATACGGGCGCTCTCCTTCCCCAATGCCCGCACTTCCCGCGATCCGTACAAGCCTTCCCTCGCCAGCCACGTGGCCCGTAAAGCTCTACGGTGACGAAAGCTTTACTAATTTCTTCCGCCGACTGACGTTCAGTCCCGATGGCGCGCTGCTTTTGACCCCCGCGGGCCAATTCGAAGACCCATCGGTGCTCCCCACTTCTTCTCGACCTCCGAAATCCGACGAGCCGTCCCGAGGGAGAAAGAGCACCCCAAACAGCGAGCTAGCAAACCCTGTGTCTGCGTCCTCCGTCTACATCTACTCACGTGCGAATTTTGCACGCCCACCGATCGCGCAGCTACCTGGCCATAAGAAAGCTAGCATCGCGGTCAAATTCTCGCCTATCCTCTATGAGCTCCGTCCAGGCGGCTCTGGATTTGATGCACCTGCGGAGCCTAGGACCGTAGTGCTCGAGAGAGGGAAGGATGAGACCGTTGTCGTTGACGTGGGAGCGATGACCCTGACAGCTTCTGGTTCCACTGCTCCACCGGTTCCAACCGATTTACTGTCACCCGTCTCACCCGGAAAACATGGTGCCCTCCTCGCACCGCTAGCTATGCCGGCGCCGTTGTCGATTCACTCGCATTCAACGCTTCCGTCACCTGCATTATCTGCTAACGACTCACTGAGGGCCATGAGCCCTGCTATATCAAAACCTTCGACGCCGAAGCCGTCCACTCCGGCGCCTAGCAGTGGTTCGGTGTTCGCATTGCCATACCGCATGCTATTCGCAGTGGCGACGATGGACACCGTCACAATCCACGACACACAACAGGCTGGTCCGATCTGCCTGCTGACAAAATTGCACTACGACGAGTTTACAGACATGGCATGGTGAGTTTTGGGCACATCGTGCGTGACACGGGAAATGCAATGCTCATTCTTCTTTCACAGGTCGCCGGACGGCCAGTGCCTCATGTTGGCGTCCCGTGATGGCTACTGCACCGTCGTTGTCTTCGACGAGATTTTGCCAGCACATCACACACAGCAGCAAACTCTCCAATTCCAATCTATCGCACACCATCATTCCGTTCCTCTGACGACGTCTTCCCTCACACCCGCTACAACACCTTCTATCGTATCAGTTTCGCTTCCTTCAGCATCTCCGGCCGTCACGCCTACCATCCCGCTGAAGAGAAGCGAGCGACCTCCAACGCCGGCTAGTATCTCAGGCACGGACGACCTTCCTGTTCTCTCTAGCGATGGCGGCGCCGGTCAAGTGTCGGCATTGGCGAAATCCGAACACCACAAAGCTCAGGAGCCACCGAAGAAAAAGCGGAGAGTGGCGCTCACGAAAGTTGGAGATATTGGTTCTTAAAATCTTTTCTTCCCGGGTGCTTCGTTTGTTTCACTTTCCCCGGCTTCCTGTCTTGATGGCATTTTTTTCTACCGCATTCTTGCCCCTCTCTCTTGTTGTTTCTATTGCCCTATTCGATCCAAGTGCACGTTGTCATCATCCACAATAACTTGCCCATCTGGAATCGTCTTGCTTACGATATGTTATGATCTCACACGTACGAACAATCCCTGTGTTAATTGTCATTTATCAGTGCCACCAAGAACGACTCTCTGTACAGTATCCAGTACGATACATTGCGAGCAATTGATTGATGCCTCTTCTAAACAAAACAATGTGCCTAGAATGAAGGTGAAAACATAACCGATAGATCTGAAAACGATAACAGTCAGCCCAGAAAACGTACATAGGTCAAAATGCAGCGCTGACGCGCCGATCAATGATCTCTAGAAGCCACGCTGTTTCCAGTAAGATACCTAGAAAGTCAAACCTGATTATCATCCTGCTTCTCCCGATGACGACCTTGAACAGTGTGTAATCTTCCCATCAAGCGCTTTCTTCTTTCAAACAGGTAGTCCAGGGCAGGCCTTAGTAGACGTTTCTTGCAGCAAGTGAAGTAGTTCGGGTACTTGACCGCGCTCCAGAGGAGGCCTGAGCAAGCTGCTAAAAACGCTGCGAGGGTAAATAAAACCCTTGTGGCTGGATCTGGACTCTCCAAGCTCCAGAAGACGAAGGAAATCATGGCGAGGATACCACTGCATAATGTGTCAGTCTTGAAGGTGGCTAATCTAATCAATCGTACTTGCCCCCATGCCATGCAAGCGAAGGGCAAGCGGTGAAAGATGGCGACGAGTTCTAGACCCGTGAATAGAAGACCCGGGCTGTTTCGATGGGTTTTGAAAAAAATTGCCTGTATAGATTCGTATTGGTGATGGGTGGTAGGAATATTCCATATCTAAACTTACTAAATCTGCCTGTGACTGTTGGCGAGGGTACAGTGCCTTCAAGAAGAAGACGTTGGCCATCGCTGATATGGCAAGAAAGGTCGATAATGCGCTCAAGACTTGAGCGACCGTCCAATTTGTGAAAGACGGATCCATAGTGAATAAGGTGGAGTAGTTTGACTTTGGCCCGCTGGAAGTATCGCTATTGATGGCACTGATGACGGACGGTACTGCCAGAAATGCTACATTCCATGCCAAAAGCTGCATACACTGCGATAAAGGCATGTCAACCGAGCATTCACGTCTAGACATCTTACACGGACCTGAGTGGTAATAGACGTCCATCGCTCGAGTTCTGCCCTGAAAAAACCTTCCCATGAAGTCTGATTCACAATGTTATCGGCGGTCACTCTTTCAAGTAGTTCGAAGCAATAGCCTGGCTTCTTGAAGTAAAAAATTGACACAATAGTGAATGCCCAGGTGTGATTCCTTGTTGATGCACCATAGATCGATTGACCAGGATATAATCTTACGCCTAGCTCCCCATGATGGTGCAGAAATCTCTCGTGAGCTTGAAGGATTTAAATTTTAGTACTGGATTTGTGACAGAGACAACGAAAAAGCAGTCATACCGTAGTAAGACAATAGTCGAGCTGGCAACATGCTATGAGTTGCATATCCTGGGTGCTCCGAGGAATCTACTCAAGGAATAAGCTCACCAACTTGAGTTATCAACATATCATCAACTTCATCGCTCAAGTCTTCCCAAGGTGGCATTAATTCGAATCAAAAAAAAACGAATTATCCAAGCTCACCATCCCAACTCTTCAAGATGTCCACCATTGTCGTCAGCTTATCAACAGGGTATGGCGCAAGAGAGGACTCAGATAGCAGTTGATCTGAAAAACTGATGTAAGAATCTAGTTTTGACCTTGATGAGATCAAATACCGAATATTCCGTTCATCATGCACCGAAGAGCATCTTTGATGTTGCCCTTGTTGAGCCTGCTGTTGTACGGAAAAAGACTGCAATGTTCCCTGTTGTTTGTTGATGAGTGGTATAATCGTGTTATTGTGCGCACACAACCCACCAGTACCAGCTACGCTGCTGATGTGCTGATTTCACCAAGCTCAGAAATTCATTGGAGAGATGAAGCTGCCAAGGAAAACCCTCACCAAAGTGAGCATCCGACGTCACGGTCTGTACTTCAACGCAACCCTCAATGTCATATTCTTCCATCCAGAATATTGCTTGATGCTTATGGTCGACAAAGTAGTAACCCCATCGCGGGTTGTTCTCATCGTCTGAGATACATTCCAACACAAGATCTTCGTCCTCAGAGGGCCAGTTGTGTTGCTTTCCATGAGATACCTTCATCTTCTGTTCAACATGAGCTAGAGCGCGGGTGATGTCTTCGTGTTTCTCATTCGAGGCGTCTGCGTCCGTACATACATGCTGTAAGGACGGTCCTTTAATGAAACGTTTGATAAGGGAACTACATAGTGCTTCACCTTTGCTTCATGGACAAAATATCTTGCGCCCTCAGGGTGGATATGCATTGACCAATCCTGATGCTTCGTGGGATCATGAAGGCTGGTACAAGATGGCGGGGAGGTCATGACAATGATCAGATTAGGACTAGACTTGGAGCGCTTACTATCTTTTTCGAAACGGGGACACATTCGGGTAACTGGGCGACTCCCCTAAACTAATGATTCGTAAGGATCATTGCTGGAGCCTCATAAGCATGGACAAAGAATCCGACATACACATTGATGCAACGGTCGTATCGCTTGACCGCGTTTGGTATAATTTCGAGCAACGTCAAGCTTTGCGGAGCGATGGCGTTCCCAGCAGGCGGAACGGTGGTGTGATTGGTAGGCGGAATAGTAATGAGATATTGCGTTCTGCTTCCGCCATGAGGGCTCTGTGCGGATAGACTAGGAGATGAGCTATAGACAGAATGCTTTGATGTATTGAAAGGTTTGAGGGCTGCCAGGGGAGTGAGAGAGCTCATGTTGACAGCCTGGTTCACGTGTTGAGATGTGTCGGCCTTCGAGTGCGTCGTGGTATGGGGGTAAAGGCGCACTTGCAAAAAGATGAAGTTACAGGCACGGTGAAGGTATATGAATCGAGTGAGAAAAACACCGTCACAGAACAGTAGACATCTACTTGTCTCATAAGAGCTCCAGGCCTTGTAGCTCGTTGTAAAAGCGTGTTCAGCTGCGAACATCGTATGAAACAACTTCAACAAGATGGTGGCACTTGGCACATGTCCATTACCAGCAGGTTTGCGCGTGTCTTGTGAAATTTTTCAAACAGAAGTATAAACATCAAAATCGGGTGAGCTGATCATGCTTTAGTGAGGAGAAACAGGTTCTAACTTCCACAAGCCGAAGTTAGCTAAGCAGTGAGCGGCGAGCGCTGTGAACGCTTGAACTGGCTGGCGTTATCGAGAAAGTCATGTATGACAAAGAGCAGTAAGCACCCCGGGCCACTCCCGGGCCGGCACGAGGACTACGGTCACATTTTGTACGGAACGGAGTCTCTGCTAAAATCTGTGTGCGAAAGATGCACCAAGTAACTATACGACTCTCTTGTACCCGGTCACGGCAAGTCGTCAATGAAACAACACGAGTTACACCTGTCGTTCAACAGACGCCCTACTGATGTCATCCATCTCCGTGCCCGTATGAACAGCGTGCGGCGATATATTCGAATGGCAGCGGTACCTCACTTGACTCGCAGCCACACATAAGCTGCTTAAGCACCTCGTGGCCGCTTGCATCTGCGATAGGCAGGCGTCGATGTGCCTTGGGTGCTTCACCCACCACCAAACCATGATAGAACCTACCATCAACAATGTCGCGGTCACAAATAAGGCTATTGTAAGCGAATCTTTGTTTTCAAAGCTCCAACAGGCAAAAGAAAGGGCGGATAACACAGCACTACAGGTAGGTAAGAATCCAAACGAGAAGCGAACTGCTAGAAAACTCACCCCCAAACCATACACGCAAAAGGCATGCGGTGCAGAACCGCGACAAGCTCCAAATCCTTGAAGAAAAATCCGTGGTTCTGTCTTTGAGACCGAAAGAACACCGACTTTTAGGGCGTCAAGGTTCAGTTCAAAGGTATGGGCTTGACGTATGCTATGCTCACCAATTGTCCTAGGTCCGTCCGGAAGCCAGGTCGATATAGCTCTCTCAGCAAGAATCCATACGCTACAGATGTTATTACGGAAAACGTTGATAAAGCGCTCAGTATTTGAGCAGGTGTCCACTGCGGAAAGAAGGAATTTCCGGTGATATTCGATGCAGACTGGACTGCAAAGTTGGAGATCAGACTGTTTGAGTTATTGTTGTTGATGGCCTCTATGACCGATGGGACAGCAAGAAATGCGATGTTTCCCGCCAGAAGCTGCATGCACTACGCACAATGTTAGCAAGTTATACGCACCAGAAGAGTTAATTCTCCTGAACTTGGCGATTAACATCATCCCAATGAGTTCGTTCGTTGGCAATAAATGGAGTCCAAGTAGACTGAGCCAAGATGTTGTCCATCGTGACTGAACTGAGCGTACGAAAACAGTCCTCTGTCCTCTTGAAAAGAAGTAAAGATAGCACACGAAATGGCCAAGTATGCTTTTCGCGACGTGGGCCGTACAGCGACCGACTTGGATCCAACCGCGCGCCTATTTCCCCATGGCAGTTAAGAAACCTTGCATGGGCTTGGAACAAACATTAGCTCAGTTATATATCCTGAGGCATCCAACTGTACCAAAATAGGACTGCAAGCGAGCTATGCATATCAACCAATTGTGTTCAGCTTTCTGCTGAATTATATGTCACTCACTAACGTATATGACCATGCCATCGTCAAACGTTGATACATCTTTAGGCTTATGGGTAAGAAGCTAAGTTCAAGTGGGAGTTATGTGGGGACGAACCTCTCCAGTACGTCAACGTTTCTAACATTGTCTTGGAGTTGTCAATCGAATACGGCGCAAGTGATGCAGAGGACAGCATCTGATCTAGCCGTAGTTGCATAAGCTTGAGTGGAATGGGAGAGGAGAGGGGAAAGCTACCAAGTATCCCGTTCCTAAGTTCAATGCAGACTTCCTCAACGTTGGCCCGCGTGAATTTTGCAGCACGAGGGAAAAGGGAACAATGAGACCTAGTCGTCTTCAGATCAGACAAGATGGGCATTCAAAAGGAGTCAGACACTTACCAATACCAAGTTTGCAGTTCGTGCTCTAGATATTACATTGATGAGAGCTTAACAGAAAGGATATATTAAGAGTCACCAAGTACTACTTACTTAGAACCGCGTCTGGTGGGTTGAATCCAAGTTCAATGACAGCGTCCTCGATGTCGAAGCTCTTTGGCCAAAATATGATGCCATGCTGGTGATCAGCGAAATAATAACCCCAGTCTTGCTTTCCGTCTTCTTCATCGAGCAATTCAAGAACGAGATCGTGATTCCGAAATGACACGTCAGAGGATCCCGCGATGCGATCGATCTCTTGAATAGCGCAGATAATTCCTTGATATTTTTGGGAGTCCGGTTCACCAGGATCCGCGTCCGTGTAGACACGCTGAAGGAATGCGCTTCAATCGTACCATCGTGAAGAAGGCTGTAGAAGCGGATGTACCTTATCCTCATTGAAGAAATATCTGGATCCGTCCGGATTCACATAGGATATCCATTCAGTTTTGTTCTCGGTAGGATGGCTAGGATAATATATGAGAAGATAGTGGAGACAGGGATACGTTCAGGAACGAGTCACGCACAAGAACCTGGAGAAAGGACTGAGTACGGTACATTCATTCTTTTTCGGTGCATTCTTTGCGCTGTAAGCCGCACTAGGTTTCACAGGAATTCAGCATGTAGGGCGTAAAGAGTGACGTACATGTAAACGTCTCGGTCCCATCGTCGTACATTTCCTGGGTGGATCGCTTTCACAGAAATTTCGAGAGCCTTCTCAGCCTTATCCGATTCAACGAATGGGGAAGCCACTGTCTTGTTGCCAGAACATGGGGTGAGAGAACCATTACCAATGTACTCAAGGGGTCGCGAGTCGGGAGTGGCACAGGAACGATCTCCATCCTCTCTCTCAATTTCTTCACGGTTATCCAGAATGATATCCAACGTTCTATATCTCGAAGGCGTGCGATGAATGATGTTGGCAGTAGTTGGCAGGCCAGGACGATCGTGATCGATGTGCACCGCAGGAGGAGGGCAGAGGGAAGGCACGATAACGTCTTCGGCGCTCGATCGAGAGCTACGACTGTCGTAAGCGCCGTGAGCGATCTCTTCTGCGGAGGTCTGAGGGGCAGGGATCCTGTGTGCAAGAGAAGAAATTACAGCTTCGGAATGCGACGGAATGAGGTCGTGGTCTCTATTCGGCCTTGGTGGAGAAGCACCGCGAGGACTCCTCGCTCCTACTTGCAAGGCTCGAGACAGATACGACAACAAGGTAGACATGTGTAACCTGCACGAAAGGCACATGTAGAGGAGCCGCCTCGCTGCGAGTCTACAGGCCTTTCGTGTCTGGCCGAGCGTCAAGTCGAGGAACAAACGAATAATCACACTGGGATTGAGAGTCATTGCAGCGGATAGTGACAAACAGTAGTAGAGGGCAGCGGAGAAGGGCTTGCAATGAAAACCTGGGACGCTGAGCTGAGTTCTTTGTAGAGGCCTTGGAGTCCAAATAGCACAGCTTCGTTATTTGGATTTGGAAGTACGGCAGACGCGCTTGAAGCGATCAGAACTGTCCTAGAAAGACCAAATCATCGCATGACCTGCTTCTAGATCAAAGGGTACCTGTCATCAAGAAGAGACTGAGGCGTTGGATGAAGAGGCGCTGCATACAAATAAGTCTGATGATTGAAAGCAGTGCGTCCTCGGAAGGATACTGAAGTCTCGAGCCATGTGACGTTCACCTATAACAAGCTTGAGAAAGATAGTTTCTAGGAGTGAGTAAGTATATACACACGGTTGCCAGATAAGGAATCGACACTGACTGTACGGCTTTATATGTCAAGCCGTTCGCAAACACATTTCAGTAGAGTGAATGGGAGACAAGTCAAACTACTTTGATTTGGCAAGGCTGTGCGATACACTCAGAAGGGCCATGTAATGGAAAAACTGAATGATTCTTCTACCCGCTACGTGACAGGGGTGCAGACAACGGCACATTATGCCGAAACGAAGATAGGCTCTCCCCGACAGGTCATTCCCAGTTTAAAGGGCGCTCGCACCTACAGCGCTACCCGTTAGGCAACGCAAATGTAAAAGCAGACGGGCACATACCAGTGATGATATCAACAAGCTCATTCGTGATAGCAGCTTGTCGTCCACGATTGTACTGCATCTGTAGAGACGAGATCATGTCGGTCGCATTTTTGGAGGCGTTGTCCATGGCATTACGACTTTGAATGCAGAAGATGGATGAGACAGAAGGTGCGATCTAAAGACACAGAGATACTTACCGAGCACTCTGTTCGCATGCGTGAGCTTCGGTGAGAGCAGCGTAGATAGCGTTGGCCAAAGAGAACTCGGCAAGGTCCTTTGTGACATCGTCTTCCATCTCGTATGCTTTGAAGCCGGCTGTCGAAAAGAGTGGTGTAAAGCACTGATTCAGACGACAACAAAAATGGCTTACGCGATTCCTTGAGAAGGTCCTCGGCCAGGATCTCGACGACAGTAGGCTCATATGAGATTGCCGACACAAACTTGTTATGTACAATGGCGATGGCGTCGTACTGAGCGCCACTCTTGACAATGAGATCCGCGACACCCGCAGCATCCGCAAATGTGGGAATATCACGACCAATTTGGTTGAAGGTTAGGGTGAGGTTCTCAGGGAGGGTGCGAGACAGCTGAGCCTTCGGCTTGTCACCAATGACCATGATAGGGGAGTCGGACTGAGCACCGTGCTGGCCGTTAGCGATGGCGCGACGGGTTTCCTTCGTCACAGACGAATGAATGCCTCCGCAGAGACCCTTGTCGGAAGAAACGACCAGGAACAGCGTGCGCTTTGGAGCCGACTCCGGAGTGGTGTTTTGAAAGATCTCTACCGCAGGATTTAACATAAACGTATCTGACTTCGTAGCATGCTCCGAACACACCCGAGTTGGCAATACCATACTGCTTGCCGTTCTGCATGGCGCGCTGGGCCTTAGCCAACTTAGTCGAGGCTATCATTTTCATCGACTACGGATGCATTTATTCTTAAATCTATAGGACAAGGTATGTGTAATGATTGTACATACTTTCGTGATTTTCTCGATGTTCTTGACGGACTTCAAGCGCAACTCGATCTCACGAAGCGTGGCCATGTTACGCGCGCTCGGAGGCGCGGCGCCCAGCGTTGAGGGCTGTGCAGCGAGGCGTGCGACAGTGCGCCGAGCAAGCATGGCGATAGATGAAAGGAAAGGGAGTTTGTGGAGGGGAGAAAGGTGGAAATGTTTCGTCGCTGTCTGCGTCGGCGAAACCAGGCTTGTGTTCCCGCTGGCGCTGTCCCTTGAAGCTCCGCTTGAATCATGATTACCTCAGTCAGCCTTGACTCGATCACCGCTGCTGCCGTCCTCGACGTTTGCCCGCACACACCGACGCTCGCAATTCTGTGTTCTACGTTAACGAAAAAATGTCACAGGAACCCTTATTTGACCCCTCGCTGAAGAAACGCAGCAAGAAGAAGCAAGTCGCGTTCTCAGAGGATCCCCTTGGCGCAGATGCAGACCCTACCACCCCCGCACCCGCCATCATCGAAGACACCACCGCCAACGGAGATGCAGTTGATTTGGGACCGAAGACAGTTCACGAGCAGATGAAGGCAAATGGAATCGGTGCTGATGAGGAACTTGAGCCGAAGGAAGTCAAAGAGGATGATGACTTCGCTGCATTGCTTGGGGAGAAGAAGAAGAAAAAGAAGAAGGCGATCCCACTCGATCTTGTATGTATCCACCTTATCTATACAGAATTGTGCCTCGATAGGTGTTTTTTACTTTCTTAGGGCGAGGAAGGCTCTGGCACGTCCACACCGGTCGGCGCTCCGGTCACCGAAGACCTCGATTTCTCAGACCTCAAGAAGAAAAAGAAATCCTCCAAGAAGAAAGCCGCTTTCGATCTTGAGGCGTTTGAGAAGGAGCTCAATGAGTCGAAAGCCAAGGATGGCGCTGATGATGAAGAGGAGGGTGATGACGGGGAACACTTCAATGACATCGACGAAGCAGAACTTGGTGACGACCCATTCGCACATGGGGAAGCACCGACCGATATCGACGCGGGTAACGAGCCTTGGCTTAGCAGTGACCGCGACTATTTCTATCCTGAGCTCCTCTCTCGCTTCTACAACTCGCTTCACGTCTCCAACCCAGGTCTTCTCACCTCGGGTGGCAAACGATACACTATAGCACCCCCTTCCATTCATCGCGAAGGCAACAAAAAATCCATTTTCGCAAACATATCAGATATCTGCAAACGGATGCATCGGCAGCCGGAACATGTCATCCAATATCTGTTTGCTGAATTGGGTACCACCGGTTCCGTTGATGGTTCTGGTCGGCTTGTCATCAGAGGTCGCTTCCAACAAAAGCAGATCGAGAATGTGTTGAGAAGATACATCAGTAAGTCGAACATCCGACTTCCCTTGTTTGGCGCAACTCACGCGTTTCGGACTAAGTTGAATACCTCACCTGTAAGACTTGCAAGTCTCCCGACACTCTTCTCACGAAGGAGAACCGTATTTTCTTCATGTCGTGCGAGTCTTGCGGCTCAAGACGATCCGTGAACGCGATCAAGAGCGGTTTCCAGGCCCAGGTAGGGAGGAGGAGCAAAAACAAGACTGGTTAAGAGGTGCAGAGTCGGCAACCCGGAGCATGGAGTTGGCTGGTTCGCGAGCCTCGTGTTGTATCGTTCAGATTTACTGCAGGTGTATCAACACATCCATCTCATTTGCTTTGCCTGCATACTCAAGTCCTGCTCTCGATTAGTAAGTAGCCTGTGGCTAACAGGCCGGGAGACTTTAGTCGATCGACGCCATATAGTCATGCCATCGTACTCGAGTGACTATAAGCCGCCGATTTGATGTTCGGGGTTCGGGTACCCTGTTTGAAGCCGTTTGTCACTCATCATCGCTAGTAGGGTTTTCAAGTCAACCTTCAAACCAGCTGCATCCCCTGGAATTCGTGCCCAGTCAACCCATGCTGCCCCAATCGAGGTTCAATTTCCAATAATATGGGACGGGGGCGTCATGAACTGCCAGCCTGTGCACTTTGAACTCTTGCACTCGAGGGACGTGTGAAAGATGCTGAAGCAACCATGTCAAGCCTGCTGAGGTCGAATGAGGGAAGTGTATCATATTTTTCGTCCGATGAGATATGCACTACTCACGTATCCAGTCAATAGGCTGGAGCCTGGCTTCCAGATACTTAATTTTATTTTGAGCATCCTTGGCGGCACTTTTAGTGGCCATATCCGGTTGCGGTGATGGAGCAGGATTTAGGGCATGGTGTGCGGCACTGCGGGCAACCAAATTCACAATCACCGAGTGGAAAGATACGCGCAAGTATATATTCCAGGGAGCAGCGAGCATCCATATGTATTCACCTCCTTCCAGCAACTTCTTGAAGACTACTGTGTGCTTTCAAACCAATGCTTCGTTCTCAGCGCAGTACCTCTGATGACCCAATGCATAACTGCTGGAACCACAGTCAGCAGTCTCTACCTCCTTTGCAGAATCGGCGTATGCCTGATCACTGGAAGGTCGAGTTCCAAGTCGTATTTCCCTTTTCTACCATCCTCAAGTTTGCTTTCATGACTCTATGCACAATTTCTCTTGGACATAACGACCTTGAGGGCGTGTGGGACATATGTCTAGGACATGAAGAAATCTGGACAGAAAGTAAAGACCGGGTATTGAACAGGATATCTACCATTACCGTTGTCGTGAGTAGCTACGATTTTAAAGGGCGTGGTTTTCCATAATCCCCATTCTCCATCGTTTCAGGCAGGATTGCTTCTTGGCTCTATCGCGTCATTCGCGACTTCTGACCCACCTGTACGGAGTATGCTCAACTACAATGCGCGCGAGCCATACATGTGTCTCCTCCTAGCATTTGGTCTTACCTTGGGTGGCCTCATTGTCGGTTCTGCGTTATTGTTCGGCTTGGCAAAGTGCTCTGCAAGTTATTTTCGCGATGTGCGTGTCCTGTAATATCTCAGACATTCATTAATTGACAGGCCACACCGCAGACTCTCATGGGAACTCGCTCATCCATCTGCTGCACACTGACGTTGCTTGCGTACCCTTTTGTTTGTATTGGTGTCGCGACTTCGATCGGGGCAACAGGTTCGTCATGCCCACCATACGCTATCCCTGACAACTCAGTGATGTTTTTCTCTTACCAAGGGCTTTTTGTGGCTGCGTGGAATTCCGAAGACCGATTTTTCCGAACTGGATTTGTGTTCGTGTTGCTGATCCCAGTGTCGCTAGTTTTTGTTTTTGCATGGACTCAGCGCTTTCTGGGATCACCACCCTCTCGTGATCGATATCCAAATTGCTGACGATGTCTTGTTTTTGGCGATCCTTTCTGATTTCGGACAGGTTGAGTATTATTATGGAAGCTAGACGCCTCCACATGGCTCGGATTCCCTCATCAGTGTTCACTGTTGAGATTTACTGCAGCGACAAACGTGCACGAAGGCACAGTGGTATGTTTTGACTTCAAACGGACTATTACATAATATGTTATCAGTTTCCTTTTATGGACTCACTCGGACATGTTACCTTGCGGAGTTGATGCCTTGGTACTATACAGTTCCTATTCACACTCCGAACACACTATCGTTACCATACGTTCGTCGTTATCGAGCACCTCAGTCGTTGTCTACACGCACTGAGGTGAGCTACTATACCATTCACACTTTCGTAGATCTTTTACTGACTTACCGTAGTCATTCGTTTGCTCGCGCTTCTATTAGGTACTTGTTATATATATAAGTCGTTGTCTACACGCACTGAGTCATTCGTTTGCTCGCGCTTCTATTAGTCGGCCTCGTAAACTCTAACAGGTTATGGGCCCTGCTGATTCGTCAATGTCGTCCAGCCAGAACTTCTACAATGTTCCGAAGCTAGCCAACGATGGCACGAACTGGGTCATTTACAAAACCCGCCTTCGTACCGCTGTCGGTGCACGAGGACTGGTACCTCATCTCGACGGATCCAGCTTAAGGCCGACTGTCCCATCCCCACTTTCGGAAGACACTCCGATTTCCATGTCTGATGCCTTCGAACTCGAAAATGCACTCGACATTCTCGCAAACTGGGAACGGGATGAATACACGGTCCAGCAACAGATCTACAGCACGATTAGCGACTCCCTCTTACTCAAAATCCAATCACGAAGACTTACCTCGGTTGCCGAAGCCTGGAAGTACATGTGCAAGGAGTTCGAGGATAAGCCCGATATGGTCAAGATCGACAAGCGTCGTCGACTGACCGAGATGAGATGTCGTGATGGCGGGGATCTGCGAGCACATCTAGATGCAATGGAGAAGTTGAAAGAGGAGTTAGCAGGAATGGGGGTCAGTCTCCCGGATTCCGAATACCTACCGATCCTCGCCGCTTCACTTCCCCCTTCGTATCGGTCTTTTGTCTCGAGCATCACTGGCGCCGCGCGCATCCTGGGGCAGGACATACAACCCGACCGACTTGCCTCTCTCGTCCTTGATGAATGGGAGAATGATCAGTTGCGGAACGAGCAGGTCTCATCTTCGAGAAAACGCACCGCCACCGAACCCACATCTTCGGCTCTTTACTCACATCCAAATGCGGAGGTCTCGTCGGCCTCGTCGCAGAAGATCAAGGGCAAATGCTATAATTGTGGAAGAAAGGGTCATCGGAAAGCAGAATGCCGACAGCCAGGCGGTGGTGGTTTCAATCCCGATCAAGGCAAAGATCAAGGGGGAGGAAGGAGTGGATCGAAAGGTGCGAAAGGAGGTACCGCCGCCAATTCCGCTAGCACGACTGAGCCTGTCGGATTCACGGCCACCCTCACCTCTTCCGCACTCGCCGCTCATCGTAGGGAATCCCGAGACCTGATGACAACTTGCATCGACACCGGGGCTAGCCATCACATGTCGCCCTACAAAGAAGAAATGGAGGATTTCGTCAGTATTACTCCTGAACCCATCACTGCTGCAGACGGCGGAACCTTCATGGCAACCGGACGCGGGAACCTGAGGGTAGAAATCCCCAACGACAAGGGTGAAACATCCCCCATCATCCTACGAGACGTGCTCTATGCCCCTGGCATGGCATTTACTCTGTTATCAGTCCCACGCGCGGACAAGAACGGCTGCGCCGTGTCATTCAGAGGGGGCCGAGCCACGATTCGGAATCACGATGACCACCAGATCGGCTGTGTGCCCCTCACCGGCGGGCTCTACACTTTCACAAGCCCACGCAGGGTTCCCTTACAGGCCAATGTGGCCACAAGCAAAGCACTCGCACTCACGCCGGCTCAGTTGCACCGGCGGTTGGGTCACGTTGGCACTCGACAATGCAAGGAACTCGTCCGTAAGGGACTCATCCACGGAATCACACTAGTCCCCACAGCCAATGATGATGAGGATGGCAACGAGCAATGCGAGGCATGCGTGCGTGCAAAAATCCACCGCACACCATTTCCGCAGGAGAGTTCGACTCCGCGCGCGGCAAACTATGGTGGACGGTGTCACACCGACGTATGGGGCCCCGCACAGACGCCATCGATTGGCGGCGCACTGTATTTCTCGTCGTACCTGGATGAAGCAACTATGGAGTTAGCCACGAAGTTTCAGAAGACAAAGGCCGAAACACTTACCTCATACCGCACTCATGAGAAGTGGGTGGAAGTGCACCGTGGCGCACGCATCAGTGTCCTCCGGTCGGACCGCGGCGGCGAGTATACCTCGAAGGAATTTAACGGCCATCTTGCGAGTCGCGGAACCCATCACGAGTTGACTGTCCATGACTCACCGCAGCAAAACGGACGTGCCGAACGCCTCAATGGCACGCTCGTTGGCCGCGCCGTTGCAATGCTCTTGGATGCAGGTCTTCCGAAATACCTATGGGCAGAGGCAATCAGCCACTGTGTTTGGATCTGGAACAGAACTGGAACCCGTGCACTCAAGGGAATGACTCCTCTTGAGGCTGCAACGGGCAAGAAGCCAGATCTCCGGAACCTGCACGAGTGGGGTTGCAAGGTTTGGGTCAAAATTGACGGGCGGAAGAAACTGAGCCCAAAAGGGGACGAGGCCCGCTTTGTCGGATACGATACCGCTAGCAAGGGCTATCGTGTCTACTGGCCGGGCAAACGACGCGTCAGCATCGAGCGGAACGTCGTTTTCGCAGAGGGGGGACGCGCCGATGCCGCAGATACGACCGTTCAGGTCGAGGGGGAGCCTAGGCCACACAACGCCCCGAACGTCCCGCCTGCGCCACGTCTGGACGCCTCGTCGTCGTCTGCGCCGTCCGCAACGTCTCCTGCGCCGCCCGCAACGCCGTCTGCGCGCGCGCCGTCGCCTGCGCCGCCCGCAGCTGTATCGCATCCACCCAGCCCTCAAGATTCCAACCAAGAAGGGGAACTCACCGAGGGGGAGCACCCAGACATCCTGGTGACGCCTCAGGACGCTCCCGGCGTCCCTGCGCCTCCGGATTCGATCCCTGTCGCATCTCAGAACGACCCTATCGCTGCCGCCGACGCTCCTGACGAGGAGACATCGACCTATGAGCACCAGGGACGTCCCCGCCGAAACGCGCGGCCGTCCGAGTACGTGCGACGCCTCGAACGAGGAGAAGGCGTCGCAACCGGCCTTCCGAGGTCCCTCTTTCCGACGGCAAGTCTTGCGGCCAGTCCAGGTGCGGTAGAGTCGAGCGCCACGCAGGCAGAGGACGAGGACGACGCAGAGGAAGAGGAGGGACGCACAACTTTCGAGCGCGCGATGGCTGCCAGCGTGGGAGCGGACCTCGAACCTAGAAATTTGGCGGAAGCACGCCGTGGGAAGGATTGGCCGAAGTGGGAGACAGCAATTCTCGAGGAACTGGCTATGATCAACCACTTTGGCACCTACACCCTCGTCGACCGGCCACCCCTAGGTGTCAATGTTGTTGGCAGCAAGCTCGTCTTCAGGACGAAGCGCGACGCGGAGGGCAACATCGCCAAATACAAAGTCCGGCTCGTCGCGCAGGGCTTTACCCAGGTCCCTGGACTTGATTACACCGACACCTTCGCGCCGGTCAGCAAACTCGAGTCCTTGCGCATCCTGCTCGCGCTTGCAGCCCGCGAGAACTGGGAGGTCGACCAGATGGATGTCAAGAATGCCTACTTGAATGGAGAGCTCGAAGAGGAGATCTACATGGAGCAGCCACCAGGCTTTGCAAAACCGGGCGAAGAACACAAGGTGTGTCTACTCCACAAAACCATCTATGGCCTCAAGCAGTCGGGACGCCGCTGGTACAAGCGGCTCTGCGACGCTTTCGCTAAGCTGAAGCTCACGCGCTGCTCAGTTGACCATGGCATCTTTTGGTGCCGACTCGAAAACGGCATCATCATAGTCGCAGCTTCAGTGGATGACCTGGCGATCTTTGCGAGCTTGAGACGACACCTTGAGAAAATCAAGGAGGGACTGAAGCAGATCTTCGAGATGACAGATCTCGGTCCGATCCACTGGTTACTTGGCATTGAGATCAAGCGGGACAGGCAGGCCCGCACTCTTTCACTCTCGCAGGCCGCGTACATCGATGTGATCATCGCACGGTTCAATCTTGACGAAGCCAACCCTCTAACGACACCCCTTGACCCCTCCTTCATTTTGAACAGCACCCAGTCACCTTCGACACCTCGCCAGTATGAGGAGATGCGGAACACGCCGTTTCGCGAGGCGATCGGTTCGCTGATGTATGCAGCACGCGGGACCCGACCTGACATTGCGTTTGCGGTCACGCACCTCTCGCAATTTATGCAGAACCCTGGGAAGGCTCATTGGGAAGGTGCGAAGCGAGTTTTTAGATACCTAAAAGGCACGCGAAGCTACCGACTGGTGTTCGGGACAGAACAGCGTGGCCTTGAAGGTTTCTCGGATGCAGATTGGGCATCACAGGAGCATCGCCACTCGATTTCGGGCTATGCATTCCTCATCGATGGAGGTGCTGTGTCCTGGTCAGCCAAGAAGCAAGCCATCGTAGCTCTTTCGAGCACCGAGGCTGAGTACGTTGCTGTCACACATGCTTCGAAGGAAGCTTTCTGGCTCGGTGCATTTCTCGCCGACATCTTCGGCACACCCCGCACAGCACCTATTTCACTGTTTTGTGACAACCAGTCTGCGATTGCCCTCGCGCGCGACAATGCTTTTCATGCGCGCACAAAACATATCGATATTCGTTATCACTTCATTCGCGAGGCTGTTGATGAGGGCCGCATCACTCTTGCCTACTGTCCGACAAATGAGATGGTTGCTGATATCTTCACAAAGGTGCTCCCGCGCCCGAAGGTAGAGAAGATGGCCATACTCTTAGGACTCCATGCAGTTTGAGGGGGAGTGTTGAGATTTACTGCAGCGACAAACGTGCACGAAGGCACAGTGGTATGTTTTGACTTCAAACGGACTATTACATAATATGTTATCAGTTTCCTTTTATGGACTCACTCGGACATGTTACCTTGCGGAGTTGATGCCTTGGTACTATACAGTTCCTATTCACACTCCGAACACACTATCGTTACCATACGTTCGTCGTTATCGAGCACCTCAGTCGTTGTCTACACGCACTGAGGTGAGCTACTATACCATTCACACTTTCGTAGATCTTTTACTGACTTACCGTAGTCATTCGTTTGCTCGCGCTTCTATTAGGTACTTGTTATATATATAAGTCGTTGTCTACACGCACTGAGTCATTCGTTTGCTCGCGCTTCTATTAGTCGGCCTCGTAAACTCTAACATTCACTCCATTCGTTCATGTCTTTCGTCGTCGTTATTCACTCCCTTTCAGAACACCATGCTGCAGTACCAGATATAAGGACTCCAGCATCTGTATCGCATGCAACCATGGCTCATCGGTCGTACCACGCTAGGCTGGGTATACAACTCGGCGTCCCTAATTTCGTACAACAACTTCAATAGGACGACTCCTTCAACGTTAACCTCTTCCCTCCGGTCCTCACGAGAAATTGAAATGTGGAAGGCGTTGTACTCGTGGTGCGCCGTTCTCTCTTCTTATGTTGTGAATGGGTCTTCATCAGATTGAAGGTGATGAAATTCCAGAAGTCTGTCATAAACATGATGCTATTGCCCTTCCGAAACGTTCAAATGCCTCATGGCAATTTCAGTTATTCAAAAGGGATATGCACTCGCAAGTTGAACGTAGGCGATCTTATTGCCCCGGAATCACAATCAGTATGCGCGATATCAGACGCTCAAGTAAATTGAGGCAGATCAAGCTTCGCTTGTGCGTGCTGCATGGAATTCGAGCATATACAATGCGCTCGAAGGTGTTCGATCACCCTAGGCATATATTCACGCGCTTGACTTTCCTACTATGTGATGGTCCTAGCTATTTTCACACAAAGCGGGACTTTATCTTTTGATGGTATCACTAAAGTGTGCTTTGAAAGAGCGGCGAGGAAGGGCACGACTATGAAGCCTGGTGAGTGTTATGTTACATACCCCACCTCCGCCTGTTGATACATGCACTGTTAGGCTAGAACATGGCTTCCAGCCACCTTCATTAATTCCGAGCACATCCCGGCCGCTCCAATGACAACCTTCAATACGCTAGAAGGGTGTGATACACGTTCTTGATAGTGTCCAGCTCTCCATTGCCGTGATGAGGCGTTAAGTGAGCATCCTCATTCAAAATCTGTTTATCTATGCATATGTTGAGATATGCGTGAAAGTTATTCGCATGATACATATACCTAGAAGATTTTGTCAGGGAGCGTCAATATGTACACGCCTCCCGACGACATTCTCTCTCGAAGGACACTACGTGCTTCCGTCATGCCGACGCCCAAACTCCAAATACGATGCCCATGATCTGGCGCAATCATATTGGAACATCGTTCAGTATTTCTCACCTCCTTCGCAGGATCATAATATGCCTGACTACTGAAAGCTCGAGTTCCATGTCATCTCCCCCCTCTCTATCATTCTTAGGTTCGCCATAAAGAACTCTGCCTGATCTCTCTCAGACATCCTGATCTCGAGCGCGTCTGGGACATATGTGTAGCCTATGAAGAGATTTGGACAGCGAACAAAGATCGTTTATCGACAAGAGTAACCACCATCACCATTGTCGTAAGTGGCTTGGAATTCCGTATGCAGGGTTTTTTTCATATGATTTTTTTTCATATGTTAGGCAGGACTACTCTCTAGCGCTACTGCCTCATTTGCGACGATGACCCCACCCGTAGGGAGTATACTCAACTACAATACCCGCGGGTCATACATCTGTCTCCTTCTGGCATTCGGTCTCACCTTAGGCGGTCTCATTGTCGGGTCTGCCATGTTATTCGTCACGTCAAAGTGTACTGCAAGCTGGTTCCGCGAGGTGCATGGCCAAAATAGCATTACAAATGTTCATTGCCTAACACATAATATTATAGACGCTTGTGGCATCCCGCTCACGTATCTGCTACACGCTGGTGTTGATTGCGTATCCGTTTATCTGCATTGGTGTTGCAACTTCTGTCGGGGCAATTGGTACAACATATCTTTGCGATTCTGGAACTTTACAATTAATGCTCTCGTACTTAGGACTTCTTGTAGCTGTGTAGAGCTCCCAAGATCAAATCGTTCGCATCGGCTGCACGTTCGTGTTACTGGTTCAAGTCTCCTTGATTTTTGTTTTTGCATGGATTCAACGTCCTCCACGGGAATCCCAAACCTTTCGTGGCCAATATACCTCCGTAGGCTCGAGCGGGCGCCTTCCGAACGCCAGACGCGTCGTATGAGACCATCTGTCTCCGTTCAATATACGGGACCGCCATACACCATCAAGCGAATTTAATGTTTGATCATGCGCACGCAACAGTGCGGGACTAGCAAGAGAACGGTGAATCAAGGATGTCGAGGGGATTATTTTTCTTTATAGATAGATATGACAGGCTTCAATGCTTGAGGGTCTTCATGTGTTCCAGTCTACGTCTACGGTTCTCTATGAGAATTCTCAAATTTGGTCCCTTCTAAGGTCGAGTCTGCCGCGTAGGTGTCGACCTGCCTGTTTTAGAAATTAGTTTACACGGTCACGGTAGTGTGATATGCTGACATCGGCGCGAAAGCGACTTCAACAATCGGTCGCGTCCTTCATCGCCAGTGTCAGCGCTCTAAGCTCAAACGCTACGACAGACGACGGTCATGGTTTCTGCTGAAAATCTCAACTACGATGTCTTGGAACTCATATTCACCTTCCTCTTTCTCAATGATCTTGCCGCCGTTTCGCAGGTCAGTCGGTCATTTCGAGCTGGATGCATCCCTCGCCTGTACAAGACTATCATTTTTCGTCACGACTTGGCGAAACGGTACCCGCGAGTATGTCCAAAGCAATTGGTTATATGGAGAGGTGCTCAAAGAAAAAACCCTCCAGCTCATGTCTCCATTTGCTGTGATCTTGGCACATCCGTATCTTGCAGTCCATGTTCGTAGAATTGGTACGTCGAAGTATCACCTATGAGAAATTGCGCTTTAAAATAAGCGCTCTGACTCCTTAGACATACGTTCCATCCCTGTCCTCCATTCCCAGCACTCATCGCAAGCTCACCCTGCTTTCCTTCGGGACTGCATTGACGTGATCGCTAAATCCTCAAACCTGATATCATTCACGTGCACTCCGTTCAACAGTTTGCCCCCGTTTCTTCCATCGCTACAAGAAAAGGGGCGCCTACAGAGCCTCCGCATCAGCGCAAGCAGCCTGGCTAGCGATGCTTCTGCGAAGCTTCTTCACCTCTCTGGCATCAAAAGCCTCACCCTCGAGAACGCGTCGTGGATCGTGGTCGATTCTCTGCCAAAGTGGATGGAGTCGTTACAGTCAAGCATCACCTATTTAACTCTCTATGTGAGTTTTCTTACTTCGCCATGAGGGCACCAGCATCCGTTCCACACGCATACGTGGCCCAGTTGCCTAATCTGCAGGGGAAAGAATCTGGTGTTTCTGGTGGCATTATGTGAGAACTTATCGTGATAAGTCGTGTAGATGATATCAGACCTCAATTCTAACATCCTCACGTCCATGCTACCGTATCTACCTAGACTGCGAGGCTTGCACATAATCGGCTGTCCGGGCGTCGACCATGTCGCTATTGTTCACGCTCTACGCCACTTTCCACTTCTTGAAAGCCTTGCCTTTTCAATGTCTGTGAGTGGCTGCGCGCAGTGGTATAATTCATTCTCAGGTCTATTCTTCATACCACAGGACACCAATCGCTCCCTCCCCGAGCACATCCCAGACTTGTCCCTCACCCACCTCCGTCACCTAGCCATCGACTCCGAGATATACGGTCGTCTCTCAGCTCCTACAACGCCTGGCATGTGGTCCTCACTTTTTACGACCTTACAACTATGGGCCTCGCCGCTCATGTCAGTCGCGTTGAAACCGTCGACTAAGGGATCATGTCAGGCGTTCTTGGAGGAAATGATCGAATTTCACGCATCTACTCTCAAATACCTGAGTATTCTCAACTGCTCGCTCAACATTAATAACATCGCAGACATCGCGGAGAAGTGTATAGCGCTCGAGAGGTTGGCTATGCCCGTCGCAGACGTGCGCGATCTTGTGAGTCGCTCGTTCTTCTATTGTTGTGATTGCGTTGTTGCTGTGACCCCTGCATTTTTTTCTTGTCCTGACTGAATTGCTATCAGACTGGCTTCCGGCTAGCGCTCAGGATATCATCATCTATACACACTCTCATTGATGTCGGCGTTTCACATACATCACATGGCCCGCGTGTGTCACTCACGAACGGCCCCGTTCGTCGAATGATGGAAGAGATCCCTTGCTTGAGGAAAGTCGTCAGCGAGACTAGACACTGGACGGTAAGTACTGCTGTGTTCTCGTCATCGCTTTGCCCGAAGGTATCTTAGGCTGAGCCGCGTTTGACAGGGTACACCAAGCCCGAATGGTATCCAAGTGACACTTGAACGCAAGAAACATGGTGCTTCGTCGCATTGGTTTCTGCCACCTTAAAACCCTCCTCAAGTCTACGTGCATCCTCAAAAGCGATTGTCATACCTTTCATCGTTCTACAGACCCCAGCCTAACAAGTATCATACGCATCGATGTTAACATTCAGTCTCGCAGTTTGTTTCCATTTTCATCCTTCAGTATCCTATCTTTTTGCTATGGCCCAGATCACGCTTACGACTCCACTGTGAGTGTGTGTGCATCCCGAAAGTAAACACCCGTCATAGCTCCCTTATTTGAAACATATCAGGCCTTCCGCTGACTGACTATCTACTTGGTCGTCGTGTCGTGGCATCCCACGAGCCTGTCCGGACACAAATCACAGCACTGTCACAGCGTCGTTTCGAATAGTCGTGAACTGCGCGCGCTGTAAGGTCAAGTGTTGCAGCGTGTTGCTATAGTGTAAGAAGCGCGAAACCGACATACGGAAAGTAGCGCTCGCAGAACAATTATAGCATGTCGTAGATTGTTTCGATTGTGTTGAAAATGGACCTTCTGAGACGAGAAGAACCTAAGGAACACTGTCTGTAGCTCAAAAAATCGAAATCTCAAACTTCTTGGGGGGGGGCTCCTAGAAATTGAAACACAAGCAAAAAAAGTCTAAAAAAACACGAATATTTTCATATAGATGGTCAAGAGGCTGAGAATACATTGAGAGTCAAGTGTACTGAGTGTGAAGCTTCTTGTACTCCTCCTTGACCTTCATCACAGCCAGTACTTCTGCATGAGTCCCCACATGGTGATGTGACCTATACTTTCATCTGGAAAACCCTCCTCTTTGAATTAGATCTAATTATCCAAAATACTAATCTGAGCTAATTAGAATTTATTATCCATAATCAACTTTATAATCAAATCTGCAAGTAAAGGTGACATTGTCTATACTACTATGGTCCTATTAGAATCTATAACCCAATTACAATCTTACACATTTCAAATTGTGTAAGTGCTACAATCTTATTTTTACTGTATTCTTTATTTTTTATTAGTTTACTATATTATTGTCTAGTGCCCAAATTCAAATATCAGCCCTGATTCTTATTGACTTTTTTATATATAGAATAGATAAAAGATAAATATATAAGAAAATCAGAAATGTTGAGATTGCCTTATTTATATCAACATATTTAGGTTATAGGATAAATAATTTAGACCTTGTAGCTTAGTGGTTTAGAGCACTAGTTTGGGTATGTAGGCATGAGGTTATTGGTTCAATTCTAGTGATAGGCAAGTTTATAATAAGATATGACTTTAGTTTGATTAGTAAGCTCTATATGGATTTTTAGGAAAATATCAACCAACCCAGTTCTGTGGTTTCTCTACTACTATTACACCTCCAATCATAAAGTATGTATAATAAATTAGCTTTAATTATATTTAGTTAGACCTTATAATTTCAGGATTAGAAAGAGGATAAGTTAAAAATCCTTAATGGTAAAAATATCGCTACATTTATGCTAAACTATGGTTAATTTAATATGGAGCTTTTCCCTGATGTTCTCATAGCAAACACTATCTAACATGCATCTAGCCCTTTTCTAAAGGCCAAAATAAGAAATTAATGAATGGTATAGATAAGGGAATATACTTATATGCATTCATATACCACCAGGTCTTGTAAAAGAAGCACCATATTGTGTACTTATCCACCATGTCTAGACATTAAGGAACAAAGATATGTAAGGGATATACAATGATAATTACAAGAGAACAGAAACACACATAATGCTTTCCATATCCATAGGTCATCTTAATAGGATTCAACTTGCAATGAAACTTTGGTATAAACTTGTAGATATAGCTATGGCTCTCAATATATATATTATTGGATCATTAGCTTCTTATTACAAAAGTTAGACTACAGAGAGAGGACATAAGCAATGCAATAGCTGTCAGTAATAATGGTAGGCTCTAGAGTGGCAGCACCTTCCTTATCTCCTTTACCTAAACTATCCTCTTGCTCTTTCATCTTTATAAGTGCAACACAACAAGCTATATCTTTCTTCTTCTCCAATAGCCTGTAAGTGGTGCACTTACCAATAACCTTGCCCTTACCACTATTGTGGCTTAATCTATTAGGGCCTTGATGGCCAGTCTATTCTGATAGCACTTACTACAACTACTAGGTAGCTCTAATTATGGAGTGTACATTATGGTATAAGACATCATTCTTAGTAATCATTGTCTAATAGATCATATTATTGTCAGTTAAGTATCACAGGATGGACATGGGCAACTAATAAGAGCTTACAAGCATATATAGGGATGAGCACACTCTATCACACTCCTAGTTAAATAAAAGAGAATAAAGAAGCACAAGAGTCATTGCTGAGAGAGGGTAGTAATTTGTAAAATGCTTAGTTGGATGTCTATGGCATTCTAGAGCTCATCCCAAGGTAGTATAAAGGGCCTATAGAATAGGCTAAGGATCTTCTGTTTATTCTTTTTTATTCTTAGACAGTCCTCATACTATCTACTCTATATTATTACTGTATCTCTATATACAGTCTTACCCATACTATCCCTTTTGTATAACATATATAATTAAGACTATTGTCCACAATTGTCTTTATTGTGCAACCTAGGAAAGAACCTACTACTCTTGGGGTTATTAAACAAGCAGTTTATAACAGCTACTATGCTTTGCCACTAACTGATCCTACACTAATATTTGCTTCTTCAAAGTCTCTTTTATATTCTTTAGCTGCCCTACAAGCTTAGCTGCCCTACAAGCTTAGCTGCCCTACAAGCTTTAGGTCTGGATAGTCTATTGGATATCCAAGCTTCTGTGACTGACTACATGTATCTGGATGACTAGGTTTAGGAGAAGGGTTATTAAGGGAAATGATAGTGTTGTACAAGACTGGCTTTTTGCCACCTAGATTAATATTCATATTATTGATATTTAAGGTATTGGGAGTGAATCCTTTGTATGTGGACAAGCAATCAAACTGCTAGATACCATCAGTATCTAGACAAAGATACTCAAAGATATTAATGGTAAGAAAAAGTTAGACTGTGAACTAAGGTAAGTCCTACTATTTATTGTAGTTCTTACTAGAGTAGATAAGATTGTAGGCCTTGAAAGCATCCAATTGCTAAGCCTTTGGAAGCTTTAATTGCTTCTAGATTTGTTTAGGTAAAAGACAAAGCCAGCTAATAGGCTTGTAGATGAAGTTAGAGATATGTATAGCATACTCTTAGCCTTTTGTGAAAATTAGCTGTTTACCCTTTTTGAGCCATACATATTAACACTGGTTATTAATATGCATAATACATTTATTATACATAACAAGGATAGTGTTACGACTGCTCGTCGGTAACCCCAAGAGTAGGAGGTTCTTCCCTAGGTCGCTCGTGGAGGATGTGTGGAACGGTGGTCTCGACTGTACGTGTAGCACAGGAGCCAGAAGTGTATTGCGATATAGCAATGAAGACTGTAGTAGGAAGACTACAGTGGATGAGGGTGCTGTGGTAGGAAGACCACAGTGAACGAAGAGAATAGACTGAAGATCCTCAGCCTATTCTATGGGCCTTTTATACTACTTTAGGAAGTAGGGCGTGAGAATACCGTATATGTATCCGTAGGTATTCCTCTAAGTCGTCTCTCTCAATAACGACTACTCTTGTGTTTCTCCGTTAGTCTCCTTCCGGCCAGGAACGACTAGGAGCTCAATGCCCGATGTGTGAGTAGTTTGTAAGGCGGCGTTCCATGCCCGCTGCGCAATAGGCCCGTGATACTCGACCAACGATAAGGTGATCCGTTGGGAGTGGATGACCAAGGTTACTATCTGTACCTTGTTTGTACGCCTCTCCTTGTGAGGCCGCTTGGTATTTGTGATGATCGTGTCGGTATAGACCGCCGTTAAGGCCCGACAGAACGTGATCATAACAGATAGCCTTTTTCTCCTTGGGGGAAAGAGACAATAGAATATATTCTAGTATCTTGTTATCATATTATCTAGGAAACCATTCCCTTGTATTAGCTCTAGATTACATCTTATAGTGTCTAAAAGTATCTAAAAGTATCTAATTTCCTAATTGGGAGCAACACATTATAAGTATTAGATTGGATTTCCAAATTAGGAACCATCTCTTTTTGTGGCTAAAAAGATAATTTTCTAATTTTATGATATTAGCACTAATTCTATCCCAAGAAGTTTTTAATTAGCAGCAGAAAATAGTAAGTACTACTACTCTATTAGTAAAAAGGTAAAGATGTGGCACATTCTATACTATTTCAGCACATTACTTTCTTTCATATATGCCTGCACCATTATCTTGTAGCTCTTTTGCTGACTTTTCAGCTGCCTTTAAAAGGGACATAAAAAGAGAGAAATGTGCATTGATGCCCCTAGCCACTTTGTTGGCAGCTTGGCAGCTGCCATAAGAGGCTATGAAGACCTAGGTACCTTGTCCTTGCACACATGATCATTAAAGTTGTCATTGTTAGCCAATGCCTGCTACTGGTCATTATAGGACACAACATATGGGTTGGACTTAGGAATATGCTATATGCAGCCTTATAGACCTTGTCTATTAGTATAGTGGCTAATACTGTCTTGTGTAGCACACAATCATTATTACTATTGATATTACAATTTTTAGCACTATTTATATTGTTTATTGCCTTGTTATACAGAAGATGCTCAAACTTGGTGTTTTCCTCTAGCTATTAGGCTGTGGAAAAGACAGCCATATTGGTATGTGGTGCCAGAATGATATATTTGCTTGCCATATAGGAAATATATGCATTAAGCATATTAAGATCACCTCCAACAATCTTGTGCTTATTTATATATAGGCATGCCATACATATATCTTTGTCCCCATTCTCTATCTCACTAGTGGCTATTTGGAAAACCCCTCTCTTTTATTGGATCTGAATTATTGATAATTATTAATAATAGTAATTTAAGCTAATTGTGGCTAATTATTCATAATCATGTTTTGATCAAATTTGAAAATTAAGGTAGCATTGTCTATACTAGTAGAGTCCCATTGAATATTACACTCAATCATAGTTTTACACATTCTAAATCCAAATTGTATAAGTGCCATAATTTGTTTTTACCCTATATAAAGTGTAATATTTATTTTCCATTGGTTTATGATCTTCTTAGCTGGTGCTAAAACTGAATCCTGAAAGACCTGACTTTTTAGGTATTTATTGATATATTTGTTTGCAAGACAAAGAAAAGATAAATGTTGAATAAAATCAGAGATGTTGAGATTGTCTATATTATATTTACTTATTTAGATTACCAAGTGAATATATTGGACCTTATAGCTTAGTGGCTTAGAGTATCTATCTTAGGTACTTGTATATATAAGGTTGTTAGTTTAACTCTGGCAAAAGACAAGTTTGTAGCAAGGTATATTCTGTGTTTAGATATTTGACTAGTGCTCTAATAAACATAACTCTATGAGAAGGCTATGAGAGCTGTGATGCTTGATTTATTATTATTTTTCCGAAATTTCAAGCTATAATTAATCCTAATAATTCCTAATTTAGGAAAATTATGTCTAATTAGAACAGGTTTAGGGGGGGTAAGTGAATAATCTCTAATCCTAACTATTCTTAGTTATGCATAAAAGCTTGGTTACTTTTCCTACAAGGTAAAAAAAGGACTTTATATAGATGGCCATGAAAGATATTATAAAAGCATAAAAATAGTACTTGAAAGAGATTAAGCAGTTTTAGTGGTATATAGGTTTGGTTATACCTTAAGGTACCTAATCATGGACTCATCATTATTATAATTTACAAAGATGCATGGTAACATGATTATCTAGGAAATTACTCTCTTATATTATGCTTAAATTAGTTTTATTTATGCATAATTAAGAATAATTGGGATTAGAGATTATTTGCTTACCTCCTCTAAATCTGTTCTAATTAGACATAATTTTCCTAAATTAAAAATTATTAGGATTGATTATAACTTGGAATTTCAAAATGATAACAATAAATCAAGCATCATAGTTTTCATAGCCTTCTCATAGAGTCATGTTTATTAGAGCACTAGTCAAATATCTAAACACAGAATATACCTTGCTACAAACTTGTCTTTTGCCAGAGTTAAACTAACAACCTTATATATACAAGTACCTAAGATAAATACTCTAAGCCACTAAGCTATAAGGTCCAATATATTCACTTGGTAATCTAAATAAGTAAATATAATATAGACAATCTCAACATCTCTGATTTTATTCAATATTTATCTTTTCTTTGTCTTATAAACAAATATATCAATAAATACCTAAAAAGTCAGCTTTTTTAGAATTTATTTTAAATACCAGCTAAAAAGATAATAAACCAATGGAAAATAAATAATACACTTTATATAGGATAAAAATAAATTATGGCACTTATACAATTTGGACTGAGAATGTGTAAAACTATGATTGAGTGTAATATTCAATGGGACTCTACTAGTATAGACAATGCTACCTGAATTTGCAAATTTGATCAAAAACATGATTATGAATAATCAAGATCCAATAAGAGAGAGGGGTTTTCCAAATAGCCACTAGTGAGGTAGAGGGTGGGGACAAGAGTATATATATGGCATGCCTATATATAAATAAGCACAAGATTGTTGGAGGTGATCTTGATATGCATAATGCATATATTTCCTATATGGCAGGCAAATATATCATTCTAGCACCACATACCAATATGACTGTCTTTTCCACAGCCTAATAGCTAGAGGAAAACACCAAGTTTGAGCATCTTCTGTATAACAAGGCAATAAACAATATAAATAGTGCTAAAAATTATAGTATCAATAGTGATGATGATTGTGTGCTACACAAGACAGTATTAGCCACTATACTAATAGACAAGGTCTATAAGGCTGCATATAGCATATCCCTAAGTCCAACCCACATGTTGTGTCCTATAATGACCAGTAACAGGCATTGGCTAACAATGACAACTTTAATGATCATGTGTGCAAGGACAAGGTACCTAGGTCTTCATAGCCTCTTATGGCAGCTGCCAAGCTGCCAACAAAGTGGCTAGGGGCATCAATGCACATTTCTCTCTTTTTATGTCCCTTTTAAAGGCAGCTGAAAAGTCAGCAAAAGAGCTACAAGATAATGGTGCAGGCATATATGAAAGAAAGTAATGTGCTGAAATAGTATAGAATGTGCCACATCTTTACCTTCTCACTGATAGAGCAGTAGTACTTACTATTTCCTACTAATAATTAAAGACTTCTTAGTATAAAATTAGTGCTAATATCATGAAATTAGAAACTAATCCAATGCTCACAATGTATTGCTCCCAATTAGGAAATTAGACACTTTTAGATACTATTAACACTTTTAGATACTTTTAGACACTATTAGATATAATCCGGAGCTAATACAAGGGGGTGTTTTTCCAGATGTAGCCAGCCACACTTTTTCATCTCATTGAGCATGACTGTTTTGGCGATGGACATTTGGGTCCAGGTGAGGTCCATGTCCTTGACAACCTTCTTAGAAGCTTGGAATGTAGAGAGAGGCTTGAGGGCAATGCTGTCCTTAGTGCATGTGAGCCTGAAGCCTTCTGCTGCAACGGATCACTGGTTGTTGTATGCATCCTGGCAGCCCTTTCTGGTAAAATACCAGAGCTCAACATATTCAAAGCTTGCCAGCTTATTGAGGGCAAAATTCGAGGGTTTGTAAGTAGGAAAATTGGGGACTGGTCACATCTTGTCAAAGTGAGGGAGCTTGGGTTTCTTCTTGTCAGCCTCACACTGGTCGGCGTTAGCTTCCTGCTCAGCAGCCAGACACATTTGCTCTGCCTCTTCTGTGCTGATTCTGGTGGCTTCGGCAGCATTCGCCTCATTGTTGGCAACCTAGAGTGCCCAAAGTTGCCTCTGTCTGGCATTTGTGGCCATCCAAGTCATAATAAGGCACTGGATAGTTTGCTTGTTGGCTTCACCTAGAAGCGCGAGGTTGAGTCAGTCATCCACCCATTCAGCAACCGCAAAGTCCGGGCAGATATCGGTGCTGGGGTCAGATGTGAGGTGCGGAGGCATTGGTCAAAAAAGGGTTGAAAGAAACTATGCCTGCTTAATATCTGTGTTGATCAATAAAATGAGCTGAAAGGATTCTGAGAAGAATGTATGATGGGATGGAGGCTCAGGGAAGGCTTTGTCTTGAAAGAAAGTAGAGCAGCAAGTTTCAAACTTGTTGGTATGCTTCGAGTGATGAGAGTTGCAGCCAGGATTCAATGTGGCTAGCTGTGAGCTCTCATCAGCCATAGACCTTATTCTATGGTTACACTCGTGCCTCACTTCTCATAGAAACCAAACTTGGGTCAAGTTAGCTACCATGGGCAAGCCCTTGAAAAGACATGACTTTCCTAGGACTTTTTGCCTGGCCTTATGGCTTATTTTCATATCTTATAACTTATTTAAGCTTATAGCTTATGCTCGGTCTTATTAATAGAGACCTGTTGTTTATAAGTCACTTTCTTTACTCCGTTATGTGTCTTATTTTGTCTTTTCCCACCTGTCAAGTCAGATAAGTCACAAAAGCAACTTTGCATTTTTCCTAATGGAGCACTGGATAGCTTTTCTACCCAGGGTGCATCTATACTATGAAATAATATTATTCACGGTACCCGGGGTCTGTACAATTGATAAAGTTCAAAATCGCCAATCGTTCTTGTATCGACTCCTTCTATTTTGACTGAGATAAATAGAGGCGGGTACACCAATTTATGCTCCTAATAACTTACCCTACAATCGTATGTCGCCCAAACGGATGCAACACATGCTATTGCTCGTAGGTCGGTGGCGCCTCTAATCTCCGCCTCCTGATCTCCTCCATTTCTCTTCTCAGCCCTTCCACTTCAGTCATCAACCGAGTCGTCACCGAACGGGCTTGGCTGGTGGTTGTGAGTGTCGACAGTCCGGATTGACTCGGAACGTCGGAGAATGTACGAGATTCGTAGGACATTGTCCTCGTATGGGCAGTGGGACTCGCATTGTTACTAGCATTGATTGCGCGGATCCGAGCAATCTCCTTGCTTGTAAGCGGTGTCTGAGTTTGAGGTGGCGAAGGTGAACGCACGAGCCCGAGCAATGATGTTGGAGTTTCCTGATGCACCCATTGTTCCGATGGTGAGGTGGCAGTGATGCCGTCGTCCCGCCGCGCTGTGTGCTGTGACGATCGACTTAAGATGAATGATGGTGCATTACTTTCTTCGTCAATACGCTGGGCGTTGAAGGGCTGATACGGAGAAAAGAGAGTGGTGAGGGTGGGTCTAGTCTCGACGGTCTGGATCTGAGCATGCTCTTGCTGTTGCCTACGGTACCGCCGAGCGAGGAAGAAAGCGGCGGCACCAATCAGTCCGAGTAGAGCGAGTCCACCGATAACACCTCCTGCTACGGTGCCCGCGCTCGTGTGTTTGGTGGTGTTATCCCCGGAGTTTGTAGACGGCGTGCTACTAGGACTAGGATCCGAACTAGAGCTGAGACCAGTGGCCGTTATCGATTTCGCTGTTACGCTGTTGAGATCCAGATATCAACATTCGACAATGGAAACACGGACAAGGGAAATACTTTAGTGCAAGTAGCGAGAATATAGCACCTTGTGCAGGGCTGCATTGTGAATTCAGCTAAGTGAGCGGTGTACATGAACAAGTGACCGACCTCGCAGACCCTCCCGACACTTGACCTGTCAGTGCGCTATAAGTTGTAGGAAACGGCGATAAATCCGTGGTCGAGTTCGACAATTGCGAGTGTATCAAGGAGACTATTCCATTTCGTACACCGCTGTCGGTCGACATCGCGGCAGCGAACATATTCCAGGCTAAAGGTACCACCAGATGCTTAATTAGACATACAGGGTTCAATGGGGAGGCTGACTTGTTATAGCTTGGCCCGTGTTTGAGCTATCAGTTGGCAGCCCTTTAATGCCACCCGCGCTGAGTAAGTTGCCGAACAACGCCGTTTGAGCACTGAACACCTTCAAAAAAATCATGAATGGTCAAAAGATACGTGCGAGAGGACACATATATGCTACATACCTCAGTGGACACGATATTGGTGGCCAACCAACGATCTGCGAACAGATTATAGCCTAGCGTTGATGTTCCCGTTGTTCCGTAGGCCAATAAAAGGTTATTGGAGGCACTGAGAGCCAACGAAGCCCATGTTTGTACGAACGTTGAGGCAATAGTCTGCATAAGAGAAAGTGGAACGATATGGAAGACGTATAAGCGGTGTAAAGCTGGAAGATACTATGATAATGAAAAACTCACGGAATACATATCTGAATCGACCTTCTTTCCTAGACTGGAACTGAGCTCAGACATTGCCTTGATCGCAATGATGCCCTTGACCGCCAGATTAGTCTGATTGGCAAAATTATCAAGGTCTGCAGATAGCCTATATGCGATATCAAGTCAAAATTGTACAGTAATATCGTCCGTTATCATCTACATTGCCCACTTACTGTCCAGTTGGAAACAAGGTCGAGCTGACCAAATAATTCGCCCATCCACTAAACAGACCGTACTGATAGCATAGGTAAATGCGCCTGCAAACGATGACCGTCAACTTAGATACTCACATATTTGTTGACAAGGTTCCCATTTCCCGTCGCGCGTGCATGAGCGTAGGCCATGATGATCATGTTCGCCGATTCTGTTGACAACAGTTGAGGAACATGATAGAAGACGTGGACAAGATAGCTCTTACGCTCAATGCCTTGATTGTGACTCGCACTGCTCGCTTGAGATTTGGGGTAACCAGAACCTGAGGGGATAGATGAAAACGTGAGAGAGACGTTATTGGGTGATTACCGAGAAGCGAGACCTATGTCTTTGGCAGCATAACTGTTGCGATAGCTTGGAGACGCTTGAAATCGTAACAACGGTTCCAAGAGAACATCTCCCAACGTGGGGTCGATGTACATGAACATTGGCCAGGCCTGGTACATCGTCTCGACTGGATTGACTCGACTGGATTTCCACTATGTCTGAGTATTGGATCTCATTATGTAGTAACGAAACGACTGACTTGTCGGTACCAATGTTCTTCATAAACATCATGACATCCGACTGATTGAAACTTCCATCTGAGCCCCTCCCGAGTGTTAGCTCTGTGGCCGCGAAGACTTGACGTGTTCCAAGTGAGAGGATATCGGCATAGTCATTAGATATAGAACGAGCGTCCGTCAAGATCTTCGCGTCGAGCTGGTCAGCACGTAGTCTCGCGTTGGGAAAATCATCCAGAAAATCATTGATCTGTGAACTATTCCATCAGAAGAGAATTCGGGACGGATAGTGTCAGCAGGTCGCTTACCAGCAGATCATCGCTGGAATAATTCGCCTTGTAGTATAAAAATCGGTCTTGCTCTACATTTGAAAGATCTGTATATTGTAATGCTGGATCGCGAGTATATCCGATAGCCCAGACGACAGGCTTCGATGTGGCTTTGATGTTGCCCAGGCTTTGCGCAATCCCAAATACCACAAAACGACTTGAAACAAATACATCAACCAGAGGCAATAAAGATGCAGGTAATCCACTCACTTGGAAATAGCTCGGAATTGTGGGTCAGTTTGATTGTCCAGAGTACCGTTGCTCAGGAACTGAGTGCGTGTGATATTGTCAGCATTGATTTTGTGTGTCACACCAGTATTCTTGAGAGAAATATTTCATCACAGGGACTAGTCAGTGAAACAGTCGAATGCTGGCCGCGACCAACGGTGAACTAACCATCTTCATAGCGTAGTACAATGTGCCCCATACTGCTTGCTCACTAGTCTCCTGGAATGGCATCTGCTGTACGAGGTTAGCTGAATGATATACACTTTCCGCAGTTGTATTTGTTTTCCAATTTATTTGTTGACTGCGATCTCCAGAATTCCATTCTTGAACAGATCAGACCTCATCCCATCAGCGTTTATCTTTGTAGCGAAGTCACCACACATACCTCCACTGATGTCCGAGTATACAGATACGTTGTGTGATTGACCATCGGATGAACTTGCTTCAAGGTATAGATATGAAAAGGGGATCGATTGGCGGACGCGATCATTAACCTAAAGATAATGAGATTGGAGTGCATATAAGGGGACTGCGACTAACCTCGATAGGACTGAGGAAGGTGACATTAACGGACATAGGACCGGCCAAGAAGCTCAGAGTTGTGCGCGTTGGAGTGAAAGTTGTCGACGTCAAGTTGACACGCAGTGCAGTTCCAATGTCGTCGCCCAACCACGCGTAAGATACCCCATCCACGGTGATATATCCCAACCATCCTAGGATTTGTGACTGTTGTTGGAGAGCGTGATGAAGAACTAGACAGAGGTCGCACAATGCAGAAACTTACAGATGGGGTGAACCAGGTCACAGGCCATTCAGTGGGTGTATGCCTTGTGCTCGTCGCTGGTTCCCAGCTGTGAAGATAAGGCGAGCGGACTGCAAGAGGTAACACGCGTGGGAAAGCGGTTTGCGACTGGGTATGTGCTGGCGGTATGAATAGAGACAAAATCACCCAGAGTGGTGACGCGATAGAGAAAAAGTACCAAGACATCAGGGGAGTAAATCGGCTGCACCAGGCATGCAAAAGGGGTGCAAAGGAACGTATGCGAGGGGACACTGTCCTGGTGGGAGTGTGCAAGCGCGAGGGGCGGGGCTATCCAACATGCATCATTCAATACCAGTGCAGTGGTCATTGTAGTCTGATCCTCCACTTCGAAGAAGTTGAGCGCCTCAGCCATCAGAAAAGAGGGTTGAATGATGATCAAAAGATGTCAAGGTACACACCAAATTCGATGAACTGCCTGTGTTTGTTCTCCCATAACGGGCAAAGTAGCTGCGAAATACGGAGTGAGGGAGGAGGTTCGCAGCTGTTCGAAGGCTACTTGATATATGAGTGTTGATCGTGTGAGCACTCCATGAGACTGATGCCAGGTGACGGCAACCGTGGCGCTGAGTTCCATAACCCACTTATGTCTCTCAAGAATCTGACAAGGAAAGGCCGCAAGTGAATATCACCATCGCGTCGACACGCGAATACTGACGAGTAGACTATTGTAGAGCAAGCGAATGCGCCTCTGAGAGTGAAGGGGACATCGTTCATTCCATAATTCTCACACCGCATCGACGGCCAGTGCCACGGAAACCGCCATCGGCCGCCGGTAGCTAACAGTCTCCGACAACTGTTTCTTTAAGAATTCGGGACTACAAATTGTATTTCTGACAAGGCTGTGAAGATTATGGAACGAGCCTATGCACTACTTGTGAGCGAACCGCGGCCATTATCTCAAGGACAGAAAGTAACGGTGTATGACGCTTTGTTGGACGACGGGCAAGTCCAAAGAGCGGTGCCGCTGGGTTCGTCGAAAGCGAAGGCGTATGAATTCGGGCAATTATCCTCTGTGAGCAGAAAACATCGTCAGAAGCCATTACCTCCGGGTGGTAGCAGAAAAGCAGGACGCATGCGCACTGAAGTAAGAATAGTACTGAACACCGGACGACGGGCAAGTTGCCTGTGTATTATGAGAGCCAGTGCAGCAGTTCGGCGAGTTGTCTACGCATCAAAGATTGTCAGTTATGAATTGCGACATACTGTGTTTTACATACTAGGATCGGGCGCGAGACCGGCCTCGCATGCGCTCTTGCACCCGACCGGGAAGCCAGAAGAGTCGAATGGCCCCTTCAAGGGGGCTGGACCTATAAAATGTTGAGTGTCGTATTCCTAATTTAAAAGTGAGCAACGTACAGTTTGGTCCGAGGTCCACGGGGCAGTCTAGAATGTGATGAATGCAAACAGCAACCTGTAAATAACACGGCAACAGGTGGCGACGATACTCCGCAACGTACCAGCAATGTGACATCCAGCAGTGTTATCAATGCGCATGGGAAGATTGTAACCGTCCACCAGAGACACTGCGAGAGTTCTACATTAGAATGAGAGGATAAGGATGGGCACAACGAAAAAGGCATCACCGTCATAAAAGTCTGGCGTATTCGAGTCGGCGCTCAGAGTAAACTCTGCCACTGTGGCTGGAGGAACACCCTGTGCAACTGATCTCAGATTTGATTCCAACGAGCATAGTGTCAGATAGCGTATTTACCGTACCGGTGTGGGGGTCACAGAGTAACCCGCCATTACACCCGCCATCGATGCAACTGTTGGGGCCAGGGTTGGTACTGAAGTCACAGTCACGGCGTCCCTATTAAGCCCGATGTCAACGATCCTACACAAGGAAACACCGCTCCCCACGCACCCAGATACGACCCGCCTTCCAGTTGTCCGGTATGTTGAATGTGACCGCTGAATAAGAAGCAGCTGCCCAACTGTAACGTCGTCTCGAAATTTAGCATGTCGCAGACTTGAATGGGATACACCTACCCAGTCGCCTGATCTGGTACACCACCCCCCGCATTCAAGTCCGTGAACAACTATGCACCAAAGTAAAGTTTGACTCATTAGTTGGAAGTAACCGAGATGGTTTGCTTACACCTGGCCTGAATAAGTAGTACATAGTGAGCTGTCAAATAGTAATTTGGCTCATGTAGAGACTCACCAAATTGTGAACGGGCAGGCATTGTATACGGTCATTGTGCGCGCAAACGCGCTCGATGAGTATGACAGAGCACCGAAAGTCAAAGCAGAGATGAACTTCATGAGTACTAGGAATCACCGAAATACCGGAGGTTAGGCACGGTGAGGGAAAAGAGCTCAGTGGTGCTTTTATATACACACCGATCCCAGGCCGCCGCCACTTGTCCTGTATGCTAAACAGAGTGGGGCGAGAGCCGAAAACGAGCTGCTGTGTCCGACAAGCACCAGCTGGTGCCAAAGGATCTCTTCATGGTCGGAAGATTCCACCGATATTCTGGCATCACCTTCCTTGCCTACCAATATCAGCGCAAACCGCAGAAGGCTCTGTATCAGTATAGATGCAAAAAAGCATATGCAACCCAAAACGATAGTGATGGAAGTTCAGATGACGTTCTGTCGCCCACATGCGTCGAGTGAACGTGTCCAGCTATTGACGGGTCTTCCTAGAGGACCATCGAGTCAGAACAATAAAATCCACGTGTAGTAACGTATACGTTGACTCACCAAAGGTAAGTTTGGGAGACGCGTGACTCACTCGCGGCATATCCGATGTGAAAAGCGGGCATACACGCTGGCAAAGAACCAGAAGCTGGAAAGCGACACGGTGTCAAAATCCGATTGAGCATACAGCAGCCCTGGGGAAATTTTAGACCAGTCTAGTTGGAACATTCTGATTGAGCGAGATGAGGTGGCACTGTGGATAGGATTCCGACACTCACACATCTTGTGATCACATAGCATATGACCCGGACCAATGTAGCCATGATCATCATCTGCTAATAATCTCGGTGGCCAACCGTCGTAGATAACCTATCATTCGGCACATCTGGAGCGTGATGAATAGCTCAGGGCGTCGGTGAGATGGCGGTGTGAACAGCGATGCGTCTGCATCCTTGATATCGCGGCTCATAGTGTCGTTCCATAGCGCGCCGATGACCTACCTCATTGCTAACTGAGCTTGGATATAGTCGAACGTGTAGCATAATCAGAGCCGGCAGTTTTGTGGATTTGCAAGAGCGTAAGAGAATTATCTGTCACGCACAAGTTCTGATAGGTGTTTTTACACGCCAAAAGAGCCCCCCATGGTAGTCGCTACGAGAACGAGAGGTTCAGAGGTAAGCCACAAGTCTTTTTATTTCGAGGACAGAAGTAGCAGGATGGAAGGCGTTGTCTTGGCAAAAGAAAATGTGTGGAAGACGTCCACTCCAACAGTGCGCTCATATTTCGAAACGTTGCGCGTCCAATACATTACTCCAGACTGCTTTACGAAATGCTTGCATAAATTTGTAAAATTCACGATAGCAGCCTATTACACGCTTGAACAGAGCTTGGGATCCATAAGTCCTTATCAATCTGTACACGAGAGAGAAAACATATACACGCACAGAGGTTGATCATGTCGCAAGCAGTTTCTCTCCCCAACTCTCCCCACCCTTGTAAGATCCACAACTCACTTCTTGCGTCAGCGGACTGCTGTTGCTGGATTCAGATGGTCGATGACATCAGAGTAGTGAAAATGAAGCTGTCAATCAACAGGTGAATAGACTGGCTTGCGTGCATGAAACTTTCATCTGAATCCTGCCTCAGGGCTTGAGCGGCATTCCATAGTGAACATATTTCAATTCAAAAAGGTGTGTCTAGGTGACGATCTTTTATCGAGGCCCATCGTTCTGCGTAACAAGTGAGCAAGGGGAATGAAGAGGGATGAAGAGCTCGATAATGGTGGCCCGACGAGCGCCAGACGCACGACCATCTTTCGACAAGGTCTAGGCCGGCTATGTAAGCCAGGTGCACTCCAGCATTGACATCCGTGAAGCTCGCTCTGGGACGGTAATCAGCTGTCAATCTGTAGGTCTTGTTATTCCACCAGCAGTCAGCGTACCCTCTCACGAACACGGGCCTATATGGGCCTATATTCGCGTCTGGAAGCCTCAACATCGACTCAAGGTACGTCCTCCCTTTTGGATGATCTCACAGTAGCTTTTGTTGACGTTGCTTGGTGGCAGGCACTTTGTAGACATTGCGCCTCGCTTCGGATTCGAATTTGGGCTACGATCAAGTCTTAAGATGGCCAGCAACCAGCGGGTGTGTGAACATGTAGTGCGATCCTGACAGACGGCGGCCTTAGCAGCACTCAACGACGGCGATCCCTTTGATTTGTTCGAAGCGGTAGTAGGGTTCACATGAAGCATCACTTCTGGGACACGGAGTCAGCATCGCGCGGGGTCTAGTGCTGCGGCGATGGGCTCACCAATTTCATCTCGGGCCCGCCGATGGCCGTCGTGACCACTCTCGGGTCTGAGCACGCCAGCTCAGTTCCGGGTGCATCTTTCGGCATATTCACAGTCTGCTCAAAGCATTCTCCCACACAGCCAGTCTATGTGTCTCTACCTCTTATCAGCGTAACCTGCCCCCCGTGCCCTCACCTCACTTCCGGACTCTGTGCCGTTTTGTATAGTCATGTGCTGGATATTGCAGTCTCAGCTACTGATGCTAATTCTTTATGATTTTGTTCTTCATTGCAACTCGCGCGCGCGCTCACAACTCATCGCAATGTTCGATTGTGTACCAACGAGTTACAATTTCAACCTGTCTCGCAATGATTATTGTGAATATGCAATTCAAGACCAAAATCAGACGGCTGTTGGAAAGGTATACATAATTTGAGTCGGATCGAGGCACTTGCGACCTGTTGCAATTCTCGCACACTTTTGTTGATGCTGGCGCGACGCCACCCAGGTTCTCATGCCGCGCCGGCGGCCAATCCGCCATCAGCGAAGAGTCACCGACGACTGTTTCTTCAAAGATATCAAGAATTGAAGACTACACAATGACAATTCTGACAAAGGCACACACACTGTGAAGATTGCGGAACGAGCCTGTGGGTTACCTATAGACGAGCCGTGGTCACTATTTCAAGGACAGAAAGTAACGGTGTATGACGCTTTGTTGGACGATGGGCAAGTCCAAAGAGCGGTGCCGCTAGGCTCATCGAAAGCGAAAGCATATGAGTTTGGACAATTATTCTCTGTAACACAGTCAAAGGTATTACATTTAGGTGATAACAGGAAAAGTGAGACGCGTGCGCACTGAAGTAAGAATAAAATTGAACACCAGACGATGGGCAAGTTGCCTGCGTGCCATGGGAACCAGTGCAGCAGTTCGGCGAGTTGTCTACGCATCAAAGATTGTCAGTTATGAATTGCGACATACTGTGTTTTACATACTAGGATCGGGCGCGAGACCGGCCTCGCATGCGCTCTTGCACCCGACCGGGAAGCCAGAAGAGTCGAATGGCCCCTTCAAGGGGGCTGGACCTATGAAATGTTTTGAGCATCATATTCCTTATTTAAAAAACGAGGAACTCACAGTTTGGTCCGAGGTCTACGGGGCAGTCTAAAATGTAAGAAAAGCGGAAAGCAGCCCGTAAATAACACAACAACAGGGTAGCGATGAGACTGCTCAGCGTACCAGCAATGTGGCATCCAGCAGTGTTATCAATGCGCATAGGAAGATTGTAGCCGTCCACGAGAGAGACTGTGGAAGTTCTACATTAGACTGAGTGGACAAGGATAGGCACAACGATTAAGACATCACCATCATAAAAGTCTGGCGTATTCGAGTCGGCGCTCAAAGTAAACTCTGCCACCGTGGCTGGAGGAACACCCTGTGAGACTGATCTTAGACTCGGTATCAAGAAGCATCGATAGACGTATTTACCGTGCCGGTGTGGGGGTCACAGAGTAACCCGCCATTACACCCGCCATCGATGCAACTGTTGGGGCCAGGGTTAGTGCTAAAGTTGCAGTCACGGCGTCCCTGATAATTCTGTTATTAATGATCCTGCACAAGAAGATATAGCTCTGCACCCACCCAGATACGACCCGCCTTCCAGTTGTCCGGTATGTTGAATGTGACCGCAGAAAACGAAGCAGCCGCCCAACTGTAATGTCGTTTTGGCATTTAGGATGTTGTAGAGTCAAATGGGATATATCCACCCAGTCGCCTGATTTGGTACACCACCCCCCGCATTCAAGTCCGTGAACAACTACACTCAAAGTAGATTGAGCTTGGGAACCAAAAACAACCGAAAAGGGTTGCTTACAGCTGGCCTAGACAAGCAATGCACAGTGAGCTTTCGTCACATGTCTCGATGTATATACATACCAGATGGTGAACGGACAGGCGTTGTACACCGTCATCGTGCGCGCAAGCGCGCTCGGCGAGTATGCCAGAGCACCGAGGGTGAAAACAGAGATGAGCTTCATGATCACTGGAGATTGTCACTGAAGGAGGTTGGAAATGGTGAAAGAATTGACTTTGGCGGTGTCCTTTTATACACACCAACCAAAGGCCTCCGCTTCTTGTCATGTATGATATGTTAGAATGCTGGTGGACTATTTTCGACCACGTGAAAATGGCGACGGAGAGCAGATGAGGTTTTTTGTTCTAAGCCAGCGCTTTCCGAACACGGCAACTCTTTTTCTGTTGTAGAACCGGCACGGCAATAATACCTCGCCATGTTTCATCTTCCTGATATGCAAGGTCCAAGCCACCCGCAACTGAGAATCGCGCTCATAAAGTCCTACATCAGTCTAGATCATAAAAGGCATGCAACGTCAATTGAAACTTTCAGAGGGCAGATGTGAAGCACATGCCTTGGACGTAAAGATGTTTAGCAGTGGTTAGTTCTTCTAAGAGTATTAGCGAGCTAACAAGAGAGAAGGCGTGCGTAACAACGTATATGTTAACTCACCACTGTTTTTAGATGAGGAATGAGGGAAGCGTGTGACATCACACGCAACGTGCTGAAGTGAAGCGGGCGTGAGTGCGCAGGAAGAAGCGCTCGAGCTCAAGAATAGTTCGGTCGAGACATTCCAATCGGACGGCATAAGCTTGCCTTGTGGGTGAATATCTGGCACTAGATGACCTAGACCAACATAATGACGTCCATCATCTACCAATGCCGTCGGTGACGGACAATTAGAAGAAGATACATCATTCGCCGTTTTCTAGGAGATGATTGAAACATCGGCACTTAGCCTCAAACGCATCGTGAGATGGCGGCGTTAAACAGGTAGACTTCTGGAAATGGAGGATGTCAGAATGCCCGCGCTTACATTTTTGCGACACTGCGTATCAAATACCCACCTCACTGCTCACTGCGCTGTAATCAGTCGGACAGTGTGGCATCGTCGACCTGCAAGACTGCAAAAAATCTTGAGATAAGTTCGACAGATGTAGATGCCAACAGGATTCACATATTCACAGTGTGTACGGGATGAGCGGTTCATAGGTACGGGCCGCGAGCGCTTGTCTTTTGGGGACATAATTGGCGCCCCATACTGTGTTACAAGATTCTTGCAAAGTTTTGTTACATTTGTAACAGCAGCCTATATTACACTTTGAAGAAGAACTCGGTACCATGAGACCGCAACGACATCATGATTCTGAAAGAGGTGATTCATGCACGCACGGTTATTAAATCAGGTTGCAAGCAGTCTTCCCCCCATATGACCCACAGCTTGCTTTCATGGGTCTGCGAGCTGCGTTGCTGCATCGGCGCGATTTTTGTTGACCAACGAGCTATGTGCATTTTACCTACCGGTAGGCTATATATGTTTTGAGTGAAAGATCGCCAGGCAGCCACCTACTTCAAGCTTGGGATTCCCAGGCTCTATGGCAGTCTAAGTAGGAGTATCTCTATGACTATCATGTACCGAAATCAATAAGAAATGACTGGGTAAGAAGAATGGAGGACTCAGGGACTTGTCGTGGTCACTCGAAGCGGTAGCTCGTTATGGCCCGGCGAAAGCCAGCGGGCTCCGGATGCTGTTGCATTTCCCGTTGATGTTGACACGACGTTGTCCAAGTTCTCATCCCGGGCCGGCAGCAATCTGCCACCAGCGAACAATCACCGACAACCATTTTACCAAGATATCATGAAGTTCAGACTATACAATTACAATTCTGTGACACAGACGCTGTCAAAATTGCGAAACGAGTTTGTGGATTACCTGAGGGTGAGCTGCGACCATTCTTTCAAGGACAAAAAGTAACGGTGTATGAGGCTTTTCTGGACGATGGGCAAGTCCAAGGAGCGGTGCCGCTAGGCTCATCGAAAGCGAAAGCATATGAGTTTGGACAATTATTCTCTGTAACACAGTCAAAGGTATTACATTTAGGTGATAACAGGAAAAGTGAGACGCGTGCGCACTGAAGTAAGAATAAAATTGAACACCAGACGATGGGCAAGTTGCCTGCGTGCCATGGGAACCAGTGCAGCAGTTCGGCGAGTTTCCTGTGAATCAAAGATTATCAGTTATGAGTTAGACCATTTCGCATTTCACGTACGCGAGACCGGCCTCGCATGCGCTCTTGCACCCGACCGGGAAGCCAGAAGAGTCGAATGGCCCCTTCAAGGGGGCTGGACCTATGAAATGTTTTGAGCATCATATTCCTTATTTAAAAAACGAGGAACTCACAGTTTGGTCCGAGGTCTACGGGGCAGTCTAAATGTAACAAAAGCAAAAGTCAACCTGTAAACAAAACGACAACAGGGTAGCGATGAGACTGCTCAACGTACCGGCAATGTGACATCCGGCAGTATTATCGATTCGCATGGGAAGGTTGTAGCCATCCACAAGAGAAACTTTGAGCGCTCTACGTTAGACTGAATGGACAATTATGGGAACAACGCTCGAGGCATCACCATCATAAAAATCCTGCGCGTTTGAATCAGCGCTCAGAGTAAACTCTGCAACCGTGGCTGGAGGAACACCTTGTGAGACCGATCTCAGACTCGGTGTCAAGAGGTATAGATGATGTATTTACCTGCCGGTGTGGGGATCACAAAGCAACCCACCATTACACCCACCATCAATGCAACTGTTAGGTCCAGGGTTGGTTCTAAAATCACAGTTACGGCGTCCCTAATTATTCTGAATTCAATCAACCCGCAGAAGAAGATGTAGCTATGCGCGCACCTAGATGCGGCCCGCTTTCCAATTGTCTGGTATGTTGAATGTGACCTTGGAAAAAGAAGCGGCCTCCCAACTAGGATGTCGTTAGGGATTTGATATGTTACAGAATTAAACAGGATATATTGTACCCAGTCGCGTGGTTCGGTACAGCACCCCCCGCGTTTAAGTCCGTGAACATCTATACACCAGAGGAGATTGAGCTTGGAAACCAGAGACACCCGAAATAAGTTGCTTACAGCTGGCCTGGTTGGATAGCACACGGTGAGCTTTCAACGCGCGTACGTCTCAATAAATATACGTACCAGATGGTGAATGGGCAGGCATTGTACACGGTCATTGTGCGCGCGAGCGCACTCGACGAGTATGCCAGAGCACCAAGAGTGAAAGCGGAGATGAGCTTCATGATAATTGGGACTGTCACTGAAGTTGCGCCGAAGAAGGTTTGACACGATGAAAGAATCGACTTCAGCAGTGTCTTTTATACACATCGACCCCAGACTACTGCTTCTTGCCCTGTCTGCCAAGCAAGGTCAGGCGATGGTTGCAGTGCCAGTCCAACAACCAAGAAGGGGCTGTTGTGTCCGGAAGGTGTTGGCTTAGACCAAAAGATCTCACCCGCTCTCCAACGCAAGGTTCCACACGGTCAAGTTACTCCACCAGCGTTCTGACATTACCTTTCTGGTCTACCAAGATCCGTCAATGCACAGGTATATAACAATCGCCACAAGGCTCTGTATGAGTATATATGGCAAAAGGAATGTGGCGTCAACTGACATCAGAGATGTAGAGCATTTACCCCGAAAGTGAACGGGTTCAGTGAAGACTGGGCCTTCATAGGGGACTAGCGCATATGTAATATCGTATTTGTTGACTCACCATAGTGCTTTGGCTGGGAGACGCGGGCATACTTAGGCTTGCCCGAAACAAGCTCAATTCCAAGACTAGTCTGGTCAAAACATTTCAATCATACGATATAAGGCCGCTCTGTGGAGTTCTGGCACCCACTCATCTTGTGATCTTATAGCATATGACCCAGGCCAACACGGTGTTCATCATCCTCCGTGGTGGATAATTCGCAAATGATATATCATTCGCCACAGTATGGAAGGTGATTGACACGTCGGCGCTTAGCCACAAGCACATCATGAGACGGCGCCGCTGACAGCTGTACTTGTGGGAATGAAAAATGTCGGGACGCTCGTGCTGACATTTTCGTGACACTGCGCGTCAAGTACCCACCTCATTGCTATCTGCGTTGTAGTCAGTCGGACAGTGTGTATCATAGATTTGCAAGACCGCGCAAAATGCATGCATCGTGCACAAGTTCTGACAGGTATAGACGCTGGAAGGATCTAGATTAGATGCGGCTTGAGGGGTTCAAAGTTGTGGGTCGCAAGTCATGGTCTTTCGGTGACAGAAATAGCCCTTTAGGAAGACCTGCTCTATTGTATAGTCTCATAAAGAATCAAGGAGGATAAGAAATCAAATTATGAGAAAAAGTGCGTGCCTAATACCTCCTACCCTGAACTATGTTGCAAGATCTTGCGTAGAAAATTAACAGCAACCGATATCACACGTTCGCATCATTAATCTGAACATGAAAGAGATTATCCATGCGCTCACAAAAGCTGATCAGGTTTCAAGCCGGCCTTTCCTGCTGTTGCTACGTGTGTTCCAAGCGACCTAAAGCTTGGGAGTCTCACGCCAGTGCTATGCCAATCTGAGGGGAGTATCTCTGTTACGATATTATACCAGAACCGATCATTCAATATGAAAAGCAAGTGGGCGAGGAGATTGAAGGAGAAGGAGGTCCGGCGACGACTCGTCGTGCTCACTCGAAGTGGCCCGGCGAGAGCCGGCGAACACCGGATGCACCATATCCGAACGCTTACCATGCTGTCAACATCGAGCAACCATTGAACGATGTCGTTCGTACTCGGACCTATCTCAGGTGCCCTTGTCGCAGGCGGCGTGAGTTGAAAGTCAGTTACAATCCCAAGATCGACTCACTTGCTTGCGACTATAGATATACTATAGCTTTTCGAGCTTGATCAATGCCAGGTGAGCACTGTTACTCGTTCCAAAAGAATTTCCTCATCAAACTTGTTCTCAATGTGCAGAACGGAACAGCACCGTAGAGAGTCAGTCCTTATGTCACGAGGATACATTGGCTGCTTTTTTGGCATCTGACCCTATCGACCATCGTCAGCTTGCATACCCTTTCTCGGCGCCTGCTCGAGCCACCTTCCTCACATCCCGCTCCACCGCCTGCCTCTGCTCGCATTGTGCAGCAACCTTTCCTCAGCCTCATCAAGAACCAATGGAATGAAAAATTGACCAGTTTATACAGGAGCACTGGTGACTTCGAAGACCGGGCGATGGAATGGGGCAAACGAGTCTTGTACGGCGGGCCAAGCTCATCTGAGCACTCGTGATACTCTGGTCGTATACAAGCATGCACACACATGGGCTCTTCAGCCTCCCAAAGATCGTTCCATGAAAGCTCTGCAGCTCTGTCCGGGGTCCAAAAAATCTATCTTTACATCTTCCCCGTCAACATAAACCCAATACAAACACTATTCGCAGGTATATAAGGACATTTACTGTCCATACTGTCCATATCCATACTGCGGCGTCTGCGGTTGTTGTTGCTGTGGTGTGTATGGACCTTGAGGCGGTGGAGGCGCTCCATATTGTGATTGATAATTGACAGGAGGTGGTGGAGGGGGAAATGGCGAGCCCATGTTCTGCTCCCGTCGAGGCTGCTGTTGATACGGCGACGATGCAGACGGGGGCGGTTGGTGAGACTGCGTATGGTAAGAAAGCTGCACTCGAGATTGAGCGCCATATGATTGTGGAGCAGGCGGTGCTGATGTATACGATGATCCTAAAGGCGCTGGAGGGAAGGGCTGAGATGTTGTATTATTGTTACTCGTTGAGGACCCGAATTGGGAAAATGATCCTAGCCCAGCGTAGGGATCGTGTTGTGGAGAGGCCGTGTGGGAAGGCTGATTTGAAGGAGGGGGTAGAGGGGGGAGATACGACGCTCGTTGTTGAGCCGGCGCCGGTGTGGAATACTGGGGTGGCGGAACATTTCCGTATGCCGGCTGTGCTAGTGCATTTGCCAATTTGTTCCACTGAGTTGACGGCGGTGGAGGTGGCAATGACGGTGATGTGGGACCCAAATTCATCGAGGCGAACGAGCTGTCCAGACGAGACTGCGGAGGAGGGGGAGGTTTCGGCGGTGGTGACGTTGGAGTAGGAGCAGTGAGGCGTTGTGATGTTGCTGCCTGTGAGACAAGAGTTTCGCGTTCAACAGCCCGAGAAGAGACAAAGTCTTTCGCGTTGCGGCGGAGGGTCGAAGACATTGACGATAGTTCAGAGTAGAATTGTAGTCCCTTACTGCGAAGTCGATGAAGCTCAGTCAGTTGGGAAAAAAAGCGCTTGGTAACGATGAAAAGCACGCACGCTAATCCATCTCTGACCTCCATGTACCCATCACGCGCTCGCGAAAACCTCCGGACGGCTTCCTTCTTTTTTCTCTCCCTCTCATCCCACTTTCTGGCGCCCTCGCCACGACCAGCTAAATCCCTCAGAGTCTTCCACAAGGAAGAGATTTCTTGCAAGACCGCCTGCTGATGATGAACTGTTTGATTCAACCGGTGCTGATACGGGCGGAACTTCTCCAGCTCGCTTGCAAAGATCGTCGGCTCCACGTTCGGATTACGCCTATTTAACAGAAGCAGATGAGACACGTCATCTGTTTGAATCTACATCGGTATTCGTCAGGCTCGAGATAAGATGGATATAAATCAGATTTCCACACCTTGTCCTTGAGGTCCTTGAGTGTCTGGTCTCTCTCCCGCTCAATCTTGCCCAGCCTCCCCAGTCGCTCTTCAATTTCGTCCACAAGTTGTCCAATCTTCCTCTTTTCGTCATCGTCTCTCTCCATGTCCAGATCCAGCAGACTCTCCCGCCTGTTGTGCCCGGACTTGACACTGTCTTTGAAGACCTGTTCGACCTCGTCCGATGTTAAAAGCCTAATATCCCCCTTCACTGATTCCCACAACACGCGGACTTGCTCATCGGATGCACTTGCGGCATCCAGTGCCTGAAGGTGCGATTTCAAATCCGCCCGTAAGCCCTTTGAAAGTCCCGCGGACGGCGCCTGCGTAAAGAGGTGGTCGTACTTGACGCGCATCGACTCGCAGTCTCTCGACTCAACCTCCAAGTCTATGCCCACCGCACCTAGCTCACCCTTCACCTCATTCCGTACTTTCTCCAATCGCTCAATGAGAGCGCCCACACCCTCTCGTTCCTCGATCAGTCCAATATCTTCCTTCCACCGCCTGACCTCCACGGGAACCTCATCTTCGCCGGCAAGACCTCCATCCACCATTGCCTTGAATCTAGACAATCCCGCTTTAACCCCGAGCGCATCGAGGGCGCTCCGCGCTTCACCCGCCGCGCCCTCGGCTTTCTCCACCTCCGCCCGCACGAGCTTGGCCTTCTCCTCTGAATACACGCTGGCTGATTCGTGCACGCTCAGCGGTATTAGGCGCACGAACAGATCGCTCCCGATAACCTTCTGCACTTCTGGTGTGGCATACACCTCTTGAATCGGGATCGGCGTAGCGACCGCCGTCTTGTCCACGGCAGGTAGTGTCTCTGGGGCGGGCTGTACGGCGTTGTAAATCAAGTCGTTGTCACGTGCCGCCTCTGCGCGGCGGTCAGTGCACTGCGCGAGATGTGCCTTGGTGAGATCCGAGAGTGATTGGCCCGCGTCGGCGGGCAAGTTAGGCGACATTGGTGGCATGAACATAGCGCCAAAGCTATTTGCTACTCGATGAGCCTCCTTCGCGTGCGTCTCGGCGAGCGTGAAGCGGACAAGGGAATCGCCGTGTTTGGAGGCAGCATGGTCAGCCAAGGCTCTATAGTACTGTGTGAGGGATTGGAAGTACTTGGTCTTGACCTGCGACCAAAAGAAATCAGAGATGCTCGCATGTCTCAGTGTGATAAGATTATTGCAGAAAGCCATGGTATGCCAAGGTTCCGATGAAACTGACACCAGACGACATGTCCCTGATGGTGTTTGATACAGAGAGCTGACCGGGAGGACTTTCTGCATACCTGAATGACTGTCACCCAGTTTCTGTCAAAGATGCCTTTCCCCATGAACTCCTTCACTTCCTCTCCTAACCCCGTATACATGAACGCTGCTTGGGAAGCGACCTTAGACAAGAGCGTGCTCGTTTTCTTCTCGTCTCTGCATTTCTCCAAAAACACCTCTGTCGCCTGCGCCAGAATGAGACCCACGAGAAACTTGATCACCTCCCGACTCAGATCGGTCGAGGGCGCATGCAAGAAGTTCTCGTTGATGTACGTGAGCATGCCCGCGCTACACCGAAGGTAGTGGAATGCTCGCTTGAGGCCCTCGGGGTCAGAGCGGCTCTGTGATGCGGCGATGGAGGAATGAGTGGCCGCGATCTGGAAGATGACGGACGCTTTCTCATAGGCGAGGGACGTCTGCACGATAAGTTTGGTCGTGAATGCATCACGCCAGGGAAAGTTCACGCGTATTTCGGGGAAACGGAGCTCTAACAGCTCGAGCTGACCGAAGTACTTGTATAGCAAGTCCCGAGCTGCGGATGGTCGATTAAGCAAGGAGTGCCATCATGGAAGGAATTGAGCAAACCGGTCATATCACTCCCTGCACCTCTCACAGCGTCCTGCCTGCATCTCTGAAGAGCAGCGTACTCTGTTGCGTAGTTGTCCGGGTTCTCACCGTAGGATTGTGCGATTGCGGTGCGGATTGATGTGGTCCAGTCGACTTCGTCTGTGCCCTTCTTCGGGATAGATACCAGAGGAGACTGATACGACATTATCCAAGTACCGTCGAAAGAATAGACGTTGAGAACAACCCTCAAGCAGTCTTATAGATATGTCGTGGTGAGAGTGTGAGCGGTGGGTATAACGAGACATTACTCTAATGGTGTTGCTTGTGCTCAAATCTTGATTACATCACTAGGCGACTGCGCTGCTCTGTGATGTTTCTCAAGGCTCCCAAGGCCAGGAAAAGGCTGAAATGGTGTGGTGGCGATTTGCAACCCCGGACAATGTCTATGTGAATACCTGGTACAACGTTATACATAATAGTACACAAATGCATGCCTCCCCCTCCTTGCGACCTAATGAAAACTCGTGTCTAGACACATGATGATCCAAGGAGCTCAGTGTAAATATAGAAACCAGATGAAAAGCATCAAACCAAACCCCTATCCCTCAGCCGGCCTTGCCCCAAACATCCCTGAAGCCCTAAGACGATTGTAGTCTTTGACCGCCTTGGCTGACAAGATCGTCTGCGATGGGAGTTGGTCATCGGACTGTCATAAGGTTAGAGTATGCTCAAATCAAGCGGAGGGTTGCTACACTCACCAGCGCAACAGTGTGAGCTTCAGGGATGTATGGCCGTGGTTCAGCACTGTGAGCTGGGCCATCAAAGATGACACCGAGCGGAAGTGACGTAGGGAGGGGCGCTGCACTGTTCAGAGTAGTCGGCGATGATGATAGCGCACGGCCGTTGTAAAGAACAGGCTCTGGCAGAGGAGAAACGGAAGAGCGAGAGAGTGAAGAGGTAGAGGCACCAGGCCCCTCATTGCGGCAGCTCGACTCGACAGGTTGGAAAGATGCGTCGAAGACGTCGAGGGTGTTCACGAGCGAAAGTGCAGGGGAGGGTGACGAAAGGGAGAATGACACTCTCGCGAAATGAGCAGGTAAGCGAGCAGAGGATGAAAGACGGCGCGAAGAGAGGGTTTGTTTCAGACCGGCCGGGCGCATTGTGGAGACAGATCAATGTGGTTGAACGATTGCAACACTATAACACAGGAGAAAAGCAGGTCAGAGGGCGTTAGGCTTCTTATACCCTGGGACAGGTGGTCGCTTAACCGGCCAAAGAAGCTGCTGGCGATCGTAACCCTGGATAAGGTCCCACCCTCATACCAAGACTGAGCCGAGGCTTGGATTGCGACGGCTATGATTTATCTCAGCGGCGCAGTTGCAAAACCGTGTGTTCAAATCCGTTTGAACAGGGGTTACACTGCCTAAAATGGTGCTTAAGCAACGAATTCCGCTCAATCGCCACGGTCATAAAAACCTCATGCCAAGTGAAGAGGATTCACTGATGGTATGAGGTTAAGGATATGTAACTGCAGAGACCCCTATTGACAGCTGCGAACAAAGTGTCAGCGAGAATGGTCGATGCCGATGAGTGCTAGCTAAAGGACCCGTGGCCAGTTGTCGCCCAGAATCGCCCAGAATACGGCCGAGAAGAGATTATACTCCCGCCAAGTCTGGCCGTCCCACAAAGCACTGGCCTTGGCGAGTTTGAGATCCAGGGCAACGAGTACAGAAGCGCTGATCTTGAGTCCAAAATTCCAATCTCCAGAATGCGCCCCTATCTTGATTCTCCAGGCTCCTATAGAACGCTAGTTTTTGATGATGATCCGGTGTATGAACTGGTGATTGAGAGAGAGGATAACGAGTGCCGTGAATTTTACAATGAGTGAACAACAGTTAACGCTCGTAGCATCTGCCAGTGGCAACGTCAGATGTGTGTGGACGGAAAAGAGATGATAATGTAATTTGTGACGATGGATCTTATGACACATGACAATGTCACTTTCTGTGATGATTTATCGATTTATCGACCACTTTTCCAACGTTAGCTCTTGACTATCTAACTTTACATGGCCACAATGGACTCTGTGGGACAAAGTCACGGACTCCAACACCGCAATTCAGGGGCTACTTTACCAACTACGGGCAAACTTGCATCTCGTGACGACAACTACTAGACACAAGCTGGGCATACTTACTTTCTCAAACTTTGTGGTTCATCATCATCCCAACTAGAAGACTCATCATATGAGCGAAGGTCTTCATAAGTCGTACAAATTTTAATCTTGAGCTATCGGGATTGTTTGCGATCCTCAAGATTATCTCGAGACCGGTATACTAACACGGGGTCTCGTCCCCTACACGTGGCCGGCTTAAGCCTGTGGTGAGCTCACTTATCTTATAATACATCACGGATGCAGGCAGGAGCGTAATGAGCACCTGAGAGGGTCAGAGCACTTGTGCGGCTTCCATGAGGCCAGCCTTGATGCTCAACAAAAGCAGCCGAACCCACTTTCCGTTCACTCCATCCTTCTTCCCCCTAAACAACGAAGATCCACTATCATGAGTGGTCCCAATCAGCTCAAGGAGTCGGGAAATTTCCATCTTGGCTTCAGCGCCCTCCCTCAGTATGGCTTCGGCCCTGACCTCACTTTCGATTCTCTCGTCGACCACAACCCCTTCCTCTTCCGAGTATACACACCGAAACCTCTATCACCGTTTTTTGATAGCTCTGAGCCCTATTTCATCGGGCAGAAGTTCAAGCACAACTATAGGTACTCTGTGCAAGATTTTCAACTAATGAGTCCAACGGGGACCAAACCAGATCAAGCAGGCTTGATGAATTCTGGTTCTTACGCGGACGTCGCAAACCATATGGACTGGACGAAGAAGTCGTCGTCTCCGTATGTGTCGACCTCATTTAGCTTTGCGTGGGCCATCTGGGAGGCGACCAGGCGGTATAGAGGGAACACGGGACATGGCGTGGAGATCGCTGTAATCGATGCAAGGGCAGTCGCTGGTCGAGCTGTCACTGCCTTGGAGTTACTGCGAAAGGGCTCTCCGAATGAGTAAGTATCTTCCGGTCTAACCCGCTTCTTTAATCTCATTGTCTCGACTTTCAGGCGTCATCCAGATCACTGGAAATGGTATCGGTTTGCGACGGAAGCGCAGGATGTTCTGGTCTACGGATATGTTCCAGGCACCGCTGTTCTCGCCTCTATCCCTATCCTCTCCATTCTCCCGAAACTCCCTTCCTATTTCCTCCGCCCCGATTCTGATGAGGTCTCCTTCGACAAACATGGCGTATTCGACGACCTTTCGTGGGATGTATCAGCACAATATCCGAGCTACCAGCACTTCTGTCAGCAGATGTCCGAGCAGTTTCTCCGGTCATCCGTTGACGTTCGTCTAAGGGACACAACTGCAGGCGCCGTGCGTCTTGCGATGTGTTTCCTTCGTCCATGGTTTCAGAAGCATGCGTTGAAGGATTTCCATGGATGTGTGGACACCGTAGCAGAGCTGGCATATATCATGGCGCGCTGGCCCGGGCAGTGGTGGGTTCGTGAACACACGGAAATCTGGGATCTCGTACAATCGATGGTGCACGTCATCGGCGAGGAGGTCCGCGAGGCACAGCGCATCCACGCGCTGGGGGAGGTCACGCGTTTACAGGATGTCGTCAGCGAGTTGCAGCTGTTGACGGACGAGTATGTCTCGACGCACTCACGGCAAGGGTCAATGACCATCGAGCCGTCCGAAATCGACGATCCACAGTCTGCCCTGGTGCCCTACAACCCCAAGGAGCCAGCGTTTCCAGTATTGGAAAACGAACATCCCGACCTTTCACAGACTTCGGCCCCATCGACGGCCGAAACGGCATCGTGCGTCCTTACGAGCTTCTTGTTCGGGGCGTTTGCGGCACTCTTTCTCATCAACTCCCAGAGGCGGGAACTCGCACTCCATTTCACATGATACTACCGCATTCGCTATCGTGTTCGACAACGGCGACGATGATGACACAGACACTGAATCTGACATCGACTCGGACCTCGATAGTGAGTTCAGCTCCGAGTCTGATGTCACTTCCGACACGGACTCGGAGTGGAGCTGTTCAACCTGTTCGAGCATCGCGTCTTTCAGCACTCTGGAGTCGCCACGAGGTTGAATCAATGTATCTGTAGAGGCGGTTGGGTCAGGCGACGCCGTTCATGATTCCACACGATTCGAGAGCTTGAAGTTAAATTATCTCTTTGCTTTCTCTGACACATTGTATAACGATATTTTGGCTGGTGCCGACACATGTGATAGTAGTTGTTGTACCCCTTTACATACTAGATGTATTTACGAACAATTTGATAGATATCGTGGAGGACGAAGGGCAAGAATACTGTTCCGCAGACGCCGCAGATGAAAAGTATTATTGGCGAACCAGTTGGAGTACATGCCGCTAAGAGAGGTCTGCCAGGTTGAGGTCATATACTAATGTTCTGCCAAGGCTCAAAGCGCTCAAAGCCAACAGCGTGATACTGTTCAAGAAGTAGACATAACATGATCTTTACGACAAAAGAGCGACATGAACATAATGCCATCTACACCAAATCGGTGAGGGTCTTCATATAACATAACAATGCATACTGCCATTTCGATACCCCGGGCCAACAGATCGTAGCATGCCTATGCCCGCCTAGGTTTAGGTTCAGAGACACTCTTCTGGCCAATGATGTGACCCGGCAAGCGCGCAAACGACGCTGTCCCATTCTCGATCCATTCCGCAGGGACCAGATCAGTTCTCCTTTTGAAACAAACATTGTATACATCAGACACCGTCCGAGGCGTGACACCGACAGCGAGAGCAACATCTGTAAAAGCCTTCGACGAGCCAAGTAAGCACGATCCAAAGCAGATCACGCCGCCCGCAATGGAGAGGGGACTCCGTGCATGATCCCCGGAGAGGTCCAGCTCGCGGTATCTAGCAATAAGAGTTTTGCAGCGCATTTCGATCACCTGAGAGAGGTTTAGTTGGGTGCAGGCGCGAGGGAGGATAGCTTCCGGGTTGGTTGTGTTAGATGAACTCGTGGAAAGGGACTGCTTCTTCAGAACTTTGACCCATCGATTGAGACTCTTCTCCTTGATGGACATCTTGTTGGTGATTTCAGCGTACGTGCGAGGGGCGCCATTCGATTGGCAGGCGACAAAGATACATGCCGCGTAGATTGGTTCTTTGTTTGCGCCCTTGGTCTGATTTTGGATGGATGACCACAGTCGCCGCGCTGATGTGCTGACGGTAAAAGGAAGGTCTAGAATATCGCACCAATGTTGGATTCTCCCAAAGGCAGAATCTCGCTTGCGCTGTTCCGGGGAGAGAGTCTTGATGGCCGTATGCTGCAGACTCTTCGCAATGCTAGAACCGTGGTCGCCATCGATGAATGTGCCATAGTCGACTGTAGCGCCAGCGGTGACATCATATAGATCTCCGACGCGCGACTGGTTTGTCGAGTAGTCGTCGTCCGCAAACGTCTATGGATGTATCAAGTGTGTGTCAAATACAGAACAAAAGACCAGCGGGCGATGATACGAACCCTCCATTCCACGGAAGTGTCGACTCTGCGCGCTTCCAGAACTAGGCCACAGTCTCCACAGATACAATCCCCGGTGTGTAGGTCCTCGACGATGTTGGGCTGCTGATTCTTGCAATCTTTGCATTCAAGTCGTACGGCAAGGTCTGGTGCGAATGGATAATCGTACAGCATATCGAGCTGAGATGGTAGATGATATAGGGCACGAAGTGAGTGATGAAGGGAGACGCAATCATGTCCAGGTTCAGCGGGGTGAATTTATATGAAGCTGAACAATCGGTGGCTTTGTGTGAGCATCGCTTGGTTGATACCATAGGCCACCCTGTGACATATTGGCGACCAAAGCTCACGTTGCCAAAACGACGCCACATTGTGTCTAGGCGCAGGTCCTGCGATGTGATAGAACTTCGGGAATCTTTGTACTTGGATGATCACATGAATGACTACCCACCGGAGGCGCGATATAGAGTGTAGAAACGAGTCAGCACTTGTCAGTTTCTCAAAAAGCGTGAAACATGGGGCGCGGTTCTCGATGCGATATTGATACCTCTTATCCGTCATGCTGATTAGTACGGACACTTGCTCGGCACTGACACAAGAAATCTGACGGGCAAGGTCACCATTCGCCCCCGCCGTGCCCCTCACCTTTGACACGCTCCCGCCACACTTGTGATTGTGTGACAGAAGATTTTGGGGACAGATGGAAGGGACCGAGAACGGTTGGAGGCGTCGTTGAAGGCAAATTCGATGATGTTCTAGTTGGGGAGAAAAACATAAGATTGCCCTCTCTGGAGAGAACTGCTTCTGATGGTCATTAGTAGAGTAGAACATAGATAGACTCGGACCGGCTTTAAGAATGAAGCCCTCATCCCAATCAAAGAACGTTCGGCTCGACGTGCATTCCGGACAAGTTGAACAAATACAGTGTGATATATAATGTTACAGAATCTACAAGACCAACGTTGATCAACATGTAAATGAAATAGAGGCCGTCGGACACACACATACGTTCACCACGACTGGGAAGACGTTTAGAGTGATGTGAAGGTCGAACCAAATCTCAGAACGAAGGACTGTCATTTTGTAAGGCGAGGCGAAAGAACAAGGGGCGATACATACGACGTGAGACGGAAGAAGACCACGCAGCAGCGTAAGTCTGTCCATCACTGAAGTGAAACTTTTTTCTTGCCCTTCCTTGAGCTCCGCGGGACTGGGGCCCGAGAATCATCGGGTTCCCTTGATGCGGGAGCGTCCTTGACTGTCTTCCTCCCCAGAAGTCCGTGTCCAACAACACTGACGACATGTCGCGCTCCGAACCCGATGACAGCCCCACTAACACACGCGACGCCGACAAAGACATACAGGGGGTAAATCGCCTGCAGAATGTACACCGAGAGGTTAAAGGGCACGATGATCAGTCCGTCGAGGACGAGTTGAAGAAAGAGTGTGATGGGAGACACAATATAGATCACGACGGGAAGAAGGAGCGTCAAGGGAGTAAACAGATACGACGTTGCGGTGTAAAGGCCTGAGAAGGTGGAGGCTGCTATGCCCCACAAGATGAAGGAGGAGCTGGAGAGGAAGTTGAAGATCTCGAGGATGGGCGGCGGGTTGCCGGATACTTGTGATGCTGTTGGGCCCATACTGGCCGAGGAAAGGGAAGCCATGTGTTCACTACTCCTTGGACCGTCGCATGGAAGGAGAAAGAAAGGTCAAGCTGATGTCTACTGAGCAGGCAGGCGAAAGAGGACGAAGACGTGGAGACGTTGAAACGGAAGTGTTGATTGAAAATCCTTGATTGGGCAAGTGTGCACAAATAGACGCGCCATTGCGACTCAAGCAATGAGTCTGCTCAACTATGTCTGCGTGCGGCTCGCAACTAACCTTTTTACGTGAGGATCTGATCGGACAATGCTAGAGCGCATGCATGTACTTATGTTCTGAGTTACTCGTCGGCACGAATAAAATTCACTTCTCAGTTTTGTACGGTACGAAAGTCGATCAGTATCGTCGATCAAAGGTGCTCAGGACCGCGTTCCAATCGGATCTGGCACCCCAATTTCATGCACCACGTAGTAGCTGAAAAACAACACTTTGAACACGAGCGCGAGGGCTGCGTGGAGGGCTGCGACGACGACGATGAGAAGCCGCACGGGCTTGGCATCTGCCTGGAGATACGGGATCAAATCAGAGGTTGAATACGCGAATACAGAAATGAATGATGAAAGAACATACGGAGGCAAGGATAGGGTAGAAGTTTACGACGAGGAAATACCCCGAAAGGACAAATGCAATGCCAGTCAGGACCCATCTGACCAGAGGGACAGGGATAACACATAAGACCTGCGTTGTCCCCTGAGTTTTAATGCTTGTTCTTCATCTGATAGCCAAAGGGCATATATGACGGGCTCACCGAGACAGGAATCCAAGCGAACATCCCATAACCCCACACACTCAACGCCTCCACTAAACCCCATCCCTCGCCCCCAGGACCAACAATACCCCAATATCTTAGTAAGCCCCAGAGAATGACCGGCAGCCCAACACCATACGCATACACCAGCCCGACCGCAACGCTTAATAACGTGAAGTCATAGGTCACTTCTTGTGCTGAAAGGTAGGAAGAGATGGAGGAAGCAAGAGATGATGTGACAAAAAGCGTGAATATTAAGGTTGTGAGCGTCCAGAATGGCCCGTAGAGATCAGGAGAAGGAGTTAGGTGGGCGGATTTGTATGTGGGGGATAATGGATATAAAGTAGTCAGACAGCGAGAGATGACCTATATTGAGCACGACACGATGATGAGTCACTGCGATAGATAGACGAAGCACGCACAGTTTGGGTGTCCACGTCAAAGTGTGTTTGATAATACTCTATATTCCAGAATGACGTCGAGGTCTTCGCCCCGTCCTGAATATACCCTTCATAGTCCATGTGCGTCAGCATCGAGCCTGGCGTGTAAATGCAATGACACAAACCTCGACTCGCATTAACGCCTTGTGCTCGCGTAGTTTGCGTAGGTGCATTTTCATCTGGGAGGAAAGCTATTGGTTGCAAATTGTCAAGCCGGTTTAGACGAGAAGTGCAGCGGTGACGAACAGTTGTACTCGAGCCGCGGGTCCTCTACTCGCTGGGGATGACGTTGAAGTGTCTGAACGGGACTACAACACGATTAAATATACACACATCGTCTGATTCTACGGCAACATAAGCCATCCGTCCAAGATGTTCGAGGGGAAGCGTTGAGATTGAAGTGAAAGGCTTCTGGATAACGTGGTCTGTCGAATGGTATGCACTCTGACTAAGCCAACCTGTAGTTGTTTCGCGGCTTCGAGGTCCAACAACAACCTCCAACCTCCTCCAACAACCTTCACGATAATCCACTCACATACTATCCCCTAGCATCAACTCTTAGCGCTATTCCGCAAGTAGCACCATCAAACATATCAGTAGAGAGCCTTCATTCTGGTACTGGCCGCCTTGTGCGTGACCCACTGAACTTCTGAAGTAAACTAGGTGTTTCAAGGTTTCGAGCAGCTGGTCACGATGATGAGTGCCTCAGACGAGGATATGACGCGTATTCAGACGGAAGTCGTCCAACCATCAACCTTTTTTGATCCTGAGGTAAGTGTGCTCTCTTTGTGCCGATTTTATATGCAGTCCGTCCCTCAACGTCAAGAACACAGTCTCTCGGGATAGTAGACACTGACCATCTTTGCTATCAGCCAAACCTTCACGTGGTTTCATCTGTCTATTCTAGCTCTCTGGCGTCGCCAAAGGAGCCGTCCTTGCCGGACCGTCTGATAAACCCCCATCCTCGCCAAGTCAACGGTACGAGTCTGCTGGCTATACAAGATCCTAACTCACTACCAACAGGAGATACCTCAGAAATCGAAGAAGACATGACGGGTGTTCTTCGCCTGAAAATCATGATTGACAGCTTTTCTCAAAATCTCAACGAAGAAAAACAGGACATAGGACGAACATTCCATAGCCTCCACGTCGTATCTGAAGCTTGGGAACAGCTTTATAGTAACTTGGGACACGTACGGCCTACCAGCGAAGGAATGCACGCTTTTGTTACCGTAACTGGTGCAGGCACTCGTCTGGAGAACTCTTCAGAACAGCACAATACACCGGTCCATATGACAGAGAACCTGGGGTCAGAAATAGCTGAAAAGCTTCCTGCCACGCTCGAAGCAGATGAGCACTGGATTGGTATCGTGGATAGTATCAATTCTCAGTCTGCTGACGAAGCGATAGACTTGGTTGCAAAGCAACAGCGATCTGACTTGCATCGTAGACCTAGAGGATATACAGTCTGCTCAGACATATCCGATGATGATGGCTACGAGCTTGACATATGTCCATTGATGGCTGGACATCATAAGGATGAAGGTCCTCTTCTTTACTCTGTCGTATGCTCTTCCTTGCCGCAAAGCCGTATTCTGGGCACCTTCTCGGCTAGTGCATCAGCTTCCTTCTCGCCTCTGAGCTGCTCTATTTTCGACAATCTTACATACTACAGGGAGCTGCGGGAGGCACGCATCGACAATGAATTCGAAGCTGTACTGGACAGAATTTTGAAAGAATGGTTTAATGTTGGAGCATCAGTGCGTCTTCTTGCCCTCCACATATATCATCTGTTTTTCTGTGTCGATGCATTGATGTTTACTCTGTTCATGTGTAGTTGATTGGCATTGCAGCGTAAGTAGAAAATATGGCGCTGCAGTGCTCTAATCAATGCTGATCTGTTATTAGTTTGAATGTTACAGTCTCCGGGTTCACCCCAGACACCCTCTTCGGTATCGAAGGCCTGGCGCGCGGCGCCCTTGCGGTATCAATCGTTACCGCCGGTGTTGGCATCTTTCTCGATGCCTGGTTTCTACTTCTCTACACCAGTGCTGATGCACAAAAGTTCAAGGTGATCATCATCCTTCGTTCACTTGACAGGCTTCATTCATCATCTTGACCTTTTCCAGAGGCTTGCGACCGACATCTATTCTTCGTTCTTTTTTTTCTCCATTACCTCGCGGATACCTGGCTTGCTTCTTTTCTTCGCCTGTTGCTCCACAGCACTGCTGCTCTTCGCTGTTGCCTGGGATTCGGGCTGGGCGAAAGCTGTCATTGTCATTTGCGTCCCGGTGAGCGCTCTGTACTACTTACAATACCTCGTCTTTCTGGCCGAGATTCTTGCTCGTGGTGTTTGGAGGCTTTGCAGTATCTTGGTATCGTTGATACAAAGTACTTCGAGCATGTTTCTTACTGCTGTACGGCGGATACTAACGATGCTTGAATGAGTGATCCTTTTCTTAGGTCGTACATTGTCCTGCAGGTCAGACTGTGTCCATTCGCTCAATATGTTACGTATGCCTTTTTATTCACTGGCCCCTATACGTATGACTAGATCTTTGCCTGGGAATTATGGGGGTTTCTTTGCTTGCCAATTCGTTTGGTATTGGCTGCACCGACGGACTTACACATGCGGCCAATTGTACTTATACCACATGACATCCATCATCATAGACGCATTGAAGTTGCTCTCTCAGATCTTCCGTGGTCTCCAATACTCTATTGTTGGACCATCTTCATAGAGACAGCCGCTTTGAAAATCTTACTCCTCTGGATCTTGAGCGGGCTCAAGCTCAGGCGCAGCCTGCAATAACGTAATAACTCGTGTGTACGCGACTGCATCGCCGAGCGGTGTTGACTTCTCCCCAAACAAAATGTCACTACTCGATCTTCAATCTCACCGCACGCAACTTTTCTTGACAGCCATAGGAACGGCGGCTGCAACAGCGTCTATATTCTCTCTATATAACACAACCTCACGTCGGCGAAAGCGGCGCGAGCTAGACGATGACATTCGTCGGTCGCTCTCAAGCTCCGCCGCTGTGGCAGGCCAGTCTCATACGCCAGTACCTCAAGAATTTGCTCAAGGGAAGCGAAGGCATATCACAGGCGATGGCCTCGAGGAAAGTGAGATATCCATTGGGGGTGCGGGAGCATACGAGTACGACGAGGAACTTGTGAGGGAGCAGCTGGCGAGGAACTACGCGTTTTTCGGAGATGAGGGCATGAGCAAAATCAGGAAGGGTTCTGTCGTTGTCGTCGGATGCGGAGGTGTGGGAAGTTGGGCGGCTGTAATGCTCGTCCGGTCGTGCGTCCGTTCCGTCCTCTCATCTCAATTCACTGACTCCTCTTCCATTTAGAGGTGTCTCCAAAATCCGCCTTATTGATTTCGACTATGTCACCCTTTCCTCACTTAACCGCCATTCGACCGCCACGCTTGCAGATGTCGGTACGCCGAAAGTGCATTGCGTCGGGCATGCGCTGCGGCAGATGGCGAAATTTGTGGATGTCGACGCTCGTGTCGAGCTGTGGCGTGCGCAGGATGGCGCAGCGCTGCTTGAAGGGGCGGATTGGGTCATTGGTGTGTGGCATTCCTCTATTCACACTCATGTGAAGCATTCTATTGAAGCGCGGCATACAGATGCGATCGATAATATCGGCACCAAAGTTGAATTGTTGAAGTATTGCGTAGAGCATAATATCAAGGTGAGGACCTTCATACACATCTTTTGTGTATATCCATCACATGAACCAGGTCTTTTCGTCCATGGGTGCAAGCACAAAATCCGATCCTACGCGAATTCAAATTGCCGATATTTCAGACACAATATATGACCCCCTTGCGCGGACCGTGCGCCAACGCCTACGAGCAGCAGGGATCCGTGAGGGAGTCCCTGTCGTATACTCTACAGAGGTTCCTGGCGACGTGGGTCTTCTGCCGCTCCCTGAGGAGCAATTTGCGAAGGGTAAGGTTGGGGAGCTTGCGACAATGGACGACTTCAGGGTGCGGATCCTGCCTGTCCTTGGTACGTTTCCCTCTCTGAAGTGAATAATGAAGGCTGAAGTAATTTGATACCATTCATTTAATGATCAGGGCCACTGCCAGCGATATTCGGATTGAACGCGGCTACGTATATAATCTGTGAGCTAGCTGGAAAACCGCTTGAGAGGCCGATGCCTGTGAAACACCGGAAAAAGCTTTACGACCGGCTGTGGAAAGACCTGCTGGCTCGTGAAGGGCGGATTGCGGGTCGACAGATCAAGTGCGTCCTCGATTTTATCTCACTGCTTCGACGATTGAGTTCACAGGAAATAAAAATCGGCTTTAAATTATAGTAACCTGCCATTCTCAATATCGGACATCGGAGTTGTATTTGAGGACATTGCACTAGCGCGCAGCATCGTTCCACCACATGCGACCTGCGCCAGGGCAACGCTCGCACGATGGGACCCCCTACGTCCTCTCTCCATGGAAAATGTGGTCGTTTTCGAAGGCAAGGAAGCAGAGAGGCATATGCGAGAGGTATTTGGTGTCTCTCCTGACGAGAAGGTTTCATTTGAGGATGGAGAGACGCTAGAGGAAGTTGCGGGGGAATTGGAGATGGTAGATGCACTAGGAGGCAAGCTGACGAAAGAAAGGACTATCAAGAGGCCCGAAGAGTTTTGGGGCGAGAAAGTCACCGCAGTTGTAAAAGCGCGGATAGACGAGGCGATAAGGTATAGGAAATGGGTGGTATAGTGAATGTATAAGGTATGTGAGGTCCTTCATGTAATCCCATTTCTAATTTATGGAACGTTGGCATCTTTTATCTTAGCCTCGTTTTTACCTTAGTTTCTCGAGACGAGTTAAAATGATCTGCTGTTGACCACTTTCCTGACAAACCGGCCTCGGATCCGAAGACGTGTCATAATTTACCGAATCAGGTGGCTTCTATTCCTTCAAGACAACTTCAATAATATTCTGGGGACTGTCACCCAGCACTATAAGAACCTATCATGTCTTTGCTCGGCATTTTTTCCTCGTGTTTCACTCGCTCACAATGGTTCTACTCTTCGCCCTCCAGCGCATCTCGCTAGGCATAGCAACCTCTCTGATCAACGCAGTTGTGAATATAGGCATCATTCTCTGGGATCTCGGTCTTTTCATCTATAATCTCCTCATACCTCTTCGTGCAGTCGGAAAGGTGACACCGATGGGACATCCAGGAGCCGGAGGGAAATGGCCGGAATACATTCCACCGAAGGAGGGGGATAGTCGATGCTCGTGCCCGGCGCTTAATGCCTTGGCTAACCACGGTACGATTATCTCATTCTTGAGTGTCGAGTCTTGCATTCCTGTCGCGTGACCCTGACTGTCGGAGCACAGGGATCCTCCCACGCAATGGGCGCAATATTCCCATCCGTGCGCTCACGCCTGCTATCCGGTCAACTTACAATTTCGCGCCTTCATTTTGCGTATTTGTCCCTCGCTATATCGGGCAGATCCTAGGCCGAAGTTACTTGAACGACACACTGGATTTGGAAGATATCGATGTGCATAATGGCATTGAACATGATGCTTCTCTTACTCGTGAGTGTTATGTTTTGGGAGGTTCCTTCTTTATTGTGGACTACTTTGCGGCAAATGCTCTTCGCAGATTGTCGCGTCAGTGGCGTTCGATGAACACGTTTTTGCATCGATATGTCTACAGAACGTTCTATTCATATCCGCTCTATTTAACAGGCGAAGACGCACGCGTCTCACCCGACCAATCCCGACCATCCATCCCGCTCGTAGAGCAGCTCCTCGCATCTGCCTCGGGTCCACTGCTTTCCAACCGCACAGGGGACTCCAGTGTGACGCCGACGCTCACTGTCTCAGACCTTGCGCGGCTGACGTCTAAACGTCGAGCCGAGGCGAAGAAACAGAATGGCCAGTTCTCGCTCAGCACGTCCCACAAGATGTTCGGCAGCTCTAAGTGCGCAATAACTCTGTCCACGATTTCTGTTTTAATTTAGATGTTCCCCCCCTAGCTCAGGGACGCTTCTCACAATATTCGGAGGACGTGTAGATGATCTGCGCACAGTGCTTCTAGAGGAGCGTCTCCCCGACGGGTGGGAGTCCCGCGTACGAGAACCGATGGGACTCACGATCGCTGTCTTCAACAAAACTGTGCTTGGGATTGAAATGGGCGTTGAGGAAGAGATCAGGGATGGGCTGAAGAGTGTTCTGTGATAATTGGAGTCATCATCAATGGGGATGAAAGCCATGCACAAAGTGCTATTGGCATTCTCCCAACTCCGGCGCGAAATGTCTATCGACGATCGACGATACCCAATAATCAGATGTCATATGCTATTCAAAGGATGCTGATACCGAAATCAAAGTGCTTAGAGGAACGTGTTGACGTGCAGTGCCCCTTCGCTAGACAATCCAGTGATAATTGAAATAAAGCCGTCCAGTCGAACGACTAGCATAGCACCCAGAGCTGCTATGCCAAACTTTTCGTATGCGCTGCACACCCCATCCTGCTCACTGATGAATACCCTGATGATGAACAGAGAGATTTAGCGATCGTTTGTGCGAGACAAGAGGCCTCAGGCAGTACATACCGCTTCCAGTTTTGTAACATTGGTGGAACATCCTTTCAATGTACAGCTTCCCTGTGGCCAGCGAGGATTGTATGCAGAGATAAGCGATTTAGAATCTGAAGAGACATCGAACCCTTCAATGAAGCCGCGAACTGTGTCAGACAGCTATTCTGCTGTGGAAGGAGAATATCTCCCGACAATATGAGTAGTTTGAACAACCCATCAGACGGTGCGAGGTCCTGAAGGTCGAGCTGCTGCCAATCCCCGAGCCGTGTAAGGCCAAAGGAAGGGGACCGTTGGCCTGGTTGCAGATAAACGGCGAAAGTGTTCACGCTGGGATCTGTCAACTGTCAGAACGGGATTCTGTTCGATCGGCAACTTCGGAGAGGAATTACAGGGGACGTTCTATGATGAAGCCGTCCCGGAGGAGCTGCAGGATATGCATTGATTCTGCCATGTTCTTGCGTTATCCAGTGCCTGTCCATCCCCGAATTTTCCAGTCGAGTGAATGGGACGCAACCGCCACGTGATAGCGCCCATGTGCGATACTGCGTGATGACATCGCTCGCGATCGTTCTTACTGAGCATGTCAACCGCACAATGTCCACGGTCATCAGCCGTCTCCTCTCATTTCTTCCATTAACGTCCAAGACCTACATCCCCCAGAATCGCGGCATCTCCAATATGACTGTGACCGACAACTCTCAGGTAGCCACGTTCGCGGCAGGCTGCTTCTGGGGCGTCGAGCACATCTTCCTGAAGCAGTGGCCGATCAAGGCGGACAAGGGCGTTCTGAAGACGGCGGTGGGGTACACGGGCGGGAAGGAGAGCGCGCAGAATCCGGACTATAAGACTGTTTGCTCGGGGGCGACAGATCACGCTGAGGCGTTGAGGATCGAGTTCGACCCGAGCAAGATCACTTATGAGGAGCTTGTCGGTATGCATGCGAGAGGGTTTTCCAACCGTGCGGCGCTCTGACAGTCCTCATAGAATATTTCTATCGCACTCACGACCCGACGACCGTGAACCGACAGGGCGGGGACACCGGAACGCGTGAGCCAATTTATTCCTGTCAGTCTTACCTCGTGTTTACGGCCTCGTTTACGGCCGTCGAACAGAATACCGCTCTGCCATCTTCTTCCATACCCCCGAGCAAGAGACGATCGCGCGCCGTGTGACCGAAGAGGTGCAGAAAAGGCATTTCGACCCGGTCGGGACAAAGATCGTGACGGATATCATCGCAGCAGGGACATGGTGGGACGCGGAGGACTACCATCAAGAATACTTGTTCAAGAACCCGAGCGGGTACCAGTGCCCTACTCATAAGTTGCACTGGTAGGGTGTGGAAGGTTGGGGCAGACACAGGATACACAACAACCATGTATTTTTTCATGTACAACATGAAGAGCGCGAATATCGAACGAGCGAGCATACCAGACGACGACATAAAAATTCAAAAAAACATACTGAATCATAGGAAGAATCGATAAGACGAGTGAAACGCGAGAAGAGATTCAACCACAGATCAAAAAAAGAGACGCCATCAGAGTAAATCCTAGCCCGTCCCTTTGATGTAACAAGGTATGGTGTGCCGAACGGGCGATGTCAGCACAGGTCCGCATCTACAAGAGAGGGTCCTGCTCATCGCTCTGCACTACGACTCTCATCACTGGCGTTTTTGATCGTGGAAGAATCTAAGAAACGAGTTTTTGCGTCCTGCGCGACTCTTATACGATGCAGTCAATTAAGTAATATGCACGTGGTCAACATATCCGAGATAGGCGCGGACGGAGTCACCTGGAAAGCTGAAAGTGAGCATAAGAACCTCAGAATAGCCTGCAATAAGGATCATATTCCCTCAGACATGCCTTCATCTCTCAACCTCAGCTATCTCGACATTGTCAATCGTGCAGACAACTTCCATCTCTACCCTCCCAAACCTAGTGCGGAGGCGCTTGTACCATTTCTCCTCTCCCCTTCTCACTCCGCATACCCACCTATCGGTCTCATTCGGCCTAGCGTCCTGTTGGAGCTGCAGAAAGACAAAGAATGGCGCAAGTCTCACGGCCTCAAAGAGATTTGGGATATCCAGCTCGCGCCTTTGGCCCATCGCTCATATGTGGCTTTTGCTCCCTCCTGCAACACCCCGGCTAAGCGCACGCGCGCCATGAAAGAGACTTGTACGCGCTGGCGTGACTCGGGCATTTTCCCTGATATCATTGGGCCCAGCAAGTGGCGCTCGGAGTGGTACGACGTGTATAGGACGCCGTTCGGAGCGCTCCGTGTCGAAGGTGGAGAGCCGATGGAGTACGAGGGCGGCGAGAAGGAGGAAAACTACGCGTTCTCGATGGAGCGCTCGGCGTGCGCGCTGTTTGGTGTCGTCACTTTTGGCGTGCATCTGTCAGTATATGAAGAGGATGAGGACGGCATCAGAATGTGGATTCCGAGGAGGGCAAAGACGAAGCCTACGTGCGTCCTCGCGTACTTTCTTTCGATATCTTATGTTTCTCCCTCCTTCCATGTCCTAACAATATTCATATTTCAAACAGATGGCCGGGCTACCTCGACAACAGCGTCGCGGGCGGTATTCCTGGTGGTATCACCCCGTACGAAAGCATTGTCAAGGAAGCGATGGAAGAAGCTAGCCTGCCGGCGGACCTAGTGCACAAATATATCAAGGCTACGGGTTGTATCAGCTACTTTTATCAGACCGACCGGGGGTGGCTGCAGCCGGAAGTAGAGTTCGTATACGACATGCGGGTTCCCAAGGGCGAAATAGACCTACGTCCCATGGATGGAGAAGTAGAGTCATTCGCGGTACGTCGGTCCAGTGTTTTGATCGCATCTGCAACGTGGAGGTTCCTATCGCGTTGTCATTTTCTGCAACGCCACCTTTGGGCCTTGGTCGAAAACTGACTTTTTTATACATGATCCCCTGACGTGCCTGCCCTGAACCAGTTGCTGCCTTTAGATGAGGTCATATCTCACATGCGCGCAGGGGAATTCAAGGCGAACTGTGCAATTGGTGCGTCCGTTTTCGTTTTTCTAGGTCGCTGACGCTCCTGCCTCCGTGCCGTTTACTTCTTGTTTTGCTTCCGGCCGGTGTGCAGTCATCATCGACTTTCTCATCCGAAAAGGTCTGATTACCCCTGAAAACGAGCCAGATTTTCTGGAAATCATCACTCGGTTGCATGGGCGATTCGATATTGAGCGGTGGTGACTGTATCTGTCCCTGGCTAACACCCAGGATCCCGCGACGAACACCCACTATCTGTGAACAGGTTAGAAAGAGAGTGGGGGACACGGTGAGCGCCTTCGACTGAGCTTGTACTGAAACCATCCGAAGTGCTCAAGATATTCTGAAGGATTCCAAGGGCTTTGAAGAAATTCAATCGACTGCATAGAGATTTTCGGATGTACTTAGTCCTGCACTAGTCCTGCTCGATTAGGCGCCCTAATCACCTCGTGGCCCCGAATCATCGGACATGGGCGGCACTTTTGGAGTGTGACTACCAGATATGAATTCAGAGGATAGCTGTCTGACCGTATTCCCATTGGCATATACACAACATGAGATGTGCCCTTCTCTCAAAAGAAAAAATAACACTCGAGCGGTGCATAGGATATGAGTAGGTAGACGGAGGCGGTCTGTGAGGCCGACAGGTTGGCTTGAACGATTACGCTTAGTTTCCAGGCACGGATCCAGAAGATCTACCGACCTTAATAACGCTCTTGGAATCGGATCTACTCCAAGTCTCCAAGTCTCCAAGCTTCGACTTTGCTTTTCGGGCAGGTTTGTTCTCGACATCAGATCCTAATCTAGTTAATTTCATAGAAAACGTGTCGCTTACACGGAAAATTCAGCGCCCAAAGCAATCTATCAAAGTGAAATAATCGTGTGATGTCGGAGAGCAGAGCCTCTGAGCGTTGCTGGCTCTATGACTACATGACATCGTCAAAGAACCCTTGAGCTTGCTTTTTCTTCCACGTTCATCCTCCCAGTCTCCTTCCGCTTTGGGCGTCTGTTAGTCGCCAGGTTGCGACTAGTCCACTAGGCCAATTATCGACTCTCGCTTCACTCTGCTCCGTTCTTTTCGAGCGTTCCTTACGTCCTTAACGTTCTTGACGTCCTTGACCGCTGTGCGTCGACACCCTACAGTTTTAGTCCTTCTCTTTCGCATCTTAGCGCTCTGGTTGTCGAACGTCGCCGGACGCTTCAAGTTGATCGATCATGTTTGCGACCCTACTACTTCCTCATGTCCTCGTATCTGCCCTTCTGTTATGTGTTCTGCCTTGCTTTTCCGCTCTCGCTTCGGCACAACAGACGTTTTTTCCTCCAGAGTGGCCTCTTGCCGTCCGATCTCCATATCTCAGCAGCTGGGAGGCTGCAACGAAAGGATCGCAACCTCCGTACAATTGGCCAAAAACCTCTGTGAGTCTCAAAGCGTTTGTAACCAGTCTTCGTCGTGACTTATTGCCTTTCTTATGGGGCAGACTGAAGCAATTCTGGGATGGCAGGGGTTGGTGAATATAGATGGCGTGTCGTATAATTGGTTGGGCGATGACCTTGGAACTGGAAATTCAACGAACCTGACAAACGTGTTGATCACGCCTACGCGCACTGTGCTTTCCATGACTGCTAATACCGTGGATTTCAACATCACGTTCCTGAGTCCTATCGAGGCGAGCAGTGTCACTCATCGCTTTCGTTCCATCATCTGAATATCCTCGTCTCTCTCGCCCTGCAGCCAAATGATTTCGTCCGACAATCGATACCGTTCTCATACATATATTTCGAGGCGACATCACGAGATGGCAACTCCCACAGTATACAGGTTTATTCTGATATCAGCGCGGGTGGGTGCTGTCCTTGCGTATACAGCTGTAGGCATTGTCTAATTCATCCATCGCGCTCTTCGTTTTCCATCACCTTCCACTGCAGAATGGAGCTCGGGAAATCGTAACGATCAGGTCCAGTGGACCACGACCACGAACAACGCGAACAGCGTGTATCATTCTGTCAACCTGATATCGCAAACACAGTTTGAGGAGGAATTTGGTCAGGCGGAGTGGGGCACGTTGTACTATGGCATCAAGCAGGTGAGGATCTCTTAGGGGTTATACCCTCTTTGAGCTACCACCACTGACAGTGTTCAGGGCTCTTCCATAACGTACAGGACATCCGACGCGAGTTCTAGAAACCTGTTCAGGTCCCAGGGAAAACTGGACGACAGCCAAGACAACAAATTCCGTGCAATCAACAAGTCAGTTAGTTTCAAAAGTTTTCCCCATGCATGTCTGAGATTTCGGACTCCCAGCTCGTTCCCCGTTTTCGCTCTTTCACAAGACTTAGGAACGATTAAATCGACATCAGAGCCTGTTGTTTGGATGGTTGGGTACAGCAGAGACCCTGCTATCAGGTACATCGACCTCTCAAATGTAGCTCAGGATCGCAGCCTCTACTTTCAATCGGCGTACTCCAGCCTCGACGATGTCGTACGTGCTCCTCTCTCCACCGAAGGCATGAGCATGCTGGATCTTCTTGGCTGACTCTTCCTTCCTTCGAAAAGATATCCGCGTTTGCGACAGACTTCTCCAACGCTTGGGGGCGCGCAGAACAGCTTGACGCGCGACTGATATCCGCTGCGAATGCTATTTCGTCCGACTATGCAGATCTTCTGTCTATTGCGGCAAGGCAGGTGTATGGTGCGACGGAGCTGACGATTGCAAAGGGCTCGGACGGGCAGTTCAACAAGTCAGACGTTATGATGTTCATGAGGAACATTGGCGGCGGTGACAGTGCTCAGTGCGTAGATTCATCAACTATACTTCGCTTCAAGAGAGAAAACAGTATATTTAATTTGTGTGCGATCTAGGCGAGTCAACCCTGTGGAAATATTATACCAGGCGTTCCCCATGTTCATGTATCTCGATCCCACGCTGGGAGCTCCTTTGCTGGAACCTTTACTCCGATTCCAAGATTCATCGAAGTACCAAAATCCGTACGCCGCTCAAGACGTAGGTCCGTGATGTGATTGGCCATTTGTTTATGACCACATCCTGACAACCAACTTCAGGTGCGAACTATCCTATAGCTCAGGGAGATAGCGATGGACACCCTCAGCGCGTGGAACGTACGTGCCATACTTTGACTGCGATAAGTGCTTCTTCTGAGTCTGAGCGGAATTCATAGAAACGGCAAACATGATCATCATGGCCGCCGCTCTAGCGCGCACCACTGGTGATGGGTCGCTCATAAACCGATACGTCAGCTAACCATCCACTGATGATATATTTCTGATAACTAATGGTTCTGTGTTCCAGTACCCCCTGTTCGTGAAGTGGACGGATTTCTTGTCTAGTTCCACGCTGTTCCTTACCAGCGAGTGCGTGAATAATCCTTTCAGACGAGAGAAACACTGAGGATGGGTTCGTGCATTGCAGAAGCTCTGCAGATTTGGATACTACTGCCAACCAGACAAACCTGGCCGTCAAGGGAATCATTGCGATCAAGGCAATGTCCGACCTCAGTTCTGCACTCGGACACGGCGACGATGCAACCCGTTACGCCGTAAGTTTGAGGTGTTCTGCTTTCAGGGTGTCTGCTGATGCACTATCGCTTTCGGAAAGACCGTAGCATCTAACTTCACCAGCCAGTGGCATTCACTCGCGCTCAGTGCTGGAGGCTTGCCGTATATGCTCGGCTCATATGGTAACACCAGCTCCTTCTCGTTTGGCTATAATCTGTATGCGGACAAATGGCTCGGAACTAATATCGTCAACTCTTCCGTGAGTAGCTGTATCAAGGGATGTCACTCCCTTGCCTTAAATTAACAACCGCATATACTCATAGGTATATGATGCCCAAACGAACATCATCAACCTCAATTTGGGACAGACACAATTCGGACTTCCCATCGACAGCTCTAACACTCTGAAAGGACAAGCCGTCTCCAGTGAGCCATTCTATGATCGCGATAGAATGAGACTCTGATGTAGCATTCCAAGGTTGGAATCTCTTTGAGGCAGCATTCGTAACGGACACGGGAATCAGAAATCGGCTTATTTCCATGATTCGTGCGCGCGCGTCTTTCAACGCGACGTTAGGCGCATTCCCTGCCATCTACGATGCCATCTCTGGAGCGGTCCACTCTGGCATTGCTAGGTATGCACATGCCAATCTACCGTTTGTCGTGAGTGCTGAGACCCCATTATTTCAGTCCTGCACAAGGATCCATGTTCGCCCCCTTGGCACTCAAGTGAGTAGCTGCAACATTTATATCTTGATAGTCGAGCTTATGATGATCCCTTCTTCAACCAGTCTCGAAGCTAAGCTTGTGTCTAAGACCATCCCAACTCAAACTTCTGGACCGGGACGGGTTTCAGCTGGCGCTATTGCTGGCGGTGTCGTGGGCGGCATCGTTCTCGTCACCGCTGTGATCTTTGGGATCGTTTATTTCCTCCGTCGCAGACGAAACAATCCACGAACTCAGCATCGCATCTCGCTTGATGGAGCATACGACAACGCGGCCCCCATCCTTACTCCGTTCGAGATGTCTCAGGCTAGCTACGGCGAGACCCGAGGACACAGGCCCAGGCCCTCAAATCTAGAGAATCTGGGAAGTCGCACGAGCTACGCCATGGGTGATGTCGACCATGTCCCCTCTGTTCTATCAGCAACAACCATCTACAACCCATATTCCTCGGGTGTAGCGCCACTAGCGCCCTACACCGCCTCTGCGTCTACATCTGGGCCGTCCGAGGGCTCGTCCACGAATCCAGCTTCGCGTAAGCGCTCTGAGGCGCTTGGCCAGCGCACAGACTTGCCACCACCACCAAGCGCGAACTTGTACACTCGCGAAGACCCCTCTACGTCACGCGACGGGCTCATCCCAGGAGGTCCGAGTACAGGTCAAGCGCTAGACGAAGATACGCTGGAGCTGCGGACGCAGGTCGAGGTTCTGCGGAGAGAGATGGAGAGTTTGCGGCAGGAGAGAGGGGAGCTGCCACCAAGGTATGCTGAATGAGGTCTCTCTCTGCTTGATGTCATGTTCTTTGGAATTGTATAGTAGTGTTTTGCAGGACCTTTCCTACTATAATTTCTTGGTTCTGAACCCTAGTGCTTTTGACGGCGGTGACATGTATCTATAAGAATTGGCGTCGAACAGTGTCTCTATTATTTTTGACCCTTCACATTTCCAATCATGCCCCTCGAATTTTCGAACGAATCGTCGGAAAAAGTAAGCCTTGATGATAAGCCCTTATAATGTGTCATAAGGCCTTAATGTCACGGGACTTTATGATGCATTATGAGAAATGAGTCAGGGCATTGTGATAGATTATGATGCCATCACGATGAGAATTGCAATTGATTATTATCCCTGGTATTGACTTGGTAATGGCCTCCAGGCCGATCTCTACATGGTAATTGAGTTATCAGAATTATGATGCCGAACTTAATGTATTATAATACCAAGACTCGGCATCATAATGCCCAACCGTTTTTTCCGACAGATGTGCATGGGAAAGAGGGACAGACAGTGATTTTCAAAAACCCGAACGATCTAGTACTATGCGGGGTTGAAAGGCTATGGAGCCTTACAATCGTGGTCTCTGTTCCTGACACAATTGATGCATGCGGATGATTCACCAAAAACAGTCATTCCATGTGTCCTCACAACGCATACACCAACTCTACTTCCTCTCAAGTTCTCATCACTTTCTCCCAACCGTTCAACTTCCCAGTCGTTGCGAGTCCACTCCGGCCCATTCCGCGTCATCGGTCCCTGTATGTTTGCTGGTATCTTCTGCGGATTCTCCTCCTTTTGGTATAGTTCTTGAGATGTCTGGGCAGAATTTCTGAAGGCGTCACTAGTAGCCATGCGGATAAGAAGGACTGATACCCATCGAATGGATGTCAAAACGATTATCGCCAGTTTCCACTCAGGCTTATCCACTTCCCGTCGTCCCACAGCTGAAACTTGAAATCAAGGTAACGAGATCAATGTAAGCCGACTCGAGTGCACTTTTTTGCTGGCATAGCATTGTTCACTGGCGTAGGTGCGATTTCGTGGACCTCACACGTTCGATCCATTTCTGAATGTCGTGTTCCAGTGGGTAACCTACTAAATATACAGCTGTACAGAGTCTGTACAGCCCAGACAACAGATTCAATTAATATAACATAGCGACAATGCTCAAAAAAAGCCCAAAAGAATCGTACCCAAGCAAGGCCGTCAGTCTTTCACAAAAAAAATACTGTCGAAAAAATATTCCAGCAACTAACTATGTTCATCTAACTATCGTCACAGACCAACTACACTCGCAGACTACGCTTGTGTTATGATATATCGCCGACAGCCACCTTTGGCGGAGGTGGACCGTCCATGGGCCCGCCCATACTCGATAATCGAGGCACGGGAATCGCCATGTGAGGGAAACTTTGATTTTGATTTGACGGATGGTGGGCCGTCTGCGAGGACGAAAGGGTAGGAGATCCCGTTCTCGGCGGCAGTAATGGCACAGGGCCGGTGCCACTCATATGTGGCGGCAACGACGGAGGCGTACCCACTCGAGAAGAGGCGCGCGGTGGTAGTCCATCGACTATTGTCATCTTCGTCGGCGGCGGCGATGCCCGCTTCTTCGTTGTGCTCGGGCTGATTGGTACAACCAACACCGACTTGCCCGCTGCTGCCGCCTCGATGCCAGTCGGGTACGGCGGTGGTGGGAGAGGCGGGACGGTGTGGACGAGTCGTGGGGGAGAGCGCACGCCGGATGAAGGACTCGGAGGAGGCGGGAGGCGATTGGATCGGGGAGGTGAGATGCCCATCATCGGATCTGCTGTTGTCCGCGCGGGATGTGGGATGCCGCCCGATAGCGATCCGGCTCCGAGCGGTCGATGCATCGGCGAGCTACCGTGTCCGTGTCCATGAAGTGTCCCCGGGTTCGTATGCATGGAAGGCGGTAAACGTGGCATACCGTCATCGAAGGAACCTCTTCTCGACGGCCCGACAGATGAAGGATGACGCTGTCCAGAGCTGGAAGGAACGTGTTGAGATGATTGGTGCTGCGTCGGTGTGGCAACAAAGGGCGTCATGACCCTCTCATGAGGACCTACAGGGGGCGGGCCAGACGGTGGCCGCCCACGCTCACGATTATATTGTGGCGAGGGCGGTATGTCGCTTCGCCACTGCCCAGACATGGATGAAGACGGGCCGAGAGAAGATGGGTAGTGTTTGGAAGAAGGCGTCAAGTTGATAATCTCGGTCGAAGGGGGTCCCGAATGCGGCCGGTTGTACTCGATCTCGCGCGTGGAGTGCATGCGTGGGCTGCTATGACCATGATGGAGAGGCGACATGGGCGTGGAAGCAACGCCGTTGGGTGCGCTGCCTGTAGGGTGATGGTGGTGGTGATGGTGAAGGTGATGGTGGTGATGCGGGCCAATGACGTGGTGGTGGGGGGCTTGACCAGGTCCAACATGAACGTGGGGATACGAACTGGGAGGCGGAGCGTTTCGGTGATATTGCTGTTGCTGTTGCTGTTGCTGCATATACTGAAATTCCATCTGCCTTTCGCGGTCAAGGTCCCTTTCACGCGCCCGGTCCCTCTCATACCTCTCTCTAGCCTTCTCTCGTTCAGTATCCATCCCGACTTCCCTCCCCTCCCTATCTAACTCCCTGTAGAACCCGTCCTCAGGCGAGATCCGTCTCGGCTCGCCGTTCCACTCTCCACCCATCTTTCCTGAAAGCCCACCGCTTCCACCTGCCCATCCATTAACCTTCGGCACGGGTGGTATAAGGTTCCCATTGCCCATGACATGCACAGGCGAAATTGAGCGGCTCATCATCGACCCATGCGAGGGATACCCGCTGCCGGCGCTGCCAGCCCCCACAGGTTGCATGTGCATAGGTGCAGGGCCCGGCATCATCTCGTGCTCGAATGGATGTGGTGCGAACTCTTGGTGCGAGCCCGACGGTTGTCGTCGCAGCCCTGACCCACCCGGTCCAGAGAATCCTGATCCGATGTGCTGCATCTGGACATGCTGAGATGGAGCGCGACTGCCTAGCCCGCCGGCACCGAAAAGGGGGCCGTCAATTACTCCTGACGCGTAGCCCTCGAAAGGGATGTTGTTCAAGGGCATGTGCATACCCAGCGGACCATTCATTGATCTACTGGCTTCAAAAGACCGACGGTTGTTAGAGAGTATGTCAAGATCGTGGGAGACATCCGCGCTCGAAAGGGTAGACAACTGGGGATATACGAGTGGTGGCGCGTGTGAATCTCTTTTGTGACGAGAACCGAGAGTTTGGTTGACGATGTCATAGAGTGTAGGCGGCACAGGGATTTCCTGGGGCGGAAGCGGAATGTGTCGTACTGAGATGTGGTTTTAGACTTGTGATGGTTGATTGACATCATGAAAAGATGCGCACCTGGCTGTGCGACCTCTGCCGCTCGTCGATCTCTCTCCAACTTCCTCCGTTTCCGGTTCGTTTCCGCTAACATATCTGTCTGAAGTTCGTCTCGCGCATGCTGAGAAGATGTTAGTAGCTGACCATACAACCAAAGACGCGTCCTTTACCTTCCACCAGGCCCAAATTGAGTCTTCGGTCGCTCTCCGTCTCTTCAGCGTGTTCTCCACCGCATAAGCGCGTTTTCGTGCAGCCAAATCCAAACGATTGTCCCGGCGCTTCGCAAGTTCTTCCTGGAGATGCAGTAGCTCGGGATGGGATCCTGGTAGAAAGTGTTAGTCAAAGACGTCAATAGAAATGTCCAGATGATTCACCTTTGCCAACCAGATGCTCCTCCCATGCCAGCGAGTCCATCCTCTCGGTGTAGACTTTCTCCTTGAGCAGGGCAAACTTGAGCTCAATCATAGCCAAAACATCCAAAGCCTCCGCGCGATGAGCCGGCAGCAACTCGGTCTCAGGCTCGCGCCCGTCGACCTCCATCCCTTCGGCGCCTAGCTCACCCCCCTCCGCCGGTGCCGCATCTTCCAGAGGCTCTTGATCCTCTCTATCACCATCCGGTACGACCTCACCAACATCTTTGTTAGGGGCATTTTTCTTGGTCGAGTCATTGAGAGAAGGAGAGACTGAGCGGGATGAGGCGGGCGAGGCAGAATCACTGGGAGAGGGGTCCTCGATCACAACAGACCCGGCCATGATGGAGGAAGCCGCTGCGAGAGCGACCACAGGCGCGACCGCTGCAGGCGAGGGCGCGGTGACGTCAATGCCCATGAGGGCTGCGGCGCCGTTCATGATGTTATGAGTAGGCGTTGGAGTGACATGTTCTGAGTCGATGTCGACGGCGTCCCCGTCGGCTTCCACCTCAACGTCGTCTGGGCCGTCGCCAAGTTCGTCCGAAGCGGTTTCATCTCCGGAGTCTTCATCGTCTGGTGCAGCATCTTCAGAGGGTGCGCCGTCTTCGTCTTCATCTTCCTCGTCCTCAGTGAGATCGGCAGAGTTGTCCTTGATTGGGTCAAGCGACCTGTCGGGTACCAAGTCGTCGGCATCGGGATCTATATCTTCTTCGTTGGCGCTGTCGTTGGCAGCAAATCCTTCTTGATCAAGCGCACGCTCTGATTTGGACCGAGCGAGGATGGGCTGTTCGTCGACCTTGGCCATACGGACGTCTTCCTCGGACCCACCTGGGTACTGCGAGTGTGGTCTAGGCCCGCGTTGCAGGAGGGCACGGTCAACTTTGTGCCGAGCAAGGATGGGTGACTTGTCTCCTTCCGCAGCGTCCACGTCCTCTTCGGAATCGATGACATGGTGTGGGGCTGACTTGGCTCCACGGTGAGAGGACGTACCAGGCTGCTCGTCCTCGTCCTCTTCCTCCTCCTCCATGGCCCTCGGAGGGCCATCCTGTTCTTCTTCTTCTTCTTCCTCTTCGACAACCTTGCTCTTCACTTCTTTCTTCTGCTTGTAGGCCCAGTCCCACATCGGCTCTGGGACGAGGCTCCTGCGCTTCTTGTGCGCCCCGCGCGACGGCTGGCGAGGGCGGACCTCATCGTCTTCTGCAGCATCATCCTCGACGTTTTCTGCGTCCTGCTCTTCCTCGGTGAGCTCTGATAGCTCGGAACCTGTATCGAGGCCAGGATCCTTGACGGTCTTGTTGGGGGCGGTTGGAAGGGAGTGGCGTTCGTTCTGGGGCGGGGGAGTGGGAGAGGGAGAGCTGAGGGGATCTGAGGACGCCATTGATACTGGCATCGATGTCGCCTGGAGCGAGGGCGTCGTTGCATGCAACGGCGAGGAGTGGCGGCGAGGGTAGACGTGAACAACACAACGGCAGTCAACGGCTCGCTGTGACAGATCATCGTGTGATGACGTGACGCCGACTCTGTGACGTTCTTCGTGACAAATGACGAAAGCGTGATACCGCACAGGCTCTCCAGTCCCTCGACCTCCCTCGACTCGATCGCGGCTGGCAACATCCTCGGCGCGTTTGCGAACATGCGACAGTGCACATCCATGCATAATTTCAAACCCATCATACCCCATTATTCAAAACCCACCTTGAAGCCGCGTGCATAGACCGCTATCAAGCAGCAGGCTATATCGGGATGTGGGTCAGTCGAACTCATGATGTTATTTCTTGAGAATAGACGTTGAGAAGCGGGGTTCAAATATCGGCATTCGTGCATATATAAAGGCCGCAGAATGATTGACAGCACTTCTCATAATTACCCTCCGAGTTCGTACTCGACAATTTCTAACAAGCATGCCTAACCAAAAGAGTGCAATTAACATCGTCATGGTGCGCTTCTCGGAAAATTACAATAGTCCTACAACTAATGTTGTTGCAGGGCGCCATGACATTTGGCGCACCTGGAACAGAGGGTGCCCGCGTTCACGACCTGAAGGATGTCGAGGCCATCCTAGACGTGTTTCAGAAACACGGGCATATAGAGGTACGATTTCAGCCACTGTCTTGTATTACTCCTTCACAATTTCACGACCATTATTGTCATAGGTTGATACGGCTCGCACGTACTGCAGCGGTACGAGCGAAGAGTACCTCGGCAAAATCGACTGGAAGGGCCGTGGTCTCAAGATGGAGACCAAATTGTACCCGAACGTCGTAAGCTCGCAGTCACAATATGCATATTTCTAACTATTGTGCTCACTAGCGCGCATATATTTGTTGAAAATGCAGAGACCCGGCGTCGCGATCGATTCCACACGAGAAGCCATCTCGCACACGCCAGAGGCAAGCTTCCCTTGCACGTACACGCCCCGCACGCTCTCCCTCACAGCTGCATGGACCAGAGCTTGCGCAAGAACCTCGAACGCTCTCTGAAAGCTTTGAACACCGAGTAGGATATTATTCCATACCACACGCTGATTCCACAGGCTGATTTCGCTCAACGCAAGCTCACTGGAAATGTGGTACCTCCATGGGCCTGACCGGACCACACCATACGAAGTTACTCTGAAAACTGTCAACGACTTGCACAAAGAAGGCCTCTTCAAGCGGTTTGGCATCAGCAACTATGCGGCGTACGTCTCCCTGTTTACTTGCGCGTTCTAATTTCTCCAGGACCTTACATCCAGATGATCAGTTGGGAAGTTGCGGAGATCGTAGGAATTTGCCGTGCCAACGGCTATATACAACCGACTGCATACCAAGGAATCTACAATGCCATTCATCGGTGAGACGAATCGCACAATACTTGAAGACGTTTTGGTGTTGATACTTCCTATTCATAAACAAGTGGCGTGGAGCCCGAACTATTCCCCTGCTTGCGAAAATTTGGGATCAGTTTCTATGAGTTTAACCCTTGTAAGCATCGAATACACTCTTGCATATCGATAATATGGCAAACAGCGATTGCGCTAGTGGGCGGAGGCTTCTTCACAGGTCGATACACCTCCATTCAAGACCAAGTCGAAGAAGGCGCGCGCTTTGACCCCAACAGAGGTCAAGGAAAGGTGCGATGACAGCAGTGCCTCTTCTAACTCTTTAAAACGCTGACGTATCTCTCTCCGACCCCCTATTTCCTCAATTGCGCACCTGCAATAACCCGATCGTGCCCTGGTTTGGTGTCCAGAACTACCGCAGTAGGTACTGGAACGAGCCGTACTTCAAGGCGATCGAGTCTATCCGCGCCGTGGCGGATAAGCATGGGCTGACGATGGCCGAGATCGCGCTACGCTGGATCTCGCATCACAGCCTGCTGAAGCGTGCGCACGGCGACGCGATCCTCATCGGTGCGTCGAGCTTGAATCATATTGAGCAAAACCTCGTCGATTTGGAGAAGGGGCCGCTGCGTGAGTCTTTAAGGCAGATTCGCTCGTGTGAAGTACTGATTCTGCTTACTTGTCTTGCCGATAGCGGACGAAGTCGTGAGCGCTCTAGACGATGCGTGGTTCTCGGTCAAGCTGTATGCGACGAACTATTGGCACTGAGTATGGAGCCATGGTCAGATCTTTAATTGAATGTAGCGGCGAGACATGCATTTGTATCGAGAGAGAAAGCATTTTTATTTGGTTCTACTAGACTTTGAATGACGGAAAAATAAGAGCAGTCATGTTTCATCGAGCGCTTGAAACCATGAGTTCATCGTCTCAACAAGTCCGTGAATATGATCGAAATCCAGATCGGTTCGCCTATCTAATCAAATCTCACGCCTACTTCAGCCACACTCAATTACACCGAATTTCTGGCTTGTTCTTCTGCATACTCCATTCTACTCTCACAAAAGGCTACTTGGGTGATCGGTGACCGTGTGTTATATCAAAATCTCTGTGATATTTAAAGAAAGTATTCCACAGGCGCCGGGGCCCGCATCATGGTTGTGAGCCTTTTTTTTCAATATGCGCGTCCTGCCCCTTCACCTCATTCTGTTCCCAGAAAATATCAGTCCTCCAGCATGCCCCCTCTGCGCACCTTCCCGCACGTCTGGGAGACCCCACACCGACCCAGCGCAACCTAGACCCCAATATGCACCCGTTCTCGCGCGCGCGCGAGCGGACGCGTGCGCTGAACGCTGCGAAGATGGAACGCATGTTCGCGAAGCCGTTCATTGCCAGTCTGGAGGGCCACATGGATGCGGTCGAGGTGATGGTGCGGAAGCCTGACTCAGTGACAGACGTGGCGAGTGGGAGCTGGGATGGAGGTACGTGATATACGCCGTGTTTTCTTTCGACGTGCTTGTAGTGCAGCTGTTCAGCTCAGTTTTGCTTTGTTTTTGTTTTTCACCTTTCTAGAGATCATACTGTACAACTTGGCGCGGAGGACGCGGTTGGCCAAATTTCCCGGGGCACATAAGGGGAAGGTGTCTGGATTGTGCTTTGCTGACCAGACGAGAATACTGAGTTGCGGCATTGACCACAACATAAAAATGTGGGACATAAGACCGTCAGGGGATGACTTGACGGGGGCAGGGCCATCGGAGGCACGTTCACACCTGTCCTTATAATTTGGATCGACCTAATCTTGCGAGCGTTTAGCCAAAACCCTTGCATGTCTACCCAGGAAAAACATTATTCAAGTGAGCCTCTTTATTCATCTGCTACCTCACGGGAATAATGGTGCCCCTTCTAGTTCAATAGATCATCACCGTAACGATCCTCTGTTTGCGACCGCGTCCAACATCGTACAAATATGGGACGAAACCAAGTAGGTATCACGGTCAATGCCTGGCTTCGCGTGCGCTGACAACAATTCAGGAGCGCTCCCATCTCGAATCTCACTTTCCCCACATCCACCGAGACCATCACGAGCGTCCGCTTCAATGCCGCTGAACCATCCGTTCTAGCTAGCATAGGCTCGGATCGGACATTTACCCTGTACGACATTCGGACAGGAAAAGCAGAGCGCAGACTCGTCATGCAGGTTCGTTCAAGATTTTCTCTCGTCGAAAAAAATATTTTGAACATCTTCATCTTGCAGATGCGAAACAATTCGCTAGCTTGGTCACCGACATTTCCTACGTCTGTGCTTCTGGCCTCAGAGGACCACAATCTCTACACCTTCGACATTCGGTCAATGGAAACGCCAACGCAAATATACAAGGCCCATGTGGCGGCAGTTATGAGTTGCGATTGGAGTCCGACAGGGCAAGAATTTGTTAGTGGAGGATGGGATCGGACAGTGCGAATTTGGAAGGAGGGACATGGTTCCGCTCCTGAGGTATATCATACCAAACGCATGCAAAGGTGCGTTTAGCTCTAAAAAAAGTGTGTATCTGATGGCTGACCGGCTGGATGCAGAGTGCTGTCGACGGTGTTCACCGCAGATGCGCGTTTCGTGCTGTCTGGTTCTGACGACGGCAACGTTCGCGTCTGGAAATCCAATGCGTCCGAGAAACTCGGCATCATCACCGCGAGAGAACGTGCAGCGATCGAATATCGCGACACCCTCAAAGAGCGATGGAAGATGGACACGCAGATCGGAAAAGTGCAGCGGTGCGTTTGCGAACCATCCGTAGCTGCCTTGCGGTCTTTTCTCACTCGGATCTCGATTGCAGAAGCCGGCACATCCCGAAGCCGGTGTACAAGGCTGCGGCCCTCAAGCGTACGATGCTGGAGGCTCAGCGTGTCAAGGAGGAGCGCAGGCGAAAGCACACGCGGGCAGGGGACAACAAGCCAAAGGCAGAGAGAAAGAAGGTTGTCATTGCGGAGCAGACATGAGCTTGCCTGCGTGCGTTATACTTTCTGTCCGCGCCTGCCTACATTACCCATCGAGGCGGGAAACTGCCTGTATACTCTATCCGAGGACAATCAAGAGGGCGAGGAGCAAGTACACTGCATAAACTCGTCCCAGCGTGCAGATGGTACGCGAATCAACAAGGGAATATATATTCAAACACTATGGATAAACGCGTTCGACAGGCATGCCGCTGCTAGCTGCTCACTCGCCAGCTCAATGTCGTCCTTGAAAGAGCCATCAGGTTTGCTAGATAGGGCATTCCAATCACCGATACATCCGTTTCGACATTGCCAATGCAGGAGACTTGAGTTCCACGAACGAACAAGGCTGACCACAAAAAGAGCGTATACCACTTTGGTCTCGTTCATATTTCAAAGATGACTGTTGGGTTGAGCACAGTACATCAATTGAGAGCAAGAGGCTGGCGATTTCAGGCCATCCACGCTAAGTAGAATTCATTTGACCCCAACAAAGTCCTGACAAGCCAGCAGGAGAGAGAACAAAGTCATTCGCAAGATAAGACCGAAGTGCGTATTCGTAGATATTTTGGCGCAGAAGGTCGGAGTGAGCTTTCTTATTCTGAGAGCAACCGGTTAGATCTATGATGAAATATTGGAAGCCCGTAGTGCGGCTGAACCGATCCGCGCACGTGCCATACTCCTGTCACCCGAGCGTGGCGCCTTGGGCCTTTGCCTGTCTCAACTTTCCATCATCCCACCCCTCTGCTCACTACTATCATCAATGGCGACCGACTCGGAGGGTGATTTTTCTGACGAGCTGCTGGAACTCGCTGGTGCATCGGAAAAGAAGCGAAAGCGACGTCAGACGAAGAGTTCTAGATCGAAACGACGCAAGCCAGAGTGCGTTGCTTTGTCTTCCGTTCTCACTTCAAAACATTACAGAGTATTTTCTTAGTGTTGCACTTGATACATCTGAAGATGAACCAGAAAGCGAAGAAGAGATCGAGGATCTCAATCCCTATCCATTTGACGGGAAGTATATCGATGAGGCTGACCGTCAGAAGTGTGTAATAGCGTTTGCCCTCATATCCTTGTCTGAGCTGACGACTCCACCGGTCAAGTCTATTAAGCATGCCAGAAATTGAGCGCGAGGAGGTTCTTGCTCAGCGCCTTGAAGAGATGCAGAGGATACAAGACAAGCGGAATCTCATCCAAATGCTCAAAGCACAGAAGTCTGGTGACGGGGATACTGTGTCCAAAGCCGCAAAACGTGCACACATTCCCATTTGCTCAGAGTATCTTCTCACTTCCTTCTCTTCTTAGGGCATCATGCCGTCCGAGGCGCCACGAAAGAAAAGTCATCAAAGTTGGATGAGTTGAAAGCGAAGCGGAAAGCGAAAGATGAGAAGAAACGTGTACGTTTCGATCATGCATCGCAAGAATCTGCTCTGACCTCTTCCAGTTCCACATGTCCCCAAAACGCGAACATTCAGCGTCCTCGATGGAAATGGAGACGGATTCTGCAGAAGAAGAGGATGGCCAAATCAGCAAGTTAGAGGAAGAGGAAGAGAAAGAGAGGAAACTCCTGAACAGGGCTCATCCAGATGAAGATCGTGTGACATTGCAAGATCTTGAGAAGGTTCGATTATCTCGCGACATGCTCGCAAAACACTACTTGTCGCCATGGTTTGAAGAATATGTCAAAGGTGAGACATACCCTACGATCGAGATCCCAACTTCAAACCTCATTTGTAGGTGCATGGGTACGGTACCTCATTGGTGTTGATGACGGACAGCCAGTATATCGCATATGCGAGATACAAAGTATGCTCAGCACTGCTTTCGTCTTGGCTGCCTACTCATATCACGCAGGCTTATCCATCGATTCCATCAAACCATACAAGATAAATGAACAGATTGCCAATCAAACTGTCGACCTCAAACATGGCCAGTCCTTGAGAGCATTTCCTATGGACAAAGTCTCCAATGCCATGTTCACACAGGTTGGTTCCGAAACGTACTTCTTGTGATTGAGCCTTCTTCTGAAGTGGCTTTAGCGAGAGTTTGACCGCTTGATGATGGTCTATGAGCATGACCGCCTCAAGATGCCTGGAAAGCGACAGATTGAGAAAAAGAATGCGCAGCTCATCAAGTTGGTCAGCCAGCCACTAACAGAGGTTTGTGCAGTTCGTGGTGAGTCACTCACGCGTCACTGAGCCGCTCATGATAGAGCGACATAACGGCGATGCTTGCTCGCAAAAGCCAAATACAAAACCACAAACAGTCCGGAGTATCTTTTACGATGGAGAAATCACGGCTAATTCAAGCTCGGACGCTTGCCCTGAGGCGAAACGACAGAGCGGAGGTCGGAAATATCGATGTACAGCTGAGAGAGTTGGCTGATCGCGCTGCCGTGCATAATGGCCAGACGGGGCCAGAGGACGAGCCCGACGATATTTTAGCAAAGGTAAATGAACGCAACCGAAAAGCTAATATGGAGGCTGTGCGGAAAGCGGAGCTCTTGGAGGCTGAACGCAAGCGGAAAGAGCGGAAGTTGGCCCGGAGCGGGGCTGGGACGCCTGTGCCTGCGGATCCAAGTGCTCGACTTCGAACCGTCCCGCGGATGTATGCTTCCAGGTTTGTGATCGCTTATTCACGCTCGTTTCGAAACGCCCATGGCTTCTCTTTTGTGCGAACAAAAACATGCGTAGGCCAAGCACACCTCATGCAAACGGAACGCCTTCCCTTGGTGCCCGAGCTGCCACTTCGGGCTCTGTGTCTCCTCTACCTCCCTCTACTCTATCGAGCGGTGTGAGCGTATCTAAGGGTACGCCGAAGAAAGACTTCGAGTCGCAAGTCTTGGAGTCAATAGAACTTGACCTCAGGGATTTCTGATTTCTGTCTTGTCGTTGTTATACTATGACATCTCGTACTTATAGCTTGGCTCCATCTTCAAGCTGTCCAAAGTTTCGGCTCCCTTTGGGCTACATGCTGCAATGTACATATATATTTGGAATTACCCGTCTCCTGCTCTATCTCACCACGACGCGTGGACGATACGGAATAATGACGTTGGCGCCGTTCTCGCCGAGTAACTGGTATGTACTTGGATTCGCCCATTTCCAAACAACGATTGACTCTCAGGAATACCTGCGGTTGACCACTGATTCAACGGTGGCTTTGCATAGGCCAGAATGAACTCGTACTAATGGTCTTTGGCCAACGCTTTGCCGTCGAATCCATCAAACTTCGCTCTGGCCATCGACTGCTTTTTCTAAGCTTGTTCAGTCATTGTGGCGTTTTATTGCTCTCTAACGCTGACATATGGCCGTTACAGCTGCAACCGAGGGCCTTTGTTGTTATGGACTCATCGGTGCAAAGGCCTTTTGCCGTCATCGCTGTCAAAGTTTGCCATGGAACCGTGATTGCCACAATCCTTGCACCGGTCTTAAAGCCAACATCCACCAATGTGCACGCCTATATCAGAGCTTCAATCTCTCCCCATACCATTGATCATCGCCTCATACCATGCCCACCAAAGTTTCAGATTCCAGCGTTGCGCTACCATGCGATCGTAAGACGTTGCAGTCGATCGCATCTGCTCTCAAACAACGTACGCACCCTATCTCCTCGTCTGCCACCCCAGCATTCACATGCATCACTGGGTTTCGTTGACCGTAGGTGCAGTCAAAATACATGACGAGAAATACAACTACCTTCAAGTGAGTCGCTATATTAAAATGTTCGTAAATCTGATTGATCGAGAAACCCTCCGCCATCACAGGAAGGCAGTGTGATAAAGATCCGAAGGTTCAAGAGTAATTTTGGTCGGAGAAGTCAATGGCGGCAGTGGAAGGAGGCCCAGATAGTGGCCGTTGGGCATCAGTTTACGCTAGTGCGTCCATTCCATTTCAAATCTGGATCTATCTTTGATTCGCTCGCCTGAATCAACAGCTCGACCTCGACATAGTTTGGTACGAGACTATATTGACTGAGCCTCAGCTAAACATCAGCACTTTGTCGTGTCTGCTGAGAGCCTGAACGACCTGGTGAGACTTGCCGCAGGCCTTCAGAGCTCTTCAGATCATCAGATAAGTGCCGATAGGGCTTCAGAGTTTTCATGGTCTTCAGGACAATGTGAAGATCGTTTCTGAATCATCAGAGGTCTCATATATGCCAGGGCTACCAGCCAGTGCGGCATTCAGAGGTTCCGACACCTCAAAGTTTCAGACCGATCGAACTTCAGGACTTCCGACAGTGCAGAGGTTCAGATCTGAAGTATGAGAGCCTACATTATACTAGACTCATGTGCATGGTAATCTACATAGGAGTTTACATAGAATTCTTTGAATGTGTCTAACGAGTAAGAAAAATGAAAGTCGAGAGGAATGGGTGTCGTGCCATACACCCCGATCAGCTGGCAAGCACGGAAGATAGTGTCAACATGGACAATGCCGATACTTCTTTGTCCATTCAACTTCTCTGGCTTCACAATCCACATCCCAGTCAGTCGATCCGGTTCGTTGTCCTTCGGTACAAACCAATTCACTATAGCACATGGATATCGCACACCCTGATGAATGAATGAAACGAAGCGGAGCACACGCGCAACAAGCATACCCCGCATGAGATCATCTTCAGGGCCGACCTGGACAAGAACGGTGTCGCGGCGCTCGTCTTTCCCATACCATCGTGGTGTGCTCCGAACTGTCTCACGGCGCATACCCCCAATGCCTGCGAGCTCCGTGGGGCAATAGAAAGTGATGGTGGCAGAATGGTATATCGACAATCGTCCCTTAAAGCGAGGCAAGTCATCTGCAGAGATATCGTCTGCGGTGATGTCATGCTCGCCATGTCCGTAGAGTTGCTCGAATAAGAAGTGTTGCATTAATGTTTTCAATTCGGGGCCTGTGCGGCCAAGTTCCTGCGCGAGGTCATAGATCATCTTGGTGTGTGCTGCTCAAGAGGATCTCGACTTAGAAATGATTTTCGGCATGAGGAGCAAGAGCTGACCTGATTTCAAAGCAAGTTTTACCATCGACTGGGTATGTGGCCCATCGACATCCTCTGCATCTCGTAAATCACTGTATCTTGCATCTTCGGCATCTTCAATATCTTCTTCGGCGCGCAAACCAGCTTCTCGATAAGCATCTGAAAGTACATCTCCATCAAGCATCCCACGGCGTGTGAATTCCGTTCGTGCCGCTGCTAGCTGACTATTTCGGGTGTTGATACGGAGGATCTGGCCGAGGGGCATATGCTTATTTGTCCGGCGCCACGGTTTCTTGACGGCTTCAATATGTTTTGACTCGGTGATTGAGGATGAAAGTCCATTAGGGGAGCCATACTGTTTGATCCTTGTAACATAATGTACGAGTGAATGCTGACGCGGGGGGAAAAACCCATCCGGCCGGATGCCAGACTCCTGAAATATGACACGGTAGTGATGAAACCGGGTAAGTGCATGGTCCATAGCATTGAGGGTGGTTGTCGTGTGCGCGGAATGCCGTGCACGGTAACAGAAGTCAAGAAATGCCGCGACTGATTGAACCATGGCATCAGGCACATATCCGACAATTGCAGGAAGAAAGACCTGTAACTTATGTTATCAAATTTCTAAGTCAGCCATCTTATCAAAGCGTACCTTCATGAGCGCCTTTGAATCGTTGCCAGTCCATTGTTTGAAATTGCGTCCTTCAGGGAATCGTCGAAGGCCAGGGAAGGCAGGGACTACGGCAATCCTACGCAGCAATTATCAGTCTGGGCTAGTGTTGAATCCATATATAAAAACATACCTGCGATCAATATCGTCAAGGATCTTCTTTGCCTCTGTCGATCCATGTGTCAACTCGAGGTAGTCCTGGATCCACGTCACGAGATGATCTTTGAAAGTTCCTTTGATGAGTTGATGAAGTAAATCCGGAGTGATCAGTTCATAGATATCGGCACGAGGGAAAAAATCTGTGAATGGCTAGTGCAGGAATGTTAAGTGACAAATGAAATAATAGATTCTTAATACTCACGATGACATTCTCAACGACGCCATAAGTGTACCATAGGGTTTCAGAATCAAAAGTCTCTCGGAGCTGATGGGTATGTGCGTGAAAGCGCGGGTCTCCGGCATCATCAAAAGCGCCCCTATGCGGTTGCGCAAGACATCTGATTGTGAAATGCTTAGTTCGAGATAAGAGCACATGGAGATTATAAACTCACCCCGGACACCATCCTTGCACAATTCCAGCCAACACGACTTGCTCGGGATAGTCGGCAATGAACGGCCCGATTTCATAGATTGCGCGCCGAAAGTGCCCATCTGGGCAGCGCAAGACAACTGGGCTTGTCATTCCATCCCGCAATGGGCTGAGTATGTGTGCAATCGATGCATGGTAGAGCTGCTTGCGAAAAAGGCGGTATTCATTATCTTCTGTGAATTGTCGACAAGCTTTTGTATGTCAGCAAAAGTGAGATAGCGAAAGGAGATACATACTCTTAGGGATTGACAAAAATGATAAAGGAATCAAGCCACATCCGTGAGCACGCCGCGCAGAGTTGTCTAGATTCCCAACTGAGATATAGAGCGGGTGAAATTCTGTGTTGCCTGTGCCGACGGATACTGTCGTTTTGTCTGCACCGAGTACAATGGGCACCAGCATCGCGCCGTGGGTTCCCGGATCTTCTGCAATCACATCCTAGCAAAGAATATCAGGAAATGTACTCAAGAGAAAGGAATCTACTGACTGATTTCTTCCAGGCCCATCGACCGGACATTAGGTTCGAAAACCTCTGCTCATGAGGACCAACAAACTCCTCAAATGCGGTATAGTCGAATTTTCCATCGAATGTTGGGTTATTCACAATACGAGCGACAACATCGCTTGCGTTTCGAGTGTGAATTACATATGTTTCTGTCTTCCATGAAGGAGAGTGTTTGTCGACTGGGCCTGCATATTTGATTCCGAACGAGTGCCACGGTAAGTCGCCGAATGGGATGCTGTCGATAGTATTATACATATCCCGTGCACTCGCAAATATATTCTCACCGGCATTATCCAGCACATTCTTAGCCGCGAGAATGTTGAAGAGTTCGTTGATGCTGCCGATAGACGCACGCATCTTCTCAAATAGGAGGCTTGCGCATTCAAATGTTGGTCGGTCAGGGAAGGGTGTCCAGTCAACAGATTCATGATCTGGCGGTTCAGGGGATGCATTACGTGGCACAAAATTGCCACCACTGTTGCAGGGCCTTGCTGACAGGCAGAAAGGATATCAGAATGAGCTTCATTTATTAATAAAAGATGTACCATCAAGCTTGCTGTGATAGCGGAATGTCGAGCGAGGGACTTCCGGGCCCTTGAAATGCCAGTGGTGTGCAACGAGATGCTTTTTGAGACCAGCGTGTTTACGGAAGGAACGGTTGCAGGGGTCACAAAAAAAGTTCATATTGATGAAGATGATACAAGGTTTACTTTGAAGAGGAGAGGGAGGGGGGGATAGGGATGACGGATTTGACCGTGAAAGGTGCAACGATATACTAGGGTTGGGGTTCAGCAAACAGTCGCTAGCGTGGAGGTAAACATTAATTCCGTCGCCAATTAGCGCATATGCGCGTCCACGTTGCACTGAGCAACTCATCTCTTCCAAGTCATCTCATCCTCTTCTCCAGGCAGCACTGCGATTTTCCTCATGGTTTCGGCTACAGCAAAACAAACATGGACGTCAGCTTCGACTAATCAATCCCAAGAGAGAGCTTCGCATACCATAATCGACGAGGATAATGCAATCAGCTTGACTGCGCAGTACGTTGAATATACATCACCTTGAACAAATACTGTTGGCTGACATCCGAACTCAAGTTCTTCCTCATCGAAGAAGAAAGAACTGAGCGCTTCGCCTGTCGTTAGAAAGGAGTCGGTGTCAACGTGAGGCCTATGACTCATATGCCCTAGAGTCTAATGCTGTACTCACCGGCACTGAACAGACGGCAGGTCTCTGAAAATCGGCAATCAGGCAACCCCCAAGCGAACAAGGAGACACTGAGCAGATGGCAGGTCCCTGCAGATCGGCAATCAGGCGACTTCCAAGCAAAGGAGGGGCATCATGTGGACAAACCAATGCGCCGTAGTCAACGGTCAATCAACCCACACCCCGCAAATAGTGCTGGGTTGTTCAAACGTACCCGAGCTGAGGTTGCAAAGAGCGCACAGGCCAAGCGCTCTGCAAAGGCCAGCGTTGTACAAGCTAAGTCCCAGTCTACAGAGGCAGCAAAGAAGTCTGAGGCTGAAGGGATAAAGAAGTTGGCTCAGCTTGAGGATCAGAGACGTCGAGAGGATCGCGCTGAAGAAGCTTATCTCAATGCTTCAGTAGACGAGAGAGACAGGAACGAAGACATACCGGCGACAGATGGATTGGTTGAAGCTAATAACTTGACAGCTATGGATGTTGATGATAGTATTCATGACAGGAAGATCTCGTACCAGAGGCACATTCACGAAGATGAAGAGGACGGCGGCATCGTCAGCGACGATATGGATGTGATGGATGGCTCGACCAAGTCACCTGCCAGTTCAAAAAAGGTAAGTGCCTGATGATCTTATCTGATCACAGCTTATCTTCTTCCCGCTCATCAGCACCGTACTCAAGCAGAAAAGCGCAAGGCAAGGGCAGCAGAGGTCCGCCTATCAGTATCTGCTGTACGAGAAGTAGCGCGAGCCCCGAAACGAACCTTATTGTAAGTATCTATCTGTGATCTCTCCAAGTTTCAACTCATCTATCGTCTACTAGGACTGCGGAATTGTCCAATTTGTCCGCACCAGCAAGAAAGAAGAGTAAGGGAGCACAACATTCTGCTCTCGAGGCAGACTGGCGCGAGAAGGTGTCTTCTAAGCTGAAGGGTCATACCGCTACGTCCCCTTCACTTCATTCGAAGACACCCTCCTGCATGCTGCTTCCCTCTACCCTCATCCAACAAGCTCGCCGAACTCCGTCCGTTCCCCAGGCTACAATTCGCCGCATCAAGCCTCGAATCTCTCGTTCAGAAGAGAGAAATATCGACTCTGAGGAGGGGAGTCCGGATTCAGACATAGAAGGGGGATTTACGGATGTCAATGTTGCTACACCTAAGGAGGATGCCATGAAGGCAAAAGCGTCTACTCGTAAGCTGGTACGTTCCACCAACACTTTGATTCGAATTGTATAATGTAATCCCCCTTCTTCTGCACCTTCTCTGAAATAGAACACGGTCGTTGTCGCACTGAATGAGGACGAAACACCCGTAGACATGAATGCCTTGCGTCGGCCACGATCTCAAGTCGGTCCAGCAAAGTCACTCTCGAAATCACAGCTTCCTGAGTGGGCGAAGAAACACTGGGACTCCAAAATCATTCCGACTCTTCTTGACTTCTACGGCATTCAAGACGACCCCTGGAATCTTGACGGCGACGATGGCGTGACGCTTTTCCGTACAGCCCTTCAGCAAACCATCAACTTAGTTTGTCCTGGTATCAAGTACACACCGATGCCGGTCCGCGATAAAGTCTATCTCATTGTAAGTCACCACTTTCTCTCCCTTTTGATGCACAATAATCTCCAGAACTACCGTTAGGCACGCCAGGCCGTCTATGATTGGCATCGCAGGTTTCAAACGAAGGCCATCCAGGCAGTGAAGTCTACTGTCGCTTCTTTGGGCAATAAGAACACTGTGAAGGCTTTTGTCCAGAAGGCTTTACAGCCCAAATACGGGGCTGCGTACTGGGCTACGCCAGATCCCGAGGTGCGTGTAATTTTTCTCTATTTGAGTCCTGCTCATGCTCTGCACAGCGCCCCGAGGGTGCAATGCAATCAATCTATATTGTGAAGGTTCTAGCAATGCACGTCAAATCGACGCAGGGGTCTATTTTCACACAGAAGTATTACCCTGTCGGGTCGCTCTGTCTTGCTGTACTGGCCGTGAGTGTGCTGTTCTTGTCAATTGGTTTATATTCATAGCTTTTCAGGTTAAACGCGCGTTTTTAGCGTATTCCACTGGTTCCTTCAAGCCTTTAAACACGAGCTTCTCAGAGGAACACTGTGGAACAAAGACACAGGACTTGCGGCAGGGACTCACGATTCGGACCTTCCTCAAGAAACCACACCGACAGGACGAGCTGGCTGAACGAATCAGCCGTTATTTGGCAAACGGCGATGACATTGAGGATCGGGGCTTTGACGACGACGAAAACGCGATCGTTGACCGTAGCAGCCCCCCTCCAAGTAACGATGAGCACGATCTATTGGATGACGACAGACTTAATGACAGCGACGATCGGTATGCCGAAGATGATGGTATGAATAATGATTATGAGGACAATGAGGATTGTCTCGATCGCACTCAGTGTGGTGAGACTGACGAGGATGATTACGATGACGCTTGATGTTCTACCCACCTCTTTCGAGATTCGGTGAGTGATTCTCCTGCATATACATCATTGCATTCATTGATATCTCAATAGCTAGGTTCTTGATTGTTTGCTGGAGCAAAGGAGGTGCAGCGAGACGCCGGTGGTTTTCCCTCTGCTGTATCTCAATTCTTCAGCTTATAATACGTGCATTTCTCGTGCTTATTTCTCGCGCTTCGCATCCATTTGAAAGCTAACCTGACAACTCTGCCCCCTGTATGGTCTGTCTGCTCTGATGTGCTTTCCGATGACTTGTAATCTGAGGGTCTGATACTTTGATGGTCTGATGTGATCAAACAGTCTGACAGAAAGATACTCTGATATTCTGACAACCTCTGAATGTGACGAAACAGCTGAACATCTAAGCTACTGGCAGTCTGACGTGACTTGCCGCGCTGAAAATGACTAGTGATGCTGAAAGTGACTGGTTGCGCTGAGACGGCTGAAATTGAAGTACCTGAATGACCTGCAAACCCCAAATTAGGATACCTGTAGACTGGGTGTCTGAAACTCGCCTGAAACCCTGAAATGCCCTATTTCAGGGCGTTTCAGGGCGTTTCAGGGGACTTCCCAACTTACTGATGAAGTCGAATCCCCGCCTGCTCGTCTATCCCGTTTTAGATGAGGCTTGGGCTGATAGAGAGTGTGCTGAACCGTTATGCACCCCTTGGGACGTGGCCGGACGAGTGCTTGACATTGTAAGTGAACCATTCACTACGGCTTATTAACATCTTCTGACCGCTTGTTATGTTCGACAGTTATCATGCCTGGTGCCAGTTGAAATGACACGCGGGGAATGGGAATGGACGCCGGCAAAGATCGTGGTACGTATCATCTTGACACCCCATAAATATTATCTTGAAACTGATATGTTGTTTTTCTGTTCAGAACGATGTCGCAGATCTTATGAAGCCGTTGATGGTGAATTTCTTTGAAGGCACTCGGGCAGCAAAGAAATATTGGAGAGTGGGGGAAAAGGTAGGTTTTCCCGCAATATGCGCTGTGGCACTCAACAAAGATGCAATCAGTGTTCTTCGGAGACATGGGCAGCTTGTCTCTGAAGTAGCTGATCGCATATGTGAGGCGCAGTAGCGTACGACGGGGTTTGAATTGCGTTGGTGCATGTGTGGGCGCCCACAATGCGCAGAGATAGCATCAGACTGATTCTACGGAGCTGGCTTGATTGTAGGATTGTGGCCTCGTAGTTGAGCCCGCCGCTGAGTTGTCTGTGCATACACACTCCTTCCGCCCGTCGTCGACACCAATACTCAGCGGCTTCGCTGTAGTAAAAATAAAAATGAGCGTGGCATTGGCGATTTTCAGAAACAGCTAATCACAAGGGTGATTGGGAAATATTCTCATTGTATTCTCAAGCGCTCGAGCGTATGCCATGGCTCCTCATTGTGTGTCTAGTGGACGACAAAATTCAACACAAAACAACCGGCCGATGTCCCCGGGGGCTCTAAAGTGGTAATTAGCTGGCAGGTCGGCCCCGGGTCACCGTGCTTGCAGCCAGGCACAGCGCTGCAGCCGCGTCGGAAACTCCGCTGAGCGCGTCTGCGTGGGCCTCTACTACTCGCATCCACCGTGTTCTTTCCGTCGTAAATATCCTTGCGTTGTATCAGTAACCGACCTATCTCGCTACTCGACTGGAAAGCAGGCATCTCGTCCGACACGCTGCGCAATTTACATGGCGACTTACTTCTTCGCGTCACCGGTGGACGTCGACGTGAGACTGGAGGGGGAGGATATTAGGAAGAAAGTGGATGTCAAGGGCGAGAAGGACCGCATCGTCTCGTGCCCTGTGTACTACGACGGAGACGCCGTCACAGGCCAGGTGCGTCTCCCTGCCCCGTCTCGATTGTGCACAGCCCGATGTACGCTTCCTGCCCCAGGTCACAGTTAGAGTGCGTGACGGCAAGAAGATAGTGCACGACGGGATTAAGGTCGAGTTTGTGGGGAATATCGGTGAGCCGGGAAGCCGTCGGCTGGGACGAGCGTCGTGGGCGCTGACCGACGACGGGTAGAGTTGTTCTATGATCGGGGCCATCACCAGGAGTTTCTTTCGCTTTCGCAGGAGCTCGCGGCGCCGGGCGAGCTGCGCCAAGCCCAGACGTTCGACTTTTTGTTCAAGAATGTCGAGAAACAGTATGAGAGCTACCAGGGAATCAACGTCAAGCTGCGGTGCGTCGTGCATCTCTCCCCTGCTCAGAGTCTATCGCTGACCGACGGGGTGTTTGGTGCGCAGGTACTTTGTGCGGGTCACAATATCGCGGAGGATGGCCGACGTCACGAAGGACAAGGACATATGGGTCCATTCCTTCCGCATGCCTCCAGATAGCAATAATTCCATCAAAATGGAGGTTGGGATCGAAGACTGCCTGCACATCGAGTTCGAGTACAACAAGTCCAAGCGCGTACCTGCATCGCCTTCTTTTTGCTGTGCTGACCTTTGGTAGTGCAGATATCACTTGAAGGACGTCATCGTCGGCAAGATCTACTTTCTGCTCGTCCGCATAAAGATCAAGCACATGGAGCTGTCGATCATACGGAGGGAGACGACGGGCTCGCCGCCGAATCAATACAACGAGAGCGAGACCATCACCAAATTTGAGATCATGGACGGCGCACCCGTGCGAGGTATATTCCTTCTGCAAAACTCCTACCGGACACCCCAATATTCATTGTCTTCCAGGAGAGACGATTCCGATCCGGTTGTTCCTCGGCGGATTCGACCTCACGCCGACGTTCCGTGATGTCAACAAGAAGTTCAGCACGCGGTACTACCTGAACCTCGTCCTCGTCGACGAAGAGAATCGACGCTACTTCAAACAGCAGGAAATCACCATCTTCAGGATACCAGAGGTTCGCGATTCCACTGACTGTCCATTCTTCATCTTGCTCATCAGCCACTCGTGTGCCCAGAATTGATCTTGCATTGTCGTCTCCCTCTCTTGTCTTTGACCTTTGTACTTACTATACATACGTATTTTATTCAGACTACGTTATATGCAGGCTTCCAGCGTGACGACAGTAAGACGCGTAACGGTCTATTCACCCGTGGATAGTGTACTGACAAACAGAGGGCTGTATATAAAATGGATAATAAAAGTTACATAAAAACACGATGGCACCGTCCAGTCGGCCGTCGCCAGCCTTCTGTGTACGCACGCATGAAAACAAGATCAACTTAATTCAATGCGAAAAAGAATCAAAAATGTCCCGGACCCGCGAAAGAAAACAAAAAAACCCCTCACGCCGTCACCGCCCGTCCGCTTCGATAAAGCTCCTCCGCACGTACTCCTGATCCTCCTTCCCGAGCACCCCCGAATCCTGCCTCGTCAGCGCCGCCCCGGCAGGTGCGCGCGCCGCGTCGGAGCCCGTCCTGCTCTTCACCAGCACCGACCTCCCCGACCTAGACGACTTGCCCGACCTGCCGGACCGCGCCGTCGCCGCCGACGCGCGGCGGCTCGCGCGCTCGACTGCATCCACGGGGAGCTCCTCCACCGTCGGCGCGACGCTGTCCCGCGAGAACGACACGCTCGTCGGCGTCGGCGTGCGCCGCCGCGGCGCGCGCCCGATGCTCTTGATCCGCGTCCGCGGGGGCGCCAGCGCGCCGAGCACGGACTCGCCGCGCGCGTATTCACCAGGCGGCGACGCGATGCTCGATGGCGCGACGGCCGAGTAGGGCACGGACAGCGAGTTGCGCCACGCGGTCTCCGTCTCGTCCGCGAGCTCCGTGTTGATGAGCCACGGGATCTCCATCTCCGTCGAGCCCGCGCTCGTCAGCGCGCGGTCGCTCGCGGTGATGGGCGTAGGGTCGGTGGGCGGCCCGCGCCGGTACGCCTCGACGTCGGGAGGGGAGGCGGGCCCTGCGGAGCCCCCCGGGGACATCCACTGCCCGGAGTGGATGCTCTCCGGCAGCGTCAGGGCCGCGGAGGCGCGCGGATCGCGGTCAAACTCGGCCGGGCCGCGATACGGCGCAAATTCGCTCCCGAAAAGGGTGTCCGGGGGCGAGATCGGGTAGGCGGAGGCTTCGATGCCTGCGCGCGGTGGCGGCACCTCTAGTGGCGGCAGCATGGACGCGCGGATGACTGGGGGAGGCTTGCGTTTGGCGGAGCCAGTGCCGCGTGAGACTGAGCCGGTGCTCTTCCCGCTGTTGTCGCGCTCGAGGCTGCGCGCGGTGTCGGCACGCTCCTCTAGGACGCTGCCGTACGCGTTGTCGTAGCCGTAGCCGTACGCGGCGCCGTCGTAGCGCGGCGCAGCGCGGGTCGTGACGCGCGGCGGGATGCTCGAGAAGCGTGAGGACAGGTCCTGCACGACGTCGAGCGAGTCAGACGCGAGGCTGCTCGCCGACATGACGCGCGCGCGCCCCGCATACGCGTTGCTGCGCATGTACCGCGGGAGCTCCTGCGCCAAGGGCCGCGCACGACTCCGCGCCGCGTCCGCCGCGCTCGTGCTCCAGTTGCGCGTCACGGACGGCACGGGGAAGACGGGGCCGTACCCGGACCCGCGGGCGGCGGAGATGCGGCGCGCGAGGAGCGGAAGGGGCGCGCTAGCGACGGACTTGGCGACGTGCGAGACCTTGGTGTCCATGCTGGATCCGACAGACATCGGCGGGGACTTGGGATCCTCTCGTTCGAGCTCCAGAGCCGTGTGGCCCATGATCGTCGAGGGCGAGGGAAGGTCGGTGTCGGAAAGACGGAGGATGAGTGTCGGTGCGCGGTTGTGCCGCTGGAAGACTGTGACACGTTGTCCCTGCGGCATCAGCGTGAGCGGATGCGGCCGTGGGCGTGCGAAAGCCGCAGATGCGTTGGGAATAATTGTAGGCAATGGCGGTGCGTTGTCGAGGGGGAAGCGCGCGCCAAGCGAGGAGGGCGTCATGGGGTTGAAGGGCTGCTTGAGTCCAAATGTGGAGAAAGTCGCGATAGGCTGGAAAGACGAAGGGTTCGTGGACGTGTGCGAGTTGCGTTGGCGGGTGTCGCCCGCCGCCACGGGTCCTGATATCGTGATGAACCGCGTCGAGCGATGTTTCTCTCGTCCGCCCCGCAGTTCCGCATCGAGCATTTGGAAGTTTTCCAGCGTATCCGGTCTATATAAATAGAATCAACACGTACGGCGACTTTTGCGGTGCGGGAAAGACTTGCCCTCGGACCACACCGATAATGAGACACGCCCTACCGAGCATCCTGAGTAGCCGACGCAAGAAGAAAATGCCAAAGTCGCCCTGTGCAAACCCGATGACGCTCTCGATCGCCCCGAGCTTTACGCCGACGGCGATCCAGCCTGTTCCGCGGAAGAGGTAAGACACCTGCGAGGTACCTGAGGAGGCTTCGATGGTTCGTTGGCCGAGGAAGGCGCGAGCGAGGCGAACGAATGCTACCGCAAACGTAGCGAGTTGGTATACTGTCATGAGAGCGAGAGAGAGGCTGTTGAAGAAGACGCGGACGAATTGAATGGTGGGGTCATTAGAGCCGATGGCGGGCTGGGCCTTTGACGACCCCGGAAAGTTGACAAGCCCTGATACACGTCAATAACAGACTATGCCCAGTGGGTGTGGATAGCTTGAGAGCTCACGATATGTGTTGCCAATGAAGGAGCCGATTTCGTTGGTGGCGACGATGAATGGAATGATTACGAGGGAGAAGAGAATGGCGAAGGTGCGAAAGCGTCGAGGAAAGCTGGGGAAGAACTCGGCGCGCTTGAAGGAATAAAGAAAGGAAGTATAGAGGAGAATGGGGAGAAAGGAGGCGGCCGCTGAGCAGCCACGCGATCAGAGGGGTCGAGGGGTGCACGGGATGCGACGCACCGATGAGAATGTCAAGTGCTCTGAAGGCAGCGAGGGAGTCGGCGAGCGCGGGGATGAGATGGGACAGGAGGTCCAGGAGACAGAGGAGGAAGTAGATCGGGCCCTCCGCCGCCAAAAGGAACCGTCGCCTGTGATCGGCTCATCAGACATTATGTCGGCTGCGAGATCGGCGTGCGTGGACACAACGTCCGCTTTGGGAACGTTGGTCCAATGTGCCTCCGAGGCGCGAGCAGCACTCGTCAGACATGCAGCCCGCCCTCCAGACCGCTCCGCAGCGCACCGACAACAGAAGCAGACACTCACCTGCCCGCACCCCATCCTGCAAACACCAAGCCCAGGGAAAACACGACCTCGAGGGCCGGAGGGATCAGAAGGAGGCCTGTCTCGAGTCTAGAGAGCGCGATGCAACGAAGGATGGGAACAAGTGAGAGACAGACGGCGCTCATGAACCGCGTAGCTCAACAAAATACAGTGCGGCGGCCGAAGAATCCAAGGGGCATTTCAAGGACTGGGTCCTGCCAGTGCCAGCGATGCAAGACGAAGAAAAGGAGGGACAGAGGTTCAAAGAACGGACGCAGGCTGGCTGCGACGTATGAGGGGCAGTCCGGCGACTGGGAAAAACACGAAGGAGAAGGAAGAAAACAGAAAGAGACGCTCGCGCTCGTCCGCCGGGGTTCGATTTCGAGCTTCATCACCACCGCCCGCAAGCCGTATCCAGGTCCTCGCGACATGGAAACCAGTCGCCCGCTCGTTTCTGTTCCGCACTTCCAATCGGTCCATCTCAGTCCCACTCCCCGCCTCCGACCGCATCACCAACAGATCTATCCCCAATGATGCTGAGAAAAGCTGATTGGCCTCTGAACGTTCTCGTTCGAGGCGTCGACCCTGGCATTCGACGCGGCAACCGGCCTTCAATCGGTCAATACACCAGATCTCCCCAGATGTGCTGCGGTGACTAAGCCATGGGCTGTTCCTGATCAAGATCCCATTTCATTAAGCCGCATAGACCCCGAATAGCGCCACCGAACGCATGTGTTTTCACGCGTTCCCACACCAGATAACCCCGCTTCATCGATGATGTCACAAGCGCAGGCAGATTGCCTCTAAACATTCGCTCAAAAATCTACCATAGCCAAAACTAGTGCGGCCTCGAATACAACAAATTATTGACGCGCAAGCTGGCGGGGTTTGTCAGTGTCCCGCGACGACTCTTCTGGAACTAAAGCCAGCGAGACGCGCGGGGACGAGGACTATACATAGTTGATAACACAGCCCATCTCTCGCAAGTCGACTGCATTACGAGAGCTTCTGCGAAACGCAATGCATTGCAGGGATGGGCTGGGACGGCGACTTTAGCGAGTCTGATGGCGAAGAGACGGGCGGATGACTCGGGCTCGTGTGACGACGATGAGGGAGAGAAAGAAGAGGAAGAGTTGGTCGGCCGCAGGGTGGTCAACCGTATAACACCATACTTGGACTACGACCCAACACGCTTACCTAGTAAGCAAGAAAGACGCGAGCTCCGGCACCAGTCCTGCCATGTCCCTGTTGATCCCGTGTCGACCCCATTCTACGCACCGCCAGACAAAGGCATCGCTGGACATGGCATGAATCCTTCGAACAACTTCGAATGTGACGAATACGGGTGGCCGTTCTTGTTGCCTACCGACGAGCTCGCCGATGCCTCGTGTTAATGTTGGTGGACACTTGTCGGGATCACACTTAAAACAACGAAGTCACTGGTATCGTTATCAGGTCCGCCGCCGGCGGACCACAGACACCCTTTCTCATCGACCGTCTCTAAAATCAGTCCCCGCGGATCTAACGCTGGATATTGGTGCCGACAAATGTTGTCTAACCTTTTAGACTATTGTGAGTGAGGCGATCATGAACAGATCGACGTTGGCACAATCACAGACGACCATTTTGATGACGAACACCGTCAGCTGTGGTGTTTGAATATAGCTCCATTTGTCAGTACCGGCTTGTGATACATGCACAAAATCACCGGTCGATCATCGAAGACAAGATACTGCGTAGGACCTTCGGGATGTCGGACGTATTGGCCACCCTGAATCCCCGCCCCGGAAAATTCTTCGGAATCCTGATGTGAGGATGTTTGATGTCAGCAGCGGCACCGGAGAAACCTATGGACATGCACGCACCAGGACGCTTCAGCCCCCTCGCCGATGCAAATCAGCGCGGTGTGGACCTTTGGATGGCGGTTCATCGCTCTCTTGAGGTCTTCCACGGTAATGCCATATCGGGAGAAGTTGGCGTCCGAGATGGCGATGACGAAGTGGTCGTCTAGAGGGTGCGAGGTGAAAGCTGTCAACATCGACTCGAAACGGGGTGCTCGAGGAAAGGCGGCCGACCTCCGTCAAATTTAGAAACCTCCGTGGTCGCCTTCTCGAGGGCTTCAACTGACAGAGAAGGATCATTGAGTTCGGAGTTCGGGCGGAGGAGGGCACATTCATACGTGCCTGTGAAGTCTCCGGCGAAAGCGTACTGGGTGACGAGGTTCATCTTTTCTACGACAGCCCAACGTTCAGACACTTCAGACACGCTTTGCCCCATCTGCACAAGTGGGATGTCTGCGGAGTCTCCTGACTGTAGGAGAAAGGTGTGAGGCCCGACTCAAGGCGTTCTTCAGGCAATGGGCGGTGTAAAGCTTACATGGCCATATACCTGACATTAAATTGTCAGATAAGCGGTCGAGCGAAAAGCCGAACCGCTCACATCCCATACGTATTTATCCTTCCTTGACAGTCGGTTGAAGCTTTCCATCAGCATCACCGCTTTTCCGCTCTATCAGCATTTACCCTGATGCAAAATGATTAGATCAGGTGCTTGCCTGTCTCCAAGCTCCTCTGTAGACGGCCGTCGTACTGGAAACGATACCTGGTTCGCACATTAATGATGGACGAGAAGGGCAATGCGATTGCTTCCTACATGGAGCCGCTGATGTCGAACAAGAACCGGATACGTTTTGGCCTGGAGGATTCAATCAATTAAACGGGATTGGGCCATGCACAATCAAATACGGACTTGATCTGAGGCCGACCCAACTCCGGCTTGGCCATTCCTCTTCGTTTGTAAACCGTAGCTTCACCTGTTAGACCCTCCGTCAGGCGACTGTCATCCAGCTCCCCATCTGTCTGCCGCTTGATCCACACTCGCTCTTCTTCTTTGGCCGCAAGGTCTGCCAGTGCCAGAAGACACAGGGTTAGCGACACGCAGAAAGTATGCGAAAAATGACTGACGCTCAAGTAAATCGTGCAGTTGCGCAATGTGCGCCTGCACAGAGGTCAACAGTGAGCCGTACCCCTTTGCTTCCGCGGCACTCATATTGAGCTCCTCTAGTCGTCGGGCCAACTCCTGTCGAGCCATCTCTCGGGCTTGTTCCCTAATCTCGTCGGGGACGTCCTTCTTCAGTTCGTCTGATACCTGACAAGAACATAGATAAGGGGCCGTCAATAGAGGGGGGGCAATCGCAAAGTATGCCTACCTGCTTGATATCGTGTCCCTTGAACAAGCGCATATATCCACCGCGCCCTCCCATCCCGGCTGTATCCCGTCCACCAGACTGTCCAGGCTTGTCAGCGATGAGTGCCGCGGAAACATGATGCACGTACGCCTCCGGCCCAGGTGTTACCCCCGTGGTGCGGCTCGTTATTCGGGTCCTCCTTCCCAAACTTCGGTTTATCGAGGTCAGTCGACCCCTTGGGCTCGAACTTCAAATCGAGCACACGCTTCTGCGCCGCATCGCGACCCGCGTCCAGCCCGAGGCGCTTGACCTGCAACCTGAGATCCTTCAGCTTCCGACACATAAATAGATTTTATAGGGAGTCGGAGCTCACCCATGGTGCTCCAAGATGGCCGCCAATTTGTCGATCGCATCTGGTTTGTGCACGTCAAAGTCGAAAACATTGCGCAGGGCGTGATCTAGAGTATCAGTCGGGTACGTGCGCATGTGGCGCACGATGGCGATCAGCTCTGCATTCGCGGCGCGTCAATAAGTAGCGCCGTAGTGACGAAGGCGGAAAAGGCAACTGGCCTCGTAGCGAGTAAGGATATGTCAGAGATCCATCGTCGTATCCCTTTCTGAGGTCGTCGAATACGCCGACTAGGCGAATCAGTATATCTTCCTCCAGTTCTGGGGCAAGCTGTGCAAGCAGTCTCCGCTCGGATTCGAGATCCGGGTTCCAGACTGAGTGGCTGAAGACCCGTCGTAAGACGATCAAACCGGGTACAGCAAAGAGATCAATCAACCAGCCAGCGAGCTTACCAACTGAAATTGTCTCCAAGGACCTGCAAGAAATGGTTTCCAAGGAACGCTGACGACGAAATGCGCACATCAATTCTCGGGTCGGAAAAGGAAAATGACATATACGCACGATATCCTGGCCTGTTGGCCAGCAGGACCAAGCGGAAGTTAGGATGAACCTCAATATCGCCATCTCTTTCTCTCACGCGGCGAAGCCGCCGCCCATCAGGGAGGGTGAGCTCGCCTTGTCCGGCAAGGCTGCGGAATATAGCGACAACGTGCTCCGGCGCCTTGTCGGCCTCATCGATGATGATCACGCGGCCAAGTATCATAGCCCGGACCAACGGCGAGTCGGTGTGCTTGATGACGCCGCCTTCGAGGGATGTCTGGAACAACAGCTGGTTGACGGTGGTATCGCGGTGAAGCTGGATGTATTCTCTGGGCCGTCGAAGAAGCTGAAAATACGGCGCGTGTTAAATGCGAGCGGCGAGGTCTCAGACAACGCATCCCTACCTGGCACAATCTGTGGTACGCATAGGTGTTTAGAAAGATCGGCATAAAAAGTCAATGATGGGCGAGCGGACCTATCTATCAATTTGTTCTTCCCTACTCCCTACGATGGATGCCGTCAACATCCCAAACACTGCTCAAGACAGCAAGGAAAAACGTACTTGGTTCCCGAGAAGTACCAGGTGCTCCCCCAAAAGCTCAAAGTCCACGGCAAGGTCTCGCATGAGCGCCGATTGGAGGCTATTGTCATAAAAGTGGTCCATGTGGGGCACATAGGATGCCACGCCCTCAGGATCCTGCTCAGCAGGGAACTGAGGTATAAACGTAGACTCGACCTTGCGCAATGGGTCACTGGGCGGCGGAAATAGAACGCCACGCTCCTCCGGGACGGGGGACGGGTGGAACTTCGAACTGCATGTCCACAATCAAATCAGAGTAATACAAGCAAAGTTACTCACCACATTCGTAAAACGCTTGATCTCGCACTCCTCGAACAGGCTCTCCAAGCTCATTTTCTCCGTCGTAGGTAAAAATTCCGCCAAGAGCACGCGACTGATCAACGCGTGCAAATCGTCGTCCCAGGGGAATCCCGCCAAGCGACGCGCGATCCTCACGAGTGAGCGCGTGCCGAGCTTGCGGTTCTTGAGCATGTCCTCGGAGGGTATGCTCTGTCTGTACTTCTCCGCGAAGGACAGCAGCGTCTTCACATGATGCGGCGGACAGCCGGTCTGGAGGAGGACGGCGGACTCCTCGGCGTGGTCCATCGGTTGCGCAGGGATGGGCAAGAACATATTAGCATGCTCGTCGGAGAGCCAGTCGCGGAGGGCGGTGGATTTGGAAGACGTGCTGATCATGCGGAAGGAGCGGTGGGTCGTCGAGAGTCCTCCCTCGGCAGCCTATTTCGGTGTGAGGAACAATGCGTATTCGTAGAATTTCGATGTGATGAGACACGCACCTCGGCTTCGGAGGCTGAAGACACAATGCGAGTGGAACCCCAGAGTTCAACCTCTCTGTCCTGAGTCAGGCGAGCCAACGAGCCAGCGGTCAAGCCGATGACGTCCAGTCCGGACATGTGGACCAATCGGCCTGCCCAGGCACCCTCAACAAGGGGGCTTTAGAAAGGGAGATAATAACATTGTCAATGCCGACAGAACTGAAAAGGGACGATTTCGCTTCGAAAAAACATATTTTACCTGGGTTCCCATGTCGTCGCTCCGCCGTCTTCAATCTTGCGCCTCATCAACAGCTCTCTCCCGCCGAGCTCTTTGTACATATGCACGGCCTCGGTCTCGTACCCCAATATTTCTCCGAATGTTTTCACGAGGAGCGACGTCGAGCACGAGCCGGTGGACGGCAGCGCAGGCGGGACGTACGAAATATCCCAGCCCAGAGCATGCGCCTGGAGAAAACACGTCAAGATACCAAGGAACCGCTCCGTCGCGAAGAACTCCAGGTCGCCCACGAACGGGAACGGACGCAGCTGCTTCGGTCCCGCGGGAACCTCCAGCGAGACGGTCTGCGCAGCGCTCTCGAAGACCACGCGCGCTGTGTTGCTGTCTACGCGCTCGATGCTGCGCGCACGATACCCCAGAATTCCAATATCTTCCCCGTGGCTCGAACGGGCGGCTCCGAGCGCGCCGAGTCCGGCTTGTTCGGTGCGCGTGCTCAGCATCGCCCACGCTTGGAACGGCGCATACACGAGCGAAGGGTGCAGGACCAACAACAGCCGCGATAGCTGTTCCGGCGCCAGTAGTGGCGGAGGCGCGAACACGGATACGATGCTGTTCAACTTTTGCAGTGCGGTCTGTGGGAACGCGGGCAGTGCGGGGCGCGCGACGGTGTCGAGCTCATGGCGCGCCTCACTCGCGTACTGCGTCGACAGGATAAGGTCGCGGAGCTTGTTTGCGAGAGCGGTGGATGGGGTGGAGAGCGGTGCGGAGGGAGCGGGATGGGTGAGGGCGAGGAGGGCGCCGACGGGGTCGACAAAGCGCGCTTGGAAGCGGCTGCGGAAGGGCGGGTCCAGGGGGTATCCTGCGTAGGGTGGGACTGGGGCGGCGATCGCGATGACGCGGAAGTTCTTGTGCGCCGGTACGAAGAGTTTGCCTGCGGTCTCGCGTTTCGAGTCTGAGGTCTCTAACAGGGCATATCGATGAGGGTGCAGAATGTGCGTTCCGTCGTCCAAGTTCCTGCAGCACGGTGACGTCAGTAGTAGCTTTCCTGTTACACCGTCTGAGCACGTACATTTCTCTGTTCTCCAGTAGATTATTGAGAACCTATCGACAGTGGTCGTGATTTAAAAAAGGTCAGCATATTCTGCCAATCGAGCCGCGTACGAGGATGCGCGTACTGGCATAATGCCTCTCTCGGCCTTCTCTATACCTTCTATGATCAAAATGCGGCCATGCTTCACAGCCCGCACCGCGGCGCTATCGACATATACTAGATTCCCTCCCGCCTTAATTTCCCTGCCCTGCTTCAACTCCGTCTCTCCAACGTCCCGATGCAGCGCAATATACTCATACTCCGAATTCACCAGACTATATGCGCCATCAGCATCAGCACCATCTCTCAAAAATCCCATCGCAAGCGCACGGCCTCTCCGCCTCGCTAAACGCGCGCGCGTCCCCGATCAAAAAGTGACGCAGCCCACGTCAAACTCACCTGCAAAACGTCATGGCGAGGCGCCGCGCATACGGCCCCGGCTGCGAGAGCAAGAACACGTCCTGCCCGAGGAGGTACTTCTGCAGCAAGAAGTGCAGATTGTCGAGGTTGAACGCGTCGCGCACGTCGAGCGGCGGCGCGCCGCCGTCGGGGCCCGCGAAGTGGGGGAGCCGCGAGGGCGTGGCCGACGCGGGGACGTCGTACGTGATCTCGCCGAGCGTGAGCTGGCCAAGCGAGGGCGGGGCGGGGGCGAGGGTCTGCGCGATGCGATGGAGGCGGCGGTGGGGAGACATGGGTGTTTATTGGAGGGTTGTGAGGAGGCTGCCCCGCAAAGCACAGACGCCTCGATAGACGGGCGACATGTTTCAGTCGTGGGTCGGTGCTCGGCATATATTGGACGGTGCACCCGGAAATCATGCACTCACGCCAGTGCTCAGCTTCCGCTTTCGGAAGGATCAGCTGGTCCCTGGACGAGCGAGCTCAATGTCTCACGAACGCGTGGATCTCAGCAGTCTTTCCAACGCAGTGACAATAGTCGAGGAAGAGGAAACGGAATCCTACCTGGCTTTTCGAGCCGCTTTGTCTGACAAACTCGCCTGAACACAGAATATACACGTCGCGGAATGCAAAATGGGACAGGAAGTTTCATGTCGGACTAGTCCAGCTGACCTTCAGCGGTATCTCCCGGATGCCATTGTCATGTATCAAATGCTGAGGTCACCAAGGGTTGGGTAGAGGGGCACGCCGTCCACATCGATCAATCCCATGGTCGGGAACAAGCCAAGAGTCTACTGTCGCCTGCTGTACAGAGGTACACAAGAAGCGCGGAAAAAAAGATCGAACCAGGCGTATACACGATGATCGAGCCAATACAAAGAAGGGTAGACGTAGAAATAATACGAAGTGTAATAAACGAGACTGAGTGGATGCTGAAGGCAACAGGCTGACGAGCGATCGAAGATTATGAACGGCTACAGAGGGAGCCGAGCTCAAGTGATAGACAGGGAAAACCCTTCCTCATAAGAGACGAGGGAAAGCTGTGGTGGTGGCCAAGGGCCGATTATTTCTCCATCAACGCGACGATCCCATATGCAGCCGCAGCGGCCGCGCCACCGACCAACAGCGTGCTCACCGCGCCCCAGACATACCCGCCGACACCTTGTCCTGCACCCGTGATGCGCGCCTTCACGGCTCCAAACACGAGCAGTATGATGCCCGTGAACAGACACGAGTAGATGAGCGCGACGTGCGCGCGCTCGATGAAGAAGTACGGCAAGAGCGGGATCAGCCCACCAAGGAAGTATCCCATCCCAATCGTGAACGCGGAGAGATACAAGCGCTTCGTCGGAACTTCCTCTGCGTTTCGAAAGCGATCAGTTAAGCGTACGTCAAGTGGACGGGAGGACGCGATCGGACATACCGAGCCCTTCACCGAACTTGAGCAAGAACGGCGTGACACCCACGTCCTGACTCCACCGCAGCCCCGCCTCCTCCTCATCGCTCACACTCCCAACCGAGCTCGACGCGTGGTTGTGATGTGAACCCACTTCGCTCCCGCCCCCGTTCATCTCCGCCTCGAGCAAGCTGCGTGTGACCTGGCGCGAGACCTTCTCGTCGACGCCCACGCGGCCCAGTACGGCGTGCACCTCGCGTTCCATCTCGCCGTCACACGAGCGCAGGACCCGCGCGGCGGTCGTGCGGCGCAGGTACCGATAGTGATCGCGCTCGGCTTGCGACGCGAGGAAGCCGCCAATGCCCATGGAGAGGGCACCGGCGATAAGTTCGGCGATACCGCCAAGCACGACCAGTTTCGATTCGCCGAGCGAAGAGAGACCCGCTGTGAGCGCAAAGGGAACTGTCAAGCCGTCGGAGAGCCCGATGACACTGCGCGCAGCGGCCAATCAGCACATGAGCATCGACAGATGGGAAAGTAGACAGTATAAAGGAAAATCTATAGGTACAGAACGGGAAAAAGGTATTTCCATTGGCGGATAGAACGCGGGCTTATCGAAAGCGTTCTGGACGGAAGACGGGATGAAGAGAAGGGTGCACGAGGACACTTCGCGCCACCATGTGGCCGCACAAAGCGAGAAATGTGGGCGATCATTTCGAAGGATGTGCTATAATAAGCGTGGATGCATAGTGAAGGTCGTGAAGTGCACATGGGGCACATTTTTGTAACACCTCACGGGCAGCCGTGAAAGACGTGCTGCGCGAGTGCACACTGTAAGCGTGCGCCCCAATACTCTTCATTCGTTTAGGCACATTCGATGGAGAATTGGACCGGAAAGAAACTGGAAGGAGATGAACAAAGACGCACACATCTCGGACCACATCCGGGTCGACCAACGTCCGTTCATCGTCTCCCCTGAGCTCCTTGCAGCAAACACCTTCCCGTCCAGTCTCGTGTCGCGAGCACTTGGCGGTGAGAGGTGCTGGTACGGTGGGTGCGATCGTGCTGTCGACCGCCCAGACTGGTGGCTTGTTTTTCGCGGAGGTAGAATCGCGACGATGAGGAAGAGGCATGACCGCCGCGGCGTGCGCAGTATCGGGGTGCAAGGAGGACATGACTAGACGGCTCGTTCAAGTACTGATTTTCGTGAAAGGAGGAAGGGATATCTAGCTAGAGAGGATGATTAGACTGGAAGGGAGGAGGGGAAAGAGTGGAACAGACGAGAAGGTCCAATTGCAGTGTTTATTCGGAGCGGACGCTTGCTTACACACTCGGCTTGTCGGCAGCCACAAAGTTTGACGTCAGTCGTCATCCAGCCGCCGTCGACAGCAGGCACGAACGCTCGCCCTCGCTCTAGCACCCCGTCCAGCCAGCACGAGTGCCATTCCCGTCTTCACCCCCCATATACATGAATGTAGTACGACTCTGGCATAAAAACTGACGCTCACTTTGCATTCCGTGGTTGCTCGCGAAGCTGACAATAGGCACTCGTCGTGGAAAATTGACCTGCCCAATCGCGCTGGCTTTCTTTCCAATCTCCTCGGCGCCCAGAGACTTCACTGAGACTCCTCGCTCCTCTGTGCCTTGATCAGACCTGGGTGACATGCCAGCTCATGCCAGAGCCACCTCGATGATCCGTGTCAACAGGTGTTGGTGGACTCAGTGCGGCCATCTGTCAACGAACTGGAGGTTATCTGGCTATGTGATCACCCATAGCTTACGCCGCAAGCACGTCGCCAGAACTGGGAAGGAGGTGCCAGCGAGCGGAAGAGAGTCAAGTTTAGTAGGTCGCATTGTCCGCAAACTCTCGACCAGCTGTTTTTCGATCTTTGGTCCACGGCCTAGACCCACTGACTTCATAGTCCGTGATTCACCAGGTCTGGTCTCTCTAAGGGTGGCGCCCACTGTATCTGCCCCTTGACAATTTCTTGATAACAGACATTGCCTCTTCTCTTCCGAAACTCGTACAAGCGAGCTTGGTTAACATGTCATCAGCTAGTTGAACCCTTTCATAAGCACCAACTCAAGACAATGCGGTCTTATGATGTGGACACTTCTTGAACGTTCCGATTTCCTCATTGAGGGACGAGTTAGAAGATACGCGGTTCTCAAAACGGAAGCTTCAGCAGACCCCAAGTCTGAATGCCTGCTGGCAGATTCTGGCGTCAGAGACCGTCGCCTACCATATTGGCAGCACATTTGTTGAGGCCCTATTCAAGGAAAAGTGCCTTTAATGCTAGGATAATTCTTCGGTTAATGTATGGGATTTCTCTTTGGAGCCCTCGCTTTTACCTCACTCAGTCCATGGCGACACCTTGACCTTTTCGCCTCGTTTCGTTGCAACTTGTCACAGAACCTTGTGTCTTATGTCGGATAGCAGTATATATGTTCCTCACACACGACAACACACATGATCTTCGCCCATGCGTATGATGATTCCCTTCCCTCGGAAATAGTGCCTCACCCTTGGAAGGAAGAGGAGCCATATGAATAATATTCGCACAGTAAAGTCCAGATCGACAACAGACTCACCAGTATGCTGTTCTTGAAAGGCTCAGAAAGTAAAGTAATGGATTTTCCCTGAATCATCATCCCTCTCCTGAAAAAACGCCGCGGACATGGTTAACGTGCCAACTAGACAAACACGACAGACTACACACTTCAAGAACCACAAGAGTATCTTGACTGAGCATGACCGTCTCCGTTGCATATGGGTCGACTTGGAACGGCAGGGTAAGGTCCTTGCAAAAGGCGGATGGGACTGCTGATACACCACTGTCCATGCCATTGCTAGCCCATGGATACAAGCCTCGAGGTCCTAACCTTCTCCACCCTTCCATTTCCAAACAATTGCGCTTGGAAGGGGCAATCCGCTCGGGATGGCAGTCATATACCCGGAGGTGGATCCTATCGTCATTAAAATGGATAGATCGCAGAGTTTCAACGCATCGCATGTATGAAATGCAACTATACGTTGGACTCGATCGTTGATCTGAGAGCAGCGCCAAGTCATGGAAATCTCTAGAACACCACGTTCCCCAGGACCATACATGGTGACTTGTGGAAAACTCGGGGTCATGTGAATGATCTAGCAGAGATTGCGAGCGAATTAACAGGCATAAGCCGCGAATTCCTACAAGAAGAAGCCGATCCCTAGGCGAGGCATGAAAGGGGGCGCGCAGATCTGCCCTAGGCTCCCAATCAGCGCTGGGATCTGCGAAAATGGAGAAGCCTCGACTGAACGGGGGAAACTGAAACGTGCAATGATATGGTGCGCATGCCACATCAAAGTTTTGTGGAGAAGTGGCTCGCAGGTCGTAAATCACCAGCTCTGCATAGTTGTTGCCATCTGCAGGCGAATCAAAGTAACGGCCAACTAAGACGAAGCGTTCATCTAGGAAGATTGGAGCCGACTTGATCTTTCTTCCATGCAACCACTTGATAGTAAATCGTTAGAAATCGGCCTCTAAGCATACCAGGTACAAAGGTTCACCATGATGATCATCCCAGTCTTCCAATTCCATATCACCAGCTCCCGGGGCGCCTCACTGATGAGGATTAAGATACCAAGACGATCGCGATCTATGACAATGTCGTAGTCAGTAGAATTGCTCAGTCCTGGGATGGAGGGTAGCGATATAGTTGATGCAATAGCAGCAGGATGGACATCTCCAGACGACATCGACAATAGATTTATATTACGTGACCGGTTTCGCCTGAACTCAGCGGTAGGTCAAGAAAGATGACATTGAGAAACTTGAAATAAAACATACCCAACCGTGACGAGCAGATCCTGGGTTGGATCGATAGCAGCATCCCTAAAGGGAAATTCAAGATTGACTTGCCACTCCTTCGCATCGATTCCCCGCAGGCGAGAATGAAGCTGCGTAAAATATATGATGCAGGATGTATCGTCGCACTCCGCATATACACCTCCTTGAAGTGCAAACATCTCTCCCTTCGTGGGGACACATGTGTACTCTCGCCACTGAAGCTTTTTCCATGCAGTTTGGTGATCTGCTAGCATCTTCAAACGCTCGCTCGCCCCGAGAAGGCTATATATTCCGTCCTCTTGTCCGGAGGATCCAAACGCAATCACAAATTGGATCGCTGTTGAGCCATCAATCAGAGCATGTAAGCTGCGACAAACCTATGACAGCCCAGGCGATACTACATTAGCGCCCGCACCCATCACTGAAAGGACCTCATTAACACAGGGAAACGCTCACCCGTCTGCATGTCAAGATGGAATGATGATCAAGATGCTTCAGAGCTTTCTCAATGAGTTCTGTTGGGAGAATGAACAATCCACTCATGCTGACTGCGGGCGAGATGGAACCTGGAAGTTACATTGTGTACTTACAGTTCATCGATCGACGTGGACGTAAAAGTCAGTGACAAACTCAGACCGGAGGCCGCCCCAGATTGTGGACGTCCCCAAACAGGTAAACGATATACACTAACGTACGTGCAGTCGAGATCATCAATTCCCGAAGAAAAGAAAGCCTTGCTTACGGAGAAGATAGAGACTGAGAACTGTCATGCACAACGGTCTGATATCAGCAGCAAGCACTTTTCACGAGTATACAATGCGGCTGCCGAGGTTGTCGTCGCTGCTCGAAGCAAGTGTAAAGGTGGTCTAGAGCCGTTGACATCGATGTGAACGATCGGAGCAGATGAATGTGCGTGGGAAAATGAATGTGCCTGTGCATGGAGCAAAGAACCAGATCACTATATTTCTAGACGTCGACGACGAGGATACTGCAGAGCCCGTCCGCAACGGCGCAGCGACTTCAGCTGCACATTCGACAATGGACGATGCGTTCGGAATCGTCTACTTGATTGAGAACGCACAACAATTCTGGTCCGGTGCGTGCTGTTTTCATTTCGGAACCCGCAAGAGCTGTCTTCTTTCTCCCGTCATCTAATTTCGACGAACCTCCTTTCCTTTTCCGCGTTTAGAGCTCGAAGATATTCTACGTATTCCAAATAATGCCACGCTTTCGAGTCTGGACTCGACTTTGAAGAGGTACATCTCATTCTGCGCTACGTACCACGGTGAGCACTCTGCTCTATCTTTACCTAAGCTGTCCCCCTCAGCTAACACGTCCCTGAGCAGAACAATATTTACAGAGCCCACTACAGCTTGAACATGCCTGCGAGCTCCTTCTCGACTCAGAGTTATTCACATTCCACTCGGAAAGAATGTGCGAAATTCTGACGGACGAGGCTACATCGGTGCGCCGCTCTGCCAATCTTCCTTTCTGCTGTCTCATAGGACTCTGCCAACATTGTCATATAGAACACAGATCCACATCATCAACTCATATTGTACAACATCCTTGTGCTGCATGGACGACGTCATCCTTCCTTCCTTCGCTCGTACAAGCGCTGGCAGCCCATACTTCCACTGCTTATGGACCATGTCCTCGTAGACATCGACCCGGAGATCGAGGATACATATTCAGGCTCTGTAACAGGGCCTAGCACAGGCTGGAAAGGTCTGGCAATCCCGATCGAGGCCATGTTAAGGTCGCTAGGAGTTAGGCTGTTGTATGAGGTGTGCAGGGCTTCGAAGCTCACCAAGCAAGAATTGCGTGAGTGATATTATCTGCTGTTTGGTTTCACGGCGAGGGCTGAGTCTGTCTTTTGAAGGAATTTTTGGCGACGATTTTATCGACCGTCTTTTCGATCTTGTGGAGCAGACGCGAAATATGCAGGATGAGACATTTAATTACTCGGTAATCAAGTTGATTGTATGTCCCCTTTCTCTCGGATCACCCGCTCCGAGTATGAACATCCGATGTTCACCAGGTTGCCCTGAATGAACAATTCATGGTGGCATCCCTGAAACCACTGCCATCTGATCCGGCGGCCAAGGAATATGAATCTGCACAACAGGCAGCAGACAACCGTGTCTTGCAAGTATTGATGCGACGTCTGGGGCTGAGTCAGACATTTGGGGGGAACATGATTTTCATGCTCAATCGCGCAGGTCTGTCGAATCCATTGGCGTTTAATGACCTACGCTGACAGTTTGGCGCTTCTCAGGCCGGTCATCTGAAGACCTCGTGATGCAGCTTCTAGTCCTCAAAATTCTCTATCTACTATTTACGACGAAGGGCACGTCCGAATATTTTTACACCAACGACTTATGCGTCCTTGTCGATGTTTTCCTGCGCGAACTTGGGGACCTTGACGAAGAGTCCGAATCTGTGAGTTTACGGGTTTTCCCTCGCCTGCAAACCAATTCCTCATGGATATATCCGACACATCTGCAGCTTCGTCACACCTATCTTCGCGTCCTGCACCCGCTCTTGACGAAAACACAGCTTCGCCAGGTGCCCTACAAACGTCCGCAAATCGTGCGCACCCTCGAGTCACTGGTCGAGCACCCAGAAATCCGCGACGTGAGCGCGACAACACGACGGCTGGTGGAGCGGTGTCTAAGCGGCGAGTGGTGCGTGCAGTTGCGCAAGGGTGCCGCGGGCAAACTCGCGATCGCAGACCTCGATCGCACATCGAGCCCAAGTAACGATCAGGTTGCCAAGCAAGAGTATCTTGCGCCGCCTACCTTTGAAAGACACGGGTCGCTCAAGAAGTCGAACAAGAGCAGTAGGAGTGTTGAGAATTTGAGGACACTGGCACCTGCATCTGGTGGCGGCGGGGTAGTGCACAAGGGACTGGAGGCGCTTCGGAGGCCCAACAACGACAGTGTTTTGAGCTTGCCGGGCGTAGTTGTGGCTACGTCGCCTTCATCTAAGAGGCGGGACAGGATCAACTCGACTGACTTGGGCCAGCGCGCAAACATCAATCGTTATGAGGAACGTCAACGAGAGAAAGACGGTCCCATTTCGCCTATACGAGCCAATTCTCTTGGAACTGGCGTTGACGGGATCGTGTCGCCATATCATCAGCATCCGTCGGCCTTCCCACTATCCTCCACTACTACCACGGCCTCACCTCCTCTGTCACCCGCCTCCGTCATGTCGTCCCAATCAGTTCTTTCAACGATGTCAGCAAACGCTGTTGCACCACCTGGGACTGTGAACACAGACACGACCGCTCAAAAGCCATCACCGAGGCGCTCCGCGCCCGCACCGCCACCAAAACGACGAAAGCCACCTGCGGTGCCGGTGACCCTCGGGCAGACGAACGGTGGAGCTACTATCACAACAATCAAATCTTCGACATCGACACCTACGCTGACCTCGCTTCAGAAGTTCGCCAGGGCGTAGGCCGGCTTCATACATTCGGTCTGGTGATCATAGATAATGGCCGGCCAAGAGGTGCGGTCAAAAGTGGAGGAAGGGTATGTTGCATCATCAAACCATCGCGTACATTCACATATTCGATTTCGGCGCCACTCTGTTGACGGAGACGCTGCTGACTGCGTCGGTATAATTTCATTCTCTGATCTTTGTTTTTTCGCTTTCGACATCGCACCTTATGTCCTTTCACCATGTGTATTTCTGGATTCATTTGATTGAGTTTCTTTCCCAGCATCATTACTACAGCAAAACCTTCTACTTTTCCCGGTCTCGCATACATCGATTCAGGAACCACTGTACGATATCACCGACGTATGTGGATATAATGTGCACTCTTCCCATGTCTTCGTTTCTTATTCCCTCGGCTGTCGATCGTGAGTGGTCATCAAGCACAACGCGAAACAAGCTCTGAATCATTCCATGTACACCTCACGTCCATCCCAGGTCCATAATGAACTGGCTGCGGGTCATGTGTGCACCTTATGCGCACCTTCGGTATTTCACTGTCAATACAAAACGAATGTATATATTTGCAGTGTCAAATTGAGACAGTTGTCACATAAAGCTCATATGGCCAGCTCATTCCTGAGGGCTATCACGCAGGGCAACCTTCAATCAAGCCGAACATCCTGCACATCCCCTCAATGACTGCTGGTGACACTCTGTACACCACTGAGCCGTCCCGTTAATCGCTGCGGACTGCCAAACAATGATTCCCAGGTCAGCAGGCGCACCCTATGTTTGTGTATCTACGTACTTGGAGTGTGTTCACGAAGGTGCTCAGCGGGATGCTAGTAGCGTTTCCACCAAAGAGGCCAAGAGTGACAGGATGAAAAGAGGCATCAGACGTCCCATTCTTGAATTTTACCGTAATGAACGGCTCGGTCGAGCTTCCTCCTGAACCATTATCCGAGCCCGAACCTTGACCGTAATGACCAGGCGGATGTAATTCGATGGCGAGAGCAGAGGCGTAGTCAACTGTCGTAGCGCCCAACTCAGTGAGTTTGATCGAGAAACGTAGCGCAGACTGACCAATCCCAAACAGCGGCTCAGCGATCCCATTTCCGTTCCAATCCACACTTGCAGCAGTAATATTGAAGAAGCTGATGAAAGGCTTGTACGAGATCTCGTTGAGAGCCAGTTTCAGAGAGTCTGAGGGGTCGGCGATGCGGTTGAGAGAGCTGAAGATTGACGGAAGAGCCGTGCGAATAGCGACTGTTCATCGAGTAAACCAATTCCGTCAGTGCGGACTTAGGATTGAAGGCGGGCAAACATGAGTACAAACCGTTTCCAATGCCGTTGGGGGATGTGTCGCTGAACACGCCGTTCTCGTGGAAGTTCGCGAAGTCGTATGCCTGTTCCGCAAATGTGGGAGGTAATGCCTTATGGAACGATGCATTGTGAATATTTTGCACGTTAACGAAATCGAATATCTGGGTATTGTACAACCGTCAAATTGTCTGCAGATGACGAACCGAATAGACGTACATTGAACTTAAAATAGCACAAAGACGTGAGTCAATGAAAATACAGCCATGCGGAGAAGTCATTTCCGTACCATGTTTGTGAAATTGGTGGAACGTCCATCCAAATATGGTGCAAGGGCGTTCAAAAAAGGAGCCGCCTCCTGTGCCTTCTGCAAAAATTGGGGGGAGGAATAGAAGTCGGCTGTGTGCTGATCGAAAGTCTAGACAATCTTTTTGAGCTTTGAACAAAAACAAACAATGTGGGCATCGCTTACGGGGCACGAAGTGAAGGAATTCAAGGAGACGTCCTCATTGGGCTCGACCGATTCCACTAGCAATGAAGAGTAAAAACTGAATCGCAACATTGGAAGCTAGTCACATCTTGACAGACCTGGTATAAATTGATAGCCTGCACCTGCACCCACGACAGTGCTACCATTCGCGAGCGCGACACTGAATTCGGAGGTAGGCGGAAACAAGCCCTGCAGCAAAGCACCAACGGAGACGAGAATAGTTTCGCCTTCGCCTGCCGCATCCGCTCGCACCAATAGTTGCTCAGTATCAGCGACTGGGAAAGAGATATTATGAATTGCCGAGGCAGAGTCGGTATTGAGGTAGGTATTCTGCAAGAAGTTTCCCAATTGAAACTCTTGAACCTAGCGATAAATCACTCGGTTAATATATCGAGAAAATGACGACGAGTCATAGACACATACTGTTCCGAGTGGCGTGAGCTGAGTATTAGACGGATTGTAGGTGAGCGGGTCCTGGAAAAACTCCAGGCGATCACCGTGGCGCGCAAAGAGGACGACGCCTAGAAGACCAGCGGATTTCAAGGACATGTTGAGACTCCCAAAAATTATGCGATAGTCCGAGGAGAAGTACGATCAGACACGACCTCAGCAGCGGTATTTATGGGATTCTGAATCGGCGGTCGGGGAAGACGTGCATTTGACAGGAAATGAAGAGCTGACAGATGTATATTGTTGAACTGATGAACACAAAAGTAGGAATTCGACCCACATACCTGTGATCCGTGGCCCACGGCTATAGTAAGAACGAGAGACCTACATATAGCAGGTAGGCAGTGGCGTTAAAGAGACTGTGAAGACTTGGCACGTCCTTGACAAATTGATCTCCCTTAGCAGCGCTCATCTGCCACGAATCAAGGTTTGCGGTTGACTTTCGGGACGTGCATAGGATCGGCGTCAGCGCCTGTGGTAGTTCCTGGACATGACATCTGTAATAGTCACAGCCACGAAGGCACAGTTACATATCTGAATGAGAGGCATTTTGAGCATGCACGATGAATCGGAACGAAGGTCAGGGGGTATGTGCTGCAGAGTACGTGTGAGCGTTGCAGGAAGATCGGAAGGGCGACACGGATGAAAATAAATTTGGGTGAAGGCTCTGTCCAGCCATCTGGCATGGACGGGTCTATGCGATTAATTGTCATGTTTGAACGGGTTATCACTCCGAGGAAACCCACATCGATGGTTGTTAAGACTTCAGTGAGTGGAGGAAGTACATTGCCTCGTCAAGTCCTGTGGCCTGATGGGCAGATCCTCGAAATGTTCGGGTTGACATGTTGACAGAGGAGCAATTTTGTTGCGTTCCTCATCAACCCCACTTGAGAAGTATATTTACATGGAAGAAGCCTTATGAATTCACCCTGGCCTTTAACATCCTAATAATCAGTTGAAATGGATACACCGTCATCCACCTTGCACACATCATCACTCTATACTAACACAAATGTCGCGTTTTTGTTGTCATATATTTAGCTCACACTGAATGCTTTCGCCCCACCACTGCCCCACCACTGTCCCACCCTGCCCCATTGCTTTCAGGTCTTCCGCAAGCCACGAGGCTCGCTGCCTCTCCTCGTAGCCTCCATCCCACGTACTCCAGTAGCGTTACCGGCCCTCACCCCGCAGATACGTGCCTGGCCATCCAAGCAGCGCCCCAACAACCTCCATCCCCACCCTCCCCACGTTCTACACCCGCACTCGCACCCGTGTCCTCGCATACCCGTCGCGCGCAAAAAACCTGATCTTCGGTCCGAGCCCGAGCCCCCAACCCGCCAGCACGCACTTCACTCCTGTCGTGCTCGTTCCTGTCTCCGCGCAGCCGCCCTCTGCGCAACGACGCTGTCCTGCTACTACTGCTGATATTCGCACCCTCTCTCGATGCCGGCGTCTGTCGTTTGCGCTCGTATTACCACGAACGCACGCCTGCACACGCGTGCGACGTCCTCGAGCCCGAGCTCAAGCCCAAGTCCGAGCGTGTCGCATCGTCCCTAATGCGGGTTCAACCAGAGCTGTAACGAGCCACCTAAACAGGCTCCTCTCCGTCCTCCTCACTCGCGCAATTTGCGACCCCGCTGTTCGCATCAGCGGGGTCCATTGCAGTCGCCGGTGAAGTCGAACTTCTTTTTCTGTTCCTTCGTGTGTGCTCGGGCTCGTCCCACGCACTCTATAGTGCCATCGGTCCGTATTTGCCCTGGAAATTTGCACATACTTTATAACTACAAGTAACTTTCTAAGAGCTGAAGGTTTCAAGACACCAGAGCGGAGCTCCGGTGGGTCTTGCGACCCTACATGATCACGTTAGATTTGAAGTTAAGAGTGACAAGCACCAGACAATGGGAGAGACGGAGTGCCTGTTGAGCGCTTGAGTACCAGATGCCTGGCCGGATGAGTCAACCTGCCCATGAAGTTCGTAACAGTCGAAAGACATACATAACCTTCTAACCATATCAAATTGGCCCTGCATCATGTTTCATTCGCGCGGTCTCTTCGATGTCGAGCTGTAAACGAGACTCAATGCCAGAATTCACAAAGGCAACGCTGGAACGAATATGGATGTTCGACCCTTGGTGTGTGCCTGTCTGCGCAGAAGAAAGGGAAGGTGCTGCGGCAAAATGGACTGAACCGTCAACCATACTGCCCTCAAACATAGTTTCTGCGTGACTCTTCTCGAGCGCGACGAACAGAATAATGACGGTGGGGTAGATAGCCTAGTATGTGCCAATGATTAGTAGACATTCAGTCACGACGCCGGCGACACGGACCGTAACATACGGGATCAGGCTCTGAATCAGGTCCTCTCCTAAAGTTGAAAAGACGTTGAATATGCTCATTATGTAGAGCATCTATTAAGATCAGTTAGCTCGCGATGATGTGAAGATATGGCAGAAATGTCGCGGATTGCGAAACGTACCCATACAAAGCAATAGAGAAACCCGGATTCTACAAGGAGGATTAATACTTTTTCCACCTTGGTTCTGGCATTGCCGCTGTCGATATTTGCTCTGATCGATTTCCGGTAATGCCTACAATGAAACGCAGTATCAGATAGGCCGCCTGATACTCTCACAAAATGAAACAGACCAAGCCTTGCATGCCACCGAAGAAGTGGAACATATATTTGTTGCCAAGAGCGGCAGGAGTAAAATCAATCCTTCCAGTGAATTTGTTCCGACCAAACTTCCATGAAGGTACTGCCTCACGCTGAGAGTTCCCTCCACGATTGGTCCAGCTGAAAGGATAGTTATCAATACAAGTTGTAGCTTCGATTTGTCTAGTTAAGCAAAGGATGATGACATACCAAGGCTTGCTAGGAGGCATATAGTCAAGACGGCACGAACCTTTGCGTTCCCAGGCCAGAGGATCCAAGCACGCCATACTACAATGGAATCACCGAAGAAAAACTGATTGCAATCCGATCATCCAGAATCTCCAAATTTGAAGACCCCGAAAAACTCACATTGATTCTTTCTATGGGGAGCTCTGCAATTGCAAGCCGCCTGAAAATGCGAGTCGAATCATAGGGTACAGGTCCAAGTGTCGGAATTTGGATCACGAAGCCAGTAATGTCCATACCCAAGAGCTGCTCCCGCGAACATAATAAGAGTGGCAGCCAACATTGCCTGGCGTGGCCTCGAGTCTTTGAGACCTCGATTTCTATAGGACTTAAGGTCAGCGATGCACCACAAACAAAACCTCTGCTTACACGAGAATGTATGTCGACTCCATAGCAAGAGTTGCGTATATGCCTGTGGAATCAACATCAGCCCCAATTATATGTATGAGCGTAGACTATTCACCGTACGCCAAGGACCCACAAACAACCTCGAGGAAGTTATTCCTAAGTCCGATAATGCCTGCTTCGGGCAAAGGCCCACATTGGAAGTCGGAGGAAGACATCCACCTCGAATGAAAATCACGGTGATTGAGACTAAGTAGAACAGAGAACACCGCAGTCAGTCGCGCTGCCGAAGGCCTTTTAGATACAAAATTAGTCAATGCTTGAGAAAATGCTGGCCATTACCATCAAGGTCGCGACATTGATGTAGACTGAACATGCGCTTTAACAGCAGGCAGTCTGACCAAAGATGGAATAACGTCGCTGTGAGATTGATCAGGTTTCGAGAGCACAGGTATCAGTCGCTGCTAGCGCCGAACGTGTCCCTCGTGCTAGGTATACAGAGAGTGGTAGCCTTGCGAATGTTGATGACCGTAGGGTGTAGATTCTGTATCAGAGGTCTGATTTATATGGGTACAGAACCATAGGTCCATACGTAGCAGCGCATGTGAGCGAGACTATTATGGCTATCCAGGTCGCTCCGATATCATGGCGGTTGATCAGACCGCGGGAAGAGCGCGCACCAGAAAAGAGGGTAGCATGAATAGCTACAAATGCCTCGGTCTGTGTTTGATACATGCGACGGACAGCCGTTGAATACAATTCCTCCTGTCCAGAACATTTATATAGTGGATCATTAAGCAAGAAAGAGACGAGACTTGAACGGCCATCGTGCGCATTTGTATGTTAGGATCAGATGTTGCAGATGTATCAGAATCAGAATTGGGTACAATCAGAACACCTTGTTTTCAGTCATTCATTTTCGATATGGTGCGTTTTGGAGAGGAGGGGATTTCGAGGTGCCATCGCGTCGACAGCCGCAATCAAAGCATGGAACAGGAACTCGAGAGGCATCTCAGATGAAGACTGGTCTCGATTTATTGGTGACAACGCGGAGCAGCACGACCATCAGAGTTGTCCGCAAAGATTGGGTTTCGGAGTTATCCGTTCAATCTCAGTCCTGGTTGTTGCACGACGCGGCATATACCACTCTTAAGTGTATGCGGATTTCGATATATGTTATCTACGAGCCCTTCGATACGCTGACGCTCTTATCTCGTGAGTCACCTCGGTTGTGCTGAGGTATGTGGATTTTGAGCCTCAGATTGAGATCATCGCCCTCACTTTCGAAAGGCTGGCAGTGCCATATTAATGTGCTTCGTTCAGGCTGACATTTTGGACCCTGTGGACGCTCTCGATTTCTTATGGAACGTGGTACCGCTCTATCTCCTGATAATCAGTCAGAGTGGAAACGGAGGAGAGGAGGGAGCCGGCGTTCAAACATGGCAATCTCAATGTCTGGCCTTGTTTTCGTCTCACCCGAATATATGCACTTCCGGCTTTCATTTGGGAGCTCCTCGACCCTTTTGAGGTCAAGGGAGGTCAAGGGACTGTTTAGGGTTGCTCCTTGAACGTGCGCTGACCTCCGAACTAAGCTATCTGCAGTCGTTGTCCAAGACATCGCTTTAACCATCTATTAAGTCTCGCTGGTCGGAGCCGGGTTTATAGGGGGTCATTGTGATCGAGATCGTCTTCCAGACTCAATCTCAGCGGATTGTTCCAACTCAGTAGTATCCGATGCGGTGTGTAGATCCCAATGTGGGCTTGCTCCGACGGGTAGCGTAAACGAGACCCGTGACGGACACCACCATTCTCTATCCAGCCGTGGTTTCGACCTTGGATCCCCTCTGCGTCGCGGACCCGACCGTCCTCTCCGGCACATTAGCTGAGAAGATGGAGGCAGACTTTGTGAAACAGTGCAGTACGCAAGTCCTGGCTTGATGTCCTGTTCAACCTGCTAACTCGACATTAGGGGTCCAGTGTAATGCCTATGGACTTTGACAATCCTGCGCCGATAGCGGAAGGACAAGTATATAGGAGGCTTTGAACGGCCGTCTTGTTCGAGCTCGGGTTTTCACCTTCTCCGTCGCTCTCACATTTGTCTCGGTATCGTCAAATGTTCACCATGCACGTTCAACGTGTTACCATGAGCGCTCTGGTTGTGGGCGTGCTGGCCAGTACATTGTATGTACTGCATCTTCTACCAGAAATATAGTTGATGAATGAATCCCAGTCTAGCGGGAGGTGAGCTCGGACACTGCTGTTACTGGATCGAATGATGACCTCTTAAAAGTGGCTGCATTTCAGGCATTTCTTTATTACCAGGTTCGCCTCGGCTCTTGCGTCACATAACAGAGGAGCTTAATTTTAGCGTGTAGCTGTATCCTGACGACAAGAGAAGGATAAAAATACTTGTGCGCCTCTCACTCACTTTCACTAAGACGATTCTAATGTTCGCATCTAAAGGTCGCTGTTGTGTGGTAAGAGCTCCGAATGATTAATCGCCCGCATGGTTAATTAATACGTGACATAACGCTAGGTTTCTCGATATCACCCAAGAGATACTCGTCTGCATATCCTGTACGCACATTTGGCCATCGATCATCACCGTGACATGATCTTCTGACGTTCGCACCAGTGTTTTATTACGCCGTTCTCCATCGCAATGTAGACGCCCTGGCAGACAATGAGCTGGCTTGGAGCCTCGTAGTTGGATTTTTCTTCAACGTGCGTGCTAGTGTCGACTCGAATATATGAATGAGTCTAAACTTGCTTTGACTTCTAGGTTATGATCACTTCCGTAGTTCAAGGGTTCGTTTTCAATTCAGCTACGTCTATTCAATTCTCTGAATCAATCACAGATATCTATCGTACCGCGTGTGGTATCGTGAGTCTATCGTTTAAATTGTGTCGCCTTTGCAACTCGATAGATCAAAACGCCCACAGTCAGTAACAAAAACAGGTTGCTTGCTTTAGCTATGGTCAGATATTCACTGGGCTCATAACCAACGAAGGCCCTGACTTCTGAATGCGATCTTTTTGTTGATATCAGATATCCTTCAATGTCACTGGTCTCGGTTCGCATCCTCAATCTACTCAGTTTGGGTAATACCTGCCTCATGTTGAATTTTATCTATCACAGCGTTAGGCCTCAGTGCGTCCCCTTATTTGTCGTTCTGTATTATCCACTGACCGCAACACCCGCTCAGTATATTCGGCTAAATGGTATGTATCCTGATCCCTCTCGCTGCTTCTCGGCTAGACGAGTAACATACAGCCTATCCGACATCTCATTCCATATGGTGCACCAGACGAGCGTCAGTTCTTCGGACAGTACAGTCTGTTTCCGGGACGTGTGCTGACAGACATGGCATCTCAGACACTTTTCTGTGCAATGTTCGGCGCGAACCTAGCATGCGACGTCACCGTGACGGCCGCGTTGATTGTCATATTACAGGCGCGGAGATGCGAGGGTTCTCTGTGAGCCCGCTGATATCTCGACATTCAACTAATACTGAAGGCAGCGTTCATGATGATCTTGCGAACATCGCTTTCAGACACAACAGCGTCATCACACGAATCATGGTGAGCGGCGGTTGTCACACCATGATACCTTTCCAAATCGCCAACATCTCTCATATGTCCAGTTGCACTCGTTGAACACCGGCTTGTTGACGAGGTTAGTTGGTCCCGGCTCTCTATCTCAGCAGTCATCCTCATCAAACATTCAGCATATGTGCACTATGTAATTTGGTCATCGTGCGTATTTTCGATCACATTTCTCGATCAAATTTTGATTCACTCTTCGGTTACCCAGATGCTGGCGTTGCCATATACTGCCATCGTGCTCGGAACCCACGTCGTCCTTGGTCGCTGTAAGTGTCTTCCCTCTGTTTTGTAGCATGAGCTCACGTATAGTCTAGTGCACTCCAACTCACTTTTCGCAACGTGAGCGCCCTCCCATATGTTCTTGAATTAGTGATCCTTAGGTTACCACTATCGACCTACAGCCTGAACGTCCGACGAATGTTTCGCGCACAAATGTGCCGCGCTCCGGACGTCGAAGACATCACATTTCCGAGCTTCCGCCCAAGATTTAACTCGACAAGCCAAACGTCATCTTCGTTCGACAGGTCGAAGGGATCCCTGGTACGCCTTCTCTAAATTGTACCTTCAATGTAATGAAATGGTCGGCGTTAGGTCTCAACCCCCGAATCGGCGCATGCGCGAAGGGAGGTACGATGGATCAGCTGTGACAAAAGCATGCCTACGCCGCCGCTGTGCCAGATGACGTGCAGGGATTCCCTGATCGAGTATGTGCGTATCCTCATCCCCCACATGAACCCGCCGTGGTCAATGATGCTTACAGGACTACTCAAGATGGATGAGCCCCTCGTGCGTTGACAATCTCCCTCACGCAGCATTTTCCATCGGCTTATACATTCGATATGCAGCTCTTCCCGAATATCAGCGCAAGGGTACGTCAAGCGTGCCCAATGAGGAGACGATGTTAGATCGTAGATGAAGAAAGGCGTGGTTTTGTATTTGTATCATGTGTTTAGGGAGGGGGCGGATCGACCGCTCACAAAATGCAAGAATGGCGAAGTGAAAGGGTCCCCTGTCGAAATCGATGAGCACGTAGAAGGTTCATATCATGGCGGACAGAAATGAATTATTGTTCCTTTTGGTCCGTAAAAGTTGTGTCGCCTGACGTGAGCGGCACTTGAGGCCTCCAGCGAAGGCCGACCCAAGGACTGCTTGCAAGTGGCCATCGTCGATCATGCATGGAGATGTATGGCACGGGAACATGGCAGAGCTAGTCGTTATGATCGTCATCCTCTATGTAGACGAATGGTTCGGAGCTGGAGATAAAAGAGGAACATGCACCAGTCAGGACGTCGACCTTTGCGTCGAGTGTCGATAAGGATGTGCCCAGATGGTATGGAAGGGACTCGAGGTCCAGTTCCCCGGAAGACTCGTGCCACAAGGGCAACATCGTGGATGGCGAGCACTCATTTGCGGAACGCTCAGCGCTCAGCTGCCGCGATTCGCCTTCAGAATAGCTCCCGAAACGCTGATCGTCCCCCAGAGTACCAAAATATTTCTCGATGACAGTCGATAATTGTCGGTCTATTGTTGTCAGTCTAAGTTTAGTTTCCCCGGGCAGCCTGTGGTAAGTGATGGTGATGATGTCCAAAATGCAGGCTCGAAAGGGAGGTCTGCTCCGCGTCTTGTGTGGTCTTTTAACGGATGCACCCGTCCGGAAACAGTTCTGAGCAGCGAAAGTCATCGATCTGTGCGGTCCGCCTTTGATGGGGTAGAGAAACAGGAAACGATGAGCAACGGCCTCCCTAAGGAAACAAACGGGAGCGAGACGAATTCAGAAGCGTGAATGCGGTCTGGACTGTCATGGCATACTTGGCAGAAAATAGCCACGAGCAACAGATGGTTGAAAACGCAGAGATGGAGAGACGGCCTGCGTCGGCTCCAGTGGTTGAGGTCAGGTGCCACAGTAAAAGTGTCTGTTATCCATCCATAAATAGAGGGCGACACTGGAAAATTGTGGCGCTGGGCCGGCGGCTCATGTCGCGTGTCTTCGCTTATGCTCGCGTGGGCCACGTAAGAAACCACGCGAGACCACTGTCCCATAGGCTTCGGGACGCGAAACGGAGCGTGTCGGAGCTTGAAACGGAGTTGGTCAGCGCGCGCGTGCCCGGAGCTAACCTAACCATAGGGAATTCTCTTCTCCTGGCACTGTCTTGCAGTGATTTCTTCAGGCAAGGGGGCATTCACCAAGTGCTTAGCTTGGCAACCACTCTGGGCTCTTGGTTTTTTTTGCAGGTATTTTTTTTATGTAAATTAATAATAAATAAAAGGGGACAATAAGAAATGGTGGCACTGGGCTAATAGCTCAAGTCCTATGTCCTTGCTTATACTTATGTAGGCCACATAAGACACCATGTGAGCAAAGCAAGCATCCATGACAAATTTAGTGAGTAAAGTAAGCTATGTCTGGGTGCTCCTAGCAACCCTAGCAACTGGAGTGGGCTATGCCTCTGCAGCCATTAGAGCTTGAAATGACATCTTAGCATCTTATAGAGAACCTTACGGGGGAGCCTCATAGGGCAGAATCTCATAGGGAAATTTAATGGATGGGACCTTATAAAAAGCTTTATATGGAAATTTTATAAGAAGGACCTTATAGGATATCATAGAAGAGCCATATAGGGATATTAAGGTACTAGACTTTATGGGCACACTAGACTTTACAGGCTAGCAACTAGAGTAGGTTATGCCTCAGAAGCCATTGGAGCTTGAAATGGCATCCCAGCACCTCACAGAGAACCTCACGGGGGAGCCTCATAAGTGGGACTCTGATGGGGGAGCCTTATAGGGCAGAATCTCATAGGGGAATCTAATGGATGGGACCTTATAGGGAGCTTTATATAGGAATATTACAGGAAGGACCTTATAGGATATCATAAAAGAGCCATATAGGGATATTGGGGCACTGGACTTTACGGGCACTGGACTTTATGGGCACTGGACTTTATAGTCAGTGCACTCTACAGGCATATGAGACCAAGCACTACAACAAAAACTCAGATTAAGCACGGGCACTGTACTTTACAGGCACTAGACTTTATAGGCACTGGACTTTGTGAACACTAAACTTTACAGGCACTAGACTTTACAAACACATCGGACCAAGCACTGTAGCAAAAACTCAGATTAAGCATGGTTGCGCCGTCGCAACGCGACGGGTGAAAAGCTAGTCCCTATATAGAGGGCGACAGTGAAGAATTGTGGCAAAACTCCGCCGGCTAATGTCGCGTGTTGTCGCTTATGCTCGCGTGGGCCACGTAAGAAACCACGCGAGCGAAGCGAGCGCCATGACAAATTTGGCGAGCGGAGCGAGCTGTCCCTTCAGCCACCCGGCAACCTCGGCAACTGGAGCGGGCCATGTCTCGGCAGCTGTCGGGGTTTCACACGGCATCCCGGTCTGCCCGGCAATGCCAACAACTGGAGCAGGCCGTGCCTCGGCAGCCATCGGGGCTCAAAATGGCATTCTGGCACCCCACAGGGAACCTCACGGGGGAGCCTCATAGGGCAGAATCTCATAGGGGAGCCTTATGGGCAGAACCTTTCATGGAATATGAAAAGGGAGCCTAATAGGGAAGCCATATAGGCAGGATCTGGCAGAGGAACCTTATAGGGGAATCTTTTGAATGTCATCTTGCAAAATCTCATAGAGGGGCCTTATAGGGGAATCTTATAGGCAGGACATTATAGAATATCATGGGAACTAGACTTTATGGGCACTAAAAGTGATATTCTAGCACCTTATAGAGGAGCTTCACAAGAGAGCCTCACTGGCAAGATCTTCAAGAGGAACCTGACAGAGGAACATAATAGGTAAGCATAATAAAGAAACCTAACAGGGGAATATAATAAAGGAACCTATATAGGAGAACCTTATATGGGCCATATATTGGCAGCTGTTGGAGCTTGAAATAGTATCCCAGCACTTTATGGAAAAGCCTTATAGGTATGACCTTATAGAGAAACTAAATAATGCTTGACAAGAGAGTCTTATATAGAGAATATTATGGGCAGGACCTTATAGAATATAATCAGAGAGCTATATTAGGGCAAAATAATTTATGGGCACTGGACTTTATAGGCACTAAAATTTACAGGCACTGGGCTTTACAGGCACTGGACTTTATAGGCACTGGACTTTACAGGGACTAGACTTTACAGGGACTAGACTTTACAGGCACATCAGACCAAGCACTGTAACAAAAACTCAGATTAAGCATGGTTGCGCCGTCGCAACGCGACGGGTGAGAAGCTAGTAAATAGAGGGCGACACTGGAAAATTGTGGCGCTGGGCCGGCGGCTCACGTCGCGTGTCTTCGCTTATGCTCGCGTGGGCCACGTAAGAAACCACGCGAGACCACTGTCCCATAGGCTTCGGGACGCGAAACGGAGCGTGTCGGAGATTGGAACGGAGTTGGTCAGCGCGCGCGTGCCCGGGGCTAACCTAAGCATAGGGAATTCTCTTTCCCTGGCACTGTCTTGCAGTGATTTCTTCAGGCAAGGGGGCATTCACCAAGTGCTTAGCTTGGCAACCACTCTGGGCTCTTGGTTTTGTTTTCAGGTATTTTTTTATGTAAATTAATAATAAATAAAAGGGGACAATAAGAAATGGTGGCACTGGGCTAATAGCTCAAGTCATATGTCCTTGCTTACACTTATGTAGGCCACATAAAAAACCCTAGCAACTAGAGTGGGCTATGCCTCTGCAGCCATTGGAGCTTGAAATGGCATCCTAGCACCTCATGGAGAACCTTACGGGGGAGCCTCATAGGTGGGACTCTGATGGGGGAGCCTCATAGGGCAGAATCTCATAGGGGAATCTAATGGATAGGACCTTATAGGGAGCTTTATATGGGAATCTTACAGGAAGGACCTTATAGGATATCATAAAAGAGTCATATAGGAATATTGGGGCACAAGACTTTTAGTAAGCAGAGTGAGCCATGTCTTGGTGCTCTTAGCAACCCTAGCAACTGGAGTGGGCTATGCCTCAGCAGCCATTGGAGCTTGAAATGACATCACAGCACCTCACAGAGAACCTCACGGGGGAGCCTCATAGGGCAGAATCTCATAGGGGAATCTAATGGATGGGACCTTATAAGAAGCTTTATATGGGAATCTTATAGGAAGGACCTTATAGGATATCATAAAAGAGCCATATAGGGATATTGGGGCACTGGACTTTATGGGCACTAGACTTTATGGGCACTGGACTTTATGGGCACTGGACTTTATGGGCACTGGACTTTATGGGCACTGGACTTTATAGTCAGTGCACTCTACAGGCACATGAGACCAAGCACTACAACAAAAACTCAGATTAAGCACGGGCACTGGACTTTACAGGCACTAGACTTTATAGGCACTGGACTTTGTGAACACTAAACTTTACAGACACATCAGACCAAGCACTGTAACAAAAACTCAGATTAAGCATGGTTGCGCCGTCGCAACGCGACGGGTGAGAAGCTAGTCTAAAGAGAGTGGAAGGGCAGTATCTCGCGTGGCAACACGTGAAAACCACGTGAGAACCCGAGCGCGAAGCGCGAGGGGCCAAACCTGACAAACTGCGGCGATAGCCGCGGCGAGCGCGAAGCGCGAGGCTAAAACAATTACTTTATTGGCCAAATTATTAATTTCTCTTCTCCTGATTAAAGCATTTTCTGCACCAAAAATCCAAAAAGGGAACCTGACAAAATATGACAAAATCCATAGAGCACAAGGCAAAATATTCTGACTCTAACCATCAATGTACCTTATATTTCCAACTCAATACCTGCTAAATCTATGCATTCTGTGTATATGTCTTTTAAGTTGGTGGAAAACTCTAGGAACATTACTCAAGTTAGATTAAAATATCCAATAACCTATAAAAGAAGTGCAATGAAACTAATAGGAGCACATACAACAGGAGCACATACAATGAGAGCATATACAATGGAAGCACACATAATGAGAGTATACACAATGGGAGCATATGTAATGGGAGCACACACAACAAGAGCGCATACAACAAGAGCACATATAATAAGAGCACACATGATAGGAGTATGGGAGCATATATAATAGAAGCATACACAATAGAAGCATACACAATGGGAGCATATGCAATGAGAGCACATGCAACAAGAGTACAAGCAACAGGAGCACATGCAATAGGAGCACATACAATAGGGGCATATATAATCAAAGCACATACAACTAGAGCACATCTAATAGGAGCATACCACACATAATGGAAGCACACCCAACTAAAGCACATCTAATAGAAGCATATGCGATGGGAGTATACACAATAGGAGTATACACAATGGAAGCACATATAATGGGAGCACACTATATGTAATGGGAGCACATATAATAGGAGCACACCTAACTAGAGCATATCTGATAGGAACACATATGATGGGAGTACATACAATGGGAGCACACATGATGGAAGCACATCCAACTAGAGCATATCTCACAAAAGCACACCACATACAACAAAAGCATATCCAACAAGAGCATACCCAATAAGAGCATATCAAATGAGAGCATACCCAATAAGAGCATACCCAATAAGAGCATACCCAATGAGAGCACACTCAACAAGAGCATACCTAATGAGAGCACACTCAATGAGAGCACACCCAACAAGAGCACATTCAACAAGAGCACATCCAATAGAAGCATATACAATAGTAGCATACCCAATAGGAGCACACCTAATTCAAGCACACACAATGGGAGCACATATGACAGAAGCACACACAATAAGAGCATATACAATAAAAGCATACAAAATGAGAGCACATGTAATAGGTAATCAAGTCACAAGTATATAGCCAACAATAGATTACACACAGACTACATACAGACCACACTCAGACTGTAGGTAGCCTATAATCAATGCATAGTTTGCAACTAACACGGAATATTTCAATCCTCATAGTCATTTAAAACTAAACTACAAAACTCAGATTCAACCCTAACCCCAAGAAATACTATTAAGCACTGTGCAAGAGTCGCGAAGCGACGGGTCGGAACTCGTGTCAGGGACGTAGGCCGCAGGCCTGAACGGGAATTTCCGGAAGATGGAAGATGGCAGAGGATGGCAGACGTGTGATGGCAGGAGAGGGGAAAGATGATGAGACGCTGATGCGAGCATTGAGAATGATACATGATGCGTCTAAACTGCTGTGCACAACGTTTTGGATGATGCAGACCGTCGTTTATTTATAACAAGCCCTTCTGCTTCGACGCGAGATGCCACAAGCCTGAAAGGCAAAGGATGCGAGAAGGGGTTCGACGATGAAGCGCCCAACGGATTCATATGCGATCGACGGCTTGCAGAACAGCAGGCACGCTGCCGTGGGTGGGTACATATTTAGCACAGACGCAACAAACGCAACAGTCCGAGAATAGGATTCCCTAGGAGACGATTTACGACTACGGCTGGCGACAAGAAGCGTGGGTGTACGACGTCTGGAAATGCCAGTCAGTGGTCGGTGCGATGTTTGGCGTTACATGGAGAGCTGAGAGACTGTTTGTGCGCTTTTGCGTGTTTCGTGGGGGCGAACCAAGAGTCGACGCGAGCGTATCAACGTAGTATCAACGCGTGAGAGAGCGTTGGCTGGAGTAGCAAGGGCTGGAGGCTGCGGAGAGTGTCTGGAACATGGAATTTGAGGAAATGCCATGGAAACGCAGGAGTTCGGCGGCCAGCAGGCGTCTCGGCTGCACAAATAAGACGCATCAGCATCAGAGACCGGCGCGCGCACAGGCTGCCCTCCCTCGTCTCCTTTCTTTCTCCTCTCTTTCCTTTCCTTCTCTCATCTCTCTCCCCCAAGGCCGGTCCTTTCCCTGCACTAATTATAATACCCTCCAGTGCGCAGGACGTCGTCGACGCAACCCTAGACTGCCATGGCCAACAACCGTTCCTCCGGTTTCGATTTCTCGGACCGGCCTCCTGCCTTCGACCAGCACCCTGACCTTAACATGGATGGCAATCAACCTAGCCATCTCCAGCGCAATAAGACAGAGCGCAGGCGGCTCCAGGGCCTCCAGAGATCGAACACCACCGCTGCCAACCCTTCTCTCGTATACGTCCCCAAGACGTGGAAGGAGAAGTGGGATCTGTGGATGATTAACGAAGGCGGCAGGAGATTGTTCTTCTTCGTATGGATTTTCCTCCACCTCCTCGTCGCGGCATTCGGCGCCCTCCACTACCAGTTGAAAGACAATCTGGTCACTGCACGCTCGATTTTTGGCTCGACCTTCAGTGAGTCTCGACCCCGTTTATCCTCCTTACGACCGTCCGGTTCTGACGGGAAATGTACTGTAATCGCCTTGTCCTTCATCTCGCTGACTGCGCACTGTTCTCTCGTACCCAGCCATCGCCCGTACCGCTGCGCTTGTCCTCCACGTGGACGTAATCTTCATCCTCCTCCCCGTCTGCAGGAACTTCATCTCCATCCTCCGTCGCACTCCCCTCAACCAGATCATTCCCTTCGACAAGAACATCACGTTCCACAAGGCCACAGCATGGTCCATCGTTGTTGGCTCCGTCGTGCACATCGTCGCGCACATGTTCAACTTTGCCAAGCTCGCGATGGCCGATACGGATGCGAAGACCGGCGGTCAGCGCTTCGTCGCTTTCCTCGTCGCTAACTTTGCCACCGGGCCCGGCGCGACGGGTTGGATCATGACTGTCGCTCTCGGTGTCATGGTCTGGTACGCGATGGAGAAGCGCCGCCGTGCCCGCTTCGAGGCATTCTGGTACACCCACCACCTGTTCATCGTCTTCTTCATCAACTGGCAGCTCCACGGCATGTTCTGCATGATTCAGCCTGATCGGCCTCCGTACTGCTCTTTCAACACGATCGGTGTCTTCTGGGTATGCTATTTTTTTATTACCAGTCACAGCAAATATTTCACATTGATGGCTCACGGAAATATCATTTGTAATTAAAGCGTTACTGGCTCGTCGGTGGTGTCATCTGGATCTCCGAGCGCATTCTGCGTGAGGTCCGCTCGCGTCACCGCACTTACATCTCGAAGGTCATTCAGCACCCGTCGAAAGTCATGGAGCTTCAGATCAAGAAGGAGAAGACGAAGACCCGCGCTGGTCAATACATCTTCCTGTCCTGCCCTGAAATCTCGTACTTCCAGTGGCATCCTTTCACTCTCACCAGGTGCGCGATCGTGTCCCTCTCACCCCAAAACCGCTTCGTTTTCTCATCGAGCATCATATATCTGGTATGCTTCCCTAAAATAAAATAAAATAAATAATGCAGTGCGCCGGAGGAGGACTATATCTCCGTTCACATCCGTGTCGTCGGTGATTTCACAGGCGCGCTGGCCAAGGCCGTCGGTTGCGACTTCGACACCAAGGAGAAAGGCGACTCAGGAGGAAAGGTCGTCGGAACCAATGTTAACCCTCCCCTTAACCGCGTCCTTCCTCGCGTGATGGTTGACGGTCCCTTTGGTTCGGCTTCTGAGGACTTCTTAAACTATGAGACCGTCCTTCTCGTCGGTGCCGGCATTGGTGTCACTCCTTTTGCCTCGTAAGTCGATCATTGTTTTTTTCGGTTGTGCATATGTTTCTCAGCGGCCTTTTTTTCTTCCTGGGCGGTCATCAGGATCCTAAAGTCCATCTGGTACCGCATGAACAACTTGAACGACTCGAAGCCGACACGTCTCTCGAAGGTCAGTCTGCCACGTACGGTGACGGCAGGGCAACTACTGATCACATCGACCGTTTCCTTCCCACGTCCCTTTTTATATTGCGGTCGAGCAGGTATACTTCACCTGGGTTATTCGTGACTTTGGTACCGCCGAGTGGTTCCACTCGCTCTTGCACGCAATCGAGGAGCAGGACACCCGGAACAGGATCGAGATCAATATTTATCTGACCGCGAAGATCAAGGAAGACGATATGAACAACATCATCGTGCGTGTCCCCATTCGCTCGCCTATAGCCCACGAGGCGATTGGACAGATCACTGACCCTGTTCTCCTTTTTTGCCTTTGTGGTTACTGCTGCTGCCTTTATCGATCGCGATGCGTGCCGTTCATGGACGACAGGTCCAAGACGTCGGTGCCGAGAAGGACGCGATCACCTCGCTGCGTGCGCCCACGCACTTCGGACGACCGAACTGGGACCGCGTGTTCAGCTCGATCGCGGAGAAGCACCCTGAGACTGACGTCGGCGTGGTACGTCCCCATGTCCCCATTTATCATCTAAATTCATCGCCCCTGAACGCGATATGTGTGTGCGCATCTTCGATCCGTGTAGTTCTTCTGCGGTCCCACTGTTCTGTCCAAACAGCTCCACAAAATGTCCAACAAGTACTCGCAGCCCAAAGGCACCCGGTTCTTCTTTGGCAAGGGTGCGTGCGGTGTTGTCGTGTGCTCGTCTGTACCTGGGTCATCAGATGCTGACATGGATCTCCCTTGTCACAGAAAACTTCTAAGTGCCCGCGTTGCCATTGGAGTCGTCAGTTGGAGTTGTGCGGTCGTCGGCCACGCCCCTTCGTTCGTCATTCATTTATCGCTTACCGTATTATTTCGATCTCGCCCTGCCCTGCTTTGTACCGTATTCCCTCGCCTGAGCTTGCTTGTGTCATTCCTTTGCGTTTTGCGCCACTCTCGTTGGCAGCGGCAGCGGCGGTCGGGAGAGTGCACTTGTTCCTGTCGGCCTCGTTGGATTTAGAGCGCGTTTTGCTTGGATATAAGTGTCTGTCTGTGTCTGCCAATAGGCAGAGTGTATTATACGGACGGGATTTTTCTATAGTTCTTTTCGGGTCCTTGATGGATCTCGGATGGATGACGAGCTCGATCTTGTGTTTGTATTGTTTGGGTTGACTAACTCGGTACGGTATGGTCTGTGTTTGCGGGGCCGTAGACGGCCTCGCCCTTGATCGTTTGTCCCTCACATGCATGTCTAACCTGAGACCGCCTGTTCCAGAAAGTCAGTCCAAACAGCCCATTCAACACTATGCTTATCGACTGGCCATCCGACCGGATGTTATACCGTCTAGTCTCGTGCTCCGTTTGGTTTATCGACAGCCCGAGGACGTCCTCGGAGGGGGGTTCAGCCAGTGCGCGATCTGCATGAGGGGTCTCTTGGTGAGTTGTGAGAATGTATCTAACCTGATGCATGCGGATTTCTGTGGGGCTGTATCGGGCTGTGTCCTAATATCGCGGCATTTCACATCGTCGATGGGATGGGATAGGATGGGACAATCCGCGGGAACACTGCTCATTGGACAGCATGGGATGCTCAGCACTGGGCACCGAATTGAGCCCTTGGCCTGTAGGGATCGGATAGATGCTCAGGTAATGTCAAGGGTGCTATTGGACGTCGCGAGCATAAGTAATCAACATGGACATCAGCGAACTTCTTGGGGGAAAACCCTGGGGAAGCGTGGGGGCGCAAGAATAGCGGCCAACGAGAGTCGCCCTGCCCCCTTGACCATATCAGCTGCATCCTGTTGTACGCAATATGAGCTCCAAGCCAATCGGACAAAGCCCGACGGACGAACCTGGGAGACCTTGTTCATCGACAACGTTGGTACAGATGTACTTGGCGGTCTCGTTATATGGCGGCATTACGTTAAAGTTCTGGAACACCATATGCGGGCAGGGCGCAGCAGAGCTGCAGCTCAGAGAGACCACTGACATGTTCATGTCACCGAGTCAGGACGCCGTGCGCTCCAAGGTTCAACAGGTACGGGACGTACGTTCAGCCCCAGTCGAAGTGCCTTGCCAGTTTTCCCAGGTGATATCGCTGAACCGCAACGTCGACGGCGCGTCCTGGCTGCATACGTGCGAGCGCGGCCGCTGTCACTGTCAGCGCTTGGGACCTGTCGATCTAGATAAACGCGTACGAGTGACCGTCGTTCGTCTGGTACAGCTGGGTTGGCAGATCGACCCGATCTAAAGAAAAGTTGCGCAGAGTAACGTTCGAAACGTGGCCTATCGTGATTTGGGAGATGAGCTACGATGAGCAAGGTCTCAACGAGATCTTCAAGTTCGATGTACCTCCAGCCCCTCCGCCGCCGGTGGGCGGACTCCCGTGGACCGTACCAGTCCATGTTTTCAGATAGGCCTTCGGGGATGCAATGGTGAGATCGAGTCACAAGAAAAGGAGGGTCTAGCCTCCGAGGACTTACCCCCGACTTCATGTTGGGCTGGACTTCGGGGTCAAGGCGTATCGTCTGAGAGGACTATGAGCGCTCCGAGAAGCATGGGCGGTGTAGGCCCTATTATATTTCACAGAAAAGCGGACCTTGACATTTTCGATTACCACATTTTCAACTATATCGGGCTTGGTTCTGGAATCAAATGTAGTGCGAGACCGTTCTGGAATGTGGAAACTCACCAAATCGACGTATTGTCCTAGAGATCCGAATGCAATACCATTTCCACCGCGGCAGGTTACATTGCGTACGAGCAAGTCGGTGGTGTTCTACAAGGAAGTTCAGAACCTAGATGCGGCCCTTCTGTAGATGTAGCCGGATCGCACCCCTTTGATTGCTAGACAATCGTCACCGCAAGTGACCTGAAGGAAGCCAAAGCTAATGAACGTCTGTTCGGAAAATCTACGAGATCCGAAGATACTCACGTCCCAGTTCTCGAGGGTAATACGATTACTACGGTAGGTATCGATGCCTACAGATTGTGGCATGTTGAGCGTCCACGTCAGTACCGGCGCAACCTGCTCACCGTCGGTATTCGGGACGAGGCTGATCGACGAACGTCCACGTCAAATAGATTATACCACGAGATACGATGAAAGGAGAAACACCCACTTCCGACCTGCCCCTGCCGGATCGGTATTCGTGGCGTTGCAGTTCATGCCGTCATAAATCACATCCTCGGAGTTCGCGACCGCGTTGCACCAGAAGGGTGGGGATATGACATGGAAGTTAGAAATACGGCCATGGGTCACATTGGACAAAGTGAGTGCGATAGGGCGCCCGTCCCCATCCTCACGAGTGCGATTGGCATAATAGGACCACCACGGCTGCAAACAGGCGATGCGTGTTCATGAATCAGCAATGGTTGTATCAATACCGAGGAGCATTCATAAGAGCTATTACCTGTCCATTACCGTTGATACCGCCTTCGTTGTGTGCGTTCACCTCGAAATTGTTTCCGGTAATGACGAACCACGAGGCTTGGTCCTAATCACGATGACGTGATATAAAGTTAGGAAGGCCTTCGAAAAAGCGCGGATTTGATTTAATACTTGAATGAACACGACTCTGTAGGTGCTACTGGCGTTTAGCCAATATAGGATATCAGGTTTAAACTATCGCCCTTGTTCAGTCAACGCGGGAGGCACATGGAACTGAAACTCTCACGTTCAAATAGCCATGCATGTCAACACGACTTCCAACTAAGTTCCAGGTCATCTTGCTGTTCGCTTATTGAGCACAATCTACATCGCCTTGCTGAAGTAGCCATATACCTGGTAATATTATACTGTCCCGATTCAAACGTCGTTCTTCCACCTCGGCCACACGCTGCAATAGCCGCCTTAACCTAGTAAAGGAAAGGCACGTCAAATGTCCGTCGCGCGATAGAAGGCATACAGGCATCCAGCTCACCTGAGATGTATCATCTTTACCAGGACCGAGTGGCCGCAGAATGCACTCCCTTTCGAATGCTGGAGGAGCTGCTCGAGAGAATCCCACTACAGTGGAGAGAAGGATTATGAAAGCAGTGCAGACTATACTGTGCATGATTTCAAAGATCTTCAATGCGCAAAATGCAAGGCACTTGGGGACTAAGATCTAGTGAATTGTTCCCAATCTGACCTCCGAATAAATAGTCGATTGTGACCTGTGGGCGGGAACTTACACCAAGTCATGAGTGCATCGCCGGGTGGTCATGCGCTCGCGTATTGCGAACCCTTGACCTCCAAGAATACGGATTTAAGCGATTATGGCAGGCTACGGTAGTGTCGCCTTGAAGCTACTATCAGTGCACCGGAGTTGCAAATGGTACGAGAGGTTCAAAATCGAGTTTTTCGGGGCATTTTTGCGCGGCACCTTTCGAAAAAATTCATAGTTGTTCATTTAACTACTCTTCAATTATATCACTTTTTTCAAGGACAAAATGTGCGTGCAGCGGCGGGAAAGTAGTGGATAGTGTTTTGTGTGACAGAGTTCTCTGCAAGATACTCAAGATCTCTTAGATCCTTGAGCTTGATTTTCAAAAACAAAGATATTGAGCATTTTTAGGTGCTTTCAAAACTATTTAATTCATTCTGATCTGACTTTGAGGACTCTAAGGCTCTACACGGGACCGTTTCCTACGGGCAGTGTCCGATGGTAGGCAGAGTGACAAGGAGCCTCGGGCCGCGTAATGCTTAGTCATTTTTTTGAAACGCCGCTTCGCAAGTCGCCCCGCAACCGGAGTTCAAATTTGAATGTGACGATGTGACCCCGTCGTCGGAAAGATTTGCAACTCCCTAGATTTGCTCGTTTTCAGACACCCCTTCTCAATCATATCACAACAATTCTTGCAGTTCATTCAAAAATATGAAAAAATGACAGAACATATTCCAAGAAGCTTCCGCAGGTATCATAAAAATTTAGAGTGAAAGGAAGGTTAATTGAAGATGCTACAAAGGAATCGTTTTTTTTGCAACTCCGGTGCACTGATAGTACTCTTCGTCAATCTTCGCTCATATCGTGTAAGGTTATTAGAGGTTATCAGTCAAATGATTTGATAAGTGTAAAATCCCACTGACCTCGTGAAACCTCTTCTACACATTGAATAAGGTCTCCTATCCATGTTACGAGTAAAAGTTAGAGATACACTACCATGCAAAGCATTCGCATTCGAGTCGTCACTTGTACAGTCGGATGACCCGGCGGGTTCCGCGCGGCCCGCCTAGACGTCTGCCTCGGAGGGGAAGCGTGGGTGACAGCCCGCTCCCAGACTACAGCTATGTAGCGTGCTGGTGTTCATAGTGGTGATGTCACCCGAATACGTTCGCAATGCTAGAAAGCTGAACCTGTTGGCTGTAAATACATCGCAGTGAATCAGAGAGAGTATAATTTGTGGCCTGGGGCAACTCGCAAGAATCAGCAATGCTCCGGCGCTTATCGAGAACCATTATCAATATTGGAGTGGGACCAGAACAGCATCAAGAGTTCAAGCAAGACTTCGCGATGTTCAAGCCAAAGAACTCGAGGATGACAGGATGTTGGTGTGCGAAGCGTGAGGAAAAATTTATGTAATATACGGTGTCGCACACGCGTCACCGCGAATCCTGTTCAATTCTTCATCAGGAGACGAGGAAACGCTCACTTATAGAACCGCAGAACCGCAAATATCTGCGTTGCTCATACTGCGAACTATTCCTGCTTTGGGTGAGCAGATATCCTGCAATGCAAATGATGTGCTCTTACAATCTGTCCAATAGCCTTGCATGAACGTGGGGTACTGATTAGGGTTTCTCTACAGCCTTCGTGCGCACGAAGATGGCTGCGGCGCTCCTTCACGGACTCAGTCAAAGCTGTTTCAAGGGGTCGGTCGGTTGCATCTTTCTTGTTGAGGGCGTTGGGCAAGTGAACCGGCGATTTCATATTGTGGCGACAGAATCGGTGACTTGAGAATGATGTTCCTACTCCGCACTGGCGCTGATACGGCGTGCGGATATCTGAAAAAAAGATGGCTACCTGATCGGCCTCCTGTGTGTAATGTTTTCCCTTCTTTCCAAAAGATTTGGATGTGTCATAGTAAGTACGTGCAGGACCGGTTGTACGAGTATCCCAGCCTATTTAAACCGGTCCAGTTGCAACGGCCCTTGGCGTTTAAGCTCGCCCTGGTTCCCTTCCGTTCATACCATAGTTTGCCTCTTCCGCGGATCCCGCGGATTTACGGATAACATCATCTTTGTCCCGCTCGATCAATCTCCGTAGCTATATTGCCTAGTAGATCCAGCCCTACCCAGCCCACATCGAAGGAAGTTCCCCCAGGCTCCATGACTTCTGCTATCTTCACCCGTCAGTTGACGGCGCCGACGGGCAAGTTGTCGCCATTCCGGAAGTTCTCATCTCACACCCTCTTCCTTCTGGCCACACAGACGCGGAGAAAACGCGTATACTCGAAATCTTGACGTCTGCTTTAGGGCACGGTACTGCACTCCTGTTCATCCACATTTAAACGTACTTGCAAACCGACAGCCGACAGACATATGTCTTCGTTGTGTTGCTGGGGAGTCCGACAGTGTCATGCAGAGCTTGTTCCGCATGTTCTTGGAGGGCTCTCTCCGAGATGGGGAGGTTTGGGTCGCTGGCTTCGACAATCGCATCGAAGCAGCAGCACTTTGGACAGAGCCAGGGAAGGATGCCATCATATCGTTCGTTCTGCACGCATTTTCACTTAGTTAGCGAGCAGTACTGACCGCCTTGTAGGATGCACGAGAACTATCAAGCACTACTCTCTGACGAGATGAAGGACTGGCTGAAGTTTCATGTACAGTTCAGCTCTATGGACCTGTTTTGCACCCTATTGATGTGCACCCCTATTTAGCTCATCCCTAAATACAAGGAATTGTATAATACATCTTTTTCCGCGGGAGAGAGCACACGAATGCAAGCATGGCACCTCAACCTAGTTGCGGTCGACCCACAACACTACCGACGAGGACTTGGAAGAGCACTCGTATGTACTGTGAGGGATAAAGTACTATAATTCGTCTTCTCAGCCGTGCATATACTCACATTATCCGGTACAGGCGGATCGTAACCATCAGACAATGACGGCCGACGTACCCACACTCCATTCGGTAAGCCAATGCATTGCGAATGTACCATATCATCTGAGGTTTCCTTTGGTTCCATAGGTCTATTTCTTCCAGAGTCTTGGATTCAAGTATAAGGGTGTAAAGAATTTTGTCAGTCGACGGTCAGGTTTTCCGCTGTGGTGTATGATTAGAGAGCCCGCGCGAGGTGCAGGTCGGTAACGCATTTTTGGAAACGTCGTGGTCGTTATATTTTTTTCGAGTTGGGAATCAGAGAACCTTGCAACTTTCCGTCCCAAAATTGGCGCGGAGCTGAATACACGTGAAACCCGATCGTAGATTCGTCACATGACTGGTAAAAGTCGCGTTCAACTTTTGGCCACGACACTCGTCGAGCAAAGTGTTCAGTATTTCAGTGGCCAGTTCTATCAGGAATCGCTCAGCCGAAAGACGAGGAAATTGCAGTTCTGTGAGTTTCGGCCTCTCATCAAGGTGAGATGACGCACGCAGCATCTTTTGGAGTGGGAAAGCATTCATCGAGCTCTCACACTGCACAGCACTCTTTGTGATTCTCATGCGTCCGCCTTCCATGTGCTAAGTCATCACTGTGGACCTTGCAGACTGATGGTCGTATAGAAATATGGTTCGTTGACTGACAATATATGATTCTCGTGATATATGTTATTGAACATCTAGGGACTTACTGCGATCCCAGAATCACCAATTGGCAGAGAATTGCGAAGCGATCCCGAGTCAATTACAACATCAAGAATATGCCAGTCGCTTCCCTTCAAGCTTCACGGTTCAAATTTGAAGCTTTCCTTGACGTGTGCATGAGGTATCAATTCACTTGATGCTATTATCGACGAAGTCTTACGTGTAGATGTCCGGGATCGTTGCGGACTGGCATCCGTTAAATTTGACATCTTAATGGGACTCTATTCCATCCAATGCCTTACGAATCTCTCGCTCCCGAAATCAAGTTCTGGAATGTGGGGTTTCGGAGTTGATATCGGCGGTTCACCTCAGGCCTCAGACCAGACAACGGTCAGCGGATTGGTGGCATGAGCTTGGAGACAATAATCTCAAATACATCGCCACTAAATGTCCGACAACTCAGGGGAATGTATGCATATGAGATCGGCGTTTGGGGTACCAAGATTGGCCTCACGACCACGTCTACCTGTTCAGTCTTCTCCTTAGCTACCGGCTGCAGCGCCCAATCCTAGAATCTCAGGCGCGATCCTAGACCCCTATGGCCTGCAATTTCCTGAGATATAGCAGCCACTGCCTTTAGGAGTCACTGGGAAAACCTCTAGCTCGGTCAGTCATATCAAATTCACTTGATTTGTGTTTTCCTAGTGAGGATGTTCACAGCTTTTGTCCTTTCTGCGTCCCCCGGTGGCCAGTACGTACAACGAAGGATTTTGTGGATTTTAGACCAACTCAAAGAACCTAAATGGAGGAGAGTATTCCGTGTAAATTTCCGTGCCTTTCCTTGCTGTCGGCACGCACTGCGTGTTGCCGCATCTGATTTCTGATTTGTTCAGCCGGTCTATATTACCGCAAAGCATATCTCCGCGGACATACTGGATCAAATCTTATGATCTCTACGGTATTTTTACCCCGGAGGATACATGACCATGATCGAGGGTACACGATTTTGCTCTGAGCTGCCGTCCTGACAAGGCGATATGTTTCAGTCTCACCATCTCATCATGATCTCGCTTCTCAGATACAGGCTTAGGCTTGTGCACACAGCATCATCACGAGCCTATCGCACTCTCACATCTCCGCGGAAATTCCAGAATCTGGCCGTAACATGGTGCTGGTGCCCCAACACTCTGCCCGTGGGGCGCAAACATCTGTTGCCATTAGTTGACTCAGGTTTTTGATTCTAGCTCTGGAGAGGCTCGATGGTATCCTATTTGAGAAGTCACTGCCAACGCAGGCAGCGACGATACCATCGCTATCCTCAGGCAGGCTCGACGACTCGCACCTGACTCTTGTCACATACGAAAGTACCGGTAAGCTGCATCTTCGCGCCCAAAATAGGACACAGTCTACCTATCTCAACATGAAACCTTCTTCGATTTTGAACCGCTACGTGAATTTTTCGACCCTTCTCGACTTCTTGTATGACGCTCAACCTGATCAAGAGGACTCGAGGTGATAACACCGGAGGGCGTCCTGCGAATGAGTCGAAGAACTTCTAGATACGTATGACTCTCCTTCGGCGATAGTCTGGATGTTCGCACTCGATACTCTGAAGCCTCGAGGTGCGTCAATCCTGTGTCTTTCCTACTTCTTGCCTGTCGTCACCACGCTGAGGTGAGACGTCACGAGACTCGCTGCGCTATCATGGCCGTAGCACTGATGACCAGGTTTGGATCGCTACATTCGCCCTAACACCCTTAAGTTCCCATGTATTCGCATCCACGGCCCATACGTCGCTTAACGTTCGACGTATTGAATCGCTGTTACGAGGATCAATCACACACGCAAAGTTGGTTTTCATCGAAAGGTTTCATCTCCGCCGCGAAACAGATCTCATTTATGTCCCCAACTTGCTTCACTTTCAAATTTCCCTGCTCACGCTCTTCGAAATCGGCCTTCTCTCCGCCCGATAGGAATTCAAGACTTGCTATTCTTGGAAGGTATAGGTGTTCGCGCGGCGCCAGGCAGCGCCGTGGAGCCTGCTCGTTGGACGATCACAAGCTGCTGAAATGCCTTCAACGCCGAGTAGCGCACTTACCGGTACGTTGGAGCCATACAAGGTTCGTGTGGTAATGTACGAGTACAATGGGCCTCGGGCGGTATGTTGATCACTTGGCAGAATGGTATCCTCACTGCTGACTGACACGAGGGACGATGTTCCCAGGTCTGATAGCCCATCTGACACTGAAATCAGTGCACGATGCGGCGTCTGATACTAGATGGTATCAGGATAACGCCACAAAGTTATGGGCGCCATAGCATTCATTCTTTCGAACGGATGCCTTCGGGCTCTGCCTTGAAGCACCGGTGCTTAGCGCGGGAACGATTGATTTGTACGTTATGGCGGCGTCTTCTTCGGCGTAGGGCGACCTCGCCAGCTGGCCTCGTGTAGTGTTTTCAGGCAACGCCCGTTCAGAAGCTTAATCTCACGAGAGGCAGACTAGGGCAGACTGCTCCTTCAATTATACCGAAGCCCGCTTTCCTCTTCTGAGGATAATTTCCGGTCGTTCCGTCTTCCGAGATGCAAACAGCATGCTGTCATTTCATTTCCATTTCATCGTTTAACGAATACAAGGCAAACGCGGAGCAGCAGACAAACCAATGATGAAGGGTACTAATGAGATTCTTAGACTAGAACTACAATCGTCAGTGGCGACGTGAAGCGAGCACCATTAACCTCCCCGAGCCCCTAATCCAGCTAGATCATCTGGGGAACCTCCGGACGTGATATGCGTCCTCCGACGCACGCACATCTTCCTCATCCTTAACATGGATAACTTGACAATTCTGATCGTGCAGTCTCGTCTACACCTAATTCGGCGTAGTGTCGTCCACGGAGAGGCCTTCCATCGCCTTCGCAAGTGGCTGCCCGTCTTTGTGGTTGGTCAAAGAGATGTCGTCCGTCTTCTTCAGCTTGTCAACCGACTCGCGCTTCGTCAGCCGATCTGCTACTAGCTCAGGATTGTAATCGCCAGAATCGCGGTTGTGGTGGTGCAAGACTTCCAGATCCTGATACACGTAAATGAGACGGATCATGAGATATTTTGGGTGAGAGATGACATCAGTACTAACCTCATTGGCGTTTTCCTATGTAAAAGTCAGATAGCTGAGGGCGATAAATAGTTGTGGAGGGGACATACCTTCTCAGACTCCTCCTTATACTTCAAGAGATTGGCCTCCAACTCTCGTGCCGCAGGAGATGGGTGGGCCAAGAGAGACATACGCTTCATCGCTGTGATACCTAATACTACTTTACGGACTACGCATCCCACCGACTATCAGGTTCTTTGTGAGCGCGAGAAAATATGATGGCTCACATTTGCTCCTTGCATCCAACTTCTTCTGGATGTGCGGTAACAAGTCAGTGGGTCCTCCTGTTGGGCTTGTGGGATCCGGCACAAAATGCGGGAGCTCGTCCGACAGCCACCTGTGCTGCAGCATCTGCGCAGCAGTTGGGCGGGAGGTTGGGTCGATGGTAAGACATTCGGCCACGAAATCCTTCGCGGTATCCGATACGTTCGCCCAGTATTCAGCTAAATTGAGTGAAAGCTAAGACATGAAGGTGTGAGACAATATTGTAGACTTTGTTACCTGGCTCGAATTTATAGTCACCAGCAATGATGGCTTCCATCTCTTGCTGCTGGTTTTCGCGATCGAAGGGGGTATAGCCTAGTCAATGAGAGTTCGACACGTGTCGATATGCAAATAACAAAAAGACTCGCCGGCCAAAAGGAAGTATGTGATGACGCCCATGGCCCAAATATCGACGGGCTTTCCGTGACCAGCTATGAAGGTTACGGGCTCAAAATAAGGAGTGTTATTCGAGACTATATTGCTCACTTTTTTTGAAGATTTCGGGAGCCATGTACTAAACTCGCATGTCAGTCATTGTCGTGAAAGTACAATACTGTGCACAGCACATACGCCAGGGGTGCCACAAATTTCTGTTAGCATCTGAAAGCGCTCCTCCTCCATGACGCGACTGAGACCAAAGTCCGCGATCATGATATCCGCGTCCTCAGCAGGAGTACGGAACAGAAGATTCTCGGGCTTCAGGTCTGGATAAATTGTGAGACATCAACGTAGTATATGAGAAAACGGGCACGTACCTCTGTGAACGATGCCGCTATCGTGGATATACTGGACGGCCTTCATGATGGTACGAACTAGTCCGGCAGCATCACTTTGAGGATAGTACACTCAATAGAGGCAAATAAGGAAACAAAGTGGTACGCACGGTTCGTGGTAATTTCCCTTTGCACATATGCGATCGAAAAGCTCCCCTCCGGTGCACAAGTCGAAGCACAAGTACAGGTTGTTGGCGGTCTGTGACGTATTCATCGACGGCGGCATCACATGATCGGATGCAAAGGACTCACCTCAAAATAGTCGTGGAGAGTAACTACATTGGTGTGACCACTGGAGATTCTCTTCAGCACTGCGATCTCATTTCGTACCTGTGAACAGGTCATATTTCGGTCTTATCAGCGAGCACGCCAACAGGGGCCTTCATTTACGCACCATGAACTCCCGGCCCTCCATCAACTTTTTATTAATAACTTTGCATGCATAGTACTTCCCAGTCTTGATGTGGACGGCCTCTTTGACGATAGCATAAGTACCACTGCCAAGTGTCTTTCCTGTTCGATACTGGCCAAATCCACGGGATCAGCCAAGCTGAGCACGCCAGCGGTAGATTAAAACGGGATTACCTGACAAGGAACCGTCGCTGGCACTGTAGGCATGTCTGTGTGCTGTTTTGACTTGGATGGGGGATAAAATGGAGTGAAGAGGAGGGGTCGCAAGAGAGTAGAGATTGATGCTGCTAAGTATAGCTGCGACAATACGAAATGGACCTATATCACTGACGGCTTCGGCGGCGCCCAAATCCGCATTCGGCAATTCCGGCCGGGGCACAGACTCTGTACTGCCCTTGTGGCCCTGACTGTCTGCTTCTTCTGCTTGCACCGCACTCTCAGTGCTCTGTTGCCCTCCGGTGCTTGCTGCGTGCGGATGCCGCGTTGACGAGCTCGACGAGCTGGCGGTGTAGCTGGAGTCTTCCTTTGCTCTGCGGGAGAAGCGGTGTCGGTGTGACGAGAGCTGTTGCTGGCTGTGGTTGTTGCCCATGTGTAGGTTGACTGAAGAGGAGGAAGAGGGGGGAGGGGGGGTGCTAGCGCCGTCGGAGGCGTGCTACGTATATATATTCGTCGAGCTATGCACCGACGGCCCCTTTGCAATCCATGCTGTGCAAGAAGCGCTTGCATGATCGGCCGGCCGCGCCTGTGACACGAAACTCCATCCATCCTTCCCTCTTCCAATCATCCACCGCAACCAAACGTCGCTGTCCAACCCATCACTCACCACACCGCAGCGCTCATGCATCGATCAAATCGTGTGTGTGTACATGGTCTCAAGGTTGGGGTTTATGGGCCTGCTCGCGGAATTTCGGGATGAGAACTTTCGCCTGGGAGGCCCCTCATCGAATCAGTGCGAACGGAATTTTTGCCTTGGGTGTGCGGCCTTATAACCGCATGCTTTCGTATGTGGTACGCAGTATCGCATTCCCTTCCCGTCTGTAAATCACCCAGCCGGTTTGTTGACGTAAGGGCAGACGCAGCGTACTCGGGGCGTCAAGCATCTCAATCACTGGGCGCATCGCGACCTGTGTAGACCCCCTTTCATGAACGTCCCTGCCAGCTTCATCTCGCCTATGAGCCTGCCCCACCACGAGTGTCTTTAGGGGTGGGTCTTGCGATAAGGGTCTTGAAAAGGTGACTGGTTGTGATCGCTGTGATCTCTCACTAGTGATTCACGGAGCGGAGACCCACTCGAATGATTTTCGAGCCTCGTTCTGGCAATAGGACTCGAACTCTGAGCGTCAAGTTTCTCTACGTGCTCCAACTACGAGCGATCCCGCGTGCTGTCGGGAGCTTCAGGAGTCTTGCAGGGCCTCATGTTAAACTCGTTTCTCCAGGATACATGGGTCAAAGATATCTTGTGTGACCTGTCATCGGTCATTCAATGGGTTCATCATTCGTCATTATTCCACATAAGGCTAAAACCTTCTCAGCCCTCAAATATGCCTCAGTCATCACCGACAGTGGTTGTGATTCATCCTCCATCTACTCTCTTCGCTCACAGCCCATCAACTCGCAATTTCTTCAAGGATGGCTATTGGGTTGTCTTCGCTGTTCTGTCATCCTCGTGTTGATTTCAATCACGCTCTATCGTGGGAGTCAGGGATCGTCCTCACTGCGCGCTGGAGACAGGAGGCTTTGAACACACGCTCATACTCGACTGAATGATCTCCATTAGAAGCCCATAACGCGCTCTGGAGACTCTGTTCTCACTCATCGGTAAAAATTCCGCGATCCCTGCGCTTCCTCAACCTCACGAGACTCTAGTCACAATCCACTCCATTTTCTTCAGCACGGCTCCGCCCTTCAACTTCAGCCCGACGCTCTCTTCGAACTCCACGTTCCTTGCCTGCACCGTCACCGCGCCTCGCTGAAACACCACTCCATTCCACATCTCAGTCCACGACTCCGGCGAATGGCAATACTGCTTCGGGTGCGACACCCCACCCTCGAATTCGACGAAACCAGCCTCGTCACTGCCCGTATTCCAGCCGAGAATGCACGACCCCGGCGTGGGAGAGAGCAGTCCGGCTAGCGCGCGCGCGAGGACGAGTTGCTGATCTATCGAGAACAGATGGAAGAGTGCGGAGGCGTGAATGACGGTCACGTGATGACGGAGCGGGTTGAGTGATGTGAGATCGCGGAGGGGTGGGCAGGGGGTATCCGGTGAACTGTGCGCCGGAGATGAAATAGCCAGATGGCTCGCGTCAAAGAGGTCGCCAGCGAGGAATGGGACCGCGAATGTCGTATCTGTCGATCTGAACAATCTGTGTCCCAATGACCAGAATCCTGAACAGGTTTGTATATGTGAAAGAGCGTGCTGATCTCGAACTTTTAATTCCTTACTAGGTTCGATATCTGTCGCAACGACCTGCTGCACTGGCCAACCGTCGTAAGTGACCTTGCGGGTATCTACGCCAACTTCCGTCACGAATCAGTGGGACATTTCGCGATGACAACGGATCTACCTACAACAGCAACCTACATCCAACAGAACGCCGCAATTACTCTGTTTTCCCATGGCCAGGACGTGCTCGTAACCGGGCAGGCGAGAAATGGCCAATCTAATACTGCTCGGTTTCCTTGATCTCAGTGGTGACACTATCACGCACCGTGTAAAAGTGAAAGACCGGATCGAGCTGTACGGAAACACCTGAGACACAACCATGCAGATTCACTCTGTGGATCTGACGTGACATGCTAATCTAGACGGCTTGCCTGATATGCATCTTTCTGCGCAGCCAGTATGTGCAGCCGAAGCTCATCCTCATTCTGAATTCCAGTTGTCTCCTTGAAGAACTTTAATTCGTCAGGCTTTGGTCTGAAGAGTGTCGGATCGAGCTGGAGGAGAGTCTGATGCGATGTCATGGTGTAGCAGGGCGTTGATACTCAGGTATGCGCAGATCTGCTTGCACGTTTCGCGCCTAAAAATGCTTTGGATGACAGGTGTAATGTTCGGTGGTGCTACGAATAGCTCACATTCTGCGTGTCAAGCTGGGTATGGAACGAACGACTAGTCCGGACCGAGCAAGGACGTAAAATCATCTGTGTTCCCACGTCTCGGATGTTTGGATCACTGTTATGGAAAACTCTCTCATCACCGCCTTCGTGTTTTCGCGCTAAAGCTAATTGACGAGTCATCCAAATCAGGCACTGCACATCGTTCTCGCCGTGTGCTTGCTAAAATGTTAGCACACGTCAACAAGTTCTGACCTCTCACTGGATGGCCATCACGAGTTCGCAACGTTCTGCAGCATATATCAACCGGTCACCATATGGGTCGAGTTGATTGGAGAACGATCATGAACTCCCGAAAGAAATATAGGCAGCTGAGACAGATACCTTCCCTGAACTCAGGGTCTGTGGAATTCTTCCCAATCACTACGTCGTCGCCCCGGCTAAGGTGGCTCTCCAGGTTACCGTGAGGCTCGGTTCTCAACGAGACTGGTCGAAAAGCTGAAGTTTACTTTTCCCAGTTAGCATAAGTATATCAATGTCGCCATCCGCACACTACAATGCTCCGACCTACCGTAACATACAAACTTCATGACAGTCCTGACAGTTATCCGATGTGCAGAACCGATTGACTTGAGCGCGTACGACTAAGATGATGCTCACTTTGCATAAACTACCACACTGTCTCGCATGCCGTTCCTCAAATTCTAGATCTCATATTATGACTGCTTCCAACGACACACTCAACTCGAACGGAATAGCACTACACGACAAACAGGTGGCAACCAGCAAACCACCCACCAGCACGAACACATTGCTGACACACGGCCGACCGACACCGACCGGGCAACGGGGCCAAAAAAAAAAGGACGGCCCCTTCACAATGACCAGGAGTGACCCGCAACGAGGGGTCCAGGAAGAAAATCCACGATGAACATGAGAAAAGAGATCGGATATCACAAAACAAATGCGAGAGACCAAAAGAAAGTGCCAGAGGAAACGATAAGCCGAGGGATCGAAAGCTATGAGGTACATGTGAAGCAAAGCGGTCATTAGCATTAGACGCCCACACGTCCCAGACGGGGAAGAAACAACCATCAGGGAGTCCCGCCGCCGCCTAAAATGACAACAGCGTGACGGTTCGTGGCAGAGGTGTGAGCGAAGCATGTTCAATATACAAAGATAAATGGTAATGGAACGGGATGGGATGCGGAGTGCACGGTAATTAAAAACACGAATTGAATGCAGGGGGTCCAAGAGATTGCGTTGCGAGATATATGCGGGGCGTGAGGCGTGAGGAGTGGATCTATCATGTTTGGATTGGATTGATATGGTATGAATGAAGAATTGTTGTATGGGGTGGGAATGAATGGACGGAGGGCCGGAATAGGCAAGGCAAGCATGACGAGTAGACTTGAGCTTATGCGATGGAGGACAAGTGACGGAAGGAAGAGCAAGCATAGGGGCAGGTCGAGACTGGGATGAATGGTCGGGGCCGTTTAAAAAGGCACGCACGTGTGTATGCATGCGCGATGGTCGACGTTCGTGCGCGCAGGGACCGAGGGACCGAAGAGCCGAAACCGAACAGGCCGACAACAGGAATGGAGGAGAACCGTCAAAAAGGGACCGGGGACCAGACAGAGAACACTAGATCCCCACCGAACCGAAGCAGCAGCGCGAGAAAGCCGAGGAGTACATAGCCAGCAGCACGCAATTCCCTTCCGCGGAGCACCTCACCGACAATCAACGACGACGCCCGGCAGCCATTCGTCCCTTTCATACTCAAACGTTCGAGACGTCGGCTTGAACTGGACGTCCATCGACAGCGTAAACTCCGTCGTTGTCGTTTCGTCCCCGTCCACGATTCCGACTCCAAACTCATCAAACATCGCCTTGTGATGGTGTGCGGGCACCGGGACTGGTGCGGCGACATACGCGGGGATCGTGTGCACAAGTGATGACGGGCACGGGCTCGCGGGCGACGGTGGAGGAACGAGGAGTATTGGCGGGTCCGGAGATAGCGTCGGGTCGAGGTCGAGCGCCTGCAGCCGGTGAATGCTGCGTGTGCGTGCGCGGATGCGCGGTGGCTCAAGCGCTGCACTCTGTGTTTCGAGCATGTCACCCCAGCCTGCCGAGCTCGGCGATGACGGTACAGACGTGGGCGTGTACAGCCCCGACTCGAGGTCCTGCTCTTCACCCTCCTCATCTGTCTCTGACACGGGGAACAGGCACGCGACATCGTAATCCATTGTGCGTACGGATAGGAATCCGCCACCACACGGCACGCGTAGGGTCTCGCGTGTGATGGGCGCGAAGCGCGCAAGCGGGGAGCTACGGAACGGCGTCGATAGCCCGACGTGCTTGACCTCTGAACGTCCCTGGTAGCGCGCGTTTGACCATGCGCGGCGCTTCGACTTAATCTCGAGTACTGAGTGCAGCTGGCGCTCCTCTAGCGCAAGATTCTTCTGTACGACCTCCATATGCACGAGCAGGCGCCGCAGGTGTAGCGTTTGGTTCGACAGCGCAGCGTACATCTCAAGGTCTTCGCGGGAGAACGCCTGCGGGGATGGCGAACGGGGCACGTTGCAATCATAGCCGGGACGGTGGGACCGAACAGCGACGGTGTTTGTCGGCGTGTGCACCGAAGAGCCGTCGGTATCAGTGCTGTTCGTATCCGCGAGAGAGCGGAGGTCGCCATCCTCGTCCTCGTCGTCCAGGGGCGGCGGCATGAGTGTCGGCGCTGGTGAAGAAAGCTGGTCATCCGAAGAGAAATGGGAGTAGTCCCTCAGGTCGGGAACGATCCCGCCCGCTTGCTGGACAATCCAGGTCATCTTCTCTGTTGCACGACGTAGCATGCTACTGACGATCCAAGGGCTGAAGCCGCCGGGATGAAGGCGGGCCTTGAGCTCAGTGAGAACGTAGCGGCGGTATGCATCAACGAGAGTCGAGCGTGCACGGCGACGCAGAACACGCGCAGACAGTGAAGGCACAGCGGGTGCACTAGGTGCGGGAGACGGGGCCTGTATGGTGTGGCTCGGAGGTGGCGTCGGAGGGAACGAGGCGCACGAAGGAACAAGTGAGCTGTATGCTTGTCAGTGACACATCGAGCTTGACGTTCAAGAGACGACACGCACGCAACGAGCGACATGAGCAGAGAGCGCTGCTTCTTGTGCTTCGAGTGTTTTGCCTGTACGGGCGGGGGTAATGGAGCCGGTGGGGGCTGTGGGGGAGCGTCTGCCCTCTCCTGCTCGCTCTCGAGCGCGGAGTCGTTCACGTCCCTGAGCACGCTCTCAAGCGCGCTAACGCACTCACGGCCCATCAAGGGCCACTCCTCAACACTGTGGTCGACGAACAGCGCAGAGACGGTGAGTGAGGTCATGTCAAATGTGACCTCCTGCAGCAGGGCGGGGATCCACGCTGCCTTGTCGAGCGAATGAATCGAGTGCGGGATCTCGAGGTCCTCTGCTGCGAGGCGCTGGAGCTGTACGTCCCAGTACGGCGGCATCGGGAGGTCGCGAGTCAGATTAGGGAAGGTGATGGTGAAAAGGATGGTCGGGAGCGGGGGGAGCGGGACGACGCGGATAAGCATGTCGGGCGGTGAAAGAGCAAAGCGAGAGAGAATTATTAAGATTAAGCGAATATATGGAGTATCAGATAAGTAGCACAAGGCACAGATGAATGAAAGGTCAGTCTGACAGAGTGACTGGGGGGTAAAGTATGCGTATCAGAACGCATATAGTCCACATATTAGGAGACATTTACCAATCAAAACGAGGTTCCGAGCTCTCCCTGAGAATAATGAGGGATCCCAAGAGGAGCTTTGATCGAGCGTTACGAAGTAGGCGACGGCGGGCAGACGTCGACAACGAACAAGAGTTCGACTGGACGGAAACACGGTCAGAGCCCATATGAACAGCCACGAGAAGACAAGAAGTAAATTGAGAGATATACGGGTATGACGCAATACTAGGCTGGTCACGGCGTATGCTCCACTTGAAACATTCCCAACCGACATGCTCTACCAGCATCTGAGGAGCGTACATTGTCTGACAAGCTGCCCCGAACGAGCGCAACGATAGTGACCCGTTGCACAGGTAAACGGAGGCGAGGCTCCGTCCTGGTCGCAGCATGTGTGCATGGAGCAAGCAGCGCATTGCACCTATCTGTGACACGGCATAGAGGTCGCGCCTCGAGAGACGAGAGCGCATTCAAGCGACGCTTGGCAACACCGCACGCGATGACACAAGCATGAAGCTGACTTCTTGCAACAACAAGACGTGCCAACCCTTCACGCAGGCAAGGGCATATATATGCGCGTGCATACATAACATAATGAATTCTGGGGGTGTAAAGTTAGAAACTCACCAGTTGAGAGAAACGAAATGTCACAGAGACCAACGGGGTTAAATCAGCCAGCTAGACCTAGACCAAGCAGCTGTAGACGAATGTAGTCAGCGACCGTACTTTTTATAGGACATTGAAGGATATGAGAGGTATTATCGAACTCGAACATATTGTAGAAGCGAGCGTTAATGAACACTCGTAGCGAGTAATAGGTGCGCATATATGCAAACTGAGTGGAAAAAGAGGTCCCGATCGCATAATGGGCAGTTCATATGACTATATAACCGCAGAGGGATGGCAGGAGAACCACTGGCAGCATCCAGGGCAGTTCAAAAAGAAGAGAGGATAGCTCACCGGTTGCAAAGGATAAGAAAACGGACCAGCTCGTCCAAGCTACCAAGTGTTGCAAAGCCGACACTGTCGCTAGCGATGCGCAGAAAGTTCAGGGTCGCTCCAATGAATGACTTGACGGCTCTCCGTCTCTTGGCCACGGGGTGAAGAGAGGTGAAGAGGGCAAGACAGAGAGAGATTGAGAGGAGCGACGGTGAGCGAGCTGGCAGGGAGTGAGCGGGAGAGCCAGAAGCACGAGAGCTTCGTCTTCGCGCGGCTGCTTGCTATGGGCCTGGCGCGTGCTCGGTTCTCCCCGCCGGCCGCGACGGAGGATCGCCGTGAGAAAGCGCACCGAGCGCTGAGTTATTACCTCCACCGACAGGATCGTCCATCACATCCCTCTCTCCACTTGATAGCCGCAGATCTGTTTCGCGCTGCCTCCCACCCAGATCCTCACCAGCCCCATTCGCCCCCCGTCCAATGCCAACGTCGTCTGTGCGAATCTCATGCCCAAACCATAGCGTCCTTCTCAGCGTGTGTCGCGACTCTACATACGACCGATCACGTCAACTACCAGCCTCTACAGATCCCTGTGCAAATTGACAATCGTTTCACCGGCGACGTGCAGAAGGAGGCATTGCTAGCGCCGCCGATTTGCTACTTCGGATACATAGAGCACCGCCTCCACTGATCCTCCTCCTTTCACATGCAAGGAGCAGGTCGACTTGGCCGGCGTCCCCGCAGGAGAGCAGGACACCAAGCTCAATCCGGGGGTCAAGAAGGATGGCCACGCGGGAGGAGGATGTGCGAGGGACGAAGATGCTTTGCGCGAACTCATCACGTGACCGCGACCCTTAGTCACCTGCGATTACTTTCTTCGGTCGTCGACAAACATCTGAGCACTATCCGAGTACCATCGTCGGCACACACAATGGCAGATCGCTTCGAATCCAACATCGACGCGCTATCTAAGCTACTCCCCCCACGCCTCCTAGCCCCGCGCGTCGGGATCGTGTGCGGCTCCGGTCTCAGCACGCTCGCATCGAGCCTGCGCGAGATCGTTGAGGTGCCGTACTCTGCATTGGCAGGCTTCGCGACAAGCACGGGTGCGCCTTGTTTCTTATTAGATGATGATATATTACTGAGTCTTCTTGGTGCTGTGGGGACGCACAGTTCCTGGTCATAAGAGCATCCTCGCGTTTGGCCTCGTAGGCGAGGGCGAGGGCGTGCCGGTCGTCGCGATGCTTGGACGTGTATGCGATCGTATACTGCGTCCTAAGCGCCCTCATTGTTCTAATCTATTGCTAGCTAGCTTCACCCGTATGAGGGACACGCGCTATCGGCGGTTGGCTATCCCATCCGACTCATGGCGCAGCTCGGCGTCAAGGATATAATCAGTGCGTCGTGTTCCTTGAATATTTATGAGTAGCTGACTACTATTGTTATTTACTTCTCTCAGTCACGAATGCTGCCGGCTCACTCAACCCTTCTCTCGCTGTTGGAACTAGTGCGTTTCTTCCTCCTCTCTTCCCCTTCTATCCTACGCGAGCCGCTCAAATCATCGTACCACTCATTCTCCGTTCCCAGTCGTCGTCATCCACGACCATATCGCTCTTCCTATGATGACAGGCCTCAACCCCCTCATCGGCCCCCCCACCTCTCCCTCCCACCTCCGCTTCCTCCCTCTCTCCTCCGCCTATTCGCGCGCGCTGCGCCTTGCAGCCTTCCGCGCCGCCCACGCCCTACAGCTCGAGCGCACGGCGCTCGCGGAGGGCACTTACGCGTGGGTGAGCGGCCCGACGTACGAGACACCCGCAGAGGGCCGCTTCCTGCGCGCCGCGGGCGCGGACGTCGTGGGTATGAGCACCGTGCCGGAGGTCATCGCCGCGCGCGACGAGGGCCTGAACGTGCTCGTGCTGAGCCTGGTCACGAACAAGGTCGTCATACCCGACGAATATAGGAGTATCAGGGAGGAGGTCGACGCAGAGGTACGCTTGACCATCGCCACTGAATCGTACATTCCGACCTAACGGGTATCTTGACGTGATGCTTTATACATTGCAGCTTGCCGGTACGTCGATCGAGCGCCCGCAAACCCCTACGGTGTCTCACGAAGAGGTGCTCGAGGTCGGCAAGCTCAAGGCGGACGTGATGAAAAGTCTCGTCGCTCAGATCATCGCTACAATTCCTGCCGCGTAGTCCACATTCCTCACCGAACTCAGACCAAGTGCACTAGGGAAAGAAAATCAAAGCGCGCGCGCGAGGACTCTAAATCAGACGGAAGGAATATATGGAAGCCTGAGATGCTATTAGACAGCGGTGGAATACAGCCTAATCGACCATGTATATCATCGTACAGAGAGGATTAGGATCCTTTGCTAAACGGTATAATGAAAACACTATGTGGGGAAGCGTGCACGAGGGCCTCAAGAATTCCTTGCGCTTGGACCTGTGGCTTCCTTTTATCTTTCGCGTTCGGAACTATCCTCCTTTGCACTGAATCTCGTTATTTTAGCCTCCCTGGACTGGCAGGAGATGCCTCACACGCATGGTGCCTGTGATTACGAGCGCGCTGTTGAGTTCAAAGCTTGGCTTTTGTCTCGTCTCTATACTGCGCCACGACGGGTGGCTCCGCTTGGGCCCACTTGCGTCACCGGCCATCAGCATCGCGATCCCCAATTCAATCGCTCATTGTCCACTTGGGCATAAAGGGACGATGCGGCAGGCCCGCCAACCCAAGCGATTTGTCAAACATACCACGCCGGCAACAATGCTCCCCAGCGTGACAGGCTCACCCCTTGCGTATGCCACAACTCTCACAACTTCATATATACCAAGAACATCGACGAGCTGGACTTTCAACACCCGTTTGTCCCACATGTTCTCTCGCAGTACTCTCTCTCACAGGCAAACCTCCCCCTCTCCAACGCAGATGGACATTCCTGAAGAGCTAGTTCCGCACCCATTTTCTTTCGAAGATCACGAAGACATACCATTCACTTCTATGGACATAGCAGCACTTCATGTGGACGTCGTCAGTCAGTCGTCTCATCCCTTACCCGCCGCTGCCTGTCACGCTGACCAACTACGATGCTGAACGCCAATAGCGGAGAAATGGCTAGAGCCATTTCAGACCGATGCGCGCGACTGTCAGGGTTGTGAACTTACCAAGCTTACTGACCTCGATATATCCGATGATTTGCTTGGATGTGTGACGGTCAGCAGTTCGTGTTGTTAGGGGGCTCACACTGACTTATCGTTGAATTTCGTCAGCTTCAATCGGTTCTTTCGGTACGGACAGTCGACGAAATAAATCACATCGACCTGAATCCCTTCAGCGATGATTTTCGGCACTACGAAAGTATTAGAGTCCTACGTCATGGTGCACAGCGAGGTCTTGTGCGTTCATTTCATCTTCGATTTACACCGTCATTCCTCAGGAGACCCTGTTTATAATGAACAGTTGGGAGCGGAGATGCCCTTTTACCACGTGATAGACCTTCTGAGCGATTCAACATTCACCGTCTATCCATTCCTTGGCGAAGTGACCGCACAGGAGTATTACAATAGGTTTTTATGAGATTGGAGCTAGTGTTTTGTGTCAGCCAATATTCTCTGTAAGTCAATTCAACCATAAGACACGCAATGAATACGATGGTAAAGTGTACTATGATGGCTCTGATAGGTTTCCGTGGGGGAGAATCGAGGATCTGGTCAGTCAAGTCAGTAGGCAGATGGCCCATCACAAGTCGTATTGATCTTTGTTTCTTCTTGTCTATTAGCGACATTGTCTTGTGGCAGAAGAGGTTGTTTCGAAAGGAACACTTATAATTGAATGGTCGCCTGCAACTATTGTGGTATGTAAATACAAAGATCCCAGTGTCTCGTTCCCACGGCTCATTGATGCAGAGCAAGTGGGAGGACTGGCCGCTCCTGATTGAATTTCAGCCTGGGCATTCGGCCTTCAGCAAGCACGGTCGCAACCGAGTTTATACAAGAGATTGGTATTAAACAGACACTTGAGTCGTGAGTTGTCTTGCTCATCGTCTGCCGCTGTATTTTACGCTGAACTATTACGATGCCACACGTCAGTGTATGACTGGCTCAATTCTAAGACCCCTCCGGGAGATGGGGACGGAAATCTCAACCTCCAGATCGAAGATGAGAGTCAGCATGAGCAGGTCAGTAGGTCGTCTTTATTGGGTGTCCCTAACTATGTGCTGACCTCCCATTAGCAACCTTGCCTTGTGTATGACATCATTGCAGAGGCATCTGAATTACTATTTGCATGGGTGCCCGCGACCATCCTGGTGCGTAACAGCCAGTCTCGAACATCCCGAGATCTCGTTCTGACGGCTGCTCGTACATCAGAGCAAGCGTGCAGACTGGCCATTCGTGGTTCAATTTCAGACGGAGGGCCTTCAATTATATAACGGTGGCTGCGTTAAAATCTTTTGGGCTGTGCCCGACACTCCTGCTGTTAGGAACGCTCTTGTGGCAGCCGGCGAAACGATCTGCTAAAAACCTCCGACTATCTGACAAGATTCTCGTGATATATATGTGTCAATGGATGGGACTGGTTACCCACCTCGCACGTTACAGGCTGTACGAGTACAAGACTGCTTTGAGCAATCGCAAACAATCCTCAAAATTTTGATGTGCAAGTTGAGAGTAAGCCTGGGTAGGCGCAGGTAATCCCTTGCGACAATTTGCGTTCCGGAGCACACGCAGATACGGACGTTCTTAGACGTTCTCAGACACTTCTCAGACCCGTTAAATAACTTACTATCAAATTCACCGTGCAGAGGCGATCGCGCAACCACCGTCTCCTCTAATAAGTTTCTGGATTTGTACAAATGTACGTTTATGACCGTGAGAAAATGTCGTTTTGAGAGAAATTTGTCGAGTTGGAACAGTTGTTTATCTGAGCCTACGCTTGCCGCTCCCTCGTAGCTGCTATCTAGGATTCCTCTCAGCTCTGGAAAGAGCCGTTCTCGCCCACCGCACCGAGATCAGTGTCGCGTCCGCCTTCTTCGTCAAACCTGAGGGGCTTCTTGTTATGGCTGATTTGGCTACGGATGACATGAGCACAGAAGACCGCCCCTGTCGTAGCGAGAGCGATATAAGGGACTAAGTTACTACTAAGTTAGCTAGGGAGGCAGCCTGGCAGCCGCAGAGCCCTCAACCTTGCGATCTCCTCGCCAGTTTTGCCCGTTTCCTCTATCCTAATGACGCCATCGCAGAGACTGACTCGACTCTCTTCTTGGAGGGCACCAATTCGCCTAGACATCTCATATGTTTGCCTGTTGTGCTCGTATGCTGAGGCAATGGCAATCAGGACGGTTCACAGTAGGAGTAGCGACTTATGGACCCTTGTTTTGAATTTCACTGAAAACCCTTCTCCACTAGATCTTACAGGAGTATCACGATCTCGGGTACCATATGAGAAATAAATATGGTCAAAAACCTTAGTCACCGCGCAAGCGATTCACACAAATCAATTAAATGTCATGACCTGGTTATTAAACGCACGAGTCCCGTCGTCCAGCTCTTCGGAGCCACACAGATTGGTGCCAAAGACAGCTGAGAGGACATACAATGATTGTTCAATCTTCAGACTTTTCGAAGCCGAATTGGTGGTCGGTTGGCTTGCGTCATTGAACGGTACGCCTTTAATTCAAAACACTATCCTTTTATTTGTCTCACCAGTACACAGCACCACTGCTCTCCATCCATGCGTGATCATACACAGCGCCAGTGGGGCACGCCATTTTAACTCCGCGACAGACCAGGCGTTGGAAAGGCAACCCACGGCGCTCTTAGCATGTGACCTTGACATGTCGCAAACAGATCATATATTGGATTTTATTGGACTCTATTCGGATCAGGACAATAATTCTTGGTCTGTTGCGCATGAGAATCGGACGGCGACACTGGGTACGGTCACTTGCGTCATAATTTTTCTCTTCCTCTAGCCTCAATATAAATCTCTTTAGGGCATCCTAAGCTTTTCTCCCAGCCACTGATGTACCACGGCTACCTTTGATGTACCACGGTAACTCGATTGCTTCCGCTTTTCTTTCTGCGGACCACCGCCACCAGCAACAGATCACACGGCGCCGCTGCACCTATCGCACACCCACACCCATACTAATACCTAAGATAGCGGCCCTCTGGCGTCCTAGCGATGATATGGGCCACTTGGGCTCCAACCTGGGCTCTTGTTCTTGTCCACTCGATCGGCTACTGGTTGATATCAAGCGTTCATGTTTGCTCTTTGTCCAGATTCTATCGTCCGCCGTGCCTTCACTTCGGTCACCGAGGTGGCGACTCGCCAGCGTGCCTGTCGTCGCTTGGCTTCCAAGCGTGGCATGTCGAACCCCGTAGCACCAATGCGACGAGCGAAGTGTGCTTGCCGCTTGTCTGTGCCACGGCTCTCATAGCCCTATAAATACCCACAGCACTGTTGCATCATCCACAACATTCCCTTCTCCCTAGCCCGCCCCTCCTCTCTCCCACTCCTCATTGCATATTTTTCTCCCGCTATCATCATCTATCACAATGGACGTCTCCATGATACGTAAAATGCGGCGTCAGGGGGATATCCCGTACCGGCTTATACCCAAAAATCCTCTTGAGTTCAATGATGACCCATGCTTTCCTATGGACCGCAAACAAGTTATCCCGTTGTGCAATGTCATCGAGTCCTGTACGTCCTCTCTCCCCTGTTTGCAGCTGGTAATAACATCAATCAACTGGTTCCTTAGACTATGATATGATGGGTTACGCGTCCGGAAGGTTTCGCACCACCGTATACTTTGGATGTGAAACGGTGAGTGGTATATGGCCCCGGTCAATGCGCTCCCACCGACATGCAGAGATACCACACCAGCGCAACAAAGTAATCACTTGTCGGAAATTCAACTCATCCGATGGGACTTTCTCGCCGAGCTTCGAAGCGACAGTTGTCAATAGATACATGAACAGAGCCTTGGTAGGTCTAGGACACGTTCTGTTTTTATTGTCACTCGTGACGAAGCCCTCATTATTCGGCAGCTTGGTGTTGATATCCCTTATTACCGTGTGCGTCCCATCGACAGCCCACAAACGGTTGTCATTATCTACCCTTTTCTTATGGAAATTGTTTCCGATGAGCCTTCGGCTGAATCTTACAAGGCGCATAGCTCGACGCCACGAGGTCCTGAAGACGTTCAAAGACTCATCGGGGAAATGGTCAGTCATCTTCACGTGGTGTAACTGTATCATGTTGTATTGACAATCATCTTACTCGTAGAAACAGTGTCTCGTGAAGGAGCTAGTCGAAGACCCATCTGACCCAGAAGGCGATCATTTTCTTTGGGAATGGACTCCTGCTATAATCGAGGTACATGGTCGTTTTACTCTTCTTTGAATCAAAACTTACCGTGCTTTCTGTATATTCAGAGCGATTGGGCGGGTCCCTTTTTGGTGCGATTCGAGAAAGGTTACCGGGCGCACTTGAAACATGGAGACGAGCTAGTGCACGCCATCTGGGCTGCGCCCAACACCGCACAAGCTCGCGATATTCTTCGAGCTCATGATGAACCGATGGCTGAACCAGTGGTTGAGTGATAACCGAACGTTCATGACAAGGCCCCGATAACAACAGATAGGTGTATAAGGATGACTCCGCCTCCTAGGACAAGTTTGCCAAACAATGTTTCATTGATTTTGAGAAAGTAGTTTTTTGATAGATCTTGAAAAAAATGTATTTAGCCAATAACAATCTGTTTGTTCCCATCTAGCGTTTCAACATGTCGATGCCAGTCCCATCATGCTCTGTGAGATGCTGAGATCTGCTGAGATGAGTCGCTTACGCCGGACAGGCGAAGACCGATAGAGAATGATGATAATAACGCTTCTGATGTCCTCACGCCTTATGTCCTCACGAACATCCAACAACGAAGAACATACGATTCCAACCATCACATAATGAACAAACTACGGAAACCTACACCTTCCTCACCTGCAAATCGTGGACTTAGCGGGCCAGCTCCAAGCAGCTCCAATGCGCGCACGACTAGCACCCCCGCTCATTCTGCACGATCCCCGACGCGCCCACAAACACTGACAGAGGCGCTGATCGTTCCTTCGTATCATACGACAACGCCAGTCGTCTCTAGAACAATGACTTACGCTACAGCTGACGCGGCCCTCGTCTCCTTCAAACCATCTCTACCGTCTCCGCCAGTCCCACAACAGCAACAGCCAGCGCTCCGGTACCCCAAGGCGCACGCGCCGCTCCCGATGTCCCCAGCAGAGCAATACTGGGCCGCCCGCGCGCTCACAGCGGAGACACTACTGTCGGCGGCGGAGGCGCACCAGCGGGAGGTGCGGAGCGCGGTGGATGCAGAAGAGGAGAAGCGACTGGTCGGTTTCCTGAATTTGTGAGGGTGTAGTCCGGGGTATTGACAGCGTGTTTGACTGGGGTTCGATCCTGACTTCCCCCATATTGGCCTTGCCCGAATTTACTCGACATGCAATCGAATCTCTTGGGGATGCGCGCGCGCAGAGAGACATCACAGTGCTGCAGAAAGCGCACAGCGAGCGGGAGCACAAGATGGAGCGCATTATGGTGAGCGCAATCTGTTTACACATACGAGGTGAAGGTACAATGATCCACGATCGAACTGGGGCAGATGTTTTCCGGGGTGTTCATTGCGCTCCTCGTAGCCGTGCTCGTTTATCTCCTCGTTGACCACCACCATGCACGGCACAAGGGACCAGCGCCCTCGATGTGGGGCGTGGCCTTGCCGTCCCATTTTACGATCCCTATTCTCTCACCGTGGACGTCCGTCGTAAGTTTCTCTCCTCGCACCACCCTCGCTTCCTCTTATGTTGGCATCCCGTCTTGGCCGTGTCACGATGCCCACTCTCGTCGCTTACTCACGCGCGTTCTCATAACATGCAAACGGGCACGCAATCAATTGAATCAAGGTGGAGCACGAGGCGTCGGTGATTGGCGCGAAAACGACGATCGCCTTCGCGCTGATCGCGGCGGGACTTGCGTATGCCATGTTCAGATACTGGGCCGCAGCGCGTGGACATCGGCAACAGCAATGACCAGGCATTCAAAGGAAAGACAAAGCTGGCATATACATACATTCATCATATAGCGTCATAGGTATCATACAGATATTGGAGATAATAGTAGCATAACCAGATGGACATGAAGAGAATTTACACACGCAATACCATACTTATGATTTATTGCTAGCAGTTGCGGGCGATAGCTTGTAGCACTCGTCTAGTGATGCCCAAAGTGAAATCTGACAGCGCAAGACATGCTGGAGGAGCTCGAAGCGACACACCTCACACAGCTTCTTGAGTTCGACCTGCATTTTCGGCGGGCCCTCTACTTCGGCCTTGATGATCCACCACTTGTAGATCGGGTGTGCCAGACGGTTTTCAGTGTTCAATAGTATGCTCGCGGCGGCGACCCAAAAGGCATGCGCAATGGCGTGGCAAGTCAACTGGTGATCGGACACATCCAACAGCACGGGCGGCGTCATGCTGAGAGCGGTGTGTTTAGCTGCGAAGCTCCTGTTTCCGACGATAAAGCGCTCGATATCTGACGAAGGGAGACGCTGGTACAAGAGACCAAGTGAGCTCGGGGCTGTCGACATGTTGGTCGCGTTGCTCAGGTCGTAGAAGAGGGGCGCGAGAAGTCTAGGGTCGGAGAAGTTGATGCGGCGCAGGGTGGCGATGGCCCCTGCAGGGTTCACGCGCCTGAAAACATGTCCCGCGGGCGCGGACATGCCTTCGCGCACGAACTGCTGGACGTGCACCATATGGTCCTCGAGTTTGGCAGGCCAAGTCGCTTGAAAGCGCGTGAGGACGGCGTTCTTGATAGATTCGGCACCGTACCTGTGCGCGGTTTTGAGGACACTGCAGAAATAGATGTAATTGTTCACTGTGAGCACCGGATCTGGAAGGCTGCGTTGATAGAGAGGGAAAAAAGATTGGATTTAGGACGAGTGGCATTGCATGATAGAGGAGGTACGCACAGTCCATCGTAGATCGCTGTCAGGAACGCGGCCATGTCGTCACTGCCGGCTTTCAGGCTGAGGAACAGCATATTGTCTTTGCGCTCGCGTTCGGGTGTTAAGAATTTGCTGAACCATTGGGCATGATCTGCGAGCCGGCTGATGTGAACGCGAAACAGTATCGACTCGCACTGAATGATGGTGTCCCCGTCTGAGTAAAAAAGCTTCGAATGATTCCGAAGCATGCCCTGTTCAGGCTCTGCGTCTATGCGGCGACGTTTATTGGGGGGTGGCGCTGAGTTCATGATGAAAATGCGGAGGTCTGTGTGAATGGGGAGGTCTGTAAGGATATCGAAGGTTTGAGACGGAAGAATGGATCGCTTTATGCTTTCTTGCCAGTGCGTCCAAGCGCGCGTCCACCATGGCCAATGTGTGGCAGAGGGTGGCATCAGCCATGAAAGCCTCGATGTGGTAGAGAGGGACGTGGCCTAGTGGTTTCATGGCCACATTGCGGTTCTGGGTCGGCTGAGATCCTGAAGAAAAATAATGATTATCAACGCCGGCTGTGGCCGCAAATCGGTGTCCTGTAATGGCCATCTTGTCTTTTCAACGTTCCTTGATATACATTCGACTTCAGCACTTCAGCCTCTATAATAGCTAGTCTATCGCTGCTCTGTTTCGGTAAACGTGCTCGCACTGTGTCAGGGCGCGCCCATGGACAACAATGGTCACGCAGGAGCCTCAGGGAGGTCGCCGCAGAGGTGTGGTACGCCTGATCGACGCTTCTATCTGCCCCAACGGTGCACCACGAAGGTGTAAGCTCGAACGGAGGGAAGCGATATTCGAGTACACCAGCTCAAAATGCTACCAGTCAGCGATGGCCTAAATCACGTCAACTGCAAACGAAATCCTGATGTCTATACTCACACTACGACCTTCAACTTTATCATTGACACTCCTAACTACTCGACCACTGTCTTCCCATATTCTCTCTATTATCCTCTGAGCCTTTCGGTACGCGTTGAAGCCTATTTCCATAACGAAACTGACCCACGCTGAGCCGTGATTATGAGCGTGTTGTCAAGTTGAATGTCATTATTTTGTCTCAGATTTCTACTGAGCGCCACGATGGGTGGATTCGCTTGGGCCCACTCGCATCACTGGCCATTGGTGGCCTTGCGCCACTGTTACGTCCATATCAGATGAGGGCACCACTCTCGAGGATTCAGGTACCCGCAGCGCGTTCATTTGGGCACAAAGCGACGAGGTGGCACGCCCGCCATCGCCGTTGCAGCCTAAGCGACTCGTCTGACATACCATGCCAACAACAATGCTGCCTGTTGTGGCAGAGTCGCCACTTGCGTATGCCACACGGCCCTCGCAGCTCGATAAATATCCAGAACGCCGCCGTGTTGTGTACCTGCAGCACCCCTCCTCTACATATGTCAGCCTATCCTGTTTCCTCTCGCTCAGTCACCACGACTCTGACCCAGTTGGGCATTTGGGAAGACCTCGTCCCCCATCCCATCGACATTGGTAATAACGTGATCATCCCATTCAGCCCGAGACGGTTGTGTGAAGAACTGGAGGGTTGTAAGTAGTCTGGCTCATTGCCTGTCACTCTCTCATCCTGATCAACTTTGATGGACGTTGACAGATGACTGGCTGGAGCCGTTCAAGGGCGACTGTGAGGGGTGTGAAAAGAACGATGCAACCAGAGTTTCGTGTCCAAAGGTCAGAAGCCCGTCTTCGTTTGGTGGCCCGTATTGACTCATTGTAAAATCATGTCAGCTTAAATTGATGCTTTCGGTTCGAAAAGTCGACGAAATAGCACACACAATTGAACCGCCGACGTTCGGCGACCGACCTTCTGACTACGTAAAATTTGAAGTTGAAAGCCATGGCGTACAGCGGGGTCTCGTGCGTCTATCTCTTCTTCGATTTTGACCACCATTTTCAAGAACAATTCATATTCAACAGCTCGGTGTCGAATTGCCTTTTTACAGGATGAAAGACCTTCGCGACGAGTCTCGAAAATTCACAGTCTATCCATTCCTTGGGGAGGTACTGACCTCATGGTTGTGGAACGCACCTGTTGATCCCGATTGGCATAACATTGATTCTTTGGTCAGTCAAGCTATCAAGTCTAAAGTCAGATAGTCATGTTGTATTGATCTTTTGTCCCGTCCTATCCGATAGCGATTTTGCCTTGTGGCGGAGAGGGTCCTCCAGCAAGATGGGACGTTTAGGCCCGAATGGTCGCCTGCGACTATTGTGGTATGTAATCACCAGCACCCCAAGGTCTCGCTCTTTTGGCTGATTGATTCAGAGCGAGTGGGAGGACTGGCCACTCCTGGTTGAATTTTATCCGGGGTACCCGGCCTTCAAGAAACACAGCGGCAACCGAGTGAAAGCGTTTTGGGCTGTGCCCAACACTCCTCAAGCCAGAGAGGTTCTTCAAGCTCACGGCCAGAATGTTGCTTCGACAGCTTGGATGCTAGCCCAGATGGACATGCCAACCCAGATGGACATCCCGGAACAACTGATTCCGCACCCTTTACAATTCTGGGATGCCATATATCTCCCATCCGGGTTCCATCCCAGGGACATATGGGAACTCAACGAAGAGATATCCAGCAGTAAGTCGTTTTGTTGAATCCTTACCGCTGCCTCTCAAGCTGATCCACTGCAATGCCGGACGTCAATAGAAAAGTGGCGGCAGCAATTCCAGATCGCTCCGGGAGGCTGCGAAGGGTGCACCATCTCCTATGACGGGATGCCTGCGTGTGACACAGTCAGTAGCTCAAAATCTTTGGGTAGCTCTGACTTACTTGCTATCAATCTGCTCCAGGCACACTCGATGATTGCGGCTGAACAGGAGAAAGACAAAGACTTCGAGAAGCATTCCAAAGTTGTTTCTCACGGCATTCAGCAAGCCCTGGTGTGTTCAATGCACACTTGATTCTGACTGCCATTCCTCAGCCCTATTCGTATTTGACAGCTCGGTCCCAAACTTCCATTCTACAGTGTGAGTCGGCGCGACAACAAAAATCATATCCGCATGGAATATCCATTCCTCGAGGGGAAACAGGATGAAATATTCGATGGAGCCAGCAGCAAGATAAAGAAGGTTCTCAATTTGGTCAGTCAAGTCTGAATTCAGGTAGTCCCCTGCAGGCCGTCTTGACCTTGTTTCTTTTGTGCCCAATAGCGTTTGTGCCTCGTGGCAGAGGAAATCATCGAGCACACAGAAGGAATGACCAGAATCGAATGGACACCGGCCGTTATAGTGGTACGTGACTATCTCCAACATCGGAAGATCTCATTCTGACGACCGCCGGTGTGTCCAGAGTGAATGGCATGAGTATCCCCTAGTGGTCAGATTCAAGGACGGATATGCGGCCTCCATTAAACATGATGGTGCTAATGTCAAGGCGTTTTGGGCTGTGCCCAACATTCGTGAAGCTAGAAATGCCCTCAAAACATTGGGCCACTACATTGCCCGCAGAATATGTTAACGCGACTTGACATAGGCCTGGCATAATCTGGCATATACATGTAGAGTTGAGATTGCCATCTCACAGGGCTGTACGATACTAGACATCCAGGGTAGATGGCTGAGAACAGACGCTCTAGGCACTGAGAGGAAGATGAGATTTTTGCGAAGTAGATACAGGGTATTTATACTTGGCTGGGTTCAACCAGAATGGAGGAGAGGCCATGTGTGCTACTATATTGTGTCGGAAGCATAGTGACCACGAATGACAAAGACGATCATGCAAGCAAAGACTGTGCCATGTCGCGCGGCAGCAAGGTATTGACATTAACATCACATTTTTCCAGGTGTTCCTTTGGCACGCGCACCAGAAGTAGACTTTTCAGTCGGTCACGATACCAATTACTAGTAGATGATCACGCCTAGGCACCCATCGGCACGTCTCTGAGTTGCTTGATCTCCTCTTTTGTCCACCCAGCACAAACCCCTGTCTTTGCGATGTTCACCACAGGCAGCGCGTCTCGTCACGCGCAACAGATGCCCCGACCCAAGCCTCCCAAGGCACGTGGTACGCAGACGTCGGTCGACGCATCGGCAAAGCGCTCACGTCGGCTCCGCAGGTGCGCCCTCGACCTCATCGCCTGCCACGGGCCCCTCGCAGAGGCCTGCCAACCCTAAACTAACGCACTGTGAGTCGACCGGCCACTGCCAGCCGCCACCGGTGCACGGACTGACGACGATGGCCCATGGCAGTCATATCATTGCCGATCGTGAACATCCTCCGCCCTCTAGAGCGCAGTCAATGGCAGGCTCATTATTTCCCGCTCTTCAGGGACACCATGCGAGCCTCCGCGCCTCCATGACGGGCTTCACGTCCGCGCTCCTCCAGGGCGCCCCCGCCGTCGCCGGGCTCGACCGCACCATCGTGATCCCGGCCCGCCGGCTCCACCTCACCCTCGGCGTCATGTCCCTTGACCAGCCCGGCAGCGCGCGTGCGAACGCGCCTCCGCCCACCCTCGGTGCCGCGCGCGCGCTGCTCGAGGCCCTCCTTCCGCGTGTGCTCCAGATGCTCCACGGGCAGAGGCTCAGGGTGGACCTGGAGAGGATGGACGTGCTGCAGCCCGAGCGGGGCGACGCGTCACGTGCGCATGTATTGTTCGTGGGCCCCGTGTTGGGCGGGGAGGACGGCAGGCGGTTGCGCTCTGTTTGTGGTGCGTGACGATCGAGCACCCTGAGCCTCGGGTCGGCTGAATACCTTGTAATGGACAGAGATGGTGCGCGGGGAGTTCATAGCGTCGGGGCTGATGGTCGACGACCATAGACCGCTCAAGGTGCGCCAGGGTCGCCGCTGTGCCACGCCTCACGTCTTTGTTTGCTCATGCATCCGTGTTGCGGAGACAGCTGCATTGCACGGTGCTCAACACGACGTACCGCAAGCCTCGACCACGCGGCGCGCGACAGCCGTTCTCGTACGCCGACATCCTGCAGTCCACGGCTTTCCGTGCGATCGCGGCGACCCAAGGTGACCATCTTCCCCGTCGTGTCGCAGTTCCGGTTTCATTCGTGCTGACGATGTCGCGGACGCAGGTAGCGGTATAGGGGCGCCGACAGCAGGCGGGCGGGCGAGGAGAGAGCCAGGCGCGGTGGATGTGCGGCTGGGCACGTGGGACGTCGAGGAGATGCAGATCTGCGAGATGGGGAGCTGGGGCCCCGAGGGCGAGTACGTGCGCGCGTGTGGGATCCCTTTGGTCTGAGAAGGGTCTGCGCTGGGGCTAGATCGGGTGACTCAGAGTGAGCGCTTGAGCGCTTGACTGGGCTGTGCCTGATTCGGCACCTCGCTCGGCCGTTAGAGACGTGGATCGCTGTCCGATTGCTGCAGCCGCAGGTTGGCCGTTGTGTTCCATCTCTTAGACTAGGCATCATCATTCTTGTATGTGATTGTATTCTTCAGTGTCTATCACACTCAGCTGCTATACCTGATGCCCTACAAAATGTACCAGTGCTGACTTGCGGCTCATACAAGCATCCCATGTCTGCGCGGTCAGAAATCTCCTCACACTTCATCCGGTCCAGACAGCCTGTTGAAAAGGGTTCAGTGAAGTCGGAGGACCGTACGACAGAACTTACGGGGCCCGGCTGCGTGTAGTTGGCTGCAACAAAAAAGTCAGCATGGCTTTCGAGGACCAACGCAAAGCAATGATCGCGCATACCAGGGATGGGGTACTGGCAAGTGCGGGTCAGAAATGCTGCGACACGCTACTAGTGCGAGAGACTCACGTTGATGTTGATGAGGATGCCCGGCTCCTGCGATAACACAGGGTGAATTAATATGTAAAAGTCCGGGAAAGCGCGGCACGCACGTAGCCGGTGTACACGCCAGGAATGGCGACGACGGGGCCGGGACTGCCACTGCCCCCGCCCGTGACGTTGATCTGACCGCACGAGAGCTGTCCAGAGGCGCGGCGCCATGAGGATCAACAAAAACAGAGCCACGGCGAGCGAACGCCGCTCACGTAGAACTGCGCGCCGCCGTAGGTCGACGCGACGTGCAGCGCGATGGCCTCCATGCGGACGAGGTACTGGCCCGTCGGCAGGTTCTTCGGCAGCGTGAACGTGACGCCCGCCAGGTTCTGCGCGGGCCAGCTGATGGACGTCCCGCCGTCGGTGACGGCGGAGATCTGGTAGACCTTGAACCAGACGGTGCCAGACCCGTCGAACGTCGCGGCGTCGCCGTCGGGCGCCTTCGCCATGTACACGTTGACGACGCCGGGGTGATAGATCGTGCCGTCGGACATGATGCCCAGCTGCGCGCCGGCTGCGACGGTGATCGTCGACGCCGTCGGGTCTGTCTGGGAGTCGTAGCACCGGAAGTCGGGGCTGGTGACATCGGTGACCTGGCGAAGCGGGACGGGGTAAGGAGCCGGCATTTGGGAGTAGGAATACGCATGAGCATGCATACAGGGGCCTGGGTATTGAAATTGTTGGTCTTGCGGACGTTCACCCACGCTGGAGTGGTCGTACCGCCCACAACGAGAGACGGGAATGTGTCTAGAATCCAGTTCAGTGTGATGAAACGACCGCAAGGATCGGGGACGTACAATGGGCGGTGGCTTGGGCCACGAGCACCGCGAGGGAGGCGAGGGACGTGAAGGTCTTCATCTTGTGGGAGTTGACTGCCATCCTTCAAACATCCGATCGCTTTTATACCTCGAACTGAGCGGGGGGACTACCAGTTCCTTTCAAGGCCAGTCTAGTCAGCATTGCACGCGGGTAATCAGAGTACTCGCAAAAGCTCAGAGTACGTGGATGAGCCATCCACCATTCCTCCGAGGCTAAATTGAAGATGGGTCTGCTGGTTGTCGATGTCAGCCTAGCCCAGCGAGACATGGGGAGATACGCAGGAGCGAGAAGGTCTCGTGTGGGGGCCAGCTGAATGGGTCATCGTTGCCATCAGCCAATCAGACCGGGGGGGTTGGGCTTCGAGTGGCAGACAAGCAGATAGCCTTCCGATGTTCGTCCATCTATTCCGAGTGTATGCCGCTCCGAGGGGTAGCTCCGACCAGCTACTTCGGAGACTATCGAGGCAGCAAGTTGTCCGCCAACAATTCCGAAGAGCTTGTCGAATGACCCGAGGCGACGTCTAGCTGGCATGTATGCGCACACAAAGTTGAGAATGTGAATTCTTGGAAGGTAAAGCAAAGCATCCTCAGCTCGATCAGAGCAGCAATCGCGCGTAGAGCTTTCGAATGCCATCATCGTAGTCGTGTGAGCACAAATGAAATGATCGTATCACTGTTGTTCCCCCGACTCCACACCGAAAATGATCCCGGTGTGTGGTTACAACGCGAAGCTTGATGAGCCTAGAAGGCAGCCAAAGTGCTGAGCAGTGTCCTTTGGAACCCAAAGACAGCTCTTGACGGAAAGTGCTTCGAGTCGAGTGACCACGCCAGACACATGCTGCGAGTCTGAGACCACTAGTCGCTGAGTTGAAGGAGATTCGGGCTCTGTAGCTGAGATTGTGAGCTCACATATTCAGCCCCAGATATACAAGATAGATTCGATACTGATATGTGAAGTTAAAGTTGGAATCTTTCAGCAGCTCGATTGCTCGCAGGATATATTGTCAATTCATGATCATATCTCTAGGGAGAGAAATCGTTGTGATTTGACGTCGTGAGATGCTCGAACAATGAGAAAACATGAAGCCGTCACTGAGTCCGTGGGAAAGCGATATGGCCGGAAGGAACGAAGTCGAATATAAAAAAGAGTTCGGCAAACCCCGGCCGTCGTTCTTTGTCACCGCCACTGGCAGTGCTCTGAACACGCAGAGGCTGCATGCCACCCATGACCAAGGTTCCTACTCACTGTATCGACACGTCGAGCATTTGACCAGTTCTCAATACAAACTTCCCGCAAATTTCTCACTTATCAGTTCTAAATACCTCAAAGTTCACACACTCTAAGCAAAAAATGGCTTTTTCACTTACGGCACTGGCATTTTCTCTTTTCGCTGGACTAGCACAGACAACGGATGCGCGAACATTCACCGTAGTCAATGCATGCCCATTCACCATCTGGTAAGCCACACAATTGTATCTCAAGGACCGTTGCATCTGCTGTTCAATTAAACGGAAGCATTGTATGATACCCGGGATCAAACCAGGCCGGCGGTAGGCCTATTTTGCCTCCGAAACTCACTCCAGCATTCATGTATCTTGATGCTCTTCATCAGATATTCACAGACCTGACTGTTGCACCTAACGTGCCGCAGTTTCCGACCGGGTAAATAGGGACCTCATATCAGGATCACACCATCAGCTTCCCATCCTCTTCCCAGCTGGAAGACCACATGCTGAGTAACCTTTGGATCAGATGGCAAGCGGCACCCTCAAACTCTGTCTCCTTCGAGGTCCCGGATAACTGGAAATCTGGTCGTATATGGGTAGGCCTTTGCTTGCATTAAGCCGCTTCGGGCATGGAATCTCAGATTCGACGGGCAGGGGCGGCGGGACTGCGACTTTACGACGAATCCGGGACCCAACTCGTGTCTCGACGGCGGTTGCAATGGCGGGCTTCTGTGTGACCCACACACAGGAACTGTGAGTGTCCATAATGCCTCTTTTTGTCAAACAATAGGAAGCTAATACCGGGAACAGGGCGTTCCTCCTGCTACTGTAGCTGAGTGGACCCTCCAAGGTGATGGAGGCCGTGATTTCTACGACGGTGATATCCTGCGTGCGCTTCCATGGACCAGCTAATTTGCTAATGTCTCGGATCTTGCAGTCTCCCTCGTGGACGGCTATAACCTGCCTATGGCCATCACAAACAACGCCAATTGTCCCGTGGCAGACTGTCCTGTTGATTTGGGACCTGATTGTACGTGTCCAGATAGCAACGGAACTTTCGGGAAGCTGAATACATGACTTTTGAAGGCCCGACTCCACTGATTGGACCCTTCGACTCAACTGGCTTCCCTGTAGGTTGCAAGAGTGCCTGCTCAGCAAATCTTGATGGAACCCCCAGTGAGCGTTTTTTGCCCCACGTCGATCTGGGCGCTAGAAGTTGAACTATGGTCCACACGGCCCTTGCGCATAGACGACTCGGCCAACTGCTGCTCGGGAAGTCATTCCACAGCGGCAACGTGCCCGTCGTCGGGCGTCGCTTTCTATAGCTACTTCAGTACGCGAGCTACCCTTTCACTCAGGGCATCGTACCCTTCACTGATTGTGACGGATTCGTCCCGATCCCACCGGGCTGTTCTGACTTCCTGTGCTACCATCACATCATTGTTGACCTTGTTTTACGGATGGTACATGCACAACGAATACAACAGAGGGGAACTGCCCAAACTCGTATGCGTATGCCTTCGACGAGAGCAGCAACACAGCCTTGTGGACTTGCAGCTCGAGTGCCAATCCCGATTTCACGCTCACCTTCTGTCCGTGAGTAACAACAATTCCATAATTCCTTGTGCACAGCCTCCTGCCCTCTATCTGTTGATCTTTCATCTTCTTACTCCGTTTTATGTGCCGCTCTGATGACCCACGGACTCTGTGTCCTTGTACTCTTATTCCCACCGCGCCTACATCCTTGACTTTGTCTCCTTGGCCACGTTGCCGGGTCTTGAGCTTGATGTTCTGATACACTTATCTATATTCCGTATCGGGACAAACCTGTCCAGGCCCACAAATGCCTCCGCTTTGGGCTCTGCCAGCATGTCCGCCTCTTTCATTCCCGGGACGACAGCTATTTCTGCATCTGCATCGACACCTGCGTCATCATCACTGTCCTCTCCACCCCCGCCTTCAGGTACGCACAGCAGTCCCCTCCCCCGCATCTGTTTGTTTCATTACCTCCCCCGTTGATGTGTCTATCTTTGCCTCTCTCTTATGCCTCATGCGGTGACTCGTGTGCTGACGACATCGTCGTTCTTGTTCTGCGTCACCCTTCTCGGTCATCTGCATCTCGGGACCCCTGCGCTTCTCTGATTGTTCTACCCGCTCACCACTGCACCATCCAACACGCCGGCGGGCGGTCCTGCCCCGCGGGCGTCTCCCGTTCTTGCTCCTTTCGCAATCGCTCGCAATCCGGTCCACGGGTGCACCAGGGACGGGTACATCTGAGGTCACAGGCTCGTCCGTCCAGACCTCGACGCTACTCCCCGCGCGAAGCGGCGCCACGCGCGGTGCCCTTCCTGCGTCCGCGGCGTGGGCATGGACGACTACGTACGTGCTCCCTGCGCTTCTCGTGTTCTGCTTCTCCCGGGCGGGGGCGGCGTGAGTGTCGCCGCCTGGGAACACACGAGGCGCCCAGCAGTGGGAACAGAAGGCGCGAGGGGGTTAGCGAGAAGGGCGAGGTACGCACGCAGGAGGAGGACGCGACTGAGTGGAGGGGGCCGGGCCAGGGAGAAGGAGGCGAGGCGAGAAGCAAACTCTATGGACGAGCGGACGGACGCGGAGGTTCTTTCGGCTACGAACAGCCTGCAGAGGCTACATCGCTACCCAGTTTTCTATATAAGACTTTTGTCTCGACCACTGCGAACTCGTCGCACCCAGGTCAGCCAACGAAGGCACATGGCGCAATACCACAAGCAGAGGCAGGCGTCCGTCTCTCTTCCGCATATCACACCACGCGCTCGCGTTATCGCACCTCGTACACGTAAATACTCGAGTACACGGCATACATACGCATACACACGCACGACGATGATACAATGAACCCTGAGCTACCCTGGATCTGAGACCGCCACCGCCAAGCGACCGCAGATTACATACACACAGATACGCCCGCGAGAGAAAAAGGCAACGCATACGGGAGTCGAAAAAAAGAAATAGTTCCGGGAGCGTGGAGCCTCGATCGAGGGGGCGCCCGGCCGGGTGTGCTTGATGGCTGAAATGTCTGTTACTCGTTGCGCGCTCGGTCGGCCGTCACGCGGCGTCACAGAAGCGTGATGTCCCCGAAAACGGGGCGGTGGTCGCTCGCGAGGACGCCGTCGTCGGTGAGGGCCGTCTCGACCTTGAACGCGTCGCCGGTCCTGCAAAAAAAGAAAAGAAAAGAGCAGGCACGGGGAGGTCAGGTCGTGTCGTGCATGAGAATGAGCGAGGAGAGCCGAGCCCAGACGAGACGAGACGTCGTGAAGCGAAGAAAAAGGCTGTGAAGCGTGGGATGGCAAGGACAGCATACAGGCAAGGCATGACTCCGGGCCATGGCAGATGCGGATTTTCCGCTAGAGGCCGAGGGATGTACGATGGAAGCAAGAGAGAGAAGGATCGTCGGGCACGAATCCAGACACATGTGTGAAGAGAGATGAAAACGCCGGCCGGGGCCGTCGCAAGGGCAGGAATTAGACGAGCCTGACGAATAGACCCAGTAGAATGCCCGAACGGTAGAACAAAAGCAGAACACAGCCATACTGCCGGCTCACGACAACAGAACAAGACGGAAAAAAACAAGGCCTCGACAGGACAAGAGAAAAGTCCACGTACCAGCCTCCGTTGCTGCCCCCAAATACAAAGTCGATGTGCGTGTACTGGCTTGCGTCCTGGGGGGCGACGAAGCCGGTGTACGTCGCAAAGTTGCCCGACGCGGCGAACCGCGACACGCGCGTGCGCAGGTCGATGGCCGTGAAGTTCGGCAGGACGTTGCTTGGAATCGGGTAGCGGTCGACGAACGTCTGGTTGATTGCGACGGGGGGCAGCGCGCCTGTGATGATATTGTACGCGCCCGAGTCTGTACCCGTCGACGGACTGTATTCGTCCGAGGAGAGTAAGCCAAGTTCAATCAGATGCAACGCTTAGTTGTGCGAATGCCAGAACAGAGGGGGCGCGGTAGAAGGGACAAGGGGCGTACCTGTTGAAGTCACCCGTGACGAGGACGAGCCCACGGCCGCTCCCGCCCTGCGCAGCCTCAAAGCGCGCGCGCCAGAGTATAAGCGACGCGCCGAGGCGGCGTTGCGCGTCGGACTGGTCGTCGAGATGCGTATTGAGGTAGGTGAAGAGCGTGCCGGTTGCTCGGGCGCGTAGACGCACCGCGGTTGCGATACGCACGGACCCTGCGCCGGGGAATTTGGATCCCGGGACGAAAGGCGTGTTGCTGTAAGGTTAACGTTTGTTCAGGTGCGGGCAGCACGGTGCAGACTAAGACACTCACGAGAGCCAAAACGTGTCGTTGGAGAGAAGATCGAAAGTCGATCTGGGGAAAACGACGTATCAGTGCGTGCGCCCCAGACCAGAAGAGCACAGGACGGCAAATCAGCGAGGCCATGTTCTTCGAGGAAGGCGACCGGCAAAGGCCTTGAAATTCAACATGCGGATCGTGTGAAGACGTGCGCCGCGGCGGCAAGCAAATACATATGTAATGAAAACCGACGATGCGAATCGACTTCGGCAAGTGGATCGCGTGTTATCGCATCGCGTCGCGTAACTCGCTTCCGCGTGCTGTCAGCGGTACAATACCAGAGGAGCCGGAGAATGGGGTCCGGAACCATATCGTCCCTGCACGACTGGCTGTTCAAAGGAGGTAAAACGCACTTTTGGTAGAAGATGGGGCTGAATTCGCCAGCGTCTACACCGTCGTCTCTCCCAACGCCGAACTGTGAGTCAGAAGCAAAGCGAAACGTGGGTGTTTCAGCATCAAATGCCAATGTATTGGGTGATAGGACGTGGGAGCACGAATGCGCGGATGATCCAGAACGTGTAGACGTACCCAGCCCCAGCCATCGCCCAGCAACTCTGCGAGGTCGTGGACTTGTCTGACAAGTCCTTCTTGGAACCCTGCACAGCATTTGTCCGCGAGTGCGATTGGGGTCGGAGAAGGCCGCGGTGAGCTCTGCGATCAGAATATGCTGATCGCGGTGTGAGAAATTCACCTGCGAGGACGATATTCTCGCTGAGCAAGCGCTGCGCAACTTTAATTCTCCGTGTGCTCCACGGCTGCTCGCCCGTGAGATTGAAGAAGGCAGGCTGCTGGAGCGGATCTGCGAGCGATGCGAGCGTCTGCTGCACAGTGATGTTGTTGGGCATGGAATCGTAGCGAAGGTTCCATGACGCGATGCGGATCTGGGTGGAAGAAGACGAGGATGCGGCGGAAGCCATGGTGTACGTGCAGCCGATGAGGACGATCAGGGTCAGCCACTGCCAACCGGAAAAGGGAAGCATGCTCGCGGAAGTTGGCGGGTCAGATGCGGACGTGGACGGGTGCACGAGAGGCGGTGCAGCTTTGCTGGCGAGGCTTTGGGCGATGGGATGCGCAGTCGCATCCTGCGCTTTAATAGTAGCCGATGTCGATGGAAATAGGGCGGGGTCGAGAGGCACAGTGGCACTTTGGGCACGTTGGTCGCAGTCGAGAGAGGAGTCGAGGTCGGACGGGGACACATGATCGCTGAGGGGACGTCGCGCTCGTGCCGGGGAGGACTCATGATCCATCGAAGACAGCGAAGAAGCACGAACGTGTCACTGTACAAGACTCACAGGGAACAAGGATAGCCAACAACAACAACAAGAGTCAGGGTGCCAACACAGATGTGAACATTCAGTAGCTGAGCCACCGACGCGTCCGGTCGCGCGCAGCAGCGAACGGCGGAGCAGCGCCGGGCGTCTACGGTGGAGCGCTGGGCGCCTGCGAGGGAGGCGTGCCCCTGCCACGTGTTTGGTGTTCTGCGCGGGCGGGGAACGCCGACGGGAGCATTGCACGGGGTGTTCGGGGACGAGGTGCACGGTACCACGTCTTGAGTACGTGCAGGTACGTGCGTGGACGGGAGTTGGATAAGAGACCGGCGCTAGGGACCGCATCGGGGGCTGGCCGGAGAGGCCGGCGCCGGGGATGCGGGGAGCGGAGTACGAAGGCTGAGAGGGCTTGGTCCCGGGGGACGGGATGGCGTCGTGCGTAGCGATCAGTGGGCGCTCGCCAGCCTGTTGTCTGGGATCTTTTGCGGGCCTCGGTTGTGGAGGACATATATAGGACTCCTCCTGCTCTGCTCGCCCCTCCATCTGTCCTCCTCTTTTCGCGCCCCGTCCCGCTCCTCTCCCACATGTACGGCCACCCCTACGGCTCTCAGCCCCAGCAGGGCTACTCGTCCCAAGAATACCCCCCGCAGCCTCAGCCCGCCTCCGCATCCTCTGCGTCCAGAAGCCGGGAGGACCGCCCTCCCCGTCATCACTCCTCCTCTCGCTCTATCGGCGACCCCCTCAACTTCACCAGCGGGCAGTTCTCAGGTCAGCTCATCCGCGCCGAGCTCGTCGAGCTCCAGAAGGCAGATCTCGGCAGAAAGTCCGTGTCCATTCACTCTCCGACGCGATCCGCTCACGAATCCCCCTCCATCTTCTTTTCCTCTTTCTTTCGCCCCCCAGATACGCCCGCAAGGATCGCAGACCCCTCGATCCACCGCCCGTCGTCCAGCTCCGGCTTTACAAGGTTCAGAGCGATCAGAGAGAGGTCGAGGTCGAAAATTACGAGTGCGTCCAATTCCCTGTCATCTGCCCTCGCCGCGCCTCCGATCGTCTCTGTTTTTCGTTCTCCGCAGTGACATCAGCAACATGGGCTTGATCTGCCATGTCGATCTCTTCCCGGTCCCCCCACAAGAGTCGTCGTTGCGCGAGGGCTCCGTCGCGGATGGCAAGCGCAGACAAGACGCCGCGTCATCGAGCCACTCCTCGTCCATGCCCTCCACCATGTCCGCGTCGCCGTATCCCTCCGGCAACCAGACGTACCCTTATACCTTCCCTGCACCCCAACCCCCTTATCAAGGCGCGGGCATGCCGCCGCACGGCGCTCCCTCCGTCGGCATGCCGATGCAGCTCCCTCCCATGCACATCCCTCCTACCTCACAATACACCCACGACCCCGCAACCGCCTCGCACCATCCGAGTCATCCGCCGCAAGAGTTCGACGTGGTACACATACACCAAAATCACCCCATCACAGAATCCTCCAAATGCACCGAAGCACTCGCCGGCACGACCTTCGTCCAGGCGTCGAACCTCGACTACAAGGGCAATAAAGTGTTGATGTTCGTTTTCTCAGTCCGTGTTATTCTCCTTCTGGTCTCCTTCCTCGTCCCTCATCTCCACCCCATTCCTTTACCGTCCGCGCCTCATGACTGCTGACACTTCCTTCTTCCCTACCCATGCTGTTCCGCCGCCGTTCCGTGACTCGCCCCGTGCATTCCGCACACAGGATCTGGCCGTCAAGATGGAGGGCAATTTCATCCTGAGGTACCGCTGCTTCGACCTCTTTTCGAAAGTGTCGACCGACGAGGGGGAGACGCCGGTGTGGGCGCAATGCTACGGCGGTCAGTTCCGGGTCTACTCTACCAAGGAGTTCCCTGGCCTGCGCGCGTCTACGGACCTGACAAAGGTGCGTCTCGTCCTTTCTCGTGTGCGTTTGACATCTCGGCTCAATGCCGTTTCCGTTCCCACTCTCCACTCGCTCTCACTCTCTGCCCCCCGCCCCGGCTCCGACATTCACGCTGGTGCCCACGCCCACTTTCTGCGTCTTCTCCCGCTTCTGCGTGTTTATCACGCTCCGTTCCTCTTTGGCCAGCACTTGTCCTACTTTGGCGTGCGGCTTAACCTGCGTGAAACGGAGCGCAAGCGCCGGAAGAAGGTCGACGATCCGGCTGCCCTGGCCGCAGCAGCGAACAAGGGCAAGGGGAAGCGCAGGGACGAGGGCGATGGAGGAGAGGGTGGGTATCGACAGTACGATGATTAGAGGCGCGTGCTGCCGGTGCCCCGCCCACTGACATGGCCATGATCGCGCAGCGGGGGCGAGGCGGAATGGGTGTGAGCAGGCCGAAAGCGAGGGTGGGGTGGGTTAGAGGGGTCAGGCCGGGGTCTGGTTGGGGACCGGGGGGCTGGTGCTGGAGTCGCCCGACTTGCGTGTCGGGGGCTGGCTAGCTCTGTCGACCCCGCTTCTGTTTGCTTGCTCGTTGCGCGATCGGTTCCGTTCTCACTCTCGCTCCCCTTCATGTCTCTTCCTCGCGCGTGACCCCTCGGCGCCGTCGACGTCGATGCTTCTTTTGTTCCCTCCCTCTGCTCTTTAAATCTAGCCCCATCCATGCCTTGTTAGCGCGTCGGCACTTTACTATCGTCTCTTCATTCTGCTTCTCTTTCCTTCCCATGCGCCGTGCGCGCGGGAGGTTCCACCCCCAATCTGATTCCCTCGACGCTCCCGACCCGATACATACCGTAGTGAATCCTCGCGAATGTGCAGAATATGAATGCGAATCGATGCGAATTTACCATTCGGAGCGAAGCCAAAATGTCTGATGAAACGGATCACGATCGAGATCAGTATGTGGAATGCGCAAGGCTACGATTGTAGATCGATTGGTGATCCTTCGATGTTCGATGTTCCTTAGTGGGTTTTTCATTAACTTTATTTCCACGCGCGTCATTGGGCTCTCAATTTAGGAATGTATGCTCCGAACGACACGTCGTTCTGAACATGTTTGAATTACTGAGCGACGATATGGAATCTGGTGACTATGACCAGTGACTAGTGACTCGTCGACTGGGTCAGAATTGTGGGCGTCTATAGGTCCAACGGGTTTCCTTATCAATCTAGCATCTAGCCGACCTGCCAAAAGGAATCCAGCAGATTCTACGGCGATTTTACAGATAGGCTTCGGTGAGTGTACTTATTTGCGTCGACTCGGCTGCCGCCTATATGTGAGTTAGGTCAGCAACAGAGACTAGACGGCAGTGGCCCCCGGAGGGACGGCGGAGCATGTTGCGGACTTTCATTTGCGCCCGGTTTCGGAGTCAATGTTTCGGACAGCGATTCCGAGCGTGATGCATGATGGGCCAGCGTGCGACCTTGTGCTTATCGTCCATGGAACTTGACAGAGCTCTCGGTCGGATCAGAAGCTCCGTCGACATGGGATATCCTCGGGCCTCAGTCGTACTGTGATATCTCGCGGTTCCAGCAGGTTCCAGCGCGCTTTTTCAGATCCTCTATTCGGATGCTTCTTTATGAAGGGTCTGCTGTCGTCTCATCGATAGGGTTCAGTAGGGTTCTCTGCACGCGAGGACTCTCCAGCCGGTTGAAAGAATTCCCGAGCAGACGTCATGGGTCTTTCAGCTGGAAGGGGCCTAGTCGCGTCGGTTTGCGTGCGCGAATAGAGAGGATCAGAGTGGGAGAGTGGCGATCGGCAAGCTGCGAAGCTGGAGCGCGTCGACAGACGCACGAGGGACAGCGGCCTCAAGCCTAATAGTCGAGGAGCCAGGGACGCGTGTGCGGTGGGCATCTGACCTCGTCGAAGTTGTGTGCAAGGCAGGCGGATTGAATGGGAGAGCCGATGTCACCGCTCGTGCGCCGGATGTGCCTCGCTCGTCATCCCGGGGAGCACGGATAGGTACCGGGCTATGGCCCCGGCCTCGCGGACACCCGTTCGCCTGGTCCGCATATTTGGTTAGATTTGATTCCGTCGGATGCGTATCTCGAAGCCGATCGTGCCCCCTCCCATCTGTCCCTCACCGTCGCCCGCAGTTCTTTCAGGTCCCCTTCGAAGTCTGAGCTTCCGGAATGCGCGTGACCGACGCTGTAACTGGCGTCGATGTCGGGCATTGCATCGTGCAGGTCTATCGGCCCGATCGCAGAGGGTGCAACGGTTTGTTGAAGCCGCGCATGGTCATGATGGGTAATAGACACGGGCTTCGCCACCCGGTCAAACGGTAAGGAACGGTCTCCTCTCTAACTAGCCATAGTCGACTAGTTCATAGCCCCGCGCGAGCCGCTGCGCACTATATCGCCCTCTGGAGCTCTCTGCATCCCTAGATCGTACACATGGAGGTGGAAATCACGGGCTCAACTTATTCCTGGTGCACATTCTACCGGAGATGGACCCCGCGGCGTTATCCTCGCATCCATCGAATAGGACGCGCGAATACTGCGCTCGTGGCACTGTTGGACTTATTGATCGTGCTTGCGCCGTTCACTCATTTCGCCGAGGATGCCCGTATGGGAATCCAAGGATGGGGTTCCTAGGATGAGCTGCGCTCGGCGGCGACGATGCACGAAGCGCAGGTTTGAATCCGTATATGGGAGCAGAGGGGCGAAATTAGAGCCTGTGCAGGATGATGCTATGTATGTGATTTACTCGTTTGGTGTTGGCGCGCAGTTCATTGATCCGAGCGTTAGGTTCAATTATGATACTGAATGCGGCTCTAATCACGGTACGTATAGAGTACGGCGTTCACTGCTCAAACCATCGTGGATGTGTCTGGTCTTCTGGCCAAGGTATGTGCGTTCTTCCATTCCAAGTACAGGGTGATAGATGACCGGCGTAATTGCGCCTACGCAACGAACGTGTGTAAATAGTCGTTTCTGCGCCGTACATTATCGAACCTAGGGCAGTGGTGGGTTTGGGACGCCATGGACCCAGGCGCGGCGTGTGCCGTTGGTGTCCCCGGACGTCGCCTGTCGCAGTTATATTGCCGGCAAGGGCCCGGCTCATTATTTGGACCATGTGGGCTTTGGCTTGCGCTGCGTGATCTGGGAGACTGGAGATTCAGTGCTAAGTCTCGATCGGCGCTCAAAGGTTTCCGGTCAGAACACCCCCTGCCCCAGTACCCAGCATCTCTCCGGATCTCCGTTCGGCCGTAGACTTGAAGCCCCATTTTTTAATCTCTACGCGCCCATCTTCTACTCTTTTTAGCTTCGCTCAAGGTTTGATCGTCGACGCCTTCATCCCGCAGAAGAACACAGTCATCAAATAATGGTGGTCATCTTTGATCCTTGATTAGCGAGTGTTTAACATTCCAAGCCCGCGGCTGTATACGGGCTGTATTCATTTTCGATGTCCAGGGAACCTGGTGCAGGCGCGTTTCCCCAGCGATACCCGAAAACCTGATTCTACAGCTGTAGGGTTCGCCCGCGTCAGGATGACGAGATGCGGCTTTGAGTCCGAGTCGGAGGCGCTACCTGGCGCTACATCATTGTGCAGCTGGAGGCGCGCTGCGAACCCCCGGCCTGACCTCAATCGCTTTTGGAGCTGCAGCCAATCTGGGTATCAAGATGTCCGTCCCCCTCTGTCGGTTGCCTCGATCTCTGGTTCTGGGGGCCTCTCGCCAGCGCCAAGGGTGGTATTCGCAGTTGCGTGTTTTAGGCTCGTGATCGGTCCCGGAGTCGGAGTTGGTTCTGCGAGGCCACGCGAGACCAGGGACCAGTCCGGGTTGTGCTGGGGAGACGACGAGGAAAGCGGCTCGGGGCAGTTCAGGCTTATCATCCTCTAGAGCCCACTTCGCGCGTCGCTTTGAGGGTTTCGGGGACCTGGACCGAGGCCTACCCCTAGGCCTAACTTTAGACCATCTGCGCTGCCGGGAATTCGATAGTCAGCGTGTCCGGCCGTGGGTGGGTCCTTGTCCTGGGCCGCACTCAAAGTAGCAAGGTTTTGTCTTTTTGCTGGTACCATACGGGCGGATGGCGCGGCCTGCGACGTGGTGCGCACCCCTAAGGCCGTGTGCGATCGGGGCGTCTACAGTGAGTGTTTGGGACCGCCAGGGAGTGAATTTTTCTTCAGGGTGGGCTTAACGCCGATCATCGATGACGATTTTCGCTTCTATGGCGTCAGGTTTCAGGCGCAATGGGGGCAGAGGACGGCTTCGGGAGCGCTTTCGTTCTGTCCAAAGATGGCCTCTCGATAGGCTTGCCTGTGCGAGATTCGAGCACGAGGCTTTTGGGAGGAAGACGGTCCGGTATCTAGCTCTGCTTTCGTGATCTGGTCTGTGAACAAAAAAAGACAGGGTGTGTCTATTTCTCTATTTTTGTTTGCAGGATCACTTGTTGTGCGTCCAGGCAGCGGCAATCTGCCGTCGTCTGGCAGATTAGGTGCTACCAGAAGTGGTATTCAGTGACCATCCAGACATTGAATGTAGTTCGCGAGAAACGCTGCCCTTGGCAGAGACTGGCCTGCAACTTTTCAACGGGCCTGCTGCTGTCGAGTGTTGAACCCGTATATGTTATTTTTACGGCGGCAGGTCTGCTCCCGAGCGCGCAGTCGCGTGGCAGTCACAAGTTGTGGGGTTTCCCACCTGCTCGTCCCGCATAGCTGTTTTTGGTTTTGGCGTGGCGCTGAACATTTGCAAGAAGCGGACACCTGCTGCCTGCAGGAGCGGGTCTCGTTCAGGGGAGCATGCTTTAAATATAACGACACTAGGCAGCGGCCCGGCGCCTTCGATACGACATGAATTGTGCGTCATGTACACTATCTAGAATCGAACAAATAGAGGAGTGCGGCAATGATGAGACACGAGGCTGTGCCAGCTTCCCGTATCGTTCTTGGGAGTCGTATGGGGCGACTAGATGCTAGATGGAGAGAGCAAATTGCCGATTTTGTCTACCGTCGTGGCGCGTTCAATGAACCTTGGACCTATTTTTGAGATTTAGGCGGCCTCGTGCGATATGGTATAGCTTGAAGAAGACTGCGACCGACGGGTCCTTGAGAGCTTGAGGGTGGAGTGGGTGCTAATATACATGGCGCATCCCGCTGTGGAGCGCTCGCGACGACTTACCTGGCTTGGGCCGCTCTCACTCCCACAGTTATTTTCTTTCTGTGAAGAGTCGGCGCGGACTCCGCTTTTGGAATGCAGGCCCCGGATTGACTCCGAAACCTCGACAAGTTGGGTATATTTTGATCGAGACTGGGCGTGGTCCGGATGATGGCCCTGATTAGGGGCTTCAGCGCGAATGTCGAAGGCGCAGGCGGAGAACAACATATGCGTCGAGCTGTTGGAGGACAGCGGGGCGCTGAACGTCGACTGTGAATTGAGTGAACCGGTTGCAGTGTGGGGTGGAGAGAGGCAGTGCGAGCGACAAATGGGTGGACGTCGTGAGAGCCGGTGGCGGAGGCCGTGGCGCCGCAGGCCGCAGGCATGCCTCAATCAAGTTCGCGCGGTCTCGCTCGCCTGACCTCGACCACACTCCTCCCCCAACGGCCATCTCCTCCCGCCCCTTCCCACACAGACGAAGGCGACGACATCCGCGACGGCGAGCACATAACATTCGCCCCATTGTCACATACACACCCCCTCGCCGTCGCAGTAGTACCTCGCACAAGCCTCTCTCATGGCTGCCCGCCCGCCGCCGAGGAGCCGCGAGGGCGTCTATGTGTCTCCCTCGCCTCCCAGCAATGTTCACGACCCATTTAATCATAGATACGATGATAATGACCCCGAGCATGCATATGGTCGAAGAGACACTTACGGATCAGACAGCAGCGCTGCATATAATGAGGGAGAAAGAGGGTATTATGACCACGGCGACGTCTATGGTACGTTTTAGGCGCCTCGTTTGGTAGCTCCTTTGTTCAGCTACCTATCCTTTCTCCCTTACAGGCCATCCAGACACAGACTCGGAGCATGATGTGTATGCACGAGCACCATCAGCAGAGTCCCTTGGAGGCCGTATGGGCATGTCGGACACCTCTGCTCCTGTCTGGGGCGACCACGGCGCTTCTCAGTATGGCGGCGGACGAGAGCCATACCCCGCTTGGGACGCAGGTCGCCAAATCCCCCTGTCGAAGGAGGAGATCGAGGATATCTTTCTAGACTTGCAACAAAAGTTTGGCTTTCAGCGGGATTCCATGCGAAATATGGTGCGTCTCCCTCTATCCCCTTTTTTCCTCCCCTCCTCACCCGCTCTCGTTGTCAGTTTGACTTCACCATGCAACTACTGGACAGTCGCGCCTCACGGATGTCTCCCCATCAAGCTCTTCTCACGCTACATGCGGATTATATCGGTGGTCAGCATGCCAACTACCGCAAATGGTACTTCGCCGCGCAGCTCGACCTAGACGATGCCGTCGGCCAGACACAAAATCCTGGCTTGCAGCGCCTAAAGTCGACAAAGAAGCGCGGGCGGAATACTTCGGCGAAGTCGCTGGCGAGCGCCATGGACCGCTGGCGGCAGGCGATGAACAACATGAGCCAGTACGACCGCATGCGACAGCTCGCGCTCTTTTTGATGTGTTGGGGTGAAGCGGCGCAAGTGCGCTTCACGCCCGAGTGCCTGTGCTTCATCTTCAAGTGCGCGGACGACTACTACCGCTCTCCCGACTGCCAGAACCGCGTCGACCCAGTGCCTGAAGGACTCTATTTGCGCGCTGTGATCAAGCCACTGTACCGATTTATTCGGGACCAGGGGTACGAGGTTTCGGATGGGAAGTTTGTGCGGCGGGAGCGTGACCATGACAGGATTATTGGATATGACGACATCAATCAATTGTTCTGGTATCCTGAGGGCATCGCCCGGATCACCCTCACTGACAAGGTGCGAATGCTTTTGATCTGATATTGTTATGGTGTTCTCATTGTTACGCACGTGTGTTGCAGACACGTCTTGTAGATATTCCACCAGCGGGTCGGTTCATGAGGTTTGATCGAATTGACTGGAATCGCGCCTTTTTCAAGACGTACTACGAGAAGCGCTCGTTTGGTCATGTCCTTGTCAACTTCAATCGCATCTGGGTCATTCACATCGCGCTCTACTGGTTCTATACGGCATACAACTCGCCGACGGTGTACCAACCTAAGATTCGGAACTCTCCCGCGTTGACATGGTCAGCGACCGCTCTCGGGGGTGCTGTGGCCACTGTGATCATGATAGCTGCTACCCTCGCCGAATTCTCGTACATCCCCACGACTTGGAACAACACCTCTCATCTCACACGGCGGTTGCTCTTCCTGTTTGTCACGCTCGCTCTCACCGCCGGCCCGACCTTCTACATCGCGATCGCAGAAAACTCGGAAGCCGGCGGAGGTCAACTCGCGCTCATCCTCGGCATCGTGCAATTCTTCATCTCGGTCGTCGCGACGCTCCTGTTCTCGATCATGCCCTCCGGGCGCATGTTCGGCGACCGTGTCGCTGGCAAGTCGCGCAAGTACCTCGCCTCGCAGACGTTCACTGCGAGCTACTCCGAGCTCGCGCCGCAGGCACGCCTCGCCTCGCTCTTGCTCTGGTTCCTTGTCTTCGGATGTAAATTCACCGAGTCGTACTTCTTCCTCACCCGCCTCTCCTTCCGTGACCCGATCCGCGCCATGGTCGGCATGCGCATCCAGAATTGCGAGGAGAAGCTGTTTGGGAACGCGCTGTGCAGAAATCACGCGGCGTTCACCCTCACGCTGATGTACATCATGGACCTCGTGCTGTTCTTCTTGGACACGTTCTTGTGGTACATCATCTGGAACACGGTGTTCAGTATCGCGCGCTCGTTTGCGCTGGGTTTGTCAATCTGGACGCCGTGGAGGGAGATCTATGCGAGGTTGCCGAAGCGAATTTATTCGAAGATCTTGGCAACTTCGGATATGGAGGTCAAGTACAAGCCCAAGGTGGATACTCCTTCCTCTCGTTTTCGATGTTGGCCCCTAACGTTCGTCTCGTTTAGGTATTGGTGTCGCAGATATGGAACGCCATCATCATTTCCATGTATCGCGAGCACTTGTTGTCCATCGAACACGTTCAGAAGCTCCTGTATCATCAAGTCGATACTCCTGATGGTCGTCGAAGCTTGCGGGCCCCTCCGTTCTTCATCTCGCAGAGTGACAAGAGCTACAAGGGCGACTTCTTTCCACCTGGGAGTGAAGCGGAACGCCGTATCTCGTTCTTTGCGCAATCGCTTACGACGGCCATTCCCGAAGCCCTTCCGGTCGACGCTATGCCAACCTTCACGGTCTTGACCCCACACTACAGTGAAAAGGTCAGTTGCGTAGGCTAGCGTATTCTATTGATCGCTAAAGCTATGCTATATCGTAGATTCTTCTGTCGCTGCGAGAAATCATCAAAGAGCCCGACATGAACAGTCGTGTCACCTTGCTGGAGTACCTGAAGCAGCTGCACAGTCTTGAATGGGAAAACTTTGTCAAAGATACCAAAATTCTCGCTGAGGAGTCCGAAATGTACAATGGCAACAATCCTTTCTCGGAAGAAAAGGCACAGTCGAAGACGGACGATCTGCCCTTCTACATGATTGGGTTCAAGAGCGCGGCGCCGGAGTTTACGCTTCGGACCCGTATCTGGGCTTCGCTTCGTGCGCAGACGCTGTACCGGACGGTCTCTGGGATGATGAACTATGCCAAGGCGATCAAGCTACTCTACCGCGTGGAGAACCCGGAGGTCGTGCAGATGTTTGGCGGGAACACGGACAAGCTTGAGCGCGAGCTCGAGCGGATGGCGCGCAGGAAGTTTAAGTTCGTCGTCTCGATGCAGCGGTACTCCAAGTTCAACAAGGAGGAGCATGAGAATGCCGAGTTCTTGCTTCGCGCGTACCCCGAATTGCAGATCGCATACCTGGAAGAGGAGCCGCGGAAGGAGGGCGGAGATCCGCGCTTGTTCTCTGCGCTCATCGACGGACACTCGGAGTTCAATTCCGAGACGGGCCAACGCAAGCCGAAGTTCCGCATTGAGCTGCCTGGAAACCCCATCTTGGGAGATGGCAAGTCGGACAACCAGAACCACGCGATCATCTTCTATCGCGGTGAATACCTGCAGCTCATCGACGCCAACCAGGACAACTACCTCGAGGAATGTCTCAAGATCCGCAACGTCCTTGGCGAGTTCGAGGAGTACTCCGTGTCCAGTCAGAGCCCGTACGCGCAGTGGGGCCACAAGGAATTTAAGAACTCTCCTGTCGCCATTGTCGGTGCGCGCGAGTACATCTTCTCGGAGAACATTGGTATTCTGGGTGACATCGCGGCGGGCAAGGAGCAAACGTTCGGCACGCTCGCCGCACGGTCTTTGGCATGGATTGGCGGCAAACTGCACTACGGACACCCGGATTTCTTGAATGCGACATTCATGAACACGCGCGGAGGTATCTCCAAAGCGCAGAAGGGTTTGCACTTGAACGAGGATATCTATGCGGGTATGACGGCTTTTGGGCGTGGGGGACGCATCAAGCACACCGAGTACTATCAGTGCGGCAAAGGGCGTGATCTTGGGTTCGGCACGATCTTGAACTTCCAGACGAAGATCGGGACAGGTATGGGCGAGCAGATGCTCAGTCGGGAGTACTATTATCTCGGCACGCAGTTGCCTGTCGACCGGTTCTTGACGTTCTACTACGGCCATCCTGGATTCCACATCAACAACATGCTCATCATCCTGTCGGTGCAGTTCTTCGTAGTCACGAGTGAGTGCATACGGTCTGCATGTGGCGAGTGTGAGAGGCTGATTTTGTTCATTTCAACAGTGGTCTTTTTGGGAACACTCCACTCGCAGTTGACGACGTGTCGATACACGAGCACTGGACAGCCCGTAGGGAATCAGGGCGGATGTTACAACTTGCAACCCGTTTTCTCTTGGATTGAGCGTTGCATCATCAGTATCTTCCTCGTCTTCATGATCGCTTTCTTGCCTCTGTTCTTGCAAGGTCAGTTTTGTTTTCATATGTGTCTACACAGCATTCATTCTATTTTGCAGAGTTGATTGAGCGCGGGACTGGGCGAGCGATCGTGCGCCTGAGCAAACAGTTCATGTCGCTCTCTCCCGTGTTCGAGGTGTTCTCGACGCAGATATACACGCACTCCATCTTGAACAATTTGACGTTTGGAGGCGCCCGATACATCGCCACTGGCCGTGGATTCGCGACGTCCAGAATATCGTTCAGCATCCTATTTTCCCGCTTCGCCGGTCCAAGCATATACCTCGGGATGAGGACGTTGTTGATGTTGCTCTACGTGACGCTGTCGTTCTGGACGCCGTATCTGATCTACTTCTGGATATCAATTCTCGCGCTCTGTGTTGCTCCGTTCTTGTACAACCCTCACCAGTTTTCGTTCGCGGATTTCATCGTGGATTACAGGTAAGCCTCTTCATCACTTCGTGAAATGTTAGAGGTGTGTCTGACATGATGTTTACAGAGAATTTTTGCGTTGGATGTCTCGTGGTAATTCTCGATCCCACAACAACTCGTGGATCGGATACTGTCGTCTGTCGCGAACAATGATCACTGGATACAAAAAGAAGAAACTGGGCAGGCCTTCCGAGAAGCTGTCAGGCGATGTTCCTCGGGCGGGCTGGCGCGCAGTCATAGTATCGGAAGTCATATTCCCCATCGTTATGGCCGTCCTCTTCGTTATTGCCTACATGTTCGTCAAGTCGTTCCCCGTGAACGGCAAGACACCGCCTAGCCCGCTGATTCGCATCGCTGTCGTCTCGATCGGACCAATCGTCTGGAACGCCGGCGTGCTCCTTGTGCTCTTCTTTGTGTCGTTGATGCTCGGACCTATGCTTGATTCATGCTGCACCAGGTTCGGTTCGATCATGGCAGCCCTTGCGCATACACTTGGAACGATTGGGATGATTGGGTTTTTCGAGTTCCTCGTGAGTCGTCCTTAAAATTGTTGATGAATAATATCAGCTGATTGCGTTTGCCCAGTGGTTCCTCGAGCTCTGGAACACATCGCACGCCGTACTTGGTTTGATCACAGTCGTCGCCATTCAGCGTGCTGTGCACAAGGTCCTCATCTCCGTCTTCCTCTCGCGTGAGTTCAAGCACGACGAGACCAACCGCGCATGGTGGACGGGCAAGTGGTACGGTCGTGGACTCGGTTCGCATGCGCTGTCGCAGCCCGCGCGCGAGTTCATCGTGAAGATCATTGAGCTGTCACTCTGGAGCTCCGACATTCTCATCGGCCACTTCCTCCTGTTTATGCTCACGCCGCCGCTGTTGATCCCATACATCGACCGTCTCCATTCTGTACTTCTTTGTGAGTGCCGTTTTAACTTCTCTGATGAATCGGTCGTCTAACGTGCGTGTTGACAGTCTGGCTTCGGCCGTCGAAACAAATCCGTGCACCGATCTACAATATCAAGGTCCGGAAACAGCGACGTGCGATTGTGCGTAGTCTTTCTTGTTTGCGGCATTTTACATGGTCTTGACATGAGAAATTCCGCAGATTATCAAGTACGTTCCTATCTATATTTCGGTCATTGCTCTTTTTGTGGCTTTGATCGCCGTTCGTGAGTGCCGTTTTCTATCGCCATGCAACGCTTCGGTGCTCATGATGTCGTCCGTGTCTTCAGCCGCCATCCTCAGTAATACGATACGCATGAACTGCTCGTTGTGCAATAGTCTGTAACTTGAACACTTGTTTTCGATTTCGTCTTGTTTCGCATACGTCTCGTCGCTCTCTTCTCTCCTCTCCTCACGCTCATAGATCGAGGACTGTCCACTCTCCCGTTGTATGTGCTCCTAGCTCTGCGCGCCTCGCTCGAACGCACCCACATCGAGCGAGCAAGCGGGCAGTGTCTTTTCGCTACGGACTTACTCTCCCTGACGATACGCAGTCGATGGATGTTGTCCATATCCGTGCCGAATCCGTACTCTCTTCCTCTCACGCGCATATTCATACGTTCTGATACGAGCTCTCCTCTCTCACACCTTCATCGTCGGATCGCGTTCTTTCGATTTTGAAGTCCATTACCACATTTGTCCCCGTCTTATTCCCTTCCTCTCTCTCTCTCTCTCTCTCTCTTCGAGTCGTATCTTCTTGGACTTTACAGTGTAATGAGTGAAATCAAGTTGGTGTGGTCGACGCGGGATTTACTGTGTAGCTCGTGCATCGAGCATGCGAGGCTCCTTGAGGCAAGGGAGCGCAAAGTACCGCTGCAACGGTGCTCATTCGTCCTTGTTCGTAATCTATCAAAGAGGACGAGAGGTATGACTTGAGGTATGGTCCGGGCACACGGCACGAACAATAGCAGCCAGCGCACCCGCACACATGGAGCCACCAACAGCGTGCAGCGACGAATGGCAGAGTCCATGCGCGCATGGTTACAGACGGCACATACCACATGAATTACCACACAAGGAACCGTACGATACTTACCACACCCACCACTAATTCCACGCTAACGCGTCCCATCCTCAATGAGGTGCCCACATGCCCTTCGAGGGCCACTGCGGAGCACAGTTTAAAAGCAGGTCACCTATATTCCTCACGAAAGTAGATATCCCATACGTACGTAGTCTAGACATGCGGTACGCCGCCATTAGACTATAATACAGTTTTTTTTTTAAAAAAGGGTATGGTCCATCCCATTTTAGCATTTATACCCTTGTCGGCCATGACGCGGCCCTAGCCGGTGTCAGCTGCGGTGGATATCGCAAAGGCATGATGGCAGGGCCCCAGGGGATCAGATTGGATCTAGTATCTGACGTGATATCACGCCCGCAAACTAATGCAGCACTACCGCTGGCCTGTGCGTATGCGTGCGGTGAACTGGAGCAGTTACCTCCGGCATCCGAAAGATCGGCGCTGCTTAACACTCATAGAGCACTCATAGTGTACGAAACACTCAAACGGTTAGCGCTTACAGTGCTTTGCAATAGACTTTTCACTCTCTATTTGCGGCGAGACGACATCAATATTTGTTCTCACCGGACAAAGTGACGCCCTGCGTGTCACTTAGCTCAGGCCCACCGACATCGTTGATTGCTACAAGTATGTATCACCGCGTCATCATCTTTTTCGTGCTCATATTACCAGGGTCTGGTTTCCGTGGTCACCCTCGTGAGTATGCAAAAGGATTGTTGACAACTCCATGATCTCGATAGCATCGGAGAATGTTGTGGACAGTATGAGTAGGCATTTCAGCTGGAATTTGATATCTTTTGAAACTCAGCTCGCTCACGTGCAAGGAAGCTCACGTGCTAGTCAAGAGAAAGCTCAAAATATCATTTATGGGCAGTCCTGATGTGCAACGCACAGTCACCGTGAGTGTCTCTCATATAATGCATTGCGGTCGCACCTACTTAAACAAAGGCTAAGCGCGAAGCATCCATGTCTATCCCACAAGCCTCTACTTTTTGGCTTGGTTTCTCCAGTATCTCCTGCTTGGTGTCTCCGCTAAGACCTCCTCTCCTTATCTCATACCTCCATGAATATCCCCAGCGACACCCCCGGTGATTCTCGAGCTCCCAAACATCACCATGGGGAGCTTGAAGCAGAGCCGCTTGTCAATCATCCTACTCGATACTACAAAGACGGAAATTTTATATTTCAATGCGGCCAGACACTCTTCTGCGTCCACCGCACCGTCGTCACCAAGGTCTCGACTGTGTTTAAGGAGATGCTCGCACTCGATCGCATTCATGAGACCATCCGTGGTTGCACGCTTCTCAAAATTGACGACAACGAAAGCGACATGGTGTCGTTTCTCAACGCGTTGTATGGTGAACGGTACATTGGGCTGCGGATGACCTCTGCAAATTTCCCTCTATCCAGCGTCCTCCGTCTCGCGCACAAGTACCGTGTCGCACACATGAAAACCGAATTTATTGTGGCTCTGCATGCTGCTTGGCCATCTAACCTCCCTCAGCACCTGCAATTCACACATGACCTCGCTGCATGCTGCGCTTTGCAGTCGTATATTCAAGACCTGCCCATCGACCTATCCAAGGTCATAGACCCGGAGGTCGATACAAACACCACAACAAACGTGCCCGTCCACCCGGCCGCGGTAATCGCGCTTCTGCGTGCCATCAACTACGATGACCAAGGGTTACTCATGGCACCCTTTACGACGTCAGTCGCTGCATCCTTCAACTCAGCAGCGGTGTATATACCAACCATCCTCTTTCCTGCCTTGCGCCCGCCGATATTGAGCGGTTCGTGATTGGCCTCGCGCGTCTCCGGATGACCCAGGCCCAAATGTACACCTCACCGATGCTCGTTGCTGTCCCCGAGCACTGGGGGACATGCCATTTGTATATCCGTGCGTTTTGGACACACACGGCTCAGCCACTGCTGCTGCTTCCAGCGGGCCTCATGTCGCAGCCGGTCGAGGATTTGGAGACTGTGAGGCAGATGGTGCGGTCGGCCACGACAGAGTCGGGTTTTCCTTGGAGCGTGTGTTCGGCGTGTCGCACGGAGGTGCTGCAGCACGTAGAGCGGCAGCAGGCAGAACTGTGGCGCTTGATGCCTATGTTTTTTGCCCTCGAGTAAGGTTGACGAAAGTGTTCTATCTTGTTAAATGAGCCGCTTTGTTGTATAGTCTCTTTGCCCTGCTGTCGTTTTGTTTTGGTTCCGTGCTCACAATCTGCTGCTCTCTACATAGATCTGGTCTCGTGAACGCCTGTACGTCTCTTCGTATCTATGGATCAGCCAGATTTATCTCTTCTTTTTCCACCATGTACAGTGCTTCGAGATATCTTCTCTGGCTTCCCACTGCGATGCAGACTGTGATCTGAGCTCTTGTAAAATACATGTTTTTTTGCGGCTTGCGCAGGGGACCGCTGATACTTAGAAGGTTCAACGTCTGCGCACCCCCAGTCATACATTTGGCCAAGGGTCTCCTACTGTAAGACGACATCGCTTCAGCACAGCAGAGAGCCTGCTAGAGCTGCCATACACGCAAGGACTCAATCAAAAAAGCCTTGGCCTCAGGGAACACAGCGAACTCGAGCATGATATAGATAGCCGAATGTGAGAGTGCTGGGATGTACATGGACAACAACGATCAGAGCATATATGAGAGCAGACTTGACGATCAGTGGACGATAGATGATATACTTGGTATGATATTACGCAGCCGGGGACGGGCCAGCATGGTTCAGGGCCGCGAGCTGCTGCCGGAGAAGGGCAACCTCATCGTTCAGCAGAGCCCTTGCCGCCGCCTCCGCCTCTGCCGCCGCCTCTGCCGCCACCGCCCTTGCGTCGGCTGCCTTCGCTGCCGCTGCCGCTGCCGTCGCCGCCGCTTCCGCCGCCTCCGCCGCCGCTTCCGCTGCCTTCGCCGTCGCTTCCGCCGCCTCCGCCGCCGCTTCCGCTGCCTTCGCCGTCGCTTCGGCCTCCACCCTCGCTGCGGCCTCTTCCTTTGCGGCGGCTTCGGCCTCCACCCTTGCCGCTGCCTCTTCCTTTGCGGCGGCTTCGGCCTCCACCCTCGCCGCTTCCGCCCTCTCCCTCGCTGCTGCCTCTTCCTTTGCAGCGGCTTCGGCCTCCACCCTCGCTGCTGCCTCTTCCTTTGCGGCGGCTTCCGCCCTCTCCCTCGCCGCTGCCTCCTCCTCCGCCTTTGCAATGGCCGCTCGCGCCTCCTCCTGCGACCTCACCCACTTGGCGGCGGGGTGATCCTCCCGGGCCCTCTCGTCCAACAGCGCGGCAAGTTGCTTCTCGAACTCAGACTTAATCTTGCCCAGCGGCGGCTCAGGGGGCTGGATGGTGAAGATAGTGAGGAAGCGCCCACGCTCGTCCTTGAGGTTGTCGACATTGAACTCGACCTCCTTGCCGTCCTCGTTGCCAAGGCCGATGAGGCGCTCGCGGAAGAAATCGTAGATCACGGCCGCATACCAATAGCACTGACGCGAGAGGAGCGCGTAGTCGGGAGCGTATTCTTGGAGCGCAAGCAGCAACGCAGCGAGGTCGTAGTCGGTGAAGCGCTTATTAAACGTGAGCTTGCGGCAGTGCTCATACGGGTGGCGGGCGTGGCGGTCGATTTTGCTGACGGGCGCGCCATTCGGGGGGATGATGATGCGGTCGAAGGCGGGCGGCGTAAGGGAAGAGGACGAGGACGAGGCCACGGAGCTGGGGGACAAGCTGAGGCGGGAGGAGGACGATGATTGGAAGAAGGCGGAAAAGCGGCTGCCGTTCTCGCGGGAGAGGTCGGCGCCGGGGCGGATCTTGTCTTTGGGGAGCAGGCTGGTGTCGATCGTGCGCTCGACGATGATGGGCACGGTGAGCGGGGGAGCGTCTAGAACGGGGTACTCGAAATGGATGATGAGAAACTCGTGGAAGACGCCGCGCTTCCGCTTGCAGTGTTCTATGCTGGCGATGCGCGGACGTTCCTCTGAGGGGGTGGGGGTGAAGAGGACGAACCCCGCCCATCCAGTCACGTTGTAGGCGGATTCTTCCTTGGGAAAGTAGAGGACATCGTTGGGGGCGGACATGGCTCTATGTGAGGGGGAAAGACAAGGGAATGCGCTGGAGAGTAGGTCGCGCAGAGCGGCTGATAAGTGGTGCATAGTGGCAGAGAGACTTGAAGGGCTATGGGCAGTGGGCATGTCCGCGTGCAACCAGCGAGGAGATGGGCGTCTAAGGGATTTGGTATTCGACAACCCCACATGCACGTGTATCTGCGCACATCAGTGAAACAGTCAGCGACATTCCGGAAGATTGAAGTTGCATGAGGCCTACTATCGTACTTGTGTGTGTCGAAGATGAAAGCTTGTCGAATAGCAGTGACGCGACGTTAGCGAAGACGCTGTCACGTGATCAGGAAACCCTTCCCCTCGCTAGCGACAGGTTCGACGAGCATGGCCTCCATCGATACACCCTCTGACCGCGAACGCCCGCGCACCGAGCTCGATGCCGAGCTGCTCATAAATCACCCAGCGCTTTACTTCGATGACGGAGACGTCATCTTACAGTGCGGCAAGACCCTCTTCCGCGTCCACCGCAGCATCCTCCTCAAGCACTCCACCTTATTTCAGGAGATGCTCGCCCCCGCGCGTGACACCCTGCGCGATTGTACGTTGCTCAAGGTCGTCGACGACAAGGACGATATGGAGGCTTTTTGAACACAATATACGATGGTTTGTGCGTAAACCCATTTGCGGCCTCGCCACTCAAAATCTCCTCATCCATTGTTCACTCGCCTGGTCCTTCTCTTCTCCCTGCTCCTCTGTCAGCACTATCGATGCTTCCCACATCACCATCGAGAACTTTCCGACACTCTCCGGTATCCTCCGCCTCGCGTACAAATATCGCGTCGCGCGCAGCCTGGCCCTCTGCCCTGGATAAGCATCTCGCGCACGCACGCGCACCACGCTGCGCGCTTCGCAGCCGCACACCGAGGATCTGATCGTGCACCCCGCCGCAGTGATTGCGCTCCTCCGCTCCATCAACTACGCCGACAACGCCCTGCTCTCCGCGCTTTTCTACGACCTCAACCGCCGCACGCAGCAGCTCGGCGGTGCCTACGGGCATCATCTCGCCTCGCTCTCGGAGGCCGACATCGGGCGCCTCGTGCTCGGCGGCTGACGGCTCCCCTTCGCGCACGCCAATCTCATCATCGCGGGGCCGACCCTGACCGCCAACCCTTTGCACCAGATGTCCTGCCACGCGCTCGTCTCGGGGTTTTGGCACTCGCCCGCGGGACAGCGGTGCCTGCTGAACATGCAGGACCTGATATCGCAGCCCGTGGAGAATTGGGAGCTCGTGAAGGGGCAGGTGCAGGGCACGCTCGCGCTGCCGGGTCTCAGTCTGACCGGCCTGTGTTCCACATGTCGCGCGGAGATGGTCAAATATGTGGGGCAACAGCAGGCGACATTGTGGGGATCGCTGAGCCGACACTTTGACCTCGCCGAACATTGACCGACACCACCCGCGCAGACCGGAATCTCAATTCCTGCTGATTATTTATCGCTTTGTCCCCGTAAGTCTGTGCTGTATTGTTGGTGTAGCGCTGCTTAATTCTCGCTTTCATGTCTGCTATCACGGAATGCTTTCATGTCCTATCCTACGGAATACAACATGCCGTACAATATATATTAAAACTATTGTCGTTCAAGATTCGGACAACAGTAAGACATCGATTTTTCGGACATCGATCCCGACGATCATGAGCTTATTATCTTAGAGAAGGCGTTAAGGATTGAGCCTGGTGAGGTTATCACCCTATGAGCTGGCCCATGCCCATAAGAGATCGCATAGCGTCTTGGGTATCAGGAACGACACATAATACGTGCACGAGTTGACTCCCATACTGCTCCGCCGCTAGAGAGCCGGGCTTGTACTTGACTACGATCGGTGCGCCCAAGGGGCTCTGCAGAGAGGGACAAAGCATCGTGAGAACAGGATGACAGAATTCTGAGCTCGGACGTACCACAATCGTAGCAGGGCTCCACACCCATCCTCGACGTCCCTGTAATTCCTCCGCCACGAGGTAATTGCGCTGAACATCATGTCGTGAGACGAGATTGAAGACAAAACACTTAGAGCAATGAGTCGGCTCACCAGGCGTTCGCAGTAATCATGGACCTCCTCCGCCAGCTACGGTGGTGAAATTAGATCATGCCAATAGGAATGTCTCTCCGAACCAAGGGTGGACGAGAACCCTCGCGCTTTCTTTGCGCTTACCGAGTGGTGGGCATCTTGACAATATACCAAGGGATGGCGACGCCGACCTTGAATGATGATGATTCAACTCAGCAAAAAGATGGTCGAACAAGCACACCGTCCAGACGCACCAGGCCCTTGTTGACCCCCCATCTCAACTACATTGCTTCTATCCCAGGGGCCGTAGACGGCCTTGTTGTTCGAGTCTCTAGTGAGACAGCGGAAGTTCTCCATATGGTTGACCCGACGCAGCGTATCCTCGGTCAGTGAGTCGAGTGACAGACAATATTACATGGTATTATTTACAAAAGGCGTCCCAACAATTCTAAGAAGCAGTCTGTTCGCAACGTCTTCTTTCAAAGGGACGACGGTGTTGAGAGAAGCTTGGAACCGCAATCAGTCTGCACGGATCGAAAAGATGCCCGATAGTCGAAGCGCCTCACAGTATATTAATTTGCGTAGCGTCTCCAAACTCCTAAAGTCCAACAGATATCCTGGATGCGGAAATGGGGCAAACTCCTTGACTGAATCGTCCGGAATGTCATCTTGACGGCGGTGATACCTTTGCGGCACGTATGGGACAAAGTCAACATATGGGACGGGATCCATTATTCAGAGGGGAGGAGATGATAAGATGAAGATGTGCTATTGGGAGGGCGTATTACCATGATGCATGTTTTTTATGATGCTGCCGGCCACAGAGGCCATGGTGACAGAGAGAAACTGCACGCACGCGCATCCTAGCGGTGATCGGTGTTGGACATTTGCCTCAGAGAAATTGGAAACTGTCAGTGTAAGGGATGGACAAACGAGTCAATTCGCAAATTGCACCGCTTGAGCTGTGGCGCCGTTCGGGTGGCCAGGCGCATCATCTAGATCATATGTGGCGGGTGCATCAGAGGAGCGGTGAAGTCATCGGTGACACACAAGCGAAGTTGAAGCCAGGTTGCCTACATGGAGCGCAAAAGTTATTTTGCAAGGACGGATTGAGAGAAAGAACGGCTACAAATATTTCTAGCAAAGTCCCAACCCTTCCAAGGTAATGTTGAGTCCCTGAGTGTCCAAACCTATGAGATGGAGAAAATCTGTATTTTGATAAACAATCGAGGTGCCTACAGAGGGACCGGTCAACAGCTCTGAAAGCAAGATTTTGAGGGAGATTTTGAGCAAGAATAAGTTCTTCCAAAGGCTTCATCCCGAGAACCGCCATCAAGGTGACTGAACACTATGAGACCCATACAGAGCATTGAACACCTTCGCTCCAGTCGCTCTCGGCGCTGACCAGTCATATTGAGAGGTTATATGCGAGTTCTGGTCCTCGCGACGTACCTAACCCCAGAGGGGCTGCGTGGCCTGACCTTCGTGACCTTCGCATTGCAGATCTCTGATCAACAAAGAAGGAACATGATATGCGCTTTGTACTGCCAGAAGAGATCCCAGGTACGACTTTCACCGACTGAGTATATTGAGAACCTAGCATCGGAGTTGAGCTGAGATTAGCGCAGAATAATCTGTTGTCGAGGAGCCATCCGGTCAAAACCTCGCGCGTGCGTCTTAGAGCTGGTTGCCCTAGCCATGTTGCAAAGTCAAGACGGACGGACGCGAGGTAGATGTTAGTGAGCAAAGCTTCTTCCATAGTCATTAGCGAGCGAAGTTATTCTGGGAGATGAAAGAGAGGGATTGACAGCCAAAGAGGAGCTCTAGACGTACACCGTCATGTGGGCACGGTAGAACCAGCTTGAGGCGAGCACTGAAGGACGAAAGGAGGGAGTAACAGCATAGTGATCCCGCCAGGTCCACAGTTGCAACACTTAGACCAGCTTGAAGAAGAGACGAGAAACTGAAGGGAGGCTCGCTGCCTGCCAAAGGCCCAGAACTGTTGCGAGTTTCCAAAGTCGTTGAGCTATGAGCCCTTCCCTCATTAGAACCTGCGAGGCATCTTGCTTGATGTCAAAACCTAAAGATTCGTGTGCAAACCTATTAGTATTGTTAGCTGGCCACGCACCGTGTCCTCTGATGTGATGTTCCGGATTCCAAACATCGCAAACAGTCAAGATAGTCGATGATGATAAAAGCGGAATCTCTGGAGATGTCGTCGTACACAGAGGTGCGTTCGACACACAGCAGATAGAAGGTAACTGTTTACGTGAATTCAGGTCCTATTTGCCCGACCTGGCTTATTTCCCTTTCGAGACAGTACATTCAAGTTGCAGTGCCTCGCCGCGACCTCACATCGAGTGATCTGTCGGTGAACGTTGGACTTCCTTCCAACTAGCTCGAGCTGAACATTGACCAGCACACCCAACCTCATTATCTTCGAGATCGCTCCATGGACAGCACGTTGCGACTTCCTACCGAGATCATCGCTAAGATCTTCGTCCACTGCCTCCCCCGTCTATTCGACGCCACGGATGAATTGGCTTCATTCAAGTTACGCAATGCGCCTACCCTCTTGACAACGGTCTGCAAGAGATGGCGGGATATCGCTCTGGACACTCCTCAATTATGGTCCAATATCTATATCGGGACACCCCAAGAAGCGTTCACGTCGTCTGCCAAACAGACACTTGGATCTTGGCTTGCTCGTTCTGCTCATTTTCCTCTCACCATCACCATCTATGCCATGGGTATTGGAGACTACATAGAGGCCTGCTTTGACATGCTGGTCGCTCACGCTCACCGTTGGGCGTGTGTCATCGTTCTGGACGCCACAGTCGCATTGAACTTATTATCCCGTCACCCAGACAGACAGCAGTCCATCCTATCCAGATTTCTCTTCGAACAATGCGTTAAAGATATAAAACCGAGCGAAATAGATTCTCTTTCGGACCTCTTATGCCATGCCCCTCGACTTCGGGAAGTAGTCATGCGCTTCACATCGACACAGTGGACGTTACCTTGGACCAATTTGACGCACCTTTCGCTGCGTCCATATCATCCCGCCAGCATTCCTGACACGGTCGATATGTTATCGCGGTGCAGTAACCTCACCTCTCTGCATCTCAATTTTGCAGATTCACGCATTGATCTCGTCTGGGACACCAAGGACGCTGTGTTCCCTCCACTAGTCATGCATCATTTGCAGTTTTTGATGATTAAAACGCATGTACGGGGGGTTTGCCAACTGCTCCTGGATGCTTTTGAATTTCGGGAGCTACAGCACCTGCTCATCCATGTTCTGATCGATTTCAGGAGGTCAGAGATATTCGTTCCGCCTCCATGGCCGGCACTCCGCCGTGTGCTTTCACACAGCACCCATTCGATGGAGATATTCGACCTCCATCTCTTCGACTGGAAATGTGATGACGACCTGGCTGACATTCTCGCCACCCTGCCAAACCTCACTTCGATCTCAACCTGCCTAGTCTCTGACGTCCTGATGGACCGCCTCACGTTAAAGTTTTCCCCTGACGGACGCTTGATATCCGGCCAGAATCTGAAGTTGCGAGAGCTGGAGATCGGACAGAAGTACAATGATGACATCTGGAAGGACGACGGTGTGAATCCGGAGGCATCGCACACGAATTTCGTGGACATGGCCGAATCGCGCGTCTCGCTGCCCGCGAATGCAGTCGACGCCGATGGCGGTGCGATCACTCGGCTCAGGACGCTCCGATTCGGCGGGAAGAAGATGGAGGTCATGGAGAGTGAGGCACCCGCCGAATGCGCACGGATGAGAGCGCTGGAGGACCAAGGATTGTCGTTTGTCGTTATGCCGCATGACCGTCTTTTGTCCCTGCATTAGCTGACTTTTCACTGGAATTTTCTGTGATTTGCAGCTATATCTTGAAAGTCGATGGCCTCGGACACGACATCATTTTGTGTAACGAAATTCCTGTTCGGTAGTTTTTCTGATGATACTCAACTCTCACGCACCGTCTGTACCTATGTGGTTGTGCTTCGAAGCTTTCGTATGATGACCTCCTGACTCGTGTATTAGTCCGCTTGTGTAGGTTTATGTGACAATCCAGACGTACTGCCAGCATCGTTACTCGTTATGGGAGAGACACGGCCTAGAAAGCAGGTCATGAGATGATGAACGTCGTCGGCGACGGCTTCGGCCGAGCGAGACGCAGCAGCGTGAGCCGCCGGGACGCCGAAGGAAGGGCCCAATCGCCAGCGAGGAGCCTGCTCTCTATCTACAACCTCCTCGTCGCCGCCGTCGTCGCCATCGTTGTGCAGGCCGCACCGTGCAAGGCCCCCCTCTCCGGCGAGCTTACCTGTATCATTTTTTTCACATGATGCTCTCCCGCATGGTCGTCCGCCTGCCCCGCGGACGGACCGCCTTGGTTCCGCCCTGCCATATCCGCCGCCAGCAGCAAATTCTGCGGAGAGGATTTGCGTCCAGTTTCATCTCAATGCGTGAGTGGTATTTTTTTGTGCTGTCTGTGGGAGTGCGGTTGGACGGCGCTGACCAGCTTTGGATCGACGGTTTCGTTTGCCTGTCTGCGGCGCTCCGGCACTCGGTGCTTTGCCCCGTTTCCTTGCTTCTGCGGGCGGGTTCGCGTATTTGCGGGAATGGGGCTGCAGACCACACTATTCCCTCAGACCACAAGATCGTGGTGAAGAACCCCGTCGTCGAGCTCGATGGCGACGAGATGACGCGCATCATCTGGAAGAAAATCCGCGAGGAGGTGCGTCGTCCCCTGTTTCTCCTTTGGCCCGCCCTAGAAAGCTCAGCAAACGCCGCATCGCAGCTCATCCTTCCTTATCTCCAACTGGACATCAAATACTTTGACCTCGGTCTAGAGGCCCGCGACGCCGTGAGCCCCCGTCACCTCCTCCCCCCCCTCTGTCCACAGGGCTGCCGTGCTAACGCCCCCGCGGGCAGACAAACGACCAGATCACGATCGACTCCGCCAACGCGATCCTCGAACACAAAGTCGGCATCAAATGCGCGACGATCACGCCCGACGAGGCGCGCGTGGAAGAGTTCAAGCTCAAGCAGATGTGGCGGAGCCCGAACGGGACCGTCAGTGCGCTCCCCGCCTCGTTCCCCGCTCCCGTCGCTGAGGCCCCCGCAGATCCGCAACATCCTCGGCGGCACCGTCTTCCGCGAGCCGATCATCCTCGAGCGCATCCCGCGGCCGATACCGGGCTGGGTGAACCCCATCGTGATCGGGCGGCACGCGTTCGGCGACCAGTACCGCTCGACGGACTTCGTCGCGCCGGGCCCGGGGAAGCTGCAGCTCGTGTACACGCCCGCGGACGGCGCGGCGCCGACGACGCTCGACGTGTATGACTTCCAGGGCAGGGGCGTGGCGATGGCGATGTACAACACTGACGAGGTGCGCGCCGTTCCGTTCCGCTCGATGCTCGATGTGTGTGTGCGACTGAACGTCGGCGGGCTAGTCGATCACGGGCTTTGCGCACTCGTCGTTTAAAATGGCGCTGGCGAAGAAGATGCCCCTCGTGCGGTCCTTTCTCTTCTTCCCCCGCGAGACCCGTTGCTCAGGTGTGAGGCGCTGCAGTTCATGTCGACGAAGAACACGATCCTCAAGAAATACGACGGCCGCTTCAAAGACATCTTCCAGGAGATCTACGAGTCGTGCGTCGCCCCTCGCCCTCTCCCTCTCCCTCTCCCCCTCGTCGCGTGTTGACCCCCCGCCCCGGGCCCCCAGGCAATACAAGCCGCAGTTCGAGGCCGCGGGGATCTACTACGAGCACCGCCTGATCGACGACATGGTCGCGCAGGCGATCAAGTCCTCCGGCGGGTTCGTCTGGGCGACGAAGAACTACGACGGCGACGTGCAGTCGGACATCCTCGCGCAGGGCTTCGGCAGCCTCGGGATGATGACGAGCGAGCTCATCACCCCCGACGGGCAGGTCATCGAGAGCGAGGCCGCGCACGGTGCGTCCCGCGTCCCCCGCGCTCCCCTCCCCTGAACACGCTCACCGATGTTTTCGCGCGCAGGCACGGTCACGCGGCACTACCGCGAGTACCAGAAGGGCAACGAGACGTCGACGAACCCGGTCGCGTCCATCTTCGCGTGGACGCGCGGGCTGCTGCACCGCGCGAAGCTCGACGCGAACCCCGAGCTCGCCGCGTTCGCGCGCGACCTCGAGGCGGCGTGCGTCGAGGTGATCGACGCGGACGGCGTGATGACCAAGGACCTCGCGCTCGCGATCCACGGCAAGGCGATGCGCCGCGAGCACTGGGTCGTGACCGACGTGTACATGGACGCCGTCAAGGTGCGTGGCCCCCCGTCTACCGTCTACCGTCTACCCCGCCGCGATAGACCCTCCGTTGACGATTTTTCCTCCGCAGGCGAAGCTGGATCAGAAGCTCGCGGCGAGGGCGGAGAAGGCGTAGGCGTGCGCGGCGGTGTATCGTTATCTCTTCATTGTAGCGACGGGTGTATCTTCAATCGTACAGCCATCTATCAAGCCACCGTAAGAACCATACATGCAAGAAACCCTAAGCTAAATTCGACCCAGAAAAGACCCTTTTGTGAGTCGCAAAAAACGCAGGTGGCAGTGGCACCGCCGCTCCGCCCATCAAATCGCACCTCCACACAGCGGACAAAAAAGCGCCACGAAGTAAAGCCCGGGGCCCCCGCCGTCGGCGTCCGCGAGCAGGCCCTCGACGTCGGTGCAGTCCATGCGCTCCATCCACCCGTCGAGGGCGGTGGCGGCCGCGCGGAGCTCCGCGGGCGTGCGCGCGCGGAGGCACGCGTAGACGAGGCGGCGGGCGGCGGCGATGGGCTGCGCGTTGCCGACGAGGCCGTAGGGCGGGACGCCCTTGAGCATCTGCTGCGCGGCGGCCTCGCGTAGTTTGGCGGGGAGCGCGGCGAGCGTCCACGGCGGGGGCGCGCGTGAGGGAGAGGAGGCGTGCGGTGGCGGCGGCGGCGGCGGCGGCGGCGGCGGCGGGAGGGGGAAGGGGGCGTCGGAGTCTGGGTCTGAGCGCAGGAGGTTGAAGGCGTGCGATTCGACGGAGACGTGGACGGAGTGCGCGGCGGTGTGTTCGAGGCAGTCGCGGTGGAACCAGCGGCGGCAGGCGGGTTTGGGGCAGAAGTGCATGGGGCGGGCGTCGTCGGGGTCGTAGACGGTGTTGCAGGCGGGGGGTGCAGGAGGCCCAGGTCTTTGAGTTTTGGCTGGCGCGGCGGCGGGTGGGGTTTGCGAGGGTGGTTAGGTCGATGGGGAGCGGCGGGGGAGAGGGCGGGGGCGGGGACTCACGGTTGCGCGTTTGGAGAAGCGGGAGTAGGCGCGGCGGACGTAGAATTCGCCGTCGGCGATCGGGGGCTGCGCGATGTCTTCCTCGTGGTACTCCACGACCTTCGCGGGGCCTTCGACACAAGACGCCGTCGTCAGTCGTCGTTCGTGAGCGAGCGAGCGAGGGCGGCGCAGGACGCACCGTTGAAGGAGGTGTGCGCGACGTAGTCGTAGTCGGATTCGTCGGCGCGCAGGCGCTCGTAGCGGCCGCAGCTCGCGAGGATGTTGGCGGGGCTTTTGGGCGTGGTCGGCGTCAGCGCTAGCTCGCCTGGATGTACGGCGGCTGGAGAAGTCTCCGTTGAGCCGTGGCGAACTCACTCGATGTCGGTGTCGTTGGCGACGTCGGCGCCGGAGTAGTACCACTGGACCTTGGCCCAGACCTATGGGCGCCCGAGACGCGCGGTGAACACACACGGAGAGAGAGAGAGAAGGCGGGGCAGCAGGACGGGGAGAGTGGGCGGATGCTTACCCCGGGGTCGTCCACGGGGCGCGCGAGGGGCCGGCGGCGGGCGAGCTCGAGGATGCGGCCGACCCAGAGCTCGTGGGTGAAGTGGGAGGACGTCGTGGACATGCCCTGGCCGAGGATGAGGACGCTGCGATGGCGGCGGGGCGCGGCGCGGCGCGGGTGGGTCCGAGACGGTGAGCGGCGGGCGGGTGGCTGCGAGGGTCGGGTGCGACGTGCTTACTCGGTGCCGACGCGGAGGCGGAAGGGCGGGCTGCCGACTGGGCGAGGGTCAGCGCGGGGTGTAGTGGGCAGGGAGGAAATGCGGGGCGGGGACGGGACGCGACGGGACGCGACGGGACTCACCGTCGCAGTATTTCTTCTTGGTGAGGGACTCCCATTCTGCGTCTGTGGGGAGGGCGGCGAGCTCTGGGTCTGCGCGCGCCGCCTGCTTAGCCTTGGATTTCTTCTTGCGCGTGAGGCGGGGTTTCGCGCGCGGCATCTTGGGACTGGCGAGCGAGCGAGGATGATGTGGGATGTGTTGTTGGCGCGCGACGGCGACGGCGATGGCGACGGCGGGGTTGTCGTGGTGTTGAGGACAGAGAGGACGAGGGAGCGGGTGGGCTGGGTCGCAGAACCGCGGCCCAATTAGGCAGCTTGCATGGCCGCAGTCCTCCGTCCATAACACACGCGGCGACCATCGATTCCCCTCTTCCTCCTCTCCCCCGTCCATCTGCGTCCCTCATCTCTCTCTGCACGCCCATCTGTGGCGAACTCGACCCAGCACTAGCTACTCAACCTTACCCTCTGCCTGCACAACTCAGGAGTAGCGACCCTCGCAACAGGAGTCCTTCTCTGCGCCTGAACCCGCAACGACGATGTTTCTGCTATACTTCACTTCTCGGATCGTCAGGTGCGCTCCTCGACGCCCGTGCTGGCGCGGTGCAATGGGTCCGGGCTGACGATCGCGCGCCGCCGCGCACGCTCTAGCTCGGTCGTCGCCTTCCTCTATCCGGGCTACGCGTCGTACAAGACGCTCTCCCAGCGCCCCGCGTCGGAGGAGGACCTCGAGCGCTGGCTGATGTACTGGTCTGTCCTCGGCTGCATCGTCGGCGTCGAATACGTCGCCGAGTGGCTCGTCTCCTGGTGAGTCCTCGCCCGCCCTCGTCTTCGTTCTCGCCCTCGTCCTCGCTGACAAACGCCATCGACGACGATCCCTCCCTCCTTCCATTCCATTCCACTCCATTCCACTCCATCCCCCAACCATACCACACCATACTCCGCCCCGCCCCGCCCCGCCCCGCCCCGCCCCACCCATCGCCCGCAGGATCCCATTCTACTTCCCCCTCAAGACGCTCTTCCTCCTCTACCTCGCCCTCCCCCAGACCCGCGGCTCCTCCTACCTCTACCGCGCCCACCTCCACCCCTTCCTCGCAGCACACGAGCCCCAAATAGACGCCGCCGTCGCCTCCCTCCGCACACGCGTCTACGCCTTCGTGCACGCCCGCGCGCGCGCGCTCTGGGACGCCGTCTCCGCCGCCGCCTCGAGCTCTGCCGCCGCGGACCTGGCGGATCCTGTGGGATCGGGATCGGGGTCGGGCGCGGGCGCGGGGGGCACAGCGGCGCCGCCGCCGTCGCTGGGGGACCCCGTGTCGGGCCCGGTCGCGATGCTCGGCGGGCTCTGGCGCACGTACGGCCCCGCGATCGTCGCGACGGGCGCGGCGATGCTGCGGCAGGGCGCCGCGGCGTCTGCCGGCGACAGCGAGCGCGCGCTCGGCGAGGGGCGCCGCGCAGCGTCGGGGTCTGGATCGGCGTCTGGGGCTGGCGCGGACGCGGCGGAGCGGGAGAGGAAGCGGCGGCGGCTGGAGGCGGAGCTGGCGGCGCTGGGGGTGGAGGGGTACGATGTGGGCGGGGAGAGCGCGGTGGCGAGCGCGGAGGGCTCGCCGGTGCGCGTGCGCGGGTTCGAGGCGGAGCTGCGGGAGCGGGGCAGCAGCAGCGGCGGGAGCGCGAGCGGCGCGGCGGCGCGGTTCGAGGAGGTGGAGGTGCCGAGCGACGGGGAGGAGGCGCCCGTGCCCGCGCCCACGCCGGCTGCGCAGAGGCGGGGGAGCTGGTTCGGCTGGGGGCAGGCGCAGGGGCAGGCGTACGAGCGCGTCAAGACCGATTAGCTCTGATCAGTCGTCAGTGGCCGCCGCCGTCCGAACTTCGTGTTGCTGCATCTGTCCTTCCTTCCTTTTTCTTACTTCTGTTTCTTTCGCCACTCTGCTTGTATAGTAATCATTTTTCGTCGGGGGCACGCGCGCGCGCGCTCTTGTTCGGGCTTCATGTGAGACACGCCCGCGCCCGCGCACACGCACGCGCCGATACCGGGCTATCAGGATTCAGGACGCCGGATAGGGGTACAGTAGGGTCGTCTGCCCCCAGCAGCCTACAGGACCCAAACCCGTCGTCCGGCGGACGGAGGGATACTATTAGTGCGATACTTGTCGTTGCCCGCGTACACCCGCGCTGCCGCTGCGGTATTACAGCAGGCCATCCACAGTGACTCGGCTTGATCATCGTCAATTTGATGCTGTATCATGCAGCAGCCCCGAATCGGCTCGCGACGTCCCCACGCCCGCCCACGCTGCCACACGCCCCACGCCCCGCGCCCCACGCCCCACGTCCCACGCCCCACGCCGTGCCCCCGAAGATTTAGAGTGCAATGAGACCGCCTTCGGGTCCGGACGGCGGCAAGCATGTGGACAGCCTCGCCAGATCGGGCGGCTGCTGAACGCTTGGAGCTTGGTGCTTTTTCGAGGCAAAGCGAAGCTTGTTTTGGGAATGGGCTCGCTTGGCCTGCTCGCTTGGGCTGCTCGCTTGTTTGTTTGTTTGTGTGGGGCGCTCGATCCAGATGCGAGGCTGTAGGATGTAAGACTGACGACTGTGAGTAACAACTTATGGTGCAGCGGGGGTTCGCGGCGTCGTTCGGTGCGCGAGCCAGTGCGGAGGGGGCTCGGTCTCGAGTCCTTGAATCGATCGTGCCGCAGAGACGGATCGGCGGAGGTGAGGAAAGCCGAGGAGGACCGTCGTTCAGCGTCGTTCTCGCCGATATGCCCGGCGCCGTGCGCGCGGGAAAGCCCCGCCGCGCCGGGCGGAAGCAGACGCGCAAGCTTGCCGGCGGCGGCGGCGGCGGCGGCGGGGCAACGCGGGACGCCGCCCGGTGCACTCCGGCGCCCACAGCGGCGCCGGCCCTTGTGATCGCGAGTGTGAGACCGCGCTTCGATGGCGTTCGAATCGAAGGAAGAGGCTCCTTGATGCAGCTTCGCGCCGCCAGCGCGGCGGGCGAGGCCTGGCGCAACGGGGTGGGCGGTGGCCAATGGCAGCTGGCAGCTGGCAGGGCGTGGTCAGCAGGCCGAGGCTGCGAGCCCTTGCCAGAGCGAGAGAGGAGAGAGGAGAGAGGAGAGAGGATTTTCGCCACTTCCTTCCTCCCACCATCATTTCCTTCCATCCCGCTATTGCCGTTACCCCCCTCCTTGCTTTTTCGACCACCCCGTCGCCATCGCCATCGCACATCGCACATCGCCATCACGGCCGCCAGTCGCGAACATCCCGCTCTGTGCCGCCCGCCTGCACAACGAGATCTCAACCCAAAAACACACGCTTCGTGAAACCCGGAGCGACGTGAGCTAACCGCATTAGCAGCAGGGCCTCCTGAGGACGTACGTCGACGTCGCGATGCCCGCTGGCCGCGCGCAGCTGCCGCGCTCGGATAAGGATACCACGGACCTCCGCGCGCGCGAGCAGGAGTGGAAGCGCTCGCGCGGCGCGATCTCGTGCGCCGAGTGCAGACGGTGCGTGCGCCCTCCCCCCCCCCTCCCCCCCCCTCCTCCCCCTTTTCAGCTCTTCTGGCACCCTCGCCTCGTTTGCGCTCTCCGCGTCTCATTTTTTGAAAAATCTCGGTGCTGACGCTGACGTCTGCGGACTCGCCGATGTGAACGCAGGCTGAAGCTCAAGTGCGACAAGACCGTGCCGTGCACGTCGTGCAAGCGGCGCGGCTGCGCGTCTATCTGTCCCAACGGTGCGTGCGTCCCCCTTCCCCCCGCCCCGCGCGTCTTTTTGTTTCGTTCCTGCCGTGCTATGTTTGTGTGTGCGCGTGCGCGTCGCTTCGGCAGGCTTCGGCGGGTTTCCAGAGCGGGCAGGCAGGCAGGGTCTCGAGGGCGATCTTGGCGGACGACAGACGACGGGTGGTGCCCGGGCGTGGGATTTTGTGCATCCGGATGCGGGGCTGCCTGTGCTGGATCTGGCAGGGCGCAGGGAAGGCGGCGATGGCTGGGCGCTTGACGCGGGGTGTTTTTCTGGGGAGAGACGCGTCGAGGGCGAGGATCGGGGACGGAAGGGGGACGGGGCCGGGCCGGGGACGGGGGCAGGGGCGGGGGGCGACAGGAGACGTGTGTGCGGATCCCGATTGCCGGCGGCAGGCTTGAGGCTCGCGCGACTCGCGTCTGGGAGAGCTCGCCGCGTCTGGCGCTCGTCCTATGATATGCGCATATACCCGCTCATTATCGTCGCTCGTCGCCAGCCTCTCATTGACAATTCTCTTTGCAGGCAGCCTCGTCACAGGCCAAGGCACACGGTGAGCTGCCCTCGTCTCCCCTCCCGGCTCCCCCCCACCAACCCCTATCACCCGCGCTGCCCAGATTCGTCCTCGCCGACACCGACCGCCTGCACTCAAAAATAACAGACATGTCCGACCGCATCCGCCAGCTGGAGGACGCCCTCGCGCTCTCGCACTTTCACGTCACCCGCGAGCAGCACCCGCTGTTGCGCCGCGACCTCATGAAAATCAAGTCGATTATAGACCTCCACGTTGCGGCCGGAGGCGACGCGGTACAAGACTTGGATCGTCCAGAGGCCGAAAAAACGCATGAGGAGGCCGACGAGAGCACGGCGCTCGATATTTTTGGGACGCTCGCGCTGCACGACGATGGCGGCTCGACGTTCTATGGCCGGTCCGCGGGCCAGGAGGTGCGTCGTTGATGTTCTCACAGCTACCCCTTTGCTCAATCAAGTCACTCGCCGTGCGACCTCGTCGTTATGCAGTCGTTGCTCTTAGTAAGCGTAAACTTCCTTTTTTTGTCCCCTTGCTCTCAATGTTAACTTTGAACAGGGTGAGAACGAATCGCCGGAAAGCCCAAATCATGATCCCTCGCGGCCGTCGACGGCCGTCACTAGCGCGGGCTCGCCCTCCGACCTCCCCTACACGATCCAGGAGATCTCCAACGCGTTCCCAGACGCGTCGATCCGCCTCCCTCAATACGCCCTCGAAGCCTATCTCCCGCCCTGGCCCCGCGCCTCGGAGCTCTGCGCTTATTACCTCGAACAGGCGCCCTGGTTCTTCGGCGCCGTAAAACCCAGGCAACTGTACGAAGAGCTCCTCCCGCTGTTCTACCCGCAGGCCACGTCCCCGCCGAATGCGCCGCTCGGCACGCCGCCCCCCGCGCCGGGCCCACACGAGCTCGCGCTGATGTTCGCGATCTACTGCTTTGGCGCGCTCGTGGACGAGCAGCTGCCGCCTGCGCCGGGGAACGCGGAGGCGGATCGGTACTACATGCTGACGAGGGCGGCGCTCGCGCTCCAGCCGGTAATGGACCGCGCGCCGAGCGTGAGCACGGTGCAGGCTTTGAGCTTGATGGCTATCTATCAGGGCTTGGTCGCGAACGAGCACAGTATTGAGAGCACTTGGGCGTTGATGGGGATGGCGTCGAAGTTGGCACAGAGCGTGAGTGGCGGGTGTGCTTCTTTCGGGTGACGAGGACGCTCACTTATTCGTTCGTTCGGACTGGGACTGGGACTGTTTGGCATCTAGATCGGGTTGCGTGAGTGATCCAGGCGTGTCTGCGCGTTCGTTTGAAGGCTGTCTTTTTCTCACGGTTCTCCCTCGTAGATCGCGATTGTGCACGATGGAAGCTGTCCCCCGCCGAGGTGCAGAAGCGTCGGGCGCTGTTTTGGGAGCTGTTCATCACGGACTGTTGGCAGGTGCGTCGGATCGCCGTGCGAGAGGCTGTCATGAGCGTAGTATCAAGCGATGCTGATAATCGGGTTGCAATCAGAGCCTCGCCACGGGACGGCTGCCGACGTTCTCGATCCCGTTCGTGGACTGTGAGCTGCCGCAGGATGCGGACCAGACTATGGCCGCTGACGGGACGCCGCAGGCTTCTTGTACGTGTTCCTTCCACCGTCTTTGGATTCCCTCCCCGCCACAAGGCGCTGACCGGTTCCGGCTGAAAACCCCGCGCGCGTATAGTCCCGTATTGGAAGGCGCAGTTCGGCAAGCTGTGCGTGTCGGAGGTCGTGCAGGGCATCTTGACGGCGCGCGCGCCCAAGTACTCCATCATTGTCGAGCTCGACCGCAAGGTGCGCGACCTCGAGCTGCCGCGATACGCGGTCGACCCGCCCGTGCCGGGCTGCGGCTTGAACGTGACGATGCAGCACTACATGCCAACGAACTACCGGCACCTCAGTGAGCAGACCCAGTTCTTTTGGTCTTCCGGCTGCGGCGTGGCTGACTCGCGAGCGCGTGTTCCCGCAGCGCTGCTGTACATCCACCGGGCGTTCTTCGCGCAGGGCCTGTGCGACCAGCCGCAAGACCCGCTAAGGAGCCCGTACGCGCCGTCGATACTGGCGGGGTACCGCAGCGCGTGCGAGCTGCTGGCGTCGCTTGGGGAGCAGTTTGCGCTGTTCCCGGTGCAGATCGCAAGGTTTTGGGTGCTGTGGACACATGCGTTTTCTGCTACGGTGAGTAGGCTAGGCGACGGGGGAAAGAACGACGCTCGATGCTGATGCGAGTTGGGCGCTGGGGCGACAGGTCATGCTCGCGCTGATCCCCGTGCGTGCGCCGCAATCGAAGATGGCGCACACGGCCCTGATGGAGCTGAAGGGCGCGTGCGAGCTGTTCGAGAGGGCGTCGGTGCACGGCGGGCGGGCGGTGAAAATGCTGGTGAGCGCGCGTCCCTCTCGCCGATTCTGAGTCTTGTCTCGCGCCCTGTTGTCCGTCCTGCTCACCCGCCCCCGCGCAGCCGATCGTGCGGCGGCACCTGCAAAAGGCGGCGCACAGCTTCAACGTCGCGCGCGTGGCGGTCGCGCGCGAGCCGTTTGGGTTCGCGCCCGTCGCCACTGCGCGGGGGGACGAGTTTTCGGTGTTTTCGGGCGTGACGAATACGGTGGCGGCGCGCTCGAGCGCGAGCGCGAGGACGCAGCAGCAGCAGCAGCAGCAGCAGGAGATGCTCATGATGCATGCGGCGGGGTATGGGTCGCAGCAGGAGGATGGTCCGCTCTCTGGGTCGTCGATCGGGGCGTCGCCGCCGGATTTGGGTGCTCAGAGTGGGTCGGTCGCGCAGCAGCAGCAGCAGCAACAGCAACAGATGCCTCCCCCAAGCCATATACCCAGGCATGGGCAATATTCCGCCCACGAAAGCGGGAGGGGGCACGTCCCGCCAGAACACCGGATACAGGCGCAGACGCAAGAGCAAGAGCAAATGCAAGAGACGTGGGACGGCGCGCACGCGACGCTCGTCGACCAGTATCAGGCGTTCGACGGCGCGCTGGATGCGCAGATCAGCAGCAACAATGGGTGGCAGCTTGGGTACAGCGATACCAGCGGGCTTGGAGGCGGGGAGCTGGGCGGAGGCTTCGAGGCGCAGGAGCATGCTGGTTATTCGTATGCGTCGCAGCAGCACGATGTGCAGCAGCAGCAGCAGCAGCATCAGCACGATCAGCACGATCAGCAGCATCAGCACCAACAGCAGCACCAACAGCACCAGCAGCAGTACCCGCAGCAGTACAACCAGCAACAATTCGTGCAAGCATATATTCCTGTGTCGAGTGGAGTGGCGGCGCCTATGCTGCCGGCGCAGGCGCACGTACCCGTATATATTGCCACAAGCAACACTATACCCGGCCCTCCCGACATGCCTCCTCCAGCGTATCAGCCTCATCCTCCCTCCACTTCTTATCCCGTCGCGCCGCAGCAACCTCCACATCCTGCGACCACGAGCGATGGGTATGCGTATATGGGCCCCGATGGACAGGCGGTCCCGTATCCCATCCCAGACGGCCGGCCCGTGGGGTATTCTGCGGAGAGGCATCCTGCCGAGACGCCGTACCCCGCGCCCCCTTCCATGCCGTACCCGAGCTCCTATCAAAACGTCGCCGAGCACCGGGCAGCGAACAGCGGGGCCGCTGCGAATCCGGGCGCGTCGGCTGAACCCGCGGAGCGCATGCGGTGGAGCGTACCGCACACGGAGGTCGTGTTCGCGCGCCCGCGGACACCCGTGGCGCGGGACAGGACGAAGGACCGCGTGCTGCGGCAGAGCGGGGATTTGAGCCTGACGGAGGCGTGGACGGCGTTCATGTCGCAGATGGACGTGCCCGGCGTCGGGGCGGCGCCTTCTGCGGGGAGGCCAGGCCGGGAGGGGCGGTGAACGGGCGCGCCTGGAGATGGATCGGTGCTCTATTTCTGTTTCTGTTCTGTGTTTTCTCTTGGTCGATTTTCGATGTTTTGCCTCGCTTTTTTATGTCGCTATTCGCTGTCTGTGTCCGTGTCGTGTTGATGTTGAGTCACCCGCATGTTGTTGTTTCGCGCGCCTCGTAGTATCATACACTGCTAATTTTGGTTATGTATATACAGTACACGCCTGGGTGGGTGCGATGTTTGTGTTCTTTTATTGTACCTTTTAGATCTTTGTACCCCTCATTTGTAACTATCGATTAGAACAGGCAATACTATAGCACTACTACAGCGCGCATCCATTTCTTCTGCACTCGGGACGAGCCTTGCAGTGCGGTATTCGGTCGATGACGCTCAAATTTATTCAAACACAGGATATTCAACAGAGAATAGGGAGGACGAGGGTCTCGCAGCGCGATCAATCAACAGCAATCTACAGCTCAAACGCGTTTGTCTCCAGTAGGGGCGAGCAAGTCTGAGAGAGCTATTCGCGGTCCCGGTTGGCGATTCGAGGCCAGCTCGCTCTCCGTCCTGCCGTCTTTCTCGCACAAGATCTGCCAGAGGACGTCCCAGTACAGGTCGAGCGAGCTCCAGAGCGCCCTGTGCATGATGCCGAGCTCGAGCATCGTGTGGCAGAGCAGGCGGATGGACACGAGCGTCGCCAGGACCTCTTTGCGGTCGCCGCTCATCAGGTAAACGGCGATGACGCGCAGCGCGCGCTCGACGACGGACGCGAGGGAGATGCCCTCGATGTAGGGATTGAGCGCGTCCTTGAGCGCGGCGAAGGGCCCGGGGCCGAGGAGCTTGATGTAGACGACGCAGTAGTTTGGCTTGTAGAAGAAGTCGCGCAGGATGCGGACGGAGTCCGGGCTGAGGACCTCGAGGCGGACGACGGGGAGGCGGAAGAGGCGGAAGTCGGAGCGCGTGTAGAGGGAGCGGCGGGGCTCGGGCTGGGCCTCGGTCGGCGCGAGGGGCAGCGGGCTCAGCGTCGCGCGCGGGAGGGCGGGCAGGTTGGAGCAGTTGGCGAGGAAGAGGGTGTCGTGTATGGGGAGCATGTGGTGTTTCTTTCGCGGGGAAGGGTGTCCGGGAGACGGGAGCGGGAGGTACGGGATCGCGAGGACGTGCGTGGGCCGGACGGCGGCGTGCGGGATAGGCACGGTGGCGAGGATCGACGCGGGCGGGGGGCCTTCGGGGTATTCGCCGAGTTGTGTGGCAGCGCATGCCAGTCGAAGTCTGGAGGAGTAAAGTATAGGAGCGTCAAGACGGCATGAAGCCATCAGAGGTGAAATGGGGACTCGTGGCACACCTGCAGGGTCCCAGGAAAAAGTCGCCACCTTCGAGGGTAGCCGCAGCGTCCAGCAAACGGCTGACAGCGACGTCCATCCTGGTGTAATTTGTTTCTGGTTTTAGAATCCATGGTGGTGGGAAGATGTAGTGGGGAACAGGCAGATATTCTGGACCTTTACGTGCTGTGGCGTGGGTGCGTCTTCCTGTCAAATAATGACAGGCGTAGTAGTATAGGTGGGCCTTCGAATTGGGCTTGGACCTGGCCATGGCTCTGGTCGAGCGTGGAGGTCTGTTGTTTTGGACGAGGTCGGCGATATGCATAAAATGGGCAACCATGCTTGAAATTTGTCCTCGCGAATATCGAAGTGTACGTGGCCGATGAAAGGGAGATGCAACGAATATGTGGCTTAAATACGCAGCGGGCTAGCGTGGCGAGAAATTTGAGTTGATTGAGACAATAAGCCATCACACAGATGCTGGAAATTGCAGTGCCCAGATCCCAAAGCTATACAAGTGCGGCAAATTTGCTAGAAGAGCAAGCTAAGCAGATAGATGGTGGATGTGCGTGGGCATGGAAGGGACTCGTACCGACAGTGTTCTTTAGTGAAAACCTCAACCTTTTGCAAGTAAGCAAGGTGGCTAAAGTGGACTCTTCGCTCAAAACGAGGCCACAGAGGTTCGTTGACAAGTAAGTCGAAGGGAGCTAAGGGGCCTATGTTGGTGTAGAGACATCTGCGTCATGTTTTTGGCATCGCACAAGAGAGTGAGCCGCCGGCATTCGTTCTGATACAAAGACAGGAACAAGCGCGAGTTAGACAAGGTAAGGTTTGTTTGCGTTTGTGTCATCGTATACATATGCGTATAGAAGGTGTGGCCAAGTGAACAAGGATGCGCCCGTGTTATGGTCAAGAAGTCGGACGGTTGTCGTAAATTGAACACTAAGCAGATAGAAAGACCTTTGGGTCAGTGCTTGCCGCCAAGACTGTTATCAGGGTGGACAAAGTGCAGAATGATTCACGACGGCGGATGAAAGTCTTGAGATCGTGGTATTCGGATCTTGAGCCTAGACGTGGTAGTAGAGGACTCAGGTCGGAGCCCAAGGATGTCGATAAGTGCCGATAAGTCTCAATAATATTCTCTTAATTACATAGGAACTATACAAGGTAAAAAAAGTTAAAATTCATGGGAACTAGGCATAGGCTACGATCGGGAAATGCTGTGTGCAGAACCGCACTCGCAATGCGTGAGTACTATATACGGGTACTGTATAGGTCCAAAGGGACAACAAGGAAATATATGACTAGTCATAAGAACACCTCCCTGGGAATGGTGTTTACCAAAGATAGTTCTCCGCAAGATTTGTGCTGCGATGAGTCACTAGACGTATTGAGGAGGATGCGACATGTAGTCGAGAAATACGAGGCGCGAGAACAAAAGAGCACGATCGCACAGTTGTCACCCTGCCTTCACCGATTTAGTGTGAGATGGCTTGGTTAACAGATGACAAGGTAAGTCGAGCTGCGATGTCGCCAAACATCCTACCATCTTTCTCACTGAGTGCCTGCCAACAGACACTCCAGAAGGAGCTCATGTTAGACCACAACAAAGGATTCCTGACACCAAGGGTGCGCATCGTGTCGCAAAGTCCCCTTATGGACGCTAAAGTCTGTAGGATAGGCTCGCGGTCGGTCGTCAGAAGACTCATATGTGCCCGAATCAGCTTCAAGGTCTTCATCGCGGCTGCTTTACTATTTTGGCGTATCCAAGGTCGTAGCGAGCCGCTCAGTGCATCAAAGCTTTTCTTTGGGATCAAGGCAGCATATAGATGGCTGAAAGATGGCCAGTAGAAGAAACTGCGCAGATGGAAGATGGAGGGAGGGTGAGGTACGTCGATTCGAACAACAGGAAGGTGGATGAGCTGTGTGGAAGGTGATGAGTCAGATAAGGGTGACTGGGTGGGATCGACGGAAGTCGGATGTTGGCTTGGCGGTGGCAATACAGGGAGGCTTAAGCAGTTCGTGGCAAAAAGACCGCCATGCACGGCAATCATGGAGAGCTGATTTTTGGATGCCGGGGATTGATTTGACGACGTCGACGAAGATACGCCGACAACGAGGACATGCGTAGGGGCGTCGAAAAGCATGTCGGGTGGCACGGATACTGGCCATGAGGAAGGCAGAGGATCACTAGTTTGACCGAGGCGCGTCTGTTTGCACGCCGCCAGCATCCTGTTTGGTGTCAATCATATCAGGATGGCTTGATTGAGGGCGACGGCGCTGATGAGGGCAATGACGTACTTCATGGATCTCCCTTGGAGGTACGTGCGGATAGCTGTCAAGGTCATTTTGTCCAGAGAAGGATCAGCAGCAACAAAAACGTCAAGATTGACGGGATTAAAAAAATTAGGTTTGATGATCCATGGGGGAGGAAAGACGAAGTCGGGTATAGGTGGATAGATTTTGACTCTGCGAGGACTAGAGCGTCTGAGGAACGGTGAGCAGCAAAAATAGTACGAATGAGCTCTCGAGTCTGGTTTAGTCCTAATGACTCGGGTGCCCCGATGACTTCGCGACAATGGCCTGTGTTGATGAATGAGCTGACGAATATGAGTGTAATGAACAACCATGACGAAGGAAAGAGTCAACACATGGAACAAGCAAGACGGCTGTTAAATACGTAGATGGTAGCGACCGAAGACAATACGCGACCTTGCCTTGTTTTTACGTTGACACGGCGCCCAAAGGCAGTGGACACAGATGCGTGGAATACAGACCGCGTAAAATCGAACCATTGAATGTAGGCGCTCGGTTGAAAACGCACCAAATTTGTCGATATCCAAACAGGCGGTGCACCACAAAGCAGTACGCTTCCGCCAGATGCGGACAAGATTCCGTAAATAGCTAAATGCGAGGTTTGCCACCAATACCTCCTGTGGTAGGTCAGAGGTATAATTAGCCGAGAGTGTTGAAACGGATGCTCGGGACGACTTTTTATACGCGGGAGATGCACTGCCTTGAAGGAGACAATCTTCCATCGCCCGCAGCAACGATGCGCGCTGATATTCTATTGAAATCGATGTAATGCCGTCAGTTTGTAACCTGAATGTCGATAGGGACAACTCGATAAACGACTGTTCGCATATCATAACTTGTCGATTCAATCAAATCGATTATACCAGATTCCACTCGTTGACTACGTGCACTCAAGCGATAACAATGTCAGACTTCAGAGGTAGCTTGGTCACAGAACGTATGCAAACGTGCGGCACTATCGTCTCGAACCATCATTGACAATTGCGGTGCTGAACAATGCTCACTCACCATGATGGAGCCTACCGTCCTCTGCGTAACATCTGTAGCGCTAGCTCTTCTTCTTCATCTAACGTAGAAGGCAATGGTTTTTCAGATATTGAGGGTTTGTTGTGTTTATTACGCTTGGCCGGTGGAGGCACCATCTCTGATCCATCGTCATCTGAATTTGGAGAAAGCTCGAAGGCGGGGGAAACATAACCGTCATCCTCGTCCAACGGCGCAAGAGCGGGACCTTCTCTATCCTGATTCTCAGGGTTGTTCTATGAATCAGAGGGGTTAACAGCGAACTTCAGGACAAAGCACTCCATAGCATACCTCACGCTCCCGCTCCTTTCTTTTGCGCTTTTTTTCCTTCTTTTTGTCCTTGGCTTCCTCCTTGTCTTTCACATCCGCCTCCTTCATCTTCCCTCTTTCTCCCTCAACAAATTTCCGTCCGGCCTCTAGCACATCCCCTTCGCCCGCATCTCCAAACACCTCATCGACATCCTTCATCTCGTAAATTTCATGTCCTTGACCTTCGTCGTCGAACACTATACGCGTCGGCACGCCTTTGAACTTGAGCATAGCGCGCTTGCTTTCACCCATCTTCAATTTACGCTTCGACAAGTGGCTGGATGCAGGCTGCCCATCATCTCCTGGGAGGTCATGATCTGCCCGCTTGAGAATGATAAAGTCGTCATCACCGCCATCTCCCGCAGTCCCATCCAAAGAATGATCAACGAGCTTGTTGTAATGCTCGGACAGGATATTTTGATTTTTACGTTGGAACATGCGGTCGTACTTCGTGCGGACGCTGTTGGACTACACGCAAAAAGGCATAAGTATTGTGGCGAATGAATATGATGTAGAGGTCTTGCCTTTTGTTCCTGTTTGAGCTCGGCTGAAGGCGGTATATCTTCGTCCGCATCAACAGGTTCATCATCTCCCTCCGCTTCACTTGACTCTTCCTCACTCTCTTCGCTATCTTCTTCGTCTGCAGCGGGTATTCCCCGCTCTTTGCTAATCTCTGCCTGCAACGCAGCTGCTACACGCGAAGCATTCTTTTTTTCTTTCGCCTTCTCTTTGCTCAAGAACTTGATCTTCGGCGTACCAGGAAGGCCGAGCGAAGCTGCGAATTCATCCGCCGGAAGCTCGGAGACCTTGAATATTGACTTATCCTTTTGTAGATGAATAGAGCGCAAGTACGACACAAACGCCTGGACGCCACAGTCAGTTTGTTAAGTTAACTAAGAGCGAGCGAATGCGAAAGCTCACTCTTTGTCCAAGGTACTTGATGTCTGGATCCTGGAATGCGAGACTCTGCAACTGGTTCTCAATACTCTGAGTCTTACTCCCGCGAATCTTGATTTTAGCAACATCAACTCCCTTGTTCTTCAGCGCCGCTGTCATGCCTTCTTCCTCACTTGGTAGCAAAAGCAATAGACCCTTGCCATTGCTCTGGTACCTGGCAGTGCGTCCGACTCGATGCACGTAGGTCTCAGCATCTTCTGGCGCGTCTACTTGGACAACCCAATTGATCGAAGGAAAGTCCAGCCCACGCGCAGCGATATCCGTTGCAAACAGAACTGCATGCTGCATGGTTGTGAACCGATTGAACGTTTGCAGCCGCGTCATCTGCTTTTGCTTCCCGTACAGGTGCAGAAGCGGCACGCCAGGATGCATCCTTTTGAACGTCTCGAACACGAACCGAACTTGCTTCGAACTCGACATGAACACAAGTATTTTGTGTTGGAGGTGAGTCTTGATGAAGCTCCATAAGACGTCCAGTTTCTTCTCGAGCGTGGTCACAACATAGTGTTGCTCAAGACCTTTTGGTATAGCGAGGTGACTTTCATGCTCGGCATCCTGAGATGAATCAGCTTGGGCATTGATGTAAACGGGATCTTTGAGGGAGAGGCGGGCGAGATCAGCGACGGTTTGTGTTTGTGTTGCGGAGAACAGGAGTGTTTGGCGTGATTTCGGAAGATGAGAAAGGAGAGCAGACAATGTCCGAGAGAAGCCCATGTCCAGAATTCTATCGGCTTCATCAAGAACTTAAATACAAATGAGTATATGCTATTGACGACTAAAGGGGACTAGGCAATGCGCACCAAGCAGCTGAAGATTGTCGCTTTCGAAGCCGATGGTCTGGTCCATGTGCTGAAGTAACCGCCCTGGTGTCGCTACCAGGATATTCATACGTGATAAGCGATCTCGTTCGTCTTTGAGATTTTTGCCTCCAATGACAAGACCGGCGGAGAAGCTATGGTATCCGCCAATTGACCGCAGGACCTCAAAAATTTGGACAGCCTAGCCAAGATTGGTAAGACGAACATAACTCGATGCTGTACCGGAAACACACCAATTCGCGTGTAGGTGAGATAACCAAAGCACCCAAACCATCTTGCGGGCCCCATTTTCTCCTGTACAGGATCTCCAGAACGGGTATGAGGAAAGCGAGGGTTTTGCCGCTGCCAGTCCTTGCGGCACCTAACACATCTTTTCCCTTCAGTGATACAGGGAGACTTTTGGCCTGGATCTCGGTCATATCGACAAAAAAGGCTTTCTTCAGACCTGCGGACGAGCTGAGCATGGGATCATGTCAGCCAGAACAGCACAGGCACATACCTCTCTTTGTCAAATCTGATATAGGCAAGTCGGCGAATGCATTGAGATCATCATTCACATTCTGACCTCACAACTGTGTTGATGAGCGTTTGGATGTAATGTCATAGAGGTGATAAACACACGAATTGTTCCACTGCTCGTTCCAGTGCCTCTATTTGCTGCTTCTCCGAGACTTTCTTCACTTTTGAAGAGCGCACAGAAGGTTTTGATTTGCCGCTTTTCTTCGGCCCTTTATGCGACCTTGAAGGGCCAGCTTGTGGTGCCATGAAGTCCTACGAGGAATTTAAGTATGGTGGGTGTTGGACAAGCCGCCAGAAGCCGAGTAAAAGCCGCGTGCGAATGGATTACACCATGCATCAGCTTGCCGAGACTTTGCAGCACTCGGCCCGGCTCTCATCTACTCTTAGCCTCAGGCTAACACGCAGTCATCGTAGACTCTACGCTCCTCCACGCATCCCTACTCAGTGACGCCGAATGTCGTATGGTACCGGCTTTACACTCATCTGATCAAGTTGAAGTACACGCGCTCCGTGATATCCGCTCACAATCCATGTCCGAGGCGTATCATGAGGATGTCAGTGGTGGTATCGACCAGAACAGCTCCCTCTTATTTGCAAGAGATGAGGCTTCTAATGTAGCAACAGGTGAGCCGTTGTACGAACTACCCAGAAATCGGAGCTTCAGGCCCCAGGCTCCAACTGAAGTCAGAGGGTACCCAGTGCCCACCAACTGGCTTCGGACGAATCGGGTACTTGTATACTCTCTGTCTTTTTGAAGACTATTATTTCAATCGTTTGCCTTTTCCTATTGTTACGCTCGCCGTTGTTGCTGACATAGCTCTAAATGTCCGCAGAGAAACCAGGCCCTCTCCTCAGATTGGGTGTATCTTTCTTTCTTTTCGGGGTCATCAATAATGGTACGTTGGTCTTAACCGCTCCGACTTCATGTTCACGTTAACGCCAATGCTCTGTAGTATTATATGTGATCATATTATCAGCAGCTTTAGACTTAGTACCTACATCCACCCCGAAGGGTATCATACTATTCTGTAATATTGCTCCTGCGCTTCTTGCCAAGATTGGATGGCCCTACCTTCTGAAAGGCCGGATACATTACGCACGTCGTTTGTTCGGATGTTGTACCTTGTCCGTTGCAGGCATGATTGTAAGTTTAGTTTCAAAACGCGAGTTGATCTACGCCAACGATCTTGTCTAGGTTGTGGCGGCCTTCGAGAGCTTGCCAGGCCGGCTCTTGGGCATCAGTTTTGCTTCGTTCTCTTCAGGTGAGAGACCCATGCGTCAGATCGTCGCATTGATCTACAGGTTTCATCGGCGATAGGTTTGGGTGAATTGACCTTCCTTCAACTATCGACGACGTATCATCCCCCGTCGGTTGGCGGACATAGCGTCGGGTGAGAGCAATGCTTGCATTCATTCCACTCGTCTGAGGCCCTTGCAGTTATTTCGCTTCCGGAACCGGCGCTGCTGGACTGCTGGGCGCTTTCCTGTGGTGGGAAGTCCGAAGCCTTGGGGTTCGTGTCGGTGTCGGTCTATCTGCAGTGAGTCCTAATGCCTGATTTTAAGCCCTATATCCGTAAATCGACTGGCCTGATGATCGATGCACAGGTTCTGCCCTTCATAACGCCTCTCACCTATCTCCTCGTACTCCCTCGGCCTTCAGCTTTTGCCTCGGTCGCATTTTCTTCGCTGAACGACGGCGATAGTGATGGAGCCCTACCTGTGCCTTACACATCACTTCCTACAATAGATGAGGACACGATAGAGCAAGAACAAGAGCGATTCACCCATTCCAAGACAGATACTGTCTTGTCTCTGGCAGAAAAATGGCGACTTGCGAAGCCGCTGTTACTTCGGTACATGCTGCCTTTATGTGAGTAGCTTTGGAATTTTGCCTATGCAATACTTACGAGGGTAGCGGCACATACTGAGATACAAATATGTTGATTTTCGCAGTCTGCGTCTATCTGGTGAGAAATTTATTTTGGCTCATATCCTTGCCATCGTCTCACTCAACTGCTTGACGACAGTTTGAATACACAATCAATCAAGTGAATTATTCATTTCAGTCTGCATCCTTGAATCACGCTTATGAACAATGTGTCGGAAGGGAATTGCGCCGACGTTAATCTACCCAGTCCCATCTGGCGACTCACACTCCGTCTTGGGTAACATCATCCACTCTATCAGGGACTATTATCCCCTTTGGCAGGTTCGCATGTGTGAAACTCAGGATTTCGTCCCTGTTTTCCTGATGTCTTAACGCCGATCACGCAGCTGGTCTATCAGACGACCGTCTTTCTCTCTCGCTCGACCATTTCGCTCGGTTTACCACCACTCCCTTCGCGGCTCTTATCCTTGCCAGCCGTCGTTCAAGCGCTTATACTGTTGACTCTCATGTACGAATCTGCCATTGGCTTTTTTTCTGACGCTTCAGAGGGTATCAATGTTTTCATGGTATTTCTGCTTATAAGTCTGGAGGGAATTTGTGGCGGGTTGGCCTAGTACGTCGATTCCGGCATTTGGTGCATCGTTATCCTACTGATTTTTGTCCAGCGTCAACGTCTTTTACCGCATCAATCAAGAACAGAGTAAAACAGACCCCAGCATAGACCCCGAACGTGCCAAACAGGAGAAGGAGTTCAAAATCGGCTCGATAGGCCTATCGGACTCCCTAGGCATACTCATTGCGTCGCTGGTGGCGATGCCAACAGAGATAGAATTGTGTAATGCGCAGGTGAGGAGAGGGAAGATGCTCTGTAGGGGACTCTGAGATTTTTTAGGTTTCGCCACGATCTGAGAGAAAATCGGTGCTCGGCGATATGCTCTTGCGGCGATACCATGCGGATCCTGCGCGTCTCTTGCATGTAATTTATTAGCGCTCTGACATCAATATTGTTCGTGTTCAGTTTGAGAGGCCCCGACTTGCCATATGGCCTAAACCCTATCACCATCTACGGCACTTTGTGCTTCGGAAATAACTTGGATCCTCATAGTCATACCAGAGCGCCTTTGACATCTGGTTGCGCCACCATCTGAGCCTGAAGTAAGTTGCACTTATGCACTTACACCTATTCAACCAAGGCCTCCCACAAGCGAGTCAAATATGTCGACCTTGACAGAGTCCCGCATTTGGTTTGGTATGCCTTGTCCTGAACTACCGCCTAATTATCCGTAATTTCTGACTTTGCAGTCCAATAGTCACAGGATCTTCGAGCGGCATCGGCAAAGCGCTCGTGAGCGCCGTCCTTGCAGCCAACGAGCGCGTCGTTGCCACGGCACGCAACACTTCTGCGCTCGCAGACCTCCAGTCGAAGTACTCCTCCGACCAGCTCGTCGTGCTGCCTCTCGATGTCACAGATACAATCCAAATCGCGGAGGCGTTTACGATGATCGAGCAAAAGTTTCATCGCCTGGACGTCGTCGTCAACGGTGCCGGCTATGCGGTGCTGGGAGAGATCGAGGGCATCCCGGAGGAGACGGCGAGGAAGCAGGTCGAAGTGTTGTTCTGGGGACCGGTCCATATCACAAAGGAGGTGAGTGGCGTAGCCATTCTCGCTAGTCGCGGACAAAGAGAGTGAACCCGTCCCAAGGCGATCAGGTTCTTCAGGGAAGTCAACCCGAAAGGCCACGGCGGCTTCGTCGTCAACATCTCGTCTTACGGAGGCTACGTGGGCCAAGCGGGCGCCGCCTTCTACTCTGCAGGCAAATTCGGTAATCCTGACTTCCATTCCCCTGCCAGTACCCGTATATATGAAGCTCTCGCTCTTCACTGACGTCGATCAACACGTCCCACGTGCGCTTGCACGTTACAGCACTGGAAGGCTTCACCGAAGCGTTCGTCCGCGAGATGCCCCCGGAGTGGAACATCCGCGGCATCATCATCGAGCCCGGCAACTTCAAGACCGCCTTCCTCCAAAATCTCGACGTCGTGCCCCCGCACCCCGCCTACGACGCCACCAGCCCCACCGCGCGCGTGCGTCAGGCCATCGGGGCCAGGGCCGTGCCACTCCCCGGCGACGTCGACAAGTTCGCGCGCGCGGTGCTCCAGGTCGTGGGAGCGCCCGACCGGGCGCGTCTGCCGCTGCGGTTACCCCTCGGGCCGGACGCGTCGCTCTTTGTCTCGACCCAGGCGAGGAGGACGGCGAAAGATGCGGAGGAGTGGGCGGAGCTCAGTCAGGGCACGGATTCGGACGACTCCGTGGGGTCGGAGTATATGCAGATGCTGAGGCAGATGTTGAGCGAGACTCCTTAGATTGGTCGTGCTACTTGTAGTGTACATGGGGCCTGCGTTGAATGTAAAGCCCGCGCCTCTTCGCCCCTTTCATTCAGTCCGGTGGGACGCGGCAATTGTACTACTTGCCATAGACGCAACGTTGAACGCCAATACGTAGTTTCGTAACAGATTCCTTGATATCACCAAGATCAAAGGCATCGCTTGCAAATAGACGCATGCAAGCCTGTTGAGTACTCGAGCTGATCTGCCACCATGCCACCTATGTCTTTCGGATTCATGAATTTGTGATCAGCCATGAAGTGATCGGGACTCGTCGAATACACCAGGCAGCAGACGCTTGTTCAGTGTGAAAGGTATACACATTATTGATTTCGACGCAGACTACAAGTATTTCGGAAGGTGACTTCTGCCTATCTAACGCCCAACAATAACGGAGATAATAAGTGTACGCGCACATTGTATCGCAAGATGATGCTGAATGAAGAACGAAGTGGGTAACGCAAGATGAAAGAAAACGTGAACGAAATGGGGTCATGTACACTGGACATACATGGGTTGCTTCATGCATAGCGGAGTCCGAAGGTTAGGCATACACAAGAGATAAGAGATGCGAGAAGAGGATAGAGGAAATGACGAGATCAAGCCCACTCCGGAAGGCAGACTTGCACTGAGTCGGGATCGCCGCTGGAGATCGCCATCGCGTTGACGAGGATCTCCCACGCGAGGTCCAGCGACCCCCACAAGCCCTCGTCGAACACCCCGAGTACGTACGCGTCCCGCCAGAGCCCATTGACCAGCAAGGTGCGATCCAAGAGCGCATGCGGCGTCAACATCGCGGCGCACTTCATCGCGTACGCCTTGATGATCTCCTTCTCCGCGTTCCGCTTCTCCTCAACCGAGGCATCGTCAGCTATCGGGATAGCGACGGGCGGCGGGCACGGGATGAGGGAGGCGATGAGCTTGTCGGGGCGCCTGTGGTACAGGTAGTGGGAGAGGAACGGGAAAGCGGATGGAGAGGGCAGGCCGATTGGGAGCACAGGAACCGTGATTGTGCCACCGATTGGAACAGGCTCGGGGTGGGATGGTGGCAGTGGGGGAAGGCTGGCGCAGTGCACGGCAAAGACGGTGCTATGAATGGGGTAGAGAGTGATACGCCGCTTAGGGGCTACGGCCGCGTTCGGATCAGGGCGGATGAGGGGGCAGTAGAGGGCAAGGACGTGGGTAGGCATATCTGATGTAACGTCGTTGATGGACACTTCGATTTCCTTCGGGAGAGCGCCCATGGGAGGAGCGATCTTGGCCCCGGTGAGGACTTTGAACATGCTGGAGGAGGAAGGTGGCCAGATTAGTCGATGACCGTAGGGAGTAGAGATAGAGATATAGACGTACTCTCCGCTCAGCAGTGGGAGCTTATCCCGGGCATACTGGAGAGGAACTCCCTCCAAGTCGGGGACAGATGCCTCCACGACCTCTGGACGAGGCTCTTTGCGCTCGGGGTGGTACAGGTAGCGCGGGAGCTTGACGAGCGTCTTTGTCGGGCCCGGAACAGGGGGCGCCATCTCAACATCGATGGACGACGCAACGGGAGGAGGAACGAGATGGATCGGGAGGGGGAACTCAAACTGGACCGAAGTACGTGGGCGAGAGCGAAGGCGACGGGCGGCGACCGCAGGCTGCGGAGGAGCATTATTGGCACGGCGCATGGCACGCTGACGAGAGGCATGGTTTTTGATGGTGGAAACAACGCCGAGTCTAGTGGGAGGGGCGTTCTCTGCCTGGGAGACACGGCGGTTCTGGGAGTTGGAGTGGTGAAGGACCATGATGGAGGAGATGGGGAAGGGCTGAGTGGTGTGGAGAATGGGTAAAACGCAGGAGGGCTGAGGAGGAGAGGGCCTGCTGAGTGCGGAGGAGGGGGAGACTGTGGAAGGAAGGGTGCATTTCGCTCCGTATTTAACGAAGAACGAACGGGCAGAGCGTGACGCTACGAGACACCGCAACGTGTGACACTGCAACGTCCAATTCGGCTGTTTGGCCTTGTGGGAGCCCCGAATTCTTGCCCGATATAGCAACTCTGAGCACCCATAAGCGCATACATGGACCCACTTTTGTCACACCTGTCCTATGGATCTCTGTGGGTGCTCGCTAGTCCCGCGCCTTCGGATCCCATAGCACAAAGCTACATACCCGTCTTGTTGTCTGGCTCTTCCTTGTCCCGTGAGACTCACCGTGTCCGCCGCACGCTTGTCCACTTCGACTTGGGCCTCTTCCGTCTGCCCCACAAGCGTTGCCGCATGGCATTAGCCGCAGGTTGGTTGAAGAATGATAGTGGTTCCAGGTACACCGCCCCATATTGCTTTAGACAGAGATTGCCCAGGACGGCCAAAGCCCCGAAAGCGTGGGAAAGGTGGGGTCATCAACGGCAAGGTCACTGCGGGCAAATTTCCATAGGATTGGTGATTCCCAGAATGATTACCTGATGACTTCTTGCCCAAAAGAATCAGTATGAGATTTATGGATAAATCTTGAACAAAATGGCAATGTGCTTCTCAAATTCTGCGCAAAGTGTGCTTGGATTGCATGATAATCCAATTAAAAATTTGTTTCAGAATAAGATCAGGCTGAAATGTCATAAAGGCTGCAATATGTGTCCATGGAGCACAAAAGGGAGGGCATTTGAGCTAAAATCACAAGAAACTCACAGATCACATCCTAAACTCATTCTAAATAGTCCACTGATTCCAAACTGATTCTATTGTGATCAAATAATCAAGCAATGATTTGATCACAATGGGATCAGCTTGGTCAGAATGGGATTAGAATGGGATTAGTAGACTATTTAGGTTAAGTTTAGGTTATGATCTGTGAGTTTCTTATGATTTTAGCTCAAATGTCCTTCTTTTTGTGCTCTATGGACACATGTTATGGAATTTATGAAATTTCTGATCAATTCCAGCCTGACTTTATACTAAAACAAGTTTTTAATCAGATTATGAAATATTCTGAGCACACTTTGTGCAGAAATTAGAGAGCATATTCTTTTTCTGCTCAAAATTTTATCTATAAATCTAACGCTGATTCTTTTGGGTAGGAAATCATTAGATAATCATTCTGGGATTACTAATCCCATGGAACTTTGCCTATAATAGATACAGGGGTCATAATTCACTAGGCAAGATGGCAGTCTTGTTTTCCCCATAAGTCTCAAATTGAAGAAGGTAATGCTAGTGATGACAATAACTCCAAAAATACAAGTGGGCAAGCTAGTAGTGTGTGCAGGTAAGGTGACCACATGGCCCCAAAATACACAGCATATAGTGGAAATTTTGCCATATTCTCAAAAATAATTAGCCAGCTACTATCTATTAGATAACAAAACCTGTATACTATGATATTATGACTTAGCTGGTAGCAAACTACTATCTGTACCTATATTGGATAGAGCTAAACTACTATAATTGCCAGACACATTTGATAATAGATACTCCTATATATAAGCAGGCTAGTTGGATTTTCATAGCATCTTCATAGTACTAGGAGTTGGCTATTGATGTAATATGTCTGGCACTAGAGGTGGCATATTAATGCATAGGTAGGATAGGGCATAATATGTGCATTGAGTATGAATTGCAAGTCTATAATACAGGCTTTAAACAAAGCAATTGTTATAATCTGGTCTATTAGGGCCTTTTCAGCTAGTCTGTCACGAACGGCTGTTCGGGACGAGAGGATCCTAGGCCACAAATGACACAAGAGGATTTGGGAGGATGATCGGGACTGATCAGACTAGTGTCTTGCAATCAGAGAAGACTGTGTGAACAGCAGTTCTTAGATTGGACAGAAGTGGATAGCCTAGGGCTTCCATCCTGCGCCGCAGTATCTATAAATATGTACAAGCAGATGCACGGACCAAGTATCAGTGGAACGGGAACGCGAGGTATAGTCGGGAGAAAGGTCCTACGAGTCCTTATCAAGAAGGTGGGAAGAGGTGAGTAAGCATAGGTGAAACGTTTCGTAACATTACCCCCCCCTCTAGGCCGTCAGTGCCAGAGACGGTAAGTAAAAGTTCAGGAAAAACATAAGCAATGCGCGTAGTCCGAGTCGTACAAAATAATACTTAGGGCACATATTCTCGCTGCCCACAGTCGAGTCATGACGCGATAGCCCTTGAGTACGGACGTCATGATACCCCACCTCGTTACCAACCATGCGGGGACTGCGTTCTAGAGCCGAGTCCCTCTTCTCATCATGGCAGTGGGTACCGGCCCAACGGATTCGAACCGTCGTTTGCCCCGGCAGTTTTACGTCATACCGGACGAGGGCGTCTGTCGTCTAAGCTCCACGAGGACGGAGTATAACGGGCGCGGTGTCGGACTCGCTGGAGTCGTATTCAGTGAAGGGGAGAGGGGGTCGGGTTCGTAGCGAAGGACGGATGAGGCCGGGGGGCGCGGGAAGAAGGTGAATGCGGGGGGAGACAGGTGTGAATCGATATACACCTCGTTCCCTGTCGGTTCTCGTGGGGTAGGTCCCCGGCATTGGGCGAAGCGGAGCGCCATTTGAGGCCGTAGACGAGGCACGAGATACCACAGCCGTGGTAGGCATGTGATACTCGGTGGAGGGAGTGGGGTCGTCGGCGGGGTGAAAGGAGTCTCGAAGATTCTGCAAGCCCATGAGTTTTCGCTCTCCAGCGTTAATACGGGCGATGATCGTGCCCTCTCGGATCTGCAGAGCTCGCTGTGCGTGTCGGACAAAACTCCTTTCTTCCTCTAAAATCTCCAACGCCCTCTGAATCTCCGGTCTGGTCGGCCCTGACACAAATTCTGTGTTAGGCGTCCCCTCGATAAGTCCCATCATATACGCAACGGGGGTTGTGAGATAAGTTTCTCTATCCGGAAAGATGACGCCTTCGTTGGCTTCGCGGATCAGAGGGGGCGGTGAGGGAGAGTGGGAAGGTGAAGGTCTATCGAAATCCTCCGTCAGTAGTCTGATCATCTCGTCTTGTCGTCGTTCGTCCTCGTCCAGTCCTTCCAGGTACTCGCTGAATCCTTCTTCCGCCTCCCGCGCTGCTTGTTCTTCGTCTGTGTCCCACGGTACGGACCGTTCTTCTACTACGGACATCTCGGGGGTCGAAGGAATGGAGGGGTCGGTGGAGGACGTTTGTTCGATGAGAGTGTTCTCAGAAAAGAGGTGGGTGGACTCGTTGGAAGGCATGTTCGTTGGGAGGATGAATGAGTGATTGAAGGAATGGGGGAATTGTAATGATTGAATTTGGGTTTTTATACGTTTCTGATTTTGTTTGTCCGATGTTTGCAAGGGCTGCCCGTAATGGTAGATTATGATGTCGCGTATCGTATGCTTCCAAAAGTTCTTTGGCGTTCCCTAGGTTTGCTCTCGTGACCCATTCGTCCGCGGAGCTCGGGTATCCTTTCCAGTGTACTAGGTATTGATACCCGCGTCCTCGTTTCCTCTTGTCAAGAATCTCTTCGACTTCGTATTCCTCCTGTCCGTCTATGAGGTCGGGTGGTGGCTGTTCGAAGTTGGGGCCGTGAGCTGTTGTTTCTTTGTATGGTGTAAGTAGGGAGGCATGGAACACGGGGTGTATTTTCCATGTCGGTGGGAGCTTTAATCGGTACGTAATTGGCCCTAGTTTTTCTTCTATTTGGAATGGTCCGTGTAATTTAGGGGCTAATTTGTCTTTTGGATGCGTGGTGGTAATGTTTTTTCCCGAGAGCCAAACTTTCTGTCCTGCTTCTAATTTGACTTCGTTCTCGGCGGTTTTTCTTTTCATTAGTTCTGCCGCAACTTCCAAGCTGGCCTTCGTTTCTTTTCGGAGTTGGTCTAGCCTTTCCAGCCTTAGCTCCACTCCGGGGATGTCGGACCTTGGTGCGATCTGGGGTACGAAGGTCGGGTTGTAGCCGTACATGAGTTCAAACGGTGATTGGTGCGTGGCTGAGTGTTCCCTTACGTTGTGTGCGAATTCAGCGTATGGTAATAGTTCAGGCCAGTTCGTCTGCTCGTAGTTGCAGAACGCTCGTAGATACTGTTCTAACTCTTGATTTACTCTCTCCGTTTCACCGTCTGTTTCGGGATGATAGGCGGTTGATAACGCTGTCGTGACTCCTAGCTTCTTCCATAGTTCTTTTGTGAATCGAGCAGCAAATTGTGGACCTCTGTCGGAGATGATCTTTTGTGGGAGTCCAAATCGTCTCCAGACGTTTTTCATGTAGAGGTCGGCCGTTCCTTCCGCATCTATGGTCTTGTTGCACGGAGTGTAGACGACTCCTTTAGTGCTTCTGTCCACTGTTACGTGTATTGCGTTATATGGTCCGACTTGTGGAAGATCCGTAATGAAGTCCATGGTGACTGTCTGCCAGGGTCCTTCTGGTATTTCGTTAGGAATGAGTGGAGTGCGTGTGGGGTGTGTGATATTCTTGGTGTATTGACATGTTGCACATCCTGTTACGTACTCTTTTATGAACGTGGACATTCCTGGCCACCAGAAGTTATCGGATACTAGGACATAGGTCTTCCATCTTCCCGGGTGTCCCGCTGCTGGTGAATCGTGGTACATTTTCGTGATTTGTCTTTTAAGTCCGTCGTCTGGTGGAACGTATATTTTTCCCCTGTGCCAGATGAGATCGTCTTCGTAATTCCATTCTTGTAGACCTTTGGAGAGGGCTCTGGGTCCGGATGCTTTGATAAGTTCCATCGCATCTGTTACTTCTTTATCTTTGGCTGTGACTTCTCTTAGCTTTCGTCTCAGCTGGCTATCGAGCATTTCAATTGTTCCTCGTCCCGTTGCACTTTTGACGAACATTTGAGGTTGTAGTAGTACCTGGTTTTTGTTGTCAAATTTTACCCCCTCTTTCAGGTCTGGACGCCTGGACAGAGCATCGGGTCGGTGGGTAACGCCCGGTTTGTGGACGAGGGTGAAGTCGAAGCGGGAGAG